AGCGTGCCTCGTGTTCAAGCCTGGACACCTATCAGTCTTCTGCCGCCAACTCAACGGCGAAAGAATCCTTCCCATGGAGCACAACGAAGAGGGCTTCTACGATGCACTTGCTAAATGGGAAGCGGACCAAGACGAACTTATCGAACGAATTGAGCGAGAAGCAGAGGAGCTCGCCAACAAACGCACGGGAGACGACCTGTTGGAGTTTCATAACGCTGACGCAGATCTCGTTTACTACGACGATGCGAGGTTGGAAAGTTGTTGAAGTCGGTGACTTCAGACGATAAACAGGGGGTAATGTTACAGCGGCCCCATCATTTTCTCATCATCATGCTTCTCCGACCTATTCTTGTTATCTTTGACTGCTTATCAACATGCACTGCATGAACATTCTAGATACTTCCGTCTATTCTTGTTATCTTTGACTGCTTATCAACATGCACTGCATGAACATTCCAGATAGTTCCATGATGTTCTTCTTGACTCCTTTCACTTCCATAGTCGGCCTGGTCCGTGCCTCCTTTGTCCATTATAAATACCGCAGTAGTTACGCTTGTATTCTCTAACTTGAATCTACTTGGTTCTCTCTGATACTTGATCATCTTCTGAGGAAGATACCTGATTCCGATCTAGCTCTTATAGAGACTAGCCTATACTCGAACTTCACTTAGAGGGAGAGCCCCTCAAGTGTCTGAACCGAACGTCGTAACACAAAGAACTCCTTTATTGGATTAGTTACGCAAGAACTATCCAAGTCGTAACAGGCATGTGAGCAAATGATCCAGAAGATGGACTTAAGTGTAGACTCATATTTTGAAGCTCTTCGCAAAGGGACACTTGATTGGCAATTAGCGCTTAGCACTGGCAAGTGATTACTGTAGTCTTCTATGTATTTTGCATCTAGTGTTGAACATCACGTGATCCCTGTGCGGTATGTTGTTAATACTATATCTCCTCATTGTTTCAATGCTGTAGCCCTCATGGGAAAAAGACGCCGTGAGCTAGACAAGCTTACGCGTGACTGGTATGTTCTCAATGCAAAAAAGCACGCAGCTCAGCAGCGAATGCAAAACACTACTCAGGCTGAGGATCCAGAAAACAGTCAGGTCTCAACTCACAAACATCGATCTTACACTTTGAAGGGACCGGCACAGGTCTCGACTCAGACAGAGTACTTTGGTGCTCCAAGAGGCTCTCACACTGCGCCACCACCATCTGCTTTCCATACTTCTGATACTGTCGCCTTCGATTACGAGGCTCTTCTGGACTCTAACGAAGACCACGTCTACAACGAACACTTGGCTGAAACATCACTCGAAGTGAAAGTTTCACGGGGGAATCGAAATTTAGGAGTAAGTGAAGACAATTGATCTTGGATACAATTACTGACGTGTTGTTTTGAAGGATAACCCATTGTTGACTTGGATGGATGATCGGGACCATTTTCTTTTAGAACTCCTCCGTCTGGAGGGTCGCGGCGATTTTTTACATCAGGAAGCATGTCGAGGTTCTGCAGGATGCATGAATGCCCCTGAATTTCGATGTGAAGATTGTCTTGGTACTGAGCTCTATTGCAAGGCGTGCACGGTAGAAAGGCATATAGAAAATCCAACCCACAGAATTGAGGTAGGTGGGAATCTAGCAGTGCTCACTACTTCGCACTGATTGACTTGCGCAGTACTGGAACAGCCAACATTTCGAAGACACTAACCTGCGGGATCTTGGGCTGCAAGTTCAACTCGGACACCCCCCTGGTGAACGTTGTTGCAACCCGTCATTGGTTCATAACGACTTCGTGGTCCTCGATATCAACGGAGTGCACAATATTACACTCCACTTCTGCGAGTGTCAAACAGCTCAATCTCGTACGACACAACTCCTTCGCATGCGTTGGTTCCCAGCAACTACACTGGATCCGAAGACTACCGCAACATTTCGACTTCTCCACCACTTCCATGTTCTTTCGTTTGAATCGAAGGCCTCCACTTTCGAGTACTGGCAGACACTCGCACGCTTGACCAACAACACAGGCGTTAACCCACCAAAGGTAAGTTTTCAATTTGGTTTGACTTGTTCATTCATACTTGCTCACAACGGCTCACAGGATCGCTATAACGCTCTCTTACGGATGGTAAAGGAATGGCGAAACCTCACCTTACTCAAGCGTTCAGGACGGGGCCATGACCCTGGTGGGGTTGCGGCGACACAACATGGTGCTTGTGCAGTACTGTGTCCTGCCTGCCCCCATCCGGGCAAGAATATTCCAAATGGCTGGGAAGATACACCGTTTGAGGAAAGGTATGTTATGGATTGGTCTAGTCCGTGTAGCGTGTTCACTCACAGAATGATCTAGATGGAAATATTCCTTGTTTCTAGCAATCGATGCTAATTTTCGACTGGCACGCAAAAACGTATCATCCGACAAGGCCGACCCTGGTCTTAACAAAGGTTGGGCGTACTTCGTTGAAGAGGGGGCATTCAAGAAGTTTCTCCATGACACTGGAAAGCAGCCGCAAGAGGTGCGGCCATCTATCTTAGCCGTATCACACTCGCTCACCCACTCATCACACAGAAAAGTAGTTGTGCGAGCCACAACGCTGTAAACTTGGCCGAGACTAAAAACTCTCGCGGTTTGGCAGCAACAGGGGCCGGCACGGTCGATTGTTCACGCCACAACATGAAGCGTCCTTGCGGTGTCGGCGATCTCCAGAAGGGCGAGCGGTAGGCGAGAGCTTTACTAATTACCGCACCACTCAACGTGTACTATAGATACATCAATATGGACTACCTATTCTTCTCTACCTTGCAATACTCGAAGGACGTAGTCACGCTCAATGTGTCCTACGATATAGCGTGCCAATGGAGCAAGAACATATGGGATCGTATGGCTACATACCCATGTCAAATGCACGTGGAACGCAGCACGAAAGAGTTTGTGTTCCTCGTTCCGAAATTCCATCTTCCCGCACACGTTGCATTCTGCCAAGTAACCTATTCACACAACCTTATCAAAGGGATGGGTCGGACTGACGGGGAGGCACCGGAGCGCGGGTGGGCGAATATAAATCCTGTAGCAACGAGCACTCGGGAGATGGGCCCTGGCTCACGCCGCGACACCCTCGATGATCATTTCGGAGATTTTAACTGGAAGAAAGTGACCAACTTTCGTGAGTGGAACCTACACCGCGCGATTGGAACCTCTTACTAACATTTTGGTTTCAAGACATCAGTCTATTCCGAAAGCTCGTAGCGGCCATACCTCAACGTGATCAGCACCTCATCGACTTCAACGATTTCAATGACACATTGGTTGCCGAACGACCAGAGGAAGTCGCTCGGTGGAAGCAGGCTATCGAAGGCTGGGAAGCCGATAGATCACAGACGAATCCCTTCGAGGTTACAACTACAAGTGCATTTGTTCTTTTATGACGATTTTATATTTCTCATTCTTTCGCAGCCATGTCTCTCGCAGCGGTACGACTGCGTCTCTCGCAGAAGGAGGCAGAAGATTTAGAACATGGCCTCAACTACTCGCTGCATACCGAGGTATCCCCAAGCGTTCTCGTGTCATCGGGTATTGAAATCGAGGACCATCAGTAAGTTTATATCTCCCTTGTATCTTTATCTCAATGTTTTTTTAGACGCCGGCTGGAAAGAGAGTATGCTGCCTTGGGAGCTCACGCAACGGACCTTCAACTTACGAAATTGCAAGAACGAAGCAACGCACTACAACGCAAAATCGAGCAATGGTGCAAGGTCCAGGTATTATACATGCCTACAGTCGTCTGTGTTCGCGCATCCGATACAGCTAGTACCGTAAGCTCACGGGAAGAAAAACCCTACGAGGTCAAACTGTGGTTACCGTCCCAACTCAAAAGGGCTTCAAACGAATTCTGCGAGGAGCGTCTGTGCAGATATGAATGGGAGCTGCGACAGGCACAAGCATTTGATGCTCTCGATGATCTCCGTCGACACCTCCGACTGCGCAGCCACTTATTCAAGTTCAAAGACAATCAATTGCGTGGCCAGCGGGCGAATACACATGCAGCGGGAGTTCTCGCTAAGGTGGATCTTAGCATCAAGACAGATGCAGAACGGTACCGTAGGGCCTGGACTGCTCTAGTTATCCTGGGCGACATTTTGCAGGAACATAGCTGGCGAGATGATCTACTAAAGCTAGAACCTGAGCACGTTCGGGGAATGTCTGATGGCCACGTAGGCCAATCCGAAGGTAATCGAACTTTATCGTGGATTTGGAAGGCACGTGGCGTCACTACTGGAGACAGGGAAGGAGAGACTGTTCTTGCTGAAGGTAAGAAATTGTCCATTAAATTGATACGAGCTAAAACGCTATTACACAGCGCTACGTGTAGAGTGGTGTAAATCTCGGGCACGCTCACACCGTTGGACAGAAGAAGTCGAGCTTCTCCAGGAGGAGATGCGGCGCGTGTGCACATTCTTCGACTGGCATGCGGCATGGTGGATGGATCAGGCAAACCGGAGGACTGGGTTGGATGCTGCAGAGTTAGAAGGCCTTGCAGCGTATGCAAGGCGCCAGGCGGTCCTTCGGATCATGATGCGGGACAACTGTCTAAGAAAATGGCGTGCAGTTCCTGCGGCAAGCTTACCCCCAGCAGTGGCTGCGCCCTGAATACTAGTAGGATGACATACATTGCTTCTTTTCCCCTATGTGTTGGTAGCACTATATATAATCATTGATTGCGTCAGTCTCCGAGATTGCGATCGTAGATGCCAGGAACATGGAAAGAGAAGATCGGAAGCATCCTGTATGACAGTCGAAGGCATTATGCATCACGGACACCAGTGGGAACATTACTATACATACAGTCGAAGGGATTATGCATAACGTCAAAAACTAGAGGTAACCATGCATAACGGCCTGTGTCTAATCAGTGATGATTATGCATAACCCGGTCAAGTACAGGTGTATCCTACTATAGGACATTGTAGTTATAATGATCTACGAAAATTAGCGGCGCTGCTTGCGCGTCTTCATGATTGGTATCAGCAACTACAGGATTGTTTCACTCAAAGCCCTTTATTCACCTTCTCTTATTCCGTCTCTCCATGCTGCTGTCCGTGCCAGAATTGGACCGCTGCTTGGCATTGACATCGACAGCATCGAGCGTGAGATGCTAGGCGGAGAAGATGAAGACATTCTGGATACTAACCAGGACAATGAAGGCCATGATACGTACAACGCGGGAGCCGCTGCCAGTGGAGCCATCGACAATAGCGATTTAGTTGATGGTACAGGGTTGGAGGAGAATCTAGGTAACAGCGGTGATGCAGACCAGGATTACGAGCCTGAGGATAGCGAGGGGCCTGATACTACCCCGGATAGCCAAGTTCTTGCTGAAGACGACTCCGGCTTTGGAGACAATGGCAAGCCCGCCGTTTTCACTGCAGGAAAATTTTGGAACTTTGTTGATACCTCGCTCGAGAACATTCGCAAAGTTGCCAAGCAGGAGGCAGCGAACAATCATCAAGGAACCATTCCCCTTCATACATCAATTGAAACCACGTTTCGGCAGTAGGTGTTTTATTATTGAACCTCATGCATTGTTGCTCATTATTGCCAAGAATGCTTGTAGAATATTTTCAGGAGGACCTCGCTGATTTTCCCGGCAACATGTCCGTTCCTAAGCTCCTCACCAATAATAGCCCCCAGTGGCAGACCACCATTCAGAACAAGCTCCTGTGGAATCAGGATCTGTGATGTTCATTCTGATGCTGCTTCTTTTCCGTCGCTCTATATATCACACTCGTTTCTACGGCTAATGTTGTCTATATCTAAACCGTCTTAATGCAATGTTTTTGTGACCCGTTTCATTTACTCGGATGCTCGACTCTCGTATTGGGGTGAATGTACCTGATTCACTGCAACTGTCCATGCTGGTGAGATCCGAATGGTGCATGCAATGTTGATTAAAGATTGTTCACATCTGAAACTCTATGTATACCAAACATTGAGGAGATCTGTACACGACCTATGGAGACCAACCTGTGCGGCAGGTATGCGTGAAATGCTTCTGCTAGGTGCCGTACAAGACCTACCCACAACCTCTGGTGCCCCACATCAATTATAGCTCTAGTCGCCAGGCTATCAATGGTGCCTCAAATAGCTCTTTAGGCGGTTGTAAGCATATTTCCCAACCCCTTCGCCTCCTCGCTTCCTTGTAGATGTATTATATTGCTCGGCAAGAGGTACCGAGAAAGACCTTAGACCGAGGCGGGAGTGAGGTCAGCCACAGGGTACTACTTTTAGACCTGTGTGATAGCCTTTCGGCACTCGGCGGTGTAGGTTTAATTAATGCCTCCGCAACCGAAGAAGGCGGCAATGAGCCCTCCGGTTCTCGATCACCGCCTGCTCGGTCTCATACTGTCTCATATCGCAGTTGCCGCAGGCTGCCACCTGTCCTGAAACATTTTCTGGTCTTACGCCGAAAGTGCTTTTTCGCGACGACGCGCTGGGTTTCTCCGAGTCATCCATGATGCTGACCCGATGACCGCCCGAGTCTTCTAATTCTCGTTATTATCTAAATGTCTCGTCATATAGTATCCGGTTGGCTGTGCCGGGAACGCCTGCATCACCCTCGCCGGTATAAATGTCTTCTTCATCATTTTGATCAGCCGCGTCTTCACCCATCAAAGAGATGCGTCATGTCCACCTCGCCGTGCTCCTTGGCTGTGCCGCTTTCGCCACAGCTTCGCCCTCCACTGCTCAGAACGACCAACGCTCAACCAAAGATGCCAAAGTTCTAATCCTTGGAGGAGGCGTCGCTGGCGTCATTGCTGCGCGCACATTGCATCGCAAGGGGATTACTGACTTCTTGATTATCGAAGCACGCGACGAGCTAGGTGGAAGGATGCAGGATTATACTATAGGTGTCCCTGGCAAGCAGTACACAATCGAACTCGGTCCTAACTGGATTCAGGGAACGCAGACTGGCAACGGGACAGCTAATCCCATTCTGACGCTCGCTCGGAAACATCACGTCAAGAACCAGTATAATGATCTTGATGGCAGTATCAGTACGTTTGGCAATTCTTTTTTCACTATTTTGTCTGGACTCATCACTGGGGAACAGCGACATACGACTATAACGGGTTCAAAGACTATCGCGACCTCTTGGACACGTCAATCAATCAATTCACTCAAACTGGTGTAGTTGCAGGTACGACATCGTGCAGTCGTCAGCTTTGCGTGCTCAGATGTTTTATGAGGGGAACGCGTCTTGACGCAACAGGTTGACCTCGGCCTTCAAAGCGCCTACGGCATCACCGGTGCAACTCCAAAGAACATGTACGAAGCAGCCTGCCAGTATTATCAAGTCGACTGGGTACGTGAATATCTACTATCCAAGCCTTCCACCTTCCTAATATCAAACTCGCCAGGAATGCACGTATTTCCTTCTTACATGTCTTAATCCTGCTAATCGTCACAACCGCACACCCATTAGATGCACAGGTGCGAGGACTCGATCACGTTGCTGATTTGTGATTCTCAATAGTCTCGCACTAGTCCCCAGACCAGAATTCGTGGATAGCATCGGCCTGGGTATTTATATATTAGTCTAGTACGCACCTATCAACACCTAATGTTCCCACAGAACAACAACTTCACCTATTATACCGATATGGGTGGTTTCTCAGACGAGAACAACCTCTGCATCGACCAGCGTGGTTTCAAAACCATCATCCAAGCCGAAGCTGCAGAGTTTCTTCAACCTCAGCAAGTCTCCCTGAATTCCGTTGTTACAACGATTGAATACAGTGGGGATGGGGCGACAGTCACATTGGCAAATGGGACTACTCTCACTTCGGACTACGTGCTTTGCACACTTAGTCTTGGCGTATTACAATATGGTGATGTCGCGTTCAAACCTACTCTTCCTTCGTGGAAGATGGAAGCTATTCAAAGCATGGTCATGGTATGTCTGCCCAAGGTCACTATTTTTGATACTTAACTGTCCCCAGGCTACATATACCAAAATCTTCCTACAGTTCGAACAGAACTTCTGGTTCGATACTGAGGTACGGATGAACATTAGCATTAAATATCTCTCTGATTTATCCGGAATAGATGGCTATCTATGCAGATAAGGAACGGGGGAGATATCCGATCTGGCAGAGTCTTGACCACGTCAAATTCTTCCCTGGTTCTGGTCTCGTCTTTGTGACCGTCACCGTAAGTCCGCATGATTCGTGCTCTATGTGCTTCTGTCGCCAGTTCTGAGGATATTTAGGGTGATTTCTCACTGCGCATCGAGGGCATGGAAGATTCGGATGTTCAAGAGGAAGTCATGGAAGTCCTCAGAGCCATGTACCCCAACATCACCGTTCCTGATCCTGTGGCATTCCATTTCAAACGCTGGAACGCGGACCCTCTCTTCCGTGGCTCTTACTCCAACTGGCCCCCTTCTTTCCTTCCTGGTCACTCAGAAAATCTGAGGGCTACGGTAGACAAGACACTCTGGTTTGCGGGTGAAGCGACGAGCTTGAAGTACTTCGGTGCGTGTTTTTCCTGACTGTAGTTGGCTTGTTGATGAAGGCAAAATATGTAAATGTAGGTTTCCTTCATGGTGCGTATTACGAGGGGTTGAACGCTGGGGAGGAGGTCGCCAAGTGCGTCGAGGGCCCTGTATGTGCTGGGCGGCAGCATCTGAATAGCGTGGTTGATGCCTCCCCCTACCCGTTCGTGTCTATCACGTCTTAGGTGCTTATGTTTGTTTCCCGAGCCGTGTTGTCGTCGCCTTGAGCAGTATCGTTTTCGAGTACCGATACAGTGTTATTGAGGATCGGTTCGAGGATAAATTATTTCTTCATGTAAAGGACCGACCATCTTCATCATTTTCATGGTGGTTAAATGTCATGGAATGATTGAAGATGATCGTTACTTTACAGTGGTGTCCCTACCTTCCTAAATATCTGGGTAGGTCTGTTGGAAGGCATGGATGGCTTGGACGGGCCCGTTGCCTGCATAATATGCGCACCTTCGCGATCCCTCGTATAATGTTTTGCGATAGGGGTTCCGCTTGTTACGGTCGACTGGTCAAGATTGAAATGACCTCATTCTATGGTAGTTATGAGACGTCATCCTGATGGTCCCGCCGGATGTCTCACAATTGTGATTTCTGTATCCGTCATCCGACAGTGGATGTGCGTATAAAAGGCCGTCTTCTCCTTTATTTCCCTCCACTTCATTTCCTTCCACTTCATTTCCTTCCACTTCATTTCCTTCACTCATTTTGGCCTCTAACTTCACACTGCATCACACTTTATTTGCGATATTAACAACCGGGCTGAAGCACGAACTTGGTACGATTTAACCGATCTCGAGTATGCGATTTAGACTCGGACTACCTGGACTTATTCTGGCACGAGGTTGGGCTTGTCTTCGAATGTCTGCTCTTTATGACTGCGATGGTCTCCGACGGCTCGATCACCCCCTGAAATCGACTGGATTCTCCCGACCTTGACCATGACGATCTCTTTCTCGATCTCCTTACTCGATCTCCTTACTCGATCTCCCCTGTTCAATACTCTATTATTCGAACCACGAACTTTGTACGATCTAACGAGCATGCGAGATTCGAGCTACCTGAATTTACTCTGGCACGAGGCTGGGTTTGAGTTCGAGCGAGAGGACCGTGTCTCTTCGACGGGCCTTTAGGATTGCAACGGTCAAGCTTCCTTCGATGGTTCGATTGCCCTGAAATCTCCCGACCTTGACCATGACGATCTCCTACTCGATCTCTCCTCCTCAACATTCTGTCATTTGAACGACGAACTTGGTACAATCTAATCAACCTCGAGCACGCGAATTAGACTCTGACTACCTGGATTTACCCTGACATCATGTTGGGCTCGAGTGAGAGTGTAGCTGTGTTTCTTCGGCAGGCATTAACGACTTCAACGATGGCTCGATCGCTCTGTCAAACCGACTGGATTCTGCTGGCTTTGCCCCTGACGTTTTTCTACTCGAACTTCGCTTCTAAGATCCCGCTGCCTAATGCATCACGATCATGGTACGATATAACCGATCTCGAGTACGCGTCTTGCACTAAGACTATCGGATTTGCTCTTCCTTTACGACTGCGATGGTTGGGTTTTGACTATCTTTTCCCCGAGAAAGCGATATCTTGAAATGGTCTGGTCCGCCTTACCTGGGACGGTTACCTCGGAAATCGATCATCTCTTTGCGGACTTTTGCGTTTCCTTGGGGCTCCGTTAAACCTCGAGTTTTGCTTTCGGCTCTGATCTGGCCGAGTTTTCGATCGAACTTTCATTTATTTCTTCTTCTGATGCACCTTTCTTTTGGGCGACGAGCCTCTCAATGTTCATGTACTTCATTCTAGGAGCGATGGCCGAACATATGATCCATAAGGGGAACGTGCACGTTGGCCTTCGCTTTCAAGACGCACACGTTGCTTGCGTTAAAGGTCTTTACACATCAATTTGCCCGACCTTTCCCCAAAGCAGAAACTCACGCATCATTGCACATTTCGACAGTGTGCTATCCATCGCAGCATGCCTTCCGTCGCCAAAAATGCCAGTCGTCGAGTTATAAGTATGTGAACAGGATTTTGGATGTCAAATAATTCTTCCTTGACAGATATATGAATATTGACGCCATTCGTTGTGATTTTACTTGGGGTCAGTTGGTCTCTCTTCGGCTGTCTCAAATCGATTCACATTAATGTTGCTAATGCCCCGTTTAGCTGACTATGCTCATTCACAGTGGTATTATTCACTTTCTTCGCTGTCTTTGACATTCTACGGAAAATGTTGGGAGTTGGCCCCCGAGTACCTGAGCATGATTGAACTGGTTTTGTGGTTGCAGGCACCTGTAAGTGTGAGTCGATGATTATCCAGTTTACGTCGAGCAGTGGATGATGTGAATGACAAGCAAAGGTGTGATGGTTATTAGATGGTTCGTGAGCACTCGCGAATCTTTGCGTCGTAATCGGGCGCTAGGTGTTCAAGAACTTATTTGCACATCATTACAAGTAAGATGCATACTGACTGGCATATACTGTTTAGAATTCGTCCTCAACAAGTCGACAATTGATATAAACATATATATCATACCGTGGCTAGTTGTGAACGATATGGTGAATTGTTCGATGTAGGTGCTACGAACAACTCTAGCAGGCTTTGTAGTGGGATGTTCACGTTTTACAGGGAACATTATAGCATATGCATTGTCCCAGATACATCTATGCATACCAGCATTACACTACAAGAAATGGTCATAATGGTCATAATGGTCGTGTCTGAATATGCTATGAACTGGTATAGGATACGGATGTGAACAATACAAGCTTGGATAAACAAAGAAACATATAGTCTCAAGATGATGATATTACAGCGGGAGAGCTGCGGTATCCATAACAGGTGAACCAAAAAGTTCCACGTCTTCCTCCTCCGAGTCCTCGAAGAGTGACAAGTTTTGCGCGGTATCCATGACAGGCGAACCAAAAAGGTCCACGTCTTCTTTTTCCTCAGAGTCCTCGAAGATTGAGAAGTCTTGCGCGGTATCCATGGCAGGCGAACCAAAAAGGTCCGTGTCTTCTTCCCCCTCCTCGAAGATTGAGAAGTCTTGCGCCGTAACAGGCATGGGAGGCACATCAGAGGAATAGTGGGGCGTAGAGTGTGGTATATGTGGCGCCTGGACATTGAAAAGTGCGTCGGTCAGGGATATAGTGTCCTGCGCGAAAACAGGGAAGGACGAGGCATTATTGGTCACCGAGTTCAGTCTTGGGGTCTGAACAATGGGTTGCGCGCCAGAGCCGGAAGCAAAGTTCGGCCCGTTTACAACTGAGGGCGGGGATGCCTGGGTCTCCCGTGTTTTCCCCTTGAATGTGGATCGCCATTGGGGTTCGGTGACTGGCAGTGGTGCCGCGGAGGTGCTGGCGAACATCTTTTTTTCCTGGTTCCTGGCACACTGCTTAGATTTCGCATGACGCGAGAGCCCATCACTGCGACTGAAACTAGTAAGAATAGATATATCAGCCCCGCGGTCACATTTGAAAGCAGGGGTACTCACTAGGAGCCACAGGCTAGGCACAGCAAGTGATTGTTACGCTGGTTATGTATGTTTGATTTCTTGTGCTCGCGCACGCTGCTTCGCTTGAGAAGGTCTTCTGTGCAGTGACGTCTCAAGCATTTGTACTTGATCACGCCATCGTCGAGTTTCTGTTCCTGATTAAACAGCTGTCAGCGGGATGGCGAGAACCAAAGAAATATTTCACTCACAAATTCTGGGTCGTCCTCAGGGGGAATGCAGCGTTGTCTCGGTGTCGTCTTTCGTGCCGCCCCATTGCCATTCACCGCCTTGCCCTTGCCCTTGCCCTTGGTGGTGCGCCGCACTGAGCCCCCCTCAGTTGCGCCTTCAGATGGCAATTGGGGCATGAGTCTCTGGTCGAAATGTTGGTTGTGACCAGGGTGCTGCTGCATCATCAGCGCCTGAAGTTCTTCCAGTGTGTGCGAAGCCAGATAATTGTTTACCGCCTCGGAGGGTCCGGGCAGTTGCGCTTGCACGACTGGAACGTCAAAAGCGCTCGCGGCGGCCCGCACCTGTGGGAGGGAACCTGCGACTCCAGAGTTCGCGGTCATCACAGGAGCGAAAGTAGTCTGCACTGGAGGAGAGTAAGACGGCATTACACCCATAGCCTGAGGGCCCGGGGCATATCCACCATAATGTTGTGGGGGGTTCGGGCCCATGACCATACCCGACTGAGGGACATAAGTGTTAGGTAGGGGAGCAAGACTTGCAGGCCTCATCATATTCTGCAGATAAGGTTGGCCGTATTGTTGTTGTCCATATTGTGCCCCACCAGCACCAAACATGGGAGCCATTCCATAGTCCACGTTGGGAGCTGGCCCAAGTGCAACGCGGTTTTGATACATTTCGGGAGGATACATTCCAAACCCGGGCTGGAGCTCAGGTTGAGGTTTGGGAAGGTTTTCTTGCTGATTTTGGAACTGGTGCCATCGATTGTCGACAGCAGTGCCGAAATTGAGGTTCTCGTATTCGTGCTCATTGTAAAGAGCGCTCGACGAGGAGAAGGATTGGTCCATCATTGGATCGGATTGAGAAGGTGAAGATATGCTGAGTGACGCGGTCTTGGCCTGTGGTTGGACCAGGAAAGTGACAGAATAGGAAGTCAGGAAACAAGGGTGTTAGAGCACAAGTTAGACACTTGGATGCGGAAGAGAAAATACGATTGGTGGTGAAGAGAAGGAAAGGGATACAAGTACCACTATTTATGCTGCTGAGACGCCCGCTTCAAGTAAATAAATGAAGTGGGTCACCTACACTGCGGCGTGTCCCTCCCCTTTCTCGAGTTCTGGTCCACAACTTGTTGCCCAGGCAAAGCGGACACAGCGCACGAATTGGAGTAATACATACAAAGGGACGCATCCGCCATCCTTTCATGCGCGCAGGTTCTGTTAACGGACAATAGTGAAACATGCAGGCCATTCGGATATTCCCCGCGCGACTGTGGAGATATTCAATTCGATCGTTGATTGCCGATCTTCAGAAAACAGAAGCATTGAACGCAACGCGCTGGAGCTAATCACTGAGTACTTTCTCTTTTGGTTGTATATGTTTTGATTTTCGGTGTGCATAGGGACTCGCCGCGTTCACCAGATCCTGCAGGTAGTCATCGGCATCGAAAATCGCAGACTCGAAAATCTGATTGACAAAATTTATCAATACAAAAACATCAGAAAGGGGATCGCATGCTTATTGATAGGAATGAATAAAAAAAATCGTGTCCAACCTCGAATAGAAGGACGTATCTTTCCAACGCGTCTCCGCCAAGAACAGGCCACAAGAGTCCACGACCCATCGAACACCTCTCTTCTCTGTCAATAAACAGTCAGTCGTTGTGCTCTTATCAAGCAGGAATAACTTACTGCCACCAGATCAGAACATTGAAATTAGATCCACATTCAATTACGACACTTGGATTGCAACCCAGAGCAAGGTCTCGCCTGTGTAATAAACAGATAGGTGGATACTGACGGTGCTGGACAACTTGCCCGAAGTAGAGAAGACCAACGAGCACCTCAACGTGACAGCCTGGCTTACGTGCTCAGCTTCTGCAAGTGCGGGGTTAACTTCCTGCGAGCGGCGGGGCATGTCAGATCACACCAAGGGATCATGCGAGCAAATAGGATCAAGGTAAGAAAGATACCATCAATTCAATGGCAACGTCGGTCTCACGAATCGTATCGCAGATGGAGTGTCCATCGCGGAAGGTGAGACTGCCGCGCACCTGCAGAATTTTGGTTAGCGCTGATCATCGACTTGGCATATGATCTGACTTGGGATTAATTCGCTAGGAAAACATACGGTCTCCCCACCGTGAGCTTGGGCATTCCAACCACGGGTCAAAGCGTATACCAAGTCCCAATGAAACCCAGTGAAACAGGACAAACGCAGTATAAAGGGCCTGCACAATCCAACGTCTATCGTTTCCGGGCGTGGCGCACTTCTAAGCGTCTGCAGGATCAGGATACGTGGAGAATGATGCACATTTTCGTGTATATTCTCCCACTTCAAAACACATCCCCGTCAAACGGGATTTTTTTGATACGCACAGAGTCAGCAGAACTGAATCCATCCCAGTCAAAAAGTATGTGCCAAGACACTGACTAGCGAAAATGAAAAGACTTACCGATGTTCCCGAGACGCAAAGCTCGGATCGAACGCGTCAACTTCAAGGCTCAGGTAATTAGTGCGGCCTAATTTTGGTTCACATGGTCGAAGGCTCTTTCAATCACCTTGCCGTTGTCATAGCTATGTCGAGTACAATCAGCGTCTGCGCCCTTTCCTCCCCATGAAGATCCAACTTACCAATCAACCTCGTGCACACTAAAGGCCTTAGTGGGGTGTTACTTCGATATCTCCTTCTCGCCTTGTCCACGTGGAACTTTGCGAGGACAGAGTCTGGTGATGGATGGGGCACGCCGTTGATATTTCGGCTGTCGGTGGACCGGACTGTGTATACATCATCTATCCATATGACGGCACACTTGGCCGTACGTATGCTTTGTGGTCCCAATGTCAGATCCGTAGAAGAACCTAGTATAAACGAAGAAACTCACCTCAGGGTGCCTAAAGTGCCCACGCCCAAGAATTGGTTCCCGCCAAGGGCGACGGGTGCGTGTTTTTTCTAAGTGACTGGTTATGTGCTTATTCATGAAGGGAATGTGCAGGGTTCCTTCAGGCCTGGGGGCTTATTACAAGGGCTTGCATGTCGAGGAGGAGATTTCTTAATGTACTGCAGACGGGGGATGCACTGGAAGGCACTGAACTTCCACATGTGAAGTCTGGCTAGTGAGTATTGTTGATGGTAAACCCCGTCCGATATCATACTTGGGTGAGTCGTTCTCTGGTCAATTCATAGTCACCTTGCACAGTAAAATGTTCGAGCGCCAACCAGCTAGAATAGAGTCAAGCAAGACTCGTTGAAAGTTGAAACAAGGACATTCAATGATGATTCAAGTTCAAGTCTCAGCTGCTTAGTCAGCACGTTTAGGGACGACTTACCAAGTCAGTTATGCACTTATCGATCTCCTAGTCGATCTCTACTCTCATTGCGCTATGTTGCTTCCAAATCATACTGGATCTCACCACTTTGTTGTAGGCCGCAGATGGTAATTCTCAATTTGTGCGCCCATTCGTATGGGTTGGTCCCTGCCGCGTGGTTCGGAGTTCCTTTGGTGCACTCCATCCCAGGAACGACGGCGAACCTGGGTCACCGTTGTCGAAGTCTAATCTGTCCCCTCTTTCTTTGCTATGCACTGGGCACCTGTGTGCAGACATTAGCGGCATGAGGGCGGCGCGGGGTGTACACAAATGTGTTGTTTCCGCAAACGATCCTCGTGATGCAGAACAGCCATCCAAAAAATGCTATCAGCGGACCATAAAAAAGGTCCGCAGCGCCCGTACGGACGGGCAAATCGAACGCCGATCCACCACCACCATAAACGTAAAAATATACATTGATATTCGTAAACTCATTATCCTATATACAACCCCCACAATATATATAGATATGTATATTTTCCTAAACCCAAGATGACGGCCCAAAGGTGCCATTGATAGTATAGTACGACAGCGCGTTCGCATCGGCCGTGTTCAAGAACACAGTGTTGCCCCACCATTTTGCGACGGTATTTGCGCCGATTGTGCCGTTCTGCGGGAATTGCAGGCAGAAGAAGATCAGGACGATGGATATTGCGAGGCCGGAGTCGAGTCCGGCAGCTAGGACATCTGCAGGGGCGTTTAGCAGGACATTTGGGGAATTAGAAGGGGAAAATGTAACGTACAGTTGTACTTTGTCCACCAGGAGAAATGACGGCGACGGATGACGTACTGGAAGATGAAGCCGACGATTGCCCATGGTACGTAGTTGACGGCGGTTGCTGGTGGCATGTAGGACGTTCCGGTGAAGATTACGGGGAAACTAGGTGCGAATTGTCAATTATCGAGTGCAGGCAAGGCGGATAGATACATACTTGATGTAACGAATGATGCTATTCGGGTACTTGAGGGAGATGATCCAAGCACCGAGGGGGCAAAGTGCGCCAATGAGGAAGAACCACAGAAGGCCGCTGTACATCTGGCCAGGGGAGAACTGACGCTGAGGACCAATGACACCCCACTACCAAACCATCTTGAATGAACAAACAAAATACACAGAAGGGATCAGACTGCAACTTACGATGATCGATGCAGTGCCGAACACTTCAGTATTCGGGCAAATGAAACCATCCGCTTGATGCTTGCTACATATGTCCACGATATTGGTAAACATCCAAGCTTGTACACCGAGCTGCACGGTTCCGGCCACGGCAGCCGCACTGACTTGTGCAAAGAACATTGTGCGGGGAGGAATTTTCATGTAGTGACCGAGCTTGAAGTCCTGGGCGAACTGCAACGCTTGTGCCATGGTGATGTAACCCCATGTCTGGATAGCCATTTTAGCAACTGGACCAGACGACAGAAGGTCTCTACCTACCTTGAAAAGCATCATTGCCAATGGGCGTCCAGGGATGGCGTAGCCAACAACCAACTCCGTGATAACATTCAAACCGACTTGTTGATTCGTGATAGCTTGAATCATGCCGATGGGAATGATGTAGAAGAAAGAAATCAAAAGTGCGAGAACGAAGCCCCACACCGGGAACTGGGTAGGCCAGACTTCGATGACAATGATACCGAAGACGAACATGACCACGAAGATGATAAGGTACCACCATTCTGGAACCTGGCGATACCTGGACATGAGACGTGCATGGATGTCCGGCTGTTCGTCGATCGAGCGTCGTGACTGGGCCCAGATCTGCTTGCGGAAGAAGAGGATGGCGTGCATGATGGTAGCGGCGATCGATGCAAATGATAGACCATAAGACACTGCGAAAGTCGTCGAGAGGAACAGAGGGCTGTATGCTTCGTATGCAGTAATATTTAGCGTGCCATCGGTGCCAAGAATTGCGGAGACGTTGTAGGCAGCACCCGTATTATCGTATGATGTGCGAGACATGATGGGCAGGAATTTAGCATACCAGGTATTAGTGTAGTAAAGGATCGGAGTGAGGATCCAGAAAAAGAACACGAAGCCAGCGAGAACGTTTGCCTCACTCCACCATGGGGTCGCGAGTGGGTTGACGACGTAAGTAATTTGTGCCCAGTCAAAGGTGATCAAGCTCATGCCAAGGCCGCTTTGGTAGCCGAAGAGTTGGTTAACGACGACGTTATTTGGAGCGATCCAGCACACCCAGGTGAAGTAGCTGAGGGCTTGGAACAAATAACCTGGGACGAAGTACCATGCACATCCCGCGGAAAAGACATAAAGGAAGAAACGCTCTCGTGAAACACCACCACGCTTGCCAATACCAGCATATGATTGGGCATGAAGTGTGTTAAATAGGGCGCACGTGACCAAGTTTGTGGGCCAAACTGATGAAATATTAAATCACTCGAAATATGCAGACGAGGCAGGACTCACTCATGGAGGGAGGAAGAACTAAGAAGCGACGCATAATGCCACCCAGCGAGAAGCCAATGAGCTGGGTAGACATGACCAACATCCATTGATCTATGCAGATATTAGATCTGATAAGATATCGATCAGACTCTGGAGACACTTACAGCTGAAGTTGAAAGTTTGACCGTAAAACACTCTCTGCACCGCGATGATGTCGGTCTATGAAAATGATATTAATTAGATTGATTCAGACCCTGAGGAGCGGGACGTACCGCATATGCAGATTGATATCCGACAGTAGCCATGATCGTAACTAAAACATGCTCCTTGATGGAGAATGGTCCGGGGTTTAAACGGACCCCGAAAATCGAGATATTGGGCACGACAGCTGCCCAAAGACGACCCATAGGGAACGAGAGCAATTGGGCGACAATGCCGGTGATGTTGACGGAGGGATATCGGAAAAAGTAGAACTGATTCAAACCGGGGATGATGAGCACCCAGAAAAAGCCTGACTTCTAATTAGCCAGATTGTGAGTAGTAAATGTTTCTGCACTGACCCATAGCCCATGCGCGGAGAGTGCTGGTGGGTATGGACATGTCGTCAGTGTTGGATACGGCCGATCGGACTTCAGGATAAGGGGAGTCATCCTCTGGGATTGTCTATTCAGATTGAGATTTAACGTTTGAGATGATGGGCTAACCTAGCACGCCAGTTATAGCTTCTTCCTTGTTGATATTCGGGTCATCAAAATCAGCAAGAGGTAGAGCGTCGACTGCAACTAAAGGTGAAATATGTGAGTATGAGTACAATGTGAAGGGGAAATTTACTGACGGGCTGCCTTCTCAGCGTCGATCTTCTCGACTGAGCCAGTGCTGCTGGAACGGTCAGCGTAAACTGACATGATGGTGAGGAAGGACGAGAGGCCGGGAAATGGGACATGCTAGGGCTGCCGGCTTTTGTACGGTTGCTGTATGTATGTAAGTGCAAAGGAAAGATACGAAATGATGATACACATGGAACATGACCACACTGTGTACTAGCACTCTGTCAAATTTCCTGCCAAATTGACCGGCTAATTACCATAAAAGTAAATAGATGTAAACACGCGGCCGGCGAGATTCTTGGCTGCATGTGGGTCCGAGATTCGAATCTCGATCTCCCCCGTACTTGACAAACTCCACTGCGTCGGCCCATCAAATTCAATCAGAAACAACGTGATTGTAACGATACGTTTGGGCGTCACCGTAAGAGCGCTCAAATGTTGATAACAAGTTGTCGTGCGTACACGACAATATCCTACTGCATAGACTCAAATTACACTTTCGGATCCTGATACTACCTTGGAATGTGGGGGTATGTGGGACTTTTGGCAATAGCTTATTTTTGCATCTAAAAAACCACGCTCATTCGTCGATAAGTCATGCCGCGGATGGATCGAAACGGACGCGGAAGGATCGCATGTTCCTGGTCGATAACGTGCCCAACACCACAAAGACGCATCAGAGCAACTTCAAGTCAATCAGCAAGTAGCGTTTAAGGGACAGTATTGATAATATCCAGGGGTCATCCAGCGGATAATTATCAGATATCTTCAACTGAACCATGTGGCTCGTCGGGATGAAATGGCACTTGGACTGAAACGAGTTACACGAAGCACATGCTCACCTGCCGGACGTAATAATAAACTTACTAGACTGGAGCGAACAGGGAATTTTGGTTACCCACTGTCGTCCTCGTGATCCATTTCTGATAATCGTTTGCAAAATTAATTCCACTTGGTGACCCCTCTTCCGCGCCCGTAATCCGCAGCCTATTAGCCTACTTACGCTTTAAGCTCCGTTCGATGTGCGATAAAAGGTGTGTTAGGAGGTCTTGGTACTCACTAGTGCACTCGTGGAACAACCGCTTGCCAAACGTCTCTCTTTAACAGCCCGGTAGTGTACAAGGTGCACTTGAAGGTAGCTTAGAGACTCATCAGAGTCTCAGGGCCATCAGATATGCTGAACATTATGGGGAAGCCAGAATACCTCCTCAAGCTCTTCCCTTCAGGGGGCTGCGCGCGAGTCGGCGCCGCCGTGTGACCGAACCAGATCTGCGGCGAATGAGTCACTTAACGGGCGCCAGGGGACGTACTAGGATGTGAGGCTTCTAGCTGATAGGCCTCGAGAACGCTTGTCGGTAACCATTAACGTTGACTCTTTGCAGGTCCGACAACTTGGGGTCCTTGTATTTAGTACGTAATACCTTTTCTTCAACTTTGTTCACAACGGCAACCGAGCATCGAGTTTACTGTCATCCTCAGTGTCGAGCGCTCATCCGCTATAATTAGATAAATCTTGCATTCCGCGGCATAATTTGGATTAACCATGGTTTTCTCTTGGTCCAGTGAGTTATCAACCAAAAAAATTCTCAGCTTGCAACCGTGACACTTGTGTATTCCCCAGCTCCTCTTCGCCAGAACGGTCAGACCAGCTTGCCTCTAATCCCAAACGAAATATATCTTGCGATTTTTGAGTGCATAGCGCCAACCAACGAGCCGCTAAGCGAGCAAAACATTCAAACCTTCTCAGCCCTCGCAATCGTGTGCCGTTTTTTCTGCTCCGTCGCGTTGCCGCGCGTATTCGAGCGTGTCGCATTTTCGGGGAACTCTTCGGGGAACTCATCTACCATCAACAGGGCGGAGGCTTCGCGCAAGACAAAATGGGCTAAACAAATCGTGGCAAATACTGAGCCATCCAAGTCCATCGCATTATACGTCAAGGAATGCACCTTCGATTCTTGGAGTACCAACAAGGATCAGCAGTGGGTCCTTTTTCCATTTGCAACACTGTATTGCCAGGCAATGGCGCGCATGTCAAACATTCGGAAAGTGGTGATCACTAAGTCGTTTGTTAAGAAAGAGCATTGGGACGCGATGGCAGAATTGAAGCAGCTCGACGACCTCAAGTTCTCCTATTGCTCCTTCATAGAAGATCCACCCGATAAAGAACTGACTGTTCGCACTGTCACGCTCTTGGATCTAGGAGACTCTCCAATTCCCTTTACCCGGGCCCTTCGGCCAATCGCCACTACTGTCCTGCGCTCCCTCGAGATAAACGAAGTGGAGGTAGTCCAAAAGCTCGTAGCCTTTCGTCACCTTGCCATTGACAATTTGATTGTCGAACGCCAAATTTTCGACATTGAAGAGCTACTTCATGTATTTCGGCTTCTTCCTGACCTCGAGAGTATATCCTGTACTCTCAGAAGAAAGGAGATGGTCTCGCCGCTCATCGCTACGTTTTCGCTGAAAAAGCTCTTCACTCGCTTGCGTTCTTTCACTATAGTGGGATCTGGTTGCTACTGGCTGGAACGGCATGACATGGCGAAGGTTTGTTTTATCTCACGTGTACTGCTACCTCTCATATTCATCTTCGTGACAGCTGTTATCCGCTCTCTGTGATGGACCCGGCACCCTTCCTAGCCTGGAGGAGCTCCATATTCACATCCCTCTAGGTGGTGCGGCGGGAGAAACTTTCTTTGTTATCTCCGACCTCTTGAACAGGACAATAATCCCAGCATTCCCGAATTTGAGGTACATCTATGCTGGTAATGACAATTACCTACACTTGGAAGAGGGCAACTGGGAAGTGCACTACTCGCAAGCATTAAAAAAAAGGGTGGAACACGAACACAATAAGAAACTCCAAGCCCATAAGGAAAATATGGCGTAGGGTTTTGCGTTCCCCCCCCCTCGTAATGCTCTCGAGTCTTTATTTGTTACATACGTACACATGCTACAATTCACTATTCGAACCACGCGAGAACGTCTCCCGCTTGGACACTTGCTCCTTCCCTGATCCCTTTACCCAGGCTTTTCACCACCTTTCCAATATTTTCTTCTCCTGCAAGAATATTGATCTCGGTCTTCATCGCTTCGAGGATGATCAAAACTTCATCGGCAGATTGTATGACGTCGCCAGGCTGGCATTTGATCTTCCAAACAGACGATGATATGGACGAAGCGACGCTCGTGCTACCAGGTCCAACGTCTGCGGATATCAATTAAAAGTGATCCTGACGTCCGAACCCTACCATACCTATGTCATCCACCAATACCGTAGGCGAGGCTTTCGCCGCTTGCCATTCGCGCAACAGTTCAGTCTCACTTGTAACTTGGGATGAATAGGGTGCAAATCATCGTTCAAGACTTTGCTTACCGTGCTTCCTCTCTTGCTGTTCCTTCTGCCTGTTTTCGCTTGAACTCTGTGATCTCTTGCTCTATGCTGTCAATGAATGTGAGGTACGCCGCCATGGAAAAGACCGCTGGTTCGATCTATCACCGCATTTCATTATCACCTATAATTCACCCCGTACGGGATACCAGCGACGACAACTTGCCTTGAATTTGTACCGTCCGGCATTGAATTCTCGTTCAATCTTCGCGACGTGTCAACTCGGAATCATCCCTCCAGCAAACAGACACACCTCGAGATAACGTTCCTCGATAACGGGTTCGAAGAGGACCTGTGAAATTTATTTATTTATTTATTAGTAAAGCAGCGAACGACAGACAACCCACGCACCTGGTCAAAAGGCTGGAGCAGCCACGGCCGATCGGAGGCAAAATCGGGCCCCTTTCCCCAGGTTTGCCAAGCAGGAAGCGTGCGCCCAAATAGCTGGTATCCACCTGGTGAGACGACCGGATAGATGGCCGCCACGGGACCAGCAATGCCCACCGCTCCCTGTGACAATTTAGCATATCACCACACTTGAATTTTTTTTGGACATTGTGTGAAAACTTACACTAGGAGTATATGTCCGTGAAGGGTTCATTTTCTGCCCGACCAGACGGCATCGCGGGTCGATCTGCTCCGTTGTTAATAAACGAAATTGTCCCGTTGATATTCACCTTACCGGAACCAAGAATGGGCAGGCTAGATAAAATCCGACGCCAAAAACAAGCTTTTATCTTATTTTAGCGCTGGAATACAATGGGTCATAAAGAGCACGTACCCAAGCAGAATCCATCAATTTCTGAAGCGCCTCGTCGACACCGCCCTCCAGCCCATTATTTCGCGCGAGGTAATCAATATTGCTGGGCAAATAAACCGCGCTATTTCTGGTCGTCCGCATGTATCGTTGCAATGCATCGCGATTCCACTGATCGTCGAGTACGATCGGGAACGTAATCTTGCGCCCGGGGAACTGAAGGTTTGATGCAGAATCTGGCAATGAGCGCTCTGCGCTCATTAGAACGGCGAGCACGTCTGCTTGGGGGATCACCGAGGGATCATAACGACACTGAATAACGACTTCGATCAGAACATCTTGTCAATAAAAGGAAACGTACCATCGTGGAGCGAATGCATGGAGAAAACGCCCATATGCCTTTGATGCACCTCTTGCGCACCTCCGATTCCAGCGCGTGTACGCGCGCTCGAAGAACGAAATCTAGATGCATCTCGCCATATTCTACAAGAATAGCAGAGTCGCCAGCCTAAATACAGAGTCCAGGCGTCAGATATGAACGGTCATCGGCGATCATGATGTAGCGGACATACCTGCCGAAACGTTACAGCAGGTCTTGGACTTCCTGGAAACCACTCATTTCTGTGCAGGATTCCGGACAATTCCCTACCTTCCAAAGCACCGTCTGTGAAGCTCGTCGGTGGTTGGGGTCCAGCGACAGCGGCCTGAACGGCCTCGATCCATCTGAGTCGATCTTTCCTGCAAGCTTGTGCATCCTGCCATGAAATCTTGCGGAACGTCACAGTACTACCGGGGCTCAATTGCCCTAGTTTCCACCTATGGCCACCGATGAGTAGAGCACACCTGACTTGGAAAGACACCTACATTTCTGCAGTCGCAACGGTGCACAGGCAGACATATCCACCCATGTCTGGTCCTTCGTTCGTTAAGATAACAGGCGTATCTCCGTTCACGTTAATCGTCCCTAACGCGTATCCATTATCTAGGATGTTGCTAGGGTGAGAGCCGCCTTCGCCACCAGTGCTGCGGGCCCAATCGATGCTTTGATCGCTCTCGAGCCGTATCCCCATTCTGTTACTTGATGAACTAACGGACCACTTCGTCGAGTAAAACTTGGCGTTTCCTTCGGGGGTCAAAAATTCTGCGTCGTCGTGTGGTCCAGCCAAGACTCGGATAACCCAATCTTGAGGATAAACCGGAACGAGGTTTTCGGGGAGCAAGAAGGGTACTGAACCGATCTCGTTTTGCTTGGATGATGATTGCGAACTTAAAGCCAGCTGGTCACCGACTCTAAGCGATCTTCCCTGAGGAGACGGTAAGCAAAAAAAACTTAAACAAATTTAGACTTGGAGTACCTGATAGCCTCCAAGGCCCATCGACGTTGACTTGGATCCAAGATATTGCGGCACTTCAGGGAAGCCGCCTCTGATTGCTAGATATACTCTGAACCCAGGACCTGGCAGGCCCCCAATATCGAGGGTCGTGTTTTCGGAGATGGTAAGGCGAGCCCACATTGATACATTTTCTCCGTTGATCTTGACAGTTGCTGGCTTCCCAGTTATGGCTACTGTAGCGAAACTGTGGAATTTCAGCTTGCATCCGGCGCCGGGGAGGGTGACGATCTCTAACGCCTCCGTCTCCGGTGTATTGCCAACAAGTATGTTGGCTGCGCTGAATGCCTGAGAGTCCATGGGGCCGCTTTGTGGCATGCCCATTCCCATATGCCTGCCGGGTAGGTCTTGGATAGTCATTTCAATACCAGCCGAAAGGACAGTGAATGCTCTTCAAAAAACGTTAGACATCTGTGGGTTATCTCGTTCACATGCAACTGCGCGCACCTTGGGGAGAAATCAAAGCTGTCCAAAAATCGTGTTGTGGCCCTCCCTTCCTTGAAAATAGTACTTTCGCATATTGAAGCGAGGTAGGCCAGGTTGTTCGGCGGGCCAAAAACTTTGCAGGCTTTCAAGACTTGGGCCATTCTGGAAACTGCTTGCTCTCGTGTTGGACCAGTCACGATTAGTTTGCATATCAACGGATCAAAAAATCGGGTCACTTCTGTTCCCGTAGACACCTGCAAAGTCTACATTTGAGGGTATAGTACTGGACGCGGGGCGACGTACGTACCCAGCTGTCAACACGAAGCCAATTCTCTTTGGGGAATTCTACGAGCTGTAGGATGCCTGGACTGGGTTTGAAGCCTTCTGAGGGGTTTTCACAGTAGACTCTGGTTTCGATGGCGTGGATGCGAGACTCGACGAGGTTCTTGTCGTAAATAGCTTGCGTCATGCTTTGAGCCGTACGATCAAGACCTCTCGCTTCAGACCGCTGTGCGATTCCTTGTGCTAACATCATTTCTACGAGGTCCAGACCAGGATGTATGGCCTCTGTGATGGCGTGCTCGACCTGCGTGCAATTAGAGGACGTTTCCCCTCGACATCGTTCACCACTACACGCACCTGGATACGGGTATTCATTTCAAGGAAGAAAAACTGCCCCGACTCATCGTCCACAAGAAACTCTACGGTACCTGACTCGCAATTAGTAAGATATAACCAGTGATCGTTATACGCTATCCAACCTGCGGATGCATATTTGATGGCTTTGCACAGCTTCACGGCTGCATCGCACATATCTTCTCGAAGACCTGTGAAATATCAACATCGCGCAACTCCACCAACTTTCGTGATAACTTACCAGGATGACCAGTGACGAACGGGCTCGGGGTCTCCTCCACAACCTTTTGATGTCTCCTTTGAACACTGCATTCTCTCTCTCCCATGTGTACCACATCCCCCAGTCCGTTACCGAACACCTATTATGAGATGCAGAGTAGGTGGAATCAATTTCACAAATACTTACCTGTATCTCGATATGGCGTGCTGCGGGGTAGTATCGTTCGATAAAAACTCCGCCGTTTTGAAATAATGACTGGAGAGTGTACATTTAGCTCCAGCAAGTGTGTAAACCATCATACTTACAGTTGCCCTTTCTTGAGCGCTAATAAAGGAATTGGAGAGGTCGCTGCCGTTTCGACAAACAAGAAGGCCCATGCCACCTCCTCCAGCTGTCGCTTTCAGAATCACAGGAAAACCAATCGTGTTTGCTATGCTTAGCGCCTCATCGAGAGTATTTACAAGTCCTTGAGATCCTGGAACGAGTTGTAAGCCAGCCTTTGCAGCAAGATACCGGGCTTCGTGTTTTAGACCCATGATCCGAATGACGTCTGGTTGGGGACCGAGCCAGATCATCCCGGCTGCCTCTACAGAAAAAGCAAATTCCTCATTCTCCGAGAGGAATCCATAACCTGGATGAACCATAGTAACCTGATGCTGCCTGCATATCGAGATGATAGTAGCACTTGATAAATACAGCTTCGACTCCGATCCTGGTTGCTCTTGGTCGCTGGGGCTGTTCTGCAAATAAGCAGACTCGTCTGCGATGGCAACGTGAGGGGAGAGGGCATCTGACGAGGTGTAAATGGCTAGTGTTGCTATACCAAGCCGTTGAGCAGTTCGAATGATTCTGACAGCGATCTCCCCTCGATTTGCAACGAGTAGCTTGTGGCTAGCATATTCGCTATTGAGTGTCATGTTAGTGGTGACCTTGGTACCTTTAATAACACACATATATATCGGTCACCCAAACTTGAAAGCCTGGCAGGGGAGAAGTCTGATAAGGCCCAAAGCTACGCACACTGGCATCATGATGAAAGATCATGTGTCCAAGTAGACGTGCGGCATGGATTTGCTACTGCGTGCGAGCCGCTGACCAATTACTGATGGGCATGACTTGGCCTCGTGGCTTGCCGTGAATTTTGGTGTTATTCTTAGAACTTCAACATGGTGAACTCGGGATTTAAACAAGCTTGTGTATACTTACTCACATAGGAACATGGAGCATGACGGGCCCAACAGTTAACGTTGATCAGTGGGGAGACAAACACTTTTCCCTGAGGCGCGAAGACCCAGCACTGCCACGCACTCCTCGGTACAACATACTCCGATCAAACTTGACTGTTGCCTTCACGTACTTTTCTGATGGGAAGGTTCAAGTACTTACAACTTCGATACTGGGGCGTGAACTCTTCGCGCCACTGCCGTATATTGATCAATATATGGTGGCAGTTATTTAATGCCCCAGTGTCAAGCCGACCGCCCACCTTTTGCCCTCACACAACTCAATATCGTGCGCATCACCAGTAGACCGTCAGGCATGCAAGGACTTGGATGGGTTGGTCTCTTACTTTTGTATTATGCAGCTGCTGTTTCAGCGGCCGGTGATACAACATGTTATAGCAGTAAACTGGATTGGTACACAAGCGCGGTCGGTGAAACCCCTTGTAAGTCCTTACATTTGGAGTGATTCAGATGGCCAATTGCCAGTAAGTTAGGCATGACGTACCAGAGGCTTCGACAAATATGCAACAGTTCTTGTGGGTGTCTCCAAGTCTTTCTCTTGCATGTCCTGACATGCACAACAAACAGACGAGGTTGGCGATTTCTCTCAGTCCCCCCCCGTTTGGTTTTGCGACGATCATATTGGTAGGCCTTTTCTTGTCACGCCAATCCATTACGTTTGCTGAATTGATGGTTAGCGGATTGCTGCTGCAATTCTGTCGCATTCGCATTAGGCATGCTTTGCATGAAGTAATATTCATATTCTTCTCTTTCACGGCCAGCTAATAAAAGTTTTCTAATAGTTGCCAAGAAGACGCTGTTACGGGCGAAATTGATGCAGGTAATATGGGTTAAATCTGTTCCAAAACGACGGCATACTTATTCTGCAGCTCCTGGAATGTACACTGCTTATCTCGCTACCTGTGGTACTCCCACAAATCAGTCGTAAGTAGACTAGATTGGAGGCAGCGCAGTGCACCCACTCACAACGTCACTTGGTATAATGCAGGCTTCCAGCAAGTATTCAGCAAGCTGTGTGCAACGAGAACATCAAGATTGACAACTTTCTGTACAATGGATCCTATTGGACTGATGGATCCTGGTAAGTTTCTATTTGGCGCACATGCCTGCGGGTACTTAGCTAACCCTGAGCTAGGAACTAGTGAGTCAGATATCGAAGGGGGCAGTAGTTCATTTCTCATAATGACCCAGTCAATGGACAGTGGATTATGCATTAGAGCAGCAGGCAATATACAACAACAACACTTTTACGGCTTGCCCGATCCAAGTTTCACCTTCCGCATCCCTTCCCGCATCCACAACGGTCCCTACTGCAGGTGCCAGTGCTGCCTCTGCATTGTCATCCAGCTCTGGGAATGCAACTCCATCTGCTTCATCGACCTCACGGAAAGCTATCATCGGTGGTGCAGTGGGTGGCGCCGCGTTCGCCATAGTCGCAGTGCTCGGCGGTGTTTACTGTTACAGGCGGCGCAAACGGCCTCGCATGATCCAGGATACGCCATCCCTGTTTACGGACCAATTCCCTGACGCCCAGTCCATCTATGGAGCATCTTTGGCGAACACTGAACCAGGTGCTTGACCTCCTAACGTGTGCACTTATGTACTCACTACATCCCCCAGTAGTTACTCAAAGATACAGTAGTCTCAGTCCAAATCGACGAAATCACTGGTCTAGGAAGTCTACTTTGCCGATGCTACATTCTTTGAGCCCTGAGCGGGCCCAGTTCCTCGATACGTCAACTGGCCCGTCATATTTCGCAAATGACAATTTGCCTAGAACAGCGTCCTACATCCGAGAAGATGATGCTGGCACGTTGATTTCCCGTGGTGCACCTACAGAAAGACTTCCACCTGCGTATCATCCATCTTGGGTGTCCAGAAATACACCGGCAAGCAACTCAGACCCCAGCGAAGGTAGCTTTGTTTCGACACATTATTCACATTATGCTCACCATGTAGACTAGTAGTCACATAGATCAAGTTCTATTAGACCAACCTATGCTGTCGAGCGGCGGAATACGCTTATGAAGTCTCACGGGGCTACAAGAGAAAAGAGCGTCCAGATGAAGTGCTGGTGGTTAAGCAAATGAAGGGTGTCGTTATGCATTGATATTGTTCATATCTGGATCTTCTCACAGACGCTCATGCGATGCTTATATCTAGCTGTCTGTTCGCATGTATTGACATTTTATGATACAGATGAGAACTACTTTATCTTGTGACAGCAGTGCTCCTTGTCAATTTCACACTATCATGAGCGCAACCACCATTATGTGCAACCGCGGGCCGAGGTCTTCGGGACTCATAAGGTCACCTGCTTTCATGATCAATTACTGGTAGTACTTCCAGGGCATCCAGCTTATCAGCGACATCAACTTCTCATCTGCCTTCAGTGACGCCGACTTCACAGACGGACACTACGCGAATTAGATATGCCATGAACAAGAGGTGGATGAGAATCTGGGGGTACCTAAGGTTTCAGCCAACGTCGAGGCCGCATCAGATTTCAGCCGACTTTTACGATGTCGGAAATCTGACCCCTTAAATTATCACTGGCGTTGACAATAGCTAAAACTTAGAGGTACCGTCACGTACGTCTTATCTACGTTACACTGGTTTCTCGCGCGTGAGGTATGTTTTGCGCGTTGTACGCATTTGCATGTGCCATACAAGGTGGGGACGCACGAAATTGGTCATATGCCAATATGCATGAACACTATGCGCTGCTCCAATGGCATGTCCTTGTCACTAGCCAACGACTGGACCGCTTGATGCAGCGCACGGGCAGCCCGCTTGGAATTCATTTTGCCATCCCCGCACAAGTTCTTGTAGAATGCCTCGACTAAGCGCTGCACCGTACTATCGTTGACCTCCCATAATGTCCCAACTACACTCTGTACCCCAGCAAATTGAAGGCTAGCCGCCAGGTGTATGACTTCGTCAGGAGTACGATAGTCACCGACTGCGGTTTCACAGGCAGAAATAAAGGCAAATTCATGCCGAGACAGATCCATTTGTGCGATATCGAGGAGTGAAAGCGGTTGGTCGCGCATGAGAAAGGCCGAATTGAAGGGCTCTGTATAGTTCTGTGTCCCATGACACGAAAAATGAAGCCAGGTATTGTCTCGCAATGCATCCAATGCTCTCGATTTCGTTGCCTCAACGCTCGTTATCTTGGTGAAGGAAACAGTCGGAGGAGGGGGCAAAAGACTCCGCACCAATTCTAGTTCAGGCTCCACACACTCCAAAGTGAATGAATGACCAGCTGGGTGATTCTGACAGGGATTTGTCATGACTTCTGCGAGCCTTGATCAGGGCGGTAAGCGATGGTGTGTATGAAGATATATAGAGCTTCGAAAGAAACTGTCCACCTTGCCTGTACGCGCCAGCAGCGTGCAATGGAAAGAAATCGAAGGCACCCGTAGGGCACCACCATATCCGGGAACCTGGTGGTGCAAATCCGCCCAAATTGTCAACCGCCGGGCGGACGACGTCGTCCCATAACTCTGTCAAAGCTTTCATCAGGGCTGAGTTGGTGACTATGGGAGCGGGTTTGGGTGTGGGTGTGGGTGTGGGAGCAGCTTTGGGGGGGTTGGGAGCGGCCTGTGGTTGACTTGCCCGTTGGAGTTTGAACACCAAATGATAGAGTTTCTCCAAACTGATATGGAGTTTGATTGTGATCGGAGGTTGCTTGTGCGGGATAATAATGGCATCGCAAGATGACTTCACGTGGCTTGCGATGAGCACGACAATAGGCCCATCACGAGCTGCATCTTGCAGATCGGAGAACAAGGGGGGAAGTAAAAAGCGACAGAAGCCATCGATATTCCTAATCTCTTCTACAACTTTATTCCACTCCTCCACTAGACGTCGGTACTGGCTTGCTTCGGCTTCTACATTGACTCTTGGGGTCCCTTCTTGATGATTCGTAGGAGGTGTATCAAGGAGGGAGCTGAGGTCTCTGAATTTGTTCATCAGGGAAACTGCGTGATCGCCGCGATCTCGGAGACCGTCAAGAGGAGTACGGAGTCGTGTCATCTGGGTCCAAATGGTAGTCCTGCCTTGTTCCAACAACTCGACAGCGCGACACACATCACCGCTACGAAGCGCACACGATGCAGCAGTTGAGCTACGCACACTGACATCACAATGAATGATCGTAGTCGTGCGAGCCGCTGACCAATTGCTTACTGATGGACCTGACTTGGCGTCGTGGTTATTCTTAGAACTTTAACATGTTGACTTGGGACTAAAACAAGCTTGTGTATACTTACCTACATAGGAACATGGGGTATGACGCGGACGGGCCAACTTGCAGTTAACGTTGATCAGTGGGGAGACAAACACTTTTCCCTGAGGCGCAAAGACCCAGCGCTGCAATGCCTCCTGGGCCGGTAATTTATACTCCGATCAAAACTTGATTGTTGCCTTCAGGTAATTTTCTGATGCAGGCTCAAGTACTTCCAACTTCGATACTGAGTACTGAGGCGCGGACTCTCCGCGCCACTGCCGTATGTTGATCAATTTATGGTGGCAGTGGCAGTTATATAATCCCCCAGTGTCAAGCCGACCGCCCACCTTTTGCCCTCACACAACTCAATATCGTGCGCACCACCGGTAGACCGTTCAGGCATGCAAGGACTTGCATGGGTTGGTCTCTTACTTCTGTATTACGCAGGTGCTGTTTTAGCGGCCGGTAATACAACATGTCTTAGCAGTCAACTGGATTGGTACACAAGCGCGGTCGGTGAAACCCCTTGTAAGTCCTTACATTTGGAGTGATTCAGATGGCCAATTACCAGTAAGTTAGGCATGACGTACCAGCGGCTTCGACAAATATGCAACAGTGCTTGTGGGTGTCTCCAAGTCTTTCTCTTGCATGTACTGACATGAATAACAAACAGATTTGGTTGGCAATTTCGCTGCGACAACCCCCGGTGATCATTGCGACGATCAAGTTTGTAGGTCTTTTCTTGTCACGCCAATCCACTACGTTTGCTGACTTGATGGTTAGCGGATTGTTGCTGCAATTCTGTCGCATTCGCATTGAGCATGCTTTGCATGAAGTAATGTTCATATTCTTATCTTTCACGGCCAGCTGATAAAAGTTGTCTAATAGTTGCCAAGAAGACGCTGTTGCAGGCGATGTAGCTGGATTTGATGCAGGTAATATGGGCTAAATCTGTTCCAAAATGACGACTTACCTATTCTGCAGCTCCTGGAACATACTCTGCTTATCTCGCTCCCTGTACTACTCCCACAAATCAGTCGTAAGTAAATCAAGATCGGAGGCAGCGCAGTGCACCCACTCACAACATCACTTGGTATTATGTAGGCTTCCAGCAAGTATCCAGCAAGCTGTGTGCAACGAGAACATCAAGATTGACGATTTTCTGTACAACAGATCCTATTGGTCTGATGGATCCTGGTAAGTTTTTATTTGGCGCATATGCCTGCGGGGCTAACCCTGAGCTAGGTTCTAGTGAGTCAGATATCAAAGGAGGCAGTGGTTCATTTCTCATAATGACCCAGTCGATGGACAGCGGATTATGCAGTAGAACAGCAGGCAATAAACAACAACAACACTTTTACGGTTTGCCCGAACCAAGTTTCGCCTTCGGTATCCCTTCCTAAATCCACAGCGGTCCCTACTGCAGGTACATCTCTCCCTGGCACCGGTGCTGCCTCTGCGTCGTCGTCTAGCTCTGGGAATGCAACTCCATCTGCTTTATCTGCTTCATCTGATTCATCTACTTCATCGACCTCACAGAAAGCTATCATTGGTGGTGCAGTGGGTGGTGCCGCGTTCGCCATAGTCGCAGTGCTCGGCGGTATTTACTGTTACAGGCGGCGCAAACGGCCTCGCATGATCCAGGATACGCCATCCGTGTTCACGGACCAATTCCCTGGTGCCCGGTCCATCTATGGAGCATCTTTGGCGAACACTGAACCAGGTGCTTGTACTCCTAACGTGTGCATTTCTGTACTCACGACATCCCCTAGTAGTTACTCAAAGATACAGCAGTCTCAGTCCAAATCGACGCAATGACGGGTCTAGGGAGTCTACTTTGCCGATGACACATTCTTTGAGCCATGAGCGGGCTCAGTCCTTCAATACGTCAACTGGCGCGTCATATTTCGCAAATGACGATTTGTCTAGAACAGCGTCCTACATCCGGGAAGATGATGCTGGTACATTGATTCCCCCCCGTGGTGCACCTACAGAAAGACTTCCACCTGCGTATCATCCGTCTTGGGTGTCCAGAAATACACCGCCAAGCAACTCAAACCCCAGTGAAGGTAGCTTTGTTTCGAGATATTGTTCTTATTATGCTCACCCTGTAGTCACAGATCAAGTTCTATTAGACCAACCTATGTTGTCGAGCGACGGAACACGCCCAGGAAGTCTCACGGGGCTACAAGAGAAAAGAGCGTCCAGATGGAGTGCTAGTAGTTAAGCACATGAAGGGTATCGTTATGCATTAATATTGTTCCTCTCTGGATCTTCTCACAGACGCTCATGTGATGCTTGTATCTGGCTGTCTGTTCGCATGTATTGACATTTTATGATATAGATGAGAACTACTTTATCTTGTGATCAGCGCTGCTCCACTATCATGAATGCAACCACCATTATGTGTGCAACCGCGGGCCGAGGCCTTCGGGACTCATAAGGTCACCTGCTTTCAATTACTGGTAGTACTTCCAGGAAATCCAGCTTATCAGCGACATCAACTTCTCATCTGCCTTCAGTGACGCCGACTTCACAGACAGACACTACGCGAATTAGGTATACCATGAACAAACCATTGAAAGCTACCGTGAACTGTGATATGGGGGAGGTAAGTGATGTCATTGTAAGCAGTTCATCGCGTCATCTGCTATATTGCACAAGGGCTTCTCCTTGTACACCATCGTACGTATCTCACAATGAACGTTGTCTCGTCTGTTTGAAGAGAGTACCGAACAGGGAGATGACGAAGGTCTTATGAAGACGATCCATTTAGCAAATGTTGCCTGTGGATTCCATGCTTCGTTGAGTCTTGCTTATCAACATTTTAGCTGCTCGTGTGTTGACGGTTCTGCTCAGCGACTTCTCAGTCATGAACAAGACAGTTGCACTCGCCAAGTCCAACAACGTCCTTGTAGGGGCCCACCCTTCCTTGCCTGATTTGCAAGGCTTTGGACGTCGCGAGATGGCAATTGAGCCGGTGAGCAACATCATTTCAGTCAATGTAAATAGATGCACTGAAACGTTCACGGGCTGACAGGATGAGCTAGAGTCCTGCTTCATCTACCAGGTCGGCGCATTGGACGGGTTTCTAAAACGCCACGGCCTTCCAATGAATCACGTATGGTTTTTTTGTATCGATTTTCATAGCCCAGTTGCTGAGATGGCCATAGATCAAACCACACGGCTCAGTCTATGGTCAGACAGCACGCTCTATCGACCTTGCACGGGCAGTTGTTGGTGTCACAAAGATCTTCCAAACTAGCGCGGCCAGTCCTCAAGGTGTAGCCTTCATGGGGCTCGCTGGAACAGCTCATCAACAAGCTGCAGAGGAGCTGGGCGTGCCGTTTATCGCAGGTTTGTCGCTGCTGTACTGACTTGCATAACTGAATGACGAGAAAAAGTTCAGAGTGGTTTGCTGACCTTGATTACAATGATGAAGGGAAATTGTTGATCACGAAGTCAGTTTGTCTGCTATATATCGCTTACTACTTTCATTTACCTGTGTTTTGGACTATAGGAAGCATGATCCAGTGCTTGTTGAAGTCGTACGCCAGCGAGTGAATATCTTTCTTGGCCTATGGCGGTCGTGGCATTCAGCCTCTCATCTGTCTCCTTTCTCATCTGATCGCAGGTACAAAACCTTTTAAAGTTCCACAAAGTTTCTACGGTCGGAGGCAAGCTGCTCGACATTGGAGCAAACGTCGCTGAAGTCTCTATATGCTGCCATTCCGATACTCCAGTGAGCACCTCTTCTTGTAATCGAGTATCTGACGACAGAGCTAATAAGGCTGGTTCCTAGGGTGCGGTTGAAATCGCCCAAGCAGTGAAAGCCTTGGTAGACGAAAACAACAAAGAAGCTGGTTATGTATAGGGAATCTAATAAATGAGTATAATAAATTTCAGTCCAAGAATCCACATTTGTACAGACTATAGTATGTGCTGTAAGTTGGAGTGGCAAAACCTTCAAGGATAGTTTTCAAAGATGAATTAAAATCTCAATAGCGTTCATATAAATTGGTCCGATTGAGCGCACTGCGTTAGCTATCAAAGTCTCCATTTGACGTGGCTCGCTCCCCCAGGAGACCTGCGTTCCCTGCTACAGAAGATCTCCAATTAGAATCATAGGCGGGTGGTAGTCTTCCCGAACCAACGCGCGAGAGAGTTGAATAAACACCAGCGTCTTCGTGTCTAAGTGCACTTTCATGGGCATCTGCCTCCTGGAACAGAGGAGAATATGAGCCCTGGGCGTCGTTTATGTCCGAATGTGAAGGAGCAGAAGAGGTTACTAGTGACCGGATACGATCCACGGGGGAGGGACTGTCTGCCATGGCTCGGGCCTGTTTGCGCGCAAAGGCGTACCCGTAGGGTGACGGATCGATTTGGGCTACGTCTAGATCAGACAACGTGAGTGCGGGCTGGAATACGCTAAATGGCCCGTTCACACCTGCGTTTGTGATTGGATAAGGCGAAGCACCGGTCGTCTGTTGTCTAATTGCATTGTCACCATCTTTCGAAATACCGCGATTGCGTCTTCGCCACCAGAAAATAGCAAGCAAGGAACATAACCCCACTAATCCCCCCACTACAGCGCCCACAATTACCCCGGGAGAAGTCGTGTTTGATGAGTTTGTGACGCTCGATGCATTATTTGTGGATGCTGGCGGCATCGTACCCGTGATGCCAGCGTTGGTGCCATTCACTATTTGGGATGCATTCGTGGTGGCGGCCGTGCCCTTCGACGGTGGGGATGCATTCGCGGTGGTGGCTGTGTCCTTCGACGAAGCAGATGGGCTTTGTATAGCGATATTTGAGCTTGACATGGTTGAGCCTGCGCTCGAGATGGGAGTGGGTGTTCCCGGCGGTTGGGTTGCAATCGGCGTGGTCGGACTCGGACTCGGACTCGGACTAGGAATCGAGCTCGTAGCTGCGTTGGCGCAATTAGAACTGTACATGTTATTGTTAGATGCTGCTTCGTCTTTCTGGGCGTCGTCTGCGGTGTACACGCTGAGGGAGACATCATGAGCGGTCCTTGAATCAAATTAGATCCACGCACTAGAACCTGTATAAACCATGTTGAGTAAAACAAGGGTATCGGTAACGAAAAGGACATCCTTTTACCATGCACCGTTATTCCAGAAGAGCGAATATAGGAAGTTGGCAAGTTTAATGCCCTTGTTACAAACAGCTGTTTGCACTTCTGCAGGAAGACTATATGGCATGGTACGTTCTCTAACGCACACAAATCAAATGTGTAGTACTCACGACTGGTTGACCGGAGCACAAGTTGGATTCAGATACATTCCATACGCGCCTACACCTTAATTCCGGGTTAGTACTTATTGAAATAATTCGAACAAAAACATGGTGAGTACCTGCATCAATGCCATTGGGTGATCCACTATCGACATCCCACTGACAACTTGGAAAAATGTCAGTGCCTCGAGATATCAGAAGCCTTGACAGAGATTTACTTCATGCAGAGCATACTCAACGCCCATGATATGGAATTACAACAGCAATCAGCTGTACACCATTCATGAGTTAAGTCGCCATACCAGAAGAAACATAGCAGCATGAACACACCTACTTGGTCATCACAATTGTCGCCAGGAGTGTTTGGACGAAACGATGGGACCTGATCTATGGTTGACGACCTCTAATCTTTGTTAAGTACGGAGAGTCGCGACTCACAGCTGGGGTTGCATATTTGCCTGAGCGACTGGTATGTTTCACCTAGTAATTGCGCGAAGTGTTAGTAGAGCGACGAGTTGACGTGGAAAAGACAATGGCCGTGACTTACATGCTGTTTCCCCCACGGCATTTGTGTACCACTGCGTCAAGCTTCCTGCACAAGTGGTGTTCCCTCCAGCAGCAGTATGCAAGAAGGATGCAAGCATCATCGCTGTGAACGCATAGACAAGCTCCACGCCCATTGCTGCCTCTCGATAGGCAAAATAAAATAAAATCAACGATGGTTGCTGGACTTGCTCAGCAAACCATCACCATCTCAGGCTGATGCTTTTGAACGGCTTCTTGCTGAATGCCACACTCCATTCTACAGAAGAAAAAAGGTTCCTTTCTCATGGCATGATGTGAGATCACTGATGCATGATGAGCGACACCGGTTATGGTTATAACGGGCGTCCATAGGCTAAATGTAGTGAAGGCACTGCCGGCGCCCGTAGATTCATTGTGAACCTACATGGCACATGATGCACAATTACGTTATAATTAAGCATCAGCGCTCAGAGCGCTCAGCACTCAGCAATAGATTGATGGTGATGCATATGGTGATCATCAGCCAGCCTGTTTCGGTACAAAAATTCCACTACCCACACGATACCGACTGACTTTGTGCGCAAATACGGAATTTCAGGCCGCGGAGTGCAGTGATGGACCGCGGGTTGGCTATAGGGCTGGTCGCACGAGGGTCGACCATCGATGAATGACTGGAACCCAAGCAAACACGCAGATGAGTCAGATACAGCAAAGGAAGAAACGAATAATTCAATGAAAGGCCTACGTGGTGATTAGAATAGCTTCTCTAGAAGGCAGGGACAATATTAATGTTAGTGCTAATATGTATGGTATCCTTAAGGTAGAGCCAAAAGAAGTCGGTGAGGGCAACAATGAAAGGCTGTATTCAGTGTATGTGGCGAATAATGTTCCGTAAATTGTTAGTGCAAAAAAGCCAGGTCGTCAAGATGGGGGATGAAATCGCCTGAATTTGTACTGGAGCGTGAAGTATGCAATATGTATGTTTTGTTTTATCGCGCAGAGTCGAAAAGTATGGAATGAAGTTTGTCAAACAGAAAAGGTGGTATCACATCACTACTTGGTGCGCCAGGGACTAGGCTCGCTGTTCGCCGCGGTCTGTGAGGGAGACTCCTCTGCTTGGAATTCTGAATCGGGATTCAGTCGCGAAGTTTCGCTGTGGGGTGCTTCCCAACCAGGGTCGTATGCTGGAGGCAGTCTTCCAGAGCCAGAGCGCGCAAGGTTTGGAACAACCCCTGCATCCTCGTGCCTGAGCGCGCTGACGGAAGAACCTATATTTCTAAAAGAGTCCGATAAGCTCTGGCCGTTTTCACCAGTAGTGGAGACTAGTGCAGTATTGGAGGGGAAGGAATTGCTTGATGTTGGTAGATGACCCCGTTTGCGTGAATGCTCGAGCCCGTACAAAGTCGGGTTCCCTGATATCGTGTCTGTATCTGCATTGTTTTGACAATCTTACCATTAACAGAAACTGCAGTCAGAAACTTACTGGAATCTGTAACCGTATATGGTGAAACCATTGCCATTGCGTGCGCATACGGGCTATCGGTATCCAACGAAAGGCGGACGAGCCTTTGTTGGCGCTTACGCCAGCAGGATCGTGCGACCAGAACAGCCGCGGCGAGCCCGACTATGGCACCGATCACAGGACCTACAATTATGGCAACATTAGATTTATGTGCGGAACCTGGGGAAGCAGCGGCCGTTGTTTGGGATGGAGTCGCCGAGGTAGTTATTGTGCTGGCGCTTGGACTCAAGGTTGTGCTCGTCGTGCTGTTGCAGTGGGTATACATGTTGTTGTTTGTCTCCGCTTCGTCCTTCGAAGCAGTGTTCATGGTGTATACACTTACGTATGTACGAGTCAGTGCTTCATGAAACACGATTGTCTGATTCACGCACTAGTACCTAAACACACGCCATCAACATCGGTATCACGCTCAATAGCTGAGCACTTACCATGGACCGTCGGACCAAAAGAGGTCGTATAAGAAATTGCCAAGTTTAATGTCTTTGTTGCAAACTGCAGCTTGTATGTCAGCAGGAAGCCTAGACAAAAAAACAGCTTAAACAAGCGAGCGGAACTTCAGCACCACTGTGCTTACGATTGATTCGTTCCTGGACTGCAAAACGGTCCAGATGGAGAACGATACATCCCGTATGCACCAACGCCTGAAATAAATCTGGTTCAAGTAATCTCATGGACACCACTGAAGCATTACCAGCGTCGATGCCATAGGCAGACCCGCCATTTACATCCCATTGACAGCTGGGTTGCAAGTTAGCGCAGTGCTTCCAGTATTCAGTCAAGGAAACATACTTCATGCAGAGCATACTTAGCGCCCACGAGATGGAATTACAACAACAACTCTCTGTCCATGAATGTAAACCTGACTGGCAGGAGAGAGACCTAACTGAGACGCACGCAATTGATCGTCGCATTGATCACCTGGAGTATTTTGCCGAAAGTTCGGGACCTCATCTTTAAGTCGATCATTTCATATTTTGTTTCGTTCCAATGAACACAGAACCAAAGATGACATACAGTTGGGGTTGCATATTTGTCTGAGCCTTTGATACGTCATACCTATTCGACTCAGGACGGGAATGAAAGATCTAGAAAGGACGAATCTCACATGCTGTCTCTCCTACTGCATCTGTGTACCATTGTGTCATGTTCCCCGCACAGGTGGTGTTTCCCGCAGCCGTGAACTCGACTAAAAACACCAGCAGGATGGTTGCAATAGTGGGAGCGAGACTTTGAAGCATTTTGGCTGTGAGGGGTGCTGAAGAACGTTGGACACAAAGAATAGAATAGGCAACTTGTCACGGTGACAAAGCTGTGCGATACGTACGCATATCTTACTCACCTTGGCATAAAAAATCATCGCCAAGGCGATGTTTAATGTATTGCTTGTTAATGAATGCAAATTGTACTCAGGAATATAATCCGTCAAGCTTTCTTTGTCTCTTAAGAGCGCTTGCTTCACCCTCAAGCGTGAAGGCGAAGGTAGGACACCAGGTTTTTTATTAAGATGCGACGTCGGACGCGCTCGGATATTCCTCATGAGTTTGTGGAGTGGGGAAAATGTTTCCCGGTTGCATCTTGAAGAAGGACTCGTTGTGCATGTGCAAAGATTCGGAAAATATCCATAAGCGGAACCATGTGAATTTGGCTTACATAAGAGGGACGCGATTATTGACGATTCCATTATGAAAGTTGTTCAAGTTGCTGCGCTCGGAGTTGGCTGCGAGCTACCCTACCTTCAAATTGACAACTTAAATCAACTTAGCCTGAGGTCACTCTTCCCTGAATCTCAACTTCAAGCAGCGACAGTGACAATGCAGTAGATACAGAGTCAAGCCTGAGGCTAGAAGGCTCAGTTTAGGAAGTTGGTGCGCCAGCAGTTTCTGATATCTGGTGGGTGTCTCTGTTCCTTCACTTGTGGGTTGACCGAGTGTATTAGGATTCAGGATTATCACTAAGCAAGTGGATCCTATGATCCATCAATGCAGATTGCAAACCTTGTCCTTCGTTACTGACTCTACTGAGTACTGAATCACGATACAATATCGATGACGAAACAAGCCAGTCTGGCGGCGACTTAAATGATTTACCCAAGGATGGCGTCCCTTGAGGACCCGAGAGATTTGCCGTCCAAGACAAGCAACCACGAATATGAGGGATGAACCATGCTCATATTCTCGCTGGCGATGGGAACTTCCGGGATGGTCTACATACCACAAGTCCACGAACTCGCCGAATCCAGCTTCCCGTGCTACACTTGCGAATTTGGGGATGAAAAACGTGATGATTCCGATAGCAAGAGAGTATGTGACTGTGGGAGGCACTCAAGCAAGAAGCTGTCAAACCAACTCGGGAAAACTTGATCGATACAAGTCTCAAGATCGACGTCGTGGAGATAAGAGTCACTGCATTCAACTTCCTATCCAGAGATCTATGAGAAGGTAAAGAGGGAGAGGCTGAACTAATGCCATGCGCCCGCGGGACACTGAAATTGGCTTTCGCAGAAAGCAACACGGGTGACTCGCTACCGGGGATACGTGTCGAGACGGCGTGGGATGACGATGTGCGTGAGCAAGATTCATTCTCACTGTCTTCAATGTAAAGCTCAAAATTGAGCATGGGGATGATCTAGAACATTTCGGACGTGCTACACGACTTTGGGGTGCCAGTGCTACCGACCACTAGTTTCCACCCCGCCCAAGTGACACTTCAACCAGACTCATCACGGCGTGAAAGTTAACCCAGGCCTCATGTTGGTGCCCACTTCCCTTGCTTGAATTCACCCAGCACATAGTTAGCTGCCTTGGCATCAACCTCGGTACGAAGATTCTGGGTTCCATTGTCAGCCGTGCGTATAATATTTGTCAGCGCATCAGCTCTCAAGCCGTTGTGGCACCGATCAGAGAACCGGTGAGAAAGTTACATTGTCTCTTATACTATTACATGATAATATATGCAGAACATATCCTTTATTTTTGTCACTTAAAGCCATACAAAGTCCTATATCATAACCAAAAGCCTCGGCAATCTACGTAGTGCACCCTAAAGAGCTCATCCGTTCTCTGCGCAGCTAAAGGGTTCATCAGTTCGCTGTGCCCCTGTACGTCCCGGACCCGCATAAATAGCTAGCCCGTTCCTTGTCTTTACCCCTTGTCTTTACCCCCCAGTTCTAAATCATGGTTGAAGCAGACGTTACACTCTCCAGTGGTGAGTTTCCACAATCATGGGTCTACGTAGCATGCGATCAACACAAATCATCCAGGCCACACAATGCCCACTCTTGGGCTTGGTGTCTATATGAACGAGGAATGCGCGGAAGCTTGTCAGGTTGCCCTTCAAAACGGTTACCGGTGGGTATTGCAATTTAGTCTCAGTTTCGAAACTCAGTTGGATCATTAGAATGATCGATGGGGCCCGGTACTACGAGAATGAAGTTCAAGTCGCTGTTGGGGTGAAGAAAAGTGGTATTAAGCGCGAAAACGTCTTTATCAGTGAGAACATCTCGTCCGGGAGCTCCTATAAATTGACTTCTCGCCTATCTGGTCCCCCATTGTAGCTTCCAAAGTCATCCACACCGATTTCACCTATGATGGCACGACGGCTGCTCTGAAAGATTCGATCGCGAACCTTGGATCATGCAAGTCTTGTACCTTCCTATTGATTTATATGGCTTACAAGACGGGTACTAGCGTATTATGATTTATACCTGACCCACAGTCCCATTGGAGGTAAGGAAGCCCGTCTTTCCGCTTACAAGGCCCTTTTGGACGGCAAGGCCAGCGGACTGATCAGATCTGTCGGTGTCTCCAATTAGTAGGTATCGTCACACATAGGTACTCTCCCAGCTGACACTAGTCATAGTTCAGCAAAGCACATAGAAGAGATTCGTGAGGCTGGTCTAGAGATGCCTGTTGTGAACCAAATAGAGGTGAGGATTTCTACGATTGGCTCACACAGCCATTGCCAAGAAGCTGAAACTGTCATCAGTTGCATCCGTTCTGCCAACAAAAACCCATCGTCGAATATTGTATCAAGCACAACATCATTGTCCAAGCATATTCCCCTCTTGTGCGCGGTGCTTTCGACAACCCAGTCATTCAGGAACTCTCCGCAAAGGTGACTATATGCTGTATCTGTTTGCGTCATGATGTTTGATGTGTTGCAGTACTCCAAAGATCCTGCTCAAATTCTTGTCAGGTGGTCTTTACAGCGAGGGTGGGTGACGCGATTTGTATTCACTTATCTTCTTATTTGACTCCGCCCAGATTTGTGCCTCTACCCAAATCCTCCCAGCCCGAGCGTATCATATCCAACGGCCAAGTATATGGTTGGAACATTGAAACTGCGGATATGGAAAAGCTTGACGCGCTGGACCGCGGGACGGAGGGCGCAATCACATGGAATCCAGTCGATGCCGATTAAGGAGTCAGGGTCAACCACCTCACAGGCACCTCCTTGTCATCACAAATTGTACGTAGGAATGTACCAATATGAGCGAAGAATACAATTCCATCGTATGCAATATAACAACATTCGAACACAACAGAAAGATACAGCAACCACCACAATAAACAATCGCGGTTTGCTCCGACAGAAGGTTAATAGGAGGTCAACAAGAGAGAAAATCTGTATTGGTAGAGTCTAGAAAATGAGCATACATCGTGACCCCTCACGGTGATCAAGTGCTATGACTGAAGGTCATGAGTCTCCGGCGAATGTCTGACAGGCGTTGTTTTCGTGACGAGAGCAACGCGCGCTTCTGAGCGATGGAAGCATCTTCACTGACCAACTCGTTCATACGCTCAGAGAAGTTGGGCCCAGACGCAACATCAGTCAGTAAGCTCGTGAGAAGGCTCTGCGAAAGTTGTTCCGCCAGGGCGTGGTGGAGAGCATGCTCGATAGTCAGAGGAATATGGTCAATGATGCGCTGCTCGGGGTGATAAATGTGTTGAAATGGAGAGGATAAGCGAGACACACCTTGTAGGCAACATGATAATAGGCTCGAACATCAGCCATCACAACTAGCTCTTCCTGGAAGGAGTCGGGAGGTAACAGACGCGCAAGATCTGATATCCCGAGATTTGCAAACCCTGCCTCTGCAAGGGCCCTCAAAGCCTTGGCCTCGGGCGTCTCCGACGTCGAGTGAACGCGGGATGGAGCGGCTGAATACGAAACAGAAGACTGTTCGGGAACGGTGCGGGCAAACCGTGCTGAAGACTGCGAAACAACCGGTACGGCATACGCCGACGCCCTTGGTGGAGGCCTTGCTGAAGAATCCCGCACCACTTCTGAAGGATATACCGGTACTTCTGAAAGATATCCCACCACTTCTGAAGGAGGTCCCACCTCGTGTGAAGGATATTCCACCTCATCTTCATTATAATCGTTCTCGTAGGACGAGGTTGTTCCATTAGCTTGCGGTAGGCTGCCGGTGGTAGACCCAGACCGCTCTGGTATGGTTTGCACGACCTGCTGCCGAATATGTACGGGGGCCTTGTACTGAGAAGCTCTGTTTCGAACTGTCTTATAACGAGCCAGCCATTTTTCGCGGAGTGTTTGAAGATAATGCGTATTCTGAGTATAATGGGGAGTAGTTTCCAGAGCCAAGGCTGTTTTGACAGCTTCTTGGGCGTGTGCCTTGCAAACACCAACCTGGATTCTAATCAAATCCCTAATGTCACAGACAACTTAAGTCAAGGCGATGGTTGTGAGGAGTCAATGCTTACCCAACATAACCTTCGAGCACTTTGAAGCGTCCAAAATGAATGCTTATGAGTGTGCTAATGACATTATCGAGCACATCATTGATACCAGAGAGGCAGCGCTCAGACGGAGCAACCCAGAGTTTAGTGAATTGAGCAATGAGGTTCGCCTTCGCCTGGTATGGTATGTTGTTCGGTAGCTCCCATGCAATTGCCCTTGGTGATTGGTTGAGCTGCCGTCCAACTGCCACAACAAAATACGAAAACATACTCGTGGATGACCTTGCTGACGTCATATATGCCCATCACTTTCACGCCTGGATCTCGCTCAAAAAGGGTCATCTTCCCCTCAGTATCATCCAGTGGAACATACTCTTCCGGTTTCTCAAAAGGCCTAAAGTCAGGAGCAGTGCCGCGTATATCCCTCTTGAAAATAGCATAGAGCGCACGATTACGCTGCGCAAGACGTTTGTCTTCGTGACTGCCATTCACAAAGCTCTTGAAGACATCGCAGAACGCATTGACGCGTCCTAAAACCTCGATTTGTGGGTCATTTACAAGTGGTGGTGGCAATGCATCGAATTCCTTCATGCATTTGACAAGGAGCTTGTCGATATCTTCTCTGAGACGCGGTAACCTATAAACAAGGTAAGTTATGTTCTAGCGAGCGAGCCAGAAGGTCCACGCACGCTTCCTCGATCAGCTGGATTAGCAGTCGGCTTACATCGGAGACAAAGCCCGGAATTCCAAATCGATGACGGTCGATCACGTCTTTCCAGGGGGACGTCGTATCGAAATATTCAGCAGCACGCCTTTGTGATTCGGCACGAGACAGGTGTTGTGTGCGTTCGGCATCATCAGGAAGACGTACGCAGTAAAATCCGTGCCTCAATGTATGATCCTCCGAACGGCCCTCAATGATTTCTACCCATTTTCGGCGCTGGTTGATAGCTCCAGCACCGAGTGTGTCAGGCTTCGTAAGGACACCTGAATAACTGTGAGTCATTTGATCATAGTGCATTATGGGCGACTTGCCAATCGTTCGCTTTCCGTCTGGGTCTGCGGCCCTGGCGAGACTCATGGATTGTTGATTTTCCATATCGTCTAGGATGGCGCGCATCAGCTTGATTAAAGAGTATTTCGCAGTTCATACACGTACCACTCATAGGAATTGTGGTCAATATGATAGTGTTCTCTTTCTTGGTGTAATGCTCCGCCAAACTTTTCACCAAGGCAACAGTTTCGGCTTCTTCGTTTTGTATCAAGCCTTCATTGCACATTAGATATATGGCCTCAACACCAAATCAGCATGCACTTACCCGGTAAATCATAGAACGACAAGTCGGTTGCATCAGGGTCTTCAATCGAGACGCACACCACATTGCGGGAGAACTTCAAAGTATTTCTGGTGTTCCTGAGTTCTTCAATGGTCTTTGTGTGGAAACTCGAAGAAGGGACGTTCGGGTTCAAAATGGCTGACTGGGCACGACGCAGCCAAATTTCAACTTCATCTTTGTTGGTGATCGTCCGGCCAAATGGCACAGTAGTAGTCCTTGGCAGGTCTCGGCCGTTACTATCGAAGCCCATCCGTAAGGTGATAGAGCAAGACCACGATGTGGCATGACTGGACATTGTACATTCCATAGGGCATCTGCATAGAGTAGCATGAGCACGCCGTCTTGCAGTAACTAATGGTAGCAGGGTCACCTTGTACATGTCCCGCTATCCCTCGGGACATTGATCTTCATCATGATGGACAAAATTAATAACTAAATGAACAAGGAAATTATCTGCCGACGTACCCCACTGACGGCCTCGACAAGTGAACTTTTTCCGGCTAAAATGTTAGATTGAGTATAGCTGTGGTTGCAATGGGAGGCAAGCACAAACCTGATTGGCCACCGATAACGACTACGGATGGTAAGTCGATGAGCGCCTCGGCACTGTAAGAGGTAGCATGAGTAAGTTCTGTAATCAGATCCACAAACACGCACCCCATGGATTTGAGATCAGACATCATCTGCATAAGCTCTCTACGCCTGTGGGCATAGTCGGTGGATGATATGTCAACCCATGTATCTGGAGGGCTTGCGGAACCAGAGAGGGAAGGAAGAGACATTCCATCAGGACTCGACGGATCGACTGATGATGTGGCTTGTCTGCGTCCCAGGCTATTGTGAAATCTGTTCATGGTAGATTGGATGTGGGAAGCGCGTCGCAGGCGACATCTGATTGACCTCTGTTTTTATGCACCGGCGCTTGATCTAAGGTATAAGCGCTTAAGCAGAGATATCGCCTTGAGATGTCGCACACACAGCAACCACAGCGCGTGATCATCTGCTGACAACATTGTTGTGTATTGACAGCTATCAGGGGCTATCCCATCACGTACTACTGCGCAGCTGCAGTAATGCCGCAACCAATCATTCCTGTACCCTAGAAAAGGGTACAGGTATGGGGTAAATTTTCTCTGTCCGCACGATCATACCGGCCCGCCAAAGCATCAAGGCGGTCCGTTTCTCATCCTGATTCAGAATATTTGTCAGCATTGATCGAACCTTCTAGAATTTGTTTTTCGTCGTCTCCTGTATTCTTCGTTGTAGACAACTTATACTCCTCTTTCTCGTCTTCGTTGTTATGGCTTCCGGTTCTGCCTCTGGCGTCAATCAAGCTGCGTCACTCCTTCCACATGTGTCATATGTGATTTCCGATTTTGAGCTTCCAGACGATGGGACGTCTGTTGTGTCCTCGTGTATTTTGCGCAGGTTTTTTGGGTTTTTCGAGGTCTCTCCCGAGCGTTTGCCTATGTGTAATCAATATCCTGCTGGTGTATTGTTGCCTGTGGTAGCACCGCACCTCAGGTTGATTGTGGATAATTTTCCGATGCTTAATCGAGAGCAATATGCTGAGATCGCGAGAGCACATTTCATTTATGTGTCTTCAGCTGATCGAAAGGATCATGTTCGTGACCTGCTTCGTGTACATGTATGTCAAGCTTCTTGTATTTCTAATGCCATTGTATTTAAGCTGCTAAAGTCTGCTAGACGCCATAGTTCCAATCATCTGTTGCCAGGGCCTTTCGAAGAATCATATCGCAAGAGGAATGCTGTGTCGCACCGTACCGCTCGTTCTGCAGCTACTGAATCTCAACGCAAGGACTTGAGGGAAACTGATGCTGATCAACATCGTCATTCTTACGATGCACAGGGTGGATATGTTGTAGACGATCCACATTTTCCCGCTGTACTGTCTTATGACGATAAATTGGATATCATTCGCGAATGGCAACATCAGATGAGTCCTGAATCTTTAAAACGCGGTTGTTGTGCTGTTTGTGCATATAACGTATGCGCCAAAGATCTGCTCTGTGTGGAGGTTGCGAAGATACCGCTGCATTTGTTGTGGAACGATTGTTTACCAGAACATACTCTCCCTCGTACATATGATTTGGAATTGTATGGTCGAGCAATCTTGTATCCGAAAGGGCTTACCAGCTGTTGGTCTTTATCCGAAGTATATATGTGTCGTTCGTGTCATTCAGCTCTAATTTGCAAGTGTCCACATCAACCCATAAATTCTCTTGCTAATTTTCAGTACTACGGGCATGAAAGGCTCCCCACAGATATTCGTGAGGCCTTTACTTCTGCTTCGATTTTCGAGTTGATGCTAATTTCGCATGCGCGGGCTTCTCAAGTGACCCATTTCTACATGTATAAGCCATCTTCGACTCAGTTTTCGGCCGAGGAGGAAGTTTCTCAGCGATATAACAAGGGAAATGTGGCAGTCAGGCCACAGAATTCAACTGAACTACGCAATCTTTTGCCACCAAGTGGAGACGAACTGCGCGATGCTATGTGCGTGATATTTTCGGGCCAAAAACAAATCCCATCGCGTGAGACTGTTAAAAAATTGCGTCCTGTGCTGGTCACGAAGAGTAGAGTCCAGAAATTGATCGGCTTTTTAATCGACAACAATCCGTGGTATCAGCGTAGTGGTGTAGTATATAGTCAAGTGAATATGGATGCATTGTTCGAAGAGATTGATCGTGACGTGGACACAGGTGTGCCACGTGCGCTGGCGATTTGCCATTTGCCCTCGGAGAATCGAGAGACGACTGACGAAGGATTCAGTTCTCGTGACGCTGATGAAACTCACAATGGTGATGTGGAAGTCGGTGATATAGTTATGGAGTCTGTTGGCTATACCGAAGGTGATCATTCTTCAATTAGCAGAGAGAAGATGAAGTTGCATGCACTTGCCTATGTTTTGGATCACAAACAATTTCTCTTGTCACGCACAGGTGGCAAATTCGTGGCTGATAACGATCCCGGACTCATGTCTTATTTGTTCCCTCATTTAGACCCATGGGATATCGGTGGGTTTTTTCATACTGGCCGAACTGAACAGCAATACATTTCTATGCAGCAGCAAGTGAGAAATCTCGTTTGTCAAGATGACTCACCTTTTAGATCTGATCCCCATTTTGCTTTCGTATGCTGGAACATGATTCAGAAAAGAGAAGTTAGTTTGAATACTACATTTCGGATCAACTCATCTTCACAATGAGGCTTAGCTAAAGAATTGAAGGAGATCGCACCTTCGTTGACAACATTAGCTGATAAGTGGAATAATTCGGTGAACCACAAACCGTCTACTACAGAGGAGAAAAAGGCTGTTCGAATTCTACGATGCTTACAAGCGTCAACGAAATCGGTGAGAGGCAGCGTGGGATATAAGTTATGCCGCCGCAATGAGATTCGATCTTTAATCAAAAAATTTTGCACACCTGCGTTATTTGTTACCATCAACCCACATGATTTAACAAGCAGTGTGGTTCCGACTATTAGTGGTATTGATTTAGAGGATTGGTCTACAATGTCGTACTTTGATAGGGCTAAAATTGTTGCAAGTCGGCCTGATGCGGCTGCTATTGCGTTCGATTTGCAAGTTCGGGCTTTTATTGACATCATCTTGAAATATAAGCATGGTCCTGGAATATTTGGACATTGTAAGGCATATTATGGGATGGTAGAGGCTCAAGGGAGAGGTACCTTACATTGTCATTTTTTGCTGTGGATTGCAGGCAATCCGAGTCCGCAGGAACTTCGAGACCGGATGGCGAATGAAGACGGTTTCAAAGAAAAAATGTTTGCTTGGTTAGAGAGTATCATTAGTTGTGAACTTCCAAACGATACTGGCCGTGTATTTGAGACGAGTCCTCAGGATGCAAAGAAACCGAAGAGAAGTTCAGAAGAAATCGATCCTCGGTTGGAGATTCTTCCACAAATTGCAGAGTTAGATGAACAATCTTTTGCACATGAATTTAGAGAGTTTCTGACACGTTTGGCGATAGAGTGTAACTGGCACGTTCACAACGATACATGCTACAAGCATATTAAAACGGGCGAAAAGCGTGGCGATGCAAACTGCAGAATGCGTCTTGATGGTTCTTTGCAGGACATTACGACGATTGATGTTGATTCAGGTTCAATTGAGTTACGACGATGGCGGGGAAGGATCAATAATTATACGGACCTTATCTTGTTTCTATTGCAGTGTAACACAGACACACAATTTATAGGTTCGGGCGAAGCTGCGAAGGCCGCAGTATTTTATATAACAGAATATATTACAAAAGGCAATCTCCCAATGTATGTTGGCCTGCAGGCCTTGAATTATGCAACCCAAATGCACGAGACAAACTTTCAGAATTCAGAAGATGTCAGTGAAGAACGTAAAAATCGAAGTCTGATAACTAAAACTGTCAATGCGATGATGGGACAACAGGAAATCTCACATCAACAGGTTATGAGCTATCTTGTTGGCGGTGGAGATTTTTACTCCAGCCATACTTTTCAGACGGTGAAGTGGTACGAGTTTCTTCATGCTGCTGAAAGGATCGACCGAGAAAGAGACTCTGTTGCCAATGTAGAGGAATCGTCAGAGGAAGACGACACTTTACTACATGAAGAGCAGGTTACGGTCAATGTCATGCCAGATGCAATTGAATTTACCAGCGATATTGAAGACTATGCGTTTCGTCCCACAAGTGAAAGTCGATTCGCGGATTTGTGTCTGTGGGAATTCGTAGAAAAGACCATGAAAGAGCGTGGTGATGTATCTTTGGATGACGCACCTGATATTTTAAATTCTGACAGTGAAGTGCCTCGTTCCATTTCTCCGAAAAAAGGAACCAGGCATAAGCTTTTGCGAGCAAAGTTTTCAGAGCAACATAGTCAGTATAAATCTCATATATTGCGAATGAGAAGAACACCCGTAGTACCAGTTTTGTTGGGAGACGCAATACCACGGCCAGATGGTGCTGAAGAAGATTATGAGAAATATTGCCGATGTATGATGATTTTGTTCAAACCATGGCGCAAACTAATGTCTTTGAAAGGTGACAACATGACATGGATTGAATCATTTGAGGCTGAGACATTTTCACCCATGATTACCGCTGTGATTCGTAACATGAATGTGGAGAAAGAATGTAAGGATGCTCGAGACGCACATGCTATATTAGTAAGGGAACAACGTGCTAAGCCCAACATTTTCGGTTGCAATGGTACAGAACAAGATGGTGGTCCAATTGATATGTCGGCATTCGATGAAGCATTATTGGCTGATACGTCGCTTGATCCGGATGAAGAAGAGCGCCAAGTGGTGGATGGAGAATCTAATTTGCAAACTATCGTTGATGTTGATAAAAATGCGGGTGATATTGAGACTTGCCTTAGAGCTGGCAAGGATGGTGGATTGTTTGGACTTTCAGAGCCATCAATAACAGCTAAAACTACATGCGATGCCAGCACAACAGAACTCTTGACGGACAGTAATCGAGGACGTGTCAAGGAATTTGCAAGCATTATGAAAGCTGCGAAAAAGCGAAAGAGACCAATAGACATTGGTTCTGGAGATGCAGAAGTGAAACGTGCACGATTGAACCAGGCTGAGGATGATCCGAACATCAGTTTTCGACAAATGGAAGACCACGCTGAAATCACCTCAGTATATTATAAGCCGGAGATGACAGATGGTGAGCGGGAGAAGATTTTAACTGAGATTATTGAAGAGTTTAAACTCTCTGAAAACACCGAGCAGGAGATGTGTTTGAGAATAATTGGCGAGCATTTTATCCGTGGTGAAGTGAAACAGCTTCTTATGTTTATTACTGGCATTGGAGGCTCGGGGAAAAGCCATGTGATCTGTGCAACTGTTGAATTGTTTAGAAGATGTGGGGCTCCCGAGAAATTGACACTGAGCGCACCTACCAGAAGTGCAGCTGTATTGATCGATGGCTACACAATTCATGCTTTGACATTTTTGCCAAAACGCCACGCACCTATCAAACAACATGATCTTGAATACATATGGCGAACCGTGGAATATCTTATTTTGGACGAGACCTCGTTGATGTCGGCGGAATTACTGAGCCAAGTGTCGCATCGAATCTGTCAGGCTAAATCCTGGGATGAGACGGCGAGGAATAAACCATTTGGCGGTGTTAATGTCATCTTCGCCGGAGATTTTGGGCAATTGCGTCCACCTAAGTCCAATGCATTGTATAGCTACAAACTTGTCAACCAATTGGGCCCTGGGACAACACAAACTATGAAGGGTCAGACGGCGTTGCACGGTGCCTTTTTATGGCGTCAAGTCGACGTAGTAGTAGAATTGAAACAGAATTGGCGGGCAAAGGACGATTCTGAATTTATCGCGATGTTAAGTCGCATTCGATTGGATAAAGTAAGAAAAATTACCCTGGACGACAAACATCCAAGTGATTATGATGCATTGAAAAAGCGGTTACTGAGCGAGATCAAAATTCGATCGCCTGAGCAATTTATAGGTTTTAAAGACGCGCCTGTAATTGTTACCCGCAAGTATCTGAGAGACGCTATTAATGAAACAAAGGCTCGAGCGTTTGCCGCACAAATAGGTCAGCAATATCATGTATATCTCGCAAAAGACAAAATTGGCGGCAAATCACTGGTGAAGGATCAGCAACATCGGCTATGGAAGTTGCCAACAACAAATACGAACGATTCACTTGGTGGGCTGCCCCTCATTCCTGGCATGCCAATCATGATCACAGAGAACGCTGCTACAAGCTGTAAAATTGTCAATGGGAGTAGAGGCATATCGCAGTCGATCACGTATGAGAATGATGAAGACAATAATCGCTTCCCGGTGTGTGCGCTTGTTGAAATCCAAGACAGTACATTGCATATCCCTGGCCTGGGAAACAGTGTTGTTCCTATCTTGCCAATCACGAGCAGTTTTACATTTCCTACAGGTGAGAAAAATGTCAATGTACGGCGCACTCAGTTACCAATGTTGCCTGGCTGGTCATTTACTGATTTTAAAGTGCAAGGGAGCTATTTACCGAAAGTCATTGTTGATTTGACAGGCACAAGGTCACTTCAGAGCATTTATGTTATGCTGTCACGGGCTTCAAAACTAGAAAATGTGGCTATATTGCGTTGGTTCTCTTCCCGAAATCTGCATGGGGAGTTGCAAGGTGATGCTCGACAAGAGCTCCAACGTCTTCAATACGTAGAGGCGACTACTCGTGCGAAGTACTTACAAAAACATATCATGCAGATCTGATTAAAATATGGATATGTTAGTGTAATCCGCGTAACCTGCAGACACATGCGGTTATGATTTAACGGAAAACAGATACATACAGCGGTGATGCTCTCAGAGAGGAGAGATCCTTATCGGACGAAGCCTAAAGGTCAATGACATTAAAATTCATGGCTGATAAGAGACTGGAGTGAGCAAGTTGAAAGCAAGTAAGAGTCGAAAATGACTGACCAGGATGCGCAAGATCACAAAAGATACACAAGGTGCATCAGGCAAAACCAGAAGATATATAGAATAAGTAGGTGTTGACGAGGAAGGTAGTTCAAGTCGATTGCCCGGATTACAAAGAAACTAGCCATTCGACTGTTTACTCTGAAAGCCAGGCTAGCAGCAGGAAATGTATATTGATGAGGAAAGTAATTGATTTCCCGGATGTCAGAGAAATCAGAGAAATCATGAATTCCACTGTTTACCCTAACAGCCAGGCTAGCAGCTGTCTTTCTGGCCGGATGAGATTGCTCTCTAGCGAGGGCGGAAATGCCTTGATGTTATGATACAAATGCATGAGTATTTATATGGGCTGCATCAGCGATAATATATAATGCTGTTGAGTGAATTTGTCAAGCGACATACCTCATGTTGACAGATTGTGACTGCCGATGGGAGAAAAAAGGAGGAAACTGCGGCGCGACCTACCCGGGTTCCCAATAGAACGGTGTGAAATAAACTATATTGTCTCTGATGGATCAATGCTTTTTGATAAACATGGAAACATATTCACTTGCGTACCCACAGACGATTGCAAAGGTATTGAGTCTGACATGCTAGTATTGGAAAGCGGCCACGGTTGGCCAAGGGCGATTTTCCAATCTGGAACAACTGATAATCTTTTACGAGAATCATCACACGAGGAATGTAATAGTGTCAGGGATGTGTGCATGATCAAATGAAGAGAAACGCTCCTTCAAGAGTGCTTAAGCTCAGTTCTCGCAATCGTAATCACTGACCCACCTACCTGACCATGATGTATTACGCCACCATCAACCAGAGAGAGCGCCATTTCACATACAAAATGCAGTTGACGATAAAAATGCGATACGGTTGGGAAAGTGGGGGACATCAGTAAATGTTTGACAGATTATACACCCAGATCAATCAATCTTTATTGGCGCCCGTTTCACCAGGTATCGGCCAGACGTTAGCCACCATGTTGCGACACAACACAGTCCCATCCCGACTCCATGCGCTACATAAGATATGACGACTGGGATGGGTTGCGATGCAGGTAAGCAAAGAGTAAGCTGTAAGCTGTAAATGATATCTCGGCCTTGGTTGAGAAGCCTTTGCTTGGTCATTCCGTGCATATCGCGCCGTATGCAATGGATGTTAACGTTCAAAGTCAAAACGGTTCAAGTCTGTTATGAACTGTAGAATCCGTGCTCTGTCATAGCATAGCAATATTAGTGGCGATGAGCATACGTCGACATGATTAATGCTATCACTTACATACAAATCATTGAAGTTCGAACGTTCCATGAACTGTTCAACGATCAATCGATCACGAATCGTTTCGTCATTCGGCGGTCATGTCGGGAAATTCCAGGTAGGCGGTGGTGATGTGAGCAGTTTTATGTCTGTTAAAGAAGATCGACGTGTATTGTGCGGCGTAGATTATCCGGACCGCTAGGTTGATTATGTTTGCGTATACCAGAGAGACGTCACCGAAACCCGAGGTGTAAAATCCGATTGCAGAAAGAATGAATACGACGGGAAAACCAACGAGCCATCTTATCATTTGAATCAGGTTAAGATAAATTGTCATGGATGGAGTACATACCTGCTTTATCTTCGAAGATCTTGAGACGTTGCGATGCTTGAGAAGAAAGCTTCAAGTACACCATTGATCGCGAGGGCAGGAATATACCAAACCCAAGCTGCGAGAACTTTCGGGGCGCTTGTTGACAGGTACTGGGACGGGAGCAACAACAAGGTGTGCACCAGTCGACGTGAATTTTGCCTCAGCCGTGGGGCACAAAATTCTTGAAAAGTTGACTCGACATATTTCCTCCAGAAGTTGAAAAAATATTCGTGCAACCACAGAACCTGCACACAAAATGGGCCATCACTATGCATGTAATACCCCAGCATGGAATGGTACGCACCATAGTTCACGGCGATCGCGTATCCTCCTTGATCCTCCAAATCGCTCCACCAAGACAATATAATCTTGTCTCCCTCTGTCAAGATATGTTTGACAAGGGATTACCCAGTCATGGTCAAAGACAAATATAGACTGCTAACGTCAAAGTATTGCAAGGCAATGCGATAGAATGTCGATCTGACAGTCGTGATCAGCGAATTAACTCTTGAACAAGTGGATGAGCTCACCTAGAAGCAGCCACATCAGATGACTGTCGTGCAGGAAGACGCGTCGGCCAGAAGGCGGGATAACCCATCTGATACACGTAACTAAAAAATACCACAACGCTGTATGCAAGTTGGCCTAGCGCAAAAGCCACGAGCGCAAATTCCCAAAATTCTGGTCTGGTCGAGTCGTATAGGAGGACAAGATAAGTGACCAAGGTCTTGCATGTTATCCCGAGACCTTCAGCTCTTACTCTAGCTCCAGTGCGAACTTCACCCATGGCCCTGGCAGGTTGAGAGAGAAACATGTGCCACTGATATTCTCTACATACCGATTATGCATGGGTTAGTAGCACTTGAAGTCCACGAGGAGCGTACTTTGGGTATGTATATGCTTACGTCGTTGATCTTGTGGTGAGTAGTGTTCAATTTCTGCCCACAATCCAACTTATGCATATGTGGGCGCTTGTATACGCTGCTTGTTCTCTCTGTTTTACCACGACGGTTACGGCTTAGATCTCAGGTGGTTTTCTCATCATCACTGCCTCCATACGTAACTATGACTCCAACAACGTGAACCCCCAGTAACATTGTACTTTGTGCTTGTATTACTGACACGTCGTTTCGCAGCATTTTTGGCGCCAAGCGTCTCATCGGTGGCATATCTTCCTGCGAGTCCGGAGGCCCATTTCCCCAGTACCCGCACTTTTCCAGCTGGTCTCCGATGTCGACTTTTCCTGCTCTGGCACACCTTCTGTAGGTGCACCAGTCACGGTGGGCTTGTTGCTGCACAGAGGCGCCTTTTGTAGGTGTATCTGCGCATCACAGTGGCAGCGAAACTCATTTCCTTCCTAGCATTTCGGGCCAGTGGGTACCACCACTGAATTTGCTCTAATTAGACATGTGACATGCAGCAAATCACTGAAACGTAGGCCCTTCCGGTCATTTTACTCCACGACCATGTCTTTTAGAAAGATCGACATCGATGTTATTCAACTTACAAGAGTATGAGGATGCCAGGCTGGGGTGATGTGAATAGAAGCGTGCTCTTGGGGTGGCATGAAAAGGTGCGTCTGGGGTTTGCTTCATACATGAACTTCCTGACCATAAATTTGCAGCTGACAGAAGTTGCTGGCACTGGCTGTATCGTACGAGTAATGATTGATCGAAGAACAGTATGAAAAAGCATACCGCCACTGCTAAAGCATCAGGCATGTTTGTCTTTCAACTGCACGGGAGAATCAGAATCTCCAAACATTCCAATTGACATGGACGTCTACTCAAACAACAAGACCTCATAACGTTTCAAACTCTGCTACGAATTCGACTACAAATACATTTACAAAGAACGTCGCAATGTTACATCATGATCAAGGCTAGTGTTGATACAGTCACTGTTGGCCAGTACGGTGAGTCAGATCCCTGGCAGAAAGGCGCTAAAACTTACGCTAAATAGACCCGGCGCTCAGTCAATAAAATCTTCTTCTGTCAGAATGCGGCCATTGAGCATCTTTCCGAGGTGAGTTGGCAAATACCCCATGCCTTTCCTCCTCATTCTGAACAACTCCTTCAGTGGCGGAAGCTGGGATTGCTTGAATGAGCACGATGCTCTCGCAGAAGGGCGATTCTCCTCGCTGATGAACCCGTCGCTGTCGGCTATCAACTCCTCATTCCCTAGATCTGGTGCGTTGAGCCCTAAGAAACTGCAAGTGCGGAGATACATCTTGTAACTGGAGAAATAGAGCTGGCCAGCAAAAAGGTTGAGCCGGCAAATCAGCGATTCCGATGATATCGACTGTGGTGCCGAAGGATACAAACGGTCGCACCATAGTGCTAAGTGTCTCCCAGATCAATGTAGTTCAAAAATCTAACTCGCAAGAGGTGAGCATCACAGTTTGACGCACAGATACAGATATTGATGTTTCATAATATAGCAGCGTCAACCACAAAATAAACTATCGAATTCAGACGCTACTATCATGTATTCCTGCTGCAGTACGTGCCATAGACAAAATTTCAGTATACTCAAGCCGTTACTAACATATAAGATACGGTTTCTTCCTTGTTTCCATCAGCACACTCGAAACCTCCAAGGCACCAAGCCATAACCCGCAAGTCCTGGCATGTTATCGAAGTATCTCCCAATGTTTCCTTCGGCCCGAAATCCCATTTCAACACTTCGTCGTCCACTGTGCTTCTCGTCTTGTGAGGACAATAACCGCTCTTTTTGTGGTCCTCCTTATTTTCTTCGCAGTCATGATCCCCAAGACAGAATGGATCGGCGCTGATTTTGAACCCTCGCCTGATGTATTTCATCAAGACATCCACGGTACGAAGATTGGTCTTGGCACAGACATACATCTGGGGATTGACGAAGCTCATGTTTGCAGTTGTCCACCGCGGATACAAACAAACGATGGATCGTGCTGTGACGTAGTTCATCACAGCTGTGCTGTGGAATTGGAGGATGGGTGTGATTGCGCATGTCCAGTGGGTAATGATGATGTCTACCTTCTTCTCTCCTTTCGCCAGTTTGATAATTTTAGATATAGCGGAACTGTCGTATTCTGGTTTTTTCACCACATCTTGCTTGCTAACGTACCCTTCGTTTTCTTTGAAGTGTTTCACTACTTCTGCTTCAAATGGCTCTGTCACATAGAAATCCAAGTCCTGGGTCATGACGGCTTCAGCTTCTGCTTGGACCAGGCAGAGAGCGCTTGACCCCGACACCAGTGACCCAGTGCAATCCAAAACTTTGATGAGGGCATCGACGTCATGGACGTATGCTCTGAATAATCCTGCGCGATGTTTCGCGATATATTCAGTGATTCCCTCTTGATTCTCGATTCTGGTTTGCGCAAACGACATAAGATCTGGGAGTGTCATATTCTCTAGGATGATTTTTTGGACTTCAGGACTGAGTACGCCAATGGATCCATTGCCTTGCTGCATATTGATGTGTTTGGGCGATACAGAATATGAAGTGAGTTGCGTGAACGTTTGAAAATATGTTGACGCTATGAACTATCTTACAGGCCCCTATACTCGGACTCTCAAAATGCGAATTCACAGCATGATGCTGAACACTTTCGATGGACAATTCCTGTCACGCTTGCACGCGAAACTAAGGTTTGTGAAAATTCAAGACAGTACGTTCTCTTCATATATCATACAGTGCGATCATACTAAAGTCCTTTGTGCTTAGCGTCATTGACATCGTTTTGGCCTTAAGTTGATGAACCTTCATGAACTTGTTCAAAAGGACGCAATTTATGTTTCATACTTTATAATGTTTCATTTTCAGTATCGTTCTGTTTGGACGAGATCGATGATCTGACTTACAGATCAACAGATTTGATAACTGCCATGTAGTCTTCCTTCTCGACGCTTGTCATTACCTTGTCAATCGTTTTGAAGGCGAGATATGGGCACCTATCAGTTCCGTGTAATTTGTGGTCGTAAAGGACTATGAGTTGGAATTCGGCGTCATTTGTCTCTTTATCGCCACGGAACGTGATTCTGCACTGCTTGATTTCGGCTTCAGAGCAAAAATATTTGCTTCCTTTGGTCCGAAGATCTTGGAGTTTGAGAAGACCGGGTTCAATGTCTAGATCCACGAAGCCATTATCCGGCGAAAACGAGACTAAACATGCACTGATGGTAGTAAGTTGATCGGACATTGCGGGTGTTTTTTTTGGGGGGAATGGGGCGATTCATTATTCATTCACAGACATCTTAAATACGATTCAGATTATCCCAAGTACTCGGAAATCAATAGAATTGTCGAAAGCCCCTACCGGACGTCTCACTCAAACTCCGAGTCGCATATCTCATTTAAATGTATATCAAATAATCGCATCAGGTAGGGCCCAATTGGATATTGCTGGATTGCGTATCTCTTGCGCTTCATCTATTGTTCCTCAGTTATCAATGATCCTGCAGAAGTCCACGACAGCTGATGATGTGTATGTGATTGAAAATTATATGTTTACACATGAACCAGTCAGTCCCTATATTATTAACCGCTGTTTCAATGATTTCATAATTATCCAGCCAGGACGAAATTACCACCGCGCTCTATTTTATGGTAGCGGGTGTTCGGAAGCTATCTTAACCTATGTCCCTCAAGATGTCGACGGTATCGTCCGCGCACATATGTTTATTGGATGCGGACAACACTCCCAAAACGCTCTCCTATCTTCTCGAATTGTGCCTGTGCGGGGATTTCCTGGATCACGCTTCAGCCTATTTCGCAATGCCTATAGTGTCATTTATTTTCAACGTCATTCAACGCTTCCTAACAATCGCGTAATTTCTAATGAATTACCTGAACACTGTCGCCTCGCGTGGTTGGGTGATATCCTCGTCATGAAACACATAGGTCAGAACTTGAAGACCTACCAGTCCATGGGTTATGAGGAGAAGGCGCTTGTCGATGCTATTCTGACTTGGTTCGTGTCATTCTTTTCACTTTGATGCTTTTGTGATAAGCGCATATGATTTTTAGCCTTCTAGAAACGACGTTCAACGCCAATGAATTACATTAACGACGTTCACCACCTGGATTGCCTGTCTCCTATATCCTGGATCACCGTAATCATCCTTCTTCACCTTCAAAAGCAGAACATGTTCTTATACTACTATACAAATTTGTGACGAAAACTACATCCTTCCGTCTGACTGCTCAATATAATGCATCAATTGCCTCTCGCTTGCTTCTGTTACAGGATCTTTCCCACTCTTAATGTACCACCACAACGTTCTTCCTAAATCATTGATATCCATGTCAAATTTGGGTGCATCTGGAAGAAAACCGTCACCATTCTTGACGATTATCAAAGCGCCGCGAGGACATCTCTTCTTCCCGTAGATTTCCAGCATAACGGGATGAAACGGTCGTTCGTCTGACTCTTGAATAGTATAATAGATATGATAATACCACTCAATGATATGTTGTTCCCTAGGGAATAATATAAGCGGTTCTTGTGGTGTGCCTACAGGCAAATTGTCTCGTATGAACTTGAGTGCCGCGAGATTGGAAGTAGGACGTGATTGCAAAATAGGAGTAAGGTTCGTCAACAGAAGTAAAAGACCTTCTGTGACACTCGTAGACAACGAGATATCTCCAGCAATTTTGACTGCGATGCAAGGGTCGCCAATAGTCTCTGACATAGATTCTGATTTCAACTTATTGACTCTCTATTTTTAGGTGAGTCTCTTTTTTTTTTGGGAAAGATTATGCTACGTACTTTGGAACTGATATACCACGTTGGATGTTCCAGCTGCAGTTTCTCACACAACTCTCGATGTGTTAGATTCTTATCCATCTGTAAAGAGGATATAGCTGATAAAAGGTGGAACTTCGCAGGTGGTTGTTTTGATGGGTGTTCGGAGTGCATGATAGCTGTTAAATAAAATCATTGTATATCATTTATTTTGTTCGCAAGTTTGTACGCCCTACTGCATGAATGATGTCATTTTGGCAGGACTATATGCATGTGATTACAAACTGAATTCGCTGAGTTAGAGATGACGCACAGGCGACAACGAGAAACACATTCTCCTCTATCCTTTATTTTGTGATCACTCCTTCCCAATGTCTTTCTTAGCTGGTGAGTGTATAATCCGTTTGAGCAGCGAGCGCTAAACGGCAACATATTAATAGGTCCAAATACTTTCATGGCTTATGAATTATGGCCGAAAACAATGTCAAACGAAATATGAAGACTACAAGGACCCAACGACTTAGAATCATGGGAACTATTTCCCGCAGACTTACAAGAAATGGTGAATTGGGCTGACGTTTACAAAGACCACGAGAAGAAAGACTTATCGAGGAACCACTTTTTGATCTACAAGCATGTGGAGGACTCTGAGTCGAGCACCATATATCCTGTTGCGATTCGCATACATGGAATTTTAGAGCGCTTTCGCATCGAAAGATTTGGGAATTGGTCTGGGTAAGTCATCCTTGGTATTGGAGATAAATAAAAAGCATCATGCCAGCTCATAGACGACCTGAAGATGCTAGATGAGCTGTTCAATACATTACTGTCTCCTCCGGAGGTCACGAACAACCTTGGGACGCGACCATCACATCTCTGAATCTCGCTTGTCAATATGTCAGCAGACGACTCGACGTACCAATGCAAGAAATGAACAAACAGAAAGATATCTATTTGCAACGACGCGTATTTAACAAGGTGAATGATTGTACTACCGAACTATCATAGATGGATGCTGATGAATAATACAGAGAGATGCGCCAAATAAATCAAAGGAGCCTGTATTGACCCCCGATGATGATCCAGAGGGCAAATTTCAATGCCTACAAGAATCATGGGATGTCATGCGACCATTACACGTTGCAGATCTATGCGCGAATGGGAAAAAAGTGCCTATTAATTCAGTCTTACTGACTGCAGGCGATTTTGTGGAAGTCGGGGCTGAACTTGACTTTGTGTTGAATAAAAACAAAGACGCGAAGACAACACTGAAATGCTTCCTGGCATGCACATACATCGTGCGTTTGATGCCTGCAGTACATGTACAGAACGCTCAGTTGGTACGTGCCCCAAAAAATGGATATCATGCACGACATAATTCACTTTCTTATAACACACATGCAGGACAACAATAGATCAACACGCAAGCACACCTTGACACCCCCGCCAACGGAGAGGCCAAAAAAGCGATTCCATACAACATTGGATTTCGACTCAGATTAGGAGTAAATCGTCATTTGAACGAATGTATTGATGGACCATTTGTAATTATTTGGTCATCTCTTTAGGAGAAATCGCACTCGATGAATAGGGTCCTCGTCTCTTCTTCCACAACGTTACAATGGTGAAAACAAAGCATGACGCTGTATTAGACGGAGAAAGTCCAGTTGAACCGCGCCCGAACAAGAAGACCAAGGTCACCAACACTGGTACGATCACATCAAACTAACATGCTCATGATATTCAACGAGTGCACAGAAACCAACAAAGATGTCACTGAACTGAATCCTGTCGATGGCGACAATTCCGCCATGACAATGAATGAGACAGGGTATGTAAAATGAAATGACTACAAAAACATGCACAACCTGACTACAATGTCTCTAGAAATCCGCTTCAACAACACAACATCGAAGAGACAGGAGTAGTTACTACAGGTGACGACGCTGTCGCTACCCCTACAGGTACTTCAGCGGCTACTCCCAGACGCGGCACAGGCGCATCGCAACCGATGCTAGCAGTGAAGACAGTAATCCCGCACCCCACCAAACAATTGATAAACGATTCCGAAGTAGAAGAATATGATGAATCTTTAAAGGCGTAAGTTTATCCATATTCACATAAGATAATAAAGTTAGACTGACATATCGCAGGCGGCTGAAGACACTCTCAGAATATTCTAATGCGAAGGCTAACATATATGCCCTCGGCAAACTATTGCCGACTGCCACTTGGGGACCTTATAAGCCAATCAACGATCGAAGCAAAATACTGTGCGATCCCGCAACTGGCGAACCACTCACAATCTGGGTGGTCGGTCGTATCGCTAAAATGTGGTTCATGAAGCAAGGGAAACCAGAGAATCAAGCTTCTATCACGGTCCTGCCTCTCTCACAGACATTAGCAAAACAAAGCGGCCTACTACTCGCTAAGTTTTCAAATCCGATGCTGAGTAAGTTGTCAATGACTGCAAAATGTAGACAAGACGCGCTGAAACCGAGTGTAGCTTTGAATCAACAAACGATCGACATCATTCGTGCGATGAAATGGCAGAACACGAAAGGAGCTGAAGGAACATCAGATGTAAGCCGTTGGAAACTTCAAGACTGACCATCGCTCCTAAATCTTTCCCCCCCTAAAAAAAAGGCTATACTATTCGATGCTGTATATGATGCAAGACGGGAAGGGTCTTTGAAAACATACAGTGAGAGGCCTATATGGAGCTTAACGGATTTGAAACCCGGCGACCTCATCCTCTTGGAAATGAAAATGACGCGTTACTCGAGGAGAGCAGAAGATAACAAATGGCATTCTCGAGCCCAGTTCGAGATGATCGCAATCTCACTACTACACATCGCTGAAACGCCTGAGGAAGACGAACAAGGAATGCATCACATCGATGGATTGGCGATCTAATCGGAATATGCTTATCCCAACGAAATGTATACATACAAAACGAACATCATCAGACATAGCACAACTTGTAACTACACTATATGTACTTCTAACGCGCGTACTTTTTTGGCATTCTTGGCCTAATTCACCTGCCGCCCAGAGCAGATAACGAAATAAATAAAAATGACACGACAAATAAAGGGTACAGGTATGCCCGGAGGGCCCTTGCGAATCAAAGATATGCGGTGACTCAAGAGGTGTGTGTTCGGAGAATGCCGAACAGACTATTCTTATAGCTATGGTGTGTCACCGTGTGTGGAACGGCGGTACGTTGATCACGACCATTCTCAGTCATCATGTATCGATCCAGCTTCCACTTGACGAAGTACCAAGCCTAATCTAAATCAAGCCCACCTTGTCTTTGGTACGTAGTCTATTCCTATCATGTTGGCGGGGGGATAATACTTATGATGTTCATCGTAGTGCCCCGAACTTATATATGGTTGATTTCTGAACACGTGACTAACGCGTCGCGATCGGCTTTGTTGATAAAGTGTATCGACGCACAAATAAGGTTCAAACTGGGAGTATAAGTATTGCGTGTTTGTCGCTGTAATATCCCTTAGTCAGTCCCGCCATTACCGTCATTAGCATATCTTCACGACCCCTCTGTTTACTCGCCATTATGATCTCTACTGCTACCATGACCCGCGCCGCGCGTGTTGTTATGCAAGGCTATCTTACAGCCTCGTTTTTCAAAGAAATCGTCATCGACCGCACTATTCAGGTCGTGTCCGAATCAGAGGAGGTTTCCGTTAGCCTTGTTACACTCACTGTCTGCTTCTCGACAGCCGTCCTTCTTCAAGCCTCCGCCAAAGCTGCTCGACAATTCCTCAGCGATGATTTCCAACGCGTCCCCGCTCCCAAGGACAATACCGCTGGGCTCAAGGCACCTTTTGCTGGAGGCAACATTTTGGACGTTATCTCAACAACCAAGGCTTTCGGAACACCAGCTCGGCCATCCTCGTCGCGTGCAGTGATTGAATCAACCGAACCCACCTTTAAGGCTCCCACCAAAGGCTTATCGACGACTGATTCTGACACGACACTCATAGCCCACGATGAGGAGTTAGACAAGGATGTATTCTGCTGCGACTGTGTCTCAGACGTTGAGTCGCTTGCTGACGAAGGCACTTTCTACGAGGTAGGAAGCAGCGTGATTTTTCCGACTTCCGTCTACTAATGCTTGGGTCTATAGGATAACTGCCAGGCTACAGCACACTGCCTTGCGAACGATGAACCGGACCACACCTTGCACGTCGGATACGACCCACAAACTATCGACAACCTAACCAGAAGATTTTCAGTTATTTCTCTCGACGATGTACCCGCTCGTTTATCGACCATTTCTCTCGACAATGTATCCCCTCATTTATCATCCACCTCTCTCGACAATGTATCTTCTCATTTATCCCCTCTTTCCCTCGACAATGTATCCTCCCATTTGTCCGTTCCTCCTCTCGACGATGTAACATCTCATTTATCAACCCTTTCCCCGGACGATGTGTCCTATCATTTATCCATTCCTTCTCTCGACAATGTACCCTCCCAACTGTCAACTGTTGGACGACATCACACTCTACATGACCACACTATTGACATCCTACCTGATTCATCTCAGCACACTATCACCAACCTACCTGTAATTCTTCCTCTCGACAACGGTTCCCCTCAGTCATCGAAATGTCAACCCCAACGCACTCTAGTACACGACCACTCTATCGACAATCTAATCAAAAAAATAGCAGCTCTCTCTCTCGATGAGGTTCCTTCTCAATTATCAAAACTTCGCCCGCATTCCGCTCTACACGACCACACTATCGATGCGCTACCCAATAACACAAAAGCTCTTGCTCTCGACGACAACCACACTATCGACGCTCTACTGCAAACACCAGAAGCTCTTACTCTCGACGACGACCACGCTATCGACAACACAGAAGCTCTTACTCTTGACGACGACCACGCTTTCGACGCTCTACCGCAAAAATCAGAAGCTCTTACCCTCGACGACAACCACGCTATCGACACGCTGCCCGATAACACAGAAGCTCTGACTCTCGACGACAACCACGCTACCAATGCTCTACTGCAAAACTCGGACGCTCTAACTACCCTTCACGACGACACTATCTACGATCTACTCCAAAGGATGGAAGCGCTTACTCTCGACGATACCCCCCTCTATGGTCTCGGCCCTCGACACTTACGCCACGATGCATCTTACACGACGATACTACCAGCACTCATGTTAGCTGTTCTTAGCCCTCGGAATTTCAACTACGACTCACCCTACACGATGATGCTATCAACGCCATACTTCGACATGTGGAACCTCTTATTCTCCACGATAGTCCCTCACAGTCATCAAAACTTCGACTACTAGCACATTATCGATATCCTACTAGCCGCTAAACTCCACGCGACGTCTACGAATGGTAAGTAGCCCACCCATATACTCTCACCTCCCTTACTAATGTTTCGCTGTTAGAGTCCCCTACGACCAAACACGTCAGACATCGTCGCATCCAACACGTCTTCGGTATCAGAGGTCCCCTACGACCAATCCGATGACGCCTGCTAATGGCCTCCCTCGCTGTCCCCTACGACATGGAGTCATTATCCATGAGGTCGAAGGCCCTCACATTCTACACACCCAACCTATCGCAAGTCCCCGATGAGTCAGAGGTCCCCTACGACCAAATCTCGACGACGCACCAAACAACAAAGCGGCCTCCTTCACTGTCTACTGCGACCTGGAAGTCGAAGGCCACCGCCTACTGTCTCAGAGTCCCGCATATAGTCCGTCTAGTTGACCAACTTGGTCTCTTCGGATTTCCTGCACTACCCACCAATTGCCCATACTACAGATTTCTTTTGATTTGTTTTCTCCTTCATTGGTACGATCATGGACTGTACATTTAGTTTATTTACAGACACATTTCCAGGCTATACTGTCAGAATGAAGCATCAATAAGTCTGATAAGACATAGGCTGTGATGCAAAATATGTCTAGTTAGCTGATGCCTGTAGCTTGATGCTTCAAGCCTGTAGCTTGATGCTTCAAGACTTCGTGCCTCTGCCATGATGCTCAAGGGCTTCCCACGATGCATAAAACGTCAGAACGCGTCCTTATTTGGCAGGCGTCCCTTCTGCCCCTCCCCTTTCCGGCTTCCCACGATGCATAAATAGCTTCTCATCCTTCCATGCGCTGGTGGGTTTCCATATTGGGTTTGTTCTCGACCTAGCTAGTTATTTATGATGTACCTTGATGTAGATTCTGATTTCATGCCTTAATATAAGCATGCTTCTTGATATGTTCCTTGATGCAAACAATTTCCCGCATTCAATGTGATCGAGATCGAGATATGAGCGTGAAATTTTGACAAGTCCACCCACTTGTAAGCGCGTACATTTTTTCTAAGACGAAAGTCGTGCATATTGACAAGAAATAAACACCACTTGTAAGCGCACATTTTTGCTGAGATGAAAGTCGTGTATTTTGACAAGAAATAAACATGCATTCATTGACAAAAAAAACTATATACATGTATCTGGTATGTAGATCTAATACAATAACAACCACTCGTTCAAACGGATGCTATGATTCACATAGATTTTCGTTTCCTTGTGATTGGATATAAGTACTTATAATACAATGAATCAAATGTCAATACTTACTTTTTTTGAGGGGCGGCGCTGTCGTCTTTGCCCGTTTGGGGCCTCTTCATGCTTCCGCCTATCATGTTGGCTTGGGCCATGCGAGTCGACTCTTGACGAACCCGCGTTGTCTTGCGTGGGGGGACGATAACAGCAGAAAGGTCGGTAGAAGGCTGAACTGCTGCTTGACGTGGGCGCTTCTCCTTACTCACTTTGTTCTTAGCAAGATTCTCACCGGCCAAAGAAGTAGCGCACACGCGCTCGTCCACCTCGTCTACTCCTGCTCGTACTTGCCCGAGTTGTGTGGCAGTTGGGCTATGTGTTGTCAGGGCGGCAGCGTCCAAAGAGGTACGCTCGTCCACTTCGTCCACTCCCACTCGTACTTGCCCAAGTTGCGTGGTAGTTGGGCTCTGTGTTTCCAGGGCAGTGGACAGTGTTTGAAGGACCGGTTGGTCCGAATGGAGAGGGTGAGTGACAACGAGGTTGAGGGGGGGATTCAAGGTGGAATTATTGGGCTGGGGGGCAGCTGCAAGGTGAAGGGCTGGTTGGGAAGCAGCCGCGAGGTGAAGAGCTGGTTGGGGAGCAGCCGCGAGGTGAAGTTCTTCTTGAGGATTCAATGATGCGGTACCAGGGAAGCTGATGGGGTTCGAATTGATGTGATGCTGGCTTCCGTGTGCGCTGTCCAAGGAAGGGGGAGAATAGAAGTTGAAGTTGTAAGGTAGTACGTCGGATTGACTCAAGGGGACCATATGAAGCGGCGGCATTGAGTTCCAGTACCCCTCATTCCATGATGTGATAGGCGAGGGAGATGATGGAAGCGCTGATGAACTGGATGATGGGAATGATCCCCCTGGCAGTGTCGGCGTTTGAGGGACAAACGATCCCCCTGGCAGTGTCGGCGTTTGAGGGACGGGCGATAATGCCAGCCTGGGGAGAATCCCAGGATTTCCACCAGAGAAGGAATATGTGTCATTGTTGAATGACGGAAACTCAGGCCCTTGTAAGTTGAAATATGGAAGGCCCTCGGGGAGTTGAGGTTGAGGGATGATGGGTAGACCAGTGGATGCCGCCTCGCTGGATCCACCAGCAGTCAAAGCCGATGTCGATGCGAATGGCATCTGCGATTGTGCTGAATCCGGCGTAAACGGCACTGGGGGTTGTGCGCTGTCATCCGACGTTGTCAGCACTGCATCTCGGCATGAGGTGTTCCCATCTTGCACCGCTGGAGGGACGTAATCTAGAGCACGCTGTTTCCTGTCTTCCTCGCCTGTAGTTCCATAATACATTAGTGCGTGAATTAAAATCAAAAAGAAAGACGTACTGAATACTGTTGCAAGGAAACCTAGATATGGATTCAGGTGTTTCTCCGTAAAATTCGGCATTGCTTGCTTCCATGTAAGGCCGGATTCATTGATGCCTGTATGGTAGCTGGGGAGCTAATATTAGAGAGCGGCGAGGTCAAAATCACAAATTCCCATACCTCGCTACGTTGAGCATACCACCAAGGCGAGGGTCTGGGCCCCCGCCAATGACCGTCCATTCCCAACCAGTAAGTTGCCTCACTGCGTCCAAAAATTGTGAGATTGGACCAATACACTCTTCTAACGCCCTAAACAACCATAGATGTGAGTAAGATATATGAGTTTCAAGGATGTTTGACTCACTTCGCATACTGTGCATTGGTAGGTCGCTCAGTTACTTGTGCCCCTGGTAAGAGCACAGAGGTCTTAGTATTCCGCTCCTCGGCAGCCTTCGCCTTACACAAGGATTTAATTTCGGGTGGAGCCGCGTCATACGCAGCCTTGGTCGTCTCCCGCACAGCCAGCAGTTTCTCATTTTGAGTCACAAGGAGCCCAGAATCGATCTTCTCCTGGATCTGTCCCCGTACGGCAGAGTCGTAGCTCATCTTCGAGAATATTTCGACTTCTGTATGGACTCGTGTCCCTTTCGCTCTGTTGCCAAGCATCTTGTTTATTGACTTCGTCATTAAATTAAGAGTCGATCAACCACTTTTGTGGGACCTATAATTGAACCAGTTCTTAATTTGCTATCACACCGTGAGCATACGTCACGACATGACAAATTGTGAGATATAGAAACCTGTTTGCGCCTGGCCACTGCCTCACCAAGCAACTCTTTCTCCTCCTCAGTCAGGTTTGGGTGTTTAGACTGGTCTGGGTATTGAACATTGATTTCAGGCCATCGTTTCAAGAACTCGAGGCTAACAGTATCCCAAAAGCCTGTCAAAGTACCTTGAAGCTGTTGCTTCAAGAACTCGCTGAATTGCGATTCCAAGTAAGCCTTTTGTTCTCTGTTTGTCCATTGCGATCCGACCATCTTAAATTAATGACCCCGCAATTAATGACAGCATCTCATAGGTATTTCGTCACCGCTTACCTTGTTTTTGGTCTCGGTCCGGAAGTCAGGTGTGAGGCTTTAAGGTGCTGTCATCAATGCCAGCATGATCTCGATCATCGTCACTGACCTTTTTTTTTTTATTTGGCTGGAGTTCTGTATGTCCGTCGGATTTGTGCCAGTAAACAAACTACAGTCGGCCTGAAAATAAGGTTCAGCCTCCTCCATGAACCAATCACATCCTTGCATTCCTATAGCACATTAGATCGGAGTTGAATATCGGGTCGTATAAGGTTCTCACTCTCATTTCGCCTGGTTCATTTTGAAATGTCTAATTCCAATAATAACAGCTCCAGCCAACACTGCCATCCGTTGACGGCGGAACCCCAAAAATTCTCTATCAACGAACTAGCGGCAGCTCTGCAGCTTCTTAAGGACCAGGAAGGTGAGCAGATTTATTAAATTCTCCCCCCATTACAGTATCACTGTCTTACCTAACAACACAGAAATTTTAAAAGCTTACCAGGGGACCGCAACTGCGGGATTCCGTTCACGATCGCCCCATGCACATTGTCAAACGTGCTATACCTGCGGTGCCAAGACCCCTGAAGCAGAAAAAAAACCGACTAAAATTGTCAGCGCTGGTGAGTCTCATGTTTGTACTGGCGCCCAAACCAGATTTAATGTAGTTTCAGATATTCTTACAGCGCTTCTGGCAAACGACGGGATGTCACCTTGCACCGCCATAGTATTAGATTAATTCTTCATTCTATGGCATGTATATAGTTCTACACATATGCATGTAGCCGCATGATTTTCTTGCCATACCGTATTTTTGTGTTCTTGCCATACCATCATTACTGTTGTGATTAATACTAGCGCTAAGCAGCTGCAATGATCAACATTTATACGTCTGTGCATTGTGGAACATGAGCGCTTGAGCTTCCAGTCCTATGTACTGTGTGATACTCTTGTAATATACAGTGTTACCCTGCTTTCGAAGTGTGGACAAGGCGATCAGATGCGTAATTAACTGGTAAACACAGTTTGAACATAACGAGAGGAACGATGTCAACGGTGACAATGTCCACGCTGCCATGGCTAACAGTGTTATTCAAAAATTGTCGATTAAACGTGCAGTTTTATGTGTCCCGAAGTGCCCGTGTGCACAGAGCAGTGGATGCTTTTACTATTAGCATTTAGTTAGACTATGGTTCAAGGAAGTCACACGCCTGGCTATACACATTCATCGACCACAACTACTCTTACTACACTTACTCTTACTACACTCTTCTTTGGATCCCCTTGCTCGACTTCATGCCACTCAAGTATCAGAACAAGCAACAACGTCGTGAGGCCCGACTGAAATCCAAGCGCAAATGCTATGAAAGGTAAGCCTCCGAGTCTAGATTTCATTATGTATGGAATGAACACAATTTGTCCGGTACTTCATATAGGCACAAGCTCGATGAGCGTTTGAAGTCCAGGACTCGTTGGCGTAAGCATCTTGGAGCTACTGTGGTGCGTACACATTATACTATCGAGTCTACACTTTACGCTAACCAGATAAACCACGATACAGGCCACCCAACATCTTCTAGCACGACTAGACTTGATATGGATCAACCTTGGCTATCAACCAGGGCATTCTCAATACACGGTTCTCGAGTCACAGGGCCTCATACTTGTCCGTGAGGTGGATGACAAAGGTTGGGAGGTTGTGAGATCAAATTATGAACACGTAGTAGCGGAGGCACAGGAACTGATTCAGGAAGCCAGGGAGCTGCTCGCAAGTGCATTGCATGCAGAGGGTGCCTGTACAGACCATCTTATCGCAGGGTCTGCTGCCGCTGTTGATGCAGTGGAGCTGCATTGCGATACATGGGACGAAGCACTCTCATTAATGGACAATAGCGCAGATACGTACTTCAAAGCTCTCATGTCTGATCAGTTGGTGTGGCAGAAGGCATTAAAAAATGTTAACAGATAATAGCGGCTCTGTAACTACTCCCTTTGACGTTTAAAATGTTGACATTGTTGAGTTGTAGTATGTGTCACGTGACCACTTCAGTTGCGCTGTTGACTTTGCGTGCCATGTCCATAAACGTTGCCTGCACGCCTAACGTTAACCACACCATGGTCAGTAAAAAGCGACGCCAATTGGACAAGCTTAAACGAGACTGGTACATACTCAATAGTCAGCCCAAGCAAGCCCAATGCCACGGAACTAAGGAGCGTGAACTTTATCATAAACATTCTTGCTTCAGTCGCACATCTTCTGGCAATATAACCTCTGCAACGGAGTTCTTTGTAGCTGAACATGCGCTGTCTTCACTCGTCTCACACCCTCCATCGGGCTCTGACACAACTATGGAGGATTTCAGCTTTGATTCTTATGGACGCACTGACACTGAACTTCAAGACTATGATATGGTGGATCCCGCATATGAGATTTTTTTGAAGGAGTCTACTGTTGAGCCCAAGAAACCTCTCAGGCTAACCGGTGTATGATACATTTTGATCATATGATATCTTTATCTAACTTAAACTGAACAGGACCGCACAATGACTCTTTGGCTTCATGAACGCGAGACATATCTTCTTGAGCTTATCAGACTCGAAGGACGTGGAGACTACGCTTTCAGGAAAACTTGCCAAGGGCACAATGAATGTGCATCTGAGCCTGCATATTGCTGCCAGGACTGTTTTGGTACAGAGCTTTACTGCCAGGAGTGTACCGTGAACAAGCACCGCGAAAACCCTCTGCACAAGATTGAGGTATGTATAGTTTATCTTTCCATAGTCGTTGCGTGCTAATCACCCCTTAAGTTTTGGAATGGTTCCTTCTTCGAGGATACCACACTCAAGAATCTCGGTCTCCGGGTCCAGCTCGGCCACCCAGTTGGCGAACGATGTTTCAACCTTTCGCGGGCCTATGACGACGATTTCGTCATCCTGGACATCAATGGCGTCCATGAACTCGCCCTCGACTTCTGTTCATGCGAGAGTGCACTAAGTCATGTTAAACAACTTCTGCGAGCTCGCTGGTATCCTGCGACCAGTGCAGACCCGAAATCAGCAGCAACGTTCCGTCTTCTCCAACATTTCCACATGCTTACTTTTGAGTCTAAAGCGTCTGCCTTTGAATATTGGCAAACGCTTGCGCGTCTCACTGATAATACAGGCATCAAGCCATGCAAGGTAAATTATACATCTGAATGCAAGTATGGTTCGCTAACTATAGATTTGACAGGATCGTTATGATAGCCTCCTGTGCATGATCAAGCAATGGCGTAATCTCAAGCTTTTGAAGCGGTTTGGGCGAGGCCATGATCCCGCTGGGATCAAAGCAACCAAACAGGGGGCATGCGCCGTTGTTTGTCCTGCATGCCCTCACCCAGGCAAAAACTTACCAGAAGACTGGAATGTAGCACTGCCAGACAAACGGTATGTGCTCACGCCCTTACTTGATTAACTGACTTATGCCTGCAGGTGGCTATATGCACAATTCTTGGCCATAGACGCGAATTTTCGCTTAGCACGCAAAAATGTCTCCTCGGACAGGATCGATCCCGGTTTGAGTAGGGGATGGGCTTATTTTGTCGAGGAGACGGGGTTCAAAGAGTTCCTGACTGATGTCGGAAAGGTACCACAAGAGGTGTGTTAGCGTTAATTTTTCCGATTCAATCACTCAAACATCTGGTTAAGAAAAGCGCGTGTGCTAGTCACAACGCCGTGAATCTAGCTGAAACGAAAAACTCACGAGGATTGGCTGCGACTGGGGCCGGGACAGTTGATTGCTCTCGCCACAACTTCAAGCGGCCGTGTGGAGTAGGCGACCTTCAGCGGGGTGAAAGGTATGTATTCAATGATATGAAATAATTCCAGGCGATGTTGTCAATATAATATATCATTTTACTTTCATTAGAGTAAATCCGTGATATATCCCTGCCTTTGAACTAACACACAGGGTAATGATATATCATTCAACACAGATGATATATTGCTGTATGCCCTGCACATTTGGGTGGGCTATTCTTATACACAGCCGCATTTTTCGCATTTTTTTAAACTCAGCTGCTTTTCATTCCAGGATACATTCTATATTTAGTGGAGTATGTTATGACCGCAATTTTGGCTTCCAAAAGCGGAAATTCACAAAACATATCCCATTTTGGTCACCTGCTCATGTCAGGTCTCCCCACATTATTCCCACACATCACATGTTCGCATTTTTCAGCCACACAGTGTGGGAATTACCCCACAACACCAAAAACATCGCCAAATATGGTATACCCCATAATTATAATTATTCCCACACCCTCCCCACCTCACTGCAGCTTCACCACCACACCACAGTAGGTCCTCCTTCATATATAAGTAGTAGTTTGATATATATGTGTATAATATAATATAATAACCCACTTTTTTTGTGTATTTGTGTGCTTGCTCCTCCTCCAGGGCCCTTTCAAAATGACCTAGGGTACAGAACATTTTCGCATTTTTGCCCCTTTGATAGGGAAGTGTTCTGGGGTATTCAGGACATATTTAGAAGTGTATATGAAGAGATTCCACCACTTTTTTGACCCCCTGAAGTGAGCTGCATCAATAGATATAGCAAATATACATGAAAACACAGAATATGTTCCCATGCATGTATTTCTATGTAGATGTACCTGTAAAATTTATCCCCAGCATCTATTAACCAATAGGAACAATGTATCAGGAGTCTAGGGTAATAGGACAAGACCCTGGGATGCAGTATACCTACCCTCTCCTGGTGGTTCACCCCCTGTGAATTTTTTTCCTGTAGGACTGGACCCTCAGGATGGTAGGGGGTCTACACCTATGCATATTTAGAGTATATCTATCACATAGATACCACAGGAAACCTACAGGGTCCTTCTACAGGAACAGAAATATGTGAAATCACATTTTTGATATTTTTGATATCCTACCCTTGCACAAATGGACCACCCTGCTCATATATCATTAGCTACACATATATATGTGCTTTCTATACCAATGATCAGTTCACAATAGGCCGGAGTTTTGAGCTAGTGTGTACACTTGCTATTTCTACTGATAAGAGACCCATACCTTCAAAACATCGAAATTTAATAATCAGACACCTGGAGCATATCTCACATATATTCAGTATAACAGGACTAAATCTACAGAAGGATCCATCCAGAATTGTGGACTGGGGAAGTGAAATAGATAAGACATTGAGTGTGGGAAAGTTCAAATGTCCAAAACATCGAAAATGGTTAGTTGAGTGGTAGTAGGACTTTAATGCTGTATCAACTTACTTTATCACCACATCCCTTCCACATATCTTCCACCCTCAGGGCAAAGTGTAGTATAGGTTCCTTGTGTACTCTATCATATATCCCATTGAAATTTAATAAAATATTTGACCAGTGTCATATGTAAATGTGACTTTTGTGTGATATGTTATAATTATCACTTTTCCCACATATGTTCCTTTGCTTCCCTTTCAGTCAATACTTAATGGATCTTTCTGAATATTGAGGGATATGATTAGGGACATATATGAGATATGCTCCAGGTGTCTGATTATTAAATTTCGATGTTTTGAAGGTATGGGTCTCTTATCAGTAGAAATAGCAAGTGTACACACTAGCTCAAAACTCCGGCCTATTGTGAACTGATCATTGGTATAGAAAGCACATATATATGTGTAGCTAATGATATATGAGCAGGGTGGTCCATTTGTGCAAGGGTAGGATATCAAAAATATCAAAAATGTGATTTCACATATTTCTGTTCCTGTAGAAGGACCCTGTAGGTTTCCTGTGGTATCTATGTGATAGATATACTCTAAATATGCATAGGTGTAGACCCCCTACCATCCTGAGGGTCCAGTCCTACAGGAAAAAAATTCACAGGGGGTGAACCACCAGGAGAGGGTAGGTATACTGCATCCCAGGGTCTTGTCCTATTACCCTAGACTCCTGATACATTGTTCCTATTGGTTAATAGATGCTGGGGATAAATTTTACAGGTACATCTACATAGAAATACATGCATGGGAACATATTCTGTGTTTTCATGTATATTTGCTATATCTATTGATGCAGCTCACTTCAGGGGGTCAAAAAAGTGGTGGAATCTCTTCATATACACTTCTAAATATGTCCTGAATACCCCAGAACACTTCCCTATCAAAGGGGCAAAAATGCGAAAATGTTCTGTACCCTAGGTCATTTTGAAAGGGCCCTGGAGGAGGAGCAAGCACACAAATACACAAAAAAAGTGGGTTATTATATTATATTATACACATATATATCAAACTACTACTTATATATGAAGGAGGACCTACTGTGGTGTGGTGGTGAAGCTGCAGTGAGGTGGGGAGGGTGTGGGAATAATTATAATTATGGGGTATACCATATTTGGCGATGTTTTTGGTGTTGTGGGGTAATTCCCACACTGTGTGGCTGAAAAATGCGAACATGTGATGTGTGGGAATAATGTGGGGAGACCTGACATGAGCAGGTGACCAAAATGGGATATGTTTTGTGAATTTCCGCTTTTGGAAGCCAAAATTGCGGTCATAACATACTCCACTAAATATAGAATGTATCCTGGAATGAAAAGCAGCTGAGTTTAAAAAAATGCGAAAAATGCGGCTGTGTATAGTAGGGTGGTGATATATCACTAGTGCTAGTACAGTCCTGTGGTAAGTCAAAGGCCCTGATTTATCACGGCTTTATTCTGATGGGAGTAAATGATATATCATATCCCCAGGATGTTGTGATAATTCCTGCTGATTCTTTGAACAGGTATATAAATATGGACTACTTGTTTTTCTCGACTATGCAACATTCCGAAGATCTCATCGTGTTGAACGTGTCTTATGACATCGCCTGTCAGTGGAGCAAGAACATATGGGGCCGGATGTCGAATTACCCATCACGCATGCACTTTGCGCGTGATGGTAAAATCATGACTTTTCTTGTTCCAAAATTTCACTTACCCGCCCACATCACTGCATGTCAGATAACATTTTCGCACAACTTCATCAAGGGAATGGGGCGCACGGATGGCGAGGCTCCAGAACGGGGCTGGGCCAATATCAACCCGGTGGCCACAAGCACACGAGAGATGGGCCCTGGGGCTCGTCAAGATACACTGGACGATCATTTCGGCGACTACAATTGGAAGAAGGTTACGAACTTCGGTATGTGTTGTTTACTTTAGCACACTTAATGTAATTGACGAAGAAAATCCTAAGGTATCAGTCTACTGAGCAAAATGAAGACTGCGATTCCCGAACGTGACCGACACCGACAAGACTTTGACGACTTTCACCTTACGCTTATGGAAGAACAACCGGGTGAGGTAGGACAGTGGAAAGAATCTATCGAGGACTGGGAGGCCGACGCCTCCAACAAAAACCCCTTCGAGACAACGACCATCAGTAAGTATCACTCGCGCTAGGCTATTACGTGTACTGATTGTACGTAGCCTTGACGCAGGCTGCCGTGCGCCTTAGACTCTCCCAACAGGAAGCTGAAGATCTCGAAAGAGGTCTCAACAGCTCATTACACACGGAGATATCACCCAGCGTACTCATTTCATCGGGAATCGATCTCGAAGAACAACAGTAAGATTTCAAAGTATTTTTATTGGTAATTCTAATAACATGATCTACTACAGATTTCGCCTGCAGCAAGATTATAACGCTCTGAGCGGCCATCCGACAGACTTGCAGCTGACGAAGCTGCAAGAGCGTTCGAACGCACTGCTGCGCAAGATCGAACAGTGGTGCAAGGTCCAACTACTCTACATGCCTGCTGTTGGCCGCCTGCGTGCATTGGCGGATGCACAATCAGCTCGCGAGGAGAAGGCCTACGATATCAAACTTTTCCTACCGTCGAAGCTGAAGGAGGCAGCTGAGGTGTCATGTGATGAGCGGCTTTGTGAATACGAATGGGAGCTGCGGCGTGCACAAGCACACAAAGCTCTCGATGACGCTCGCCGGCAACTTCGTCTACGCACACACCTTTACAGGTTTAAGGACGCCCACATTCGTGGGCAACGCGCCAACACCAGGGCATCCTCCGTGCTCGCAAAAGTGGAGCAGACCATCAGGACAGCTGCAGCTCGATATCGCAGGGCCTGGGCAGCAGTGAAGACGCTGTCGGCGGTCATGGACAAACCAAACTGGGAGGTAGAATTGCCTGAGCTGCTGGCGGCCGATATTCGCGGGATGTCTGAGGGAGACTTTGGTCAATCCGAAGGCAACCGCACCCTTTCGTGGATCTGGAAGGCTCGGGGGGTGGCTGCGATACAAGAAGATGGCGAGGCTGTTTTATCAGAAGGTAAGCATTTGCGTCATTAATTGTACAGAATTGTCCTGACATACCTGGCAGCCTTGCGTATTGAATGGTGCAAATCGAGGGCGCGCGCCCATCATTGGGCCGAAGAAGTCGAACTCCTGCAAGAGGAGATGCGGCGTGTAGCTAGTTTTCTTTCGTGGCATGCAGGGTGGTGGGAGGAGCAGGCAAATCGGAGGACCGTTCTGGCTGCACCTGAACAGGAGGGCATCGAGGGTTATGCGAAACGCCAGGCCGCTCTTCGTAGAGCTATGCGGGACCGATTTCAGAAGATGTGGAGTGTCGTGCCGGCGCTTCTCCAGTCCACGTCGCCCGCAATATCCCTGTCAGTGTCGTAGGGGAGCTTTTGTTTCCATAGCGCATGTTGACTGTATATGGTAATCTTGATGTTCGTTCCTATTAATCAGATGTTAGTTCTCGTTCCTATTGATCGGGGTAGCGCCAACAATTGATTGGGGTATGGAGAGAAGCACCAGCGCCGATGAGGGAACGAGGGAATCGGGCCCAGATCGATCTGACAATGATCGGGCATGCGAGAATAGCAGGGGGGGGCCTCCTCTCTAGCTTGATGCTTCACCGAGAACAGGAGGGGGAGCCCCCTCTCTAGCTTGATGCTTCACGGTCAGAGGAATTAGTAGGGCAGGCAGTGTCTCTGGCTTCATGCTTCACGGTCAGTGGTTCAGAGGCTTTTTTGCATCAGGCCTTATGTCTAATTGGATACTTTTAAGCTTCATCACTACAGGTACAGGTGACATTTCTGCGATTTATGTTTATTTCATTGATATATTTTATCCCCCTTCATTCATTTTCGTTTATTGAGCCTGTACGCACAGTGAATACAATCTTCTTGCATATCCTCTGAAAGCAAGTCACTCTTGAGGCTCAGAACATTCGACTATTATCAAGGCAGTAGCTATTGTATCGCCGGATTGCTCTGCTGCGAGCGGAAGAGGTGATTTCCCTGATTCTTCTAGGAAATGCCACTCTCCAAGCTTACATTGTATTCTCCCACTCGTAGCTTTTAAGCGTGAATACATTCCGACACGACGAGAAACCTGTTTCACAGTTCATCGTTTCCCTCGTATGCAATATGATAACAACGTCACTGGGGAAAAAAAGAAATTATCGAGCGGTGGAAATGTCACACGAACCTTACATTCTAGCTAGATTATCACTGTATTTTGACTAAAGAACCGCGAAATGATAATATGGTGTATATTTTCATATCCTCGTGCCATTTTCATCATATTCTTACATGCATCTGGACTTGAAAAAATTCAAAGTCAAAACCCTCTGCCCTACTTCGTGTTAGTTCTTGTCTTCACACCACAATGTTCACATCGATGTTGTCGATTTATGGGTGTATAGCTAGTTATGTAGTATTAGTTGAGTACAATCGAGGTCGGAGGATATTGGCGAGCGCTGCATGGTTGAGTTTCGTGTATGTAGAGACAGTATGTACAGTATATATCAATTCATTCTCTTTGCTATGTTCTAGATATGGTCTCAATGCATCTCATATAGGTACTGTACTAAAGCTATTAAGCCATTCGGAATGCAGGTATATATGAGTGTATGCACCCGCTGCGGTCAAATGGACTCGAGATTACAACAAATGAAAATGTCCTCCAAAACATGATCAGAACATGGTGAAAACATGGTAAAAATGTGATCATTCTCTTTGCATTTTCATTTCTTTGTAACTTGATTAGAATATCACAAACATTTGGTGCGAATCTCGAGGTTCGCGCCACATTCTCACTTCGTGTAATCTATTTTTTTCCCCAGTGCGTTCAAGCACAACAGAAAAATACAGCAACCACTAGCACATAAATAAACAATTGCGGTTTCTCTTACAGAGGTCAATAAGAGGTCAACGATAAAATCTACATTGGCACGAAAGTCCAGCAAACTAGCATACATCGTGACCCCTCATGGTGATCAAGTGCTATTACTGAAGGTCATGAGTCTCCGGCGAATGTCTGACAGACGTTGTTTTCGTGACGAGAGCGACGCGCGCTTCTGAGCGATGGAAGCATCTTCACTGACCAACTCGTTCATACGCTCAGAGAAGTTGGGCCCAGACGCAACATCGGTCAGCAAGCTCGTGAGAAGGCTCTGCGATAGTTGTTCCGCCAGGGCGTGGTGGAGAGCATGCTCGATAGTCAGAGGAATATGGTCGATGACGCGCTGCTCGGGGCGATAAATACGTTGAAACGGAGACGATAAGCGAGGCTCACCTTGTAGGCAACCTGATAATATGCTCGAACGTCGGCCATCACAATTAGCTCCTTCTCGTATGGTTCGGGAGGTAACAGACGTGAGAGATTTGCTACAGTGAGTCCTACGTACCCTGCTTCCGCAAGTGCCCTCAAAGCTCTGGACTCGAGACTCTCCTCATAATAGTGATTCGGATTCAGTATTCTGCGAGGAGCCTCGTATGGACTTCTATCAAGATGCCGGGCTACCTTATAGTAGGCCAGCCATTTTTCTTGGAGTGTTTGAAGATAGTGCGTGTTCTGAGTATAGTATGGAGTAGTCTCCAAATTCAAAGCTGTTTTGACAGCTTCTTTGGCGCGCGCCTTGCAGATATCGACCTGAACTCTAATCAAATTGCTAAAGTCAAAAGATAATTTGAGCCAAGTGAATGATCGTGAGGAGTCAACACTTACCCGACATAACCCTCGAGAACTTTGAAGCGTCCGAAATGGATGGTTATGAGTGTGTTGATGACTTGATCGAGCACATCGTTAACGCCAACGAGACAGCGCTCAGACGGAGCAACCCAGAGTTTAATGAATTGAGCGATGAGGTTCGCCTTCGCCTGATATGGCACATTGTTCGGAAGCTCCCATCCAATTGAGCTTAATAATGGTTGAGCTGCCGTCTAACTGCCACAACAAGATACGAAAACATACTCATCGATGACCTTGCTGATGTCATGTACACCCATCATCTTCACCCCAGGGTCTCGTTCCGTAAGGGTCATCTTCCCCTCGGTATCATCCAGTGGAGGACGCTCTTCCGGGTTCTCATAAGGCCTAAAGTCAGGAGCAGTGCCGCGTATATCCCTCTTGAAAATAGCATAGTGCGCACGATTCCGCTGCGCAAGACGTTTGTCCTCGTGACTGCCATTCACAAAGCTCTTGAAGACATCGCAGAACGCATTAACACGTCCTAAAACCTCGATTTGTGGGTCATTTGCAAGTGGTGGTGGCAATGCATTGAAATCCGCCATACATTTGGCAAGGAGCTTGTCGATATCTTCTCTGAGACGCGGTAACCTATAAACAAGGTAAGTTATGTTCTAGCGAGCGAGATAGAAGGTCCACGCACGCTTCCTCGATCAGCTGGATTAGCAGTCGGCTTACATCGGAGACAAAGCCCGGAATTCCAAATCGATGACGGTCGGTCACGTTTCTCCAGGGGGACGTCGTATCGAAATATTCAGCAGCACGCCTTTGTGATTCGGCACGAGACAGGCGTTGTGTGCGTTCGGCATCATCAGGAAGACGCACGCAGTAAAATCCGTGCCTCAATGTATGATCCGCCGAACGGCCCTCAATGATTTCTACCCATTTTCGGCGCTGGTTGATAGCTCCAGCACCGAGTGTGTCAGGCTTCGTAAGGACACCTGAATAACTGTGAGTCATTTGATCATAGTGCATTATGGGCGACTTGCCAATCGTTCGCTTTCCGTCTGGGTCTGCGGCCCTGGCGAGACTCATGGATTGTTGATTTTCCATATCGTCTAGGACGGCGCGCATCAGCTTGGTTGAAGAGTATTTCGCAGTTCATACACGTACCACTCATGGGAATTGTGGTCAATATGATAGTGTTCTCTTTCTTGGTGTAATGTTCCGCCAAACTTTTTACCAAGGCAACAGTTTCGGCTTCTTCGTTTTGTATCAAGCCTTCATTGCACATTAGATATATTGCCTCAACACCAGATCAGCATGCACTTACCCGGTAAATCATAGAACGACAAGTCGGTTGCATCGGGGTCTTCAATCGAGACGCACACCACATTGCGGGAGAACTTCAAAGTATTTCTGGTGTTCCTGAGTTCCTCAATGGTCTTTGCGTGGAAACTCGAAGAAGGGACGTTCGGGTTCAAAATGGCTGACTGGGCACGACGCAGCCAAACTTCAACTTCATCTTTGTTGGTGATCGTTCGACCAAATGGCACAGTAGTAGTCCTTGGCAGGTCTCGGCCCTCACTATCGAAGCCCATCCGTAAGGTGATAGAGCAAGACCACGACGTGGCATGACTGGACATTGTACATTCCATAGGGCACCTGCATAGAGTAGCATGAGCACACCGCCTTGCAGTAACTAATGGTAGCAAGGTCACCTTGTACATGTTCCGCTATCCCTCGGGACATTGATCTTCATCATAATGGACAAAATCAATAAATAAATGGACAAGGAAATTATCTGCCGACGTACCCCACTGACAGCCTCGACGAGGGAACTTTTGCCAGCTAAAATGTTAGGTTGAGTATAGCTGTGGCCGCAATGGGAGGCAAGCACAAACCTGATTGGCCACCGATAACGACTACGGATGGTAAGTCGATGAGCGCCTCGGCACTGTAAGAGGTAGCATGAGCAAGCTCTCCAATAAGACCCACAAACACCCACCCCATGGATTTGAGATCAGACATCATCTGCATAAGCTCTCTACGCCTGAGGGCATAGTCGGTGGATGATATGTCAACCCATGTATCTGGAGGGCTGGCGGAACCAGAGAAGGAAGGAAGAGACATTCCATCAGGAGACGGATCGGCTGGTGGTATGGTTTGTCTGCGTCTCAGGCTATTGTGAAATATGCTCATGGTGGATTGGATGTGGGAAGCGCGTTGCAGACAGCATCTGAATGACCTCTGTTTTTATGCACCAGCGCTCGATCTGAGGCTTCTTGGGCACCCGTGTCAAAGCATAGTGCGCAGGGCCGCAACTTTGACTTGCAATCTAGGGTAAGCCGATTGCAGGTATAAGCAGAGATATCGCCTTGAGATGTCGCACCCACTGTGACACAGCAACCACAGCGCGTGATCATCTGCTGGCAACATTGTTGTATTTTGACAGCTATCAGGGGCTATCCCTACGGATATATATGCGGAATAATGCCGCAACCAATCATAAAAGATCTGCGGTGACTGATTCAGCAAATCGTGTTGTTCCAGTGGCATTTTCTGATATCAGAATCTGTTCATACATAGCAAGATACAACAAGAATGGTTGATAAACGGACACTTACAGGACATGTTATCGCATACAAGTTCCTGTATGAGCTCTTCGTGGGTCCATATATAAATACACAGGTGGAAGCCTAATTTTCGTTCGCGGAGCGAGCCATGGCCCATGTCACATGCAGGACCCACAGCTTCTTTGTTCAAAAAAGGAAGGAGTGTCTTCCTTCCAGTGATGGATTACGCAGCTATACCCTTTGCAAACCCATCCACGATGTGGGCGACTCCCCAAGCACCAGGGTCAGGAGGAACACCAACCCCTCCTTCTCCACCCCCCACATAAGATGCCCGCCCTAATCGTGCCTTCATTCCCCGGGTACTTTCCGCACCTTCTTTCACAGCAATCACAGCATCTTCCAGTGAAGCATCATCTGACGAAAGCACAGCACAGAATGGTGCTAAGGCATCAACGACAGTCCTATCTCCCGGACGAGCAGGTGTGTGTGCTCCTAACGCGATAAGAGCTGCGCTAAGTGACGATGGGCCGTTTAATGAACGTAAGGCATTGGACCATGCTGTGAAGAAGATTGCGAAAACTATCAAAGCACAGTGTTATTCACGTTATCCACGTCCAAGAATAGTCGACTCACGAGCACCAGCAGTACCACCCATGCTCCCTTCCAGTATTTCACCCACCTTGCCAACAAATGGGGCAGGAGCTGTCTTCGCTGGATCGAGGGTTCCAGAGTCAAGGGCCGCAAGAATGGCTGCATTCCGATTAGGATCACAGGCAAGCGAACAGCATGTACTCCTAAACAAACCTTGAGCACCACTAGCGAACGTCTCTCCGCAGTCACCATCGCCCACAATCGTGTCAAATCGTGTCATATCTGGCTCAGCGACCAGCACAGCTTGACACGCCCCTCTGATACCCTTGATCACGTTCTCTTCTAACATACCCAAACCTTGCCAAGTCGAACCCCCGTCAGATGAAGACTGAGAAGTCCCAGAAGGAGAAGAAGTGAATGTTCGTAGCAAGGCCTCCGCCTGTACTTCATTCTCGTCAGGGGTGGCCCTGACAGCCGGCCATGAGCGTACACCAAGCCAGGAATGGGCATCGGTTGGAGCGTCCAGGAGCGCGAGCAAGTCGATCTCATCTTCCTCGTTGTTGCCTGCAGCGACATATACTCCATCAGCTTTTCTTGACCATGCGGATGGAACTTGAATCACCATTAATAAGTTCGTGAATCCTGGATACGTTCACAACGGATATTGAGAATCCAGGCGCATTCAACGAGGTCATAAATGGAGCGCAGTAGACACGAGACGGAACAATCTTCTGCGACGCTATTTTATGGTTAATTTATTTTGGACCTTGATGGAATGATGTCACCTACCAAGAACGTCCCGGACTTCTTCCACTATTGCGCCAATTTCAAGTTGCGATACACCGCCAAGATTATTTATGAACAACACAGTCACATCATCTTCGCGGAGCCACGACTCATGAGCGTCAAACTTGGGCGCCCCTGAAAGGCAAGAGAAGTTAATATTCGCAAATAATCATAATTGAGTGTGTTACCTTCGCCCTTGTAAATATCTGCTCCGCTCCATCCTCCGCCAGACATACTCACCAGGCGCAACATCTCAGTGGCGAGCCAATGAGAGGATTCCAACGGTGCACAGCGAACGCCTGGTTCATTGTGTAAACCGAGTCCCAGTTCAACGTGGTTGTCGGCAATCAGTTGAGAAGCTGCATGGTTTGATGCCACGCGATTGGCAGTGGAGCAGTGATATGCAACAGAAGTCAGAAGTTATACCGAATGTCAGTGTATGTGGATGATAAATGGTGCCCAGGCTCTGACCTGAATGTGGTTCGCGTCCAGGGACATGGCAATGTCCGAGGGCAACACCAATGCTACGTAAATGTGCAACTAGTGCATCACCAAGGCATTTGGCACGTGCAAGCGTGGGGTTAGGGGCACTTGGAGAGGTAGATTCTACAAGGAAGTGAATGAGCGGTTTATCATCAACGCCGTCAGAAGCAAACTACGAAGAAATACAGGCACTGATACTCACCTCCTTTGCCACCGAACATGGTGTAGGCACCAAGGACCTTGCACACAAAAATGTTTCCCCCGAGACCTCTCGGACCAACCATCCCCGCGTCCTTCCCGTCTTGCCTTGTCTGGGGCAAAAGCGAAACGTCGTCCGCATTCAGCACGCTCACGACATTCAATCCCGGATGTTTCGCACGAGCATGCTCCATAGCTAGACCGAAGTTCAAACGATCGCCAGTGTAATTGTTGATGATGATCACCACGTCTCGAGGGGTGGGGCTGTTTGTAAATGCGGCAAACTCGATAGCGGCCAAAATTTGTTTTGCACTCGGACTCGCGAAGACATCACCGGAGACGGAGGATGTTAGCATTCCGTGGCCTGTATAACCAGCATGCGCAGGCTCGTGACCGGCACCCCCGCCAGATAGAACGGCAATGCGAGTTGATGGAGGAGTGTTCGCAACATACACTATCTTAGTTGAGGCATGTCTAAAGAGCGTTAATGGATCGAACGTGATGTACACATGCAAGCTTACAGACGAAGCGCAGGGTTCAATGCAACTGCACCGCGGAGAGATTTGAGAACGAGGCCATCAGAAGAGTTGTAGATGTGTTTGTGAGACATGGCAATATGTCACACCATAAACTTCATAGACTAAGGGATCGTCGCTCGAACTTGATGGATATGATTATGGGGCCGCGAAAGAGAGACCGTGGGTGCTTTGGTAGATAAGTCATCCGTTCAGTCAGAGGGTCACTTGACTCACATGAGAAGCGATATCGTGGTGAGGAAGTTTGCTCCACCTGACAGCTTTGCTTTCGTGGATTGAGAAACAGTTGATGCCCCGCTGCCTTATCTCCAAACTACCCATGTACAAGAACCAACGACTGTTCAGTAGCCTTCAGTAGTTTACCAAGATTATGACAAGCCCGAGACTATCACCTTGTAATACCACTCCACTGCAGCTAAGTTTAGGAAGAAGCCATGGGGCTTCAATATCTTGTGATCGTTAATCGGAGTATTTTGTAGCCCGGACCGCTCCTATAGCTATGCTTGGAGGCGCAGATGTAAGACCAAATATGAAGAAAGAGTGAGTACACCACGAGCGATGCACCTTATGATGATGATTCCAAGTTAAGACTCTAGTGCTTCCGTGGTGTCGTGCGGGGAGCCTCCCCCGGTTCCGATTCTAGACACAGGCGTCGCGGTGAAATTCCAGTCATTACAACTGTGTACTCTGTCGGCATGGAGTAGCAGCACACCGCCCATTCAGAGCGACCTCTGACATGAACACAAACTGTTCGTCGCAGTGTCAATGATAGTACCTCGTCGTCAACTCGCGGTAGTCCGCTGACATTATTACGCTCCGTGACAGCGCCCTTTAAAAGAACAGGTTACATACTTAGACTTAAGCTTCAGTCACGGTCTTCAAGATGAACTACACAACCACCGAGGTGCCTGAAGGCCTGATCAGAGGCAGTGGCACAGTGCTGAATCCGGGGTCAACAAAGGTCACATGATCATAGCTCAAGAAATAACCAGCTTGATGTTTCCGCGCATCTCGCAAATCATGCATGCTTTCAAACATTCAATCAAGTATTTTTGGCTGCACCTTTTGATCACTGATCATCATCGGTGTTGCCTTGCAGCGCTCAGCTTTCATGACATTGGGGCAATTTAATATCGACTCGAGGTGTTTTACAATCTCGTCGGTATCTTGTTCGAGAGGAGACACGGCTTATAGGCGGTCCTATTATGCCTCTGCTGGGAGGTCCCCTACCAAGTAGTCTTGGGTAACGCGACGCTGGCATATCTAGGTCGGGGACGGTCAATGCGTTCTCGCATGAGACCGACTTAGACTTAATGGCTATGGCTCGGACAAACTAGCGCATCGATCGGACCTAGAACACGTGAAGTTTTCTTATCCATTCCTGCGTGTCCGCGTGCCTTTTTTGGAGCTCCGTTTGAAGAAATTGTATGACTTCCCTCTATCCAATGGACGGACAGCACGGGCTAGAATGGCACTCGGGACCCTGGTACCCATGGGCCCCATCCTTCGATAAATTTTGAGATGAATCGGAAATACTCTTGGTCGGGTCGGTAGTACTTACTTGGACATAGTGCGCGCTGGCTTTTTGTATTGGTTGGTCTAAATAAAGTGAGCACGTGATTTAGGTATTTTTAACCCAGTGGAGGCTTGCTATCAATGAACATGCAGACTGTGAACGGCATGACCGGCACATGGCTATATATACCGATTATACGTGTGTTTTGCACCGGGGTGTTGTTTCTCCTCCCACCACCTTTTGAAGTTCCTGCGACACGGAGCCGTACGTACAACTCATCGTTTTCCCGAGCTTTCAGTGAGAAAGAATATCCTCCTCGCCGTCTTCTCGCCAATTTTAAACTCCTGCCTATATTTGCGACTCGACAACCTCTTCTTAATCATAAGCCATCTCTTTCCGTTCCTCAGAGTTCAAATATTTCCAACCACACAAGCGTATCATCAAACTAATCAGCATGCGTTTGTCGTCACTCTTTACTTCACAGACCACAGTCTCTTCTGCTTTCATTGCAATCACACTCTTTTCTCTGTCCGCCAGTGCCCAGGACCGTACCACTGAACAGGGCGAGGCGCAAATCACTGGTGAGCATTAAATTATCATTCCTGGTTACAGGCATTAGCCAAGGCGGTCCGGAATGGGGATATATATATTGGCGGGGGCGCACGCGTCCTCTGAATCGTCACAGTGGTGTACACTGCTCCATCTATTGTGGTTCAAGTGGGTTGTTCAATTTGAATGCGCCCTTTTTCGCTTGAATACAACATCATGCGCCCCTTTATCTCCGAACGAGAGCCGAGGAACGCTTCGGCTATTCGATGGGCGGATATTATGTTGGTGGTGATGCTACGCGAGGGGTCGGACCACATTGCTTCTTGCGTGCATGTTTTCGACATGTGTGTGTTTGTATCACAGGGCGGGCTGTAACCGCCTTGACAACTTCGAATTCGGCCACTCTTGGCCCAGGATCTTCGAATTACGTACTTCATATTTCGTGGCTCTCCGATTTTTTTTGTCATGCATAATTCTGATCACTTCTCAACTCAGACCCAAACCAAGAATGTACGGCATATTACTACGCTCCCGTTAGCGCTGCTATATCTGCGGGCGAATTCCCGCCTATCTGGACACCTGCCACCATTGTCAGCACTGACACGAATGCTCAAGCCAAGTACCAGTCCATCCAGAGCCAGATCCCAAATATTCAGCCCAAGGGCACGCAGCCTGCATCCCTTACGGGTGACTTCAGCAACTTTACCCCGACGTACCCTCCGTCTGACCCAGATTGCTGGTGGACATACGACCAATGCACTACTCCGAAATTGGCCGGATTGCCTCCGGATCTGTCTACCGTCCCAGAAGTATGTTTTTCTACCTCATCATGATCCGGTAATTGACTTTGTCTAGCCGGACACTCTGGGTTATGGTTTCGACGATGGACCTAATTGCTCCCACAATGTGTTCTACAATTTTTTGTCGCAAAATAATCAGAAAGCCAGTGCGTCGATTTTGATCATTTTTTCAACTTTTGTGTATTCTTAATGCAATCCAGCCATGTTCTACATCGGCAGTAATGTCATGGACTGGCCTCTTGAGGCGCAGCGCGCCCTCGCTGATGGCCATGAAATTTGTGTTCGTGAGTCTTTGCGCGCTTGCCGTTGTGGTTGTGCATTAATGTCATACCGGCGCAGATACTTGGTCGCACAGATACAGTGAGTGTTACGTGTTAACGGCCATGCTCAGGTGGTTGATTAGGCCCTTACAGTGACTTCTTTGACCAATGAAGAAGTCTTTGCTGAGTTCTACTACAGTACGTCACCTAGCATTGTCTCCTTACCTTCCACTCTAATCACCCCTTCCCAGCCGTGAGACCTCTGATCGAGCACAATCGGAAATTTATTGACCTTGGCTTCTAGATGGAGGCGATCAAGTTGGTTACCGGTGTGACACCTACTTGCTGGAGGGTAAGCATAATTATTCCCAGGTGTGCAACTGTCTAATACACCCTTAGCCTCCCTTCGGCGATGTTGATGATCGGGTCCGGGCCTTTGCCCACGCGCTGGGCTTGCGCACGATCATTTGGAAATATGACTCCAACGATTGGCGTGCAGGCACTGGCAACATCACTTCTGCTAATGTTGACCAGAACTATGAGGACCTCATTACTCGTGCACAAAACGGCACCTTCGCCACCGTAATTAAACCTCGCCTACTCCTAGCGCCAACCATGAAGGACTGACACTACTTGCAGGAGGGTACTATCATGCTTACGCATGAACTGAACAACTTCACCATGGCCGAAGCTGTGAAGTTCTACGCCCAGCTGAAAGCTGCATTCAAGTACATCGTTCCCATGGGTGTTGCCACAAATCAAACTCAGCCATACGTCGAGACCAACATCTCTCAACCCTCGTTTGAGCAATGTAAGACAAACGCTATCTTGTCAAATATCTTTATATTGACACTTGTGCAGACATCAGCGGTACAACAACACTCTCCAATAGCATTCCACTCCCCACGGATGGATCTTCTAGTTCAACAGGGTCTGGATCGTCTTCTGGATCGTCTTCTGGATCATCTTCTGGATCATCTTCTGGAAGCACAGGTTCCACTGGTGCTGCGACCAGAGCCTCATTTGACGGTTTGGGAACGCTTGCTGCGGGTGCAGCATTCGTTGGCTTTGCTCTGAAACTCTTGGCGTAGCCTCCTCCTCGTCCAGTTGCTGGACCTTGTTCTTTTTCTTCTTTTTTCTTGTCTCTGGTTGGCATTTGTGATGTTTTCATTCCCGGTCGCACATGCGCTATATTCCTGAACAATTGCAACGTTCTCCACGCATAGCATACCTTGACATTTGTCGTTCCTCATCACCACTAGAATTTCGCACTTGTCGACAAAGATAGCACCAAGCTCACGCACCAATACGCTGGTGTTAGTTCTTAGATCCTGTGCATTGTCATTTAATATACCGGACCCTGTTATGTTGTTCTTTTACTATGATACCGGACTTTTCTTGCTTTTCTTATTCAAATGTTGGGCTACTACGGACACGAAGTTTATTAAAAAATGTAATTACGATCACCGACGAACAGAGATGTTACGACATGTAATGGTGGTCTGCATTGAGGTATGGGATGTGCTTAATAGTTCTTTCGTTACCAGCCCTATAATAAACTTCAGCATTAATCAGAATCACATAGCCTCTGCGGCAAAAAAGAGTCTGTAGTTGACGGGCGCTGAGATCTGAAGGGTTCGTATGAAGTGCACGTCTAGATGTCGGATCGATGATGGACCTGGGCGGCAGCCAGCTTGACAGGCATCTAGATCAGTCTCATAGCCCGCAACACATTACTCACTTGATGTCAGAGCGGCGGTCTGAGCGTGGATTCAGCGTCGTTCCGTGGTTTGGTGGCTGAGATCCGTCGGGAGTCTCTCTGAACAGCCCAACAATAAGGAAGACGTTGCGCGGATGAGAAACCAGCTGTCACGGTAGTACGAAACGTAGCATTGTTGATGCTCATTGTTAAATCTTGGTATTTTTGCCCTCGTGTTGTCTTTTGTTGTACGGTATCCCGAAGCCGCCATTCGTTGTCCTCTTGTTGTATACGATTAGTCATTCGATTTCTAGTACCTTGTTGACGTGGGTCCCTAGAGACAGGACGACGTGCTTGCAGGCTATTGGAAGATATTGGCGCCAAGCGCTCAATTGAATATTGTTCTGTGCAATTATAGGGATACCACGGATAAACATCTTCAGCGAGTCTACATACATCGTTTCCCGGTGCTCGGACATGATGCATGACGGGCGGCTTATGTTGGCGTGAGTTGGCGTGAGTTTTTCTTGGCGCTGCAGGTGGCCAAGCGTCATCATGATAGGGTGGCCCTGCCAATACCAGATGGTTGTCGGGGACTAGCTGTGCGCTACGGAATGTAATATCAACGTTCGCATAGTCCCGACTGAGGTACACAGAAACCTACGATGTATTCCGACTGCAGCTAGTCTTCAAGATGTCTTCTCCCTGCCACGTCGTAATCACTGTATACTTGGAGCATCTTTCTCGAGGAACAACACCAAGAATCTCATGTTCTCGTACCTTTGACGTCGTGTGGGCCGCCGGTGTGGCTGAGATAACTCAGCCCCGAGGAGGCGAGCAAGAGTGTGAAATTATTTTCGGCAAGCTCCGATCGTACTTTAAGTAGACTACGGACAACTCCGTGCACGGGCTATGTCCATTGATTTGACACTGCGCAGATCTCAACACAACGTTTTCGCCATTCAGTTACTTATGACGGTTGTTTGATAATGTTTATGCAGAGCTTTGGAATTCAACATGTACAAACAAGTTCAGTCGCTGGTGGAGGTGGCTGTACGTTGGAGGTAAGTACGCCATGGTGACGTCATGTGTCCAGCCCAAGAACTCTCCATTTAAACCCTTGATACCCAGTAGCACCCAATGCTCCGCATCATCAGCACTCCCATTTCCTCTTTTTCACCCGAGCTCAAGCTAATTTTTGGTAGGCTTGTACAGTAAGGTCTTGGTGTCATACGCTCGTATTAATCTCGAGGATTGCAGGATAAATACCTCTCGCATCTCTCCTTAAGCGTGTTTATCCCTGCGAACCGTAGGATCGCAATGTCCACCAGAAAACGATCTAAACGAGACCGCACATCTTCCAAATCATCGCACGAATCGCCCACCTCTTTGGCTAAAGAGAAACATCTGCCAAGTTCCTCGGGCCCTGACCATGTCGCTCAGTCAGACTTGCCTCCTTCACGATCTAAACCGATGTTGAGGTCTGTTTCCCCACCGGGATATGGGGGATCACTACGTTACTTCATATACACCTTGGTGACGACCGCCCTTCTCTTCACGGGGTGGTATACATACATCACGGCTGTGGGGCTCAAGCACTGGAAAGAGGAAGTTGGGTGGTGGGGGATGTCTGTCGGGCGATTTGGAAGGCAGGATAGTTTGTACTGGAACCAGCGGAGAGGTCACGAAGTGAAAGCGGAACTCGAAGAGCATTTCAGTCAGCTTGCATCCTCACTCGGAATTTCGGCAACGGACTTAGCTTCGGCTGTCAAACCATTTGTGCCATCTGCAACACTGTCTAGTATTGCACCTCAGGCTAAGGGTGAGGCGGTGAAGGTCCTTTTTGAGGAGTCGCATCAAAACGAGTACCGGGGGGATAGCAGTGGAAACACTGTGGGCAGCTGAAGGATTTGGGAAAGTGATTGGGTTCGACAATTTTCTAGAAGACAGATTGAAGAATCCATTTCACCATATCTTCACATGTACATCCAAGGACGATTTTGTAATTTCAGAGATAGATACTAGTACATATCGTGTTGTTCAGACTCGTGTATCTTCTCCTAGTATTATTATGGGTTTTGGGCACCATCATTGCATAAGAGAGACTTCGACACTGTTGATTGAACTTAGCGAAACCAGTAATATGGGTTTGACATGGTCAATTCATAGTCGATGATTCGGACAACCTTTAGTTGTTGCGCTTTGATGATACTAATACATACAGGACCCAAAGGCTCGTGCGGTGCTTTCAGTGCAACAAAGACGACACCCCTAAGACTTGAGGATGCGTTCTATTACACCCTGTGCCGCCAGCACTAAGCCGTCGTTGAATCTTCGGCTCACGGTCTGCAGAGACACTGGGGCCCCTTTATATGCCGCTGCATCATCTATATGCAGTGATCAGCTCATGCCATCCTGTATGAAGAACACGACTAACATAGGGAGATGTTGTACTCATCCTCCGCACTCATCGGACTGGGAAGCTCCTGGTATATGTCAACAGCTGGGTCAGCGACGAGACCTGTCGGGAAGACTGCCCCTGGGTAGTCCAACAAATTCCAGATGGCCGTGTAGCTAAAATATGAAGTGTTAGATTGCCTGGCACCCTGCGACATACTATTACGCACCCCCAGTACTTCGTAGTGTCATGGAGGCTGGCTGTACCTTGGAAGGGTGGGCACACGACAACGTCGACGTTCTGGGACCACCAGTGATCAGAGTACTCCCGCCGGAATTTATCACGTTGATTGCGTAGCTAATCAAGGTCAGGGCTCGTGTCGAGACGCAGCAGAACATCTTACCTTCCAAACTTGCGCAGCATCATGATTCTTCACGAGTTGTGGACTGATTACCCATTCTGTCAGCGGATGCATATCTTCTCCACTCTCCTCTAGAAGACGTCGGACTGTGGCTCCTCCATCCTCGTAGTAGAGCTCGTGCTGGAAACACGTGAGTTACATTATATAGACCCCACAGGCTACCAGACTCACGACTATGCTATATCCACGGCCGTGGTCATATGGAATATAGTCCACCACCTCAACCTCTGATGATGCCTCAAGCTTTGCCTTCACCAAATTCAGTGCTCGAATAGTCGGAGGATGTGGCATCACAACCCCGTCGTGCATCATGATACCTACACGCAGTTTCTTCTGGGTCAGATCTGGCACATTTAGTGGAATAGGCAAAACATCTGGGTCCAGGAGTGCAGGATTGGCCCCAAGCACAGCTTCGAGAAAGAGTTGCATGTCTCGTGCTGAGCGACACATCGGGCCTGTAGAAGGAATGACTCCGTCCTGACCAGGTTGACTGAGGTGATTATAAACACGACTCTGTGTCAGAGCTTGGTACACTCACTACCACAGAAGCCCATGGGTGGGCGTCGTCCGAGAGGACGGACGGATTCCATATATACCACAGTGGGCAGACGGACCTCGAATGGATCCCCCACCATCGCTTCATTGGTAATGCATCAATTTCCATGTCACATATAGGACACACACTTACGTGCCAAGACCCATGCAAGAGCCTTTCATGGCGACGAGGGCTGATTCACCACCAGAAGATCCTCCTGGAGTAAGGTTCGTATTGTGGGGGTTCAACTAATAAACTTGAGTCACTGAAAGATGGCTTTACTCAAAAGACCGCCTACCGATCGACCGTAGTTAGACTGAGACTCAAGGTGCATGATAGTTTGCGGCTGGTTGGTCTTGACATAGAAAACTGTGAACATGCTCGACTGACAGCATGTTGTTCCAGGAATTAACTACATACCTGCACCTAATGAACGCAGAATGCTTGTCATATCGCAGTCTCGCGTCGAGGTCTCGATGTCGACGAGGAAGCCCCCAGTCCCAACTGTCCCCTTAATGGGGTAATGGGCCTGACGACGAGGTAATGTAAGATAGATTGCAAGTTGGTGATGGTGCACTTACTTTGACTGAGATTGGCAATCCATGCAGTGGCCCAACGACCTTGCCTTCTTTTCGGAAGTACTCATCCAGCTGCTGTGCCTGTTTTATGCCTTCATCGAGGAAGAAGTCTATAAGACAAGCTGTGAGCTGATGGGCGATAGCTGCGCGCTTTCCAAAGGCAGTGACAGCTTCGACTGCTGTCAACTCGCCCGCAGCGATCTTTTGGCACACAGCGGTTGCATCTAGCTCAGTAATGGCCAACTCTTGGGGAGTGAGCAAGCCACACGTCTCGGGAATGTGAGTCACATCAAGAGGTGGGTCCTCAAGAATGGCTGGTGGGAGTCTGAGACTTGCTGGAAACTTGGCTTCAAGCTGTTCTCGTAAGACGCGAGCCTTTGCCTCGTACAAAGCGTTACCCCCTACGCCTTTGATTTTCTCTTTAAAAGATACTGTAGCCATTATTATGACTGGGGGAGAGGGAGGTAGAACGCTTAATACACTGGGGTTGCGATATATGTACGATCCTTGTAAGCAGCTCCTCAGATAAGCTGTCCGCCAAAAATACGCATGACGTCTTGGTGAGCACATGATGTCCCATAGCAGAAATGCCAGTAGGGAGCGACAAGTCACAAGGTTAATGAATGGAATTGGTTGCTTACCACCAACACATAAGTCGAGAAAATGGGAACATGTGCGTTAGACGGCGTGGGCGACACTGTTCGATGCAGGCAAGTCGAGACCTGGGGCGCGCGGTGAGGGGGAACCGAATTCACCCAACAGCACTGTAGAAGAAAATTACAACGGAGGGAGTGCGCAAGCACAAGCTCTAAGAACAGACACACTTCCTTCACGAAGCTAGTAGTGGTCCGTAATCAAACCAAATAATAGAAGGAAGATAGCCAAGCCAGTGAGATGAGTGGCAATGAGTCTGGGCGCGGCGGATGCCGAGCACCTCAACTTGTGACATAGGTAAGATATGTAATAACGGACCGGAGCATGTGCTATTTTCCACTCTACAGTTACCGCGTGTTGCACTATTCAGTCAGGAATCAGCACTCAGCACTGCCTAGTGGGGTCGAGACTACATAGTTGACTTCTGCACGTTGATGATGATGTTGCATTGTGTGTCACTGCACCGGATACCGGATTGTAAGCTCCCCGTAGTTGTCGATCCGCGGGGTCTAACATTACTTGATACTGAATTCCGTGGCTATCGATGAAGGACAAGTAGCAGAGCACGCAAAGGTTTTGGCGCCAATATCACAACAGGGATGAGATGATACACATTCATTACGCAGTTACCCTTCCTGGCATATAGGGCCATACTTTCATCATGTTTCATGGACCACCAGCAACCTGCATTTTGATCTAGGTTCCGGAGATCGATCAGATGGGCGCTACGCACACTTCGCAAACAGGGCGTTAGTATGCACTTTAGATAAAATGGTAAAATATATACGCACGAGGTCGCCGTCGACTTGTCCTGGAGGACTTGTGCAGCGCTACAGATACATGCTTGCAGCAACCCTTTTGAAATGTATGAGCGTCTTTCAGTGCAGAAATAAAAAATGGCTCAAGATACGGCTGGACCGGCATAATGTTAGCCAGCAACGACCACCGGTGTAACCGGTCCCAGGGAAAAAATAAAAAGAGAAGACTTATTGCTGCACAACGACAGTAAGAAGTGTGTGATTAAGATCTTTGCGATTTGAGATAGCTCATTTGACGAAATTGGGGTGAATATGAGTATAGGGGTAAGCGCCGGGCTGGCTTTTAGTGCAGGAGAGAATGAAGTTGATTTAAGCGACTGAAGTAAACCGGCCACTCTGGAGTCGGGAGCCAGCTGGCTGTGACTGTCTGCCAGCATGACGAAGTCATGGGAGTGAAGGGTTGTCCAAATAGCCTCCATAATGTAGGCTGGACGTTGATAAATACTCTCTGAACGAGGCGAGCTGCAATACCCAGCATTCCGAACCACGGTTCAGGGTGGATGCAACTCGAGATAATATTTATGCCGTATCCATAAGTCGCGGCATCGACCATACGGTGTTTCAACTACCACATCATTGCGATAAGTACATATTCCACCAAGAGTTTAGAACCATACCCATGGAATAACGTATTATTCTGCAACCACGTTATACCGAATCCATGCCACTTCTCGCATACTGAAAGCCGTCTTCATTCGTCTATAGTGTGCCGGCAGACTAGGGAAGACTAGTCTGATAAGCTAGCCCTCAAACTTTATAATAAACTCACGTCTTCACGGTGTGCATGTCCATCAAGAGATAGGCATGTACTAGTTTTTGGCATTAGGCATAGGCGCCTTTGTACGTACTAAGCAGGACGGTTGATGTATCGATCAGTATTGATGTTGCTGGTTCTAGAATCATCTGATGCTTAGAACTTGTTTGCCTACGAGAGACAACTGAAACGTGTACCTAGTGACCTTTGGTTACAGTATTACTGAATTATGCCAAGCTACTTCGAGGCAGACGCGCTTGCACCGAGTTCTGATTTGAAGAAGGAGATCTGAGATAGAAAAAAAGACTCGACGTGAACAGACGGAGTCCCGCAAAGTTTAAGCTGGCGCTAAACTCAAGCTAAACTTCAAAATTAGGCCAACGGTGGTCGATTGATCCTGATTGATCCCACGATCTGATGCGGTTCAGGTGACTGAATCGTATGTTGCATCATGCCAGTAAGCACCTGAACACTCATTTCAGAAACTTCATCACAAGACGTCTATTCTCAATGTCTCCTGCGTCACCCGAGGCATTTTCAGTCGAGAAAGGCGTTGCAATCGCAGCGGTACGGAGAGCATGTCTGGCAACTTGCACTGTGTTCAACCAATTAGTCCGAGACAGAACGGATACCCTCAGTAAGGAAGACGAATCACCAGTGACAGGTATCAATTTCCGTCTCTCAGGTTTGAGGGTCGATGCTGATCAATTTGGTAAAGTCGGAGATTATACCGCACAGGCGGTCATCAACACTGTCTTGAAGAATGCATTCCCCAAAGATCCGATTGTGGGCGAGGAGGGTGCAGCTGCCCTCCGATATGAATCAAACGCCAGACTGAGAGAACGAGTGGTTTCCCTGGCTACCAACGCATTACAGGAAGATCTCATCGACGGGGAGAAATCGCAATGGGGTTTAGGTTCTCAACACAAGCACAGTTCAGAGGTCCTGTTGGCGGCAATAGACGAAGGAAACGATGCAGGTGGACCAAATAAACGTGAGGCTATGTTGGATGTCATTAATTCCATATTCTGACTTGTAATCAGGCATGTGGACAGTTGACCCTATCGACGGAACAAAAGGCTTCTTACGCGGTGGCCAATATGCCGTTTGTTTGTCTCTCATTGTGAATAGCCAGGTTGTGCTGGGCGTCATCGGATGTCCGAACCTATTAACAAACCCTGCAAACCCTGAGGGAGAGAAGGGCTGTATCTTCGTTGCGGTCCGAGGACAAGGCGCCTTCCAGGTAATCTCCAATTTTGCGTATATGACTCCCCTAATTTTCCTATGCAGATCGCCTTGTCAGGCGACAGTGTGGTTAAACTCCCTTACTTTCGTCCAGAGAAGTCATATGTCCTGCAATCAGAAGAGCCGAAGCACACCAATCTACCGTTGATTAGACAGGTATCCGATGAGCTCCACCTCACTGAATGGGCAATGGACAGCCAGGCCAAATATTGCTGTGTTGCCAGAGGAGAGGGTGCTGTGTATCTCCGCATGCCAGCGCCTACCACTGGCGGTAAACAACCTTACGAGGAGAAGATCTGGGTAAGCCATTGGTCAATCAATTACTTGGCAGCGCTAATAATTCCGTGATTATGACTTGCAGGATCATGCCCCTGGAAGCGTTCTCGTTGAGGAGTCGGGTGGAAAAATTACAGACTCTGAGGGAGCTTCGCTCCAATTTGGACTTGGGAGGGGCATGGGAGAGAATCGTGGCTTTATTGCTACAGTCGATGAAGAACTCCACGGGCGGGTGGTATCAGCTCTCGAGCGGGCTCAATTCACAAAGGATGCTAACAAGACAATGGCTACACCTTAAGGGAGCCCCTTAACGAGAAGGAGTGAATTAGCTATCTTTCATCTATAAGATACTGGTACAACATATGGTTCCCTCTTCGCACTATTATGTAGGTAGGTGGAGATTAAATGACAAGGCAGGCGTCAATCAAGATCGCGCAAGGCACCGCAGTCTTCTGAACCTGGAGGGCTAGGACCTACTCCACCCCACATCGCCTCCCTTAGACGAATTGAATTAAAAAATCCATGGAAGGTTCTGTTGCGTCCCACGAGGCGGCATCGCGAATGCCCGATGAATCGCCGTTCAGCGCTCAGCGTCCAGCCCTTGTTGAGGCTTCGGTGACATTCATGCCGAACTGCTTGTGTCAATGGATTAATTTGTGCCAGTCTTGCAAATGGTCAAGGCATAGAACCGGCGCCATTGTACATAACTAGTATAGTACTACACGGAACCGTTGATGCTATGCTCCCGGTCCGAGTTAAAAGACAAAAATGCGCGCGCGTTTAACACTACGTACGCGTTTACCAGATGATTTTGGTCTAACCACCAAGTCAAACTTTGCGCGCTCAGTACTAGTGTCTCCCCTAGTACTAGTTCCTCCCCTACTAAGCGCTCAGTGTGTGTGAACTTGATGTGAACATTGTGAAGAGAGCAGCGTGGTCTGCACAGCCTGCCGCCAGCATGCCTGATCTGGCGCTTATAATTTTCCTCAGTACTTCCTGGCAGCTGCACATTGCACCCATTTCCCTGCCCAGGGAAGGGCGCGTCAGAACCAGGCGCTTGATAAATGAGCGCTATTTCGATGCTTCTTGCCTCATGGCTATCGGTCGCGATTCAACATTGTGACACAGCGCCTAACATACCCGCCGAGCTCTTTATTTAAACCAGCTCTCTCGACTTACCACATATTCTATGCAGCCTAGCAAAAATGATTGATCAGGCAACTCTTCAGACGGCGACATATAAAATCAGGCATATTGCTACCGGGCAATACGTTGTTCTCAAGGACACCAACAGGACTTCATCTTTGATTGTCCTGCAAGACAGCCATTTCGAACACCTTGCAGTAAGCCTCCACAAATCTAGCCTCTATATGCTCATTTTCTTTTGACAGTGGGTTCTGGACAAGCTGGCTGGACTTGAAGACTCGTATCATGTCAGGAGTTTCCTGCAGAACACTTTTCTTAGGATGGGACAGTCTCCCACAGCGGGCGCTGAAATTGTTTCCGGGACAGAATCATATCCGTGGTTCATTCGTCCTGCTGCTAGCGGTTTTGGCGACTTCTACCTGTAAGCAATGCTGTTATTGTTGATTCGGACGCATTTCTCAATGCAAACTTAGCATTTCACCTTGTTCGGATCCCTCGCTCTATTTGACCATCGTGAGGACAAGGGATGGTGCCAATGTAAGCTATCTAAGTCTGGCTTGCAGTCTCGTACTCGTAACTCATCAGCCATAGCAGGCTACACTGACCAACAACCCAAAACATCATGTATACTGGGAGTTTGCTAAAATGTCTGCCTGAGAGACGAAGCTGGGAATTGGGTGGGGTGTGACACTGGGTCTTGGTGAAGTGGGGTGCGAAGTTCGAGAATTCAGGGTCACGTCCAGCCAGCTCTCAGCGGATTTCTTTGTATAGATAGTATTGTTTTCTGTGTTCTAAAATGTTCGATAAAAATGCTGATTATGCCATGCACTCAAGGCTGTGCTTGTGATAGAAGGCGTCTATTTTCTATCCGGTAAGAAGTCCACCAGTGATAATTTCATAACATCCGGTAGTTGCCCACTGGGTCGGAGTACAAACACACCCTCAAGGCTGTGTTCATTTATATGACGAGTCATCGGTGCCATCTAGAGTCCGCATCATGCCTTCTAGCTGTGGCAACTAGGCGCCACCCCAATTCTGCATTTTTCAATCGTGGAAGAATGATTACGTCCCTTGAGGCCACGGCCGCCTCGCACATCCTCCATCAATGTGAATGCGGTGTTCATGCAAGCTTGTTGAAACTCGAGATATCCGTATACGAAATTATCCCATGACACCGTTTCATATACTGTCTCAACACCATTGTCGGCGGCGAACTCGGACCACATGTGCGTCGACTCCGCTCCGATTATAAGAATGGCCTGGAAAACGCAAGGTTCGCCATCAATACATTCTACATCTTTCCACTTTGAGAAATACAGCTTGTTCACTTGCTGCGTACTCACCTTTGCGACTATGACTATGACCATGACAATTCCAGGCAACCTTCGAACTGGGACTTACACTATTAGGAATGCCAGTACAAATGACTTTGTCGCTGTACAAGGTCCATCCAAAGCTGCTACCCTGGAAACGAGCAATGATGGCCGGGCAGAGAATGCTGCAGTACGTCCAACCTACATGTCATATGGAGGAACAGAAAATAAATAACATTCTGTAGTGGGTCCTTGAAAAACTCAGTGGGCATTACGACAAGTACAACATAAGAAATTTCGCGCAAAACTCGTATGCCACTGTCCACTCCGCGCAACAAAGAAATGCTGCACTCACCTGTGGGCGCGAGATGTGCCCTTGGAGTATCCGACCAACTGGATACGGAACTTATGTGTTTGTCTTCCATCAGCGTTTATTACGTCTTATCTGATTGATGCATATCCAGGATATCACCACACTCGGATGCTTCGTTGTTCTGGAGCCTGATAAAGTCCGGGGATCATGCACAGGTATACATGCTCTCATGAATTATAGGGTCTACTTACATAGCAGTTGGTACAGGCGCTGTTGACAGATGATCGGACCACCACCGTCCATTGGTACTTGCATCGTGTGTCGGCCTGAAGCATGAATGGACAATGGGCTGCAATGCATATGAAGGTCGAACTCGACATCATAGAATGTCATGCCTAAGCCCCCTTACCCTTATTCCAAATCTCGTGTTTGGCGTGGAGATACTCGTTGGTGGGGGTAAGCTAAGTGGAGGCGCTGTGGTACAATAGTATATTGTGATCATGTTACCTACGTTTTCGAACTCAGATAGATTCTTCAAGCTACACCTTTATAGTCGGTCATCAGATCTAATGACGTTAATCCGTAACAATAACCTATCTGCATACCGAACAACGATGAGCCATGCCTTCCGCGACCACAAAGAGTCGGTTCCAGCTGAGAACGATGCCCAGCTTTACTACGTTTAGCGATGCCAAAGGACTTTGATATTGTTCATAGTGGAGGGAGGCACCCCTCTGCGGGGAGGCGGAATGGTTGGCGTAGCTCAATCAGCAGCATAGAGCCTTCGGGCGTCAGAGTAGCACTCATCATCAGTCTCTTAGGCTGCATTGTTCCAGGGAAACATCAAAATTTTGTGGGTACATGGTGAAAGAAGTCGGCGACTTGATGTAAATGTTGATCTCATCATTCTGCGTTTTGGTGTTCGATAGGTACACGGGTATTTGTGGTAGACGCCTGAACAACCCGAAATTTGAACCCATACTTGCTTCTTGTTCGTGCGACAGCAAGGTTTTAATGTGGAGACAAAGGTGAAAGAGCACAGGTTACACGCCACTGTCTGTGAACTCCGTGTTAGGGGCTTCTCATGAGTATTCTGGTGTGTGCCTCATCAGATGGCAAACCTTCATACACATATAAACGTCATGGTCAACGGGGCGCTGGCATCTTCAATCTGACGCCCATGACACAGCCTGCCGTGCATTTCAAACGTTTACCAGCGCGGGTTGGACAATCACTACCGTGTAGATGCGCAGCTGCGTGTTAATGAAGAGATGCTCGATGTGCACTCGGATTGGGTCGGCAGCGTTGCTAGGAGCGCCCAGTAATTATATCGCACAACAGCATCCCAAAGTCACTTGACAAAACAACCTGTGCTAGATTGTCTGAAAATATTGTTTTAGACAAGACGGTTTAATTTGATCAAAATACTTGCCAACATATCGATGAATGATGACTATCCTTGATCCATCAACGGTCTCTTGGGGCACATAGTGCAGCAACTGCAGGCAAGTTCCCCACATTGTGTGGCGCGTGTCGTGGAGTCGCTGGAAAATAACCTCGCAGGGAGCCGTGGCGACAGGAAAGTCATGTTGTTATGGAAGAATAATCTGCGAAACACCCAAGGAGTGTGTCAGTGGCATGTCAAGAAGTTGGGTCAGTGTGATTGGGGTCAGTGCGTGGATTCTGAACTTCAATTTGAAGCGTGTATAAGGCATGCCATACATGCGCAAGAAGAGTCGGTCCGCATAAGCGCTTCCTTGACAAAGTATAGCTGCCAATCGTAGTCGTAACCAATATGAAGGTGATGAAATGCAGTTCATGTCCGCACAACGTAACTCGATCCACATCATCAATCATCGAATTTATTGGCATGAAGTTCTTCGCATCAACTATACCACCTACCGACCTCCGTCGAGCTCAAGACTCGTTCAATCCACGTTACAACGACGACGGGTCCTGCAGTTGATGCTGAAGCTTCCATAGCGGTTCCGTCAGAAGTTTCTGCCACTGCTGCACATGATATCCATCGTTTTCTTGAGCGCATTGTCATTTTGAAGTGCCTCCGACAATGCTCTCCTCTCCAGATGACAGTCGGCCAGGTCGCGCGCGATGGTGGAAAAAACCTTTTCATGGTGACGGTCGACTTCTCGTTAATGGGGCGGTGGCTGATTTCACCTTGCCGATAGTCACAGCACACGTTCAACATCATCTCCAGTGCTCTTGACCCATCCGCGATCTGGGAGAGGATTTCTGTGCGCATTCCTGGTAGGCATTGTTTCGTGGTATCTATGTAGCCCCGCGCCTGCAGCATAAGTCATACCGCTGAGGTCCAGTTTTTCGCCTGAAAAGGTGCGCGAATACATGTCGAGTTACAGAGCACGTCCGAATCCTTAACCGTACGAGACGATGTTCTTTCTGAGTCTCTTCCCTGTGATGATAGAAGCTTGAGAAAGTGCACAGGCAACAACTTGTAAGACTCACGAATTTTCTCGGTCTCCAAATAATGTCTGATAAAATGGGCACATTGAAGGGCCTGCTGAGAGATCTGTCCAAGGATAGTTCGCATCAATGAAATATGGCTAAGGGTCTCGTGTTCCGTCATGAAGTGGTAAACTTGACTGGTTTCGAATATCTCGGCGATGTCGAGCACGTCCTCTGCGAGCCACGGAAAAAGACGGCACCGATGCCCTGGGCTGCATAAATGATGTGTGCGACATGGGCTGGTTGGTTTGTGCTGGAGTAGCAGGATCGGTCATAGAGTGGATGCTGTTCAAGGATCTGTCTTATATGGAAAGTGAGTTGATCGCTCTTGCTTTCCATAGTCTTGATCTTATAGACGAGGAATTGTAGTCATCTATCACCTGCCGTTATTTACTTTGAGATTGAGATGCCAACTATCCAACGTGCATGAGCGTGCTCTTTCCTTGCCTTTTCCACAAATGTCAAGCCACCCTTGGCATGTTTAAAATCGCCTCAGCTGGTGGTGGTCCTTCTGGAGGCAAAGTGAGCACATGTGCTGGCTCGATATACATACCTTCCTTACGCTGAGAAGGTCATATGAGCCAAAATGTATCAAACACGGTAACGCACCTTGAGAATGAGATGTGAACAAATGAAGATTTGGTCATATGAAGAGTTAGGCTATACTTACACGGTTGGTTTGGAGACAGGTTACATTATATACAGTGTGATTCTCGGCCATAAGCACTGGATCAGTCCATCCAGCCTCCCCCATCAACTGTGATTGTCTGGCCAGTGATGAAGGCGGAGTCTTTACTCGCGAGGAAAGATACCATGTTCGCAACGTCTTCCGGCGTTCCAATCCGCTTCAGTGCCGAATTCGCCGCATGGTACTGCAAGATGAATCAATCGATTAGGGGCGTGATCCTCGCCGAGAGAGATAGAGAGAGGTCAATACATACATCTCGGATCATTGACTTGCCATCAGGAACCCCTAGCAGGTTCTCCAATGCATCTGCGGAGCCTTGCACTAGATGCGTGCATGTCAGTATCAGGGTGCATATACAAAAGAAAGAGAAAATGCGTGGCGGATAAGAGTAAGGTAGCAGAGGAGATAACGATAACATGAACATACGGAGAGGCGTATCAATTGGCCCAGGCGCGTAGGCATTCACAGTAATTCCGTATGACCCCACTTCACCCGCTGGAACGCAAGAATAGTAAGAAGTGAGATGAAGCATCACGACCTCTGGAGTACATACCGAGCGCCTGTGTGAACGATCGAACCGCAGCTTTCGATGCACAGTAAATGCCGTTCAATGCCGACCCTTTTTTCCCTGATACGGACGACGCGCCTATGAAAAGGGGCGTTATCATCCAAATGCGAGACTACGAATGGATGTGCATACTGATGATCCTCCCTCCACGCCCTTGCTTGATCATGACCTGCGCTGCGGCACGCAAGCAAAGGAACACCCCACGCACATTGAGGTCGAAGACCTTGTCGAAATCGGTGAGGGTAGCTATTAGGGTATGATATTACCATCAAAGCGAATCAAAGAACAGCGTGTGCTCACAGTCAACAATAGTCTTTACGAGGAGTCGTCCAGCGTTCGCTACCATCTAACCAGTTGTCAGACTATGTCACATTCTTCAACTAATGAAACACCTACGACGTCCAAACCATCAAATTCCTTCTCCGTAGCCTGCACCATGCGCTGGACCTCCTCCTCTTGCGTCACATCGCATTCCAAAACAAGGCACCGCCTCCCTTTCGCCCTCACCTCCTCTGCGACGCCGTCGAGATTCGTGCGCTGTGGTCCTAAGTCTGCGATGGCAATGTCGAGCCCATCCTCTGCGAGCCGCAGAGCAATGGCGCGTCCGATGCCTTGGGCTGCGCCGGTGACAAGTGCGACGCGGGGTTGGTTGGTCGGTGCTGAAGAAGCGGTGTCAGACATTGTTATAGAGACCTTGAAATCAGATGTCCTGATCTTTATATAATGGAGATGGATTAATAATAGTGCCAGCTCACTGGGTGCTTGTTGCGTACCTGAGGAATTACACCGGCGCAAGGCAATTAGGGGGCACTGTGGGCCTCATTGATATGGATACATACAATTGGTATCAAAGTCTTGTCAGTATCAGGAGCCCCGAGGTGTGTCGCATATTCGTCGAAGAGTCGCACTGGATACCTCTGGATACGAGTATGTTTGCAGCAACAGAATCAAGAATGCATAGGTATACTAAAAATAGATTATTGGTATGATGAGGGTAGCAAAGATAACGAATGTACAGGGAGGCGTATCAACTGACCCAGGCGCATGTGTGTTCACGGTGATGCCGTACGTAAGTTATTTCGCTGCATGCGAAAGAACACTGAGATGAGATGGAGCAAATGTGATGGCTCGAATGGCCTTTTCTTCCATGATGACGCGCCTTTGACGATGGGTATCAGCATCCAAATGCAACATAATAAACGGAATTAGCTTGAGGTATGGGAGTCCCGCCTCCCGAAATAGTTTTTTTTAATAACTTCACCGTAGCGCGGGCTAGATTTCAGTGTAGCTGCTAGTGCTGACGAACAGCTCAATCTCATTTCTAGGACGCGCTACGACGTCGGAAATGACAGGAAAGAAAACCACCTGGGGGCCGCCCCCAAGTGAGCCTCAAGGACCCTAGAGCGACGACGCACCAAGACGCTTCCGACGCACCGTTTGGCTACTTCGTAAGAATGTAAGGTTTACTGCTCTGCGCAACGTTTTTTTTTCAGCGTCGAGCTGCTGCAGAGGTAATTCTGGCACAATGGACTGCAAAATCACGACATTAATATTCCCGCTACCTTTTATTCTCGCTCGATCGACGATTGTCATTACGGGATTCATCGTTGTTCACCGCGTTCCATTACGATCTGTCTGTCATGTCAATTGATGACTGATTTCCTCTGTGGGTTCTTCCTCTCGTGACTGCGATACTTTTGCACAAAATGTGTGGCCAAATGACCGGAAACATGTGGTATGTTACATTGGCAGCAATTGGTAACAGGAAGCGGGCTCTGCTACGAACGTGGCTCTAAGTACACGACCTATTATTTTTGTACTCATCACAACAAATGTGCAATGAGAGGCTCACAGTAATACATCGATTTTAGGCTGCAAGAGCTCGAGCGGGTAGCGCTTTCCAGGTCTAGAGTTGATGTTGCACAGAACAAAATGTCATGACATGAAAGAGCAGTGGATTAACCCTGCACATCTGCAATAAACGTCTCCTGCAGCTCATCAACCTCCATCCCCGACTCAGTCTTCATTAATTTGTTAGCAGCTCTCCGTGCGCGCTTGCGGTCCTGCTTCAGCGACCGCCTATTAAGCGCGTGGTTCTGGCTCCGCGCAGCGGCTTCTTCATATGCAGAAAGGTCCTTCGCGCGACGGAACCGCTTTGGCACGCGAAGGTGTGCAGAGGAGTCTGTGGCTCCTACCTGCGTGACCACCGAGGGCGAACGAGCACGCTTGCGTAACGACGGAAGTGACAGTGCGGATGCAGCCATGCCATCATCGACTATCATGCCAGATCCCTGTGCAGGAATGTCATTGTTGACTTCACCATCATCCATAGCTACCTCCTCCTGTATCTGTGCATTTTCATTAAACGCGCCAGCGTCCGCTGAGCCAAACAAACCTGCGAGCTCAAACGGTTTGGAAAATGAATCAAGGATTTGTGCCTGCCCGACGGTTTCTGCACCCGTTGTGGCAGAAGGCATCGACGAGGGATGAATGATAGGCGGGACGGAGAAGTAGGGGATTTTTTGGTGATTCCAGTCCATGAGAACGTGGCGTGCGGCTGCAAGTAGGTCGGGGGTACCTCCCTATGGACGTAAAAGTTGTGTGAAGTGTTAGAATTTACCAAAAAAAAAGGCTGACCTTGAGCAGGCGCCCGCTGTTAAGCGCAAGCATAGTGAGAAACTCCAGCGTACTGGAAAATTGAGGGAGGTTATATAGTTTTTGAAGCGTCTCATGCTCTGTCCGTGCAAGGATCTCTTCAACTGAAATAGTGAGATTAGCAATCTATCCCTCAAGGACTGCGTTTGCACCAAGAAACGCACCGACTGCGATGGGATCTTCTATGTCCTCTACTTTGACTACATTTCGCAGGAGAATGCTGCCCTTCTGACTAGAGTCACTAGATTCATCTTCGTCAAAAACCACACCAGGTGAATCGACGATTTTGATTCCTCGCTCTAGCTGCACGGATTGGAGGTCTTTCGTGTGACCTGGCTGTGCAGCCACTGCACAAGCCTGAACCCACATAATATGAGACATTCGGTACGAGTAGTAGCAAGCAGATCGAGACCTTTGATCGCTTCAAAGAATTGATGAGACTGCTTTTGCCCACATTCGGAAAGCCGACGACACCGACTGTGATACTCTGTGAAGTAGGTTTAAATGCTTTAAGAAGGCGCATAAGTCCAGGTGCCGTTGTAGAGCTGAGATTGGAACGTTGATTGGAGGAGGCAGAACGGAATGGGAGTGTCGGAGTGGAATGTCGCAAGTATCGCAGCCACTGCTGAGCATTTTCTTTTGAGACCAGATCTTCGCCCACGGTACACGGTCAGAAAGAGTGCAAATACCAAACGAAACCGACATTCATACCGATTTTATTCAGTACAAATACAAGCTTCTTCCCTTCACTTTCTCTCCGTCTTACCTCCTCTTCAACCAGTCGACTCCTACACCCCTCCGGATCGCGAGCGTCGAGCACAAGAATAACAAGGTCACTTTGATCAATTACTTTGTGTAACATACGGACGTAGTGGCGCCGAATTTGCTCCTTTGTCCGATTCTGTGAGGAGCCCGCATAAGACGCGAGATCCTGATCTACAATTGCCTGGGTCTCTGAAGCAAGGGCTGCTAGTGAAGATAAGGTAGGTTCGGCAGCCATATAAGCATCTGGATCATCGCGCTGGGGTATCGCAGGCTACGAGGGGCAGTAACTTAATATGGAGCAGTGACAGTTAAGACTCTAATGCGACATACAGAGCTGGATTTCCGCTTCACCGCATTCCGAACCTTTATTTCAGGAAGCCTTGGTATTCCAGGGTCTTTCTTGAGCTCTGGTACGGAAAATTCAGGGCTTGATTAATGTTGTTCTTTCTGCAATAAGTGCTGGATAACGGGGAATGAGACTGACTGGATTTTTGTGGCACTGATGATTTTTGTGATTCTGTGGGCCATCAGATGAGAAAAACATGAACATAAAGTGTTTTGCGTACTGTTCCTGCCCATGATGGTCGTGAATGAGCCGCTTGGTGTGATTCACAAATGATTTTTGACTGAATAAAAGATTGCACTTTCAAGTTCCGTCACGTCACACACTAGTGGCAGCATCACAGTAAAGTTTAAACCGTCGCGTACCCTGGTGCACACATCTCGGATATCGCGAAACCTGGTGTCGTTCCTCACGGGCAAGCTCGCCGCCTACATCACTGACCAGACAGTCACGATTATCGAGAGAATATAGATCGACTAACGATGCTTTGCAAAAGCAACATCCTCGCGAAACAAGATGGCTGAGATTTGGCTCAAGTACATGTGTAATACTATCCAAGCTATTCCAATTTCCCACTGTGCAATAACAGACTGATCAATAATACTTAACATCCTAGAAATAATTAAAGCACGAGTGCGCCCATAGGCTACTACGTCGTGCGCAAGATAGTGGGTCATACCTCCACCAGAGGTCTGCTATCACAAATCCAAATCCTCACTTACTCGCTCCACTGTGCGATCGCCGTATCCCAAAGCTGTGGGTGGCACCGTGATCTGCCGATAACAAGTTGCTGCTCGATTTAGATTTGAGGTTGTGTTGAGAGTCTTCCGAACTGGAGGGGTGGAAGTTGGATGCGTCCAAAACTTTGATTACACCGCTGTAGAAACGATGAAATGATACGAATAGACAAGCGGACCAGTTAGGGGGGCAAACCAATCGGCGAAGTGAGCAAGAAACAGCAATAACTAAGAGCTTGACTGTACTGACCGTTGCGTCGCATCCACGTAATTTTCCCTGTCAAACCTCTTCGACGTCTTTATGGACACACCCGTATCCGAGATAGAAATGCCTTTGTTCAGAAGACTACAGAAGACCCAGTTAAGTTCTTGAACTCAATAGGGCGCACGTTTCAACGTACGAATTCTTCGTGTTCTGAGCAGCTGCTGAAAGGCGTTTGGCAGTAAAAACCACCCCGACGATGGTCCCCACAAAAAGGGACGTTATCTGCAGTGCTGCGGTTTAGGAGTGATCATCAGGAGATAGGAAGACCAGCTTTATGCTCACGATTAGAAAGGAGAGTACGTCAATCCTTATTGCATGTGTATATAGACGTGAGCCGATGATGAGAGGGATAGGGACGGGGAACACACCAATTCGCCATCGTTTAGATCTCGCAAATGTTTCGAATTCGGACCGAGGCGCAGCACACGACACAGAATACGACAATGACGAGGAGCTAGAGCAAGTATGAAATCAACCGATTGTGAGGGCAAGTTTGAAGACTAGACGGACGCAGAGAGAATTGAAGTACGCAGTGTGTGGTCGTTCGGGATGAATTCGGGAGAGAAAGCTTGTAAGCGCCTACCAAGACCAAGTGCTTGATCGAAGCATAGGCTGTGCAATGTTTGACTTGGATGACGTTCGTAAGTAGGTACGTAATATAATGATTAGGGTACAAATAGCTGTGCAGACAACTTGAAGAACATTCAAGTTGTGAAGCGCGTTGTCATAAAATTTCATTTCTCCGATGCAGCACGTACTCAGTGGTGGTGTACAAAGTATCAACGACAGACATGTAATTAGATATAATTTGTGTGTGGGGATGATTCCATAGTCCATGGACAGACAGTAACCGTTAAGGGTAAACATAGCCTATGCCAAAATTCCTAAATGCGTAAAAAGCATTTATGCAGTGTCAGGTACTGATTCTAGTATGAGAAAATCATCAACCAAGGGTTGAGGACAATCTGTGTGCCAAATTCCCGTCAGTGAGGAAGCGAATGAGCAATTGTTGACATACAGGGAAGAGAATGTGGCTTCCGACCATGATGCTGCACGGTCAGATAGTTTAGTTATCAGTTGCAGTTTGCTAATAGCACAGATACACGACTCACGCAAGCGGCATGACAACTGCCCAGTCAGCCGAGTCCACCCGCCACCCAGAGGGCACAAGTGACGTGCTAAGGATAATCATCCCCACCACAACGATCATGGACAGTATCAATGTAACGCGAAAGCGCTTTAGGATCCTCGGAACTTCAATGAAGAAGTTGGACCGCTCGACCTCCTTCTTCGTAGCACCCCACGTGATGTTGTAAGAAAATAGATGGGAGAGTAATGCTTGAGACAGGTGAATGCTTAGGCCCCCAAAGAAGAAGAAACTATGAGAGTTATCTGAGTATTTGTTTGTCTTCGGTAGAGATTTAACACTCACAAGAAAGGTATCCAGGTCACGTTCTCGAGTGCCGAAGCGAGAATATTGCGGTGACCCAGACGGTACTCGAGAAGCGTAAATCCGAGATTTCCAATCCCGGGGAAGACGACAGTACATGCCAGCCAGATTTCAAAGCTGTGTAAGAAGAACCCATCGATTTCAATTTGAAAGCCTAGCAACAGGTAGTTGAGCAAAGAGAGAACCCCCGCCGCTGCAATGCCGTCTTTCATATCATAGCGTGTCAGTGGTTACAAAACATTAATGAAATAAACCATCTTACAATACGAGAACATGTCTGCATAGGTTTCAATTAATGTGTTATAAACGTGATGAGGAGCACTTACAAGCCATCATACTAAGCTTATAATGCACTGGGGCTCCAGACCACACGAAAACACGGAGCTGCTTAGCAATGGGTCCCATCTTCCACCAATGAACGAGCGGATTGAATATAAGCTCATTGCACCCTGCTTATCTTAGCTCGAGGTCCTTCTGATAGTAATAAATGCTTACCGTATGAGTACTTCTGCCACCGATTCAACTCGTCATCGACAGTGAGGGACACTCCTTCCTTGAATCCACCCTTGGAGTACGACGCCCATCGGATACTGTAATGCTTCAGCTGCAACCGCAAAGCCATGTCAAAGTCTTCGGAGACATTCGACTCGGACCATATCTTCTTCTTCCCATCTGCAGGATCGATGAACGCCGCATCCTGGAGAGCCGACCACCGTAGAAAAGCGTTGTGCCCCACGAAAGGAGCTACTTCCCCGTTCGCACACCCGATTGAAATGCACTTGTTAATCCGCCGTGTGAAGTGCGCAATACCGTTCTCGAAGTAGTGATGCGCGACTTGCATTACATCTGGTATGGAAAACGTGTCAGCACATCTCACGTTCGCTGGTGATAGGATGAAACATACCCGATTCATGCTGGATGATACCGACATCTGGGCTCTCTGCAAGCTCTCGTGCGGCATCGCGGAAACAATCCTGCAACATGAACAGAAGATGAGCACCCCTTAATTCGTCAGACTGGCATGATCTGTCACCTCGGGCACAATCGTGTCTGAATCGACGATCAAAATGATTTCTCCAACGCGTAAAGACCTCCCATTGCTTGCCCAGGGACGCCACTTGCCACCGCTCTCGTTGTAAACCTCCTCCGTGGCCAATGCCAGCGCTCTATCTTCGAGAGAGCCGTACTCGCTGTCATCCAGCTCACCCGCCTGCTCAGCCTCTTCGAGCACCTTCAGATGTTTCTCAAGCTTCAAACTTAACGCAAGGCCGTAGTTCATGTTCGATGCCTTTTTGAACCGGCCAGCGCGCTTGAAGCCGTCAGGTGCACTATCGTGCTTCGGGCGCGCGACCCATCCGATGTTGTGGTCAGCATAGAATGCAATGCGCTCTTCCCGCTCTTTGGCGCTGATGAGCTGCAACCCGTCGTCATGCACGAAAATAGCAGACGAGCCGCCCTGCCTGGCGTAAGTCTGCATCGCCTTCTTGATCGAAAACACCGAGGGCGAACTGATAGAACACATGTCAGCATGTTCTATTCTGCCGGCACCAAGGGAACGAAAGAATGGAGAGGTATCTCACATCGTTTGTTCTAGACTCTCCTTGAACACCGGAAGTTCGATGGTAATGTGGGGTAAGGCTGCGTCGACTTCCTTGTTCGGTGGTGGGGGCACTGCGGAGTAATATCTTGAATTCTCATGGTACTGAGCAACCGGCCCAAGCCTAAGATGTGTTATTTGTAAATAATGAATGGTAACGTGAATATGATATTAAGGAAATGACCTACACCAAGGACAAGTTGCCCACAAGCTGCAAACAGAAGAACTACGGTTCGATTGATTAGCTAACATACGCATCCGGGAAATTATCATCAGTCTCACCAGTGATATACAAAAGAGGAAGGGGGATGTCACGAGCAAGATGAAACGAGTGTAATTGTCATCGAGAAGCCATTCGGCCAGCAAGACGCTGGCACCACTGCCAATGAAAACTTTGGACGGATTAAATGACGAAAGAGCAGATAGTAAATATATGTCTTACATATTGATAACGCGGTCGCGAGGCCACAGTAAAATGGAGCGTAGAGCCGGAGGGGACGCGGGCCTTGACTTCCAGAAGAACCTTCCCTCTCTAGGTCAGCTTCTTCGGCATACATGGCTCTCTTCTCCGGTGACACGCGCCAACTCCAGCCCCACTTCGATTTCTTACGTGATGATTTCGAATGCATATTGTTGCGCTCTTTCTCCGTGATAGGGATGCCTTCTGTGAGCACCGCATTTTTTTCTGCCAAATTAGCATCAGAAGCGGCAGCTGACCCGGTGTTGGTGGAAGGCGGGGTGCTAGGTACAGATGATGTCACATGACGGAAGCGCCAAACCAACTTGATGAGCTTTTCCTCCAAGTCACGGCACAAAGGTATGATATCGTCAAAACTATCTGACCATATCACGATGACTCGTTCATCGCGCTGTAGTACCGCGCGCGTTAGTATCATAGAGACAGATCGAGATGAGGTGTTAACTGACAATGAAAGCCCCGCACTGTTCCTTCTCGGCCCGGGGTAGGCAGTTCATAGAATCGAACACCTGTATCTTCGTGTCGGAATCAATATAGATCGAAGTGTCTGCATCAGTTCTGTGGAGCTCCTGTTGAGGGTGAATAGTTCTGCATAAAATAGGAGATCTTTACATTGTAGAGAACGCGGCATGAACGGCGGCACTGCGGATTTTAACAGCAACGACTGGATTGAGCAGTCTGACTGCAGCCTCAAATGGAGCCAGTGACATCTGATCATACGGGAAAACGCGGTAATGTCCTGTCTCCACACGAAGACAGACACCTGTTGCGATGTCTTCTGAGGGTCGAAACCATGCCTCGCCCTGAGTCTATTGAGATACGGAAATATCAATAACAGACGGTATTTACACGCGTTAAACGACCTGACCTGTTGGTAAACGTGATGAAGAAGAGCGTCGTACGGGTCGTAATCCATGTCGTTTGGCTTGCTGAAGAAGAGAGGACACCAGGGAACACTGTATATAAGAGGGAGGAACTTCGGGGTCGCCTCACATTGACCCGTTACCGTACTGCTTGTGAAATTTGATGTGGCGAGGAGGAAAAATGACACCGGTTCTCAGGAAAGCACAGAACGTTTAGGATACGCCGAAAGATAATTAGTCTGCCCCTTGGCCAGACCCTAGACGTAAAGGGAAATATTTGACGTGGGCTTTTAGATCAATCAGCCTGAAGGGAAACAGCGTGGCTGTGAAGCTCGGGCAGGGATTACTTACGATACCAGGAACGCACCGCGCAGGGATGTTCAAAAAAGCGCGATAGAGCGAACATATCACGCAAGCCAAGCAACGGTGTCCGGTCAGGCCTATCAATCAAGTCAGGAGAAAGTGTACAGTCAGTCCCTGGACTAACGCAAACCTGAAAACGTTTCCGCATTATCGCGCATTGGCCGCCTGGTTGATGATCAAGGGGTACTCCTGGCCTGCCTGGTGTACGTCGGAATGTATCGCATCCCGGCCCCTTGGCGAAAACGTGCTGTACTGTTCACATACTAATGGTTCCGCAAACAACTCTGCGTTGAAAGACAGCTGCCAAAAGCCTGTTAGCAGCGATCGACGCGGATCACGAGTCCCACTGCATCCGACTTTCCACGAACTTCTTCCAAATGTCGACTTTTAGAAAACAAGTAACAATCTGTAGCGATAGGAGATTGATAGCGCGCGCCTCGAGGGAAACCTCGGAACCCAGATCAGTGGAAGACACGGAATCAAAATCATGATACAATACCTAGGCCTAGACCCGCGCGCCCGGTCGGGTAGTAGATAGTTGATTTTCCCCGAGTGTCTCCTTGCATTAATGATAACGTCGAGCTGGCCGCGGGAATGATCGTCGATACCAACCTTGACCATGAGTGTCCCGATTCAATGATTCCTAATCATTAAGCGCGAAGTCACCCGTGTGCATGTGGCGCTAAAGCAAGTTTCCGAATTGCATGACGCACGTGGTAGGCAATCGGTGATAAGAGATCGAGGGCCCAGCGAGGCCTCGCGTCGATTGTGGACGCCCACACTAATACCTGTCATGATCGCAGATTGGCAACAAACATCGGTAAGATATTTCCAACATGATCATCAAGTCAGCACTGCTCCATCGTGTTCGGAACAAGTCACCATTGCTTCATCGTGTTCGGAACAAGTCGTCTATGAATATCAGATTGATACGATCTATGCAAGAAATGATCGATAAAATAGTAAAAGTAAATATGTAGGTACTCCCATACTGTGTGTGCTATGTACAACTGATAATGTCACCAGCGAATAAATGATTGGATGATACAATTAACCCTTTGTATGATACCTCTATCATAGAGTTGTCACGTCAAGAAAAAGTAGTATGCTGGCAAATAGTCCTTTCAGATTCCAACACAAGCAAACAGCGACCGCCGCTCAATACGAGAAAATCATCAACCACGGATTAAGGACAATCTGTAATAGAAGTCGATCAGTTACCAAGAAACGACGTCTTGATGACGAGTACGCACAGGGAAAAGAATGTGACTCCCAGCGACGAGCCTATATGAAATGATAAGTGTGACGTAGGTGGCCAGGCTGGACAAATACACTTACGCAAGAGGGAGGATAACTGCCCAGTAAGTACCCGGAATCTGCCAATCCAGGCCGACAATGGAAGAGAGACTGAAGATAAAGATCATAGCGAAGGTACCAAAGGACAGGGCGAACGCGAGCCAGAAGCGCTTGAGAATTCGAGGCACTTCGATGAAGAAATTCGAACGTTCGACTTCCTTTTTTGTTGCTCCCCAAGTGATGTTGTATGAGAACATGTGAGCCAAAAGAGCGGTGGTAAGGTGGACACTGAGACCACCAAAGAAGAAAAAGCTGCGAGCGTTGGCGTGAGCTTGGGCCTGAAAACATAAGCGAGAGGAACGTACAAGAAAGGGATCCATGTGCAAGTCTCAACAAGCGAGTCCCATATGCTACGGTGCCCAAGTCTGTATTCAAGAAGAATGTAACCGACGTTGCCTGATCCAGGAAACACGGCCAGAATCGCGAGAAAGACTTCAAAGCTGTGTAGATAGTAGCCATCCGTTTCAAATGCCAGGCCAAGAAGGATATAGTTGAGGACCGACAAAAGCGCCGAGGCTGCGATACCATCTGTACAAACCGTGAGTATAGCACAAGAACAACAAAAAATCTTGTCCTACAATAGGAAAACATATCTTTCAAAACCAAAATCAGCACAATTGGACATGAACTCGCATCGACCTTACTCACATGCCATCATACTAATCTTGTAATGGACCGGTGCATTGGACCACACGAAAATTCGCAGCTGTTTGTTGATGGGGCCTTTCCTCCACCATTGAACAAGGGGATTGAAAATCAACTCGCTACAGCCTTTGTCAAAACCGTCAGCACAACTTCTGTTGACATAACCGCTCATCCTCACCGTATGAATATTTTTGCCATCGATTCAATTCATCGTCGACCGTCAACGATACACCTTCCTTGAAGCCGCCCTCAGAGTATGTCGCCCACCGAATGGTGTACTTCTTGAGCTGAAGTCGCAAAGCCATGTCGAAATCCTCGGACACATTTGATTCTGACCAAATCTTCGTCTTCCCATCCTCCTGGTCTACAAACGCGGCATCTTGGAGCGCCGACCAACGAAGAAAAGCATTGTGTCCCACGAAAGGAGCTATTTCACCATTCGCACAACCAAGGGAGATACACTTGTTGATTCGCCTAGTGAAGTGGGCAATACCATTCTCAAAGTAGTGGTTCGCGACTTGCATGACATCTGAGTACGAGATTGAGTTATGGCTAAGACAAGGAGCACGGAGTTTGACCAACCTGATTCGTGCTGAATGATCGCGACCTCGGGGCTCTCTGCAAGTTCACGTGCAGCATCACGAAGACAATCCTAAACCAGGATCAGTTCTGTACTTAAAAAAGGCAAACGTGCAGCTCACCTCGGGCACAATGGTATCGGAATCGACAAGCAAGATGATCTCTCCCATTCTGATAGATTTGCCATTACAAGCCCACGGCTTCCATTTCTCACCACTTTCCATGAAGAGTTCTTCACAAGCCATATTCAAAGCGCGATCCTCCAGAATTTGGCCATCGTCCTCTAGCTCCCCTAGTTCTTCTGCTTCAAGGAGTGTCTTGAGATGTTTCTCGAGTTTCAAGCTAAGCGTGAGCCCGTAGTTCATATTCGACGCCTTCTTGAACCGACCGGCACGTTTGAACCCATCTGGAGAGGACTCGTGAGGAGGGCGTGCGACCCAGCCTATGTTGTGATCAGCGTAGAAAGCAATGCGTTCCGCGCGTTCCTCCTCCGAAAGGAGCTGAAGACCGTCGTCATGGACAAAGATCGAAGATGTTCCACCCTGGCGTGCATATGTCTGCATGGCCTTTTTGAGTGAGTACACAGACGGTGCGCTAAAAGACAGAAATTCCGTGAATACATGAAAGAAAATTCGAACTTCGACCTTACATTGTTTGGTCAAGACTTTCTTTGTAGACAGGAAGCTCGATAGTAACATGAGGAAGAGCCGCATCGACATCCTTGTCCTCCTCGGGTTTGGTGGCAGAGTAGTAACGTGAGTTTTCATAGTACTGGGAGACGGGACCGATACTACAAAGTTCAAACAATGAACGGCAAGTCAAGATCAGCCCGAATGAGTGCTTACATCATGCCGATATTGCCGATAATTTGAAGAGAGAAAAACTTGAATTACATGTCAATTCAATTGAGAAATCGTCTTGTGTCTCACGACATACCAAAGAAACACAGAATGACAGTGGGGCTGTGACGAGCAGACAGAACCGAATCCACTGGCCATCAAGCATGGACTCCTGCAGGAGCATGCTGGCACCAGTACCGATGAAAACTATCGAAAGAGGTAAGTCCAGGTTTGGTAATCATATCTGATGTCAGTTTCTTACATATTGATAAAGCGCAACCTAAACCATTGTAGCAGGGCGCCAGGAGCTTGGTCCGACGGACTTTCTTCGCACCCTTCTCGGGGTCGCCTTGGTGCTCTTGACGAGTTGTGCTCCAGCTGAAGATCTTCCAGAATGACGATGACGATTTGGGCTTTGGCTTCCGATTTGAAAGTTCTTTCTCAGTGACAGGTATTTCTTCTGTGGTTTCTTCCTTTGTTGCTAGCAAGTTGTCATGCGACGGTACGGTTGATGGTATGATCTCAGAGGGGGCTGCGGAGATAGCGGCGCGTTGTCTCCAGACAAGCTTAATCAGCTTTTCCTCAAAGTCACGACACAAGGGTATGATGCTGTCCAAGTTGTCGGACCAGAGAATGAGAACAGCTTCGTCCCGCTACGGGTTCATCAGAAAAGCGTGACGACGCAGTGAGAAATGGAACTTACGACAAAGGCTCCGCATTGTTCCTTTTCGGCTCTTGGCACCATAGACATGGAAGCTACTATCTGAATGCGTGTGTTATGATCGACATAAATAGCAGATGCATCTTCGGGGCTATTATGACGGACATACGGACCGTCAGAAAGTTACCGGATCGCTGACGAGAAACAACATACACAATTGCCAATGCAGCATGGACTGCAGCACTCCTCACTTTGACAGCGACGACGGGATTTAACAGTCGCACCGCTGCCTCGAAAGGCGCTAGGTAGCTGTTTTCGTAGGGAAAGACGCGGAAGTGACCAGGTTCAACACGGAGACAGACCCCGGCAGAGATATTCTCCTCGGATGGCTTGAACCAAGCATCACCCTGAGTCTATGGGGGCAAGGGAACCTGTGAGCAGAAGACGGTGTAAAAAAAGTGTGTACGCACCTGCTTGAATATGTGATGGAGGAGTGCATCATACGCATCGTAGTCCATGGCCATGGTAGAAAACGTTGACGTGAGAGCGAGGAGATAAAAAAGAAAGTAGCGGCGGGATAGAGATGGTTCCTAGCTCGAGGGGGGAGGGATATGGGAAAGTTGTGAGCTTGGAATACGTTCAAGATCGATTTGTAGAGAGGTATAAGAGCGCTCAGCTGCTTGACACCGGATTTGGAACTTCTAAGCAGTGTAAATTGGACCAAGGGGGATATGATCAAAGATGATAACATGCCAGGGAACAAGTAAGGGATATGCCATCCAGACCCCTGGATGTACATCATAATGTCGTACTGTAAAGGAACCATCGGGCCTCATCGGGCTGATATCTTCTTTAGATATGCATGTAGACTTAATTGCAAGGGGAGAATTCGAATAAGTCGGAACGGTTCTGAGAAGAACGCGATATCTAGAGCCATCCAGTCAGGACAGACTATAGGCACTGTGAGTGCGGGTACCTGAAACGGTAAGTATTTTTGGTCAACGAATAGCCTAGGACTTGGATGTGGGAGTGATGAAAACACACGGGTGACCTGTCACCCCTGCGCGCTTAGAAACACGGTCTAGCCTCCAGACTCACAGCCCGACGAGCTTCCGATTAAAACTTCAATTGTGCTGTCTGTTGCGATGTTACTTGGGCCACAGACCCCTGGTAGGATCCTAGATCAAATCATGCCAATACAAGTTAGTGGCGAATTCGAACCCTGCAGCACTCAGTTGATACTCCGCGTTGGTGGTTCACTTTTGTATTACATAAGTCTATTTCAGCTCCGCGACAAGTAATCAGAGTCCTCGGCACGGAATCAAGTCAAACTCAATTGGTGAGACGTGAGACTGTCTGGTAGGAAAAAAAATATACATTAACGTACAATGACACGAGGTACAGTGAACTTCATCCCGGAGAATTGGGAGTACTCAAGAACGCTATCCTCTATACGCATTGAACAATGTACCTCGTCATATAAAGGTGTGATCACTCGGGGACCGAGGTACTACGTACATGTTGTAACTTGCAGTGATTTGCTGATATGATGATCAACATGACTGATCTGCCAGCTCCAGGGTGATCTTGGCAGATCGGTGCAAGTCTTAATCCGCATTACCGTTCTCACTGAAGGGGGTCCGATTGCACCGTGGATCCTCGTGAAATACTACTACAGTTCTATGCAGAGTCAGACTTGTGCAAAGCTCTGAATCATTAACTCGTCATGAAACGTTACGGCAGATTTGTGCCTTCTTTCCTACCGAATAACACTAATAAATCAATGAAGGCTCATTCTCCTGGCCCTGGATGGATGGGCCTGTCACCTGTCCGTGCATCGCAGGGAATAGCGCTCATGATCCTATGATCCGGAACGTGTTCCACTCAAAATGCTCTGACAGTTGCTTCAACTTGGCGTTATCGCTCGCTGTTGTGACTGCGGACGAAGACCATCTTCATCAGGAACTTGATGAATCATTAAATTACCCTTGCCATTCTAGCATACGCACACTGCGATAAGCGAGCTTTGATATTTGCCAATCATACTTCGCTTCCTTGATTTGCTGGCGGTGAAGTCGAAGCATCGGTATCAGTGCAACGTGCCGCAGGTTGTCAGAAGTCGTCAAGAGTTATCCGCATATCGGCCGCATCACATTGGCAGATCCGGGTCAGAAAGATAATTGCGCTATTCGCTATAATTCAGTGGATGAAGCTCGAAAGGGTTTATCGGTGCATTGATGACTTGGTGCATGCATCATCGGAAGCTGAAGCACTGACACAACATCACACGCAACAACATCGATTCGGCATACCGGGTCCCTTGATCACTCATGCCGACATGATCAGCAGGGAAGGCGTCTGCGCTGAATATCAATATGAGGGCTTGAGGCTTACACCATGTACAGCCATCGGCGTCGGGGTGCGTGATTCCCTTTGACGGATAGACCTTTTTTCTGAAACTCTTACAAAATTACTGAATGTGCGGCATCTTGTCGTTATCGTTATCAGCCAAGGGGACCCTCCTGAAGGTCATCGATGATGCGATAGCCAACTATATTATAGCTCACATTACCCTGCAGGTTGTTGAGCTCGTATTTACGTCACTTGTCACCATGGTTGACGTGGACATTATTGACGCGTCATTGAACCGAACGACGTCGGGGACAAGTCGCGCTTTGCCAGAGACACGCGCAGACACGCGCGAAGCTCTACGCCGAGGCTCGAGGGGGTCATTAATGGCGGAGTAATATCGCATTTCTCAGCAACAAAAATACTCCGGCACAGCAGCTGGCATAGATTACCTATTTTGGTCAAAGCGGATCACTTGTACTAGGTTGATCATCACGCACGCTTTCCTTGCATAGCCGGCCGCCGAGTCCAGGCAGTCAGAGGCAGTACCAAGTCCTGGTCCTGGTCTGTCACGGGCCTGTCAGTTCTATTATCTCCGAATCTCCGATGATGAAGGAGTAATAAGCTAAAAAAGGAAATCCGATCAATCTCCCTCGTCAGAGCGATCGAGATTCAATCAGTTCAAGTTTGACGCTCGAGAGAACAAATGGGTACCTTTCGCCCAACGATTGTCCAACATGAGCAGATATAGCAATCTAGGCCGTTCCCTGTCATGGCGGTGAACTCAGGGATCATTTGGACGCGTTTGTCCAAGGGCTTTGCAAGCCTTATAACTGCAATGAAATCGACCGAAAGTTCCCCATACAGCACCTTCCAATCGCCCGTGAGACTTGCCAGCACTCCCAAACGCATCAGACCTTGAACTCATCATGTCAGCATCAGCAGACAAGGATGGTATCAAACCACCATCACCATTCTATCTCGGTGATAACTCGAGACGAACAAAGGACAAATCTCACCAGCACCATAACTCCACTGCATCGGTTTCCAACCACTCTCGCCCTTCTACCGCAGGAACTGCCGCAAGTTCCATCGTCAACCCTTTCTCCCCACCTGCTAGCGTTGTTAGCTTTAGCATCGATCCCATAAGCAGTACCGGGTCGATGCCTCTTGCACCACCAGGTCAACACGAGCTCTCAGAGCCTATACCTCGTCATGGTGTATCGCTACTTCCTCGAAGCACTTCATATTATGGCAGTCGCCCCAACACTGGAGATAGCCCCAGTCGGGTGACCTCCGGTATTCGTCTTCGTGAAACATTCGCAGCACCCCCAGCTCGTCCGTTGACAGCAGTCTCGACCTCTCCGAGCCTGGCTCCACCAAGCAAGACAAGCCGCATGCGTTCCACCATGCTTGAAGATCCAAGCACATTGGACAAACCTTGGGTGACAACGAAAGACCCATATGCGAGGATTGCCTATCTCTTGACTTACTCGGTCATGTTCCTTGGTATTGCAGCATCTGCTGTGCGCTGTTACTTTGGTTACAAGAGCGTACCGTTGATCAACGGTAATTTGTGCATGGTGTTGGATGAAGATTTCTCTTCTGACACCGACACAACTTTCGGAGCCAACGGAAATTGGTTCCGTGAAGTGCAGCTAGGCGGTTTTGGGTCAGCGAATTTCTACCTTTGGATGAATCGAGTAACTTACCATTTCTTCCCAGGAACGGCGAGTTTGAGATGACGACGTCCTCAACAAACAATTCATACACGTCCAACGGATACCTTTACATAACCCCTACCTTGACAGCAGACCAGATCGGCTCCGCCAATATCCTTAACGGTTATACATACAACCTTACCGACTGCACGTACAACGCGACGAACCCGACAACGTCAAACGCTTCGTTTAACGCCGCTGCCTACTACCAGTCTTGCGGTGCAGTAAGCAACAGTTCCACCGGCGCGGTAATCAACCCAGTACAAAGCGCGAGGATCACAACCCGCAAGAGTGCAAGCATCCGATATGGAAAAGTTGAGGTACGGGCGAAGGTCCCACGGGGGTACGTGTTACCTTTTTTGATCTGACATGCAGACTGACTGACCATTGGCTCGCTATAGTGACTGGGTGAGCATTTTACCGGCGAGACCAGACCGTATGACTTACTAACCGGCCCTGCAGCTCTGGCCCGCAATTTGGATGCTTCCTGTGAATGACACCTACGGACCATGGCCGATGAGCGGTGAAATTGACATTATGGAAGCACGCGGAAACGGTCGCACCTACCCCGATCAGTGAGGCATCTGATCACTTCACATAACCGCGATTTGCTGACCAGGATTGTATTGCTGATCTCTCTGAACAGGGGTATCGACTATGTCCGCGGATCACTCAACTGGGGACCCCTGTCGTTCTTGAACGCCGTGTCCAAGACTTTCGGCTGGTGGACACAGCGACGCACAGACTATGGGGAAGACTTCCACACCTATACGCTGGAGTGGACGGAGAGTTTCCTGTGAGTTCTGCTTGACTTCCGAGTTTAGGAAATCCTGACAGACTCGACAAAGCCGCATTTACGTTGACACCCGTTTGCACTATATGCTTGAGCTTTCGTTCAACGAGCCCTTCTTTACACGGGGAGACTTCCCCTCTGTGGTCGAAAACGGAACACAACCCATTGTTCTGCAGAACCCTTGGGTCAACGGGACCAATGCAACACCTTTCGACCAACGTGAGCTCTTATGAACGCTTATGAAGGTGTATTGTGCTTACCTCACCGATCGACGCACAGCATTCTACCTTATTCTTAATCTCGCTGTTGGCGGGACTAACGGATGGTTCCCCGATAACGCAGGCAGCAAGCCATGGCTAGATAACTCGAAAACAGCCATGCTGCAATTCACGGAGGCACAGGACACGTGGTATCCCACCTGGGGTTCAGACGGGGAGAGTAGTTCGTTCATTGTGTAAGTCGTTTGGTCCTTTGACATGTTCGTGTTCTGATATGTCGCAGGGACTACGTTAAAATGTGGGAGATTTGTTAGTCGAGCTGCCGACGGATTCGATATTTGCACATACCTTTTCATATTATAGACTCACTTACCTTGATCATGACATTTGGACCTAGTACTGTGACGTAGTACCTTACTTATCATTGTGTCTCCCTCTTATTGGGTTCTTGTTGAAACATCCATTATAAGCCAGCGCATGCCCATACTCAGATCCCGAAGGAACTTGACAGTCGGTACCTCTTTCATCAAGAGTTAGCGCCTGGACGAGTGATATTTTCAGCAAAGGAATGATGCATCACAGGTAAAAGACAGGTCGAGAACAAGAACCGACATAGGGCCTGCAACTCCGTGTGAAAGTGACCTAGTGGCTTGCAAAAGCACAGCCATCATCAAATTTAACACAACCGTGACTGTCTCGTGAATGTCTAATTGATCTCACTTGGCCTCGCGGGAGCGCAGGCTGCGAGGATTAGCCATCAAGTGGGTCCTTCGCGCGGGAGGGTGTAAATTACAGCCGGTCTGGGTGCAGGTCTGCGTCTGCGCCAAAGTCTGGGTGCACGCTCGGCAAGTCATGGTGCCCTCAGCAAATCGAAGCGGAGTTATAATGAAGCTCCTATGCGCTCATCACTCCCCCACCACCTCATCATTGCCCGCTCCCCACCGCCCACAATATCGAAATGAATGCTGATTTTTAGATGCGTTTATGGAGGGGGGCAGGACTCCAGGGGCAACTACGACAAATACGGTGTAAGGCTGAGGCTATAGAATATCGTCTTTAAGCTGGCTCGCGCAGCAGAGGAAGAGGTTGTCGAGAAAGGGCACGGCAGCGAGCTCGGTGTGCCGCTGCATGGCTGCAAAGATGGACCCGATGTCGTGCTCAGCGTGTGGTCAGGGGCGGGAAGCGCAGCTGGTTGTGGCAATGATTCGGCGGTATTCAGCTGCTGGCAACTTCAAACTCCGCAAACCGTGCCGATTGTGCAGAATAGTACTTTGTCGCAGACCTGCATCCAGATGATCCGGCCATTTCAGACTCGTCCTCGCCGTCTCGGACTCTTCCCGAGTGACTCTCAAGAGAATCTCCCTTCTTATAGTCATGACTAGGACTTGGGGCAACTACGAGAGAGTGCTAATGTTCGAACAACTCGACTGATCTTGTATACGATACCTGTGGGCCCTTCAATCAGCTAGACAAACTTGTTCAAAGTTCGAACATGTATCAACAAAGGCACGGTGTTCGTGACGCGGCATTTCGTGCGATCCCCGGAGTATTGTTGCTTATCCCCTTGCGATGCTTATCAGATCTCAGCTTTGAATGCAGGTTTGTGATCATGGACTTTTACACGTCGAAGCACTGTAAGCCCTTGTCTTTGTTTTATACGCATTTCTTAGTGCTCAGACATATAGCGTGCCGTATCAGAGACAAACTGCCATGTACACGATGCAAAGCATATAGTACATACATCAGCCCCCTATCGCATCTCCACGAACCATCGTTGGCCGGGGGGCGTGGTGAACTCCGCACTGGTATGCCCCTGTCAAATTGCTGATAGCCCATACTTGTATGAAAACCTAGCACTGAAGTGAGGAACTTGATTTCAAGGATACTCTCGGATGACGGCCCTTGATTAATCTTGATTGTCGACTTTATCCGCTCCGGTTCAAGGTATTTTTGCCAGATTATTGAAAGGATTATGCTGAAATTCAAGTGACCGATAGATTCGATTCTGATGGCACAATTGCCGCTACCACCGCTGACACCGCGGACCAGATTTACATGCCCATACATTGCAAATACACTTATGGTATGTGCGGCATGTGTGTGATGGCTAATGTGAATGGGTCTCAGTACCCTGTTTACGGAAACCCAGACGAGTATTCACGTTCGTCGGCGGTCCACGTTCAATCATTCATCAAAGATCAAAGATATACACAGCCTCGTTTCAGGAATACCCGAGGCGCTACACGGACATCAGGGTTGTGATGGTACTGCAGCGTCCGAGGCGCAATGTTTACGACCGCAGTGTACGACCGCAGTGTCTGATTTGGAGGTCTCGGTCGCTGAGGCGCTACTGGGGCATCAAATAGCGGAGCAACCGTAGACCGTTCTTCTTCTTAAGCTTCTGCAGATGAGGACGGATGTGGATCGAATCCCAAGTGTCTATGACTCACTACAAAGGTTTTGCAGCATCTCCATTCGAGCAAGGCCTTCGATTTTATGTAAATTGGCGCTCAGCAACTCGATAGACGTGCGTCACTTAGTCACTTCATCTCCCCTGAGAAGCGGTCCACAGTTGAATTGCTGAAGGAAGACAGCTTTACGTTTCCCAACCGGAAGCATCGGAGCAACTTTCAACCTGCTTGCGCGATACACTTTGCATATGTAAGGAGTGCCGCTCCGCTGACGATGGAATATCCTTTGTACCGACGAGCCACATCGCTTACATATAATCTATAAAAACATGTCTTCACCTTTCATGCCAGTAGCGAATTAAACCCTCCCCACTCACTCACTCACTCCTCACAATCCATCATTTCTTGCCGAACTCGCATTTAGTAGTTCTTGTTGCTCAAGTGCAACTTGACCTGCAAATATACCCAGGTGTGCATGTCCTCAGCTAAGGATTTGACTCATCAGAAAGGAATATCTATCTCACTGCTTATTCGCGAAGTCCAAGCCAGCATATGTCTATTGATTAGGTAGATTCGAATACACGAAACAATAACGCAAGAGAAACACGAGCTTCAGGTTATTGTAAAATGTACATTAACATGGATGTTGATGGAATTGCGCAATCGAATCTATCGGGTTAAGGGCGTACTCAAATAGCGAGGGACGCGAGATTAAAGTAATGGTCTACGACCAATCCCGCACAGACCAACGCTGCACCGTGGCGACCAGCCTGTAGTACAACACGATATCAGAATGAGCAAACTGGATGATATCAGTAAAACGTACCGTGAATTTGTTCCAGCTGTCTCGGGGATCGTTGTGATCAAATGACCAGATGTGCCAGAGACACAGGAAGAACGGCGCGAAGACACTCATGACGTAGAAGGGGAGGTGCTGGCCGTTCAGGTATCCAGCCCACAGAAGACACCCAAAAAAGGTCACATCGAACACGCTCAATGCAGGACGAATGCCATCACCCAGGCGGACCGCCATAGACTTGACACCAGCCTTTTCGTCATCCTTCTTGTCCTGAGATGATATAATCAATACATGCATTCAGTAGAAAATCAGAGGGTAGTCACCTGGCATGCATAGATAGTGTCATACAAACATGTCCAGCTATAGAGGCATCGTCAGCACTCCACAGAATGAACGCATTGTTGGCACTCACCAGCATGACGCAATGCCGACGTTCAGGATCATGCCCCAATCAAACTCACCCGTAATTGACACCCATGTGAATGGGACAGCCCAGCTAGCAGCAAAACCTTGGACCTAATTAAGAAGGTATGCTTTGAAATTCAAAAAAAGCCATACCGAGGAACAAAGAAGGCCAGTACATCCAGCGCTTCATCAACGGATATGTCCCGCCACACGTCGGGAGCCCAATAAGACCAAGCGTGAGACTAGAATGGTTCGTCAGAGGAGCCTTAATGGTCGTAGAATAATCTACTCACGCCGCAGTGCCAGCAGTCGAAAACATGTAAAAGATGGCAGCAACAAGAACGAATAGAAGAATTGAGGCCTCCGTCATGGTCACAGCTCCGGATGCGATCGGTCGTGTTTTCGAACGTTCTAATCGAACAGCGTCAAGAGACTAGTTACAGCGAGGACGAAACTAACGTACCAACTTTGCGATCGAACTCACGATCGCACATGTCATTTATGACACAGCCTGCGCTGTGTACCAATGTGCCCAACAATGCATAGAACAAAGTATTTTTTACAACTTCATCCATGGGTAATGCCACATGATATGATGCTGCCAGAGAACCCCATGCTAGGTACGATGAATTAAAATCAGCACCAACCAACAGGTAGTGTTACATACCGAAGGGCCAGAACATGAAGTCAGACCCCACTGGGAACCAGTGGAGCCTGGTGAGCTCAAGCAATGATCTCGCCTTGGAGGGCATTGGGACAAGTTTGCAAGGAAGGGAAAAACTGGGGCGAATAAACCCAGGCAACCAGCTATGCTCATTTTATACCCTTACGCATGTTGAAGCGAGCTTCAGATATTCGCGTCGGGTCCCTTCCGTTTGATACCTAAAAAGTTTTAGTTTGATTACGGTGAGCGGACCTGAACGCACTGCCAGTGTATTAACCGCACCCAAAGACGCAATTCGCTACATTGACCACTTCCTAAACTAAATTAGATGATTGAGAAATTACGTAAATGATAAGCAAATTTGCGAACTATCAGGACCCCTGAGATTGACATACCGTCTGGGCGAGGAGGAGAGCAGGCAAAACATTCCCGCTGCCAGGAAGGGTGCTGATCGTGAGACTCATACTGCTAATCCAAAAGTTGTTCCGAGTAGCTCTAGCATTGTTTGGCAGACATTCATTTTGCTGGTACACCGTGAATTGAGCACTCCTCCACTTGGCAAGGCCGGTAACTGTAATCACGTCGTCCTGATAACACCACGGTTGTCAATCAGCCCATCATGTGACAATGCTTTGCAGCAGTCTAACAATATTGTGCAGTCAGCTAGCTACAGCCTCTTCATTAGTATGCTATGCCGGCGCAAAGATGGGGCCTGAAATTGCGTACGTTAAGTCGTACGACTGCCATTAAAACGTGAGTAACTTGGAAACTTATTTGGCTCGCGGTCAATGACTTGAACACCAGCCCTATCCACATCGGCATATGAATAGTATATGTAGTGTCACCACTACCACCTATGCGTCAACAACCACACGTCTAAACCGTTGGTAACCCTCACTGGATGAATCGGTGATCAGGTTAGTCATAGTATGTCGGGGGTCCTGTTGATCCACGGCCTGCCGGATCCGACTTAGAACCTTCAGGACATACTTATAAGGCTTTCGGCAAACTTCCGGAGCGAAAACATACTTATGTTATACGACGTTACATGTAAGTAATCGGCCTAAAAGCCACTTTCGATCGTGGTCACTGGTCAGTGGTCGGATCTGAGGTAAGTTCATCGTACTGTCCGCTATCCACGACATACATTGACGACGCGGCTCCAACGGTTCTCTAATACTGGGTGCTGTTGGGTTGGAATTCGTGTTCGCTTCACATGCAAACACGTTCGAACCTCATGTGTATGTAATAAGAACCACAACGTGTGATCTGGCTTGCCCTATCTGTAAACATGAGGTAAGTACATAGTCTGCCCAGAATTCGCAACCAAGTGAGTGTATAAAGTTTAAAGACAACTGTAACCCTTCATCGCACAGGTATTTATGTCAATCACAGAAAGTCGTACCATTATTTCCTGTGTCAGCCAGCCGCTCAACCGCCTGAATTCCCCGCTGATTGGCGATGAAAGTGCTTATCAGGCAGCGTACTTATGGGTGTCGCGGGTCATTGACATTTGTGTCACGATATCTAGGATGGGTTTGATAGTCGAGAGCTCAACACTGTTCGGTATGAGATTGAGATAAGTAAACTTGCCAGAATAGTAAGTTGTTGTGCTCACCGTATCGCATCGGGGATTACAACGATTTTACCCCATGCAGAAGATAGAGGCAACAGGCGGTGTAAACACGCTGGAGAATATTGATGGACATGTCCCCTGATGCGGCCGAGCCTGTGCCTATGCACACACAGCCCGTCTATGCACATTCACCGCAAATTTACTGTTCAAACTGAAGCCTCAACGGGGGGCTTTTATTAGTATGTGGTGGCCCAGATCAAGATATGTGCGACGGAGAAATCCGAAAATTTTTGGACACAATTGTCACAGGTGTTTATGTGAGTACGGAAATTCTGGTACGAGCGCTGACAGTTTAAGAAAAGGTCGGTCAAAAGCACACACGTTATCCAAACGAAAAAAAAAAGGCTCAGCTTCAGCCGATTGCACCATCACTTCGCCTGCAAATCGAAAATGCATCTTCGATGTCATCGCTATCAGGGGTGAAGATAAGATTTTCGGGAGCATAGAATTTCGGCTTATGAAGGGCATGCGACCGCGACCAAATCGGCAGGGATTTTGGTGCGGAGCTAGTAGGGGCCGCTGAGTACGATGTAGGTATACGAGCGGATGATAAGGTCTGCTTGGTGTATTAAAGAGGTTCATACGTATGCTATGATGTTTTCATTTGCTGGATTCCAGAAGCGACGTCTTTGATTTCGGTAGGGCAATCCGCAAGCAGTTTTTTTTCCCGACAGAGACAATGGGCCCTGTCACGAATTCACGGTCGCATGCATATGATAGGTGCGCATTGTTAACTGCCCAAATTCCGTGGGATTGCCAAGGTGATATCTGGTGTCAATGGAAGATCAAACCAGACGCTTGGTGTGTCAAGTGTAGTGCACTGCGATTCTGCGTAGCATGAGGTGTTTCACACTGGAAGGCTACGGAAGGCCATTCATTGCTCACCTATTAATGACCCTATTAACGATGAGAACGGATCAGGACAGGACGGAACGTGATGAAGATGGAACGTGATCGATTGATCGATTGATCAATGATTATAGACAAAGTGTGGGACTCCTTGGTTGGAGAAGGGATGCTCATTGCACGCGCTCTCGAGCTCATCGTCGAAAGTACTTTGGAGACAAGCCCATGCTGGTATTTTCCCTGGATGAACTTGATGACTGGGGCGTCAAAGTTGACATTTCAGAAGGCAACTTGAACATGTCGACATTCGACGGTGCCTGTGTATACGTACTTACATATAAAAAATGAAAATGGCCGCCGGAGAAGTCGTCGAGCGTCTTCGACGACGAGCAGGACCTGTTTCCAAGCTTTGAGCGCGCATGAGAGTGTAGAAAGAGAGTAGTGAGCACGAAAGTCGATCCTGAGAAACTGGCGCTGCCAGAAATCCTGTTGCTGGTTTGAGTCCGTTACCGTGTCTTTCTCATTTACTCCTCGTCGTCAAGCGGCACGAGCTCACAAAATTTCGATTGTGCGCTGTCGTCCTCCACAGCGCTCATAGGGACATACAACATCGACGCTGGACTGCACCCACAACGACGACCACCTGATAATTCGGCTGGATTACACTCTCATTTTCAAAGTTTCGGTTTAAGCTGAACAACGCAACACATCATCACTACCAGCAGTCTGCAAAAACCGGAATCGTCGGCTCTCGATGCCCAGTATATTCTCGCGAGCCCGCACTACTTCGACAACAGGCAAGAAGCAATCCAGTGGCAACCACGACGGATCTTTGGACGAGTTTGGGCGCGTAAATAGTAGGAGTTCCGCCAAAGATGTCAATGGTGGCAGGAGCACACCTCCTAGTACTCTTGTGAAACAGAAACCACGGAGCCGAACCCTCAGCACTCCCGAGACAGACCCGTTCGCTCACATTCCTGATGGGTCTTTTCTCCCTTTGAATTTGGAACCCAAAGATATTGACCACGAGCAGCAAGAGCATGACTACGGATACCTGTCTTATCAGCGACACGTTATACTGGGTCTCGATGAAGTCGCACGCATCGTGGACGTCGTGGCCAGCGAACTGGGCACTAGAGCATTGACCACTCCCTTTATTTTCTCGACTCTGGCACTTGATGTCACAGCTAGCTCCGTCAAGAGGCTTGTCAGAGCGTTTTTAGAAACGTGCACGGGCGGAATCGACGCAGAACACCGTTGGAGGGAGGAGGCCAGGCTCGCAGGTCCGCACGCACTTGGCATGTGCATACGGTGGGGACTGGCCAGAGTCGTCAGAGTCGTTGGTGGACAGGCGGTGAGAGGCCTTATTGCTTGGGACCATTATACAGAGTTCCGAGACTCTGAAGCAGGTGAGCGTCTTTTCTGGTCTCTTCCATTTCACCCTCACTTTTCACGTTTTTCTGCCTTGCATTGCAATCACTCCTTCACATTAAACGCTCATATTCAATATTCAATGACCTTACTAACTTTATTGTAGTACAGAACTATCCCCCGAAACACTTCTCCACCTTCCTCCCACCTCTCTCCTCAACTCTGCGCTCGATCCTACTCACTCTGTTGAGCCTGCTCATTCGGTTCACAGCGCACAGCGCGAGCTCCGGACATACGCCTCCAACCCTCTCCCCGTTATTCGGACCCTTGTTATTCGGACTCGGCCCCGCCACTCTGGCATTCCACCACACCTATATCCACTACCTCCGCGCCGTTAACGCCACCGAACATCTCCTTCTTTCCTTCATTCGTTGGCAATCTACATCTGACCTCGGTGTTCCTACCCGGCTCAAAGAATGGATCCGCTCCTACCCTGCCACTCTCCCTGCCTTGCATCACTCAGCCAAGCATGAACGCCCACAAGCGCGCAGGGGTGCACGTACGGTGCGTGTCGTAAGTGTAAGGCGTAACGTACGGATGTATAGCCAAGATCTAGTAAACACTGCTGCAAGCTGGGCACATCGGTCTCATGGGCACGGCCTAGCGGGGTCGAAGGAATGGGAAAGGATTGTTCCGCCTTCGCTCAAACTACCTCCGAGATACTCAGAAGCATACAAGAAGCGTATGGACCTACCGTCCCATGTGCACCCATACACTGGACCCGGTGTCGCTCCAGCATCTGCGACAAACAGCACGTCGTCTTCTCTATCTGATGACAGGGATGGTATCACGGGTCTGGGACTACGGGAGGGCGAGGAGAGGTTCAGAAGTCTTACGGAATTGAAGTGGGGGGAGTTTGAGACGATGGGATTCGGAGCGGTCGCTGCGGATGACAAGAAGTTGCAGTTTGATTTAACGGAAGGCGCGCGGACGGTGCGTATAACATCCATGCCATATTTTCAATGGTGCTTACCGCCCCTTTGTTGACATATAGGCTCGTGCTGCAAAACGGGCTACTCTCACGTGGACTGACTTCTCTACGACTGGTTTCACTCGCACAGACGCACCTCTAAGCGCTACCTTACAATTTAGCACGCCTGTTACCCACACGATCTCCGCGTGGCCCTCGCACAATGCCGATCTTACCAAAAAGCTCAAGAAGACTGCCAGGACCTTGCCTGCTTTTGGCTGGGATACAGAGCCAGTCCTCGGCACGGAAGAGGTGGTGGAAGAGGCGTTTGTGGACGTGTTTTGCGATTTGGTTTGGGGAGGGGGTTGGAGGGAGGAAGTTGGCGGGATCTCGAGTGCAGAGGGGCCTACAACAGAGGTCGAGAGGGAGTGTAACTGGGCATTGGTGGGTGCTTCAGTTCTTAAGCGTATCTTTCGCTTTCTCTTGTGCTGACCCCTCGCTTAGATTGAATTTAAGTCTCTTCCGATATCTGCATCTATATCCTCTCCCTTGCCCGCGACTGGTGGCACAGACCCAAGAACAAGCACGACACTCGTTTTGTTTGAGGAGTTTGTGCCTTTGGAGTACCGCCAACAGCTTGCCAAGGACAGTGGTGGGAAGCGAAGGCTACCATTTCTGTTCCTGTCCCCTAATAGTGAGTGGTCGTTTCCTTTTCAATGTTTCAACCTTTCTTCCCCTTAATCATTTCCTCTGCACCTTCTCCTCGCTTTCGTTCCACCCGGATGTCCGTCTTCAATCACAACTAATTTCTTTCCATATACAGCCAAATCTCGTCCATGGAAACCCGCTGCTACACTCAACGGACGTCCATACGTTGTTGGGCACGTCCCTAAGAGTCCGTCATATCGCGAAGTCGAATTTGAGGGACTGCTGAGATCGAATGGGAGCAAGGTTCTTTCACTACAGAAGCCTGGTGTTTCGGGTAGCGCGGGTACGATGTCGCCCGGTACACCAGGAATGCTTTCTCCAGTAGCTTCAGACGATCGACCCTCCACCCCACGCCCAGCTCCTTCCACTCGGCCGATGGTGACTATCTCTGCACCGCTGTATACCCAGCCACAAGACAATGACAAGCCGCCAGCGCCGCCCTCAAAGGACAAGGACAGAGACTCAAAGCTCGAGCGTAGAGCCTCCGACTCGCCCCTCTCCCCAACATCTGCGCGCAATTTCGCTTCGCGCTTTCGCGTCCACCCCAGTTTTCGCCGCTCGGGAGTCGCCCCTGCTGAATACGCCGAGGCAATAGTGGATTTTGAAACAAGGCTGGCGAGCTACTCAGATGATGAGCTGAATAATACGACTTCTTCATCTGCCGGAGACAGAGACAGGCATGAGAGAAGGCGCTCGAAGGACGATGCTTGGGTGGATATTCTGGTCGCGACGCACAGCCGGCGGATGGGTGGGCAGGATGCTGATATTCGCCCATTCGGTGGGCGCAAGAAGGGCATGCAAGACCCGGAGATCGCGAGCCATGAGGTAGCACAAGTGCTTGCGGGCGTGGCGCTTGCGAAGTTGCCGCCGAGCGTTGATGAGCCTGAGCCGCTGCCTGAGCCCACCGTGGCGCCGAGCGTACAGAGCGAGGATGTGGATGTGGACAGTGTGATGTCGTATCCAAAGACGACGACCTCCAGTGGGCCGAAGCGTATGGGGTACTTTGATCTGCATCCAGAACGCAGGCCTCCGCCTTCGCCGCAGCCAACGAGCTTGGGCGAGGACTCAGATGGAGATGAGCAGGTGCGCTATGGAAGCCCTGAGAGACCCTCGCTGTCGAAGTTTCCCATACCCGCAAACACCGATATAAGTTCTTACCCCCAGCCCCTGCGAGGCTCGATGGACACCGAAGAAAGCGACTATGCACCAACTTCCCGGACGCACTCCATCCAGCTCGATGGGCCAGAGTTAGTGTACGAAGACCATCATGCAGCAAAGGAGACGCAGGGCGTGTTCTCGGGTACAGGGATTATGACCATGCCGCAGCTTATAGCTGTTGCACCCGTGACGCCGGAGAAGGGAGATAAGGATCAGGAAAAGAGTCGGACGGCTGCGCTGATTGAGATGTACCGCGAGCGCGAGAAAAAGTCATCTATGACTACTCCCGTGCCGATATCAAAGCTCCCCGTGCGTTCGACATTGTCGCAGGCTCAAACGAAGGAGTCACCGCTGCCGCCCGTACCTGTGGTTGAGCTAGAGCCTGTTGTAGTGACCCCCGTGGAGGTTGTTGAGGCGCCTGTGCGCACGGAAGGCTTGCAGAGTGAGGAACTTCTGCAGCCCCTGAGTGTGTTGTATGAAGGGAACGGGCGGGATAGTCCCGCGAGGTATGTGCATGGGGCACCGTTGCATAATGTGATGGAGGAGGAGGAGGAGGATTGAGTCGTCACGCCCCTCACTTCCTTGACCACCCACGCAGGCCTTTCTTCACCTCGCCATCACAATCGTTACCCAACCCCGAGGTCTTTCATCGTCGTTGATCCAAATGCCAATATTTCCACCGAGGAACGCACCATGCAACTCGTCATTCTACCATGTATACCTGAACACCTACGTGTATATGAACCATCCATATCAGTCGTCGTCCCCAACACCACCGACATTCTATTCTAAATACCACCGCCGTTCCCTATTTTCCTTTCGATACCAAATCTCCTCGAGGCGTTGTAACGCAAGCACGTTTCGTCAAATCAGGCCGATACCGTATCTCGAAACTGGTCGACTGGACCCGGGGTTATTTTTCTATTCAACAACATACGTACACGCCATTCTTTTACAATCTTTTCCATATTCCTGACTGTTTGCTAGCGCATGCTAATATTCTGGGGTTAGCCTCTATAGTCGTAGCCCTGCCCCTCTCCCTATGTTGTCCCTTCGTTTGCTCTGTTTTATAGTGGAATTTATTTGATTTATGATGCCTGTTCAATAGTTGGAGTGTTAGCGGGCCAGCGGCCCTCCGGATCCGCAGAGGCACTGATTCACCTGACCTTAGGTCACTGATTAAGACCAGCTATTTGCTAGCCTATGATGTTTTCAGGTTTCTCTCACTTTGCTCTCACTAGCTGTGTTTCTGGCGCTTGCTTTCTGTGACTATGATTGAAGTTCCAGATAGATCCATTCGCATCTGTGCAGACCGAGGAGGGACATTTTGTGATGTTCATGCGTAAGGCCATGTCCAAGCTTTTGATTGCCTCCCACGAAGCTCAGATAAAACAGATCGTATCCTGACCCAGGCAATCCAAACGAGCGGAAAGATATCATCGTCAAACTTCGTACGTGTCCTCAGTTGCATATTCTTATTTCTTAGTTGCTTGATTGTCCTGCAGTGTCACAGGACACAGCCAACTACGGCGATGCACCAACGGAGGGTATCCGGAGAGTGCTTGAAATCGTGACAAGAGAGACGATCCCCCGTGGGTCTGTACTTGATACTAGCAAGATCGGTCCGTGCCACTCCCCCTGACACTGGCATTCACTTATCCTGCGTACAGATTATATCCGTCTATCGACGACCGTGGCGACAAACGCGCTGCTGGAGCGCAAGGGGCATCGGCATGCATTGCTTATCACAAAGGGATTCAAGGACCTCCTTCTCATCGGGAATCAGTCACGCCCACGTATCTTTGACTTGAATATTCGCCGCCCAAACCCTTTGTACTCTGAGGTCGTTGAGGTGGATGAGCGCGTCACTCTTGTGGGGTACACTTCGGATCCCAAGGCAGAGGATAACGCTATCAAGTGGAATGATGATGGGTCGTCCATTCAAAGAGGCTATAGGGGTCCGGGGTGGGATGGGGAAGGTGATGCTGAAGGTCCGGGAGACATTGTTCGAGGGATTTCGGGAGAAGCAGTGAGGATCTTGAAGAGACCAAGTGCGTGTCTTGTACACTTATAACATCGTGTTTGCTGATGATTATTTTTTAAGATCTGGACCTTGTGAGGCACGACCTACAGCGACTGTACGACGCCGGATATCGATCTCTTGCGATCGTCCTTGTTCATTCTTACACCTTCCCCGAACACGAAATACAAATCGGCAAGCTCGCTCGGGAAGTCGGGTTCACACAGGTCTCAGAATCCTCGCAGTTGTTGCCCATGATCAAGATGGTTCCTCGTGGCGTATCATCCACAGCGGATGCATATCTCACCCCTATCTTGCGAGAGTATCTAGACGGATTCTTCCACGGTTTTGATGCGAAATTGAAGGATGGACGGATAAAGAGTCCCCGTGTGGAGTTCATGGGTAGCGATGGGGGGCTTTTAGACCTTAATAACTTCTCGGGCTTGAAGAGCATTCTAAGTGGCCCAGCAGGAGGCGTCGTCGGGTATGCGTTGACGAGCTGGGACGCAGACAGGAAATACCCTATCATTGGGTATATGCTATATCCCATCCAGTTTTGACCTGACTTACGCTCTTGTTCTGTAGTCTTGATGTAGGTGGGACATCGACTGATGTATCTCGCTTTGATGGCCGCTACGAAGTGGTTTACGAGACGACAACCGCTGGAGTCACTATCCAGTCTCCACAGCTGGACATCAACACTGTTGCAGCTGGTGGAGGTTCTTGCTTAACCTTCAGAAACGGCTTGTTTCTTGCAGGACCCGAAAGTGCTGGTGCACAACCAGGTCCTGCCTGTTACAGGTATGTGCATACCAACCTGAAGGAAAACGTTTTGATTGAATTTGCACTCAGGAAAGGGGGTCCGCTAGCGGTTACAGACGCCAACTTGCTGCTAGGCCGCCTCATCCCAGATTACTTTCCCAAAATATTCGGAAAGTCAGAGAAGGAGCCCCTGGACTCGAATGCATCGCGTGTGGCCTTTGAGCAGGTCGCGAAAGTGATCAACGACAGTCACGAAATGAACCTTGGCTTGGATGACATTGTATACGGGTTGGTACAACATTCATTCGCGATGACTCAGATATGCAATTATACTCGAGGTTAGGTTCATCAAAGTTGCCAACGAGACGATGTGTAGACCCATCCGTGCACTAACGGAGGCGCGGGGATATTCAACAGGAAAGCATGTGTATGTGTGATGCCTATCTTGCCATCTCTATTATGCTTATTTACTTGTTCTCAGACTCGCAAGCTTTGGTGGTGCAGGTGGACAACACGCCTGCGAGATTGCAAGTTTGCTTGGCATAAAGACCATCCTCATCCATCGATACAGCTCCATTTTGTCTGCATACGGACTGGCATTAGCAGACCGGCAAGTGTTTATCCAGCGGTACTGTTGATTTCGTATTTGAATTGACATCAACAGTGCATTCGAGCTCCAAGAGCCCTCATCAACGTTCTACTCTGTGCAGACACGCCAATACCTCATCGCCCGTCTCGATAAACTTACCGGCGATGTTAAAGCCGAGCTTGGGCGCCAGGGATTCGAGGGCGACCGCGTGAGGGTCGAGCGGATGCTGAACATGCGGTTCGAGGGCACTGACACTGCACTCATGGTTCTTCCTAACCAGAATGATGGCGATGGCACCGAAGACTTTGAGGCTGCATTTAAGCGCGTGTACAAGGCAGAGTTTGGCTTCCTACTTGATACCAAAAGCATCATCGTGGATGACGTAAAAGTGAGTGTCATCCCAAGTGACCTAAAGGTACCAAGTGACCATGCCCTGCCAGGTTCGTGGCATTGGAAAGACGTTCGACCACCTCGGGGAGTCCGTCTACTCGGAGGTAGATCGGCTTGAAACGAAACCCGTCACATGTGATCGAGCAGATTCGGCATACAGCGTGTACTTCGATAAAATAGGCCGTGTGGACGACACACCTGTGTTCCTTCTAGACAACCTGGGCGTAGGCGATGAAATCACGGGCCCCGCGATGATCATTGATAATACGCAGACTATAGTCGTCGTGCCAGGCGCGCGCGCTGTGCTCACTACCAAACACTTGTATATCACACTCGGAGAGTGAGTGTTCGTGGTTTTTGAGTAGGGAGTCACTGCTCGTCGGTGATGTTCACTGTAATTGTATGTGTTGTCGTCGGGAAACATCCAGTGTGGTATAGCACTAGTGTGCAAATTTGCACTCATCGACACGGGTTGAAACTAATGTCTTCAAGGAGCTATCAACTGTATTGACTATCTCCGTTTAAATAATTTGCTAATATTACATAAACTGCAGGCAATCGATTTCGGCCCGCAACTGTCATATATATTGAAGCACCACGCGATAGCTTACATAATAATGGCGAGAAATCCCAAAACAAAGTCCCTCCACTGAATTTATCATAGTGCTCGAACTACTAGGAATCTACTCGTGAAAACTATATAGGTCTACGTTTGAGATGTCTTTCTGATTGGAAAAAATGCAGTACAGCCTCAGAGTTGTGATGCGGAAGTGTAGCACACCAAATATCCATTTCGCGTTTCAATGGATCCGTGATTAGCTGTACTTAGCTATGATAGCCCAAGGGGATGAATTTCAATAAGCTAGTATTAAAGTGACGGTGGCTAGTCTAGAACGACGACACATAAGGTGAGGCTAGCTAGGCTGCCAACAACATCACCGTCAGACTCGGCGGGAATGGAACAAGTTGATCCCCGGAACAATATTGTTACAAGGATAATGCAGTACCCGACGGACACTCCCACGGTGATGTTAATGTCAAGGCTTGCTGAAGAGTGTCGAGCACCCTGTTATGACTCCGAGCTAGCTCGGTTCCCTTAATTGCCTCTGGAAAAAAGTCCGAGCAGTCGGTCTCTTTAGCCCTGGAAAAGACCCCAAGGACGTTGGCGGCAACGTAAGTTGAATATTCTATTCTCGCCTTGCTAATCTTTTCTTTTTTCTTTCATTGTTGACTGTGATGGCAACCTCCCTTTCGCTACTCACCCACCCTCGACCATATGCGTGTGTACACGTGTACACCCGATCCCTATCCCTGCCGCTGTCGACCACGACATCTCGTCGCTCCCCACCTTCAAGCGCCACCCCAACAACCTCCTGCAACCCTGCTGCTGCCACCCGTGCCCTTGGGCAACCTCCTGCGCCTTCGACAGCGGCAACCTCTTGCGACCTCTCGCTACCCACACCGGCTCACCCAACCAAGACCCATCCTGTCATCGCCCCACACCCAATGAGGATCTTCCTCTTGCTCCCGCTAACCTGATGCTGCCGCCACAATCTACCGCTCTCTCTCGTTGCTGACCTCGATCTCTTGCGCCTTCCTGTCACTCTCGCACGGCCGCTCGTTCCCTTTCGCCGCCTGATGATCTCTCCTCGACCGCCGGCAATTTCTCGTTACTCTGGCACATTCCACGGCCAGCCGCGGCACCCTACTTCTTCTGCCCTCATTTTTATTTATATATATATTGCCTGTACACTACGTGTTTTTTGAATATAGCAAGTATGGACTTGCTAAAAAAAATTAACAACCACAGTCATTAATGTCATAGCATAAAAATCAATAAATTTTCGTCACTTTACTGTGATCAGAGTCTTGAACGCCATCAACATTTTACAACTAATCATTCGCCAGGCACCAACATAGGGCCCATCTCACAGCAGTTGTAGTGGAGTAAACAGCATTAATATATTGCGCGCAGGGTATAATACATGAAAAATCTAGCTAAATAATACTACGAAGTCTAATAACGCCAAGAGAATAAGCTAACAGTGATGAGGACGAGGGAAGGCGACGCAGAAAGAAGGGGGGGAATAGGTACTGATGGTTGTGGTGAGGTATATATACCAAGTTGGCGATGCCGTCAACTATACCTTGAAGCGAACTGAAGCGAACATCCCGAGGGGTCCTGGGGTCTTGAACCCTGTGAATGCCGTGAGTGTGTTCGGATTTTTTATTCTTGTGGTTTTGTGAACCGAGCAAGCTCGGAGTCATAACAGGGCGCTACAAACTCCTTGCTGAAGTCATTAGCCAGCATTAGCCGCCGCCCGGAACGCTCGAACGTTATCCCAACCGACGCGGTATCCCCCCTGCGCTTAAAAGACCTTCGATCAGCAGTTACCCTATGCGTACTTCTCAGCCCCAAGCAGGTTGGGTTTTAAATATAGTTGAATGCTATATAGAACGAACATCAGGCGATGCTGAACCGAGCAAGTTTACCTATATATCCCGTAACCTATTTCCCCCTTCGAAGCAGTTCCTGCGGTTCCTTGTACGTAGACCTTCCTTATCATGGCTCTCCATGAAGCCAATGGACAGGTCGACGAGGCAGCTAGCCTACCAGCAACTCCAATCCCTCCTTCAGAACTAGATTTCTCCACATCCGCCCCCTCATTCCTTGAGAAGTCGTCCGAAGACGTGCCTTACTCTGTAAAAAATGAACAATCGTATGACTTCAAGCAGGTACTCAGAGACCTAATGAAACAGCAAGTTTTTGTGGTGACTTTTGTACACTGTCTAATTTAATATTTCATTGTCTCTTCCTCAGCCGTCAAGATGAAGGAATCAAGGATCGCCAACTTGGTGTCATGTTTAAGGACTTGCGTGTCGTTGGTGCAGGTTCTGGTACTTCGCTCCAGCCCACCGTGAGCTCACCTTTCAAACCTTCAACCCTTCTGGCCAAGATCAGGGGAATTCGCCATCCCTCGATCAGAAACATCTTGTCCGGGTTCGAGGGTGTAGTCGCTCCTGGCGAAATGCTGTGTAAGCACACGGCCTTCCTCACTGACACTGGACCTCTGGTCTTAACTTTCTGTACAGTGGTTCTTGGCCGTCCCGGCGCCGGGTGCTCGACCTTCCTCAAGACGCTCGCCAACCAACGTGGGGAGTATCATGCCGTCGAAGGTCAAATTTTCTATGATTCATTCACCCCAGAGGAGATACATGACTCCTTCCGTGGCGATGTCACTTATTGTCCGGAGGATGATGTCCACTTCCCGACGATGACCGTCGAACAGACGCTCTCCTTCGCTGTTAGAAACCGTACTCCCGAAACTCGTCTTTCCGGCCAGACACGCGAGAACTATGTTGAGGATACCACCGAGATGCTAATGAAAGTCTTTGGCCTCTATCGTTCGAAAGATACCATAGTTGGCAATGCTCAGATCCAAGGTGTTTCCGGTGGCGAGAGAAAGCGAGTTTCTATCGCAGAGACTTTAGGCTCTGCAGGCTCACTTGGTGCATGGGATAAGTAAGGTTTTAACATTCAAGGTGTCATGATTCTGACTTGTTTCTCATTCAGTTCCACTCGTGGATTAGACTCCTCGACTGCCCTTGAGTTTGTTCGCACAATGCGTTCCATCACAGACATCAAACGCACAACGACGATTGTCTCCCTCTACCAGGCGGGCGAATCGTTATACGATCTATTTGATAAAGTATGTGTGATCGCGGAAGGGAAGATGGCCTATTTCGGTCCGGGGAAGTCAGCCAAAGATTACTTCATTGGTATGGGTTTCGAACCACAAAACAGGCAAACTACCCCCGACTTCCTGGTTGCAGGTAAGCCATTACGATTTGCTAGTATTGTCTCATCGTCATTATCATCATCATTAGTTACGGACCCCAACGGGAGGAAAATCCGCCCTGGACATGAGAGCTCTGTCCCACGAACGTCGGAGGAACTTGCTAGTCGGTTCATAGCTTCTGACCTTGGTCGTCAGAATCAGAAAGCCATTGAACAGCGCCGCGAGCAATGCGTTGGCAATCACGAATCCAAGCAGGCATATCTGTCCAGTGTGGCCGCTGAACATGCCAATACATCTACTCCTTACATGACTTCTATCCTTCAGCAAGTCAAAGTGGTCATGAAGCGCCGCGTGCAAGTTATTGTTGGTGACAAGTTCGAGTTCTTTATACGATTGGCGTAGGTGGCATTTTTCTTCTTGTCCAACCCTTAGTGACACTAGGTGATAGATCCCAGGTCTTCCAAGCGTTAATTATGGGCACCGTCTTTCTGAACGTGCCAAATGACACCTCGGCCTATTTCTCCCGTGAAGGTGTTCTGTTCTTGTAACTATCTTCCCCTGTCCTCATCTTAATTGCGCCTCACGGCTCTTTCAGTTCCCTCTTCTTCAATGCTATCACATCTGTTGCAGAAATCCCTTCGCTGTTCTTCCAGCGTCCTATCGTGCTTCGTCACCAGAAAGCCGCGTTACATCATCCTTTTATTCAGAGCCTCGCCCATACTATCGTTGATATTCCGGTCACTTTGATCGTTCAACTGGTGTTCGCTGTGGTACTCTACTTCCTGGTTGGGTTGCAACATTCTGCCGCACAGTTCTTGTAAGTTCTTCAAGCCGTTTGCTCTTCACTTTAATACTCACCCTGCTGCACAACAGCATTTTTTACCTGTTTATCTTTTTAATGTCGCAAACCATGAAGTCATTCTTCAGAGCTATCGCTGCAAGCTTTAAAACTCGTCCTAGCGCAATAGCTCTGAGCGGTATCTTCGTTCTCTTGATATCGCTCTACGGTGGGTACACAATTCCTTGGCCAACTGCACCGAAAGGCTTGCGGTGGATCATGTGGTTGAACGTGCGTAATCCCTTGTACAATACTTTATTTTGGCTAATATCGATATCGCTGTCTTAGCCATTGTGGTGGGCGTTCGGTGGACTTGTTGTGAACGAGTTCAACACGATCAACGGAGTGTGCTCCACTCTTGTCCCTCAGGGTCCCGGTTACGAGAATGTTTCGCTTGCAAACCAAGTTTGCACGACTGTCGGATCGCAGCCCGGGCAGCTTCTTGTTGATGGCAACATCTATGTTGCATTGACGTTTGACTTTTGGTATAGTCAACTTTGGAGGGTAGGCCTGTCACATTATCCTTGGTGAATAGCTCATGATTATCACCGCAGAACTTTGCCGTCCTTTGTGCTTTCTACGTTGGATTCTTGGCCATTTTCCTAGTTGCTACAGAACTCAACACTTCGTCTGCTTTCGATACTGCCGTCGTTCTCTTCAAACAGGGTTCTACTGTCGTCGATGAGAAAGCTAAGGTTCTTGATGAGGAAAAGGCAGATGCAGAATTTCATTCTAGATCCCACTCCGATGCAGCTGATCCCTCGGCTTTCAACGATGTGGAGAAGAACGCCGCGGTTACGGACCTCTTCACGTGGCAACACCTTCAGTATGACGTCCCCACTGAGGGAGGGATGAAACGCCTTCTCGATGACGTCACGGGCTTTGTTGCCCCTGGGAAGCTCACGGCGCTAATGGGTGAATCTGGCGCTGGAAAGGTATACCTTCCTATGACACCAGTCGCGCATGGCATTTACTGAAATACTTGTAGACAACGCTCTTGAATGTTCTTGCACAACGTCACGGTGTCGGTGTGGTAACTGGCGAGCGATTCTTTAGCGGACAACCGCTCCCCGTAGATTTCCAGGCTCAAACGTCAGTCTCGTCCTAAATTTGTCGATCTTATCTGACCGACTGTTATGTTTAGTGGTTACTGCCAACAACTCGACACCCATCTTCCTGAGGCGACTGTTCGTGAAGCGCTCCTTTTCTCTGCTAATCTTCGCCAGCCACAGTCGGTTCCTCTCGCCGAAAAGGAAGCATAGTGCGTACGATTTTTGCACATGATCAACCCACGCTTAACTTTCCACTGCAGCGTTGACAAGTGTCTTCAAATGTGTGGTCTAGAGGAGTATGCCGACGCTATTGTTGGGTCCCTCGGGGTTGAGTGCCGTAAACGTACCACCATCGCAGTGGAGCTTGCTGCCAAGGTTTGAATCTAAACTCTCGAGGCTACAGTTGTACTAAAAAAAACCAACAGCCCAAACTTCTACTCTTCTTGGATGAGCCTACGTCCGGCCTAGACTCGCAATCTGCCTGGGCTATTGTGCATGTCCTTCGTGAGCTTGCTGATCGTGGTCAGGCTATTCTCTGCACGTGAGTGTCGTGTCTGCGTGTGGGTTTTCAATGCTTATGAGCTGTACCAGAATCCATCAACCTTCGGGAGAGCTCTTCCAGGTCTTTGACAGGTTGCTGCTCCTTCGCAAGGGTGGACAGACCGTCTACTTTGGCGATACTGGCGAGAACTCGTCGACTATGCTGAACTACTTTGAGCGTAATGGTGCTCCACGCTGTGGCTCCGATGACAACCCGTAAGTAAGGTGCAGTCGTATTAGGTCTTGCGGCTTACCACGGTATTGAAGGGCGGAATACATGCTTGATGTAATCGGTGCTGGGGCAACTGCGGTCTCCACTACTGATTGGTACGATGTCTGGAAACGTTCACCAGAAGCGGCGCAGCTTCAAGAGCAGATCGACAACTTGCATGAACATGGTCGTACTCACCCACCACAGCTGAGCGTCCGGCACTCTGTCTTCACTACCTCATGGTGGCACCAGTTCGTTACGCTCACCCACCGAAACTTCCAAGCATACTGGCGCAATCCTACGTATATCCGCGCTAAATTTGTGCTAAATTTGTGCTAAACATCTTTGGCGGTCTCCTTGTAGGCTTTACATTCTTCCAGTCAAACGATTCTTTGCAGGGCACTCAAAACAAGCTGTTCGTAAGTATATCAATTTGGGTTCTTGGTTTCATGCCAATCTCACTCCTCTTCAGTCAATCTTCCTCGCTCTTGTGCTTTGTGTTCCCCTCACCCATCAGATCATGGCCGTCTACATTGACATTCGCACAGTGTACGAGATACGCGAACGTCCTAGTAGAATGTACAACTGGACTGCTCTCGTCATGTCACAGCTTGTCGCCGAGCTTCCCTGGAACGTGACAGGTTCTGCGATGTTCTTTTTCTGCTGGTACTGGACCGTTGGATTCCCCACAGGCCGGGCAGGCTACACGTTCCTCATTCTCGCCATCGCCTTCCCGTTGTACTATACTACGTTTGGACATGGTATCGCGTCCATGTCGCCCACCGCTCCAGTTGCATCCATATACTTCACAACTCTCATTATATTTATCCTGATCTTGTGAGATGCACGCTTAGAGTCACGTCACGCTACTTGATGCTAATCATTCACCAGCGACGGCGTCATCCAGCCGTTCTTCGAGCTTAATTGGTGGAGATGGATGTACAGGGTCTCTCCTCTCACGTACATCATCGAGGGCCTCCTTGGTCAAGGTTCGTAAAAATGATTTCTTATAATCGTATTCTATCTTAGTCCTCGTAGCTATTGGCAGTGCAGCTGTTGTCTGCTCCTCCACGGAACTAGTCTCCGTCAACCCGCCAAAGGGTCTGACGTGCAGCAAGTACATGGATCCCTTCATCAAATTCGCTGGTGGCTACCTCACGAATCCCGAAGCTGCAGAGGCCTGCCAGTACTGTCCCTACAAGACCGCGGACCAGTATATGTACTCGAGGTTCAACATTAAATACAGTGATCACTGGCGCAACCTGGGCATTATCTTCGGATTCGTCGCGTTTAACGTGAGTCGCTGTCTGTCAGATATTGATATTGCCTAGATCCTCATGCTCATGTACCGCTCTGTAGATTATTGCGATTTTCTGGCTCACGTATTTCATGCGCATTCGCACCGTCAGCGTGTTTACTTCTCTCAAGCAGAAGTTGACTCGTGGCAGATGATTTCGCAATTCATGGACATTACTTACCGCTCATAGATTCACGCACCATCGGACGCTAGATTTTTGGCGTTCGTTTAATACTACCTCTTCCGTTTCTGACGCTGCGGTACTCGCATAAAGCAACATACTTAATACCTCCATGACGATATGCTTGATAGTTTTCTATTCGAATATATAAATACTCGAACCAGATGTACATATATAGCATATGATGCCGGACTCCTCAACGTGTCGAGGAGCCGTTTTTGGCTATACCTTGGGTGATTGCACGCTTTCTGAATCGTGCGAGGTCCATTAGACCCATATCATACATATACCAGTTTTCGCTTATAGTCCCGCAACTTTTAAGTTGTTGGCGGACCGTCTTGCCGTGACTGGGGCAGCGTTACCAGGGTCATTCAGCAACATCACTTGCGGAACGGGAGCGTAGTACGCGTGCGTGGAAAGAAGATCTTAACGGGCAGCCAGTGACCTTCAAGTTGTCGCGCCGTCCTCATTCTGAAGTTCATTGAGAAATCAAGCCTTGCTGCAGGCTTGAGACGAATCGTCGGACGATCACACCCACCATTTTTCCATGATCTCTTCAGATGCTTACTCTACCAACAAGGAAAATGCAAGTGTGAGCTCTCGTTTTTGTTCTCGTAGTCGACTTGCATTGATGTTTGTGACACTTTTACTAGCAAGTTTTCTACCACCCTTCACGGAAGTTACTCTGAGTCGGTGATGTGACCCGAACGGCCCGGCGCCGCTCACAAGTGCTGGCGTTCAGTGGCATATCATCTAGATCCAAGAGTTGCGTCCCACATTAGAGCTGAGAAACCCGTCGTAGCAACCTACAGCCCATTTCCAAGACGTTGACCTGAAACACGTTCTCGCTACTATGGAGAATATCAAAGTTATCAAATGGACTGAAATATCCTTCTTTGAACGTTGCAGTGAGTCGCGGTATTACAAGTAGTATGACACATTTTGACTCCTCTCTAACCGGATGATCGTCCTCCGATCGGACAACTGCTATTACCGGTTCCTTACTACCAACACGTTCTATGGATTTGTGGATTCTTGTTAGGTACGAGAACGGAACGTGAAAGTTTGCCCAACGTGACGGTTGCTCGTACCTCTCTTTGTGATCGTGTATTCCCAGAAGACACGCAGTACCTTGCAGCGCATTACGCCACTACCCGTGAAGAGCCAGCCCAGATACGCAATCCATTCATAGGTTTGTTAGGCAGCCTCATGGTTAGGCCTCACGGAAATTACATCTGACGCCCTCTTTCGACCAGAAGTCTGTTGGTTAGTATGCAAATGCCACGTTAGAGGATCTCGCCGGTCACCAAGTGTGACTTCACCGATGTTTGCATTTTATTCATAATCGAACAAAGTGTCTTGCATCAAGCAAAGATCTATGCATTTTTGTGAGTCCGTTGACACGGTGGGATGTCTTTGACGTCAACTTGACAGCTTTGCCACTACGCGGGATCCCTGTATTCGCTGCGATAGTATGTTAGCTTGCTGGAGCCGAACTGTATTCAGCTCCTGTATGTTTTGTGCACTTCGGTGAGTGTATGTCAGACCGAGAATTCCATCATAGGAAACTCTTTGCCTTGTTTGACTTCGGAGATACTTGACGTCGGTGATCGTTCGAGCAGTAGCGGTTGTCCATGCGTCCCCTCCGATCTTCTGCCGCGTCTTACTCGCCCATGCCCGCTTCTGCGCTCTCGAGGTATAAAAGATTGCTCGTGTATGAGGGTCTAGCGTTTATCACTAATTTTCGGGTTTGACCTTCTGGTGTTATCTGCCGCTGCCATGCTGTTCCGCTCCATCACCACATTCGCTTACGCCCTCAGTATTATTGCTTCGCCCACAAAGCGTGATGACCTCGTCAACGTGGGTGTAGGCAAGTTGATCGACTGTTGAGCTGCGCATCTTCTAACTGATGTTGTGGTCCAGATATCGAAAATATTCTCAACAACGCTACCGTGAATGTTTTGGATCAACGTGGTCACTTGACTGACACTAGTAAGCATTCATTTATTTTTGGCGTCCCTCCTAGCTAAGTCTTTCGCAGGAGACGTTCTAGATAATGTCTCCTCAGCCAAAAGCGGGATGATGACGACGATGGCTTGGTTAGTATTAATATCGGTCAGTCAGCATCTTTATTCAAGTTGTTCGCTATTTGATAACGTCCATTGAGACGTCAACAACATTCTGAATAATGCCAGCATAAGCGTAATAAGTCGATAAAAGCTTATTTTTCGCCCGCCGTTGTTAAACGCCACATCCCCTGGTGTACTTAGTATTCCAACTGCTGTCATAGGTTTATTAAGTATAATTGCATGTACTAGTGCTGATACAGAGCGGTTCACATTCGCGTATGCTATCTATCCCCATTTCGTTCAGTCCGTATGTGCAAAACACCGTTGATTTGCTACTGCATTGAAAGCAGTCGGAGGAAGCAGGTAGGCAGTAAAAGGCAAATGCTCATTTTCCATCGAAGTGAATGTAAATGGTTCCAATGACCATCAAACAAATGTTAAATCGTGCAACAAAAAATTTCTGTGCAAGAAACTTGCAAGAAGCTGTAACAGTTGGCTGTGCTATATGTACTGTGAGTGACTTCGACATATGTACACGAGCTAAGTGTGACAGGCTTCTACAAAGATACATACATGATAAGTTATATACTTGCAAATCGTTTGAAACGTTAGGACAAGGGTGACAACAAATGGACCGAATCAAGGTCTAGTACCTGCCAGAGGTATAATGGTTTGAAGGATATACATTTGAAAGTTTTGCAAAGCCGCGAGGACAACTCTTGCTATCTGGTATAAGTTTAAATATACAGAGTCTCCCCTGGGTAGTATTGCTTATCAGCTTTGCACCAATCGCAAGACGATGATTCACACTCACTTGGTGTGGGACACGGAAATTTGGAACAGTAGTCGTCGATCTGCAGTTGCATTTCGCGCATGCGTGACGAGCCTAGCTTCCTGAGGAACGTGCCGATAGGGCCAGTACTAGTCACGGGGTCCATGATGCGTATGTTCTGCGAACCGAGAATCTCTTCGAGATCGTAAGCGAAAAGTGTACATGTTAGCCATATATCAAGCGAGGGTTCAACAAAAAAAAAATCACCTCGGGCACCAGGAACATAATCCCAAGTTGATGGTGATATTGAAGGAAGACAAAATGCCATCTCAATAACGAAGAAGAAGCTGAAAAAGAGTGTAAGGAGAGCTGAAGTACGCATTCTGCTCTTAGACGATAATTCTTGGGGAAGATGACTGGTGAGGGAATGTTGAAAACACAAGCGCTGAGCAGGTCACTTATATGCTAATTTTTTTTTCGTAAATCACGCTATGACTGTCCGGGTCCCAACGAAATTTGTCTTCCATTTGGCGCCACGCTACTTTACTGAGCGGCTGCCGATATCGAAGCTTCGGAAAATGTTCTGACTTGGAAAAATGGAACAACATGGAGAGACTGTCTTCGACTCGCATTACGAGCATGTTATGGTGGACTTTGAGAAGGAATTGATACGCAGTACGCTCCCTGGGGGAGAAGCGCGAAAGTATGTTGAAGCGAACTATCAACGGTATTAGTCAGGTGACTTTTCTACCGAGTAGGTAAGGCGTTAAGGTACGGGTTTTAGAAGCTTAAGTTCGTGTGACAATTGAGGGTCATTTGTAGGGTGGGGTTGGTTCTATGAGGGGAAGGGGTACTGAAAAAATGTATTCGTGAAGTATCTACACCAGGAGGAAAGGTCTACAGTAGTTACAATGAGCAGGAGAAACTGCGGCAGTGAGGCGAGTACGGTTGCCGTTGATTGTAAAGCCGAGCGGAGTTGGAACTGTGCCAATCTGCAGGAGTGAGTTGCAGACAGCAAATTTCGCGGAGAACGGCACGCCAATGCACTGGAAATTTGACGTACTAGTTTTTTTAACATCCCGCTCACCGTCGCCAAACATCATCCAAACTCTCTGCAGCACGTTGGCACCGCAAAAAAAGCTTCGGTAGCTCTATGAAGCTACATACTTGACTACTCTACCTACGCCGACCGTCCGCAGAATTTTCCATCCTTGTCTACCCCCGCGGGACTCAGCTCAAAGTTGTCAACATGGACCGACCTCCTCCGCTTTTGGTAACGCTTAAGTAATACTGTGCGGGACCGCTCAGGCAAATCTTAAACCATGTAGTAATTAATGTCGTTGTACATATGATCAGAGGCCTAGGCATATACTTATATTATATTCTACAGAAAAGTTAATACTGGGCATCGACAGCTTGTCGTGCCTCTATTCCCAAAACATCCAGCATCTTGTTCCTCGAGCGCATTGCCGCCCTTCTTTGCTTTCTCCTCTCCATTGGCTGCACTTCGGCTTCATCTTTTTCAATCAAATAATCGAGGTAAGCCCGTTCCGCCGGACGAAGCATGTCGTCGAACGAGTTGTCAGAATAGAGTGCCGGAATTCCTTCTTCAGGTGAGACCTCGAAATTAGTCGTGTTGCAGAGGGATGCCACGGGCGCAGCATCCATGGGTCCAATCGGTTCACTAAGCCGCATTGCTTCGACATATTGCTGAAGGATGGCATTAGGAGGTGTTGCAAACGGATTTTCGACATCCCAAACAAATCCTCCCGGGAAACCGCGGAATAAAACATCTTCCTCCTCTTCATCATTTCCCACCACAAATTCGTCTGTAAGGGGTGTTTCGGCGTCTTCAATCTCATCGAGTTCCAAGAACGAACATGCACTGTCGTCGGTAACGGTGGTCGACAATTCTTTGGTTTCCTTGATGGGTGACTCGTTGGAGCGCAAGGGCCCTAATATCACACGTTGCGCGTGCTCCCCAGCGGCTCTGCGATTCTTGTTTCGCTTCTCTACCAAGGCCATCCCAATACCTGAAGCACGCCCAAGCCCAAGGTTCTTCATAAGTGGCCTTATGATGGCCACAGCGCTTGAATTATTGCAACGTGAACGCTTTGCACCTGTGAGAATCATTTCTCCCAAGGTTTGGGCATTCTCTTGGTCGGCAGATGGGACTAGAGCAAGTCTCCTGTCGTTTGCATGCCTCACGTGATTGCGCGTGAGTGTGATACCGAGGATTTTGGCGGCCTTGTGATCTGATTTACCAAAGGCCTTTCGCTCGGCGAGGGTGAGTCTGTTGGTAGGGGAGAGTCCCAGAGCGTCGGTGATGTTCATCGAAGTAGCGCTACCAGTGTACGTCATGACTGTTGGGATGGACGTTTTTTTTAATAATATCGCGAAGTGAGACTGGGATCGAGGAAGTAACACACGGGACTTGTGGTGACCTCTACAGATCCTGCGAGGGTCATTTTTATATCAGTTGTGGATGTGTTCGTTGTGCTACCACCGTCCACAGTGCCCAAAACGGACCACTGTGTGAGCTTAGTGGCATGTGGCTTTGTTCATCTCCCTTTGATTGCCACTTTTGACAGATGGTCCACAGTGGTCCATCACTGGTCGCTTTGGCGCGTGTTGTGACGATGGGTTGGGCAAAACTCTAGAGGTTTGAATCCCCTCTTACCAGATACGTTGGTAAGCCATATGGTCGAATGCAGTGGGTGGAACACGATGCTGATCACCAATCCACGATAACAGCTAGCCGAATGAGGATTCTGGTCATCTTATACAAGTTCTCCACAACAAGGCCATATCGGCTAATAACCACGGTCTCGCGCCGACAGATGTTATAGCATTTTCATGATCTTAGGACATGATTCGTATCGATTACCGCCTCGCTCTGATAGGCCAATCTCTACTTCACCTGCACATATGACGCGCCGGCTTCCTAAACGCTCCTCAATAACTCCACTATACACATCGTGACACCATCCTGTGGGTGCGTTATCTTCAATGATTATACGTATCTTACAATTCACCGACACTATTCGGATTCGTTGAACAGCGACGCAACTTCGTCATGCGGACCTTTATATGTCGCGTTTCGTTATATACGATCATTTCATATTGGCGTCAGGGTGTTCAGACACTGTGGTATCTTCAAAGACTATATGGTAGGTAATGCAATTATGTCTTACTGTGGCGTCGTAAATGTCTCATCCCAATGCCCTAATTTGAAGGTGTTCGATGGAGTGGCATTGCTTGTTCGACTTAGCATATGATTACTAATCACAAAATCATGGCTGCTGTCTGTGGGTACGCAGATTGGCATTTCTCTATTCCCAACTGAAACAACAATGCACCAAATGTGGTGATTGGTACCGCTAGTGGCGCGGCAAGTGCCTCAGGGTGGTCTCACAGGTGAGTAGCTCGAACCCTTTTGCCACAATTTTGAGCGGATAAGTACTTGCAGATTTCCAGCAATGGACGAGTACACTGGTACTCGACAAATATCGCCTAGTCCTTGTTTCAGATGACTCTCCATCCATGTAAAGCCGTAAGTGACATCCAAGTTACCATTTTTGGATATCAAAGACCCCTTTATAAATAAGACTTGAACGAACATGTCTTGGTTTCAACAACAATCCCTCCCCATGCTCTACTCTCATATTCTCGCTGTAGGGATACCATGTATCATTTCACTGGTTGCCGCTTTTCGTTTGACTCGCAAACGCGCTTACCCATTGCCTCTGCCGCCTGGCCCTCCTGGCCTACCATTTCTGGGTAACGCACTGGAATTGGACACTAAACGACCTTGGCTCACATATCATGCATGGGGAAAGAAATACGGTTGGTGGATCAATGGCCTCTTCGAACGCCCGATTTGGTTTGATGCCTGACCATAGGGAAAATCGTTTACACCCGCGTCCTTGGGATTGACATGATCATCATAAGCTCCGAAGCGATCGCGCGGGAGTTGTTGGACAGGCGTTCTGCAATTTACTCGAGTCGCCCTGTCATTCCTACCAATGAAATGTATGTCTTGCCGGTTATCATCCAGCCTATTATTGATTAACCGACGAGGCAGGACTGGACTCGCTTTCAACACTGTGCTCCTTCCGTATGGCGAGACTTTGAAACAACATCGCAGGATCTTCCATCAAGTCCTCAGAGTCGAAGCCTCTGTCTCATACTATGAGATGTACTCTCGCCACGCGAATGAACTAGTCATCAATCTTTTGAATGCTACTGGTGACCTGCAGGAACCCGCTCAAGTGTTCGTATCTAATTCAGACATCGTAACGTCCGACCTGACTGATAATTACACAATTGCAATAGATACACGGCATCACTGATCATGGCCGTGACGTACGGACACAAAGCTCGCGGACGTGACGACCCATTCCTTGACCCCGCACAAGAACTCCTGGAAATTGCCAAACATCTTCTTTCTCCCGAGAGGGCTGCCATGTTTACAGCCTTTCCTTTGCGTGAGTGACCCAATGCTGTTGATGATGTCAATTGAACATTTGGCTGCAGTTGCGAAGTTGCCATCTTGGTGCTTTCGTGGAGCCTATTCACTGATGGGGCGCTGTAGAGAATTAGCTCAGAAACTTTTGAAAGAGCCCTTTAACGAAGTGAGAGCACAGATGGTACGTTTTCACATTGTGGATGGACGTTTCATATGATATGCTTGCATATAGGCAAATGGTACCGCTACACAATCATTAGTCGCTGACTTCCTCAGTCAATCCGACAACAAAGCTGATGAAGAAACCATGAGGGCTGTTGCGTTGATGATATACATAGGTAAGGGTTTTCTTAGGGACGCAAAATTCATCAATTGACGGATACGGCATTTTAGGCGGCATAGACACGGTAGGCCGTTGGTTTTTGGCAGTCCTTTCTCGTTCTCTTACCTTGATGTCCCGCAGTCTTCATCCGCATTGCTGATATTCTTGATCGCTATGATACTCTATCCTGATGTCCAAGCCAGGGCTCGTGCAGAAATAGATCAAGTCGTGATGCATGATAAAATGCCATCCTTGGATGATAGACCGTCACTGCCTTACCTCGATGCCATTTTCCGTGAGGTTCTGAGATGGCAATCTCCCATACCCCTAGGTCGGTCTTTGGTGATGTAACTTTGTGTTTGCGTAGCTAACCCCCCGCACAGGAATGTCACATGCGACAACAGCTGATGATGTTTACGAGGGATATTTTATACCTAAAGGTTTGAAGTCACATGAGTCGAGATTGCATTGACTGATCCGTAGTTTAATTAGGTACTGCGGTAATGGTTAATCAGTGGTATGCTACGATGCAGTGTATTCACATGCTTGAGCTGAGCATGACTTAGGTCACTGTCTCGGGACGAAGACGTGTATCCTGACGCCGAGCGCTTCGATCCCACTCGCCATCTAACAGCTGATGGGAAGCTGAAGGGCTCTTTCGTCAATCATTTTGCCTTTGGTCATGGCAGGTGAATACCTCAAATTTACTACTATTTCATGTTTCTCACTGACACGCGCAGGCGCACTTGTCCTGGTAGGCTGGCCAATGATTCATTAATGTCAATGATGACATACTTATTTTCTTGACAGGTCGGTTTTTCGCAGAGAACAGTCTGTGGACTGCAATGGCTGCGATACTCGCCGTCTTGCGCATCGATCATGCCAAAGACTCGAACGGAAACAAGATTGAGGTAAAACTGGAAATGACCGCCGGGATGGTGATGTAAGTGGTTTAGATGTACGAGGGAGAAACGGCTAACTTTTAAGTTTGAAGTCGCCCGCAGCCTTTCCGGTACTCGTTCGAAGTCGTGAATTCAGCAAGAGAAGCGCAGCTGCAGGCAATGATGAATTCGAAGTAGGCAGTTTGGCATTACTTGGTGTAAATTCTCGGTACGATATGTGCAGTGTGAGAGGCCTGAGGTTTTGTACTAGTCACAGTTTCTGTTTCTGCCTTTGTTGAACATCGAATATTAATCTTGAAAATGATATTTCTTTCGAATGACTACTTGGGAGAACGGAATAAAATTTAGAGATATATTGACGCAACACGTATATTGGGCGCCCATTGATCGGTGTACATGTCAATGAAACGTCAAGTTAGTGTCATAAGCCGCGTTTAAATCAATGATTTCATATCGTTTAGCGCACATTCGTCAAAAGGCGCGACTTCACTCCATGGTCGTGCTTGATCCACCAGGCAGGAGACGCGAGAAAGCTGACATGAAATCAGATACTGCTCGCGCATAACTCAAGCTCACAGGTGGTCGAGAGGTCTTGCCACGGTTGACACGGAGTGCGGCGGATGCATTATCCGAGGGATCCGGAAATTAAAACTCAAATGCTTGGCCCCGGCGATCAATGGAAAATCTGAAGTCTGGCGGCGCCTCCGAAATTTTGTGCCATTCATGTCAACACGATGGATGGTGTACCATTGTGCAGCAAGAAAGCATCGCTGCTACTTTCAACTCATCCAGTGAGTACAAAACCTCAAACATGTGGCTTCGCGGTCTTACATATTACGGGATTTATATATCCTAGATTGCCATTCGGCCTGAATTCGTTATGTGCAGCTTCAAGCTGGCCCTGCGTTTACGTTGAATTAAGTACTCTAGCCGTCAACCAACACGGCATGTCCTTCTTCACTATCCCAAAACGAACACTCAATCCAAACGCTAGAACTCCTTTTGGTTTTTCTCGCTTCTTCAATTTACTGACAAGTGCCCGCTCGTACCACTGGCGGTACCCGCATGTATGTACACGAATCAAACATAGGTAAATTGCTCGGCACCCTATCCCTGGGACCATCTCTCGGCAAGCCCTTCTTGCAGTATATAATCCGAGCGCTCGAACCATGGAAGGTCAGTCTACTTGTCTTAGCTTTTTCACCTCGCTTTCCTTCGCGCACGTTCTCCTCACTTCCTACCACCGCCCCCCACCTCACAATGTTGTCTAAATCATTCGCTCTTTTTGCTGCCTTCGCTGCCATTGCCCCTGCCTTCGCAGCCCCCGTTCCTGATGTCGTAGGTGTTACAGCGAGTAAGTTCTGTCTCTAACATGTGATTGGCTTTTTCATTTTGATTTCGTTTTAGCTGTTAAAGATGTCGCCAACGACCTCAAGGCCAACGTACTGACTCAGGCTCGTGCTGTTGGCTCCAGTCCTGCGTGTAAGTATGAAATCTTCTTAGAGCTTCCAGCAATGTTGAGCCGTGTAACATTTTAGCTGTCGAGGAAGTCGTCAAATTGATTAGCGGTAGCGGCCTCGAGCGACGATCCGATTATGGATGCTCCGTCGCTGAAGTCTCTGCCAGTAAGTTTTTGTCTTGTGTTCGAGATACACAACCTGATCGGAATCAAACAGTTGTCAGCGACGTGCTTAACAACGGGACAATTAGCATCTTGTCTCAGTCCAAGCGTAGCGATTGCGATGTTGTTGGAGTCACTGCTCGTAACTATCCTCTTGCGATTATTTCATGCATATGTTAAATACATTCTCAGAGGTCAAGAATGTACTGAACAACCTTAATATCAACATTCTCACCCAGTCCAAACGTAGCGAGGAGTACTGCTCAGTTGCTGATATCCAAGCAGGTATGTCATTGTTGCGCCCGCTGTCTATTTCTCGCTCTGATAGTAATGGTGTTACAGTCGTCTATGCAGTCGCGGACGACCTGAAAATCTCGGTTTTGTCCCAGTCGAAGCGTAGTAGCAGCACCTGCGATGTTGTCAAGGTCACTGCGATCGTGACAGACCTCCTCGAGAGGCTTAACGTCAAGGTCTTGACGCAATCCAAGCGTTCCGACGACACCTACAGTGTTGCTACCATTACAGCCAGTAAGAAATGAGCAATTTTCGTTTCATCCCAATTCTGATGTCGCATTGCAGAGGTTGAAAACGTCCTCAACGACCTCGAGGCTAATGTGACGGCGCGCTCTCAGACCGGCACAACTTCTGTGGTCGATGCCATTGTCGAGGAGGTGCTCAGCCAGATCCAAGCTGGCGCCAAGCGTAGTGAAGTTAACATTGCCGCTGGTAAGTCCTATCATGGCCGCTAATATTGAACACCTCATAAATATAATCCAGTCGTCAAAAACGTTCTCAACAAAGCGACGCTCAACGTCACCGCTTAATACATGCGTTATACGTTTGAAAAGCAGCATCTCATACCCGACGTCGCACACATACCCCGCCATTCGTTTATCACTGTCACTCGTTAGATCACGTATTAGAATACCGCGTAATGAAGTTTCTTTGGGATCCCAGTTGTGTCATGGTGCAATCGCGAGTGGAAATTTGCTCAATCATTTTGGCCTAGTTCGTCAGTGATGTAGAAGACTTGACTCATCTGAATGTCGTGCTGGTGGATAAGCCGCGCCCGGAACCGAGTAGATGTGCGAAGTCATGAACCACTCCATCCATCAGAATCATCCCGTCAGGCCGTCATCAATCGACAGTGATCATCTATCCTTGCCGTTCATGTGTCATAATGGAGCCAATATATACATAAGTTTACAAGTGTCGCAATTCAATAGGATAACGTGAAGGACACCGCAGGCAAACACGTCGCTTTGAAACCCCAGTTGGCATGAGAGATTTGTCGGCGATCGGTTCAACACCCACGTTGCCGCACGGCCTTAGAACAAGGGTATTGATAGTAGAGACCTTATGTGATGCATACCCTTGTACGTGCTACATATATGGGGTCTGTAGCGGGAATTGAGCGGGGTGACATCATAGAGAAAATGAGGAATGAGTGTGGTGGGCGAATTCATGTCACCGACAGACGGGCTGCATTTCTGGTAAAAAGAAGGAACGACTCTTCCTTCTGTTTGGTCTGTTTTAGGGGAGACTAAAGGTTGCGGTGTTCATTGAACTTGCGAAATTGACGTTAGTATGTAGATTCCTAGATGCGGCTACTACTCACTGTAGCATTTATTCAACGCTCATAATTACTAAAGGTTAGACGATGATGTACCGGCGCAAACCTTACACAAGGTTTGCGTGGGACGTCAGAAGAGTCGTGCTCGGCGATTACGATCTCGGTGATGCGTTGAGTGTCATGATCCTAGGATGGATAGACCACAAGGTCACCGTTCTAGCGCACGACGTATCACATAATGTTGGGCTGAGCGGTTCAGCATGTTCTCGAGTTCCCTCCGTTGTGATCTTCCCATTACTTGCCAGTTGGGGAGGAGACGCTGGAATTTCGATTGGCCAAAGTCGAACAGCCCTGCCCGCGGCAAACGCGATCGCCGCTTACATAAGCCAACATTTTGAGTCGTACTACGTCCGTGTGTCTGCTCGGACGGTCTCCATGTCTTCACAACAATTTCTCGTTCGTAAAGTTGTTCGTTCAGCGCACCAAGTCAGGGCATATGACCAAGTCAGAGCGTATCTGAATGTGCATAGAAATGTGCGCGTGATTTCATCTTCAGTGACGCGCTCGGCAGCGGCTGCACCAAAACTGAAACCGACACCGACGTCAACGCCTCCCCCTCCATCTTTCGAGCCTGCGGCACGGCGGGAACAGTCATGGCTGACCACGAAAGTCAAGTCATCTCCACTCCTTTTCTCAATATTCCTGTCTGTAGCTCGCATTCTTGGCTATGGCTCGCCGCAACAGTTCGCTAATCGGCGTGCTCTGCACTTGTACAACACCCTGTGTGCCGGGCGTGCCGACGAAGCTTCTGCATTTTGGAGAGAAGGTATGTGCAGCATTTCCATGTGACTCTTAATTAATTCTTAAACAAGCATACGCTCTTCCGCCAACTTTCCAATCCTGGTTTACAATCACGAACCTGCATGTCTGGCTGCTTACTGTCAGACTCCGTGCTCTCCCTGCACCACACGGGACACAACATGTGCAAGGGCTCATTGACCACTTCTTCCAGGACGTCGAGGAACGCTTGCGCGCTGTCCTCCAGCCAGGCGTTCTTCCTCCTCGTTCTTCTTCACCAAACCTGCCTAGCACAGCTGAAGATGGTTTACGTCTCTCTTCATATCCACATAGCTCCTTTTACACGATCCCCACGCCCCTTGCACCCAAAAACACCTTTCCTTCAACCAAAGCTTACCAAGAGGCCTTAAAACTCCAAAAACGCTCTCGTGCGCCAGAAAAGTTGATCACAAGGCAAATGAAAATTCTAAAAGAGCAATGGGCCGGGATGGGAATGAGTTTGGATCTTGGCCTCGTAAAGGGCGATGCTGAGTTGGCTGCGGCAGTTTGGAGGAATTTGCTTGGTGCACGGGGTGCAAGCGGGATTGGGTTAGGCCAGGAGGCCAACGGCAGCGGTTATCGGAGAGCAGTTAACCTAGTTGGTGGACTTGTCGAGGACGTGAGAAAGGTGGACGTCGATAAGGAAGAGTTAAAGGATGATAACAGTGGTGTGCATGACTTTGCTCCTTCGGAAAATGACCGGTGCGTGTATTTTTTACTTCTGGCGCTTCCCCAATGCGCATGCGACGATGCTGCCTTTAGTGAATTACTCACCCGTGGCACTAGCATCAATCATTTTGCATTTATATTATTCTATGCTAATTACTGTTTACCCCAGATATATTGGTTATCCAGAGCTTATGGCCACACTCGTCTCCTACATCCGCCGTGAAAGTTTACGACTGGAGCGCATCGACGACAGTGTCATCGTGGGACCACGTCGTGTTGGACGCGAGGGTGAAGGCGTCCAGAACTTGAAATGGGGAGACATTAAAAATGCTGTGTAGAGGTGAGTCAGAAGCTGGACCGTTCCTGGATGGCGAACTTGATATTAAAATGTTTGTCTGCTAGATAATACATCAGACAGTCTGAAGCTCATTCGCAGCTGCGGCACTTGGAGAGTATAGTACAACGCATATTCCAATACTTTGTGCTTGGATGGTAATTCTTATGCCCCGCTCCAAGATCTTAACTCCCGTCTTTACCTTCGACTAAATAATATTTTTGCACTTATAGTTGTGAAATCAGATAATCTGGTGTGTTCGATCATCGAGTCCGTTGGTTCACGTTTTGGTTAACAAAGACTTCGGCTCTAGCTTCCACATTCACCCATGAGTCAGGTGCGTGAAATTTGTTTTGGTCTGCGCTAATTCTGATTAGTCTTCCCTCGCCAGACCTTCAGAAGAAGGAAGGCAGTCAGCCATTCCGAGAAAGTGTTCTGATAGCCTGACTGTCCGTGAAACTAGCGCTGCCGAAACACTATGTTTGACACATACGTATGGGCGTTATGTGACCACATATTCTGAACTTCTGGTTAACAAACACCCGACATTTTGTTCGGCCTAGCTCGCGAAGCCACTGGGAATTATAGCGTATAAGTAGTCCACTCCATTTCAACCCCACAGGGTATGTTACACTCCTCGTTTAAAGTATCCGCGAAGGCAGACGGTCCCCAGTGTAATCCTAGAACTACCCAAGGCGCGTTGGCATATGTTGTGTGCTTTCCGAGCATGTTGCTGATTGGCCTATCATTTCGCATGCAGGTTTTCTCGATTGTTTCGACGTGGCACAACAAAGCTTCTTTTTGCAATTGCAAGTGCCCAGCTGTGATGGTGGCTATTTTCGGACGCGGTGGTACATAGTGTTCCTCCGAACGGCTGAATTCGCCTCAATTTACTGTGTTCCACACGACCCAATGGTGCCGAAGCGAGTCAGGTTGAACGTTCGATGTGCACGTTTGCATCGTCTACGGTATCTCCTGTGTGGGAGACGAGAATAGATTTCGGGTAGGCTCGGAGCTTAGCCGCGATCAACGATGATCAAATGTTTATTCGGCTCCCATCAAACAATCTCGAACAAATCCCGAACACCCCCAACCTTCTTTACATTCCGGTTGGTAATTCGCTCGGTGCGTAAAGACCTATCAGCGATCACTTTACTGACCCGCTCTACCTTCACCAGATTTGATTTGCCGGCATCTCACAGACTCGTCAGCTGCAGGCTTACAGTGTAAAACCATGTCGCGCACTACACCCAGCAGCATGTCACCTTCCACAAAGCATAGATTGTATCCTGGGGAATGCTGAGGTAAAAACAGTTCTTGCATGTCACTTCCTATCAAACCCGCCACATTTTCGGCGGGCAGAACCCTATCTGGAAGCATAAGAGATTTTGCAAATGACAGGTTAGACGCGACGGCCATCATCGACCTCTGGAGAACTATTCGTTCGTGAATTCTAGCGCCCCATTTCCGACTCATTGACATTTGTTGATAGTACGTGATCATCTCAGATCAATGGAAAAGATATTTTTTCTATGTTCCGCGGCCCCCCTGAGGCTGCTTCGTACGGTTCTGTAAGTGAATTTTCAATGGCGGCGCTCTGCGATTAGTGACATCGCATAACTTGTTTAGCCGCATCTGCCCATGCAGAGGAACGCAGAGGTCAGGGCTCCTTGACAGCGTCAATGTCTTCATCTGCCCGTTCTATTCTGATGCGACTCGGGCATAACTGTCTCTTGTCCAAAGTGTCATGCCTCATGGTCTCCCATGATTCCCCCATAAGGCATTTTCATGATCAGCCTATTGGGAAGGTTTTCAGCGCACAAAGGCCTACTTGCGCTTCTCTTGACCTCTCATGACCTGCTCGATGATCTATTAAAAGTCATTCTCACACAATGCATTCATCGAAGCCAAATTTTACGGCCATCTGATGCACAAAGGGATGGCTTATACGAACGCAATGAACCGCGCCCTGAAGGGTCTATCAGCACAGCTGGTGGCTTGAAGCCGATCCCCGGACTCCAGTCGCAAGGCTTGGCATGGTCGTTCGACCGAGTTTCAACTTGAAATATCATTGATAGACAACAGAATCGAAAGATACTCAGGCGGGATGCCTTATATTGATGCGGCCGTACGGTCGAATGCCGATCAGTGTTTTTGTGCCATTCTGTCGAGCCGAAGTAACTCTCTGGTCAGCACGTGATCTGCAGATCGGCGTAACGGCATATTGTGGTGGGTCGGCGAGTACCTCGGGGAGACCATTCATTCGAAGTGAGGTATTTATCTGATTGATGGCGTTTCAGGGTTGGCTAATCTACAGGTGGTTTCACCTCCAGTTAAAACGAGTCATGAAACATGGTAGGACGCGTTTCGTCTCAAGCAAAACTGTATGGCATATGTAAGTATATGACAGAGAACGCTTGATTCCGGTGCGACATGGTGAATATGATGCAATCATGGGCGAAATTACGCGAATTGTACCTTGCGGCACGTCCATGCACACATAACGTACCGCCGAAGCTTCTAGTCCGAAGACAGTGATTCTTTAGATTATTTTCGGGTCACAAAAAAAGGTATGGAACTGTAAGTCGTGGTCGCCATGCTGAACGCGCTAACATGTTCTATTCGGATCGCAGGTAATCTCCAAGAACTCCATGCTGGGTATAAAATCAGTCACATCCTGGCTCTATTCTTCAATCGTTCTTTACCCTCGACTTCAACTGTATACCTGCATACCTTCCCCCCTGTTCAATATGCAGTTCACCCTCTTTGCATCCCTCGCCATCCTCTGCAGCGCTGCTCTTGCTGCCCCTTCTGACCGCCGTGGTGGCTCAGATACCCTGGCTGAAATCATTGCCTGTGCGTGTTAAACTTTGTGTTGTAGAATTATGAGCTGACTCTGCCTAGACGTTGACAATGACTTGAACGACGTAACTGTCGACGTCCTCAAGCGTGGTGATACCCTGGCTGAAGTCCTTGCCTGTGCGTGTTAAACTTTGTGTTGTAGAATTATGAGCTGACTCTGCCTAGACGTGGACCATGACTTGAACGACGTAACTGTCGACGTCCTCAAGCGTGATGATGCTTTGATCAAAGTAATCGCTGGTATGGTATTTCCTTCAGGTCACAGTTCGCAGCTGAAGGCTTTCTCAGATGTCCAGGACGATTTGGATAATCTCACCGTAAAGGTTCTCACCGGGCGTGATGACGCTTTGATCAAAGTCATCGCTGGTATGGTATTCTTTTCAATTCACAGTTCGCCGCTGAAGGCTTTCCCAGACGTTCAGGATGATTTGGACAACCTGACGGTAAAGGTTCTCACCCCTGAAAGGCGTGACAACGTCGACTTGGTCGACGTTGAAGCTTGTAAGTATCATTCACAAACGATTTTGGGTGTCTTTAACACAGCCTTAGATGTCGACAATGTACTCAACAACGCTGACATTGAAGTACTATAAAATCTGGTTTTCGGGGTGCATCATATGGTACATTGTTTCATCTGGTCATGGATGTTTTTGTTTACTTCATTCAACTTACGAGTATACCCTTTACGGAGTTCGGCGGTCACATTTCTTCCGTGGAGCTAGTTAGCCCACATTACGACATGCATTGTATCATTGTTGGTCGTCCTCATGCACGGTACATTTAACCATACGACCAATTTTGTATTTGGCGGCATTTGAAGGTTTAATTATAAAGAAAATTTGCATCCTGCATCGTAGATGGGAAGTCGCACATGAAAATGATATTGAACAAGAACAACAGATCTAAAATACGTCATAGGTTCACAGGGTGCTAGCTTCCTTCTTGATGCTTGTGTGGAGGATAGGACAGGTGCCGTCACGGGAACGTTCTGCGCGAAGGTGCCCCATTTGTGACAGGATGTCAGATTTTCTTTGATGGATGATGCAGCGTTGCTATCCTGTCGGGAGACGTTGTGCGGCCAAAGGGATAGCTCCCCCGAGTTCCATACATGATATCAAGGGATCCCGCGGACGTCGCCGGACAGATCGCAAGAAGAGTGCGAACAATTAGTAGAAGGCTACGCAAGAATCTCCAGGGTCAACAGCGCGAGTTTTTGCGAGATAGTAATGACAGTGATATTTCAGACATTCTAGTGAATCAAGAATAGTACATGGCACGATGGATGTTGCAAGCGACGAATTCCGAGGCAGTCGCGTTGTACAGCGGGCACATTGAACAAGCATTTTCTAAAGACAACGTTATGGACATGCGGCCAATATGCACGCGTAAACCTTACCTACGGACATATCTTACTAATTCTTGTTGCCATTGCCGTCCTGGCTGAGAACATTGATGGTAACGTTGTTCAGAAGGTTTTCTATGGCTGAGGAACGGGCTTAATATATGACTTCCAGAAAGCGAAGAGAACTCACTAGCGCTGATACTCGCCAGAGTGCCACCACCGCACCCGTGTTCGGTTTCATTTCTCTTTGCTATTTGTTTTGCTATAGTTGCCATGCAGTCGAGGGTAAAATTGAACGAGTAAAAATAATCTACCTTTGAGGCCATGAGCTATCGTTTCAGAGCAAGAGTCTCGTGAGCAGTGATATCAGTGAGACCATTGATACGACATACCAAGTGCAGAAGCGGGATGATGGCCATCTGCTCATCCGAAAGAAATTTCGTCAACACAACAGCACAACGGTTGACCGACACAGAACCAATCCCCTGCTTACCTTCTAAAGGAGCTGCAAGGGCGGGTGCGAGCCCACCAAACGCCACCAGAAAGAAGGTAAGCCAGGAGGAGTATTGCATGTTAAGGAGTGGAATTTTAAAAGGAGTGATTTTGATACCTGCGACGATAAACTGGAGGGAAGTTGGAACAGGAAGCTTTGTTCGGCTCAAGGAGATTTAAGCATGATCTCAGGGTGCCTGGTTGGATTAGAAAGCACAATTTTCTGCAGCGCCGTGACCATCATGATGGTCAAGACCCGAGGAAGAGTCATTTCCGCTATTACTAGACTGTATCTCCAGGAACAAGGCTAAATTTACGTTGGCAGAAAATTACCAGTAGACAATTGGTCTCAGTTTGTGCTATAGTACTGGGCGCCAATTTGAAGGTATGCATCAGAACTCACAGTTGACCCGGAGGGTTCATGGAGAAATTGAGAACACCAAGATCGGGAAGACGAGACGGGAGATCTGAGGAGCGCCAAAGTCGACTCGGGCAAGTGGAGGTTCGTCACGGGTCACAGCCAGCTGTGACTGTGTCACGTGCTGCCAAATGCAAAGTCACATAACAAATTGAATTTGGAACGACTGTCTTTTCTTTCAATTTGGTTCGCATAATACTTATGCATTATGGGTGATCGACAAGCATACTGAGCGCTCGCTGATCAGGTGCACGAGAACATCCTCGAATCGATGGCTACTTACTGCCCGCAAAACCATCTGAACGTGACGGGCCGTGACGGCCCGCCTAACGGTATCAAGTCTGCGTCGAATACTACCACCAGCCAGTGGTACATACTACTTCTATGACAATAGAAGTCGAAAGCATGCGGTGTTGCAGTATCAGAATCATCTCATGTGTTTGCGGTGGACTTGTCACCAAAGTAATTGTAATTGTTTTGTCCGACAATGGATTCTGTCGACATCAATCGATTCACAACAAAATGGGTGTAGACGGTGGACAAACGTACACCCACCACATAACCGACAACGTATATAAAGATCAAGGTAGAGCCCAAATAGAGCCAAAATAATTAGTTCACCTCGTCTAGACGAAAACACCCAGTTCCTCCACTCTCAATATTCCTGTCGATTGCATCATGCAACGTGTACTAGACAACACTTTTATCGAAAGCTCCGCAGACCACCAAGATGCTCCTCACATCGGTGCTCTCATGGCCTTCGAGCTCAAGAAACACTCTCACCGGCGTTCTGATAGTTGTGATAGTCTAGTGGCTATAGCACCGATGGACGACTCCAGCTCAACATCATTCAGTGAACTGGAGACTTCCACCACTGAAGAGCCTTCGATGCCAGAGAGTGATGAGCTCGTAGAATATGGAGACACAGCACATTTGAACCCTCCATCGGATGCGCAGAGGCTGGCTGCCCAAGTAAGGTCGAAGATGATCACAGACGAGCCTCTTCAAGGCGATCTATCATCCTACTCAGAGGACAGCCGCGATGGACATGGTCAATCTCCCCCTCCAAGTCCCCCAGGCAGCCCAGATCTGTCGAAGTACCCATCCGACCTCATGTACATCGACTCAATCCCCGCCCAAGACGAGGCTCTCGAAATCGAGGCCACGGATGGGCTGCGACAACGCCCGACGCTGAGGTCGAGAATGAAGATTCTAGGCATCCTCTTTTGGCTGAAGGTGCCAGTGAAAAGGCCGGAGGACTGAGGGACGCGAACCACCAACAGCATTTTAGCCGCTTGATGTAACCGTATACAAAGGGGAATGTGACGAGAGGATGCCGGTCAATGTACTTACATTAACTGATTAAATGTAGCCTGCCATGTATTTTGTAACACATAAAGATCAGGGAAAGGAGGACTTCTGTACACCATCTCTAATGCTGAGGCCGTACTTAGCCGAAAGCCATGCGCTCGTGTTGAAACATGCATCAAACTTGGCTGGACTGGTGAATAATCGCCACTGTCCGGTCTAGCACATCAAAATGTGATTAGCCTTCATTTAAACACACTTACATATCTTGATATAGACTAGCATGTATGCTAACCAACCATACTCCGTTTCCTGCCTCTTAGTCGCACTATAAAAGGATGAGCACACGGATCTAGGCATACACTGAGCTCAGCTTACCATCGTCTAGTCTCTTTTTGACTGGCAACCAATGTTTGCCCATGCGCTTCTCGTACGCGCCCAGCACACCCGCAAACAGTGGCTCTGAGTCAGGATGAGTTGAGGCAAAGGCGCGCTCCAGGACATAAAGATCCACAGCCTTATCCTCTACGAGGGTAGAATGATAGGCGAGTCCAAAGTCTATAAGAACCTGAAAATGACATTAAAATACGATTGCATCCTCTAGTACTGTCACGTACTAGATCACTCGTCTGCTTCCTCAACATCATGTTCGAGGTCGTCAGATCACCATGGATTATGTCGGCCAAATGCATCTTTGCGATTTCGACACCGATCATAGCCATCAGGGCATCTGCAGAATTTGAGTATAATCCAATGGGCGTATGGACAGTCCTACCTCGAGAAACACCATAATCAGTGATTGGGTCTGTGGCGTCACTTTCATCCACCTCTTCAGATTCGCTGATGTCCTCGAGTTCAGCCCCTCCGGGTAGAAGTTGACGCACACTCTTGCCATCTATCCACTCAATACCCAAGACGCCTTCATTCACATCCACCATCCGGATTCCGGGTACGATGACGCCGGATCTGCCAAGATCCCGCGTCGGCTGAGCCCCGCATTTCTCCACAAGACAGCAAAAATGGACATACCGCATACACCTCATCAACGCGCGAGCTTCACCGGCTATACGTTGCCGGGTGAGTGATGCATCGAGCGACGGGTGGCGGTAATTCTTGTGGAACCGGTGCTTCAAGAGAACCGGCTCCGACGCCTCAAGAGGCGCACCGTCAATGCCACGACCCGATGTCGGCAATTGATGCAAATATGCTTTGTAGACTTTCTGCGTGGAGCAATACGAAGGGTGATCGGGGGTTCAAGTGAGCATGGAGCGAAGTTGTAATTAGTTAAGAGGAGGACTTGCAGCTTCAGCGCCCTGGGAAATGAGATCCGCAGTCTGTAGCAGTTGCTGCGTCGGTGGCAAGTTGGAAGACGATGAAAAAAGCATGATTAGTAACGTTTGACTCTCAAGAGATAAGATTTAAACCAACATCATGATCTGGCAATTCCCGGTTGCTTCTCGCCGTCACTGGGGTGACGGCCTCGACGGTTCCAAGACATGCAGCTAGCGTATGAAAACCTACAACGAAATACTAACGGAATGCTTAGTGGTCCTGGAATCTTGGAACTATTAATCACCAACTCAGAATCATCCAACATTGTTCTTGTCGCCGCACGCCGCGAGTCTCAAATTTCAATTCAATGACGTGAGACGGCTGAAACTTCATCGTGGCGATCACGGGAGAAGGTCGAGTGCAAACCATTCATTGATACCAGGATCAAAAATGACCGACATTTGTGCAGGCTCCACCCTAACAACCGTGTTGCAGTCTGCGGCAAAGTTCCTGCAAAGTGCACCTGTACCTCCACACACACTGCCAGGTCGCTGTAGTGACAGGTCCACAAGTGACGGAATTTGTCAAGAAGGGCATACCAAGCTTCGTCACCTGATCAAACCAATATGCCAGGGATTCGGTCGGGCCTAATCATCCTCCGACTATTAGCCACGAGCATCAATTTGATTCGTGGTTAGCCCTGAGGCCGCAACCAGCGTAGCCTATTATGGTGGAAGGTGACCATAGAAGGCGAGTCTTGTGGAATTTATATATATATATATGTCGGAGGTTGACAATCCCCGTCCTACTCAGGTTCATTTCGTGAAATCAATGGCTGGGCAAGCACCCCTAAATCAGTAGTAGACGCCAGGTGTCGCTTGGAACTCGACATCAGCGACCACGAAGTGAATTCTCAGAGGTCCACCCACTCTGAAATTGTCATCCGCCTAGGCCATAAATATTGTACACCAGTATATCTTCCTCTGGCCTGCTGCAGAAAAAGTCGTGCACATCCTACAAATTCAAAACACTGTTTCCAGCAGCCAGTGAGTTATTTACAACTTCTGACACCAGCAAAGTTACCTATAGGCGTGCTGACTTGCCAAAGAAGCGCAGAATTACTCCTTTATTGCATACGTCAAGGCTTGCTAATATCTTCGGTCGATTGTCCTGGCCGTTTATTAATTCCCGAGTCATCGGAAGATATAGTAGGCTTCACCTTCTCTCACATTGAAAACAAAATTCATCATACATACATTAGCCTAGCCGACATTGTATCCTGCTGCATGATATTCTTGGCTGAGTGATTCTTCAACCCGAAATCACCCCCGTGAAAGAGACACTGTGAAGTTTGACTATCAGGATTGCAATATATTGGGTTCAAATATGCAACGGTTTCATTCCTATGTCCAATATCCATTGGTCCACCAATATTCATTAGTCCCAAACTCCCAGCATACCACGGGATCCCGATACATGGTTTCAATGTTTGACCCCGTTGAACTGCTCAGCCAACCTGTTACTTTCCCATTTAGCGGACGAACGGCAAAAAATAGGTTCTTGAAGAGCGCAATGTCAGAACGCTTGGCCACTTTCTCAACTTTTGATCCCTATGGTCGAGGACAACCAACGGAGGAACTTGTACGACTATACGAAACCTGGGCAAAGGGAGACATCGGTAATTACCATCCCATCCTTGATCACGCTTTAACCAAATTCTCAAAGGGATCATCGTCACTGGTAACATACAAATAAAAAAAGATCATCTAGAAGCTACAGGTAAGTCGTAATGCTTTACGAAAAGAAAATTGTGACGTTGATGTTCATATAGGGAATACTATCATCGACAGAGACCTCCCCTCAAATTATCTCCAGGAGTGGGCAGAGGTGGCACGAGCCGCCAAATCACAAGGGAGTCTGGTCATCGGACAAGTCAACCATCCAGGGCGTCAGGTTTCAATTAACATACAGCCATATCCAGAGGCACCATCTGACGTCGAGCAACCCTCGACTGGAGGCGTTCTCTTCGGGCGACCCACGCCTTTAACAAAGGAAGGCATCAAGGACATTGTACATCGCTTTGCATACGCAGCCTCCGTCCTGCACAGTGCTGGATTTGATGGCATCCAGGTAATGTTTTTTTATCAACATCAAGCCAGCATATCAGTTAACCAGATTCAGCTCCACGTCGCTCACGGCTACCTTCTGTCACAATTTTTAGCCAGAAGGACAAACACGCGAAATGATGAATATGGCGGATCGCTCGTAAATAGAGCTCAGATTCTTCTTGAGATAATCGCTGCAATCAGACAAGAGGTCCAAAGCCCATCTTTCATCATTTCGGTCAAACTCAACTCACAGGATTTCATTCCCGAGGGGCTCAGTGCCGAGGAATCGATAATGGTTGCCACACTGCTCGAAAGTGCAGGAGTGGACTTCATTGAAGTCAGTGGTGGGGCGTATGAGCAAACCACCCGTAGCCCTCGGGATAAGGTAATGCTTTTTTTTATACCTCGTAGCAATCTAGAATTGACGCCGAGCGATTGCAAGCCGTATACCGTTGAAACCCGAGAAGGGTATTTCCTCGACTATGCAGAGCTCCTTAGACCCCATCTAAACCTCTCGAAAATAGTCGTCACGGGTGGATTTCAGACAGCGCAGGGCATGGCCGATGCTGTCTCACAAGGAGCCGCGGACAGTAAGTGTCCTCAGCTCGCCGGCTGTACATATTTACTCAGCGGTTCACGTAACGCAGTGATAGGATTAGCAAGGCCATTAACCGCAGAACCGTTTCTAGTCAGAGACATCCTACGAGGAGAGAAGAAGAAGGCCAAGGGAGACAAATTTCCAGAAAGTCCGATGCTCCGAGTACGCATGATCATTCACCTCAATTCAATACACAGCCTGATATTAGATCGCACAGTTCGTAGCATCTGAAGCGCAGATTGCTGAGATTGGAAATGGTCAGGATATCTCTAACTTCGACAATCAATTCCACGTTGCTAGATTCATCGCCAAAATGCAGAAGGAAATTCCTGCTGCTATATCGGAAGCACTTTTCTCGTGACTGTCCATGAACTTCGGTCTCGAACTGATACTGCCACTATTACCAACTGTTTCCTTACTTATATTCCGATGCAGGAGCATCAGTTGATATGACCGAATACGTAGTCGCTCTGCTATTGCTATTGTACACACTGATTTCGTTCGTGATTATTCTTGATCTAGTCTTGTCCAGAACATAGCGCCATCATGCTGAAGTTGACACTCTTGCTTTCCTTGATATAGTGTTCTTTGACGTATTTGGCCACGTCCTGCAGATCCGGGACTGAGATCAACTGGTATCATGAAAGCGATGAAAGTCATCTACCTGAAGCAAGTTAGTGCATTCGCCCCTATCAATCGGCCCATTACGACCTCCGTCCAACTCTATGACGCGCCACCCAATAGCCTGGGTTTCCGTTTCCCTCGCAATGGCATCAGGCGCCTTTACGAAGCAGGTGAAATGAAGATAAGTGTCCAGATCTTCTGGCACCGCGGTTTGTCCTGAGCTGGCGGCGGACGTATGGATCCGTTCGAATAGGGTGGTCTCCTCGAGAAGTTTGGCGCGCTCCGAAGGAGTCTTGTCTATTTTTGCGATCAATACGTTTCAAACGCTTGATAGGAAGAACTTTCACCTTGGCCTTCCTCGATAAATCTAGCCAATGGACTTTCAGGAGCGAAAGTGACATCTGACTTGAGGAACATCGGTGTGAGAAAGATGAAAGGGAAAGGTTGCGAGTTACGTTTATCAGAGCATGCAAAAGGCCCATAGTTCCGCAAGCGTTTTGGATCTGGTCCTCATCAGTAGCACGAGTTCGGAAGACACTCGGTCGGTCAAACATACCGTCTGCTTCATCCAGAAAATAGTGGGATCGATCGGAAGCTGCCCTTGAGCTGCGATCTTTTCATCTTCCTCTTTGCGCTTTGACGCAATGGTCCCTGAGCAGGGAAAGAGCAATGTAACCGCTTTTACACCTGGTGACACCATCCCCAGAAGCTATATCGTCATGAATCTATGAGCACAGGTGAATCGAGATGGCGAACCTCTGGATCAAGGCCATATATGTCCTCGAACTGCGCTTGTGATCCTACTAGTCCGGCGGTTGTAGCCCACTGTAGGAAAGCATGTAAGTAATATTGCGCTAGGAGGTTTTGTGACTTTTCTCACAGCGTTAAAGACCTGCTCGATGGAGTCGTATGAGAATGATCATGTCCGAAGAGGCATGGAAGGCTTACATCTGGATTGCTTTCGAGCGGGATCCATCGAGATTCTGGCATGATGATGAATCTCTAGTAGCTTGGTACTATACGGCCGCAGTAATGAGCGATGATCTAATGGTTCGGAACCTTGAAGCACTTACCTTGTATGGTAAGTCCCGACTTCTGATTCGACCCCCATACACACCTGTGATCAGTGACCGAATATGTGACTCCTGAAGAGCACAATGCTCATCTCGGTTTGTTTCTATACTGAAAATGATATGGCAGGGAAGGGATCATCCTAATTATTCATCACTGGCATGTGCACTCCTCACTGGCAAAAATATTGAGAAGGCCGACATCGCCGCGGCGTCACAGGTATGCCCTAAGAGTCATGCATGCTAGTGTATTATTAACTTCGCAAGTCTCACAATTTGACCGCAGTGTCTAGATGATCAGATGGTTGCAAGAAGTTGTGTTGACTCGATATCGAGCAGCTGGAAGGCTTTCGAAACGCAACTTGAATGCCCAGCCTTGTTATTCTAGCATGTCCGAGTCCCAGCAAGAACATCAAAGCACCCTAGTCTGCACTACGATGTCATTTCACAGTTTACCTCCTTGCAGGTACGCTGCGTCAGTTTACTGTGCCTGTCGCTTTGATCTTCTTATCTGATACAAGAGAATAGACGTTATCATCGCCGTTAAGCCAATCTCGTTTCACAGTTGTGGTGTCGTGCCTCTCACACGACCTGTGTGGCCATCTTGTAATGGAACTACCCCAGATCTGAGGGTATGTAGCCGCAGTTCCTCCCTACTGCTGAACGTGAAAATTATCATAGGAACCGTAGATAGGAACGTTATGCCTCCGTACTGTTTCCGTATTTCATATTCTTGCCTCATGTCCCCACAAAGCACACTGAACGACAGAATGGGTTTGTTACTCCGTCGTATCTAGCACTAGATTGCGCATAAAAGTTTTCCGGCGCCGGCCAGTGAAATCATCTCAAACAGCCTTTCGGAGATCAGACTGTGAGAATAAATATGGGCGTGGAGTTGGAGTGCCAGGGGGTCCACCATCCGCTAGTCGGATTCCGCTGTCAGAAGTGTACCGACTAGTCTATGCATGCCCGCGCCTACAATTGATACGGTCTTAAGATTATTCCATCGCGGTGCGGATCGAGAATTTTCACATGTACATCGGCGTGGAGTTAATATCGCTTCAAGCCGGTTCTCGACAATCTTTCCTTCATCTACTCAAGCGCTGACACGAAGCATCATCACAATTTCCCAAATGCACATAAAGGGCTCAACTTAGAATCACCAAACTCCAGTTACCACCCACCCAATCATCCCTAATGGCGCTCGCTGACCACGCCAACTTTCGCTTCCGTATCTTAAAGGACATATTTCAAGCACTGGTTGCACCCCCCGTCCTGGTTTCATTGTGCTGTAGGGCATTCAACCTTCGCTTTGGATGGTGGTCGATACCTACATATCTCCTGGCCATTCCACTCGCCGCATTCACCAGAGGGCAGTATTCTGACTTCATTCAAGCACGGGAAGCACGCCAACTCGGTGCTAGACCGATTCCCCGGGTTGTGGGGAAATGGCCAGGGAACATTGATGTCATGCTCAAACTCAAGAAAGCCCTCGCCTCTCAGTACATTTACGAGCCGTTCCTTGATTTATTCGAGGAATATCAGTGCACAACCATCAACACGCGCTTTCTTTGGGTTGACAATGTAGGTGATCTTGTCTAGACATCATCTCGACCGAGTAAGTGCTGATGAGCGCGTTGGTTGTCTGGAGATTATTACCATGGATCAAGAGCACTCTAAATACGCACTGGCGACAGGATTCGGTCAATTCTGGAGAGGCACTGCCCAACGAGAGCGATTGTGAGCAACTTTTTGACTGAAATTTTTTTGCCTAACAGTATCCCAGAGAAGGCTTTCTAGGCGATGGAATATTCAATCGAGATGACGAGGTGAGAAACTAAACGTGCTTTGCCACCTGAGTCACCCTTTGCTCACAACTACATACAGAAATGGAAATACGTACGACAAACTAACCACCTGATACAGTTGTTGATGGCTGATACTATCGCTATAGCACCGTTCACTCGCACGACCTTTTTTCACCCGCAATCGCATATCTGATTTCGAATTATTCGAAAAATATGCGGGCCGGACCATAACTGTATTATCAAATATCGCCTCGCGCGATGAGCCTTGTGATGTCCAAGATCTTTTTGCCAGGTTCACCATCGACGCTGCCTCGGACTTTCTTTTTGGGCAGAACTTGGACACATTGTCCAAGAAGCTTCCTGTTCCTAGTTCAGGCTCCCATAGCGATAGAGGATCTGCGACAGATGACTCGTGGGGAACATTTGCTCAAGCTTTCGAAGCGGTCCAGCGCATAATTACGATGAGAGGTCGAACTGGTTCCATTTGGCCAGTGTTTGAACTGTTCGAGGACAAGACGGCACCACACGTGGAGATCATAAAACGATGGCTGGATCCATTAGTAAAACAAACGTTGGACCATAAGGCGGTAACCCAGAAAATCGGTATACGTCGTCCCATGGAAGACAAGACGTTCCTAGAACACCTTGCTGACAGTACCGAAGGTCCGTTTTCTTTCTCGTTCCTTGCCCGAATTCTGCGCCTCATTCCCCGTCAATCTATAGACGCTGGAATGATTCGTGATCAATTGCTCAATGTTCTATTGGCCGCTAGGGACACCGTGTGTACCTATTCACACTTCAGCGCCCAATTTCTGATGAGATAGTTCCGCATGACAGACTGCGTGCCTTTTGACCTATGTGACATATTTCATGGCGTTGTATCCGAACATCGCCGTCAAGATGCGCCAAGAGGTACTCGACGTGTGTGGCAACAATGTCCCTACCCACGAAGATATTCGAAAACTCAAATACGGTAAGTTTTTTTTATTTCATATGGTGGAATTACCTAATGACTTTCTTTTGCCAGTCAAAGCGGTAATTGACGAGACTCTCCGTCTGTACCCCCCTGTCCCGTTGAATTCGCGACAGAGCAGACCTCAGCCTTGCACGCTCCCTCCGCCAGATCGCACCTATCCCACCGAATCTCGGCAACCATTATATCTACCGAAGTCGACGTCATTCTGGTACTCGACACTGTTGACGCAGCGTAACAAAGCACTCTGGGGACCTGATGCAGACGAGTTTGATCCTGAACGATGGATTGATCCTCAGAGAGTGGCACGGTTCACGTCGAATCCGACGATGTTTACCCCATTTAGCGCAGGGCCTCGCATTGTAGGATCTTCCTTTGTGACACTGTCTGATCAAAAACCTGACCCTTGGTTATTTGGTTCTTAGTGCATTGGTCAGAACTATGCATACAATGAAGCATCGTTCTTCCTTGTGCGACTGCTCCAGCGGTTTGACACTTTCACACTCGCAACGGATGCACAACCCCCTTCCTCCTTGCCACCTGCTGAGTGGAAGTTGGGTCGCGGCAGACAGGCGGTGGAGTCAATTTGTCCCGAAGCTACAATGACGCTGTTCATCAAGGTGCGTTATCTTATCTTCGTTTTGGTGTTTTGGCTGTATCATCTTACCTTTTCATAGGGTGGCTTATGGATAAGAATGAAGAACGTGCATTCACACTGATGCGATTACTATTTGTTGGTTAAATGGACTTATTGGGGCTCTTAAAGGATGCATGCATGCAGAAATTCATATATATTGCCATAAAGTATTGCATATCTCATACCCACTGGATCATTTGTACATGGACCACAGACAGTCTAGACATATCCGGCGGCGGCGGCGGCGCCCCCCCCGTATTTCCATCATGTTTCAGGATGTAAATTTTACTTTTCCCATTAAAAATGAACTGGTCTACGTCACTTCGTGTCCCTGGGACCTAAAAGTACACCCATAATTTCCATCAGAGCATGAGGGCACGTGTATAAAGATGTGGATCAAGACATCACCCATCCACACATCATCATCACGTTACAACGGAAAGATTTTACTTATGTCACTGCCAAGGATTGGAGCACTTTTGGTATACCATGACTGTTACTTCAAAGAGGAATGACTTCCTCCTCTTAAAATATAGGGCCCCGAATACGTGTCCTTGTCGGCCATGAACTATTGATCATCATACCTGAATCCATCATCCCGCTCTCCTCGTGGGTGTCCCTAGATGTCCCTTGAAAAAAGCGTGTAACCCTTCAATATTAAAGCCGCATCGCCCATAAAAGATGCCACTGCCATCGCGGCTGTGTATAGCAGGACGCGGAAATTGTTGAACCGCGAATAGATTTGGCGGTGAAGTTTTGAAGACCGACAAAGTGCCACACTAGCTAATCCCAAAGGCTTCGAGACCGTGCGTCAATGATGTCACACATTGTTGTTCAAGTACTCAATGACGAGCAAAGGATCAATCGATCGTGCCTCTTCTGCAACGTGTAGGGAAATGCGGCTCACCAATAATATATTATCTTAATTATCAAACGACATTGATCATATGACGATATCCAAGGCCGTCACTTACCACGAGGCCAACGAGCAGATCATTGGTAGTTGAGAAATCAACGGATATCATCAGATATGGTTGCCAGCCGCTCTGGACGCGAAAGTATTTGAGCTAGGCAGACTTTGTATCGCGGATTTAGGACATGAGTAATTTGACCTATCCTTTCTGTATCGTTTGTGGCCGAGCGATCATGATATCATGATGGCTTGAACTATGTCGCAGTCGAGTGAGTACCGAACTGCTGCAGGTGGATAGCTCGCCATCCAGCATGGCAATCACGAGGTCGCCGTGCGTTCGAAAATGTTGTCTGGAAACCTTTTGGAAATAAGCCTCACGTCAAGTTTATCGAATTTCACTCCCCCGATAGGAATACAGTCAATTGGACAGGTATGACATGCAGAGTGCACGAGTTAGACAAGAACTTACGTGAAATAAGTGCATATTGCGACCGATCGTTTGACATAACGTCGGCGACGAACCCGACAAAAATCTCGCACGAGTATGCTACGAATCTGGACGTTTTTGCCGGAGATATACGCAGTATGTTTATGCTGATTGTGAGGGATGACTTATTGGCGCAGCGCCAACTATTAGCCTTGTAGACGTATGCAGTGAGTATATCAGAATCCAACATAGCGCACCTAGAATATTTTGAAGTCAGACTTGCCAACCGCACTTACAATGTAAGCTACAAGGAATGAGATACATATGGGACTTGGCTCACCCACTATTGAAAACCATCCTTAGCGAGAAGCCTGCTCCCTATAATGGCATGAACCTACCTCTTGCCCGAATGTCAAAGCTGGACATATGGTGAGGACATCAATGTAATATCAATGGTTATTTATTACTATCTTGCTCACCGCCCGAAGTAAGTGTCGTCGTATGAAATCAAGCAGTGAAATCATGTAGTCTCCCATCTAACACAGGCCCAGGCGCGGTGTGTGAAGACCGCAAAGCCTGCCATCTCAATAACTCTCAATGACCATCTGCAGTCTCTCGCCCTTGCTGGTTCAGGCGCGGGGAGTGCCATTCATCCAAGGTCTCTTGATAGGCCGCATTCTGTCCAGAAAAGTTGAGAAGCAAGACATAGAATAGGTCAGCAACCAGCTGACTTACCTTTCCCACACAGGCTGCAGACATCCTTCTGCAACACCTCCGATCACGCCCCTCCGCCACTCCTGCTCTCTGCCTCGGTCTTAGGGCTCTCATGCGATAAGGATGCAACAAAATATAGCAAGGGTAGTGCGCCACTGATTAAACCTGTCAGAGCACTACAGTTACATCATGCAGTTGATGCATCGGCATTGCATCGATTTGCACAGCCAGGTGATACATCCTGATTGACGGCCAGTGGTCCAGTGAGCATGTGGCTGCGGTCCCTGACTTCAAACAGAAATGAAAAAGCAAAGGGGAGAAAATACGAATTGGACACTCCTGTACGATTGCGTGCCCGTGTAGGAAGCCAGACTACTTGTCCGTTGGCTCGTGTCGTAAAACATCAATGGGCCTTATTTCGGTCTATACACGCTAGACCTTTATTAGTATACATAGGCTCAGATAGGGCAAAGAACTCACTGCGAGGTAGTGCCAGATCTTTGAAATATTCCGCAGCATCACGGGCCAAAAACAAAGACTGCGCCTGGACTGCGCAGCAGTTTGATTATTCCACCCTCGCCCGTACATGAAGGGTCAAAGTCCAAGGGACTATCCATCTAGATTGGATGTTGGCGATTCAGAAACAGGTGCAGTGTGTAGAATACGGATTTCAGTAATCCATCCCACGAGTTTCGACTTCAAACTTCATGACGAGCTCAGTGAAGCTGAGGATCAAGAACTTGTGGCATGTGAGCGGGTGAGGCTCGAGAGCATCGCGTACGCTTGCAAACTTAATATGCTCTCTGATAAGGTACCTCAGAAGAGTTTGAATTGAGTGGTTGGTTTTCTTGGAGTATCTTGCTCGCCAGCAGCGTCGTCGATATTGGCAGGCATGATAGAGGTACCCAGGAACAACTTTTGAAACAAGTAGCACTATGACGGATGCTCGAAGAGAGTGTAATGGCGGACGTGTCTCACTTCGACCTTTCGGACCTGTCGGGGAGCCACTGTTGAGATTCTTTACAATTGTCCTCAAGGCTGTTGAAGTCAGCTCCTCAGGCTCTTTGGGCGTCGCTATCTAGTATCAGGACAGCAACATGAAAGTACAAGTTGTGAACGCACGGTAATTCCCGACGAGAGCCAAATTCAATTTCGCGGCTTGAGCGACCTCTGCAACCTGTCCCCAACGGCGGCAATGTATCGTATTGCCGTCTATTCACTGGATAGGGCAACGGGCGTTGTATGCGTCTGCGCAAATACTAAGATAGATGTATTCGGTGTGATGCACACTCCGCTCACCTTTAGTACATGCTATAAATTCTTTGATAGAAAAATGTAAGGAGATAATGACAACACAAGTCTATCATTGATGTTTGTTGGATCCCACATCGCGAGTTGAAGCTTTTTAAGAGAGATCCTTCTTTTGGACATGTTGTCGGAGCCCCCGTGACTGTGAGATCATGTGATGTACCCAAACAACACAGAACTTTAGCTACTTGCATTGCGGTTCTCTCAAACTCAGTCTGGAGCCCTTGCACATGATAGCAAACCGTTTCTTCCAAAGACGAATCAATACCATCTACCTACAGACTGTTTTCTGTATCCCCGAAATTTTCACTTGCCCAGCGAACGGTTTGCCAGGTGCACAATGCTATCGAGAAGAAACTGGGCTACTCTACTGCGGCGGCGGCGACTTCTTGACACAGGAATAAGCCCATCACCATCGCTATGTAATAGTACACCCGACCCGTCTACAAGCCTGCTACCGTCGCGTCCTTCTCGAGAAGGAAGTATTCGGGCCCAACACACGGCGACTTCAAACTCAAACTCAATTCCAGATACATATGATGGTTCGCAGTGTGTTATCAATCTGCGTGTTTCAGCTGACCTTCTCGGTAGTCTGTATTATTGGTGGAGGGCATGCGGGCTGCGAAGCGGCGACAGGTGCTGCCCGTACTGGCGCACGAACAGTACTGCTAACCCAGCGGATTGATACTGTGGGCGAGCTCTCATGCAATCCTTCCATTGGTGGTGTTGGAAAGGGTACACTAGTGAGGGAAGTTGATGCTCTGGATGGCATTATGGGAAGGATCGCGGGTGCGTTACTTGCGGATGGGCGTAACTATACATACCTGAGACCTGTCGTCCAGATAAAGCTGGTATACAGTTCCGCATGCTCAATGCGTCAAAGGGTGCAGCTGTTTGGGTGAGTAGTGGTGGATAATACTCGACTTCTCTCACTACATCTGAGAAATAGGGACCTAGAGCGCAGGTAGACCGTAAGATCTACAAGCGCCATATGCAAGACATCATTTTTGGCTACCCAAACCTGGATGTACGTGCTGCAAGCGTATTTGACCTCGTATTCGACAATAGTCCCTGTACGTCGACATCATCAACGTGGGGGACGGTGACAGGCGTCCGGCTAAGTGCGCGTGCTATACCCGCATACAACAAATGGCCCCACTGATCTATTTTTCAGAAACTGGAGATGTGATCAAGTGTTCCAAAGTCGTTATCTGTACTGGGACTTTCCTCGGCGGTGAAATTCACATTGGTACGTTGTGGCTTCAATTCAACAGAAATTATGTTGCATAACTTATGTTTTCATTTTCCTTCACTCTCTATACCTTCGTGATTCCATGGTAGGGATGCGTCGTATACCTGCAGGACGCATTGGAGAGGCACCCTCGACAGGTCTTTCTGCATCCCTCAACGCAGCAGGGTTCAAACTGGGACGCCTGCAAACTGGCACACCTGCAAGGTTAGATAAGAATAGCATTGACTTTAGCCGGATGGAACGACAAGATGGAGATGAAAAACCTCAGCCGTTTTCATTTGTCCATAGGGCAGTAGACCATGCTGTAAGTTTTCGATGCTCAGGAACTAGATGTGAGTACTGAATTTGGAATAGAACAACCAAATTCCGTGTTTTCAAACTCACACCACGCTGGAAACACATCAACTCATCAAGGACAGTATGCACCTCAGCGTGCATATTCAAGAGACCAAGAAAGGTTTTTTATTAGCTGTTCTCTACTGTTCTGCTGGTACTACCATGATCTCACAGGTCCGCGATACTGCCCCTCACTAGAAGCCAAAATTACTCGCTTTGGGCACAAGGGTAGTCATACCATCTGGCTTGAGCCAGAAGGATATGATTCTGGTGTGTTTTAGTGTTGAATTTCAACTGCACATCCTAATTTTATGCGTAGACCTGATATATCCCAATGGATTGTCGTGCTCGATGCCCGAGGAACTCCAAGAACCGATGATGAGAACAATACCAGGTCTTGAACAAGTCAAGATGCTGCGGCCGGCATATGGCGTTGAATATGATCATGTTGATCCCCGCGAGCTGACCTGTAAGTTGCACACGAATGTGACATCATGCCCGGCTCATGGTCTCCGAAGCGACATTGGAAACAAAACGCATCAAGGTAACTCTCGTGTCTGCAATACGCTATTGCCGCCTAACAGGCAACTCGTAGGGTCTTTACCTCGCCGGCCAAATAAACGGTACAACCGGTTACGAGGAAGCCGCTGCTCAAGGTTGCCTTGCAGGAATAAATGCAGGCCTTTCAGCCCGAGGCCGTCCCCCAATGGTGCTCACCCGCGCAGATGGATTCTTGGGAGTCATGGTAGACGATCTAATAGGAAAGGGAGCGGAAGAACCATGTACGACTGACCTCCGATTTGCTCACTTCTGATGCGAGGCTGATATTGGTCATTTATGGAGACCGGATGTTCACTTCTCGTTCAGAATATCGTATGACGCTGAGGAGCGACAATGCCGACATGCGGCTGACTGAGATTGGTACGTTCCGCAGATTTCATTTCGATGTCTTTAAAATCTGATGGTTTGCTGTTATAGGGCATTCTGCTGGAATTGTCTCTCCTGACAGATGGTTAGTCTTTTTGAGTGACCGGGATGCCATACAGCAAGGCATCGAGCTTCTCAAAAGCGTTGTGCTCAGCCCGCAGGTGAGGGCCGTGTCGAGCTTGCCTGAATTCTTTCGTTTATCTTGGCCCAGGGTTGGGGGAGATACGGATTTTGTATTGGACGAGATGGTATCATGAGGAGGTTCGTATTTGCGCCTCTATGATGTAACTCCAGCTGAAATTCTGCAATAGTGCGTACGACATGCTGCAGATTCCAGGTATGACCGCCGCCGATCTCGTGCGTTCCGGAGCTGTTCCACGTCTCGATCTTGTGGAACCATATATTAGAGCACGGATCGACATAGAAGGTGATTACTCTTGCCGTTCTTGATTTTAGCATGCTAAAATGCGCTGTGCAATAGCATCCTACGCTCCTCACCTGTCACGGCAGCTGGCAGACCTTGCATTATTCCATTCCGACGAGTCGCTGCTACTGGATCCTGATATGGACTACTCCAAAGTGCAAGGGTTGAGCGACGAGGTGAGGGAGCGCTTACAGAGGGTCAGGCCCACGACTTTGGTAAGCTCTTTATTTTGACAATGTAGTGCGATGCGTGATTGATCGTGCGTTAGGGTGCCGCCAAACGCATGGAAGGCATGACTCCGACTTCTGCGATCTACTTGCTAAAGCATGCCAGGAGGACATGGCGAGCAACTGATGCACGAGAACCTATCAGAGAAGAGCAAGTGGAAGCGGTACATTTTGCTGATCACCGGCCTCTTTTGACGGCTGCAACTGTATAAATATCTTTTCGGAGCATCGCTATTCACTGTACCGTTGACGTGGATGTCTTATACCGTGACCGTGTACGTCCGGAAAGCTATGTATAGGTCGGGGGCATTCGTAGTTAAAAGAAGGATTCCTTCACGGCTATCTTCATGAATTTCACCTATGGCCTCAGGCTGTCTAGGCTGGGAGCTAAGGCTCCCCCCATCGAGTTTGGTGCGCGCAAGCATGATATATACTACGTTGGGGGCTTGATATCGGAGACAAAGGGTTACAGTTAGATCAGGGTTTGATCGTACAGTGAGTTGTCAAGCATATTGGTCCCTACAGCTCTGACTCGGAGAAGTGAAATCTTGTGAGGTCCATGAATAGGACTCGGACGAGCGTCTAAAGAGCCTTGCACTGGTCGTTCAGGGTCGTTCAGCATCCCAGGATCACGATCTGCTCGGCGCTCACTTCTCTATTCAACTAAAAGAAAACTTGATAATCTGTGCAGAACTTCCATTCTGCAAGTCACGATACAATGGCGTTTCAGCAATTTAGAAGGGGTGCTCTCCGTGTCGCCAAAAATTATGTCAAGCGTTACTCAGACACGCAGGCAAAAGTCCGGGATGCAACATCTAATGATCCACCGGGGCCATCGGGAATTCAGATGAACGAGATCATTCAGCTGTCATACAATTGGTGCGTGATCGTTAGGCAGCTTGCCTGGTGGTCGCGGTTCGTCAGCAGCGCTGATGCCGTGTGGTTCACAGGAATGACTTCGTCGAGATCATGGAAATGCTTCATAAAAGGTTGAATGATGAAGGCAAGAATTGGCGACATGTACTCAAGGTAAGCTGCCTTGCTTCCGATGGAGGACCCAAATTCAAACTCCCTCCCAGTCACTCACCGTGCTGGACTACCTCCTACACGCTGGTTCCGAAAATGTTGTCCTATATTTCCGCGACAATCATTTATACATCATAAAAACACTCAAGGAATTCCAATATGTGGACGAAGATGGGAAAGATTGTGGTGCCAATATCCGGCAGAAGGCCAAGGACATCTCCAACCTTCTCAGTGACCCTGCACGTTTGCAGGAGGAGCGCCGGACTTGGGCAAGTATGCGCGGCCCAATGATCAAAGGGCAAGCCAACCGTGGCCCCGATCGCGATGAAGATGAGCTCCGTGAGGCAATCGGGGCATCAAAAAAGACTCTTGCGGCCTGACCGATCTCGTTATCCTGCCGTCTCTGACGAATATTGGCATTTCATTGGGGAATGTTGGTCAACTGCACCCCACAACCGTCCATCGGCCGACCGAGTTGTCGAAGTGATCAAGGATGAGTTTGACTCACTGTCTAGTTTGACTCACTGTCTAGTTTGAGGTCAAGTTCCGATTCTTGAGATGCTTTCGTATGACTTACTGCTTGCTCGTGCTAGCAAGTATGGTAGATTCTGTATGCTCACCTCACAAACTTTATCGTACAACGTACACATCAGTGAAAGCCAAAATCTGCACTGACCACGGCTTTGCCACATTTCGCTGACCATGGCGCCGTCTCAGCCAAGGTCACCTTCAAGCTCTCAATCTTGGCGGCCAACATCTCAATGGTATCCAAAGATTCCAGACCTATCGGCACTGAGCGTTGAATATCAAAATTTCCCCCCAGAACGATCTGGTAGACAGTGTCCGCGCGAGCTTTTCTACATCTCTAACTTTGAACACTATGCTGCTGGACACCACACCATTGACGATGCGACGCGACACAGAAGTCGTAAACCACTAGTCTATGTATGCTGGATGCTACAGGATCGCCTCCATGATCATGATATTTCTTTGGAAAGCGCCAGGTTCGATGATGCAGATATCGCTTCTTTTGTGAGTACGCATTTAAATTCATTGGATGTTAGAGCGACGTGCCTTTGTATTCCATGGTAGCAGCTCTTTCGCGAGGCAATCCGAGAAGCCTTGCAGTGCTTTACAGCAGCTTTTGCCGAGTAACCCAATCCAGGAAACGGGCCGATGACATTGGTCGAACTCACTTGGAAAGCACTCCCCCCCAGACCTTGCATTATTCCATTCCGACGAGTCGCTGCTACTGGATCCTGATATGGACTACTCCAAAGTGCAAGGGTTGAGCGATGAGGTGAGGGAGCGCTTACAGAGGGTCAGGCCCACGACTTTGGTAAGCTCTTTATTTTGACAATGTAGTGCGATGCGTGATTGATCGTTCGTTAGGGTGCCGCCAAACGCATGGAAGGCATGACTCCGACTTCTGCGATCTACTTGCTAAAGCATGCCAGGAGGACATGGCGAGCGACTGATGCACGAGAACCTATCAGAGAAGAGCAAATTGAAGCGGCACATTTTGCTGATCACCGGCCTCTTTTGAAGGCTGCAACTGTATAGATATCTTTTCGGAGCACCGCTATTCACTGTACCGTTGACGTGGATGTCTTATACCGTGTACGTCCGAAAAGCTCTGTATAGGTCGGGGGCATTCGTAGTAAAAAGAAGGATTCCTTCACGGCTATCTTCATGAATTTCACCTATGGCCTGTCTAGGCTGGGAGCTAAGGCTCCCCTCATCGAGTTTGGTGCGCGCAAGCATGATGTATACTACGTTGGGGGCTTGATATCGGAGACAAAAGGTTACAGTTAGATCGGTTTGATCGTACAGTGAGTTGTCAAGCATATTGGTCCCTATAGCTCTGACTCGGCCCGGGAGAAGTGAAATCATGTGAGGTCCATGAATAGGACTGAGACGAGCGTCTAAAGAGCCTTGCACTGGTCGTTAAGCATCCCAGGACCACGATCTGCTCGGCGCTCACTTCTCTATTCAACTAAAAGAAAACTTGATAATCTGTGCAGATTCCAGAACTTCCATTCTGCAAGCCACGATACGGTCCAATGGCGTTTCAGCAATTTGGAAAGGGTGCCCTCCGTGTCGCCAAAAATTATGTCAAGAGTTACTCAGACACGCAGGCAAAAGTCCGGGAGGCAACATCTAATGATCCATCGGGGCCATCGGGAACTCTCATGAATGAGATCGCTCAGATGTCATACAATCAGTGCGTGATCGTTAGGCAGCTTGCCTGGTGGTCGTGGTTCGTCAGCAGCGCTGATGCGGTGTGGTTCATAGGAATGACTTCGTCGAGATCATGGAAATGCTTGATAAAAGGTTGAATGATAAAGGCAAGAATTGGCGACATGTATTCAAGGTAAGCTGCCTTGCTTCCGATGGAGGACCCGAATTCAAACTCCCTCCCAGTCACTCACCGTGCTGGACTACCTCCTACACGTTGGTTCCGAAAATGTTGTCCTATATTTCCGCGACAATTTATGGATCATAAAAACACTCGAGGAATTCCAATATGTGGATGAAGATAGGAAAGATTGTGGTTCCAATGTCCGGCAGAAGGCCAAGCACATCTTAAATCTTCTCAGTGACCCTGCACGTTTGCAGGAGGAGCGCCGGACTCGGGCAAGTATGCGCGACCCAATGATCAAAGGGCAAGCCAACCGTGGCCCCGATCGCGATGAAGATGAGCTCCGTAAGGCAATCGAAGCATCAAAAAAGACTCTTGCGGAGGAACCTGAAGAGAATGACCTTGCCACAGCAATACGATTAAGTGAGTCAAGATATCCCCAGCAGTTCATGACAGCAGAAGGGGGGGTGAGTGAGGAAGAGGAGGCGACAAGACATAAGGCCGTTAAAGACTCACACGTTGATTCGTTATTCGATGACCGAGCGCAAACGCAAGTTACTAGTTCATACGTATGCTTGATTTAAGCTGATAACCTTGTCCATCCCAGATCCTTATCAACCGGTTCCAACAATAACAACCCATTTCCCTTTATCGACCACACTTCATATGCAACAGGCTTGCTACCTCAGGCCCAGGGTGCCCCCCGTGTCGCCAAGAAGTATACCAAGGGTTACTTAGACACGCAGGCAAAAGTCCTGGAGGCAACATCTAATGATCCAACGGGGCCATCGGGGACTCAGATGAGCGAGATCGCTAAGTTGTCATACAATCAGTGCGTGATCGTTAGGCAGCTTGCCTGGTGGTCGTGGTTCATCAGTAGCGCTGATGCGCCGTTGTTCACAGGAAAGACTTTGACGAGGTCATGGAAATGCTTGATAAAAGGTTGAATGATAAAGGCAAGAATTGGCGACATGTATTCAAGGTAAGTTGCCTTGCTTCCGATGGAGGACCCGAATTCAAATTCACCCCCAGTCACTCACCGTGCTGAACTACCTCCTACACGCTGGTTCAGAAAATGTCTTCCTATATTTCAGTGACAATTTACACATCATAAAAACACTCACGGAATTCCAATATGTGGACGAAGATGGGAAAGATTGTGGTGCCAATATCCGGCAGAAGGCCAAGGACATCTCCAACCTTCTCAGTGATCCAGCACGTCTACAGGAGGAGCGCCGGACTCGGGAAAGTATGCACGACCGGGTGGTCGGATGGCAAAACAGTGCAGCTCCACAGGTGCCATTCATGCAGGCGGAGTTTGATGTGAGTGTCCCTACAGCCTATCTGTCATGACTTTAGCTGACTACCTTCAGACCCATTCATCAATTCCTCCTGAAACAATCCTCCAGGACCTCACACAATACATCACCAAGACCGAAGACCATCCCGTTGACCGTGGCGGGTTCGGGGAGATATGGAAATGCACCTATCAAATGGATCAGGGACCACTCAAGGTTTGTTTGCAATGTTGTTTCTACCCACTTTGTGTGAAGTTGGCTATTCAGCAGGTCGCAGTGAAATCATTGCTGGTGTACACTTCTGATCAACTCGGCAAAGGAATGGAGAAAAAGACCAAAGTAAGTGCTTCCATGAGATTTGTATTTCGTAGTAATGCTGGAGGTTGCCATTGTTCAGAGGATAAGACACGAACTAAGAACATGTGCAAGACTTAAACATGCAAATATTCTGCCTGTGTATGGTTATACATATGGTTTCGGCACATTCATGGCGATAGTCAGTCCCTGGGCAGAGAATGGAAACCTGACGACCTATTTGGAGAACGAAAATGCAAGTATATCCGCCATCAGACGATTTCAGATTGTAAGCCATTCTTTGTATTATGAGTAGATGACGGACTGACAGAAATGCTATACTAGCTTAGGGATATCACAGTTGGCCTGCAATATCGTAAGTGTCAATGTTATTACCTCACTTGAATTAACAAGTCTTCCTCGGTAGTTCATGCCAACAATGTAATTCATGGTGACCTAACAGGGGTAAGTTAGAATTTTCTCAACAGTTTTCACTTTGTTGAGATGACAATGCCAGCCGAATGTGCTAATCTTTGGTGACGGCACCGCCTGCCTCGCCGACTTCGGTCTTTCTCTGGTTTTCTCTGATGTTACAAGCATCTCGCAGGCTTCCTGGACTTCAAATTTTCATGGAAACTCCCGATGGTTAGCTCCCGAGCTGCTCGAAGGCCAGGATGATGAATTAGTACGACCAAATATGCAAAGCGATATCTATTCATTCGGTGGTATTATGCTACAGGTACGTCTAGGCAATTTTCAGTCTCTCCAATGAGATAGCTAGATCTGTCTCTAGGTCCTCACCGGCAAAATTCCTTATTATTACCTGGTTAATAATGCAGCCGTAATCCGGTGCATATTCACCAAGGACAAGCCTGACCGATCTCGTTATCCTGCCGTCTCTGACGAATATTGGTATTTCATTGGGGAATGTTGGTCAACTGCACCCCACAACCGTCCATCGGCCGACCGAGTTGTCGAAGTGATCAAGGATGAGTTTGACTCACTGTCTAGTTTGAGGTCAAGTTCTGATTCTTGAGATGCTTTCGTATGACTTACTGCTTGCTCGTGCTAGCAAGTATGGTAGATTCTGTATGCTTACCTCACAAAATTTATCGTACAACGTACACATCAGTGAAAGCCAAAATCTGCACTGAGATCCACGGCTTTGCCACATTTTTGGTAGCATACTATGCTATCCGAGTCGAGCTGAGGACTCTACCAACTGACGTCAGAACCTGGACAGTGCAGGAATCTTGCAGCCGTCGGTTCGTAAGTTGCAGAAGCCCTTCTTGCAGCTTGTCCTCAAGAACCAGCCCACGCTCCGAGTCCAGGCAATACTATTCATGGCTCGACCATCAGCTTGTCTCCTTTGAGGCACTGAGTACACATTGTGCGTCTGGACAGCTCTACTAATGGTACTGTCACGGGCGAAAAACTGAATCATCGAAGCAAAAAAAATAATAATTGAGGTCTATTTTGTGATTCTCCGACTCGTAGACCGACATTATTTGGGGCGCACTCGAGCTTCATTGTCCCGCCACCGCCGGATGCAATAGCAGGTACGATCGGCCCAAATAAATTAACTAGTTCAGATTTGCTGACCATGGCGCTGTCTCAGCCAAGGTCACCTTCAAGCTCTCAATCTTGGCGGTCAACGTCTCAATGGTATCCAAAGATTCCAAACCTATCGGCACTGAGCGTTGAATATCAAAGTTTCCCCCCAGAACGATCTGCTTGTCCGCGCGATCTTTTCTACATCTCTGACTTTGAACACTATGCTGTTGGACACCACACCATCGACGATGCGATACGACACAGAAGTCGTAAACCACTATTCTGTGTATGCTGGATACTGCAGGATCGCCTCCATGACCATAATATTTGTTTGGAAAGCGCCAGGTTCGATGATGCAGATCTCGCTTCTTTTGTGAGTACGCATTTAAATTCATTGGATGTTAGAGCGACGTGCCTTTGTATTCCATGAAGGTAGCAGCTCTTTCGCGAGGCAATCCAAGAAGCCTTGCAGTGCTGTACAGCAGCTTTTGCCGAGTCACTCCCGAATATTTTCTATATCCATCATGTGGCCTACCGTGTTTGCTGCAGATAATTGCACCGAATTAGCATGAGATCAATCTTCGACAAAATATGCCACTCACGTCGCAGCATAGTAACCCAATCCGGGAAATGGGCCGATGACATTGGTCGAACTCATTTGGAAAGCACTCCCCCCCTTTCCAAGTTCGTTGACCTCCCTGAAAAACTTGACCGCGGCACGACTGACGTTCGTCGCGCCCCGGAAGTTTGTTTTGAACATCTCAGGTGCCAGCGGTAGACTATGCCCTTCTTTTCCATGCGCCAGGGTCATATCAACAAGCTTCGCCAACAATCAAGAAATGTCCGCCACTTCGGCACTTCACTTCGAAGCCATCACTGCTTGAATCCAGTACTTACTTTCCTCCGCAAGCCGCGAAATAATCTGATGCCACTAAACATCTTTCTGTCTGGACACGACGGTCACAGTAATCAACGTTACCCATGATGGAATAACGAAAGCTTCGCACCAGATACGGAACTTTGTAAGACCAGTTAAATTCGTAAGCAACATTACAAAGCTTCGCTGGGTGTTGTCTCCGTGCTCCATCTAGTGTATGAATTCTTGAGAACATAGGGTAATGAGTGCATAGTATACAATATGAGGAATCATGTGGTGTGTAATAATACGAGTAGCAAAGAAAGCAAGCAAAGCATTGGCAATGCAAATTATATCGATACGCTTGAATGGGTCCTCCGGAGAGCGTGAGAGGTTCCTGATTAGATTGTTCCCCATTCTAGAGCACGTTTTCAAATAACGGCGTAACAATCCACACAAAGAGTCCCATCACTGCGATGAAAAAAGGCCTCAATCGTTGCTCAACGTAGTGCTAGTCATTGAAGGCTTACTTTTGAACACACTCCACGCAGCACGTCCTGCAGATAGGTCGTCCGCATCCAGAAACAAGGAGAGCTCCGTCGCCTAGCCCGAAAAGCGTGCCTCGAGATTTCGAAGGATGGTCTAAATCAACATCATCCTTTTCTGAAAGTTTCTTGCGCTTGCCAGAAGATGGAGAAAGGTGGACATCGCAGTTCATGGTAGAGATGCTCAGGCTTAATGCGGCTCGTTTGGGAGATCCGGAAGGTGACGGTGATGGCGATCCCGACAGAGAGGGACTGCGCGTTAATGCCGGTGTTGGCGGGAACGAGGATTGTTGTAACATCGAGGAGCATGTGCGAGCACAGACGGCACATACAGCTGATCCACACCTGAAAATTTATCAGATTTTGAGAGAGGAATAATTGGACGAGGTTGTCCACCCACCTTGCACAAGTTACGCCTGCACCAAACCTCATCGATGCAGATAACACGCGGTGGCATGACGAGCATGACAAGTTCGAGGCTTTATGTGCATTTGGGGTTGTAGAACATTGTTCTGCCTTCGAGTGACATGGGCCTGTGTCGTGGCGCGTGGACGATTGGGTGTGGCTGAGCTTTCTTTTCTTGTACGGAGGTTTCCTGCTCGAAGGTACAGAGGATGTGAGAGCCAATTGTGGGGTTGGCGCAGGCATTTCTATCGAGACTCTCAAGCAGCACTCAGGCTCGTTGTAGTGTCGGTCAAAGGGCTGACCACGGCGTTGTCCAATTTAAAGAAGTAGTTTGAAAGCTTTGATTTTGAAAACACGTGACCACGACGCGAGGTAGTTTGCAACATTCCCAGCTAACTTATACTTAATTAGTTGATTTGACAAAGGTTCACCTTACTTCACCCCAGGAATGCATTAATACCGTACTCTCCTTTACGCACCCCTCGGCTCTGCGACAACGCAAGGCCAAAGGCCAACTCGGCCATCATCATCGCATCCTCACTTGGTTCCCTTAGCAGGTATAGCCGCGAGATTCACGTTGGGGCTTATGGCGATTATGGAGCGTTTGGTTGAACGACGGCACAGCCGGGCAGACGTGCCTATTCAAAGCCCTATGCAACTTGATGCCTCCGATTCGCTGATACCATGCCCATATATTCTTGATTTAGGGTTGATTTAGTAAGGGCAGAAATTCAAGATGAGGTCGATCTTTGGCGATATTTTCGGGCCGTCATCACCGAACGCGATGGAAAAAATCAAGATACGAAAGGGGCCGACGCCTAATAGAAAAGGCGCAGTGTTGAAATCGATGTTATAGATGTTTGAGAGGTTATCGCGGTGGCACACATAATTACACTGTAATGATTCTCGGATGTTTCTTTTGTGTAGTCACGAGTGAGCCTGAAGAATTCTTCCAAAGGCCTGGATCGAATGGGCCCTCGGCTCGAAGTGAATTTGCCACTTCTTCCACGCGTGCATGTAGGAGTTTTGGGATCTGTCCGAATGTCAGTCACTGGACAGGCCGCCGCAGAACTAAAACGACAACCGTCGTGGTGAATTATTGGTGAAGTGGGGTGACCTTGGCCGGCTTCTGCAACTCGCAGATCGGGTTCGATAGTGCGATGAAATTACAGCAGGACATGTTGAATAACTCACATTTGTGTTACACGTTCTGGATATTCCAAACTTTGGGCCAAGCTGGTAGGTAGATCAACCGAACGACTACGTATACTAAATTTAGATTCTTATGTAATACGCACCACCAGTGGCACCAAAGACGCGTACGTATTGGACATCGTGATTCTCTAGATCGATATCATCAACTTGAACAATGTCAGGCGGAGGACAATCACTTGGAGGAAACCAGGACAGCGAGCCTCTACCTGCTGGATGGGGTCAGCCATCGGCACCTCGCGTAGGTCGGGTTGGAAACTGGAGTGGCTCCAACAACTCCGGCAGGAACTCCTCAGCCTCATCCCGGTGCGCTTTCAGCACCGTTATCTTCGCAATTATTAAATAATAATAGAGGTCGCTTTGGAAGTCTTTCAAATCCCCCAACATCTGGTAGTGCCAGGACGCCTGGAAGACTACAAGCCGACGACGACGATGACGACGACGACAATGAGAACAAAGAGGGCGAAAACTGGTTTGCAGGTGGCGAGCGGAGGTGTGTAGGCCGCTCCTGCCTAATAGTACTTGAACTTACCAGTTGGATAGTGGCATTTCGATCCAGAACCCTAACTTTGCCCGTCCTGGTGCTCGCATAATCAGGGATATCTTGAGGCAGGCTGCAGAGTATGCCGTTTAGCGCCTGTGTCGATTTTTATGTCCTGACTAAGACTGCTATGTTTTGAAGGGGAGGGGCGGCACCTCCACCTGACGCTCGCAGAGCAGCTGGACCATTCAGTGGTGGTGGGCATACCCTTGGAAGTGACGAAGTGGAGAGCGCATACGTGCCAGATCCGAATGCAGAAGATGGTGAGTATTGGACGCTACTTTATTACCTTTTCGTCCAGATTGCTGTCCCAGTGGTTGTTATTCATGGCTGACGCGCTGCTTTACATGAAGACGAAGGTGAGATCGTTGTCCGGCACCTGTATATTTGGAGGGACGGATTCAGCCTTGAGGATGGACCGTTGATGCGATTAGAAGAACCCGGTAATGAAGAGCTTTTGAGGACCATTCAGCAAGGGTATGTTGAATTCTGTCATCATCATATTTCCGTTCACATCCTTCACAGCACTGCGCCCATGTCCCTCATGAATGTCACTCCCGGGCAACGTGTCGACCTCAAGGTGGCAAACCTTGATGAGGATTACGTACCCCCTAAGAGAGGCAACTTTTCAGGATCTGGGCAGAGGCTTGGTGCACCAATTCCTGCTGTTATCTCTGGTGCAGCACCTTCAGAAGCGCCGATGCCAGGGTCATTTCCGACCGGCAGCGGCAGCGGCATCGCTGGTGCTAGTACTGGCTTCGAGAGGCACAGCATCAACACCCGCTTTGAGGTCGACCAGACGCAACCTACTACGAGCGTGCAGATCCGTCTGGCAGATGGCACACGGATGCCGTGCAGGATGAACCTTACGCACACTGTTGGTGATCTTCGCTCGTTCATCAATGCGTGCGTTGTGTTTAGCCCTTGGGAATTTTTTCGAGGCACTGAATATTTAATCATAGCTCTCGTCCCGAGAATCTGTCACGCCCGTATACGATTGGGACGACATTCCCTAATCGTACCTTGGAAGATGTCAATCAAACAATCGAGGGTGCTGGACTAGTTAACAGTGTCATTGTTCAACGATGGGTTTAAAGTGAAAAAAAGGCAGCTGAGGATGAGATAGATGTATACATTAGCCTTGTAAAATTACGACATCCACGGAAAGTTGAAGCTACCGATTTCGACGATGGATCGGAAGTACCGTAGAGTCTCGAATGACCCGGCGCTCAGTGGGGCTTGAACGACAATCGCCTGAAACGGACGATATTTCCCACGGGGCCACTGAACTTAGTTTTTTTCCTTGTCATTAACGGTTCCGACATCGAGTAGGCCCATTACCCTAACTCACAGCGACCTCAAAGAGCTGGACAAGACACCCGAGCGCGAAAAGAAACGCTCAAAATTCACTTGAACAGTGCGTACGACGTCCTACTCTTTGGTCTAGCTCAACCACAACTAACGACCCACAGCCCAATCATGGCGCCGTTCACAAAACCCGAGGCCGTGCTCAAGCAAGCAGAGGGCCTCGTCTCTGTCGGTCAGTCTCATGCGGCTCTTCAGTCGCTTGTAGAAATGTTCTCTTCAAAACGCTTTCGTTCGACACCACTCACTACGCTCGAGCCAATCGTGATCCGCTTCGTCGAACTTTGCGTCGACATGCGCAAAGGTCGCACTGCCAAAGAGGGTCTCATGCAATACAAGAATATCGCTCAGAATACGAGCGTTGGAAGCATTGAGGTTGTCATCAACCGTTTTATTCAGCTCTCAGATGCAAAAGTCCATGAGGCGCAGGAGAAAGCGGACAAAGTTACTGGACCTGTCGATGTCGATGATCTTGAAGCAAGCGAAACGCCTGAGAGCATTCTCCTGGGCGCAGTTAGTGGTGATCAGAGCAAGGACCGCACGGATCGTGCACTCGTCACACCCTGGCTCAAATTCCTGTGGGAGAGCTATCGTACATCACTCGAGACTCTCAAGAACAATGCTCGGCTGGAAGCTATCTACCAGGTGAGCTCATTTTCCTCTTGGCTACCCGCATACGCCTTTGGCAAACAGTTCCGTTCCTTCTCTATTTTTCGGTCCTCATATGCTTCCTGAAGGGAAGGCTACCATTTTAGGCAGGTATCAGCGCCTCATGTTCTTCATGGTGATTGCCCCAGGCGAAATGCGGGACGACCCTGATTCCATATCCTCTAACACGACTTCTTTAGCAAGTTGCGCAGCAAGCTTTCCGCTTCTGCCTAAAGCACCAACGGAAAGTCGAATTCCGGAGACTTTGTGAAACTCTCCGACTGCACCTTTCCAATGTCGCAAAATACGCGCATCAGACACACGCTATCAACCTATCGGATGCGGAGACACTGCAACATCATCTCGACACACGGTTCGCCCAGCTCAACACCTCCGTCGAACTCGAGCTTTGGCAGGAGGCGTTCCGCAGTGTTGAAGACGTGCACAATTTGCTGACGATGGCAAAAAAGGCTCCACGTCCGGCAATGATGGCGAACTATTATGAAAAGTTGACCAAGATTTTCTTGATGAGCGGAAATGCGCTTTATCATGCTGCTGCATGGGGTCGATACCATGCAATTGTTACTAGCATCGGGGGAAAGAGTGAAGAAGAGATGACAAAGCTCGCCGGCCAGGTACTTGTCAGTGCCTTGGCTGTCCCTGTGGGCCTACAGGGTGAGGATGAGGATGGCAAGAGCAAGACATCGCGCCTCACTGCACTTCTTGGTCTCACCAAAGCACCCACCCGCGCTGGGCTGATTAAGGATGCCGTATGTATATTTGCGATCTTTGAACTGAGCGTATGTTTACCCATTCACAGCTTTCCCGTGATGTCCTCCGTCTTTCCCCAGCACCCATCAAGTCTCTCTACACACTCCTCGAAGCATCGTTTGACCCCCTGACGCTCTGTTCATCTACCGCCCCGCTTCTCGCAGAATTGTGTGCACCGGAAACACCGTACTTCGGCTACCGTTCCCTCCTGGAACGTGCACTGCTCTCCCGCCTGCTTGCACAACTTTCTCAGGTTTATTCCACCCTCACCATCACCTCGCTCCTCGAACTCGTTACACCCCTCGAGGGGCTCGGCCCAGAACAGGTAGAGGCGTTCCTAATGGGCTGCGCACGCCGTGGCGAGCGCAGCGTACATGTGGACCACGCCACTGGCACCATCACCTTCATCGACGAGGGTTTCGTACTTAGTTCCGAGGACCCCATCGCGTCCACGAGCACCAACACAGAGGCGAGCATCCAGCCCAGCGCCGCAGAACTCGTGCGCACACGGCTAAGCACGCTCGCGGTCACATTGCACAATTCCCTTGCGGTACTGTACCCCCCGCCCCAGCTCTCCCCCGAGGAAGAAGAAACTGCGCAGCAGGCCAAGTTTGCGGAGCTTGTCGCGGCTGCGAACGCTGAGCGGCATGCACTGTCGCTCCGCCGTGCACTTGTTGCACGTCGCCGCGAGCTCCTCTCTGAACTCTCTGCTCGCAAGGAGAAGGAGGAGGCCAGCCGACGTGCGGAGACGACCCGGCGTGAGAAAGATGAGGAGGTGCGACGCGCCAAGCTCGAGATGGCGAAGAAGGAGCGGGAGCGCGCACAGAAGGAGGTGGATTCCATTCGTGCAGAGGAAGCAAAGAAGCTCGCACAGACGCTGATCAAGAAGGGCAACCTCAAAGTGTCGGTGGACGTGCGTATACTTTGTTTCAAGAATATCTACTTGAGGGTTACTGATATGACTATCTACAGGAAATGGAAGATCTATCGACAGATTCTCTCATGCGCATGCAAGTCGAACAGCTCGAGCGTGAAAAGAAAGAGCTCAACCAGCGTCTGCGCACCGCTGCAAAGCGGATCGACCACATCGAGCGTGCGTACCGCAAGGAGGAGCGGCCACTGGTTGCAGAGGACTATGCGGAACAACAAACCACCGACCGCACGATCTTCGAAACGCTTCAACGCTCACGCATTGAGGGCGCTCGTCAGGCATTCCAGGAGGATATGACATCCAAGAAACGCCTGAGTCGCATGATGCAGGATTACCTACAAAGGAAGGACTTCATCATAGCACAGCGAAGTGAAGAGCACACAGCCAAACTCGCGGAATCCCACAAGAGAATCGAGGAGGAGAAAGCGAAGAGGCGGGCTGCACATCAGAAGATGAAAGATGAGGAAGAACGAGAGCGTGTTGAGGCTGAGAGAATCCGTAGAGAGCAGGAGGCAGAAGTGGCTCGACTGGAAGCTGGTGAGTATGCCTCATCGCATGAAGCTGTTGTTTTCTCATGTTTCTTCAGAGCAGCGCGCAGCCGAGGAAGAGGCCGAGGCCAAGGAACGGGAAGAGAAAGAGAAAGTCGCCGAAGCACGCAGGATTCGGGAAGAGGAGCGTGCCAAAACTCAAGAGGAGGCAAGGAAACGTGCCGAACGCGAGGCCGAGGCTGAAGCACATGCTGCTCAACGCCGCGCGGAGCAGCGCAACCCACCACCAGCACAACCAGCGCAACCAGCGCAGCCCCAAGGAACTTGGCGCCGTGGAGGAGCGCCTTCTGCGCCCGCACGTGCTTCCGCCGCTATATCCACTCCACCACGGGCTGAAAGCCCTCTTCCCACTGCTCCCGCTGCTGCTGCTCCTACCACAGGCGCATACCGACCTGGTGCATTTAGTGGCACCGCTGGAGGCTGGAGAGACCGCCAAGGGACGAGAGCTCCTGCTGCCGCACCCGCTCGAACTGCATCTCCTGCCCCCCCTGCCCCTCTTGTATCTCGTAACCCCCCGCCGCCTGAACCGAGGAGGAATGATGACGGATTTGAGACTGTTCAGGATAAGAAGGTGTGGAAACCCCGGAGACTTCAGGGTCAAGCATAGATACTGTATGCTTACATGTCACACCATGTTGTTTTACCATTATATGCATCTATTTCTATCCAATACCATACAAATGAGTGTGTTGATTGTTGGGAGTACACATGCCATGTAGTTAGTATCCGCAAAATGTCCCATAATGTCCATCATTAGTTGAAATAATAGGATCAAATTAAGCCGTTGACTCCTCTTCCGCAGCTTGCTGCATGATCTCTGGGAGCGAAAGTCAGGCGATCGAAAAGGCTTAAAGACCGACAACATACCACCCCATATAGAACGCTGCATGGATGACATAATATCTGCTTGATCACCGATGTCTAACGAGCTATCCCTCCTGCGTAAAAACCTATCAATTAACTATTGGTATGAGTGACGAACAAGACAAACCAGTAACCGTGTCCCATATCGGCAGAAAGCATGCTGACGTCACTTATTCTGCGGGACCGCTGGAGACTACTTCGGAAAGAGTGATCCCAGGCATTAAGTTCTGGGGAAGGGCCAAGAGTTCGGGGAGAGGGTGTTGGGCTAGAAGGGCTGTTGTCTGAACGGTCGTGGTTACTACGAGGAGAAGTGATATCCCGAGTTAATGGGGGTGGAGTGGATGGTGCAGAGTCCACGTGAATAGCAGGGATATCTATACGCCGATTGGATCATCTACTATTCTGATGACGCAGAAGAGCAACTAACCTCTCTGCGTGCTCCTTTCTCGCTCGGCCAAAAATCTTCGTCGCAGTGATATCATTTTCAGCAAAGAACGAACACGGTCGAGGTTCACCAGATCTGAGACAAGTTTGTTCGTGCCTTGCCTTACGATAAGATCCTTCAGCCTGTCTGGTGGTCAGAACTGGACTAGGGTCACACACATCAACAAACTTACTCTAGTGCGTCGCAGTCCACAATCAGCTTATGGTGAGCCAGAAGGAAAAGCATGTCAGTGAACGAGATGCCTTTGCGATGGCGGTCAATAATGCTGGCTTCGTGAAGCAGCCGGCAATATATTGCTCTTCGCTGTCTTATAACGTTGAAGTCGATCTTCCTCAGCAACTTGTTCACTTTCCGTGGATTCAACTTTTGCGTCCCAAACTTCTGGATGTCGTCATCTTCGCACGCCGAGATAATGGATGGAATGGAGTATTCAACCGGGTATATGCGAACCTCGAAAATCCCATTCAATTTCTGGAAAAAGAATTCAATAAATCTCGTGAATATCATATCGCACGCAACTTACCCCTAGGAAGGGAACCAATCGACTTTGTTCAAGCAGCCCAGTCTTTGAATTGGAATACTCCGCCCACGTTTTCTTGAAGGAACGAATTTCTTCACGAGTGATGGCCTTCGCTCCGCCAGTGGACTGGAAAACGTAGGAGAAATTCTGCACCACGACTCCAGTAAACATGTTCAAGAAGATATACTGTTCGAGATTGTATCAAGAATGAATGCGATATGACTGAGGTTCACGCACCATGCTCAGGAGGTTCCAAGCGATAAAAAGGGAGAACGCCCAAGCGGTACTTCCACAATCCGATTCCACCAGCTTGCCAGATCTGATGGTGCACCGCGGATATGCCAGAGTGCTAGACCAGAGTCAACTTTATAACAAAAATGGCTTTTCGATCACGTACAAGTCATGCATGTATTGGTTCCAGCCCTCGCTGCGAGTAGATATTTTAGAAAACATCATGGAAAGCGCTTGAAATACCTACCCCGTACTCATGAACGCGAGCATGACGAGCGCCGAACCCATGGTTTGGTAGTTCTGGGTGTGAGTTTCTGCAGAATACCATTTTGTCAGGCCGAAGGCCTCCATGTACATGATGGCGAAGAAGATAAAAAGAATGAACCACAGGCCCAAGAGGTTCAGGATGACGGGCAAGCTCGCCCTGCAAAAAAGTCAACGTTTAATCAAAACATAACTTCCTCACTCACATCACAGTCTTGAAGAGCTGATTGAGGCTGTTGGTCCTCTGCACGAGCTTGAACGCGATGCTTACGAGGAACAACTTCTGTAGTTGCTCGACGGCAAAACCCATGTACCCAAACCGAACGATCAAAGTCGTGATGAAACTGCCGCCGGCCACCACAACATCAAACAAATTCCACCCGTTGGCTCGGAAACTCCTCCACCCAAGACCGTAGAACCTGACAGTGATATCAACCACATACATCGTTGTGACGATGAGCGAGAAGGCATCTGAAAGGAGCCACATTGAGGGGCACCGAAAGGAAATACAATCAAGCCAAATACTAACCTTGAAATTTCGCAACAGCTTCACGGACTGTGAATGTTTGCGTCCTGAAAAAAGATGAGTCAAGGTAGCTAACCAGTAAAAGAAAGACATACATGAGCACGATGATTTGAACGACAAAGAAGAACGTCATCATTCGCGTCCACCAGCCGTGCTTGTGAATCGCGCGGTCGTAGCACCATCTTCGCAATAACTGAGTAGGCTGAGTCTTAGGACGCTGCGATGGCTTTTGGCGTTTGATCAGTTTTTGCAGGTCAATCCATTCTCGCTGAGGTTCGGTCAGGAATGCAGAGCCAGTCTTAGATGAGAAGTTGCCGATGATAATACTAAGCGAGCCATAAGTCAACGGGTTCCGGCAATCCCCAAGGACAAGACTCACCTGACAAAAAGAGTCAGAATCACGACGCCTCCAAGCAAATTGTAGATAACAAAGAAAATAGCGTTGATCTGCGAAACATTGGTCTGCGGTTGTTGGTTCTTCCCAGTGATACTCATCGCGATGGACATGACATCGATCCATCCTTCCAACGATACAATCTCGAACAGAATGAGCATGGAGGACCGGAAGTTATCGAAGGAGAACGTCGTGGAAGGTGAGGGATTGTCCCAGGCACGAGGGGCCAAATATCCGAAAGAATTGCCGTATTGTGTGTTGACATACTCGTTGGTACAATCATTGATGCCTAGGATATTAGTACTGTTATCGTTGCATTCGTTCATTAATCCTGCAAAGATGTTGACGCCCCAAACGCTGAATGGAATCAAATACAGAATCGCCAAAACAGCGGCATCCAAGATACGAGTCGCCCCGGAAATAATGAGTGATTCAAATGTGTTTCGCATCTTGTCGATCAAAGTCACGAGGCGGAGAGCTCGAAGAGCCTTGAGTGCGTGGATGGAGCGGGTTAATCCGCTGACGAAAATGAGCGTGAACGACAAGTTCACAAGTAAACCGACGAGTATGATGAAGTCCAGGATGTTCCATATGCTCTTGACGTAGGCATTTGGAGTGAACAAGAAACCGTCAGCGATGATCTTGATGATGAATTCGGCTAGGAAAGGAAGGCCAAACGCTACCTCGGCAATGTTGAACCAAGTATCACGCACCATACCGTGCTCGATGTAGTAATTGCGCCGGTACAAAGGGGTAGCTATGCCCTCCGTGATAATACCACCAAGCACGGTCAACAAGATCAGGAGCTGGAATAGCGTATGGGAGATGTCGGATGGTGGGACTCCGAATAAACGATCTCCGCCAGCAGGCTTGACAATCTGCTGGCACATATTCCGGAGACGACCTTTCTGCGAGAACAGCCAAAAGGTCTTGTCATACGTCGGGTGATCTCTGATGAAGTCCGCCTTCTGTGCCCTCCGCTCGGAGTTCTCATCATGGTCGTCCTCAGTCATGTCGGCGCCACCAGCCGCCTTGGCAAGAATATCGCTAAAAGTTCGCATGAGCAAAGCTGCCACTCTAAATATCAGAGAACTCACAGATAACGCTCCGTCTCTTCATCTTGCACGGCTGTTGACTCACGCCGTCCCTGCCGTAGGGCCACCAACGGCACGTCATTCGAATTCGTAGTCCCAGAAAACAATTGTTGAAGCGCTGTCAACGATTTCGAAGGGAGATGCCTCGCACCCTTCAATGGCGTGGGTTTCTGTCCCGCAAGAATATCAGCAACCCATCATCTCAAACAATCATGTTCCATACAGTTCCGTTTCGGCTGTCCTGCCCAATAACCCCATAATCTTGGACAAGCGTCTTCTGCATCGGCAAGACCAGATTCGAAGGAAGGTTCTCGACCTTGACACGAACGGGATCCGCCTTGACCCATCGATACGGATTTAGCTTGCGAGCCCAGCTGTTGTGCATGACCTTTTGCGGGTGATGTTGAGCCCAGTAGTCCGATGCTTGTTTACCCTTCTTGGTCTCTTCCGCGACGCTGAAGTTCTCGTTTATGACAGCGATGAACATCTGCATCACGATGACTAGAGAAAACAACCGCCCGTCAGCGATGGAAGGTTATACGCGTGAGCACTGGTGGTAACTTACAATTTGCGAATATAAACCACGAGGATAAGAACACAACTACGATCACCGCCTGTCCTAGGGATATCTCAGCCTCGGTTGCTCCGTACATGACGTCTGTCCAATTCTCAGAAGAGAATATCTGATACACGGCGAGGAACGAATTCCACAACTGTCCAAAATTGATCGTGGCTTGGTTTGTCATATCACCGCGGATGAGCTCGACGCAGACCAACGCGGCAAGGAGGTTAACGAGCAACAAGAAAAGTGTCATGTTAGCTAGACCGTACAGATTCCCAAAAACCGTGAGCTGAGGTGGTTTAGTTGTCTGTCAGGCCTTGAGATGCCGGCTGGACTCACCATGAGCGGCTTCATTCTCGGGACCTCTAGAATCACTCTATAGAACCTCCCGAGTTGGAATATCGTCAACCAGGGGTACAGCTCCGAGTTGTGAATGGCCGGAATCTGAATGACGCTCGACCCCACCGCCAACACAAGATCTAACCAGTTATTCCCATGCTGGAAAAACCTTCGCCACGCTGGGAGCTCTGCTACGATGCGCATGATGATCTCGATGTCAAAAGCCACTGTAAGCACGAGCTCTGATTTATCAAGGATCTGTTGATGCATATCGCTCATGTCAGAACTGGCGGTGGCTTGAACGACGAGCGACGCGAGAGCCAGAAACACCCAGCACCAGCGCGTATGGGTGTAGAATGCCTTGAGCCAGTTGTTCTGAGAAACGTGTTTGCCGTCCACCCAACCCTCTTCTCGCTCTTCGACTACAGGTCCTAGTCTGTTGAATGGGAACAACGTTAGCATCAACATATGCCAAGGTCAAGAAACGCACGGTGCGGCACCGAAGGCACTCTTCCGCGTATCAGCACGTATGGCAGAGAATGTGTTCGTGATCACAGCGACAAATAGATTTATAAGCCAGATGTTCAGTACAAGGATGCAAATAATGAAAAAGAAGCAGGAGACGAAGAACTCGGCGTCGATGATCGAGTACATCATAGGGGACCACTGAGAGGAAATTAGTACGACGTAAATATGGATAAGGGACTCGTACGCCATTGGCCGACGTCACAACGACAACTTGAAGTGCGGCGTAATAAATATTGTCGAAGCTCTGGATACCATTATATGGATTGTCTCCCTCCTGATCCGAATTTATGAGATTGTGTTCCTCGATGATACTTCAAGCAACGGACCTGACAAATCTGCCCCAAAGGGCAGATATAACCCTTGACTGCGGGACCTGGCGTACCGTCCAACTGTATATAAGGAAAGACGTTCAATGTAGCCGCGTCGACGTAACCACCACAAGATTGGGATGTTTGCGTTTGGCTTTCACCTAGTGTAGGCTGAAGGTAGCAGTTTCGTCGAAAAGAACCTTTGAAAGATTGGACTCCAATGATCCTTCGAGAATGATCCATGTTCGATCAGCATTCAGAGAGAAACCAGATAAACTCACGAAAATAACACCGCAGCAAAGACAACAAAGTATGCCACGTTAGTAAGCAGCGGCCGAGCGATTTTCAGAGATTGCATGATTGTCTGTGGAACACAAACTTTAAGCGTCCCATAGTTAATGCCGTGCGCAAACTCACAGTGGTTCCAGACGTGATAGCCAGAAGTCTGGAGATCCGCAGCACACTCATCGCTCTGAATGCGGCGACATGATGAGACCCGCGCTCCACGCCTGCCATTGCGAGTGCAAAGCTCAACCAGAAGCTGAGTATAGCAATGAAGTCAATTCTCCCCCAGCTTTGCCGCAAGTATGGCATATTGCGATACACCTTGTCGCGTGCGTTATCGATATTTAGTCGGAATGGCAGCGAGATCACGTCCGGAGGCGTTTGGTCTGACCGAAGGGCACGGGAGAAGAATGTTGGCTGCGAAGCACTTCGGAGGTGGGTCCGTGAAGAAGGCTCATCTACAATGGCCGGTTTTTCTTTGCGTGAAGCATCGCGAGGCAAATTGCTTGGACCAGGTACCATGTTAGGCATCGAACGTGAAGAGGTAGCCGCGGAGAGTTTGAAAGGCCGTGATAGACGATCATAAAAGGGCCACAAAGAACCGGACGCGGAAGAACCTATCCTTGAAGTCGACGTGGAGGTCGCCGATGATGTTGAAGATACAAAGAAAGCTGATGTCGGAACTTCAGGATCTAGTAGAAATCCAGAAACGCATATTCGTGCCACTGCTTCGAACCTGACACAAAGAATCAGGCTGAGAGCATGATAACCAGTATTAGACCCACGTGAATATGATAAACAATCCAAATAAAACGTAGTCCTCCCAAATGAAAAAGAAGCCCTTTTGTGGGGTTGGTATGGACTGGTCCGACGGAAGAAGGACCGTGCGAGATGCTTGAGATATCAATACACAGGCATTAAGGATTATTAAACAAAGTATTAGAGGTTCAGTCCATCTGAATGAATAATTAATACCGCCAGAGGGGAGTGTACCAGAAGGTGCTTACGGGTGAGAAAGGAAGTGATAAAGGCGAAGGCGAAATGTGCTTGACGACTCCAAGAAACCGAGAGTACGCCCTCGTAAGGGAGTCAGCTTTCTGGTAAGAAAGACTTGTTCTTCGTTGCATTGTTCTTCGAAGGGTTCCTTGGCCTCTTGTGCGGGGGAGTATTCGCCTTCGTCGAAGTCCTCATCCGGTATGCGAATGGAGGTGTCCAAGCCATGGCCTGCAAGATTGACGACGCGGAGAGACGCGCGTCGAAGGTGCTTTGACATTACCTTGAACGCCGAGCCGGTTCGCTTAAGAGGGGAAGGTGATGAACTGTAACGCAGCGTCCTCCGCCTAGTGGGGGCTGTAGCACCTCCCGTGCGCTCGGAGTCGAGGGACAAATCATTGTTATTAGTCCAACTCCCATTTGCACTTGATTTCCATCGAGAGTTGGTGCCAGTGAGATGAACCTCGTCTCCGTCCTTGGATGAGTCAAGGTCGGAGTCTGGATTCGATATTAACGAGGAGGAAGATGGACCAGCTTGTGCAGAGGTGTAGTTTAACTCATCGTAAATCGAGTCCCCATTGTATGCCGTATTTGCAAAGAATGGGTTGTCAGGAGAATAAAACGGGTTCTCATCCGGAGCAAATGACCGAGGCGAATTTCTTCTGAAGTTTGAGGGACCTGCCTCCATAGTAATATTTGAAAGATTGAGACGCAAGGGATCCTGCCCTACGTCTAACTTGGCCCAGCTTGTTCGTCTGCGAGCGACAGAACGACCACCATCCGAAGGATGAAGTGTCGGAGACGGAGGAGCTGAAGTGGCAAGACCAGTGATAGTGACGGTTAAGTCGATAGCAGAAGAAGAAGAGCTTTGAGTTGAATGACTTAAAGACGAGTGATGTTGGCCGTCCAGGTGCTGACCATCCATATCATGAGAATCAGCGCGTTCCTTACTGTAGTGAACGGTGCGAAGCAAGCTAATAGTACTTTCAAATATTCACCGTGACCCGGCAACCAAGCCGATGAAACTATTATCCTGAGAAATATTTCCTCTTTATGGATCATTGAAACACCAAATCAAGATCTGATGCATGTTGGGTTCTTCAGCCAGATCATTCATCATAAACCATAAAATCGATCTTAATGCAAGACAGTGAAGACGATCTTTCTCTTGGCGATATTTTCACGGTTTGTGCTACGTGCTACTGCTCAGCGCTCAAAGCTCAAATTTATTTGCTCAAATACAGGAACCCCCCCGTCCACCAACACCCCCGCCAACCTTTGCAACATACACTCGAAGCACCTTTCCCGATCTCAAAATCCGCCTGGTAGGATCCCATCCGCTATGGGCTCATCATCTGTACTGCTATTCAGACTTTGCGCCCACTAAACGCTACTAACTTCTTCTGTTCGATCTAGATGGAATGCCGCATTAGCGTTTGCATCATATATAGACTCAAATCCAGAGATAACACGTAATCGATGCATCCTCGAACTAGGAGCTGGGGGAGGCCTCCCAGGACTTGTCGCTGTGCAGAATGGTGCTAAAAAAGTCCGAACATCCACGACACCTCCATCCCCTTGCCTCACTCATCGAACAGGTTGTACTGACAGATTACCCGGAAGCAGTCCTGATCGATAACTTAGATTTCAACGTGAGACAAAATTTGTCTCTTGATGAGCAGGATCGGGTCGAGACGCAGGTATTCTTTCAGAAACACTCATGGCTTACCTGATCGCTAATTTTATCAGGGATACATCTGGGGTCATCCCGTAAACAACATAATCCGCGCACTTCCAAAGGATGCCTCGACTGGATTTCACTTGATCATTTTATCAGACTTAATATTTAACCACTCGCAGGTAAGAGTACTGCGTACCATCAAATTATCGGTGTCTCATCATGCGTAGCATGACGCCTTACTGAAGACTTGCGACACGTGCTTAGCTTCTCGCTCCCCAAGCGATGATGATTCCATTGCACCATGCGTGTTGGTCTTCTACTCCCATCATCGACCGCATTTGGCAGACCGGGATCTTGAATTTTTCCGCAAAGCTCAGGGAGCAGGCTGGTTTTGCGAGGAGATAGTGACGCGAAAATATCCGGTTTGCTTGATCAACACGTTGACGAATTATTTTCTGATGGTGCGATGCTGCACAGCCCATGTTCCCGGAAGATCCAGGCGAAGAGGAAGTTCGTGCCACAGTACATGGTTGGAGGATGACCAAGGGGAATGTCGACGATTTTACTCACTAAACGATGGTCTAGCACACCAATTAAGTCTGTTTCGGTTTTAGGTAGGTGCTATAGCACCTCTCATCACTTGTAAGACTTGCCATCACACATGCCACATAATACGGTCACACCCATACTAGGATCCAGCAAGTAATCGTGATTCAGATAAATATATGGTAGGTAATAGGCACGAAACTCAGCAGACATTTCTCGACGCTACGTTACTCTTACAACTCAAGTCCAATTGGCCTGGGAATGCATTTCGCTCCACCACCACGTGCGTGTGCTGACCACATCATACTGTTCTTCAATTCTTGCCGACCGGAGGAGGGGCTTCAACAGGCTGGGCCGTGGCTGGATATGGGGTCGGCTGCGGGGTTGGAAATGTAGGCGGCTGCGGAGCAGTTGACTGGTCTGTGGTACCATATCCAGGCGTTTGTGGAGCACCTGGCTCGGGCGCCTGAGTAGGCGTGCCAGTGTCTGCACGGGCAAGTTACACACACATGACATACGCAAAATTCTCAGGTACTTACATCGATAGCTACCTATAGCACGCCTCTCCGGAACATTGGTACGCTTGAATACGAGCCAGAGCGCATGCTACAGATACATCCAAGAGGAGACGTCAGTCAGTTAAGGCAATCGCACCAACAAGCATAATTCCGCACGATGAGTCCAGGGAAGAACCCGAGCCTGGCGGTGACAGTGCATGAGCGAAATATGAGACTTTCCAGCGTTGTGTACTTACAAAGTTAACAAGATGTTTACGAAGAGATCACATCCGCAGCCTGAGATGAAAGCAACTGCGGCAGGGGGGAAGATAACAGCAACCTATTGATGCTCGGGATGAGTATGTCAGGTGGAATTACTTGTGCGAGGCAACGTACGATTATAAGTACACAGTCTGCAGCGCCATTTGATTCCATGGTGTCGTGGTCTGGGTGAGGTGGAGACGACGTCTGTTTTCACATACGATGAGCAAATGTAAACGAGGCAGCTGGAGTTTGGCTGGAGTGGTCCAAAGTGACGTCACAGATTCAGATGACCATTATTATGTAAGTAGGCCTCAGCCAATCAAGTTTCTTGTTTATGCAACCAGGTTGCTGCAATTTCGCGAGCGAAGACATATGAGCACAATGTCAGAAGTGTAAAATTTGGTATCGGGAAATTTCACAGGAAGTAAAGAAGAGAGGTAATAAATACAACAGCAGAAATCCGAGGCACGCAGGAACAAACGGGAAAAAAAAGAAATTCACAAACCAAGTCATCATCCAGCGATAAATCAACATTACACCGTCCACCCATCCGCCCCTCTTAGATAGAGAAAAATGGCTGGTCTGCGTTCTGACCCTGTTGCTGCTGCTGCACTGATTGGAAGGGATTATTTTTTGCCCCAAATCCTGTCTTCTGTGCCGCCAGCTGACCAGCTTGCGTTTGCCCGTAGCGCAGTGCACCAACATTTCCGAATGTATCTTGTCCATCGTCGCGGTTAGCAAACAGATTTGCGAGTTGCGAGTGCTCTTGATCTGCCCGACTGGGACCCCCACGACCCGCACCTGCACCCGTAGATGTGCCGATGCCCGGGGAAGGTGTTGATGCTGATACTTGTGAGGGCACAGGTGAAGAGCTGTAAGAAGGTGCATTCGAATTGGAGTATGTTCCTTGAAGATTAAACGATGGTCCAGAGATGCCATTGACAGGTGTCCCAGATGATACTGGAATGGGCGAAGAAGCAGGAGCGAAGGGATTATTAGAACTGAAGGAGTGAACAGTTGAGGTCACACGACAAGCTATCCATATAAAGCGATGACATACCCGAATCCAGTCGGCTGCGCGAATAAGGCTTGTTGCTGCTGCTGCTGCTGCTGCTGTTGAGCTTGGAGTTGTTGCTGTCGGTACCACTCCTCCTGCGCCGTTTGTTGGGCTAATTGCTGGGCTTGGGCTAATTGCTGAGCTTGGGCTTCTTGTTGTTGACGAAGCCACTCTTGTTGTTGCCTCAGATACTCTGCCTATTAATCGATGTTGGATCAATCCATAACAAGATCAGATATTACCATACCTGCATTGCTTCCTGCTGTGCTTGCTGCTGGTATGGGTTAAATGATGTAAACTGTGGTTGCATCGTGTATTGAGGCTGAACAGTGTACTGCGGTTGCATCTGGGCCTGGGGAAGCAAGCCGGTTGCATATGGAGTAGGGTCGATAAAAGGAAAGGGATTGTTGCTGTTGGAACCGTTTGGTGAGGATCTGGAATGGAAGAGACCATCAGCTTACATCAAGCATACGTATGAACTAACTTACATTTGCGCTTGGTCATCGAATAACGAATCAGCGTTTGAGTCTTCAACGGCCTTATGTCTTTTCGCCTCCTCTTCCTCACTTAATCGTATTGCGGTGGCAAGGTCAGTCTCTTCAGCTTTCCGACCCTGTTCCTCCGCAAGAGACTTTTTCGATGCTTCGATTGCCTTACGGAGCTCGTCTTCATCGCGATTGGGGCCACGGTTGGCCTTCCGTGGTGGTGGCGTTCCAGGTGGAGGTGCGTAGCTGCTCCTTCCACCATCTTCGTCATCTTCTCCATAACCATTGCCTTGCCCTTTGATCATTCGGTCGCGCATACTTGCCCGAGTCCGGCGCTCCTCCTGTAAACGCGCAGGGTCGCTGAGAAGATTGGAGATGTCCTTGGCTTTCTGGCGGACATTGGCACCACAATCTTTCCCATCTTCATCCACATATTGGAATTCCTTGAGTGTTTTTATGATGTATAAATTGTCGCGGAAATATAGGACAACATTTTCGGAACCAGCGTGTAGGAGGTAGTCCAGCACGGTGAGTGACTGGGATGGAGTTTGAATTCGGGTCCTCCATCGGAAGCAAGGTAGCTAACCTTGAATACATGTCGCCAATTCTTGCCTTTATCATTCAACCTTTTATCAAGCATTTCCATGATCTCGACGAAGTCATTCCTGTGAACCACAGCCCATCAGCGCTGCTGACGAACCACGACCACCAGGCAAGCTGCCTAACGATCACGCACTGATTGTATGACATCTGAGCGATCTCGTTCATCTGAGTTCCCGATGGCCCCCATGGATCATTAGATGTGGCGTCCCGAACTTTTGCCTGCGTGTCTGAGTAACCCTTGGTATAATTTTTGGCCACACGGAGGGCACCCTTTCCAAAGTGCTGAAACGACATTGCGCGGTATCGTGACTTGCAGAATGGACGTTCTGTATACTATCAAGCCTTTGTTTTAGTTGAATAGAGAAGTGAGCACGGAGCGGATCGTGGTCGGTGGGGATGCTGAACGTAATGGAAGGATGTGATAAACTGCGGGAGTCGCCGACCTGGGTTGCCGTATGATGCAATATGTGAACCGTTACCTCACACACCGATGGTGAAGCGGTTATCATGCTTGCCTTCCAAGCAAGCGGCAGGGGTTCGACTCCCCTTCGGTGTATTTCTTTTTTTCCAGTTTCTCTGCAGGAACTGCTGTTTGATCTTCTATATATGTGATCCCGTGGCTTCCCGCGAATGCAACGCGTTGGTTACTTCCAAACGACAGTCTAATCAAAAAGTCTGTGATACAATCAATACAACCGACGACAGGCGGGTAAATACTAATATATTGTAAAATCTCTATCTCATAAAGTACCATCAAATCAAACGACTCCTCCCCCGTCTCTCATACTCTACAAGCATGTCCACTGCACGATCACGCGAGTCCTCCAACTCATCCCGATCCTCGCTCTGCTCTTCAAACACGCTCGACCCCAGTGCCCGACGCAACTGCATCACCACCTCCTTCTGCGGCCCCCTAGCAGGCGGACTAGGCGGGGGGGACAGTATGAACGACACCTCGTTATTAGCGGTATCGCAGCACAGAATCCGAGATGGGAAGATCCGTCGGAATAAAACGATGGTGTTGAGAACAGTTTTGATGTCTTCGTCATCCACGACTAGGTCTTTTACGTTCAACACCCCACTCTCCCATACTTTGGCGAAGGAGTCGGAGATTGTGCTGATGGTGCCGCCTAGGCTGCGACCTGCATTTATGGTCTCGTGCCATTGGGCTTCTTGTGCTGCGTCATGAGGTTGGGAGGGTGCACCACCGTGCGAATGGGAGACGGTTTGCACGAAGAGTTCTGAGGTGTGGGAACGAAGACGTTGGCGGAGGAGAGTTGTGGCAAGGGCACCGAGTGGTGTCAGAGATGTTGTGGAAGGCGTTGACGCGAGCGTCTGGACGGCTTCTTCGAGGGAGAGCGTCTCCAGCACTAGCCGCTCGTAAGGGCGGACCAGCCCGACACGCGCACGGTTCCATAGCCTTTGCGAACGCTTCTTTACGTAGAATAGTGGAAGGGAATGAGCAAGGAGCGCCAATGTCACCAGATCACTTGGGTGTTGTGTTTTGCTAGATGGGCCTAGCAAGGACGAGAGACGCAAATACACCTGAAGACGCAGAAGTGCTGGAGCTGAGGCTGGGTGAAGAGCAATGAGCTCGGCCAGGCGAACCCACGCCCTGCGTTCAAGTTCAGAGTCGGAGCCCTCGTTCACCATACGCTTGACGAAAACGTTTCGAACTGCTCCAAGTGCGGTACTCAATCTGAGTGCGTCAATGAGAGCTTCACGTTCATCGTGGGAACCGCTTTGAGCAAGGGCATCTGGCAATGGACCATGCTCTTGACGGGTGGTTGTCTCCGTGGCTGTCGAATCCCCGTCTGACTCAAAGTCACTGACATCAGGGGAGAGAGGGGGGGAAAGGGGCTCCGCCCCCTCGTGAGTTGTGAGTGCTGCTCGACTGTAAATTAGATAACTAAATGGTATGAGGCGCATGATCTTGGCACGTTGAACATGTCCTGGCAGAGGTATCCAAGGAACGATGATTGTGAAGAGGACCAGAACAGATGCGAACAGGTGGATGGCTTGCACGGCACTGCTCCACGACCACGACGTAGCAGCAGCGACAGGAGTAGGATCGGTGACGTGAGAAAGCACCGAACCATGGTGCGTATGAGGATGCGAAGCACCCGTCGAGGTGAAGGGAGAGTTGAAAAACGAGAATAGCGCAAAGACAGCAAGAAGGTACTGCTGGGGCTGTGCCTGCATAGTCACATCGCCCTGCAAGGGCGCACTAACAGGATCGCTGAGCAAGATGGGTGCGGCAGGGGCAATTGGAGGTGGAGCGCCAGGTTGAATCTTACGAGGTCGACCTCGCTTGCGCTTCTCCGGTACTGCTCCGGGGATACCCTCGGCGATGGGTGTGGGTGCAACAGCCGCAACAGAAACGGTGGGCTGTTTATCCTTCTTGGCCGCAGGTGCCTTTGTTAACTTGGGCTTCTTTCGGGCGCGCTCAGAGTCATCACCCTCGTCTTCGCCATCGCCTTCTTCGTCGTCACTTCCTTCGTAGGCTTCAGCATCGTTGTCGATTTCATCACGCTCTGGGCCTCCAAATTTCTTGGCCCATTCATGATCCCATTCAGCGAGCAAAGGCTCAGCGCCGGGAATTCCAAGGATAAGAGTACGTAGTCCTTCTTGCTCACGTCTCAGTCTAATCTCACGCCTTTTCAAGACGCTGTCATAACGATGAGCGCAAGCGCGATTGTAGGATGAATTTATCTCACCGGATGTATTCGACTGCCTTTCCGAGTACATTGGCCTTACTTCCTTTTCTTGCGACTTTGACACCGTCAATGTACCCACGTTCATCTACGGTATCACCCTCTTGCGTAGTATTTTGGTCTAAAACGCGAAGAGCAGGTACAGCGGCTTTGAGGCTCTGGATGCGTGCGTTGAGATTCGTGCGGTAACGGCGCTCGATGGTGGTGTGACTAGTCTTTGGGCGACTAATGACAGCAGCGCCTGCGATCTGAACGTTATGTGTGGATGATCCAGAGTCAGAAGTAGGAGTAGTCGGACCGGGAGAAGGAGAGGAAGACACCGAAGACGAGAGGTAAGGTTGAGGGTCCTGCTTGTGTTTTGGTGGTTTGGAGGAAGGCAGTGCCGGAATAGATGATATAAGGCGGGGTATGGGCAATTTTGCCTGCATAATCACTCCAGAGAAGGGGTCTGTGATATTCCATGAATAACACGGCTAGGGAAGCAAAAATAGATTATGGCTACCTGTGCCCGAGCTAATCGGTACCATGACCGGAGACACAGACGAACCGGATGAGATGCTCATCCGGGGTGATTTCTCATCAGCCGAGCTGGAAGAAGCTGAGGCAGAACTGAGAGTAGGTGATGAAAAAGTGAAAGGAAAAGAGGAAAGTAGATTCTGGGGCTGGACATGAAGAGAGTTCATGTCAAACATAGTCTGTGGAGACGCGTTGTGATAGTGCAATGTACTTGGGTCGACGGCCATGGACAATGCAGCATTGAGGTCAAGGTCCATGGGGAAAGAGAAGTCAAAAGAACCGCCAAGATCAGGAAATTTTGAGTTCTGGCCAGAACTCAAGTCTAAGGGCTGCTGCGGCCAGAGGGAGGAAAGCTGAGACCAGTCTGGGGGAGATGACGCTTGAGAGGAGGATGTTTCTGAATCGGATAGATTATTTAAGAGCATGGTGAGCTGGTCAGATATATCCAGGCCGAGCTCATCGTTTGAAACGTCGTTGACGTGAAGTTCGCCGTCCATTGCTGCCAGTGGGAGAGCAAAAGACTAACCGCAGGGGGCAACGTTAGGCAATGCTCACTAGTTATAAGCCGAAGTCATTAATCGTGCCACTTTCACCATCGCACCATTTCCAAATTATTCCCAGGTTCAAATTAGGGAATTTATTCTCACCACGCCACCCAACGGCAACAACGTCGGTGGTCCAGACTCATCTGCACAGATATCACACAGTACACGACAAAAATCTTGCGGAGTACTTATGTGATTTAGCTCACTCAGGTCGTTCCAACTCTTTAAAACTCATCAACGCGCACCTTGGGGTACGCCGCTTGCTGCCGTTCTCGAGCTCCTTTTTTGGTGTAATGATGCCTGACACCTCATGGATGCTAGATGTCAACCGTGCTATAGTGCACACTGTACCCCAGCTTTATTGGGTGATGTGCTCGGATGGGTGAGACGCAAGCAACTGGGGTACACTAGCCAGGAACCGCAGTCGACACCTCGAACTTCCCGCATGTGGGTTGGTGGCACAGTGACCATCGTAAGCGGCGACTCTCTGCGTAGAGAGTGACTTTGTCTTTCTTGGCGTACCTTTGAGCGGCCGTATCATCATTTGGTCCCGGTGGCCCCATGCCACGACACTCAAGCTCATAGCCAAGGGTGATTTCAACGTCATCACGTTCTTGTTCAAAATGCTGAAGGGGATGATCGGCAGCCGGAGGGAGGCTGTGTGACAGGGAATTTGGACAAGGGGGACCAGCTATGTCGCGCAAGGAGAGTGCGCGGTTCTGCGCGGTTCAAGAAAGAGGTGATAGACTTTGTATGGGACTATACGAAAAGGTGAAGGAGCAGTTGATATGGAATGATACGTGTCGGTCATCGCCCCGAGTCTATAGCAGGATTTCCATGGTTTTGAGGTATGTGTCTTGCCAAACGTTTCTTCTACGTATGCATAAAGGTAATAACTATAAGCTAGCTACTATAGGTCCATGTGACGTTCAAATTCTGGAGTAATAAAGTTGTTTTCTAGCTTCTGTCAAGGTGCTTTCTTGCAAATGCCCTGTGATGATACCCGACGTGTCGTGGATTCTGTATGTCCTGAATGCCAACCCCAGCTTCGTTGATGTTACGACGGGTAAGTATTGCCGCTAAGATCGCCACTCAGTTTCTGGCTTCTCTGGAAGCGTTTGAAAACCTTGCGAATGCCCGGACGAAGTGGGAGGCACAAAGTGTCTCCCATTCCCGTACCCCTGATCATTATATATCAGAGTATTTCGACCTGTCAGCTTTTCAGGGACAGCTCGCCAGAAACAGCGATCGCCGTTGTCAAAAGTGCACACGCGTTAACGCGTCTAACGCGTTCTTATCATTGAGCGCCTGAATATAGTTTTCTCGGGAGGTGTTAGGCCCTGGGTGATCACGCGCGAAGTTCAACAGCATCAATGACGCGAATCATAGTGCTGGCAGCTGGTCCCTGGAAACGGATTTCGTTGTTTTTTGCAGGAAGAATCTGGTACGAGGCGTTTCACGGCATCTATACGTGAGGTTGACCAGCGAGCCCACTGAGCCTCCACAGCCGCGGCATGGTCTGTCGATGGTCTGCAAGTAAGAGAAAAGGCAATAAGGAGAAATATGTTTTCGTCATGTGATCTACTACTTTGACAATGAAATGCAAGTGTCCCCAAAAGGAAATCAATTGACTCTCAAGAAATCGCGGTTTCGGTTGCTCAGCTTCGTGTTTTTCTTTCGTGTTCGACGTTTATCGAGAATTTCGGTTGTCGACAACTTGTTGACTTGAGTTCGTTGCCAACTGTAGTTAGTTCTTTTGGTTTCACCATCTTGCTCAACAAATCTGATTGTTACAAGGACATCCTTCATCATATCCCAGGTATCGCCTTCCCCTTATTACTTACCGCATTCAAACCGTACTCACACATAGCCAAGTTTCACCTTCTGTTGCGTTGATAGGCAAACAGCGGATGGCCTTTGTCTGGTCCAAAGGCTAGATTTTGAACTCACTGCAGGAATCCAGTGACTTTTACTCCTTTTCGCCTTAACGCGCACACCGTCCCATTCATTTACCTTGGACGTTCATTTACATTAACATGTCACACACAATCATGCCCCAAGTGCGCAGACGTCCCACAAAGCTCAGGCCATACGGAGCAAGACCAGATTCTAATATCGTCCGTGCATCCGTTTTCGAGACTGCTGTCGAGCTTGGCATACACAACTCCACTGTCGCGAATTGGATATTCAATAGCCCATTGCCTGAGGAGATCGAAGAATTGGAGGATATCCCTCCTGAAACGGAGGCAGAAGAGGTATGCTGTCGCCATCTCAAATACGATGTGACGCTCAACAGAGCTCTTTCATTCACTCAGACCTTGACGCCTCCCCTCACTTTTGGCTCACATACTGCGAGTGATGAATCGTCATCGACATCCTCTCCGCAAAACAACGTTGCATCCGCAAGGCAGATTCACATGCACATGCACAAACCGAGCGTGTCCGAACATCCCCACGTGCACTTCGATGACTTCGCTCCCGCGCAGCTCACGCTATCATTGCCTCCACTGAGTACGCCATTCAATGGAAGAGAGAGGCTCGGAAGCGTGTCTAATTCGTCTGGGAAGCTCTTGAATGATGTGGGACACCAATCGAGTGAGGATATCACACGTCAGACTGACCGAAAATGCGCCACACCGAGTTCCGCCAAGTCTGAAGCGGGCTATGTGAGCGATGGTCAATACCTTTCTGACAGCGCTGGTCTCAAAAAGTCTGGCAAGCTGAAAGCAAAAGGCAAGAAAGGCAAGCCGCCAGCCTTGGACTTGCGTCCCGGATATGATGGAGAAACCGGTTATTCTTCGGATGGAGGCTATCTCTCTGCGTCGTCCAGCAAGTCGCAAGGGAAGTCTAGTAAGGGGAAATCTCGAGCAATGGCCTTTTTTCGGAGGAAGCCAAAGAAACAGCGAGCCAGTGATGACGAAGATGACAACCACATACCACCAGTCCCCGCGATGCCTCCAATGGCAGTTCCTTCGAGTCCAAGACCTTTGAAGCATTTTGGCGCAACACCATCATCCCCTACGCGATCTGGCTTCAGTCCCCTGACGTTGAACTTTAACACCTCAACTCGAGCGTCAAGTCCTGTCTTGCACTCGAGAAAAGACCGCGCCAGTCCCCCGCTTGCACGAGTAATGACACCTTCATACACTCCCACTCCTCCTCGGCCATCTGAGCAGACAATAAATTCAATGCCGTCACCTTCACCTTCCCCTGTGCCTCCGTCCACGCCTGCTCCAGCTTTTCCGTCTATGCCGATATCTCACGCACCAACTTCCGGTACACCCGTTAGTGCGGTATCACCCCATACTTCACAGGCCTCTGTAACTCCCGTCCGTTCATCCCCGGTCCCATCTCCCCGACATGTCACCATTCGACCCGCAGCTCCTCCACCCACGCAGCCATTGCCACAGCCACCTCCGTCTCCCATGCCATCCACGCCGTCACGAAGGGCCCCTGGACCACCGCCCACGCAAGCACTGCCTCCGGTGCCTGCGCGTCCGCTTCCCTTGCCACCATCTACGCCGACAACGCCCTCGCAGAGGTTGCCACCTTTCCGACCGGTTGCAGTAGTACCTGGCCCTACAGCCCCGTTAGTTCCTCGCCGGAATCCACAAGCTCAGCCCCGTGTTCCATTTTCCCCTCGCCCACAGCCCTCGCATAGCGCATCTGATTCAGTTGTCCCCCAATACACGCATGCAAATGGCGAGGCATCACCCAGGAGGTACCAAAGCCACACCGCTGTACCCAGTGATGACAGCTCTGAGACCCCTCTCAGGAATGGTGTGGTACGGAGACAGCATCCGGACATGCCATCACCTTTATTCCTCCAGCGGCGTATGCATAGCGCCCAGGGGTCCCCGCGTCACCCACCACCAGATTCACCTCTCCCACAGGTTCCGAATGCGCGCCCTATGCATCCTCCCATGTTTTCCTCAAAATTCCACGAACATTTTTCGTCTGTGTCGTCAATAGGTTATACTTCAGCTGGTTTGCTGACTCCGCGCAGTACGAGCGGGTCTGGCTCGTCATCTGGCCCATCTGTTCGCTCCACACGCTCCTCCAACGCCCCGTCAGTATCCACTTCTGATAGTAACGGCCACTCGAGTCGCCATTCGGGAGGCGTCTTAGATACGCGCCCAGGAACAAGATCTTCCTCGCGGTCAGAAATCAGCTACGGGAAACATATCACAACCAGCGTCACTTACGCACACTCACATTCGTCCATGCTCGATACCCGGAGCGATGTCAGTGCCAGCGTCTACGACGAGCGTTCGAGCACATATGATGAGGAGGGGGGAAATGATCCCAAGGGAGCACAGGCTGACGACGAGGATGACGATGACGCATCGCTCTATCCCTCAGATGAGCAGACAGCTGGCAGGCGTACGATGTACCTGGTCGAAAATGGCCAGGCTATGGATGAAGATGAAGATGAAGATGTTTTTCCGCCTCCATTGCCGCCCTCGGGAGGAAGATACTTTTAAATGCCATTGGGGTATAGGTACCGTTCGCTTTAATTTATCTGCTGTTTATAGCTTTTTTTGCGGTCGCTCTTTCGCTCGTTTTCTTTTCCGTTTGGTTGTTCGCTTTTTTGATAATTTTAATGGCACAAGACTCAAGAAGACGTATGACAATATTGGTACGGCTGGTAGCTGCTCGATGCAGCTGTGCCGGTACTGGTAAATGCGATCTTGATGTTATGGTAATGGCTTGAATCTGGATATGCCTACAGCTTGCATCATAATTTGGGAGCATGACCATAGTTTCGCGCATGTGCGCGTGTTGTTTGACCCCTTGGCCTTGAGCTTCTTTGTGAAAGTCTGGCTTTTGGACAGTCTTGGGGCAAGTCTATCATGGACTCCGGAGGAATTGTTTGAGTGTCTTGGGGCATGCAAGCCTCCAGTTATGGTGCTGGATCCGTTATTTCACACACAATGCACACGCAGTCACGTTGCCGAGACGTATCAGGATGCTTTTGGGATTAGCGTGACTTCCCGTTTTGGTAACACCGCGCGACGACAAAATGCTCGAGCTCGCTGTCGAGGACAGCGAGCTCAAATAGTTGCCCAATCCTTCACTCTTTTCACCAATTCTTTTAAGGGAAACAATCACCTGTAGCTAGTTAACTATCCTTACTCTTGAACAGCACAACCATCCTTCCCCACCTTCTCCTCCCCCCACCCTGACCGCTTTTTTGGTATTTTCTGGACTCTAATTGAATACTTCTGTCTCTGTAGAAGTTCTAATGTATCTGTGGAATAAACGCATCATTAGCTAAGCCAATAATAAGCCCTTCAGAGCGCCCAGTATAAATGCATGACAGGAATGGGCTGGTACTGATAAGGAGTTACATGTGCGAAATGTTGAGCTCCCATGATGACGGTCCTACATTTGTGGATCATGTTATTGCATATCTCTATATTACATATCACTAGCTATGTGTTTCTTCGCATAAATCAGAACGTAGCCAAGTCAAACAAGGCTCATAGGGAACCTGATACATTGTTCAACATGTAATCGGGACAAAACCTACAATAATGTACACCGTACAAAGGAAAAGACAACAAGAATCCTACAACATGACATGAGTAGTGATGGTACAAACCAAGAACCAATTATGCATTTTAGCAATGTAATGTGATTTCTCCTGAAATTTATGAGAAGGCGAGGGCAGACCAGGTGGCAACTGCACCAACTGCCATGGCCGTTGCAGTGTGCGCGATGGATGTCATTATCCTCCTGGGGCGTTTGGCATGTCTGTTATCTTCGACCGGTAATTCAGGGTTCGCGGCCGCAGCCGCTCCTGGGGCTTCCGCTACAATGTCCATCTCGACTGGAGGAGGAGCAACTTCAATCTCGGAATGTTTGCGTTTAAGCGATTTGAAAGTCTGCAAGAGTATGAGAGCGATGAGTTAAGTGTAAGAAAGTACATTACCTCCACTTCTGCAGCGATGACAGACAGCGCCTCCGTTCTGGCTGTTTGAATTGTCTGAATTCTCTCCTCCACTCGTTTCTCGGTCTCCTCGCGTAATGTCTTCATTTCTGCGGCGTTTGATCAGAAAATGAAACAGTGACAAGGACATCACTGCTAACCGATGACGAGGGCACTAAGAGCGTCGGCACAAGCCTTGACGTCTGCCATGGGCGGCACAAAGGTGTCACGGCTTCCCGCATCAACCTTTGTTCGCAACTCAGAGACTTGATCCTGTAGGTCTGACATAGTAGATATCTTGTCTTCTGCGGCCTCCATGCGCGCAAAAAGTTGGTCAGATTCAGGTTCGAGCATGTCAACTTGATGCTGAAGGTCATAAAGGTCGTCCTCTGTTAAAGCATGACGATTCTTGATATCAGTAACGCTGGAATGCAGCACATTTACTCGATCCTAGGCATGATTAGGGTCTAGGGTGATGGGATTCCCAGAACGTATACTTGCCTCGATGATCTTAATGGAATCGCGCAGATCTTCACGGTCGTCATGGCCAGTAATTTGAGATTCATCTGACCGCACCTCATCAATGGATGGAAGAAGAGGAATGGGGGCCAGGGTGGCTGGTTCGTCCTCCAGCGGCACAAACGGCTGGAAATTAGAAAGAGAGGGGAGCCGTTCCGGGAAGATCTCAAATGATCCCGATTCCAGAGATCCCATGTGCCCAAATGAGCACATCGATGGAAGTTTGACTCTATTCGACTCATCCGGCCGGCGTAAAGCGGGCGGCGGGGAGTCCGACCGGGATGGCGGCCATGCGCCAACGATGTCTGGCTCCTCAGGGGCCTGAGGGGGCGATGGTGATGGGGTAGAGAGCTCCATGGGAGAATGAGAGCGCGAATCCGCAAGGTGGATATTAGACGAAGGCACATCATCATCATCATCAATGGGCGCAATGGCGGCGATGGCCGGAGGGGACCAAGGTTGGGGAGTATCTATGTCAAGGGGGTCCGCGATCTTATGGCAGATATCCTGCATCAACGACCCGAGCGATGGCATCTTGCCGAGTAATGAGCCACCCAGAAAGTCTGCAGGGAAATCTTGGCGCAGGGATGAAACGCAGGAACGAAGTTCTTCCCAGGACGGTATCTCTTCTATATCAGATTCATGCTCTGAATGCGAAGCAGCCTCGTTGGATGATCCTGATGGCGAGGAAAGGGACTCTGAAGAATGAGATGGGGAAGAAGGATATGAAATGGGACTGTTAAGGCCATAGCGCCCGGTGCTCAATTTTCGTGGGCGAGGGCTCGAGGACTCGGCGGGAGTTAGACACCACGGAGGTGAGTCGCGCATATCCAAGATATCGCGCAAAAATTCGATGCGAACTGTGACCGGTGAAACAAGGGTAGCGCCTTGCCCCACAGCTTTACCAAACGTCACGACATCGCCATCAGCAAGGGTGGTCTCCACCTCAGGCTGTAACATCCTGGATGTTGTCTCGTCTTGCTTCCGCAAATGAGTCCCATGACGGGACTTGAGATCAACGATATACACCTGGGACAGGTTGTCAGGTGCAAGTCCGATGTGACAGAATCAGCATGTGCCTACGTGGCCGCTGGAGGCCAACACAAGTTTGGCGTGCTTTGCGCTGACTACGGGGCATGCAAATACAGCATTCTGATCGTCATTCTCTTTCCTCATAGACCTATCATCTGAGATTGATTTGCGGCCGATGTGCACATGGGAGGTGCGGGTGTTGAAGAAGGAAACATTATGAGCTGGTTTTCCACCACACGGCTCGACGTGCAGAGTGACACCTTGTAAGAGATGTCCAGGAGGTGTAATTCAAGCGAATAAAGACGGTGCTTACCCGTCACCGGTTGCTGTGGATCACAGGGGCAAGCAGCTGGCTGAGCAAAATTCGTGCCCAAATACTCGACTTCGTCGTCCATGATGACCGTCGATTACAATGTAGAGCAAAAATCTGAAAATATGGAGGAGGAGGGAGCGGTCTGTGCGTTGGTGGCGGTAGGAATGAGAACGAGCGAGGGGGGGACTTGGTGCTGCCCTCAAGGCCGTGCTTTATCGCCTTGACGTTATTAATACCGGACCGAGATATCCTTTTCCAGATACCTGTCCGGATTCCCACCGAGAGCCTTCCGAAGGATGCACATACTATCACATTCGACGTATTTTAACTACTCTGACTGTGATACGAAATATGAAGACAAGGGTTCAAGACGACAACTTAAAGGGTAACAGCGAATTGGAAACGGGAATACATCAAATATGTATGCCATCTACCAGATGCAAAGAACTTGTCATGACGGGGTGTAGTGCGCGAAGTAAGGGTGATTGAGAGCGCGTTTTGCTTAAAGTATAGTGAGACAGAGAAAAATGTGCGAGCTTGCTGTACACATACCAGAAATCCGTTTTGCTGTGTCATAAGTCAAAGTGTGCTACGAAAAAGCATGTGAGCATCAGGCAAAGGTCAATGGAAAAATAAAGGGAAAATGGAAATCCAAAAAACAATAAACAATAAAACATACCGCAAGCAGGTCCAAACCCTGTTCATCGAGATTAGGTACGACGCTCTTGAGCTCCTGCTTCGACCATCGAGGGAACGTATCCTTGTAATCAGGCAATTGAGTCACGCCTGGCCAAGTCTCTTCACTTGGCGTGCCGAGAATCCTGAATCAAACGGGTTAGTGTCAGTTGTTTCATCAGGTCAATCTGATTGTGCGCTGCGGGCATTACCTGAAGATCTTGAAGATCTGGTCAATCTCAGAGTCGCCAGGAAACAGGGGACTCCCACGCATCACCATCTCAGCAAAGATGCATCCGACAGACCACATGTCAATAGCCGTCGAGTAATGCCGAGAACCGAGCAACACTTCAGGCGCGCGGTACCACAACGTCACCACCTAGAATAAAAACATAATCGATCAGCGCTCACGTAGAAAAAGGAAAGTTTAGGTTGCCCATTTACCTCATGGGTGTATGTCCTCATCGGAATACCAAAGGCTCTCGCGAGGCCAAAATCTGCAAGTTTGAGATTGTTTTTCTTGTCAATAAGCAGATTTTGAGGCTTGAGGTCGCGATGCAAGATTCTGTGCGAGTGACAGTACAAAAGGCCGGCATTGAGCTGATGAGTAAATCTCTGTGGATGATAGGAACACCGGTCAGTCATGTTGCCGAATCACGTGACGATCGCTTCGCGTCCTTGGTATCACATCACATCCCCTATCACAATCGATGTGACGATGCCAATCCGAAAATGCGTATGGTGGAATTAAGGTTAAATGTACAAGAATAGCATGGGCCAAGCATTCCGATGCCTCGCGCCAGCGAGACGCCATAGGCGCAGCAGCTGATTGACGCCTTCGCATCAAACTACGTGTCGAAGCGCGAAACACGCGTCCACCACGCGTCAGAAATCGTAAATGATGGGCAGGGGACCAATAGGAAGCGATTTCAAATGACAAGCTGACTCACCTTGACTATGCCGATGGAAATGGGCGTACCGGATGTGTTGGCGTTTTCCATGTAGCGCTTTAAGTCAACATCCAAGAATTCAAAGACGAGGTAAAGCTTCTGTTCAGCGTGCACGATATCAAGCAGTCTAACACAGGCATTTAGCCATGAAGAGCGGTTGACACGGTTGAAGACGTCGTACCTAACAATATTGTCATCCTTTAGTTCCTTCAACAGACTGATTTCTCGGATGGCAGTGCTCGGGACTCCTTCATCCTCTGCTTCGAGTCGAATTTTCTTAAGGGCTACGATTTGATTCGTTGTAACGTCCCGCGCTTTATAAACAACTCCATATGTGCCTGAATGCGAGTGAGCGACAAAGAAAGAAAGTGGGCGGACTGCGACTGCACCTTCTCCTACAACGTGCGCCACACCAGTTCATTGTAGTCTGATGTGAACACACGACTGGCACGCACCGACTTTCTCTATTTTTGCGTAGCTACAATTTGGCAAAATCAATTGACCTTGTCAACCCACTGGGCGAGAAACGAAGTGCGCACCGATCCATGTGTCAAAAGAGCGCACAATCTGTAATATGTCGGTTAACTGGAAAAAGCCTGTATCGCTATCAATGGAAAGGCTATCGCGTGATTGAGAGGGAAATGGTGTCTACAGGACAATCTAGATGAAACCTGGCGGGAGATGCAGAAAGCAAGTAAAAGCGAACTCGCGAACTCGTCGCTGGACGAGCTGGTTATTTGAACGTTGGCGAGATTCAAAAGGTTGGGCGCTCGCAGCTAACCCTTGGAGAGAGACGTGACGGTGGAATGAAGTGGAGATATGCGCCAGGGATGTGCACCTGGTCGAGGTCATATAAAGAGCCCTTCGGCAAAATGCGACCACCGCCACTCCTGTCACTCTCACCAAAACGTTACATTGCAACATCCGTCTTATTCCCTGCTTAACAATGTAAGTGCTACATGTTCTATCGAATTGCCAGGGTCCTATTCGCATCCGCATATTACTATATTTTGTACTTTCCCTAGTCCCACAGAAAGCGCCCATCATGAGTGAACCGCTCACTGCACAGATGTCAGAAACGGTATGTCCAAAGGAACCCCGTCGGACCGGAGCTTTAGAGGTGGCTGGAATAATATCAGCAAGCATTCCTGCTGCCACTTGGTTGTCAAGGCTTAACAATAGAGTCACCTTCCCATGAACTCAGATTTTGCCTGTGAAACCATTGTCATCGCTTCACTTCAGCGCTATGAAGTTCATGGTAAGCGCAGGGTACCATTTAATTTATTAATGCTCTTGCCACGTAGACTCCATCCACCATTGACTCGCTCGGTGGAGAAACCACACGTTAAAAGAGAAGGTGTCTATACACTGTTTAAGTTAGGTGGTTATCCTGCAATTTCTGCTGCAGTTCATAGCAGTTCATGCAATCAAAAATGGTGGACCATCGTGTTATCACATCTTTCATCTTGCCCGTTGTAATATTGATGACACGTTCATTTGATAATTGGCTTATCAGTGCTGTGCACGAAATTGACAGCAGTAATCTAAATATTACGGAGTTCTCCTTCTACTTACGAGTGGTAGAGTACATCATGTAAACGTTGAACAGAGCGCGCGTTCAGACTCCAGTAACGATGTTTTACCCCGGGTTCGGCCAATTTATATTCTCACTTTGTCGTCGCATACGTGTGACATCGATGTATTGACCAGGATATGGTTCTTCGCCTAGCATAATTATTTCAGAAAGTCGAACGAAACGACTGGTAAGCCACTCACTCCGATCGATGAGGTTGACTTCTAGATCGTCATCATCGTCATCTTCCTCGTCTGACGCCCAGCGGTCTTCTGCAGCTGCCTTGGGATTTGCAGCACGATCAACGGCAAGATCTTTCATGAGGCGGTTTATTGAGTCCTCTTTTACATCCTGCAGTGATTGATCCCGTGCAGCGCGGGCGCGTTCGAGTTCTGGGAGGTATTCACTGCAGACATAGAAAAATAAGAGGAAAAGAAGGAATAACGAAGATGAATTTCACGTACGTTCTGTATGTCTCACGAGACTCTTCCACCGCTTCGAAAAATTCCTTGATGCCGTCACCTGTCGTACTTGAGACGCCGACAGCCTGTTAATACAGTCAGCTATGCTTTCAACAGAACGACGTAGCATAATCACCTTGAGGTGCTTGTAAAATTCATCCAAAACCAAACTCATGCTGTTCATCAAGCTGTTCATGTAGGTTGGTTCACCTTCAGAGTCCCTCGACCCTGAATGCGACGCAAGAGCGACCTGGAACGCCTCGAAATCTTGCATCCATTCGAGAGCAAATCCGTGGGGCTGCGCGTCAGTCTTATTAAAGACAAGGATGAATGGCAATTTTGTCTTATACATGATACTAATAATGCATCATGAATTATCGAACGGCTAGATGACGCATTACTCACCTGCAGGCATACAGCATGTTGGACATGAATGTCGCAGGAGCTGTCGTCCGCGGGGTGTCAATGATATATGCCACCACAGTGGGAAACGAGGAAGCAACGGCATCTGTGATAATGGCGCCAGATGCTGACCAGGTAAAAATCTCAATTTGCCCCGGAGTATCAAGAATTATGTGGCTACGTGAGTGCACGAGAAGTAAGAGCTAATGCAGAATAAAAACGATAAGCACGTACTCGACCGTCTCGGCCCTTTTCTCGACCAAGTCCAGAACCTGGTCAAATTTTGTCGTAAAAAGATTCAAGGCGGTCAAAATACCACCGTTCGGTCCCAGGTTATACCTTGCGTCGCAATGATCCATTCCGTTATTCATGTACTACCGTCCAGATGGAAACAGCAACACACTGTTTCATGACCTCTTTATAATTGACAGTATCCCGGATATCGATGTTGGCTTCGAACGGCACATGAGTAACCGCTGGGTCGAGGTTTAGGATGTACGGCGGTTGCGGAGGATTTTGCGAGTGGAGGTAGGAGTTGATGCGCTGCACGAAGGTGGACTTGCCAGCCCCTGCCATCCCAATCGTGATGATGACATGCGGTTTTCTTTTTGAACTCGTGTCCGGTTGACTGCTCGAAGATGCGCTCATGCTGGTGAAAGGGAGGTCTTCCCTAGGCAGACCAAATCGAATGAAGACAGTGGTTCCTTCGCGGTGAAAGCTGGATGTTCTGGATCTAATCAATCTTCGAAAAGTGCCACTGGCAAGATCTTACTGACGTTCGGGGTCCCGGAATGCATTGATGGTGTAGCGGTAACATGCGGTCTTCCCAGGTTGTTCCCAGGTATCTTGGCCGCGCTCCGAGTTCGACTCTCGGTCAATGCAACAAATTTACTCCTTCTTCATCACGATGACAGTCAAATTTTTGCAGAAGTTGAAGAGTATCTTCCCCGCTATGCTGAATCTTCCATTGCTCAGTGTGGTGCCGAGTCTGCAGACGAAGCAGTCCGTCCGCGTCATCCGCTGGCCGCAATGAGGAGCTGCTGGGCATCCTCAACCCTCTCCGAGTCCTCGTGGGACTTGCTCAAACAAGCAGTTACGGTAAAGAGCAACGTTCTCGCAGCACACAAAAAGCCCTGCAGGACCCAGGTGAGTAATAGTGACAGGGAAGACTTCAGATCCAATATTGCAGAAGACGTTCTGCTTCTAGGCATTTCTTCCTCCGTGGGCGGCCGCACGCACATTGCACAATCCCATTCCTATACTGTCTGTCTCTATTGTTCTGTGGCGATCGCCCATGTACATTTTCGGATCCCCCACATGCAACTGAAACCATATTATGTAGCGTCGCTTGGCCAAGAAGACGAGCGATGGCAGGCTAGTCCAGGAGTCAAAACGGGCCTGGGCCCTGTACATTCCAAATACAAGATAAAAGGCAGCGTCGACTATGTAACAAGGTAGTTTCGTTCCCTGATCTGACCTGGGACACAGCATGACACTACTGACTGTCATAGCTCTCACTCTCTTTGCATACTTCCTCAGCGTTGCAGTGGGTATGGGTATTCCAGACCGCAATACTGCAAAGCATGCCGCTCGTGGACAAGCAGTATCAGGCATCGTACAACTTCCCCGAGAAGATAAATGCGCCGTTTGTCCAGAGGACATCGAGGCAGACGGCAGTACTGCAACACTTGTGTTTTACCAAGAAAATGATTACGGGATCACTGTGTGCGAGTGAGTTTGCGTACGTTCAGCTATGCGCCTTTACTCATCCGTGTATGTAGCTATGAAGAGAGTTCCGGCAAGGAGTTTTCCTGCCCCTACGTAACGGTGAGTGCAGTCCATGGGATGTGAGATTTCCTGACAGCGCGTGGAACACCCGTGACAGGACACTGGAGAGTTGAATGGCTCGCTCGAGTACTGCCCACAAACGGTTGATCTTATTGACTGTACCAGCAGTTAAATATCTTGTCTGAGGTCGGATGACGCGATATCACATATGTACATTAAATGCCTCTGAATGACAATTGTCCATCCAATCAATTCATCATTTCATGATCCAATACCAAAGTATGGTGGATGTTTGGTTACACTTCGACTTTGCCGCTAAGCCGGACAAATTTTCAATGTCCGATCAGTGTTTGCTTCGAGTATTATCATTTATTTCATTTATTCGATTTTATTCGATTACTAGATGTCCCATATGTCGGAAAAATCCAAACTACCTTGCATGGGCAAATATGGACGTATCAGGTTGCCAGGCTACCGACCATCTGACCGTTTATAAAAAAATTTGGCAGGCTGTTCATAAAAGTCAGCATTGCCAGCCTGGCAGGTCTGATCACACCTGAGCTATCAAAAAGTGCATATCAGCCTGCTTTGTCGAGTATCTGGGCTGGTAAGGGTTCATCATTGTGGCCAGGCAAGCCATCCTGGCGGGCCTGACATTGCCTGATCATCCTTGATGGTCTGTCTGTCACTGCCTGTCTTGGTGAAACTGTCGTATTAGACTGACGGTGCAATATTGTGCCATACTGGACTGACGACATCTGTCGAGAACATATCAGCCATGATATTTACTTCAGCTTCCTTACACTAGTTTTTCCGAGTCGTTGTTGGATCACGCTGGTGGCTCATTGAATGAAAATGAGAAGCAATTGATTACACTACTAGTACTATGTTGGGTTATAGTTACTGAGTACTGAATGTTCCTATTTACGAGCGTGATGGTGAACAATATTGCGCATTGAAAAAAATACGTACCGGCATCAGAACCTCCCTTCGCTACCTCTGGAGAGACGGTAGATCACAACTCCAACGGCTCCAATCAAAAATCCGCACACCCCGCATACCACACAAGTCGCAACAGTGTCCCTCATTTCCATAGCTGAAAACCAGCACGTTGCGTGGAAGGTGGGGGAGTTGGAGCTCGATATACCCTGGTGTATGACGTAGACGTTCTGTAAAGTATTAGGAACATACAAATGAAGAAAATTACGAGCACACCTTTGAGAACACAGCCCTGAGAAGCCAGTCTCCAGATTTGACCTATGGGATGAAATCAGACCATAACGAAGTTTTGGTTTGGGATCACTCTCACTATGTTATTAGCCTGTATTCCACCAGTACACCAGCTGTCTCGTGTCTCACCTTCAGCCCAGCTAACATCCCTGGTGTGGAGTGGACCTAAAATGAGAGTTGTCTTGGTCTCAAGCACATCAATTAGTGATGCTGCACCGCAGATCAGCGAACGAGAGAGACTTGGAGGACTCGGAAGGACCTGAGAGTTGACAGTAATTTCTTGGATCAGAATCTTCAGAAAATCATACTTGTCTGGTATTGATGCGAAGACTGGCGTGAATACGAACTGGCTTGGATCATTTGTCAAAGAGGAGTCCAATTCTCCGATAGTGAATGATGAATCTGAATGTGATATGCTGAAGTGTGACCGTGCAGTCCACAATAACAAGATCACTGCTATGGTGGTGGTGGTTTGGAAACAACAGGTGCGCAGTCATCACAGCAGCACCTGTTTGCGTCATATAAGGGAACTTTGACCGACATCCGAGCCGCCTGTGAACTTATGAAGGATGAGCTCCACAAAATGATATCACTGTGGTGCTGCTGAAATTGCATGTAAGACATGAATTTTGTCAAGTCGCATCGGCAAACTCACCTACTACTCATTTTTGCAATGCCTTACGATCCAGATAAAAGCTCTGATCACAGCTCGCGTAGCCCTGATTACAATGACAGCGCGGAGCAAATCCTTGGAGGTGGAGACTCACATCGCATCATATTGCGCTTCCCAGCAAATGGCCAAGGAGCGCCAGAAGACTCTGAAGGAAACTACATATATGACAAGATATACCCAGAGTATCAGCCACCGGGCCTCAAGGAAACACTAGATGAGTCTGCAAAGTCACGGTCACCGTCATCAAAGGGGCGCAGCATTGCAGCAGGAGATGAAGTGCCTAACGAGGTGCGCAGTGTGCAGTGTCTTTTACTAAATTACAAACCAACTCACTTTACTATGTTTCCAAGCATCCCATTGATATCATCCCAGAGCCCAATTTGAAGCGTGCACTGTCAAGTGACTCCAACACTGATTTAAAGTCTGATGAGGTGAGTCTTCCTCACTTTGTCGGTATGCATAAAAATGTAATTAATCTACGCACACTCAGAATCGACACTTTGCTGATGCTATCACAAACTCTCCACGACGGGCCAAACCACCTCGGAAGAAGCAGCGGGTCACCTTGCAGCCTGCAAATCAAGCTGCAGTGTCGGGGAATCTCAGGTTGGGGGAAGAAATAGTTGGATTGCTTCGGGAGCAAATTGCAGTCCTAGCACACATCCTTGAAGTTGTGGTAGTACCAGCCTGAGTGATGAAATTTCGATCAAGAGAGCTCTTGGATGGCGAACACACTGTATTGCAAATTGTCACATAGTATTGTACTTCTATCAAATACATCAAATGATCTGATCAATCTGAATCTTCGCATCAACAACGTGTCGCTGTGATCGCCATCATGTAAACTCCTTTGAGTGAGAATCGCCACCTCGATTCCCTTAGCTCTCCTCAAAGACTCGGACGGACATCACAGACCTTACTCTTCATGATGTCCGCCATCTCCCTCACAGTGACGTTGCCCATCTTCATGGTTATCATCCTGTCTGTCTTCCTCAACCTCATCATCGCCCTCCAGTGCATCCATGACACTCTTCATCTTCGCACATCTATCACTGCGTGCCTGGCGGCCACCGAAGCCACTGGATGAGGATGGGAACAACACCTTGTCCCATTGCCGAAAGACGTTAAGGACACTTGCCTTCCGGAGTCTCAGGCCGTTGAACAAATATTGCAAGTAGCCTTCGAAGTCCTCTTTCCATCTAATTCCACTCTGAGACCCTTGAACTGTTAGAAGCGTGTCAACAGAAGCGGCCCATCGCACCTGTCATCATCAGGAAGTATATATTTTGAATTTTCATGTGAACTCACCAGGACAGCACCGGCAGCGATCATCCCTGGTGTGGTATGATCGAGCCCCCATTTCACGTCAAGAGTTTCGCTGTTACGGGATGCAACCGAACCCTCTCCTGCGCTCATTGAGACAACAGATGCTGGCCCTCGTATGACACCACTAATAACCTGCCATCATTTATCAATAAGTTTAACATGAAGGAGGCGAGTTATAAGCGCTCACCATCATGAGACTTTTGTTCAAAAAAACAGTGTGAATATCGTGCTTTCCTTGCCAGCTGCCGTGCAAAATCTCTGAATCCCAAGCATCATAGTACCACTCTCCCTTGTCATTTTTCTTCCAGCCAATGAGTGAACCAAACGTCTCTTTTCGATATGCTGCCGCCTTAATCTGAGCCTCTGTACAGCCAAAAATCATTGCACCACATCGAGTGCGCACTCGTGTTGATATGTTTGACCTTTGAGATTGCATTCCAGCCTGGAACTATACATCAAATTAGTTGATCATGATAGCAAGCCTAACAGTTGAGGATAATTCACGAACCGCACGTCTAAACCAGTCACTACTGAGATCTCCGAGATATTTCTCTGGAACCACCTCCTGAATTTCTCGTAACTGGCCCTGAAGCATGGTTTCTGTATTTTCAAATCGCTCGAATTCGTGATAGTTGTCGTCGATGGGCGTTTCAAAGCTAGCTTTTGTATCTCCATGCAGCCAGAGCATGTGAGTAACGAGAAATTTACGGCCATAATATTCAACTGTCTTGATGGTTTCCTGGACCTCCGAACTTGTGAACTTGGGCCGTTTTCTTGGGCTTGAATCTGCATCTGTAGCTGTGGTGGCTAACTCATCAGCCTTACGACGACTTGCTTTGACTTTAGCCACCGCAGCGATTGCCCTGGACTGTGCCTTTCGGGCATTCTAGACTCAGAGAGGATAGTTCAAGATCAACGAACCCCCAGCAGTACTTTGAGTCGATCACTCACCCTGTATAGATCCTCGCGTGACATACCCAAGTCAATTTCAATCTCGGAAGTCAAGTCACCAGATGTAGTCTCAGATGGTGAATGTGAGTGAGGTTGTTCATCTTCTTCAGTGCGGGATGTAGCAGTTTGCGCTCGGTGTTGTGACATTGTTGCAGTCTCCAAGTTTGCTATGGTCAAACTCATGTCACTCTGGGCGGAGCTCGCTACCAATCCACCTATTACGTTTTTGAGTAAGCAATACCAAGTCAGTACTAGTCAGTATTATTAGCCTCGCATTTCTTCATGACGTCAAAAACAACATGCCTTGCTGCGAGTATTGTCATCAATATCGCGATCCAAGAGGGTTTTCACGCCATTTTTCTGCATGCAAATCCAAGCATGAAGTTGTCGAATCTGCTGCTATAAGCCTCTATGCTGCCACGCAGCCACAGCAACATGCCATTGACACTACTAGTGAGGATCAACATCCTCAAAAGAAGATTCGAATAGAGCATCGACACACACCCTCTGCTCAGCCTGACAGTGAGTTGAGACTGTCGGATATTATTGGCCCATCAATGGACAATATAACCCGTTACTGTTGTAGTTCATGAAAATTCAGAGTGTCAGCCTATGCACATATCACCCCCACAAACACCCATGCCCACATCTAAGTCGAATCAGGCACTGCATATCAAAATCATACACCATCCGCATACAAACATTTCTGATCCCACTATCATCGCTCTCGAGTCTGATGCTGATGGTCAATTACCAGAGGAACCACCATCAGAATCTTCGGGACTGCACCTTCCTAAATCTACAGCTGAGTCGCTACCCTGGGCTCCGTTCCGAAATTTACAAGATTTCGAGTACACTGAGATTGCTGTGAGGAGTCGTTTAAGCAAAGCAAACATTGATGCTCAGCTTCAAGGCATGCATAATGGATGGGCAATAGGAAGCAGGATTACCTTGAGGAATCATAAAGACATGGAGCGGGTGCTGATGGCTGCTCGTGCATATGTTGTTCAAGTCAGTATGCTAATCTATGTCGAACTCTCAATTCACGCCGCTTCAAAGTTCCAGGAAGGCACTGTCTCAGCTGAATATGATGAGCAAACATTCACCTTCAAGTTTCCATATCGTGACCCTTGGGAAGTCTATCAAAGCTGGATCACCGATCCAACACTGTCTCAAGAGATAAACTGGTACCCCGTTCGAAAGTATCTGTGTGAAGAAGGGAAGGATGTTGCTATTTATGACGACATTAATACAGGAACTCTTTGGTGGGAAATTCAGGTACACCCTCCCGATCATCGCGCTGAATAAAATTAATTATCGTGCACCTATGATTATGATCAGGACACCTTGCCGAATGTACATGGGCTACCCCATTGCTTCCTCCCTGCAATTTTTTGGCTCGACAAAGGCATGATAACAAAACGTGTCCGCAAGCACCCGATGCTCTTACGTCCTGCATTTCTTCCCCGAGCAATACGAAATGGCTCGGGCAATGGAGGAGGAATCCTCGTTGGTTATATGCCTGTGGTGAGGGACAACATAAGCTCTTGCTGTAACTCAAGTTTGCTAGCCATTACTCAGATACGTGATCCAAGCGACCCATCAGATCGTAACAGCGCAGGGAAAATTGCATTTGCATGCTTCAAGCGCGAGGTGTATCACAAAGTTCTCGCTGTCGTTTTTGGCTCTCTCCGCTCTCGTGGACGTTGCGGAGAGGCAATGAAATGCGGTGATCAAGTACAACGGGTGATATATCCTGGAATTCCAATTGCATCAGTTGATAGTGAGGAGAGCTGGGCATTAACATCGACTCGTGCAGGTCTTGCAGATTATCCGTGTCCGAAGTGTCTTGTCCATAACTGCAGTCAACATAATTTGGCCAGTGTGTTTGAGCCACGGACCGTCGAAGGCATGATGCAAGCTTACCATGACGCCATGGAGTGCCAAACCAAATCCGGGTCTGAGCGAATATTACAGCAGAACGGGCTTCACAAAAATGTTGTAGGTGTCTTTGATTAACATTTTGAATCAAGTCACGATAAGCTTGCGCAGAATTTTTTTTGGTCCCTCCCTCATTCGGACCCATACCGAGCAATTTCCTATGACAAACTACATGCCGATGATCTTGGCAAGTTCGGAAAGCATCTGTGGCGGCTGCTGCTCAGCATCCTAGAAGATTTGAACGTCAAGGGTCAACTTACCATCAAGTAAGTCCAAACAGTGAACATGTAGTATTTGGCGACTCACTGACACATGACTTGACTTTCGTTACTCAGCATGCGTGGTGTTGACAGGTGGTCGAACCTCAAACATTTCCTGAATGTCACGACAATTGAGTATGCGGATGGCACAGCATTCTTCGATATTTTGAGAGTACGTATTTCATGAATGATGAGACTGTTGTTCACTCACATTACTATATATTTCTTTGCAGTGCCTTCTACCTTGCATAGTGCAACTTTTGCCTAAAAACTCGGTGCTCGTAAACTGTCTCCATGCATATGCTCAAATTCGCACGATGATCCAGATGAGGTGCATGACTGAAGATCGTATCCAACGACTGCAAGGATATATCAAGACTTACATGGATTACTGTTCGGTATGTGGACTATTTGTTTCATGACTGCGGTCCCATTTCTGACTTAGTCTATGGCATTCAAAAGCGCGTCTCCACGCAGTACGAGAAAAACTTCGATTTCCTCAAACAACACTTGACCACTCATATCATCCCGGATATCAGGCAGAAGGGCACACTTGATAACTACGATACTCGTGTTGGTGAAGGTTTCCATCAAGAGGTTCAAGAGGCATACAAACAAACTAACTGTAAGAACACCGAACCTCAGGTGCACTTACTGCCCAGTCTGCCCTCATAAATACCGAAAACATGCTTATGGTTCATCAGATGGCTAGGATTGATGAAAATCTAGAAGCAGTAGCACGTATTCACATGCTTATAGACAATGCAAGCCAACACGAAAGCACGCTGGCGAAGATGATTGGATCCGACGAAGTTCAATCCGGTTTGAATGCAACCCAGACCCACAGCGCACTGGCAAGGTCCAACAAACACTGGATCCTTGGATCACCAGCTGCCGGGATCACAGATGCTAAGGGATTAGCAGATGAGCTTGTTGCTCGTGGATTTGTAAACGAGGCTACGGAGTTTCAGAACACTTTGTTTAATTTTCTGAGGAAGAATATCTCACCAGATTGTGTGGAGGACAGCCATCTCGAGGTATGTAAGTGTGGCTTTGAGTCTGAACTATAACTGACGGTGACCGCATTCTATGAGGTTCGAGTATTTCAATGTCTCTACTTGACATATCAATCCCTGGAGGATTGGAAGGAAGGACGAGACATTCTACGATGTAATCCTGACTTTCACAGTCACGCTCGATATGATTGCGCACTCGTAAACACCGACTCCAAAATGCTATCGCCGGTACGACTGCGCATGCTTGTCAGGTGCATGACAAGCCGCGGCCCAGTCGACATCGCTCTTGTTCATTCTTACAAGCGAACACAGTGGAAGCCAAAGACAGTGTGGGAGGGTATGCATGTATTTGAGCAGGTACAAAGGTACGACTTGGTAATGATCAGATATCTTGTTCGAGGAGTCCACATGGTCAAAGCGTTTGGTACGAAGGATGGGCGTGAATATCTTAATGATACTATTGACGGAGACATGTTTCTGAGGGCAGGAAATTAATATTGACATGCTGTACTTAGCCGCCTAATTTTTTGGACGAGGCTGGTGCAGGAGCACAGGTGTTTACATGACGTGGTGAAGCCGCCAACCGTCGAGCTGACAGTCTCCTTGAAGGAGTGGCCTGACGAGCTGCGAGACACTGTAATGGACTAGCTTCATGAGCAATTTAAAGTGGGGAGGGGGCACGTTTGTCCAAGGATCACTTAGAAGGGGTAATGGAAGGTCCTGGCTGCCGCGAGAGAATGAAGAGCGTATATCTCTTTGATGGCATGGGGTTGCAAGCCAGGACAGATGAGCCAGTGAAGGACGTGTACGAGCATTTGCGATAGCAGGAGCAACACGAGAGAAAGCACAGGCTGCAGCTATTGAGCAAGCTTAGGGTTAGGGTTAGAAGTTCACACCTGCAAGGTGCCATTGACAATTATGAGGGTGCCCAAAACAAGAACAAGGCAAGTATTCAGAGCAGGCAAATCTGCCTGCTCCGCGCTATTAGACTTGATGCGAGAGTACCATCTGGCAGAGTGCAGGTACTCCGACGGCTCGCGAGTCCGAATTTTTTTTGGGGGGGCAACCCGGAGAACTTGTACATCTCACAGTACTAGTACAACTTGCTACACCCGGACCATTGGCATCCGTGCTGGCTTCCAAGCCGCACTATATGTATTGCCTCCAGTCCGGAGCTGAACAAGTCGTACATTTGTACATAGATGTAGTACTAAATCAAATGAAGTTGAATTTTGGCCGGTCATACGAAATTGAACACTCACGTGACACATCAACATGAAATTGTGCGCACGACTGGCAAATGCCGGTCACGGCACGAGCTTCATATGCGCCTGGCACGACCTGATTTCTCCACGCACGAGCTTCATAGGCACCTGGTCAGCTCTGGCCAGATCGTCAGATTGCGCCAGCTTGCACCAGCTTATGCCAGGCCTGATACGGTATTTGGCATTTTTCCGACATAGAGTTCGCGCATTTTCGAGAAAACATCTATAACTCTACAACACGTCCACATAAAAATATAATTTTTCGACGGATGGATAGCCTGACCTTTATAGTATGAGGCCCGCTAGTTCCTTCTTTTAAAATTGACGCGTTGAGTCCAGCGGAGACTTACCGCGCAGAAAAGTGCAGTTTTCCCTAGAGTTCGCGCATTTTGTCACACCATGTCACACGTTTGCCGCCATGCCTTTTCACACTCCGCACCATTTGAAAGTCTGCATTGGTGTTTTTGTGCCGCATTTCGGTACGGCGGAGTTTAGATGCGTGCAGTCATTATAACGCTTTGGATAGATTGTCACGTCTGGGTCGTATTTCATTCACAGCGGATGATTCTGACAAGCATGTGGCCCCGGAGAAATTTATTTTAGCATTGTATAATCATGTAGAACCATGATATCACATCCCAGATTTTTCCGTGGTGATCTGACCTTTGGAGGGAGTCATCTATGCACAAAATGAGCCTCGAACACCCATAACTCGACCATGGCACGAGATCCGCTTCATTTTTTGTCAAACAAAATACATGGCCATGTGTATTATGTTGGGAGGAACCTATATGTAACATACATAAGGATTCCGTGCAGAATTGCGTGTGCTAAAGCCAATGCGCGAACTCTAGGGACGCGCGAACTCGTGGGACTATCTAGTATACCTTGCATATATTCTGCGTCTGTGTTCGTCTTCCCTCAACTCAACTCACTGGCATCCTACATCACGCCTCTCTGGAGTCAGTATGTACAATGTCTAATTTCAATATACACCCACAGGTTTACCCTATACCTGTCTGTTTAAACCCGTTCGAGGACTCCTGGTGCTGAACAATAGACACCATTGCCTTCGGTCCACTCTCGCAGCAATGCTCTGCTCCCCATATCTCGCCTTCCAACCGAGATTCTCGCGATCATCTTCGAATACTTTGAAGAAGAGAAGCGTTTCGATGAATCTGCGGACAATGATGTCCCTGCTTGTCTAGCAGTCACACATGTCTGCGGGTATTTGGCGCAACGTCGCCCTCGAGTGCCCCGCTCTTTGGAGATTCATCCGTTCTTCGTCTCCTTATTGGGCAGACATCATGCTTGAGAGGTCGCAAAATCTTTCTTTGGTTGTGACATACAAATACGAGGTCCCGCTACAGGGTTGCTTGGAGCCAGTCCTTTTTCAATTGCCCCGAATTTAAGTTCTCTGATTTCCCTCGTTGTCACCGGATGTCGATCCCATTATCCGCTTGTTATCACAGCGAGCTTCAAACGCTATGTGTCAAAGCCTGCATTAGAGCAGCTCACGCTTGAGCATCTGTCCATAACTTCAGAGGAAACGAAGCTACTCGACAGAGTGCCACTCATTCGGTTGAAAAGTCTAGCGCTAGGTTCCGCCTCGATTCAAACTGCCGTGTCTCTCCGTGCAGCTGGCCATTCCTGTCAACACCAAGATCGCTCTACGGCTCACAGAAATTCAACCGCCAGGCACTTGGTTCGGTATGTTAATGTCATGGTTAACTATTGTTACCTACCAACGACTACGTTTCCCTGCCCCAGCGTCAGGAAGACTCGCTCGAAAAATTGCTCAGAAAATGCAGGCGGGGAATCATTCCCTGCACACACATGTTACTTGTTTCTTCGTGTATATCCCTAGTTATATTCTACTAGAGCGATTTTGTAAAGAATGGCAATCTCAATTCCAATCTAAATTCCTCAGCGGTCCAGAGGGGGTTGTAAGTTGTGAATCCGTTCAATATATCGTGAGTCATAGCTACTCAAACATACCTTCAAACACGATTTGTCTGCGAGACAGGTGAACATCGGATGGACTAGAGCATGTATTGCTGAGTCGAAGATGACATCCCCATGGATCTGTATCAGTGCTTCGTCATGGCGAAGTGCTCGAACCCCTCATAAAAACCTGTAACAGTCGGGTGAGTGACGAAGCCCAATAGTGATTCGTGGCGGACCTTCAACGCTGGCTTGCGTACAGCGTGCCTTGATCGCCTGGATGTCCACTGCCGGCAAGGTTGACCACTGAGAATCCAGAGATAGGTAGCCATCAGCACGCAGACAATCAAACTAAACCGTCGATGAGTCATACAGCGAAGAAGGGAACACTCGTTTCACGTACTTGAGGCGGTGCACCGAAAGCAGAGCGCACCGACCAACGAGGTCCTTCGATGCTAACATCGACTGGCACCGGTTGATCCCCAGATAGAGAGAGCATGAATGAGAAGTTGATGTCCCAAAATTGTCGTGCGCCAAATTCTAATGCCTGGAAAATACAGATTTAGTGTGCTACTCTGAGATTGCGTGAGTGAATGCCTGCCATTTCAATAAAACCTGTGGCAGGCATGGATGGGCTTGCCTTGGATCACATGTTGAGCCAGGTAAGGGTGCGTCTGCGAGTTGATACGAAGCGGAGAACAATTCAACGGCCCGCTGCGAGGCTGATGAATTCTCAGCATGGAAGAAGAGTTTGGGTACAGGAAGAGCTTCTTGCGGGAAAAGGGGTAGGCGGGTAGTTTTGGGACGTCTGCTGCGGTGCATCCATTGAGAACATTGAAGTCGATGCAGAAACCACTTCCCCTTGATTGCCCTTGGGTCTCCGCAGAGGACAGATGACGGTGGCTGTCTCGCCCCCGAGAGTGACCAGATAACCAGCGAGAGCTGGGTGAGGTCCTATTTCCAAAAAGCTTGGAGTATTGATGTCGTGAATCATACGCTGGATTGCTCCTGTGAACTGCACTGGGCCACGCGTAGTGGACCAGTAGTATTCTGCGCTGAATCGGTCGTGTTTCAGCATGCCGCGCTCGGTGGAATATGTTGGGATGTTAGGAGCTGCGAGGGATAGCGATCGAATATGTCTGCCACTAGGCGCAGAAACTCGTCACGACAAGCGTCATTTAAGCGATGGTGGTATTTAAGCCATATGGTCGATCGGTGACTTGTACTAGCAGTATCTGCAAGTGCTGATGGGACGCGCGATCCCTTTAAGACATGAGCCGACTTATCTAACACGTGTCATGAATAACTGAGGGACGAACAGACTGGCAGAATATATGCAAGGTATACATCGAATAAAATGAAATAAATGATAATACTCGAAGCAAACACTGATCGGACATTGAACATTTGTCCGGCATCTCGGGAAGTCGAACTGTAACCAAACATCCACCATACCAAAGCGACGCAACCTGTCAAAGTGACAATGCTTAATTCGATTGGGACGCGACGCGCCCAACTCGCCTCCTTATTATCCCAAAAGACAGTCTTCAACCGAATATCAACGCGGTAGTCAATACCCGTCTGAATTCCACCCGGTCTTTAAACATCAGACCTCCCAAAATCCAAATAACAGAGTTGCGAACCGCGCAAATATCGCAGAGGTGCTCAAATACGATTAGAACAAAAAATCTAAGAAACACTACAAAGAGTCAACGACAGTGGAGTAAATCACCCTTGGGGGGGAACGATTTTTGGTATCTCGATTACAAGTAAATGTTGATCGGCGAGCACCCAATGTTAATGAGGCCGTACTAGACAGAATGTCAAGAGTGTAAAATGCGGGAGCAGCAAAAGTACTCACGTATGTGTTGCCGCTGCAGCAGACGGGCTCCTGGTTACACACCGCGCCGCTGCCAGTGCCGATGACACTGATGGGACTGCAGCCCATTCCGACGGAGCCCTCGACGGGGTCAAGGGCGATGTTCAATGCGCTTGTGATCCTGCTCAGCGAATGGCTGTCGGACTGTTTGGAGGGTTAGATATGGCTCTGGCAGGACTGGGTCGAAAGGGAACTACGCACGGCATATGTGGTTTGACAGCATGAGACGGTACCAGTGTTGCACTGTGCACCTGAACTGCACGTACTGTTGTCACGAGCGGACAAGGTGGGTACGGCACTGGTTCCCACAACGAATGCGAGGAGAGAGACGAGGAACACGGAAGGAGAGAACATGTTATGTGTGTGGGGTGGGGGGTTAAAACTTTTGACGGGAAAAATGAGTGACTGAGTGGGTTGATGAAAGAAGGTTGTTGCCGCTGCCTTTATATACGCCGTGAGCTTTAGAGCGGGGCTAGAAGCGTGTACGTTAAGGAAGTAAAACGGAAGCAATTTATCTGAAGGAGTATCGTCCCATTGGGGTTGGTAACCTGGCCTGAACGTTCTGAACCTCTCCGTAAAGCGCGCTGTGTCCTGTCGCACGACTCGCATCAAATGTTCATCATCACGAGAAAGAGGTCTATTAACGATCTCGACCACACACCATCAAAAAATCATGATAAAATTTGTGATACATTGGCGTCGATATGCAACGTTGAAGAGGAGGCTTCCGACACTCTCTGGACTCTGGAGGCTGTCAATGAAACCATTCAGCAACCCAACTTCTCGTTCTGAGTTCTAGCATGTTGAATTTAGGCAAGGAGTGGCCTGGGTTGGCCTGAAGAAGTACGTACGATGGGTAACGGAACTCTGAGCTTGTTCGCTTCAGTTTCGCCAAGCGGGCAGGTACGCATCACCGAAGCTGCATGTGGGACATGAACACCTCATCTCGACCTTGTCGGCATGCCAGCCTGATCAATGTCCCCCACCGTGCCAAGCTTGCACGTAAGTGTCAGCGTAAGTACTGACTGACTTTGTTCAAAGAGTATCTCAGGACTGACAAAATTTATGAATTTGAAATCGTAGTTTCCAAATTTGGAAGGTTTCTATTCCTCGGAACGAGCCAAATTCAGGTGTCGAGCTGTGTCGAGGAACTACAAATTCCCGACAAGTACCTGATCAGTGCAGGGCTCATGAATTTACATCATGTGCCTGTAAACATTTCCGATGCTTGGCCTCGGTCATGAAGCTTGAAGATGAAGACGCGTGCACAGGCTCACTTGAGTCCATGTGGTACCATTGGGAATCAGGCGGCCGTCGCAGGGGTCGGGGAACGTCAAGAACGGATGCCGATATCAAGATCCTCACATATGCATCAAAAGGAATGTGGTATTAGAAACTGCGAGGGGAGATACAGGCCTCGCAGAAAAAATATATCATCGACAAAGATAGGTGGCCCAACAGCATGCATATAAATTAAGCATGTATCTGCTCGAGACTACTCACTTGTACATCTCGACTATGATCCTTCCGCAGATGACTCAGAGTGTTTCTCGATCCTGCCTTCCTCAGCTGCACTGGACGCAAGGGGTTTATGCGACTCCGCGGCTCTAGTTTGATCTATGAGATCCTGGCGCGAGGAAAACCCGGGTGGAGCCCATTCGCGGGAAGTCCAAGGTTTACAATTAGGGTCGGTGTACATCTGAAATCAACAGCGCTTAGATCGATAGACCAGCACAAAGAAAGGACACCTACCATGTCCACACTTTCTAGTGAAAGATTAGACGATTCGTAAAGGAAGAAATAGACAACTACGGCTCCCGTCAAGTTGCACGCTGTACAATCAAAATATTCAGTTTAATATTGCGCCTTTAACGGAAGACATCATACCTGCAAAGACAAAACCGTAGCGATAGCTTATGGCACTACTGATGAAGGGCGTGAAGAACGCCAATAGGAAATTCCAAACCCAGTTTGCGGCGGTCGACAAACTGCCTTGCTTGGCACGGGTCCGTGTAGGGAACGTTTCTCCGATTAGAATCCAAACACCACTGGCGAACGTCAGTCAATCATAAACTCCCAGCATGCAGGTTCTTACGGAGCCCAGGTCATCGCATAACCCCAGATAAACATGCAAGCCGACACGATCATCACTTAAGGTGCTAAGTCAGTGATGTGATACGATGCGCAAATAGAATAACACCCACATTTCCCAACGCCAGGATGAGTCGTAGGATCTACAGCAGTTCCAGCGGCGGCGAAGACGAAGAGCCACGCTGATTGCCATATCCCTCCAATGATCAGAGGTCTGCGACGCCCAAACTAGACGCGCAGTGAGAAACGCGACTCGCGACTCATAGACGGACCGGGTCGCTTACCCTTTCGAGGACATACATTCCGCCGAACGTACAGACAAAGTTGACAGCGCCAAGGATAATTTGAGTCACAAACGAGTCGCTGAGTCCTACTGCTTTGAACACGGTTGCGCCGTAGTAAAAGAAGTAATTGGCGCCAGTAAGCTGTTGAAGGCTCTGTAGACTCATTCCGAGAAGAGTACGGTAGAGAGTCTTGTTTTGTGGCCTAAAGCAATCAATCCACCCGCCGCGAATCTGCTGTTCGTATTGGACAGAAGACTTGATTTCTTCGACCTCTCGAACAATGACGTAATGGTTCTTCGCCTCTTCCTTTGGAATACCACGAGAGCGCGCGAGGGATAACTGAGCCTCATCCATTCTGCCATGTGCGGCAAGCCACCTGGAGAAATGATTAGAGAAACGAAAAAGGAAACCAGATCGCTGATACTGACCTAGGGCTCTCTGGCATGAAGAGAATACCGATGCCGAGGATCAATGCCCACAGGATGCCGATCCCAACAACGATGCGCCATGATCCGGAATTAGAGATGTTCCGGGTTCCAATTGAGATACAGTCTGTGCAGGACATTAGTAGCTGACAGGGAACTTGGTATAATGATCTCACAAGCAACCAAGATACCGAACGTGATGAACAGTTGATAAGTTGCGCTAGAGGAACGTCAGCGATGTGTATGCCACCGAAGTGTACATATCATACGTCAAGGTACCACGGATCTGAGCCGGAGCTGTCTCGGCTTGATACTGAGGAAGTTTTGACATAAGTGAAAAATAATGAACGCAGAGCACTCACCATCGGAACGGCAGCACTAAGCGCCCCAACACCCAAGCCACTAATTAATCGACCGACAGCAAATTGCTGCCAAACGTTATTCGAAGCTATCTGAATGACAACTCCGATGATAAACACGACACACTCCACGGACATGGCATAACGACGTCCGAGGAAGTCAGCGGTCCTAAAAGAGTGCTTGGTGAAATGTGGAGACATATATCACAGGCCGCTTACGGTGCACCCAAGAGCGCGCCGGCAAGGGTTCCGATGGAGAGAAGAGCGACGATGAGACCTTCTCGCACAGTCGAAAATGAACAAGTGGATACATCGCCAGGTGTTGAGCAGGTGGAAAAGCGAAGAAGAAAATCATCCATCAACAGGATATCAGATATCTGACCAGTGTCATACTAAAATTCATAGGTTAGCGCAAATGATTAGGATAATTGTGCAACCTACACCGAAGATGAAACCGCCCATTGACGCCAAGAGCGCCAACATGATGGCCACCCATCCTATGGGCAGTCCATGGCTGACAGGGGTTAATTAGCCCAAGCGTCATTGTGGTCGTTGGTTGACACGACGAGAACTCACAAGTAGAACGCCATGTTGTATGGTTGGCCAAGCGGGCAAACGTGTGATTAGTGTGAGGAGACGAAGAAGAGATTAGACTTACGGGAAACATTTGGAGTCGCGGCGCCATTTTTGTAGGCGAAGCGAAGTTCACGGGCTTCCATTTTAGGTCGAGTTCCGGGGACCGGGGACTAGATGCGCCGCACATACGTCATGCCCGACAGAGTCGCAGAGACCTCGGCCTTACGCTGACAACAAATCCTAACAATAAACTACGGTGAGCCCTTGGGATACCGCCGGTTGGAGACCTCGGGCTTTTCGCCGTAGAGGCCCAATGACAAGGGCTACCCGCAAGCGCGGCGATTAAGCAATTGTAAAATATCGATGATGGGTGCCCGGAGCCCCACATTTCGCAAGACGGCAGCCGCTGGGGCTCAGCGCCTCAACTGCGGATGGATCAGGATTTATGCTAGGTTTGTCGTTCATAAAGGCAATGAAACGCGCCTGCAACACACTCCAAATCTGAGATTTGAAATGCTGGATGGCACAACCAGGGCGGGCTAGATATCGACGCCCCACACCATGGTCTCTCGTCTACTTCTACTCAAGCTTGGTCCGAAAATAAGTATCAGTTAAAACACTATGTTGTAGCAGAGGAGTCGATTCGAGACGCGCTTGGTCACAGTCACGCAATGTCTATGTCACACGGCGCGCTTCCCGATCACCTTATTTCAAAACCATTATGGCGCGTGCAGGACCGAGCAGAACGCAGAGGTCACAAAGGGCCCCACAACCCTCCCAGTCCCAGTCCCAACGGCCTGCTCGAGGTAGTAGAAGAGCGCCCGTTGAAGACGACGAGGATGAAAATGCAGCAGACGATAATGACCAAGACATGGACATCAACAGAAGTCAGGGAGGGGTCCTTGGTGCGGATGCGGTAAGTAGTTTGCATCTCGGCCTGATGATTTCCCGCTCTCAGGGAGCGCTCGTTGATTCCTTCTCCAGGAACTTGACAGAAAAGCGAGTGATCTCGTGAGATTCGCTCTTTTTATGGAGCAGAAGCGGACTCCTATACGTCGGGAGGATATCAACAAGAAGGGTACGCCGAGCTTGCAGAGCTCATCTACTTGAATGATGATACAGACACCAGTCCTGGCCTCTAACTCGCGTTCATTCAACTCTGTGCTTGAAAGAGCACAGAAGCTCCTTAAGAAAACTTTTGCCATGGAACTTGTAGAGCTTCAGTCGCGAAACTATCGCGAACAAGATACCGCAGCTGGTGACGATCTTCAAGAGGCACGCAACGCTACTGGAATAAAGAAGAAAAGTATGTTGCAGCCTTGTCTCCTATATCTCCTGAGGGTTATGACCATCTTTTCTTCATAGCTGCGGCTGCAGGATCAAAGACATACATTCTTCGTTCTGTCCTTGATCCTGTTATCATTGAGGAGGCAGCGCGCACAGACGAACGACTATACGAAGAACAGATTGCCGACAGCCAAGAAGACGGTGATGACGACGACGACATGCCCAGAAGTTACGGGTGCATCATCTCTTGGAGCACCACAGATCAGCTCGGTGCCTTGGGGGTCTTGCATGTCATTCTAGCATTCATTCTCGTCAGCGGACGATCCATGACCGACTGTGCGTGTCATAGCTCATCCTGTAGTCTGTCTAACTAAACCACACAATATGCACTCAGTGGATTTACGTGCCAACTTGAAACGCCTCGGCCTTACATCGAATGGGTCCGTATCCTTGAACACCCAGTCTACGCACAAGTCCCTGCCTATAGACACATATCTTGGCCAGCTGGTGAAGCAAGGATACGTTGACCGTATCAAGCAGGGCGACCCGAAGACGGCTGGCGGCAAACGCAGTCGCGCTCCTGCAGCGACTCAAGCCAATCCAGATGAAACCCAAGCATTTGAATGGCATTGGGGGCATCGCTCATATAGCGAGATTGGAGAACAGGCTATTGCTACATTCGTCGCTGAATTTATGGTGGAACGCAACCGTGACGATGACGCCGAGGAAGATGATGAGGATGGCAAAGCTGCGCGGGGCAGGGGAAAGGGAAGAGCCAGGGCTGAGGATGGCGGCGGAGACAAGAGGCTGAAGAATGTGTACGGAGCAATTGAAAGGGCAGCTGGGGGTAACCTCTCGGATGTTAAATGAGACATCTCCTCGTAGCGTTCTTATTATATCCACTCTGCTGAATACTTTACTCTATGCCTTACTACTTATTCTCCCCTATATTCCATTGATCGTAAATCTAACTAGCAGCGTTGCCCCGGTGCACTTCCCATCCATCGATAGTAGGTGAATGAACCTCAAGCCCTGCTCAAGGTCGCAGAGACGCGCACAGAAAACCAACATTTGTCCATCCTTTGAGAGTCCTTCATGGCGAAGGATACGCAGGCTGTCCACCATCAGCTTGTTGGTTAACCTTACTTCATTATCGTTCGCTCACCGTATAAAAGTTAAGTCATCCTCCTCGAATTCCCATTCAAAACGACTATTCCACATGACGTCTACGACATCCTCTGGAACATCTTTACACTTCAAGCGCTCAGATCGCCAATTTTGATTCTTTGAAGAATGAAAAAGCTCCGCGTGAACATACGGTGAGAACTCCGTGTGCCCTTTCGGGCGAGGCACTACAAAGTCACGAACGTTGGCAAGTTTGAACAATGCTGCGTCTACCAGAATGACTTACAGGAGCTGATTCCGAAAACGTTGCACGTCAACTTCACCGTGCGCACAGAAACTCCTATCAACCTGCTCGGCCTCTCGACCCAGCCAGCAGTCCCAACAAACATGGCTTCGTTAAGCTGCATACCACAGTCGAAGTTCTGCCAATTGAGGCACACCATCTGGGAGCCGTTGCGCCATTGCTTCAACGGATCAAGGTTACTCGAGCTCAAGCGTACACCGCGGGGATAGATGCGTCGAATTCGCTGCCGAGAATGTTCGATCAACTCTGACAGCGAGTGTGGGATCATTGCCAGTATGGAAGATTCGCTGACGTTCATCATGATATTGGGGGGGTGTGGGGGACTGGGTAAGTCTATAGGAAAATTTGTAAACATGAGTTGAAGCGACTGGTGAACGGCTTGCCTTCAGTAAGCCAGTGTTTCATCGGCTTCATACTTCTCGTGTAAAAACCCAGGTTAGCCAGCGAATCTGCGATCTTTGCATGCGCATGGTCAGCCTTCTCAAGTAGAGGGTCGTCCTCATAATGATGTTCGGAAGCGTCATTGCACTCAATGCCAGCACACGAGTCATCATCAAATGCCTCAGAATCTGCAGTAACCTCCTGGCAATCTACGTCCGGATAATACTCCACCTGAAAGTAACAGTCAGAAACAACCCAACCCGACACCGTCAGCATACCATAAGCAAGATTTTTCCTTTCAGATTCCTTGGAGATATGGTATCACCACTGACTCCTTCCAATGGCTCCTGCACCAACTTATTGCCCCACGCACCTTTCATGATATCCACAAGTTCGTCTTGGTGGGAAATCGGTACGTGGCACTCGAGACTGACAACAACAGGCCAGTCTTCGTCGTGAATTGCTTCGCCAATAGCCTCGCAAACCGCCTTGAACGGAACACTTCGACTGAGCGTATGTCCGTGTGTGACGATCGGACCCTTGGAAGACCACCAAACATCAATCTCGACGCAGCGTGCGTTCTTGGAGAGAACATGGGTGTAGCACTCGGAAGATGCACGACCGAGGACTTGCCATGCGAGTAGATACGTATTGTGCGAAGAGCTGGTAAACATGTAATGTCGTGCTTATACATCGCTGAAATGATCATGACGTACGAGACGAAATAGTCCCTCAAAGGTCGAGTGTCATCGACAACCCGTAGACGGACAGCAGGTAATTTCAGAAGTTCATGGGCATCCTATTTAATCGAGGTCGTTCAGCGATCATCAGGGTCATGATTCGGGGCACCGCCGACTCCCGAGGCAAACGATACAAAGTACTCACCAGACCGTTCTGCTTCAGAAAATGGAGAATCTCAAGACTTAATCTGATACCATCACTTGCTGGCGGACAGATGTTGATGGCAGTCTCCGCAGACAAGTGTTCGGAGTGACCAGAGTTCCTCTGAAAAGCCTGGGGTATCATGGGAGTCCGCTTTCAGCCCGAAATAAACAAGTGGTGATTAGCGAAATTGTTGATCCGGGCTTGCATTTGTTAGACGTGAAAAATATGTTCATGATATATAGAAACGGAACTTGTCTCATTTACTGAAGATGTGAGACGTGGTAACCGAAAGGCTTCCCGCGTCAGTTGCGCGTCAGCGCACGAAACTCAATTTCTCGGAGTTGGGAATTAGATAATTAGCGCGTGCACCGCCAAGTTACATGGATCGATCCTGAGTGAAAGGGGTGGCTTGTATCGATATAGGCTGAACTGTAACGAGCGAGCGAACAATGTATACTAAGTACTAAGTTATGTTGTCACACAGTGAGCAAAAGTAACAATATAGTGAAGTTGTAAGCTACAAACCTACACCGCTGATTTTAAGTAGACACAACTGCCTTGCCCCTCACATGATAGTTGACGCAACAGAGGGAGAATTACAAGTGCCTATATCAGGACCCTTGCCTTGAAGCTCGTAGTTGCCCGACATACAACTCCCTGGACCCTGTTTAGGTAAGAGAGGCCAGCCGCGTTGAGAGTCAATGTAGGTTTCCTCGAAGCCATTTTCTTCAGCCTCAGCAGCGACCCGCCGCAAGTTCATAATAAGCCGGGTCAAGGTCACATTGCAGGCACTCCAGATGAAGCTATTGCAGTCCGTCAGACAACAAAAGAGAAAAAATGAAGCTGATGGTACGAACAAAACCCCGAGGAACATTAATGACAGCTGTGACGAAATATGTAAGCGGACTGATATGAATGAGCTTGCAAACTTACAGGTGAAATAATAGACAGAATCAGGTTTACGAGACGTAGTCCTGATAAAAATGTGAGTATGGTGAATAAAAACTCTTAATTGTAAACCTACCAAATAAAGCCTGACGGAGGTCAGCTGGTTCAAACTACATTCGTGATGACCACTCACAAAGAAGTAAATGCTTCCATCACGATACATGACCTTCGCCATTTTTGCATGCTGAGGGTGTGGTTTGTCCAGGGCATTCCACCAGGTCATGATAAATATCATGAATTCAAACACAATCTGTGCGACATTAGCCCCTGAACCTAGGAACAAAGCTAAATAGAAACTACCCCCGGGGTCCACAGGATCACAAAGTTCACCTTCTGTGTCAATATGCAGGAATGTAAGTCCGGCACAAAGACCATCAAAGCTACCTCACAAACAGGTAAATGTGCCTACGCCCAATCATAAGATGACTCACACATCATGCTGCAAACAACGTAAGTCGTACAAATAATTGACGTTATCTGTGTCACTATGAAAAGAGCCAAAGTAACAAGCACAAGGCGGGTTTTGCGGTCCCAAAGGACCCATAGACGAAGGAGGATGAGGACTATTCACATTAGGATGGAGACGGGTAGCTCATAGTAAATTGAAGCTCACAGTTGCTAGTGCCGATAGATACCATGCCGACTACTATGCCGACACCAAACCATGTTTGACAGCTGTGTAGAATATCAGTATGAAGTCTGCATTTTTCCGCTTAACCACATACAACTGAAATTCTAGTGTTAAATGAAGATCAGCAATTTTTCATGGTATGAGGCATACCGAATCCGAAAGAATGTCGACTGAAATCCCGCTGGACGCTTCGGGAGATACGTCAGATAAGATAGCTAACATAGGCTCAATAGCTCACCATACGTGAGGACAATCAGGGAAACAGGGACAACGTATCGGTTGAACAAGAACAACACCTTGGGAAAAGACAGCCGAGCACGCCAGACCAGCTCAACCTCGTCATGAAAGGTCAAGAAGTGATCCCATAGCAAAACCTGTTCCGCAAAGTTATTTAGCTTTCAATGTAGGATCAAGAGATGATATGTACCACAAGCCCTGCAGCTATAGGAATTTTAGGCACAAATAAGTTGGTTAATAAAGGGGAGGCAGGGGTGCAAACCTACCACTGACGTACTGGGACGCCCTGAGATTTTGCAGCTCGCTAGAGGTGAAGCTGAGTACCAGATCAGCCATGTAATGTTGCACACAGTCGACAAGGCCCTGTGGACTGTGTGGAAGGTAGTGGAGAAGTAAGAGAGACCTGAAAATCAAGCGCGGTTATGAGCTAAATATATATATAACATGTGCATCAAATGTCAAAAGGGACAATAATGATCCGGTTGCTGAAAGCGTGAGGATGACTTGAAGGGCCGTCTTGTCACGGTAGCATTCAGTAAGCTTTGTACGTTTGAATGAGCAAAATTCTGCCAATCGGTGGCAGATGTGAACCAAGCTGTGATCTAAGAATTGTGAGGTACCTCGGACATAGTGGCAGCGCCCACATACAGGCGAACAAACCCCTATGACCGCGAGGTAGTTCCGGTGATATATGCTTTTGGCGCATCGTGACCATGTTTGTTCGATAATTATTTGATGCCGGTGCGACTTTCGCATCATAGTAGTTCCCACGACTGCAACACGCTTTGGCAAAGGCTTCAGAAATAAACAAACACAAACCGGGGGACCGTGAGATGCGAAATTTCCAGGGCTGTGCGGGGTTGGCAGAACCATATTCCGTTCCGCCCCTCGCAACCGAACAAAAGTTAAATCTAACCGCCGGGAAAACGGGAAAAATATAGTTGATTTCAAGAGACAGAATCACGAGATCATAAAACATACACAGTAGGGGCACATAGGTACATCAGACGGTCCACAGACAGTGAAGCAAAGTGTTTGAAGGATGATAGGAACCAATCAAAAGTTATCATGAACGCTAGTTCCGTAACTGCCGTGGTTAGACCCTCGTAAGGACTGCACACTCGAAGCAAAGAGACCACAAAGATGCCTGGAGATATTTCCTGCAGAATCCATGCTCTGAGGAATGAGAGGCAGAGCGAGTATGGGTGATCTGCGAGGCTTCCAATACTTTCCATGACGTCGTTAATCGAGACGGAGCTGGGACAGCCTTGAAACCGAGGAACGGTCATATCTCGGCTGTGTTGGTCAGTGCTCAACTTCCATAAGCTAAAGTGAACACACCTTGTATTCAAAGAGGTCGCATAATCAGGATCATGGGTCTGGTTCCAGTTTCTCGCCTCTAGCAAGGACCCGGACGACCTTGCTGGGCTGAGAGACCACTTCCATCATTTGCATAACGGCAGCAGGACGCTCTACCAGCCCGGTGCCTCGAGCGATGGGGATACCCGGAGCAGTATGGGAATTACGTCTGCCTCGTCCAGCCTGTCGTTTTCCTCTATCGTCATCATCAAGATTACGAGGGTGGTTCGATGAAGGCGGAACAAGTGGCGCTGTAGAAGGTTCCACTTCTAAGAGAGTGATACCGGCACGAGTAGCCCAGTGTCCGATCAGCAGGCCAGCTGAACGAGGCTCATACTTGTGGGTATGTGGACTCGGAGCTGGAAGGGGTACTGGAGAGGAGACTTCGGGCATTGCTTCAGTTCGACCGACCTGAGCTGGTGCAGCAGAAGGGGAAAGGACTGCGAGAACAACTTTCAGCTTGTCGCTCGCTGGAGCACGAGTTTCAGCGGCGTGGTTGACTTCCCAACGTGCGCAGCAGATCATGCGCCGGACCCACTCTGGAGAGCCAGAGAGGTGGAGTGGCTGTGACGTAGCCTTGTCCTTATCATCATCTGGTGACAAGTCCTTGAACTCGATGCGGTCCCACGGAACGAAGGCATCATCCCGCTGGACACGGATACGAGGATTTGTGCCAACTTGAGCCTCTAAGATCCGCGAAGCTGACCGTGCGCGCTGGGCGAGAGGACTTGTTCCCTTCTTGAGTAAATCAAGAGTGTTCAAGGCTAAGCCACCTCACGTCAGTTAACAAACCACCTATAACGTCCCGACTTACCTTCAAGGGGCACAATAACTATTTCATCACGTCCATCCCTGCACCATTTCTTTACCTGATGGAGGGCATGTACCAATACGCTCGCATCAACTACTACTATATCAGCATCCTTGTCACCCCTCGCCTCCTCGCTCGATTTCCTAGGCTTTTGCACCTTGACCTCATTGTGCTGTCTCTCTGGTACAGCTTCAGGGGCAGGCTTCTTTACGGACCTATTGCCTGAAGATGGGCGTTGCTTGGGTGCATGGTTGATAACACCGCGACGGTTGGTATTACCCAAGTCGGTTTGCGGTTGACGCCGGTCTCTCCAATTCCCAGAGGCCGGCCCACGGGTAACTGATTTCTCCAGCTGTTCGACTTGGTGGCTCAGAAACGCAGCTCCGAGCGCTCGAGACATGGCGAGCTTGTTCACTGAGGCGGTAGTTGTGGGACCCTACATGCCACGGTGTCGAAAGTTAACCGGTGAGAAGATGTCAGAGATCCCATTGAACTTACCTTGCTCTCCGCCATTCGCTAAGTGACTATAAGATTGTTGCAAAGAAGAAGAAAAGGGATAGCTTTCGATGTAGGTGGTTGGCCGTGGGACAGATACAGCTTTGAGTCTAGTGCAACCCACATCGCGTTAGTACTTATGCTTAGTCAGCAAGCTGTGTGGTGTGGCCCAAATCTGAGACCTGAATCATTAATGAAGCGCCTCAAGGCAGGCGGCAGGTCTAGCATTACATTCCCGTCGGGTATCAAGCTGTATCAAGGCGTGGACAAAGCAAAGCAATAATTATAAAACACCGCGTCTTCTCAGCGAGAGTCAATATTTGTCAACCAAAACCAAATATCATTCCGAATAAATCCTTCCATCCTCTCTTCACTACGATCTGCGATCCTGCGCCATATTCGTTAGCTAGCCACTCTAGATAATGGGCATCAAGAGAGCTGAGAGGGCCAAGCTCAAACGACACCATATCTTTTGGGGTAATGTAGATGATCGAAGTCTCTGGTGTGCCGGACGCGACAGAGGGTAGTAGCTCAACGAGGCGAGAGAGTTGGAAGCTAGTGTTGGCGTGGAATGTTTGAAGTAACGCGAGCGTGGTCAAAATCTGACGATCGCGTCGTTCGCTGGTTTCTGGATCTGCGTCATTACCATTGCTACACAACTGTGGCATAGATCCCGTAGCAGCGGAAGATGACGAAGTCTGACGACGGTCAGCACCAGTATTTCCGGTTGGCCAAATCATGCCGCTGGACCTCCTCATCCCCTTCGAGTTTGGGCTTCCACCAGGACACCCTTCAATCCCCATACCCAGGTTACGCACAAATGTACCGTCAACGGTAAGGTCGTCGTCACCTTCTAATCTGATGCTGCCCCAGTTGGCGAGGGATCCGTTGCCGGTAGAATAGGACGCAACCGAATTGCCACGCCAGGACCCCATCCAGAGCCCAGCACATACAATACATACGTCTTCATATATTCTCCAAGGATCTGCCCACGAAGATGAGGGTTTATTTCTGGCATCGGTATCGGATGAGGGGCGGCAGCATGGTTGTGCACAATGATCGCCGTCCAGCTGCAGAATGCGTTCAAGCTCATTCCACTGTCAAGTGCGTTTAACACGTATACGGAAACATGGTTGTAAATCATATGCACCAGTCTTATATCACTCCAAGTGAAACGAAAGACAGATAAACGATGAGTGGGCCCTTTGGAACCGGGTTGCTGCGGCTGGGGTTTTGACAGGTACAAGGTTGGTCGTGAAGTTTTGGAGGGTGTAGACGTCGTCAGATCAATCAGAAGGTCGTAGTGGGAGGGTTTGTCCATGAAAATGGCATCAGTTGTGCCTTTCAAACAAGGATAAGGGGCACGCCGACAACAATATTGCTATCACTTACAGGCAACCCAACCTCGACCGGTTTTACCCTCGCGATCCATCTTGTCAAGGTCGTTGAGAGTAACCATGCCAAGCACATGTATACCCTCTTGGGTTTTGCCTTTAAGCCTCGTATAATGCTGCGTCGCCGGGTCATTTTCGTTGATGTCATGAGTTGATGGGTCAAGTTGGGCTGCGTAGCAGATATCTGCAGCCACTTGGCACAGTATGCACGCGGCTTCAACTGGCGGGAGGGTATATATAAGTATCCTCTGGCGCCCAAGGACATGCTTGTACAGTGTCAATGCCGAAGGCCCTAGTATGCGCAACAAGTGTGAGAGGTGCATAGTGGGGTTAAACCGAGACAATTCTGAATCCGGCTGTATATTGGTGTCAGCCAAAAATAAAAGGAGACCCATGCTGCATCGCACATTATCAAGTTCGTGGCTCCAACCGTGCCATTCACCAGCACCACTGAGATCTGCTCTTCTAACCTTGCGTTCTTCGAAGAAAACACGAGCAGGTTCCCAATCACTGTCAGATGGCTCTAAAATACCTCTAGTTTCTAGTGAGAGATAGAGAGAATCGGCTAAAGCACGAAGGGCAGCGACATGCCGCCACGGACGAGGCCGGGCAGATTTGGCTAATAGAATTCCAAGAGAAGTCAGCCGAAACCCGCGGTGGCCTTGTTCAGCGGTCCTCCGCCGACGGAAAACACATACCCCAGAATGGGTATCCTTCGTGAAGTAGCTATTGAACGCTGATAAGTAGAACTGTGATATGGGTGCAGGGCACATACACCACATCCTGGTCTACAAGGTGGAGTCCACTAGGGAGGGTGCTGAATTCAACACCATCGAGCTCAAGGTCTGAAGCACGTTCAAGTCGCTAGCCGATATGAAAATTGCTCACAAACCATCGCTGGCCTTCAAACACCAGTCCACTAGATTACCCTTCGTTGGGTGGAACGAAGCGTGGAAGATAGCAACTGAACAGCCAGACATCAGTTGTACTCTTAAGTTCAACGTTGAGCTCAAAAACAGACCTATATCCTGAGGCGCTCTTCCTCTTGAGTCGATGGCATCGATGGACATGGTTGCAGCCGCATGCACAAGGCTGCCGCAGGCAGCAACTGTTTTAGAGTGTCACACAAAGTCACGGGCAAAGGAGGATCGGTCACACTCCTGTCACGCTCAATTCCTCCGCGATGGCTTCAACTGCATCGCAGCCTCAACAAATTAATGTTGCTGATCTTGACCTCCAGCAATTATCTGATGTGCGCCGCCAGCTAGATGAGGTACCCCAATGATATTGTCGTTTTCTACATCTCTGATCGCGTTGTAGGAGCTGAACCACCTCACGAACTCATTCGCTCAACTGAAGCAGGCGCAGGCCAAGTTCAAGTCATGCATCGAGAATGTCGGAGAAGTTAAACCTCAAAACAAAGGTATGTCGATATTTCCATCTTTAAGCTCTTGTTTGATTGTATGCGTGCAGGAACGACTATCCTCGTTCCTTTGACCAACTCCCTTTATGTTCCCGGTCACCTGAGTGATGCAGAGAACGTGATCGTCGACGTTGGCACGGGGTACTACGTGAAGAAGGCATGTACAAGGTCTTGTGTTGCAGTTCGCTACTGATAAGACAGCCATACACAGTCTCGAGCCCAAGCAACAAAATATTATGAAACAAAAGTGGAATATATTCGCACCAATCTCGATACACTACAAGAAACGATACAGAAGAAACAGGAGAATATGAACTACCTCGTTAATGTAATGCAAGCTAAACTACAGCAGCCCCAGACACAGCCCTCCAAAGTCTGAACTTTCGCGTCGAGGCAAGATTAGATTTGCACACGGCCCTCCCCTACTGATTTCTCCCCTATAACAGGATTGTTAGTTGTAAAGATACTGAATACACAACCTTAGCTCTTCACCGTGCATAATCTTCTCGACCAACCGCCTTGTCCAGATATACATATCGTTGACTTCTAGAAGCTCATTGGACATCGTCTAGTGGAAAGGCAGCCGTACGAATGAGTGGGAAGTGACTGCACATTCGTCGTTGCACGTCTATGATTAGAACACGACGATCAATGTGATTTTGCATCCACACCGATTATCAAGTTTTACGGCTAGCGAAAGCGACATCAGTTGCTAGTGTTGAAACGCATTACCGGTATCATGTCTTATTGAGTTCTGTTTCTGGTCTGAATAAATCGATTGTTTAGGGTCAAGCACAACTTTGCCAGTGACTGTCCGGTTACGTGGAACTGCCTGCCAGGCAGGTGCCGCAAGTCTTAGCATCGCACGCCACTTTGTCTGCATGCTACCAGTTGGCAGATAGGCGTCCATCAAGTCAGGATCGAGACATCGAATTATTGAGTGTTGATGCTCACATTGATGCACCTCGTCCACCTGTAAGCTTGCTCACTCGCACTGCCCATCCGTCCAACCCTAGCAAGCAAACACTTGTGATGATAAAAAAAGGAACTCATGACTCGAATGTTTCGTGCCTTATTAACTATCGACTGAACCTCCGAAGCATGTCCCTGCCTACAGTCCTTAACTCCTTCACCTTCGTAGCAACGGCAACCTCCTCTCCCTGCTCTAAACTTCGCCTCTCAAGTGTTTCCAGAACATCATTCACATCTTCGATTAACTGCTCGAGATCATTGTGTGAAGCAATATGCATATACTCATTTGTGCGTTCCACAAGAATAGGGAGGAATTCTAAACAGTGTGTCGTAGATTCTAGAAAAAGCGAGATATCATACCGTTCTCATCATGTCCCACCACTGTTGCTGTGTGATAGTTCCGAGTGATGTAACCGATACCTTTTCAGATGTTATTCGGAGGAAGATACCACCTAGGTAAAAGGCATGTGGTTGGTATGGTTCGCAGCACTTGTCAACCATGCCACTGTATCGATCTATATGGCCATCCCCAAACAAATGGGAGTGCCTCACCAGGGCAAAGACCAGTTCCGAGGTAACACAAGTCTCGGTCATCATCGAAGAAGCAGTCTAAACTACAATCGGCGGGCGTTGCACCTGGTCGCGGACAAAAAAACCGCAGTCAGGACAGCAGGGGAGAACTTGGTCAAAACCATGTCCTGTAACCTCGTATCATCAATGGATCGAGGGCAAGAATCCCCGCAAACTGTGGGCAGCGCGAAAGGCAGAGTGACGTAAACGGGGAGGCATGCTGCTGCCATTCATGCAAGCGATGAGCTTATCGATGATTAAATATTGTTTGGCGAGACCGAGGCCTTGCACGCCACATAGCAGCAAAAGGATGTCACCCGCCATCTCGTCGTCATCGGAATCAATGGAATCGAGGAAGTCCACGAACCAGTTTCCTGCTCACTAAATGCGCTACAACCTATTGCACTCACTGAGACGATATGAGCGTGCTCGACATTGCGACTGAGTGGAACTTACGCAGCTAAACTATCGTTGGGTGCATTATCGAAAGTACTTTCCTGTACGTGAGGTTCTGGTGGCTGGGGTGGCCCAAAGTTCAAGCTTCAATCCATGTAAGGTGGGCGCAAAAGCATCGGGGCAGAAACGCTCACATTCCCGATGATAGCTTCACTACCGATGGCCCAGAATTTTCCTCATCGCTGTATCGCTGTACATGGGGCACGGTTCGTAGGGTACCATTTTCCGGGGGAGGCTGCTCAGTGCTCATGAAGATGGGCGCCGTCTGTGCTACGCTCTTTTGATAGTCTTCGGCTACGTTTCGAAGTGATCGATGCATTTGACATGAGTACGGCGTTAAATTAGAGGTGAAGCAAAGGATTGGGAAGAGTCTGAGGTGAGCGGACATAAATGAGTGGTGGTACCCTGGACCCTGAGCAGAATATAACGGAAACGATCTGCCTATATGATAGTGCACTGCCAGGCGCTACAAATAATACACATAGTAAGCACTATCCTTTATATCCTATCATTTGCGACCACTAAACTTGGTCCGTATATCCCTAGTAAGAGCACGAAGCATAGCGGATGTGACCACTGTGGAGTTGTCCTCGGGAGGTAAAGATGTGGTAGTGCTGATGGAGGGCGACGTGTAGGCAGGACTAGCGGTGCTCAATGGAGGACTTCCACGGTCGCTAGATTCATCAGAGGCGGATAATCTTCTCCGCTTAGCAGGTGTAGAAGACCTGCCGACGACAATCAGTCAAGTTAGGACAATTCGGTCGTTAACGACGCACCGGCTGGAAGCATTGACTGATGCAGTACGTTTAGATGACTGTCGCAGCTTGGCGGAACGAAGGGCATTGAGCTCATCCGAGTAAGAGCTCTGCTTAGCCGAGATTTTTGATGTCGCTTCTTCAAGACAAGTTTTCCGTATGAGGGTAGGGTTTGCGGCGCTGGGGCTCAAGTGTTGAGTGGACAGCTCCTGAGCAACGTCATATATATATTGAATGAAGGGTCTCGAGGGAAACTCTGAAGAGAACAAGTTTAGCTGCGCAGACAACCAATGTAAAGTTGACATACCTCGGTCAAGGGCCTGGTGTGATCTTAGGTCATCTGCGAGACGTTTACTTGCATCTTGCAACGATGGATTATCCATCCATTGCAAAACCGCATCAAACATTGAACTGTCGGGTGGTGAGTGACAGAAACGTTCAGGAAGGAAACATGACGCACTCTGAGTCTCTGGCGTATTGTAGCTTCAGGTTGGGCAGAACATCTCCAAAGATACTGCCATTCATCAGCTGAAGTGCAGCACCAGAGATGTTATTGAGGAGTTCTATACACAACTCCAGGAATCTCCCCAAAAAACCCCAGTCAACTGGGATCGTCGTCAGCACTGAACAAGCAGCAGCGCCGATATTTGCTTACATTCTCCATTGAATATGCATTGCTCTAATCGCTGGGAGGTAAACGTATGCCATATGGGTCTCCACTGTCTGAAGAGGTCTGTCCCGAAATAAGATGCCAAACTATGAAAGTATATCGTAAACTCTAACATACCAGGTACGGACATCCACCGAACCAGTTTGCCTTCAGCATCAAGTTTGAGTGATTCCAAGGCGGATTGAAACCTAGAGTCAAGGTCCGAAGCAGTGGATGTTAATGATATATCAACATGGGAAGACGATATTTCATCGTGAAGTATTGCAGCAATCTTCAAAATATTTCAGTAGCTACCCAATTTTCATAGCATTGGGCGTACCATATCATTAAAGTCGGCAGAAGAGTCGGGCTCCCCACCAGACCAAGATATCGTCAAGAGGGATGGAATAAAATGCCGATCAGGGGGCAATGACTCGATGATATCACGTAAACGTGAACAATCATCCAGCATTCGATATTTTCTACCATGCACAAGTTAGCAACCCGAAGCAAGAAACTCATCACAGCTAACCTTTCCAGAGGGTCTTCCACCTCGCCAACTGGGGTTCGCTCGAAAATGATGATACCCGGATATAGTGTTTTGCTGTTGTGTGGCTGCGGCGCCACTGGTATCTGGAATATATTGACGTCCTTCCAGCTGCCAGAGTCAGGCACATCAAATTTCAGTTCGAGCCAAATGGCAGTTCCATCATTATCCTGGTTCAAGGATAGCCAGGCAGACCAACTTTCGGGAATGGTGCGTGACGCCGCCTTTAGGTGTTGCCGCAGCGCATGGAGGAAAGATCCACGAGCCCAGCGCCGTTCGTTTTCTTCACGATTCTAAAACCAGAAGGCATTCAAAGGTGCGACACGCTTGATACGGACGATGTGCTGACCTTTTCGAACCGCTTTACAAGTTCGTCATCACTGGCCGGTGGGCGATATTCGCTGGACAAGCGGTTTCTGAGCCGCTTCCTAACAGGGCTGGGTCGTTCTGGTGAAACCACTTTCCGCTTGTTCTCCTGCGGCAATGAGCTGGTACTCTTCGAAAGCCGCTCCGTGTGTACAAGCTGACTATAAGCCTCGCTTCGCCGACAAGCCTCTTTCCACTTGGTACGACCAGCCGTTCGTTCCATCCATTCATGAAAAACCTCCTTAATGAGCAAGCTCCTTCGAGCAAATGCGAAAGCTTTGGATTCGAGTGTTTCTTGTGATAGTTTGCTGGTGGACGAAGAAATCAATGCCTTGCCGTTGAGTGGGCTTTCCAATTTAGTCGAAACTGCTTCAAGATCGGCAGCGGTGATTCCTATACGCAAGGGAGTCTGTACGGAATCACGTCGCTGTAGGCTGGCCATAGAACTAAGTGTTGATTTTGTCCCGGGCGACGAAAGTACCAGTGGGCTCAGAATTTCAGTAGGGGAAGCGGTGAGTGAGATAGGTTGGAGTTTTTTGAGAGATCCAAAAACGGACTTGGTGGATGAGCCAGAGATGGCCGAAGGAATATACATCGTCGCAGTGGGCGTTGGCGGTAAAGATATTGGTTGATGTCTACTCAAAGGCGGCGGTTGAGAAGGTGGAGTTTCATGTAGGCCACCGAAGGAACCATGGGGAACGCCAAAAATTGGCTGTGAAGTGACTGGAGAGGGAGGAACTGGAGGTTGGTACGACGGTATAGGTTGTGTGACAATTGGAGAAAGCAATGGAGTAAATATTGGTGCATGACGGTTGAGAGGAGATGGTGATTGTATAGATGATGTAGCGTTGTTGACCTCGGGTACGGAAGGGAGTTCGGGGGAAGGGGGCAATGGTTTGCTGAAGGTAGAGGGAGGGGGTGCCGGAGGCACTGTGAATGAAACCTGAACCTCGTTCTCGCTGGGTGCTGTCGGGGTTGGAGATGGGACAAGCGGAGGCTGACCAAAAACTGGAGGTTGTGCTAAGTTGAAGATGTAGTCAATAAAAAAGAAATCGGAAACAGGCTGCCCACAAACCCGAAGTGGGTGCTTGGCTAAAGACAGAGGTCCGAGTGGAAGAGGGTCCAAACACTGATGTAGGGGCGGGTGCTGAGCCAAAACCAAACTCGTTTGTTGAGCCGAATGTTGACGTTTGGAATGTCGTCGTCCCGAATATATTGGGAACAGATGTCAAATGTGAAAACGCAGACTTTGGCGATTGTGGTGCAGGTTGAGAAGAAGCGGTCGAGAATGCTGATTCAGTGGGCTTCGGACCAAATGTCTCATTCAGCCACAGGGTCCCGCTTCGCTGCAGAGGCTTCGGGGAAGATTGTGGCACATCAACCAAGTCAGCCTCGAAGGGTGGTTCCTCTTCCTCGTGCATAGCGTCTGGTTCTTCCACAATAGCGTCATGGTGTTCGTCTACAGCAGCAGAGTTTCCATCAATGATATCCGGAATGGTGAGATTTTCCCTCAGGCTTTCAATATCGTCGACAGTGTCAGTGCCAAATAGGTGCTCTATGATGCATGCGACCAGATAGATCATGGCGTAGTTTCCTTCCCCCTGAAGCACTATAATCAATTCATTGAAGACGCTCAGGGCCTCGTTATCAACCAAAAGAGGAGTGCTTCTGCCGATGGGGGCACTTTTCGCCTGTACGAGGAGCCGGAATTTGGTCGTAAGCTTGAATACCGGATGCTCCAGGATCATGGAAGGGATATCCTCCTGTCGCTCTTTTTGATCACGAATGTGGATCAGACGATGATAGACTCGCATTTCGAGCTCTGTCGGTGATTGGTATTTTCCACGCTGGTCTTCGTAAAACTCCTTTAGACTTTGGAGAGCTGCGAGCACGATGTTCATAAAGAAGGTTCGTCAGGTGGCGAGTCAACGCACTGTACTTCAGCTGCTGCTCCTCCAGACTGATCTGGGATCCGGGTCGGTCGCGCTCCAGGTGAAGACCAAGGATGTGGAACCGTGCACATCTATCATGGCACTCGATCGCGATGGAACCCATTTCGTGCTGCATTGTGAAGTCACTTCGCACAGCACGCGAACGATCACGAATGAAATTGAAGGTCGCAGAAAAACCGCCCCGAGGAAGCAGGTCGTGGAAAAGATAGTCGAGTGTGCGCTACCATAAGTCGCATTCAATACGGACGTATATAGTAACATCTTAGAGCAACGTACTCGAAGAACTTTGGGAGGACGAAGGTCGGAGGGTAGCGTCTTGTCACCAGCTGCCCGTTCATACATTTTGACAGCCCTCTTGTGATCAACGCGTTTGGTTCCTGGAACCTAACGAGTAATCAGCGCACATATCTGGAACGCTTACGAATTAGATGTCCTCATACAATTTCCCACTCAAAGAGGTTGTTCTCGCGTTCGCGACGGTAGCGTTCGAATTTTGGGCACATATCCATGCATGTGCCAACCATTGTGATAGCATCTTCTAGTCGTTTTGGCACATTGGGATCGTCCATTTTGCCCTCCGCAATAGCTGTCTTGCGCTCGACTTCGCGCACTTTCACAAGCTGCAGACTCGAGTGAAGGTGATACAAACGGAATGAGACATACGACTCACCTCTTTCCAGAATCGTTCTCTTTCCTCAAGAGTCTCTGGCTCTTGGTGTTCGACTTCATCTACGTCAGTGGCATCCTCCATTTCGCTATTGTCCCCTTCACTAGCAGGAGCTGAGCCAGTATCTAGAGCGCCTCCTTGACGGAAATTCATTGTAGAATGAGGAAATTTGCCACGTGTGCCTCTTCCTCGACCTCTGCTTCCTCTATGCCCTCCACGCTCCCATCGCTCAGTGTCTGAGCCTCCATGAGGTGTGCTACTTCTGCTGGTGGCACTGTCCGCAACCCATTGTTTGTTTTTATGGTGCGCTCTTCGTCCCGCTCCAGCACTGTCATGGTGAGTACCACCGTTTGCGCGTCCTCTGTGGGTCCGGAAGTGAGTGGTGGGCTCCATGTTGCCGACTGCACTAGTGGTCACAGTCGGTCTTGAATGAGTATCACACCTTGTTCGTTTGACTGATTAACCGGTGTTTGATGCTGTTTATTTCCAAAGGCTTTGAACAATAGAGTCAAACAAAGAGTCTCGGTAAGCGGGGATCGAGAACCCAAGTCGTCATTTACACCATGTCTGATGCTGTAGGGACGTGTTGTGCGCTCGGACTCACTGCATGCTGCGACGTTTTGGCGGGGATATGTATTGACTTCATGTCAATGCGTAAGCACTACGATTTTATGAGCGTCGTTTAATACAATTCTTCACTGGCAGGACATCCATGCACAGAGCATCTCTGTAGCTGCTGCTCATGCAGCAAGGCCATTGACGACACCATACTTGACGTCGAAAGGGAACCTCTCATCTGCGAGGACAGACAGCCCAGTCCCCATCCACCGATGCAAAGTACTGAATCCTCGTGATGATAGGCGCGCTCACTCGTTGGTACTGTACCACAGCTGGTAGGTGGTGTCCTACCTCGGACATAGACAAAACTTAAACTGTGACCATTCTCAGATATACCCTTATGTTGTATCATCACTATATTCATACCGCAGGAATGATTACTTCCTGGACAACTACCACAGGTTTAATAGGCACATAGATGAAGAATATTTATCGAACAAAACGAATGTGACTACCGCAGGAATTATAACTTCCTGGACAACTACCACAGGTATACTAATAGACACATAAATGAAGAATATTTATCGAACAAAACGAGTGTAACTTCAACGACAAATATATACGACGACAATATCTAGCAGGTCCACTTAAATAACAATCGAACCAAGTCCAATCAGAAAACACAGCCAAAAGAATGTTTCAAAAGAAGGAAAATGAAAACGAACGTGGTTGGTTTAGACACCTGGGGTAGTGAAGTCAGGGTAAGCAGGCCAGTTGCCCAGCTGTCCAGGGTCGCCTCCGATGCGGACCCAAGCAGAGTGCGATGGCGTCGGACCATCCAAAATGAACAGCTGGTGCCATCCTGGTGGACACACATACGCATTCGGCGGCGCCGTGATGGTACAGGTGGTCCCAGAGCACGAAAACTCAGGGAAGATGACCCTCCCACCGCTCATGACGTTTCCGTGCGTGCTAGACGAAGCTATATTTCATAGTCAAAAATCGATCGATCGATCGATCGATAATCTAGAATTGCTTACCCGCCACGAGTGAGACGCGCATGGTGCTCGTCGTTCCCTGGAACAAAGTCACCGAAATACTGTACTGTCCACCCAACGCCCAGTCAGTCTCAGTGATAGTGAACTCCGGTTGTGTGAGTCCTTCATTGAGGTAAGGCGGAATATAAACCTCAATGCGCATCTCCTCTGGGTACACAAAGGACCCGTTGGGATAGTACGTCTGGGGGTCTGAACCAGACACCAGAACACGCCCATCAGGCAAAAGGGTCGCTTCGGAGTGATACAAGCGAGCTACAATGGTATTGTTGAGGATGGAGATGCGTTGACCAATCGGCTGTGAAGGGTCGTAAAGAATTGCGCTAAGATTAGGGTCTGTCGCAAGGCCGAAGCCAGCAACGCCTTGATGTGCGCCGTTCAGGATCATATACGTCCCATCTGTAATCGACACCGGTATAATTAAAAACTAGACTTCTGTCATTGGTAATCATATTTACCTGGCAGGGTCGTGATGCAGGGCATGACCCGTTTCGAAGGCTGAAGGTGGCACAGCTTAGCATCAAACCTTAACATCCCCAAAATTAAATTAGCTCACCATACGTTCCAGTGTCCACGTCGGATTTTCTACTTCGGGTGCAATAGTGATACAGTTGTCCAACGCAATGGCGGCTCCGATCGTCGAACCACCGCAGATGAGAATCTCGATCGGATCCGTATATGGTGCGTGCTGCGGCAAAAGAACCGCAGACCCTTCCATCGGATACGTTCGGCCTGCGAGGAAGTTGTTGACGGCACCCGGCATATTTGGCAGGACCGTCACCGTGTCAAAGGTGACAGGATCGAGGACACGAGCCTCGTTGTAGTAGCCTTGTTACATTCCGTAAGACATAGTGCATCTTAACATAATGACACCTACCAATGAAAAATCGGCCACTTGGCAACACCAAGAGGAATGGGTAAAGATTGTTGGGGTCTGTCCGCTGGAGGTAATCCAACGTAATGACTGTATCGCCACCAGGGGGCTTTGGAAGGATCTCGAGACTGGGCTGCGGGGAAGCATTGCTTCCAGACTCTCCACCAACGACCAAAATACTTCCATTTGGCATCATCATCGCGGTAGGATACCATCGGCCACGCTGAACACGGGTCAGTACAACGAGCCTTGCACCAATAGTTCAACAACAGACCTGGAGTGTGAGCTCTTCAACATTTTCTTCCCAGTCATTGGTACCATTGACACCAGCGCTCCCATCCGGTGTATACAACCTCACACCAAAAGTCGACGCAAGCGACCATCCACCCACATTAATTTGCCTGAATGTTCCAATGTAAGCGAGAGCATGAGACGTCATAAAACACGACCGACCTTCCTCCCTTGTCTGGCAGAACAATACTACCCGAACAGAACACGTCCGTCTTCAAATGCATCTCGCGCCAAGCCAGTTCGTAATTGTCCACCAAACTGAGATCCAACTCGTACGCGCCGGTAGAATTAGCGTACTCCGAAGTACCGGCCTTCTCGAGGAAAGTGACCTTGTTGTTGATGCCCACAGTAGCGATGAGAGGGACGACGAGACCGCCTATGAAGAACTGCGTAGACTATGAGCATTTTGTGCATTCGTGACAAGACGGGACACACCTCATAGTAGCCAGTATTCGCAGGGGTTTTCCACGAGTTCATCGTCCCATTATAGTAGTAGGTAGACAACCTGCTTAGTCCACCGCAATAGTGGAGTGGGTCTCCCGAGCAAGCGATGTTACACTGCGAATCCGAGACATACTGCCCACTAACTGCTGTGATATCACTGATGTCGCCACAGACTTGTCTCTATCAGCAGTCTGCAAAGTATAATGAATCAAGGCGCTTACAACACTGAGCTCCGTATTCAAGGGCAGCTACGGGATATCCGAAGGCAGCGCATTGGGTTATGCACGAATCGACAGTATTGTTTGTGGTCCATTCATTTTCATAAGGGAATGTCTGAGCGCCAATGGCTGGTTCTCTGTAAGGTAATATTAGTACCGAGTGCGTAGGCGATGAAGAATCACCAACGCCAAACAGCCCTGATACACCCATTCTGCTGGTAAGTTTGTAGTCTGCGCCACAGGAACAGGGAGTAATGTAATATTTCCGGTAGAGCTGTAAACAGACAATCGGTTTGGACCACCGCACGCCTCACTAGCCCACATCAGGAACATAAAACGGGCCAATTGAAGAAAACACGTACGTCGCATTTCCACCACAAGCCATGTTGCAGTCACTGTCGGCAGCCGCCTTCGTTGCCCCATCGATGAGATAATCACCACAGACTAGAGGCAAGAGTCAACAGGGTGAAGAAGAAAATATAAACTACTTACAGCATTGCGTGCTGTACTCGATGCCTGCAATGGTAAAGTTTTGCCCGGCACAGTTCGCGATACAACTCTCCACTGTGGTAGTAGTGCTGTCAAGTTCATTCCCCAATACACGCCCATTTGTGTTGTCAACGTAACATCCTCCATACGTCCAGTTGCCGGTTAAGCCAGAGGTCACAGGCGAAACAGCGCTGGGATTGCCAGCGGGATTAGTTACCGGGGTTATCGTAATAGGCTGGGTGTAGTTGTACATGCTGAGCCGGTTCGGCCCTCCACAATACTCGGACGAATTTCCCGCGCATGTCATATCGCAGTCCCCATTTGGGGTGGGACCAGAATTGTTCTCGATGGTCAAGCCACAGTCTGCAAAGACTTGTCAGCGAGAGAGGCATTTGATAAAAATTCATGCGCACAGCATTCATCAGCGTATTCCATGCCGGCATGCGGGTATCCAGCGTTGTAACATGCAGTGGTGCATGATTCGACAGTAACGCTTCCGGTTACGCCAGTGCCGTATGGCAAGGCTCGTGTCGCCGAGTCGCTGGTACAAAACAGGGTTAGCTTATGCTTCGTGCGGGTTGTACAGGAACGTACTTGTAACATCCGAGCAACGTCCAGTTCCCAACACTAGGGACCAGGACGGGTGGAGGAGGAGGCTGGGCCCCACTCCAGAATATATCGAGTCTGTTTCCAGCACCGCAGAATTCTGCAGCGTTACCAGTACAGGGCATGTTACAGTCAGAGGAGCTGACATTGGTGTCGCCAGAGGCGAAGTAGTTGCCGCAGTCTATGTGAAGTATGCGATGAAGAACCAATAGACATCAGCGTGAAATAATACGTACAACATTCCTGAGCATATTCGACACCTGCATAGATGTAGGCGTTGGAGCCAGTCGAACAGAAGTTGATGCATGACTCGACAGTCATACCCACAGTGTCAGTGTAGGCAGCTGCAGAGAGTGTTCTTACACCACCAACACCATCGCTGGACAACGCCGGTCATCAAAAATTGCATCATCGTGAAAGTATATACTCACGTCCAACATCCAAGCGCAGTCCAGGTTGTGTCGCGTCGATGAAGATGGTGCGAAGGGAAGCGGTATGCATATGTGATCTGCGGAGAAGAGAGATCAGTGACTCGGTAATTCAAGCAGCATAAGGTCGTACTACTGTGAGGGAGGATATGATACTAATCAACGAGAAGGTGGTAAGACCCGCCATCTCGTCTTGATTAACATCTACTGTCGAATGCTGCATTTATACATGTCAGAAGCGCTTTGGACTTTGCCTGCCTACCATCATTTGTGGTAATCGGTGTTCTGGAGACAGTCGGTAGAAGCTGTCAGGAAGAACAAGGGACAGCAAGGCACTTGGACCCGTTGCCCGGGGTGGATCTTGTGGCCAGCAGCCAAGAAATCAGGTCACATCATTCAAACCGGGTGGGTTTGTTAATATCGGAGATTACGTGTCCCTGAAAATGGAAGATGGAAGGTTTATGATGAGCATCGAGAAGCAAATGATGACTCTGTTCGGAGTAATAGATGGTTAAACCAATGAGAAGCCGTTTGAAACCATGCAAATGATTACGACGCAGCGCATGCACGGAGTATACTGGGTCAGTCACGGGTGGAGTAGATACTTAGGACGTCCCTTGCAAAGTGGCGCCTTGGGTTCAGGAGCAGTGGGTCTGGACTTGCTGTCAAATAGACTCTATTTTTGAGGGGAAGATCGCCCTTGTTTCCAGTACCCAAGTGCATACTTACCGCTATCTCCACGTTGAAATGCGAATAGTACATCAACAGGCACGCGATCACGAGGTTTGGGCGCTCGGGCATGAAGTCAGAAAGACATAATTGGTATTGTTCGAGATGAAGACATCAAGAATAAGTCTCGGACACACGGGTCTGACAAGACTGTGAATGATGTACTAGATTGCGCGTAGGGTGGGCCTAGATAGCCACGTACCTTAGGATGGGATCAAATGGAGATGAATGGTTGACATCTGACCGCGGTGATGTCGGGAATGGGGAAGAGCAACGCAACTGTCTGCTAGCTGTTCGGTCAACGGTGGCGTTACCCTGGGGTATGGGTGTGCACCGGTTGGACAAAGCTTGATTGCTCGCGGAGGCTTAGTAAGCGTTAGATAGTTAACAGAAACTTTGATTTTTGAGCGGATGACCCCCTTGGTTTTGGTTGATCTGAGCCGCTCTTGATAAAATTCATTGAAATTTCAAGTGAAAAAGTAAGACATTAGGTTACTGACTGGGATAGTCAGTAAGGGTAGAAATAGGAAAGACATACGTTTTTGGTGTTGTCGCGGGAAATGGCCAAATAGGCTTTCTGATCACTTCCAACCCAACCCCGCCGCAAACCTAAGAACATCTCCGAGCAAGGTATGAACTTTAAAGGTTTTGGTTCAATCAACTTCGAATCAACTTCTCACTTTGTCTCCCACCATGTCTTCCACAGACTTCACAAATATTATCAAATGTCTGCAAATCAGCAGATCTCTCCAAATCCCAATCCTACTCCTACAAATCAATCATCTTCAACTTCAGCTTGGACAGAGCCTCCTTGGTCAGGTTGGATAGAAACTACAGGAGATGCTCTTCTCATCCTCGAGGCCGCTCGTCGTGGTTTAATTCCAAGAGTAACTAGGCGTCTAGTCGATTCAGAGCGCAAGATGATAACCTCAGGCTCAGTCTTTGTCTTCGATGAGGACGAGAGTGGCATTAAGCGCTGGACCGACGGTTTCTTCTGGAGTCCAAGTCGTATACTAGGCAACTTTCTTCTTTATCGTGAAACCGACAAGCGTGGCGCAGGTCATCGAGGCGTTCGCTCAGACCCTGCCGAAATGAACGAACATTCTCAGTACAACGTGGATGGCGTTCGCCTCGAGGGTCAAACTTTGAGTCGTCCCAAAGGCGAGTCTAGCTCCCTGGGCATCGATAAACACAGGGAACGTGTTCTCGTCGGCAGTCTCACTAATAGCTACAAATTTAAGTCTGACGGCCTCATGAAGAAGGTCTGCTCCTTCCCCGTCCTCCTCCTATACCCTCTTTCTCACGCTTCAAATCAGACCTTTTCATTGACAATCGGTGGTGTATCACAGCATCTCATATCTTATTACAAGGTCGAGGATGTAGAGCAAGGGCGCTTACGCTCCCCTTCATCACTTCCCGAACTTGCATCTTTGGATATCAGTCCAGAATACCTCGACAAAACTCATTTCCGTAACCCTCCCAAAGTAGAGATTGGTGTAGATGGTGTCCCTCGTTACCGTGGAGAGGCAGATGATATCGAATCAGCCCCTTCCATGATCACTGCTCCCCTCTCCTCTGGACTTCCTCTCCTTACCGACGGTCGCATCTCCGACGGCAAACGTGGGGGGCGCTACAACCCGTACGCCACCGGCAGTGGCAAACGCTCTCGCAAATCCAAGAGTTCTCAGCCAGAGTCCACATCTCCGACGGATCAACATCCACCCCCTCTGCCATCCCCATCGACTCCTACTGCATCCCAAGCTCCGCCTCCGCCTCCATACCCTGACCAACCAGTCTCCGGTCTCCCTCCTCAACCTCATTATTCTGCGTACCCAACCCCTTCTTACTATGGCGTTCCAGGTTATTCCACTTCCCACTCCAGTTCCCATTCCACTGCCCATTCCGCTGCCCATCCCCCCTACTCGGGTTCGTCGTACCCCACACCGTCCCCGACAACTCCTCACCAGCCATCACCAGCGCCATCCCAGCCGTACCCGTACCCTGGGTATGGCGGAGCATCAGCCAGCGCTGACACGCAGCAGACTTTGATTCCTCATCACCCACCTGCCTCGGTGCCCCAAAACAACTATTATCAGTACTACCCGCCGCCGGCCTCACAACCTTCCTATGGTAGCTACCCCCCAAGCAGTACCTGGCCGGCACCAACGTACGCTAGCTACTCTTCCCCACCATCAGGCTCATCCAACGTACCGCCGCTTTCCGCCAGTATATCTGAGCTACCGGACAAACCCTCGGAAGGCCGCGCGGCACCAGAGGCCGGCTCCAATAGCCCTGCATGAGGTTCTCCTCGTTCGGCTAGATTGTATTCTCTACGTCCCTCGTCTTCTCCCCGCCTCCGGTCTTCTTTCATTGTGTTATCATACTCGGCCGAGTATTTTGTCTCCATAGGTCCATTTCCCATTCTCATTTCCGTTTCCGTTACTGCTTCTGTTTCTTTTCCCTCTTCGTTCACTTCGTTCTTCGGGGATTGATTATAACTAGTATTCCGTATCGGCCCTTCGCTTGTCTATATGTACGACTGCAAGTGTGTCCGTGGTTAGTTTTAGCGTTAGCGCGACTCTGGTCGATATGGCCCTTACCTATGCGCTCATCTTTCATATTATAATCCTCATGCTGGCGTTCGTCTTCATTTGATAAGTACTGTACTACCTACTTACCTTGTGCTGTGGGTTACATATGGAATACAGCATGCATACCAGTATCCCTAACTTATGTCCGCAAAGGCGCCCCGGACTTCCGAACCTCTGATGGAAAACGTCCTTCGTATCAATGAAATTCATGGGAACCCACACATGCCATCTTCAATTTCGAATAGGCGTCATCATGACAGATTTTCTTGCAGGCACTTCCAACCGGGTCACCGAACTTCCGAAGGGCCTCCGACGTTCTTTCACGCTGATTCCACGTACGGCAACAGTTTCCACAATCATTTGCATGGAAGTTCAAGCTGCCACCGAATCCCCCTCCGCTACGTGGGAGTCGCAAATCGTCGTCATGTGCTTCCGCTTGGTGAGAATAGTCGGAGTATATGTATTATATTGCATGGTTTACATATGTCAGAGAGAGATAGTACAGACACGTATACAGCCAGCGCAGATCTAGAAATAAACCGGTCATCCAAACGGTGTCACGGAGATAAACCAAACCACAGACGATATCATGTCATGTGAATGGGAAACTGTCCTCTACAGGAGATCGGGGAGCAAAATCTTCATCGTTCTGAAAGATAAATCATGAGCCTAGATTAATAGAAGGAATGAGCAAGGCTTCAGTGACGTACGTCCTCCCACACTGGATCTTCGACTCCGTCTTCATCAAGAGGCTGCCATGGTGTCGTACAATCAGGCCACCTAAGCGAATGTCAGGATCGGTCTCATAAGTGGAAACCAGTAACTCACAAATCATCTTCTGTTTCCTCTTCCACTTCCCCGCGAAATAATCGCCGTATAAGATTATTTTGTCGGTTCAGGGTGTACAGTGGCGTGAAGCGGTATTGTCCAGCCTTGTCAAACGCTTTTCGGAGGAATGCTGCTTGAGCATCAGTCCACCAATCCACGGAAGCTGTTGCGCCAGCAGTCAGGCCTCCTGCAGCTAGAATCGGTGCGCTGGTGGTAAGCCCCACTGCTATTCTCTCTCCGGCTGCGTCAGACCATCAGCATGATGTCATCAATGAAACAAAAGACGCACACTTGTTAGACATATAGATAAAATATCCTGGGCACGTGAACGTGCTGGTGACAAGGTATTTGTCATACAGCTCGGTTGCGTTGTGGACAAGATTCAGAACCTTGCCCGGTGGAATAAATTCCTGCTGGGGCTTGTGCATTATAAGGACGGCGCCTCGCTTGCCTTCCTGAAATTGAAACTCGGCCTTGACGGAGGTAGAGGCCAGGTTGAGGAATGAGCTGATCGATTAGTGCATGGTGAATGATAGCAAACAGAGGAAGGAGTGCATGCGCTCTCACACTTCTGGCTTCATCGACAAATCTCCCCGTTTGACGCCCGAAGATGTCAAGATGATGTCGTCGCCGAGTCCGCCTTTCTTAGGCTGACACAATACATCAGATAGGTCGATCTTCAAGCCTTGCTTGTTTAGTGACTCTTGGAACGCTTCTTCGTAGATATTCCCTTCCACGTCAAGCTCTCCAGATTCACTATCAATTTTCCCATAATCCCCCACCTGTGGACCTCGACGGTGAGACAAAATCTGCGCAACGATCACCAGAGCGCTTAAACTGACCTTAATTTTCGTTGGTGGATCCCAGTTTGCCCACTTGGACGACGCCCCGCGAATGAGATCGATGTACTTGCGAGAGGCCGCGGTGTCTCGCATTGTTTCGGGAAGGAGTGGAGGAAGGAATGTGGAGGTGGAGGTGGAGTTTAACGCACACGTAGAGGCTGTAGCCTAGGGGTTTCGAATCCTGTAACAGCGTGATTGTCACACCAATTAGTCCAAATTAGGTAGCTTAGTAATAGAAACAAAAACAAAGAATCGTGCCGTGCAAAGAGCAGAACTTGATAGCATGGCAAGGGAAGGTCTGAACTACGTCACTGTTGGAGGATCGCATCAAGAAGCATCATCTGCATTGGGGCAGATTAACATTGTCTTTGGGGTTGGGGACAACCACGCCCCTTCGTTTCGTTTTTCAATCTCCGTCCATACAGCACTTAAGTATTTCGTCTGCATCGTGTTTGCGTACCTCAGTCGTTGATCCACAACCACTGAGGTATGCGTCTCTGTTCTTCTTGCACCAAGCTTCGTACTTACAATACTCTACATTAGCGTGATTCCAACAGGTACATAGCAATAATAAGTCGTTGATCCACAACCACTGAGCGTGATTCCAACAGGTTATGAGCCCCGTGTTTTAAAACAGCACGGAAACCGGAAATCGCGAACTACTCGTGTTGAACGACTCAAATCGTTATTAGCTTTATCGCAAATTCTCTCTCTGGAGCGTCTATCCCACGATGGGAAAATATGACCACATCCCAGAGTTGACAGGCGCAGATAATTATATTCCCTGGGAGACGCAGGTGCAGCTCGTCCTAACGAACGATGATCTTTGGTGTCATGTCACCGAGACGGTAGATCCTGACGACATTCTTGGAACGGCCTCAGTCCTACCCGTTGCAGTCAATAAATCAGCACCAACCGATGCCGAGAAAACTGCTATACGCGCGTGGCTTATAAACGATTCCAAAGCGAAGACCATCATACTCTGTAAACTTGCGCCCAGTATTCATCTCCTCATTCCTCGTAACAACACAGTCACTGCACGTGAGTCTTGGAGAATCCTTAGGAATCACTTCCACCGCAACGATGTCAGCTCTCAGTTCGTCATTCGTCGACGCATACAGTCTCTCCGCATGAAGGACGCGAACGATGCCAGCAACTATGTGGGGCAACACATCAGTTGTCGCGACAGGCTCATTGGAATGGGCGCTGCTTATTCTGACGAAGAAGCCGTGTTCAATCTCTTGACTGGGCTTCCCACTTCTCCCTCGTGGCAGATATTCCGCACCCAACTAGAGCAGCGTATGCATGATAGCTTCTCCGCAACCGTCGTTAGCACATCAATCAGCAGTGGAGCACCCATTTCGGCCTCATTCCAAACCAATAGTCTCACCTTCGAAAGCTGCACGTCGCGCATCACCTCAGAAGCCACTCGCATGGTCAATTCTCATCCCACCGTCACATCAGGTCCTGGTTCGGAATATGCCAACAACGCGACCACGTCTACGTCCTCCGCTACCAACGTAAATCCCATTACCGGCCTGCGAAAGCACAAAAATAATCCCCAGGGCATCTTCTGCCTAACCACCGGGTGCGGACGTGGAGACCACGACAATGAGCATTGTTATCGAGAGGGAGGGGGAATGGCGGGACAAGCACCTTGGCAAAAGAAAAGGAAGGAGACTGCAGCGGTTGCTGCCGTCGTGCCACCTACTCCACCTGCATCATCAATCAGCTTACCACCAGTATCTGTTGCTGCACTTGCCACCACACTCTGCTCGCCTGAGATGACTGCCACACTCCGTCGCGATCTGTCCTGCGCCAGTATCGAGGAGATACCTGACGACATATCCGCCCACGTCCACGCATTATCCACCATTCTCGATTCAGGAACCACCAGCACCCTTATCAGTGATCGTGCTATGTTCTGGACCTATTCAACTCAGGATCCGGTGGTCGTGAAAACTGCGAATCACGGCTCTCTCCCTACCTCCGGTCGTGGAGATTGCGTGGCGTGGTTAAAGATTGGCGGTGAGCGTCATCGCGTGCGACTCTCAAACTGCCTTCATGCTCCTGGAGCCATGTTGAACTTGCTCTCCGTGGGATGGATGCTAGCAAAAGGTTGGGACTGTAACTTTCGTGGAGATCCGGCTCGGTGTGAGCTAGTATATCGAGGCACGGCATTGGGCGCACTCCCCATGTCAGGAAGGCTGTTCTACGTGGACCTAGAATTTATTCCACCACAACAAGACATCACTCCTCTCGTTCCCGAAATCTCAGCCTTCGCACGTGCTCAACTCACCTACGACATCTGGCACGCTCGTATGGGTCACACTGGTGGGGAATCAGTGCGCCGTCTTCCTCATATCGCACGCGGATTCACCTTGGACTCGAACGAAGCCATGTCTAGATGCGAGTCGTGCATCATCGGCAAACACCCACGCCAACCTCACCCCACTTCAGAGTCCCCTCCAGCCTCACGCTTCCTTGAATTAATTCACTCCGACATTTGCGGACCCATTCCCATCGAGACCCCCCATCATAAGAAATACTTCATAATCTTTCTCGACGATCACACTGGGATATTGGATCTCCAACTGCTGGCTACAAAGGATCAAGCGTTAGAAGCGTGGCGAACGGTGCGAGCGCGTTGGGAGAATCGTTCTGGTCTAAGGGTAGTTGCCTTCCGCACAGACAATGGAGGTGAATTCATGAGTGAGGCGTTCAACGCTGACCTTGCAGCGGCTGGGATCGAGCGTCAGCTCTCCGCGCCATACTCTCACCAACAGAATGGACGAGCCGAGCGCGTTATTCGCACTATCGAGGGGAGAATGTACGCAATGCTTAACTACGCACGTCTACCACGGAACTTGTGGGGAGAAGCGGCCCTCACAGCAGCATACCTATTCAATCGTACAGAGTCTCGCTCGCTGCCTGCCGGCAAAACACCCTACGAGATGCTCCACAAAGTCCAACCGGATCTCTCTCACATCCGTGTCTTTGGCGCACGATGCTTTGCGCGTATTCCAACAGAACTCCAAATGAAGTTAGGGCCGAAATCTCGAGAAGCCTACTTCATGGGCTATGCCCCCGGTGGTCGCGCCTGGCGCTGTAGAGATAAGTCAACTGGCACATTCTTTAACTCACGCGATGTGATCTTCGACGAGACGTTTTCGGGGCGACCATTTCCTTCTAACGATGACGACTCGGATGAGGATGAATCTGCGGTGGCTCCCGCATCCATTCCCTCCTCCATTCCCTCCTCTGTTCCATCTCAAACAACACTCATCCCTTCCACTATTGAACCTCGCCGCTCAGAACGAACTCGTCTGCCCACCGAACGTGGTCAACTCTTCAAAGACCAGCTAACGACCGATCGAGAACGTCTGGCAAGACAACGTGAAGTTCGTCAAGCGCGCATTCAAGGGGTGGCTATTGAGGGGGTGAATGCCGCACCTGACAAACTCGACCCCGACGCCATAGTACCTGATGAAGAAGAGGTAGGGTTTCCTCGAGCGCTCGCCGCCCTGATCGCCACCGAGTTCGCCGGGCTCTCCATCCGCAGTGACACACGCCGCAGTCCACTCACACCTGGTTACAACATGGGAATACCACCATCCACGTACGATGAAGCGATGCAAAGGTCTGATCGCGACCTATGGCTGGAAGCCATGCACAAGGAGATTAACCTTATGTCAGAGATGAATGTCTATGAGTTGGTGGACTTACCGGAAGGGAGAAGGGCGATAGGTTGTAGATGGGTCTTAGAGTTCAAAGAGGACGCGAAGGGTGGATCCGTGCATAAGGCACGACTCGTTGCGCAAGGGTTTTCACAGGTGCCAGGCGTGGATTTCGGGAAGACTTTCGCCCCCGTAGCAAGACCGACTTCGATTCGACTCCTCTCAGCATACGCGGCAGCTCACGATTGGGAACTCGACAGCTTTGACGCAAAACGCGCCTTCCTTTGGGGAAAACTTCGTGAGGACGTCTACATGCGTCAACCTCCCGGATTCGAACGCCTCGGCAAAAATGGAGCGCGCCTGGTCTGTCACCTGCTATCATCGCTTTACGGGCTGAAGCAAGCTGCGTTTGACTGGTATGAGCTGTTGAGAGCGGTTCTCGTCCACTTAGGGTTCATCCGCTGTGATGCTGACTATGCAGTCTTCGTCTTCGACCACGTCCAGCAAGGGGTGCGCGTGATCTGCATCATCGCGTGGCACGTCGACGACGGGCTCGCAGGCAGCAACAACCGAAAGTTTCTCAACTGGATAAAGGGTCGGATTGCGGAGAGGTTTGGGATAGCAGACTTGGGGCCGGTAGTCAAGCATCTGGGAGTCCAATACGTTCGCTCGCGCACCACACGAGAGCTGTGGATGCATCAACAGGAGTACATCACCTACCTACTCACGGAGCACGGTCTCCTCGACTGTAACCCAGTTTCTCTCCCGATGGACCCCGTCTTTCCCTTCGGTCGCGACACTGACGTGCACCCCTACATCCAGAACCTCGAATCAGAATACCGCAAGCTCGTTGGAGAACTGCTTTATCTTGCCATGTATACCCGTCCCGACATCGCCCTCGCCGTCATGAAATTATCCCAGCACAACTCCAACTCTCAGCCTCGTCACTACGCTGCAGCAAAACGTGTCCTCCGCTATCTCGCTGGAACCATATCCTATCGCGTGCACTACGGGGGAAAGAACGCCGACACGACCATCCACGGATTCAGTGACGCCGACTGGGCAACGTGCCCAGAAGACCGTATTTCAATCACTGGATATGTGTGGTATTTTTATGGCGGTCCTATCTCTCACGCGGCAAAGAAGCAGACCACCCAGGCGCTATCATCAGTGGAGTCAGAGTACATGGCGTTAACGGGCGCGATCCAGGACGGACTCTGGATCAAGTCCTTCTGCGAGTGTTTGAAGATTCCCCTCACCCTTCCTCTCAAACTCTACGCCGACAACACCGGCGCTATAGCATTGTCGGAAGAGGCTGCTAATCACACTCGGACGAAGCATATTGACCTGCGTTACCACTTCATCAGACGCCACATTGAAGCTGGCACTTTCCAACCCATCTGGGTCTCCACTCATCGCAACAGCGCCGACATCTTCACTAAAGCTCTTCCGCGTCACACATTTGTCACTCATCGTTCCGGTCTCTCACTCGTGGCGGGTTGAGGGGGTGTGTTGGAGGATCGCATCAAGAAGCATCATCTGCATTGGGGCAGATTAACATTGTCTTTGGGGTTGGGGACAACCACGCCCCTTCGTTTCGTTTTTCAATCTCCGTCCATACAGCACTTAAGTATTTCGTCTGCATCGTGTTTGCGTACCTCAGTCGTTGATCCACAACCACTGAGGTATGCGTCTCTGTTCTTCTTGCACCAAGCTTCGTACTTACAATACTCTACATTAGCGTGATTCCAACAGGTACATAGCAATAATAAGTCGTTGATCCACAACCACTGAGCGTGATTCCAACAGTCACGGTAACGTATGAACACCTAGCTAATAGTCTCTGCTGCTAATGTACTTGCTGCAGGTATATACATTCAATATAGTGACTACATTAAGTCCACTGAGCTCGTGTACTCGCTGCACAGCCCAAGTTTGGTGAGCTTCTAACCGAACTCCAGCCCGGTGGGTGCAGGTGGGTGCTCTACCATACGAGGCCATATTTTGTGTGTCCGGCTTTCTATGTATACATATAAAGTTTACTAGCGCACTTGCACATTGTATATATGAAACAATGGCAGTAGCGCCGAAACGCAAGTTTACTTCCACCATTTCTCCCTCACTTCTATATATCCACAGCCCAAAACATGCAAAATCTGCCATCACGATCTAGTCCTGAACCTGCCGACCCCTCGACCAACAAGTAAGTGGCAAGCTAGACTGAGTTGTCTGACAATAGTACTCATGGATATACAGGATCGGGACCGATTCGGATGCCGCGAGCAAGGTACCTGTGGTGTCCTTTCTGAGAGGCTTTGTAACGAATCCGTGAATATCAACCAATCAGCACGGTACGCTTGATGTCTAACTATATTGAAGGGAAAACATCCGCAATGTCCCCCGACGATATACTGTGGAAGAACTTGAACATGGCAAGGATGTCAATTCAAAGTTCTGGGAGACTTACAAAGAAGTTTCGAATGCATACGACGACGACTTCCTCGGACGGGCGCATGGCGATATAGGCATTATCCTCACTTTTGTGCGTTCACCCCCGTATTCGTCAATGCAAGTTTAACAAGCCAATCAGGCGGGTCTACTCTCAGCCGTTGTCTCTACATTCATCGGCGGAATGCAGCCTAAATCGGGAAACACTACAAATGAGCTCCTGCTGCATTTGATCCAGATCACTGCTGCCGGCCCAAATACCGTATATGACATCAGCAATTTATCCTCGTCCATGCGCCCTCCCCCCCCAGCCGCCTGGGCACAAACCCCCGCCTACATTAGCCTAGCGCTCAGCATCTTGGCTGCGTTCGGGGCAGTCGTGGGAAAGCAATGTCTTTATTCGTACGAGACATCTCGGGGACGAGGAGGGTCTCTAGAAGAGAGCGGCACGCGGAGGCAGATAAAATTAGATGGGCTAGAGTATTTGCAGCTGCGCGCTTGGTTGCAGGCATTCCTTGTGCTCCTCCAGGTTGCGCTGCTGCTCTTCAGCATCTCGCTATGCGTCACGACGTGGACCGACCCCTTGCCGACATTCGGTTTCATGATCTCCATCGTAGCTTCTGTCGCTCTCTTCTACGCAGGCACTACTATCTTCATCCCAGTGTGGTGGCGGGATAGTCCTGTCCAGATACCAGGGACGGAACTTATCCGAGCCATGTGCGAAAGATTTCTTCCAAACAGATCTAGTACATTGAGTCTCCACAAATCATCCGCCATACGCTGGATACTAGAGACATCGACAAACCCGCAAGCTGTCGAGGCTGCGGTTGCGATGGTACCTCTCGCGCAATGGCCGCCGAACTTTGATGCTTCAGTAATCTTCGCACGTTTACGTGATACCTTCGCGGCGTGTCGTAGCAATGAAGAGCAATACGTGATGTGCGGCAAGGCCATGGCCCATCTTTGCATCCAGTCGGTAAAAATCACTCCAGAACTTGTGAACGAAAAATTTTGGCATGAAGAATTTCAGCGAACACGAAGTCGTTTCATTCGCGAAGCATTCATGGCCTGCCGTGCCGCCTACCATCAGTTCAAGAAGACACCGTCGAATCAAGACGTTGTTCGACTGAAGTACCAGGCCAGTGCACGCACCGCCCTTAGAGCAATGGTTGTCCATGGAATGGACCATCACCTTTCACGTCCGAACAACGAAAATTTAATTTGGAAGGGTGATCTGTGCTGGTCCCACATTAAAGGGGATAAACCCGACTGTCAAGATTTTGACTGGCTCGTTGATTACCTGGCGGACGAAACAGAGTACGACAAAGCCGATGAAACAGAGAATGACAAAGCCGATGAAACAGAGAATGACAAAGCCGATGAAACAAGTTATGCTTTACTTGCACTGAGCGCCATGCGTGGCCTAGGGAGCTCCCCCAAGCGACGTTCCTACATCATGTCGCTTATCCGTTGTATGGGGTACACTAGACCTCGCCGAGTCCGGCATGCTGCGTTGAGAGCTATTTGTGAAGCTCAAGAAGAACTGGCTCCTATAGCAAAGGACTCGATGCCACAAGGTGTCGACGCAAAACTCATGAATAAGCTTGCTTGCGCTCTTCTCACCGCCGTACGTCCAAACCACGACCAGACATTCAACGATGGTGGACTCGACGCCTACATCCGCCTCATTTATGTTCTGACGAAGCACGACGAGTGGTGTCAACGTCTGACCCAGGACTGTCACAGCCACCTTCCCTTGTGCATTTCTCTAGCTGGCGAAGTTAGTGAAATATATGATCGGGATGTCGGGTTCTACCTTGCTGTGATTATCGGGCGCATCAATCCCTTGAGCAAGGACCTTCCCTCCAGCCCTCCTCAGGGTGACTTCTGGCAGCTCATTAAAGACACGTGGCAGCACGCACGCAATTGTGCAAGCCTAGGGAATGACGACTACGTTGGTGGAATACCAGCCCTCGTAACAGCGACGAGGCTGACTTTCCCAGGCTCATATAATACTGTTCCGAGGAAAGATGTTGCTAAACAGGTGCGGTGGGCTTTGGACGATTTGCAGCGAAAACAGGTGCGGTGGGCTTTGGACGATTTGCAGCGAAGGAAGGCAACACTTGTGGATAGTGGTATAGCTCAGACTACAGTTGACGATGCAATATCTTCTGTGCAGGGCTATCTAGGCGAAGACCAGAGCGCCCCGCAAGAGGGCGGTGGAAACTTGGGGTCGTGAAGGACAATGACCCAGTCTGCGGCCACTTTTTGTTGCGCACAAGTTGTACACATACTGTATATATATGCCGATATCCTGTTCACGAGTTGGTTGTCGCTGATGTCTTTACTCAAAGAATGAATACGGTACTTCTTCTACTTACCTTGTGCTCATTACAATTAGGAATGCTCTGTCCATCAACACACAAGAAATTGAATGTCGGGTACTGGTCATGATCCATGCTGGCAATTAGTACAACATCCTGAAACCAGCGACGACCCAAACCTCGAAGATGAGTGTCACTGCGGCAACAGTGAGTCTCCTCTCATTCACACCATAGGACACGTTCGATATTTCTCGAGTTGGTACCTCTCGCACACAATCATTTGCACGGCAAGCTGCTAGTAAACCCCCTCCACTTAGCGGGAGTCAGAAATTGTCATTAAGCACTTCCGCTTGGTGAGAATAGTCGGAGTGTATGTATTGCATGGTATATAGATGAGAGAGATATCGTACAGACACATACAGCTAGCGGAGATCCAGAAACAAACCGATCAACCAAACGGACAACACGAACCAAAATACAGACGCTATTCTGCGAACGGAAGACTGCCCTCTACCGCTGATCGGGGAGCAAATTCATCGTTCTGAAAGATGAATCATGAGCCTAGATCAATAGGAGTGAGCAAAGCTTGACGTACTGCGTCCTCCCACACTGGATCTTGCTCGCCGTCTTCATCAAGAGGCTCCCACGGTGTTGTACAGTCAAGCCACCTAAGTGATTGTCAGGATCGGTCTCATGAGTGGAAATCGGTAACTTACAAATCGTCTTCTGTGTCCTCTCCCTCTCCCCCTTCCCCGCGGAATAATCGCCGTATAAGACCATTACCATTTTGGCGCTTCATGGCGTACAGTGGCGTGTAGCGGTACTGTCCAGCCTTGTCAAACGCTTTTCGGAGGAATGCTGCTTGAGCATCAGTCCACCAATCCACCGAAACTGCTCCGCCAGCAGTCACGCCTCCTGCAGCTAGAATCGGTGCGCTGGCGGCAAGCGCCAGTGCTATTCTCTCTCCGGCTGCGTCAAGCCATCAACACAATATCACTAGTGAAACACAAGGCAAGCGGACGCACACTTGTTAGACAAATATATATAATATCCCGGGCACGTGAACGTGCTGGTGACAAGGTATTTGTCATGCAGCTCGGTTGCGTTGTGGACAAGATTCAGAACCTTGCCCCGTGGAATATATTCCTGCAGGGGCTTGTGCATTACAAGGATGGCGCCTCGCTTGCCTTCCTGAAATTGAAACTCGGCCTTGACGGAGGCAGAGGCCAGGTTGAGGAATGAGCTGATCGATTAGTGCACGATGAATGATAGCGCACAGAGGAAGGAGTGCGTGCGCTCTCACACTTCTGGCTTCATCGAGAAATCTCCCTGTTTGACGCCCGAAGAGGACATGATGATGTTGTCGTCGAGTCCGCCCTTCTGAGGCTGACACGATTCATCAGATAAATCGATCTTCAAGCCTTGCTTGTTTAGTGACTCTTGGAATGCTGCTTCGTAGATATTCCCTTCCACGTCAAGCTCTCCAGATTCACTATCGATCGTCCCATAGTCTCCGACCTATGGACCTCGACGGTGAGACAAAATCGGCGCAACGATCACTAGAGCGCTTAAACTGACCTTGATTTTAATTGGTGGGTCCCAGTTTGCCCACTTGGATGACGCCTGGCGAATTAGATCGATGAACTTGCGAGAGGCCGCGGTGTCTCGCATTGCTTCGGCAGTTGGGGCGAGGAAGGAATGTAGAGGTGGAGGTGGAGTTTAACGTGCACGAGGCTGTATGTAGTAGGGCAGGGCCATTTATAAGGTTTCTCCGGCGTCAAGTGTACTGCCTTGAAGTGACCGCAGCGTGTCACTGTTCAAGCGATGTTCAACTCTGTAAATCTTCACCCAAGGCACCACCGGTGACTCTCCGGAGGTGGTAGTATCATCACTGTGATCGCTGGCGCAGGCGTTGTCGTTTGGCAGTCGCATGTTTAGTTAAATATTATGGAGCGGCCGGCTCTCGGCCAACAGAGGTTGCAGTTGCCTGTGATGGTCCCTGGATGAGCCTGGGAAATTGAAACACTATGTATATGAGCATCTAAAAATGCGGATTTGTTTAAAAGTCGCTCGAATGTGCTTGTGAGCATTTTGAAAGCGGTTAGCAGGTATGCGTCCGTAAACGCCCGTTTTTGGTTATGTTAGACCCTGGCGTGAATTTTACACAAGACGGCGCGAGATCTCTTCGTTATCGCTCGATTATCAACGATCTATAATATAATCTACATATCATGTATCTGATAGCCGTGCCATAGTACTACTACTGTGAACAATATACCTAGGATGCATCAACAGAATCTACTTCAGATGCTGAGCTGTCTTCATTGCTTGCCTGCGACGGTCCAACTTCCAACACGTACTTCAAATAACTATCCAGTTCAGCTTTCTCTTCGTCGGTGAGGTTTCTGAACGCTGCAATGATCTCTTGGAATTTTTCTTCATGGAGTAGACCATATACATCAGCAAACTACAACTTTCTCCACAGAAGGTACAGGATTTGCGTTCTCACGACAGTCAGCCACAGACTCCACAGCTCCGCCAATATCACAGCAACTCGTGGCCACAAAGCATGCATTGTCTCCAGTCACTCACAGTTCCACAGTACAGCTGCGAGACTTCGCAGCAACTTGCAGTTGAAAATCTATTAGTAGTGGTATCACCTTAAAGTCTACACTAGTAAGATACACATTTGACTTGAGTAGTCTCGAGCTCGATGATTGAACTTAAAATAGCATGGCACGGCAAAAACTTAAGAACGGTCTCTGAGATACTGACTGTCAAACTCATTCATAAGGGGTATAGTACAACATATACTATGTACTGGTGTATTCATGTGAGGGAAAATGACGCATAGTATAAACGATTCGAAGTTGAATATTGTAATGATGCGAAAAGAATTCGAAGCACTCGGATCAATCAAGCTGGATGGTGAGTTGCCAGCCGCACTCTGTAACTTCTACTGAGATAGGATCAGCCTCCTCATGACACCGCGTCGTCTCGTCTCGTGAGCTTACCGGGTTGCAGATGACTTCCAGGTGTTCGAGTCAAAGAAGAAATATGAGTCCACCCGTTTTCCTTGAACATAACTCTCATGCACCCCAATCCCATATCTGTGTCGTCCAACCTCTTCTCCGCCTCTTCGGCACGGAATCTCAGCAGGCTTGCCAACATCTCATTCTCCCGCATTACACAATCTGCCAATGCCTTCTGTGCTTGATAAACGTCGCGTTTGGCCCTCACAAGATCCATCACAAGATTGGCCTCAGAGGCAGTTGGGTCCTGTATGGACTGTTGAAAGGTAAGGCGCATTGTGAAGGGGTGAGCGTCGAGATTGACATCACCATAGAATTTACAATATGAAGAATTTCATATCGGTCCGACGGTCCTTTGCGATGATGTGGATCAGGGGATTTTTCGCCAATCCCTGATGCGCGTGCTGACAGAGATTGCAGATTTGTTATGTTCATTATGTAGTGTGGGGTGGTGTGCGTTGGAGAGGTCAGTACGGAAAATGCCGGAAGATTGAAAGCTTACTTACATCATACTAGCATATGTCTTGCTGCTCGCTCTCATGTATCACTGTCCGTCATGTGGAAAAGCCTTTCAGGACCACACATCTATTGCTCGTCATATGAGCCAACCTCGGTCTGGATGCAATACCTGGCTGGAAGATATTATCAAGCTTGACTCCATCATCCCGCCGCATGATTTCACGCACTCAGCAGATGTCGAACCTCGTGTTTCTCAAGAACCAGAATTCGGAAGCGAGACAATGCTGGATGACTTTGGTGACATTAGTGGTGAAGAAGTGAATATCGCGGGAGCGCACAGTGGAACTCAGGACGAGGGCGGTGAAGTTACCGACTACTTTCCCGACCCCCCGCTCGCCTATGAGGATGGCTACACCTTTTTGAGCCTATTTGAGACTGACAAAAATAGTATATATCGCAAAACCAACCTTTACTATCCATTTAGCAGTCGGGCAGATTGGCGAGTTGCAGCGTGGCTGCTTAGTTCAGGCCTGAGCATGGGGAAGATTGATTCCTTCCTATCGCTTGAAATGGTGAGTGTTCGAACCTTTCAAACTCGCTGCCATCCCTTGACTTTCGGGATTTTTAGATCAAAGATTTACCATTGTCGTTCTGCTCAGCCAGAGAATTACAGGGTCGAGCTGAGATGCTCCCGAGCGGTCCACATTGGATGTCCCAAATAATTCCAACATCGCACCCTACAAAGTCGCCCGTGGTTTTGTATTGGCGTGACCCTATAGAGTGCATCGCCAGCATCTTCAATCACCCCTTATTTCATGGTCGTTTGGACTTGACACCTCGCAAGGTGTACTCCACTGCAGAGAGACTGTCTCGTGTATACACTGAATGGATGACGGGTGATGACGCCTGGGACATGCAGGTATGTAGCAAGTCGAATCTCGATGTCTCCAGCTCATTTATATTTGAAGTCGGCGATACCTAGCGGCGCAACCCTCCTCGGCACCATCCTATCCTCCGACAAGACAAACATCACCGCATTAACAGGCGATTGCATTGCTCATCCGCTTCTAATTAGCCTTGCAAACATACATGCCAGTACACGACTCAAGTCTTCATCGAGCTCTTTTGTTCTCACTGCCCTACTTCTGGTCCCAAAGTTCGTGCATAAGAAGAAGCGGATGAAGGGTGTGTTGGAGGACCGCCTTATACATCAATGTCTAGATATCGTCCTCGAACCTCTGAAACAGGCCGCTCGCAATGGTATCATGTTGTTGGACCCCAGTGGACACAGCCGTTATTGCTTCACCCCACTTGCGAGTTACATCGCCGACACCCCCGAAGCCATGATGCTGGCCACTGTTGGTGGAAAGACGTCACCAGTGACCATGGCGATGTACAAGCAGTTCGGGGATGACTTCCAGCATGAACCCCGAACGAAATCAACAACTCTTGCGCAGCTTGCTGTTGTGCGCTCGCGCGCTGATCCTCTTGATATTGAAGCTTTCTTCCGCGAAGCCCAGAAGTTCCGTCTAAACGGCGTCGCTGAACCATTCTGGCGGGACTGGATACTTGCGGAACCCTCCCATTTTCTTACACCGGAACACCTCCACCACATTCACAAGGAATTCTGGGATCACGATGCACAATGGCTCATTTGCATTGTTGGAGAGTCCGAGATCGATTTCCGGTTTTCCATCTCGCAGCCCGTCACCGGTTATCGTCACTTTCATGCAGGCATTTCAAGGCTCAAACAAGTCACCGGTCGCTGCCAACGAGATATTCAACGATATATCATTGCACTATGCGCGGACGCAGCACCTCCTGGTATAATCACTGCCATACGCGCACTCATGCAGTTCCGCTATCTCGTGCAGTCGCCGCGCATTAATGGTGACGATCTTGAGCGCATCTCAAGGGCATTGGATGAGTTCCATGCCAACAAGGATGCAATTATTGACGCCGGAGCTCGCCGAGGGAAGGGCAATAGACCCATCACCAACTGGTATATACCCAAGTTGGAGCTAATGCAAAACATCGTTCCGAGCATTCGAAACTCTGGTGTCACAATGCAATGGTCTGCGGATGTCACGGAACTTGCACATATCAGCGAAATCAAAGACCCTGCGAGGGCCAGCAATAACAACAACTACGATCCCCAGATATGCCGACACCTGGACCGCGCTGAAAAGTGTCGTTGCTTTGAGCTCGCTACCAGCCTTTTAGATTCGACTACGAAGGAGCCAGAGGACTTAGACGCTGACGCTGACGTTGACGCTGACGTTGACGTTGACGCTCAAGATATTCCCATTGAACTTTCCGCGACACAGCAACACCCAGGTCGTCCAGTCACAAACTATTTTGCCATCGCTAGGGCACTCCAGTTCAGGGACGTGGCTTTAGTGCCCATTCCATTACGCTCATTTGCCATTGGGCGCACTGCCTTTCATGTCGGATATGATCCCTCCATCAGGAGTATCTCCGTCGATGAAGTCGCCATCAAATTTTCCCTCCCAGATCTACGGCCAGCTATCGCTGACTTCCTTCAGCGTGAGGCAACTTACGGACCCCAGCATGTCCACGCGATAGGCGGTCCAAGAAGGGCTGGGCCTATGACTGTCCTTCCATTTGACAAAGTTTCGCTCTGGTACAAAATCCGTTTGCAAGAGACGAACTTTCACGATGGTTGCACCATCAGACCGGCTCAGACATTGAATTGCGCTCCACCTAGTGACCCCTGGATTCTAGGCCGTTATGACACGGCTATCATTGAGACTACTGCAGGTTCCTCATGGCCTAGTGGTCGACTTTCAGGTATGTTTTTGTCTTGTGTGGTGTTACCCATATCCTAGCCTAAACTACTACCCACCTGTAGGTCACACTGTTGCTCAGATCAGACTCATCATGCGGCCTGTTGGTAAGAGCGGCACACGCTGGTCATGGATGGATCGTTTTCTCACTTATGTGCAATGCTTTGACATCTCGCATGATCGCGATCTGATTACACAGCTGCACCTGCTCAAACGAGCAAAACGTTCAAACGGAGGTCGGATGGGGGACATTGTACCAGTCTCTCAACTCCGGGCGCCTATCAACCTGATCCCTCGCTTTGGAGCAACTGCGGATAAACGTCTAACCACCTACAACAGTATGGAGCATGCCACGGAGTTTTGGTTGAATGAATATTGGGAAAAAAACACTTTCTTCGTGCTATCAGGATAGTATTTGATTCATGCTGAGATTAGTTTGTGTGCCATCATTATTGGCTTAGTTACTTCCATTTGTATCCTAGTACCGTTGTTTCTCCCATGCTTTGTTCTTCGTGCCTGTCAAAATGCCAGCTGCGCGACATTGCTGAACAATTGACCTAGGGATGAAGCTGTCATCCTTCCTTTCAGCTCCCCCGCTCCACGACACAGACGCTATGGATAAATTCACCGATTTGGAACTCAACCGTTTGATACTCCAAGAACCCCCGCTCTCCAGAAAGGACAAGGACAAGCTCGGCTACATCTTGTCCCTGATTTTCCAGTCGTGCACGGTTGAAGTTCCCAATGTGAAAGATCTTGCTATTCCGTTGAGGAAATTACCTTCCAATGCCGGGCTCGATCACCTAGAAACCTTCACTCTGAAGCCAGGTGGAGATCCGATGGTGCACCTGTATGATAGCGCAAAACGTCAATGGAATTGGCCACTTTCAAAACAGCGTAAACGTGAAAAAAGCGACTTGGTTCAGGGAGGAGGGAGTAGCATGGGTGAGAAGTCAGGAGATTGGGTATTGATCGATGAAGCAACCCAATCTCAGTTGTCCTCTGGGAGTCTAGGTGTCCCATCCACCAGTGAACTTACCGCGAGCAAGTTGCCATTCGCCAATGGGGACCTATTCGCTGATGAGGGGCCAGAAGTTGGAGAGGAGTCAGAGGTTGAGGAGGGGTCGGAAGTTGGGGAAATGGAGGAGGACTCACTCGAAGCGCCCTCGATTAAAGCCGAGGATCCATCAACGACGGAACAAATTTTCTCATCGTTCTTTAACATCATTTCTGTTGCTCTCATCGCATCGCAGCCTAAACTCGCTCGGGCACACGACTTATCGCGCACCTGGAGTGCAGCAAACTCATCTCGCCCAGTACCCGGTGAAGAAATTCCACGGAAACCAGATCTTACCTTGCTGGATGATGTTGAGGCTAGGTGGGATACGATCAAAGCGGTATGTGAGCTGACATCCAGCGCATACCAACCTTCAAGCACCCTTGCGAAGACTCTCGACACCAAAGCTTACCTTCTTCTGAAGCACCAACCCTGGAGACGGTTCGCATTATTGATATCGGTGTGCAATAGCTATCGCGATCTTCGCGTTCACGTGTACGACCATTCGGGGGGTGTCGTGAGCCCTTGCACTAGCATCCAAAAGGAGCCTAACAAATTCTTGCGCATCTTGTCGTGCATCGTCTTCGGCAATCTAACATGCATCGGGTATGACCCCACTATCACCATCTTCGCGCATACGCTCCAGCAGACACTGAGATCACACTCTAATTCCCCCTCCCCCCCCCAGATCGAAAGTTCCTCTGACACACCCTCCCACCCCCGCGAGATCGAGAGCACGCCCTATAACGAGATTGAGAGCGCACCCTCCTGCAACGAGATCGAGAGCGCATCTTCTCAGATCGGCAACCCCCTCTCTGAGGAGGGCACAGAGCGCGCTGAGGGTGACTCCGCTGAAGACGACTTCGTCGTGGAGCTCCCTATAGAAATCCCTCAAGATCCTACAGTCCACGAACCTCTACCACGGCCGATCGGAAAAATACGTGTCAAGGACCACTACTACGATATCTTGGAAATTCTTTTTTCCAGACAGGGTCTTGTGGGTCGCGGCACCGTTTGCTATCTGGCCAGGAAGGACGGGGAGGAGTTTATTATCAAGGATTACTGGGCCATGGGGGGAGATGAAGAAGCCTTGAATGAGATCCACATGATGGAGAAGATGAGCGGCGTCCGCGGTGTCCCCAAGCTTGTCGAATATTGGCTTGTCGAGTCCGAGCCCAACAAGGTTGATCAAACGCAGAATTATCGGTTCAAGTCCGTGCGAAGCCTGAAAGGCACATTCCGTACTCATGTTCGCGTTGTCTTGAAGCCCCGCGCGCGACCTTTGCATAAATTCCGCACAAAGTTAGAGTTGTTGACGTCGATACGAGATATTGTGCAGAGTACGTACCATACATTGCAATTTAAAGCTTTTGCTGACTTACCATTAGTTCAGAAGGAAGCGGTGGAACAGCGCAAGGTCCTCCACCGTGATTGCAGTCTGAACAACTCCATGATTGAGGACGATGGTAACGGCTCCCAAGGAATGCTGATAGATTGGGAGTTTGCGGTGAAAATCGCCAAAAATGAGACCTACACTGTTGGGGGCACCGTAAGCGTTTTTAATTCGTAGAAGGGTCGGTACTAATGAAGCGCGTTAAGGGCACATTACCTTTCATGTCCCGAGCACTTCTCTTCCAGCTTCACCTCAAGAGTCCAGGTGACATGGTGGCGCACAAGGGAGCCTCGAGTTCGAAACCATACCCAGCCCCCCTGATCAAGCACAGCTACCAGGATGACCTCGAGTCCGTGTTCTACGTGTTCATCTGGATTTTGATCGAATTTAGAGGTCCCCTTGGCATGAAGCGCATTCTGGACAAGAGTTGCACTTGGATACCGCATGAATGGTCCGCGTCCAAGTTCAAGGCGTGCTGTGATAGTAAAACATCATTCTTTTTTTACGAAGAACACTACGCCAAGGAACTCACCAACCAGATCCACCCGTACTTCAAAAACCTCCTTCCCGTTGCATTGGAGTGGCATCATCTGATAAGAGACCCGAAGAACGTAGGTTTCGACGACGTGATTTCGATGTTGAATAGACATATCGCGACATTTCCAACCAACGAGTTGTCGCCTCAGCTCCTGGTCTCAACGTGGTTGCTCAAGGCACTCAACAAGGCTGACTCGGAGGCTTCAAGCAGTGGCGAGGAAGGGGAATCTGAATCACGGTTAGTTGCTGAGCCCATGGTGCGCAACAAAAACAAACAGTGTCTTGTTACTTGAGGGTCTTATATAGAAGCGTGTAAAAATGCAGTGACAACACAACTACACTTTCATAAGACAAAAGTTGCCAGCTCCTCAAGTTCACGGTCAACGGATTTTCTACTTCTCGGTTGATAACGTGTTGTTCGTGGGTGGTCAAAGAGTAAACAAGTTACCTCTCCTTTGCTTGATTTCTGTATCTGAACAGAATAACCCTGGTGTTCTGCTGTGAATATAAATCTGTTAGGTATGTTTCACCCTAGTAGGTCGTGTTTCAACCTATGAAAGTCTGTTTCAACTTTGTCGTGTTCTCCTGTTACGTGTCTCACTTCCTGTAAAAGCAAGATTGCTGACTAGAATATGTAATACTCAAATAAAACAAATAGATGGTTGTATAGGTTATCCCTGTAAGATAGTATACAACTTGATTGACAAAATACGATGGTTTTCAAAGGTAACTCGTAGACCTTCACTTTCTTCTGGATCTCACACGTTGGAGACAGAAAGCGGGAAAACTCCACACTTCAGATTCTTACGTTCCTCACGGTTGGGAACAAGAATGGAAAGGGAAAAACTTATTTATTTGGTAAGATTGGTGTCCTTAAATACATTTTGGAAACCCTCCTTACTAAGCATGACTCATCACTGGATTGGTAAGAATATGCTTACAAACCAAGCCTTTTGGTGTGCTGAATCAGCTGCTTACTAAAGTACATGAATAAAATATTACAAAGCATGGGGAAGAATTACAAAGCATGACGAATCAAATGACAAAACATGATGAGTCAAGCTGAATCCTTACAAATCAGATTTTTACCAGTCACATGACATGCTTACAAACATATCTGAGTGGCTGAATAAGCTTAAACAAATGGAAAGAGGCAGAAACAAATAGAAACCTATAAATACAACTAAACAATACGAAACTTAGCTTATGATAGTGAGAAGTATATTCTTGTACACTCTCCTATTCATCTCCTTTGTATACTCCTTTTATGTATGTCATGGTATGAAGCGTATACCATGCATGACATCCACCGGGCACGAGAAATTGCAACTGTCCCCAGTTGTCCTATTCATATTGATAATGATGTGGTCTCTTTCCACGGTTCTCTGAATACGGGTTTAAGCGAAGCTTATGAACAATATGATCTATCGAGATTGTGCTGCACGAGGAAGCCTCTCGTCAGTCCACTATACTCAAGTGTGACCAATCAGATCATATCAAGGGCTGTACTCCTGACTCGTTTTTCTCGAGCCCTTACATTGACATTAATCCGTTTTTCACCCCATCCGAGGCTCAGAAACTCCATTCGTATATTTCGGTCACTCGTTTTCATAGCGAGGATGCTTTTGCTTCAGCACTTTCCGACTCACTTCTCATGCCATTCCCAGACGAAGATACTGTTTCGGCACTCGTCACGTCAGGTCTTCTTGACTCTGGCTCTCGTCTCGATGCAATCCAATTTGCACGTGAACGTGATCACATCCTCGGTGTTCAACGCTCAGGACTTGTTATTCTCGCTACATCTCCCTTTCTATCCACCATCCCCACCGAATCACCCTCGACACCTTCTTCATTCTACGTTCTCCGCGGAATTGATGAAGAACAGAGACCACACCCTCGAAAAGACAGATTCACGAAACGAAAGGACCGGAAGTTCTTCCTTTAAATATCTTAAGGTGAACTGATCTGTGTTTCATTCTTTCCTTTCAGCTCTCATTTGTTTTTCCAGTAACCAACCTCGTTTACATTTTCGCTTTTTTTCGACACCGTTTTTTTCACGTCTTCATCCACATTTATCCTAACCCCGAAAAAATTGTATATGTTCATTTAACTCACAAAAAACACGGACCCTCAGCTCTGGCTTGTTTTGTCTTTTGTACTTATAGCTTTATTGGTCTTCGAGTTTTTGATTTTGCCTTTGTGCTTCACTCGACTCATTGTTTCAACTTTGCTATGTCACGTTACGAGATATATACAAAAATAGGTCAAGAGAGATAGCTTTAGATATGAGTTACCTGGTCATGTAATTCGAATCTTTTGTTGTCCGTAAAACTCGTCTGATTTTTTCTAAGTCACTCGAAAACAAACACTTGTGCTTATTTGTGTCTAGTGTTTAGACACAGATTTAAGCAAATATCAATATCGAGAAAATTCATGATTTTTTACCAGACAAGTCCATAGCTTCAGGCTATAGGAGACTTAACATATTTTCAAAGGACATAGTTCTAGTCCTATCCAATATTATCTGAGCAATCTAATTACAAGTCTATTTGGTTAATAGCTTAGTACTTAATTGCTACCTCAGCAACTATGCGACCGTATCAAACACAATTACGTTTATGTATAAACCCCACCTACCATTATCATTTCAATAGGGGTATCTTGACACTCAGACCATGACAACAAATTCCACTCATGTTGGGAATACAAGAAGTATCTTTATGATGACCAGCAACAGTACACATTCCGTTGAGCACAGACAGTACGCAGCAGGTGCTGCAAGGGAAGGAGAAAACAAAGGTGTATTGGAAAATGTGGGTTTCGAATCGATAAGTGCAGGTACGTCGTCGTCACTAGAAATAGTATTTACAGGGGTAATGGGAGTAGTATATGGAGGTGGAGTGACGTCGTCGAGTATAGGACGAGTGAGTAAAACGTGTGCCGGCGTGGAGTTTGAGTGATCTGTGGCACGCAGAGGCAAAGAAGTAGTTGTCGAGTTTTCAAAGTTAGTGTTTGTACCGAGGTGATAAAACAGTGTCGACGAGTTGTAGGATATGTCGAGTGTGAGCACGGTGATCAAAAAGCTCTTCGACTCGGTCAGACCAATCACGTCCTGAGCGTGGGCCTCCCGTCGGTAGTTTTGGGTCGTTCGGAATGACAGGATGTCCTGGGTACGAGTCGTCATGGAATAGCTCGACATCCCAGTCATTAGCAATGAGTTGGTCTTGGCAAAAATTGAATGAGGCGACGGCATTAGTGACGTGCGGGAAGTAAAACGAATGATAATCACTCAAACGAGCGATTTCGGTTTCGAGATATTGATGTGCATGGAGTGGTGAAATTCCTTCGAGCAAAGCAGCAGGTGCTGCAAGGGAAGGAGAAAACAAAGGTGTATTGGAAAATGTGGGTTTCGAATCGATAAGTGCAGGTACGTCGTCGTCACTAGAAATAGTATTTACAGGGGTAATGGGAGTAGTATATGGAGGTGGAGTGACGTCGTCGAGTATAGGACGAGTGAGTAAAACGTGTGCCGGCGTGGAGTTTGAGTGATCTGTGGCACGCAGGGGCAAAGAAGTAGTTGTCGAGTTTTCAAAGTTAGTGTTTGTACCGAGTGGGGACGAATCCGGCAGTGAAGAGGGCTTTACCTCTTCCTGGGACTCGAAAACAGTGGAGTGTGGACTGTCAAAGAGTGCTGAGGGACCAATGTGTCCATCTTTGATCAAAACATCATTTAATAAATTATTAAATGAGTGAAACGTTGAAGAACGCTCACCCAAGGTACCTGCGCTAAAATTCCCGCGCTCGTCGTTGTCGTTGTCGGCGTTGTCGTCAGGACGCGTTTCGTTCCCACGCTCAAAAACAGCGCCAGAGTTGGCAACAGAAACAAGAGATGGTCCTGGCACAGTGATGGTGTCCTGTCCAGCAAGACTTTCCTGCTGGAGAGGAGAATATGAAGAATGAGGGGAATAGGCAGAGTAGCTTGGTGACGAAGTGTTGGATAAGGTGAACATTGGCACAAATGAAAATGTTAATGTGTCGTTCTCGATAGAAGTTGAGAATCGGAAATTTCCGGAGTGTGAGAAAAAATCCAAAACATCGGTGCGTGTGTCTGTGAGTGGTGTGGGCATGTTCGGAAGTAGTAACAAATAAGGGAATTGGTGAACAGTTGGTTGGTTTTTTCTCGTGTTGTTGTAAATAGGCATGAGGCTCGGAACGAGTGCCTGTAAAATGAAATCTGGTGGCTTTTTTATAGATTTTGGAACATATTCCATTTCACATATGTCTGAGTAAGTCGTTACTTCATTGACTAATTTCTTACTCAGAATTTGCTTGGGTGTAACTGTTTTTTGAAATTTGGACGTTCTGAGAATTTCGGCTTCGGCTTTTGAATGACTCGAAGAATTTTCAGAATTCTCAACCAAAAAGGGTAATTCTTTATTTCCGGCTAAAAATAAACTTGTTCCAGTGGAGTTTCCGAGTGTTGGTGGTTCGAAATCCCAAATTGGATCTTTCCCATCAGGTGTACAAAATAGCTCGTACCTGACTTCCAAATTGAGCGGATCTTTAAATAGCAACCATGTACCATCAAATCTTTCATCAATAGATACATAATTATTTCTCTGCCATGGTCGGCCTAATAATAAATGAAATGGGACGTGATCTCCTACAAATAAGTTCGCGTGTGTGAAAACTCCTCCACAATTGAGTGGAACATTTTGAACTAGACCACGTAATCGACCTTCCCCGCCATTTGCGTCATTTAATGTCACCGATTTGGCAATGTCGATCGGTTGATTAATAATAGTCTTCCAAATATATTTACTCACTATATTTAGTTGGCTTCCTGTGTCGATAATAGCATTGATTGATTGCCCATCACACTGCATGGCAATCTTGATTAGTAAGCCCCGTGTTTTTGTCCATACAGAGTGGGCTTCTATTTTTGAATCAATAGATTTTGGTTTAATTGCATTTGATAACATTCCAGATAGTTCTCGGGAACTTCCTAGAAGCTCACCTACTTCCAATCTTATAGGTGTCCTCAGCACGCTATCTAGAATTTCCTCTGGCTTAACTTTTTTCGCGATATCCGAAACACGTTGACGTGTTAGTTTCTTCTGGTCGGTGTTTAAATCATTTTGGTGAGTGGTTGAATCGCGCTGCACCGCTAAGTCTTTTCTGACTGTAGGCACATCATCCTGTATGATGTCATCGCTGTCCCATCCAGGGTCATTTCCCTGTTTTCTCATATCTCTTGCTGACTTCTCAGATTTAGATTGTGCCCTAGGCGTGCTTTCTGCCATCATTTTGGGCGCTACAATCTTTTCTGGTATGTTTTCTTTCTGACGTCTTTTCTCGCTACCTTTCTTAGGTACCTTAGACTCTGGAGATGGGATGACCTTGTCCCTCTCTAGTCTTGTTTTGTGTGAACTCCTTGTTGTCCTTTCAACAGGATATACAAGGTTCTCTTCATCTGTCCCGGTGTCTTGTGTTGTTGTGCTGTCTCTGGCATCACTCGTATCTGAGGCCGATTCACTTTCACAGCTGACATATTCTTTGAGGTACGCACTTTTGCTCTTCTTTAGTGGCGTAACTGACTCAATATCGTGTAGGTGCTCATTTGCCTTGACCTTGATGAAGTGTGCAGCAGGCACTTCTCTTTCACGCTTCAAGGCTTCAAGTATCGTCTCTTCTGGCATTCGCTTGACCATCCTCCCATCTGGTTTTCCAATCTGACCTGTCCTTGTCCGGGTGAGTTTTCCTTCCTCTACTAGTTTTGAAAGCTGAGGACAATAGGTAATTCCATGGCCTCTCTCTCCGCAACCATAACAAATCCTGTCTTGATAGGGGGTGTTAGGCGCTTGGTGGAATCTGGTACCAGGGGGTGGTCCTTTGCTAATTTGTGTCTCATTTCTCAGTGCTGTAGTAGTTCGTGTCTGTGTATGAGCATGTTTCTCTGATGAATACACAGTTGATTTCTCGTTTCTGATGGGTGCTGCTAATATATCCTTAACTGAAGGATCAATTCGAGTGGCTCGATAGAATAACAACGCGTATTCTGGGTCTTCTAGGGAAATTGAGCCCATCTTCTTAATGAGTGTCTCCATTTCATTCCTAGGTTCGTTGGATGTTCTCTCTGATGTGTTGGTACCTTTAGATGTACCCTTCTCTTTCTTAGGCTTACTCTTCACATTCTCTTTGAGTCTGCCTTTCTTAACCTCTTTCTTTCGAAAAAACTCTCTGTCAGACTCATCTGAATCTGAATCCTCGGTACTTTCAGATGGTTCATCAGCTGATGAATCCTCATCTGAGTCGCTATCTGCTTCTGAAACCAGTAGATCTGCATCAAATCTATCACGGTGCAAAATTTTCTCTGCCGTGGAAGTTACTTTATTGACTGGAAAAGCTTCTGACAAGTCCCTATCAGGTTCTCCGGCCATGATACGTGTCTCGATGTTAATACGTAGGCTCTTGTAGATTCCTTTCCAAAAATAACTTGCATATTCTTTGGCTGTTAATTTCTTGGCTTGTTCTAGCCATCCGGCTATACGAATGAAACCTCTTACATACTTCTTCCAAGCAGTAAGGTTCAAAATTTTCTTCTCTCGTGTTGTCCGTACGTAGGACAATAAATCTTTTCTCCTATATCTCTTGGTGTCTAGGTCTGCATCATAATACTTCAAAATGTCAGCTTTGAGCTCTTTCCAATTCGAAGATCTGAAGCTTGCTAGTTCTTCAACAAATTCGGTGACGCGTCTGGACATATACTGAGTAATAGTTTCACATTTCTCTTGATCAGAGGATACACAGTGATAATCACACAGTTTCTCGTAGTATCTCAGAAAGTCCTTGACTTCTGAATAATGCCCCTTGAACTTGGCAGGTGCTGCCTTGGTTCCTGGAATGGGCATCATTAATACTGATAATGGGGTTGCATACGACATGATGTGTGTGGCTTTGGTTGACTGATACAATGGTACTGTACCTGGTACAGTTGGCGTGGTTTCCACAATACTGGGTGGAAAAATTCAGAATATGATGGGGGATTGTGCAGTGTGCACTGAATATGATGTAGGGTTAATCAAAATAAAGAAAAGCCACCCTCGCGGTTGGGCTCCAGTGATGTCTTGTTACTTGAGGGTCTTATATAGAAGCGTGTAAAAATGCAGTGACAACACAACTACACTTTCATAAGACAAAAGTTGCCAGCTCCTCAAGTTCACGGTCAACGGATTTTCTACTTCTCGGTTGATAACGTGTTGTTCGTGGGTGGTCAAAGAGTAAACAAGTTACCTCTCCTTTGCTTGATTTCTGTATCTGAACAGAATAACCCTGGTGTTCTGCTGTGAATATAAATCTGTTAGGTATGTTTCACCCTAGTAGGTCGTGTTTCAACCTATGAAAGTCTGTTTCAACTTTGTCGTGTTCTCCTGTTACGTGTCTCACTTCCTGTAAAAGCAAGATTGCTGACTAGAATATGTAATACTCAAATAAAACAAATAGATGGTTGTATAGGTTATCCCTGTAAGATAGTATACAACTTGATTGACAAAATATGATGGTTTTCAAAGGTAACTCGTAGACCTTCACTTTCTTCTGGATCTCACACGTTGGAGACAGAAAGCGGGAAAACTCCACACTTCAGATTCTTACGTTCCTCACGGTTGGGAACAAGAATGGAAAGGGAAAAACTTATTTATTTGGTAAGATTGGTGTCCTTAAATACATTTTGGAAACCCTCCTTACTAAGCATGACTCATCACTGGATTGGTAAGAATATGCTTACAAACCAAGCCTTTTGGTGTGCTGAATCAGCTGCTTACTAAAGTACATGAATAAAATATTACAAAGCATGGGGAAGAATTACAAAGCATGACGAATCAAATGACAAAACATGATGAGTCAAGCTGAATCCTTACAAATCAGATTTTTACCAGTCACATGACATGCTTACAAACATATCTGAGTGGCTGAATAAGCTTAAACAAATGGAAAGAGGCAGAAACAAATAGAAACCTATAAATACAACTAAACAATACGAAACTTAGCTTATGATAGTGAGAAGTATATTCTTGTACACTCTCCTATTCATCTCCTTTGTATACTCCTTTTATGTATGTCATGGTATGAAGCGTATACCATGCATGACAACGGGTTATTGATTATCGATGGACGATGGAAGCTGTGCCCAAGCCGAAAAGGAGCAAGACTGGATAGGGACTCGCACACATATACATGTATCATTTACATTTACATTGGTCATTCGAGTCACGTGATATAACATGCACTTCCGAAAAACGTAGCACTGACTCATTGATATGAATTCTTACCTCTACTATTACTCAAACTTCGACCGGCGAAATCTTTTAATCATGCCCTGCGGGTCAGCGCTTCAGCCCTTGACACACATTTCCACACTGCTACCCACGAGCCTGTCAGTCGACTCCGAGTCATACTTCCAAAAAGCGCTTGTGATGCTCCTTCGTCAACAGACTATTAAAAGCCTTCAAGGCAAGTGTCCGGTCCACAATTACTGCACGCTATCATCATTCCTTCTGGTGTCAGCTCCAGTCATGCCTTCTCAATCTCAGAATCACGCTCGCGCTAGCCCTAAGAAGAAGACAAAGCGTAAAGCTATCGACTCCGATGGGCAGCGTGTTTCAACAAAGAGAACGCGGGCTGGGGCTGAGGCACCCCTTGTGTTGCAGCCGACTCCTGATGTCGCCAACTCTCAGGCTGTGCCCCCTCGACGTTCCGGACGTCATGGTGCAGGACAAGGAGGCAGAGCCAGTCAACTAGAGATAATCGGTAATCTCTTGGGTGCCTCGACACGAACCAGTCGACCCAAAGGCTCCACCTCTCTTGACTCGGATGTTCCTAACAACCCGCTTGCTCCGGAGCCGCCTCGTAAGGGTTGTGGAAGCCACTCAAAGGTAGGTTTTCTTATATACTTAAAGTCGCAGTGACAGGCTTATAACGCTGGATATATATTCAGAAGCCCCCCCCCGCCATACAGTGCCTCCAAGATGACGGATTCTGCAGCTTCTGGACCTCAGGCCCAAAAAACAAAGGCAACGAAGAATGCTGCTCCCCCTGCCTTAGATTTTGAGGCCCCGAACCTCCAGCCCAGGCTTGTGCACCACGAAGCGGGCGCGCGATTTGGATTTGCTCAGCATATCGTTCCCCCTGGCACAGAGCCTGACCTTCAAGCACTTAACAATTCTTATGTGGCTGCGGCCAGGGAGAAGCAGACTTCTTCAGCGACTTTAGGTACCACTGGACATCTTCCCATTGCTGTCGTCACCTCTGAAAACCAGCATTCGGTGGTACCTTCAAATCGCACATTACCTGCACATCAATCCGATGCTGACTCAGACTTGTATCAGAACCTCGACCCTGCCCTTCGACCAGTCAATGATGAACGTTTCGATCAGTATGAACCGCAAGACACAAGATCCGACAGTTCGGGAACATCTAGTGAAGGCGGTGATGGAAGTGCTAGCGATGAAGAGGCAGATCACACAGACGACAATGTTGGCTGGGGGGCAGCACATGGGCGCATGACTGCACATCCTGGTAAGCTGTTAGTTATCACCGTTGTGAACACACTAAGAGAGTGACAGGATTCTCGAAGGAAGATTTACCATCCCAACCCCGCGTTGCCCTCGCGCTTCCAACCAACTTCGAATTTCAACATTCCCGCGATGAAGGTGACAATGATGCGGAGAGATCTTTGGTAGCAAATAATAGCTCCAGCGATGATGATACTGTGACCCAGGTATAGTTTATATAATTTCCTGAAGTCCGCTAATTTTTTCTTTCCTACAGCCGGATGATCCCCAACCAGATGACGTGTTACAACTTCACCACAAGAAAAATGGACGCCCTCGCCCTCGCCTTCCTGATCCTCAATTTCTCGAACTCTTACATCACGCCGAGACAAAGAAACCCAACCACAAGTCAAGCAACACACAAGCCAAGACTGCATTGGCGAAATCTGACGAACCAGGCGAAGGACCTAAAGCTACTCAACTGGGCTGGTATGGTCCTCGTTGGAAGAGCTTCCTCGAGGATACGAAGGGCGAGTGCCGCGTCCAACACGCGATCGAGAACCCATTCCCGAAGCTGGTCAAAGACTTGACAGGTTCTGTCAACGAGGTACTCATGGCCTCACTTGTCGAATGGCTCGAAAGTGGTCAGCACGTCGAAGAGGGTACGTCGTTTTGTGTTTGCTCAAGACATTACTCAAATGTCTACCAGGTATCTGGCCTGATCACAAGCACGATATGGCCAAGCTGGTATGTATTTTTGTCGTTGCGTGTCCAATCACTAATGCGCTGTTATTTTAGCTGTATGAGGATTTATCAACCTGGCGCTCAGACCTCAAGAAGATTGTGATTAACATTGTGCCTTCTATGTACAATCTTATCCCCCCACCCCACATCCCCCCCCAACAACGTGCCGCCTGGGTCACAGCTGCCGCTGGGGAGTTGCTGGAGGATGCTAAGTTTCTGCGCAATGGTCTAGATGACCTCGGCAAAACCCAAAACGCCGCTCATCCCGCGCTTCGCGAGGCCGTTATTTCTTTCTTTTACACATCATCTTACCGTGTCGCTCGCAGGAGGCCTGAAATCTTCCGGACACAGTTACCACTCGAGTGCTTGGCATTAGTTTGCACCGCGGTATGTTTTCTGCGCTTCTATCTTACTAACAATCTACTGACATCATTTCTGTAGGTTAATTGTGTCCTGGACGGCCTTGCTAAGAACGGCAGCGGAAAATCATTTCCGAAGTTTACCGCGAAGGAATACGGTTCGTTGTATAGCCTTACGGTCACTAAGCTGCAGGGGATCTTGGAACATTCTTACCATGGACCGAAGCTAGTGCAACAGCTCCGTTCCTGGGCTCGAGCTGGATGGCAAGGGCTTTTATTTTGTGATGTTTTGCATACTGACGAAGTTCGCACAGGGCGGAATCCTACAAGGTGGATGGCGGCTTCAATGATGCTGCGAAGCATTCGCATTTGAAATTTGTCCTTGATTGAGGTCTTAGCGCTATTCCCCCGCACTGATTCTATCTCGAGCATCATTCCCGCTAGTGTACAATGTATCGCGTTTTCCGCCGCCGTGTTTGCTATCTGATTGAATACCATCAAAGTTTGTTGATCATTGTGCTTATCTGTACACGTGTGGACTGGTTGGACAGTGAGCAGCGGTAGTACAATGGTGCTTATCTGTACACGTGTGGACCAGTTGGACAGTGAGCAGCAGTAGTACAATGATATATTATTGACAATCTATGTACAATGAGCCTTCTCTGTGAGTCTGTAAGTTGTCTGTACGAAAATTTACAGAGTGATGTGGTACTGTAGTGAACTGTACAGAAGGGACCAAGCTGTATCGCTTGGGCTCTGTACAGAGCCCAGTATTTTGCTGATGTATGAAGTAGTCAAACTAGCGGAGAGACGACACGCTCAGTAAGTCGTAGAACAATACTAGCATTCAAGTTATGTACCTAGCGGAGAGACGACACACTAGTATACAATCAGTATGTGTGAGATACGAGCAAGATAAAGTTTGCACACCTCAGTAAGTCGTAGAACAATACTGAGGTGTGCAATACGAGAAGAGCAAGACTAAATACCGGTAGCTAACGAGACCGGGGAAACAATGTGCGGAGAGTACTCTGAGTCGTATGGTGAAGAAGCAAAGAAGACGCCAAGGGCGATGATGCATGTGGTGTTGATGGTGATAACGTCAAGAAGGAAATTGAAGGACTAAAGGTAAAAAGCTTACAGACCACTGAAAGCATTCAGCGTGATGACGAGTGATCGCTGTTCCTGCAATGCGCAGTGCGCAGTGCTGCCGACCAATGCCACCACGTACTTGATAGCTTTCAGCGGTGATTTGCCGAGGAAGGCTTCACGTCCCGCGTGCCACACAAAGCGAACGACGCTGGCCATGATAAACACATTTTGGAATTTTGCGGTTACAATGAGGTCACCGTGCTGAAAAAACCGCATAGTAAGTATAAAACATTAGAAACTTGCGAGATCAACATACCTCATTTACAAAGTATGCGTGCATAAATAATAAGGGATCAGCACCTCGAATCAACTTATTTACCGTCGTTATGTGATAGTCCTTGGCTGTTGTGATGCTCCCTCGTGGGGGGAAGAGGCTGTACGACAAGAACACGCCATCGCGTGAAAACTGGACTACTTTGCCTCGTATGGCGGACAAGGTGTTTGAGACCTGCCTGGTGTGGACGCGGGTTATAAAATTCTCGACCGTAACTAATAAAAAAATTAGCAGAACACCATGAAGTTGAGAATAGACTCACCATCATCCTCCAAACAGCGAGTAGAGTCTTTAATCGCATCCTCGACTTGAGCGAGGCGTGTCTTGGCCTTCTGGGTCATTGCATGCTTGGTAAACATCACCTGCGCAATCAAAACCTTCGCGCCCTTAACGGCGTGCTCAATATCTTCTTTCGACGAGCGTACAGTCTTCGATGTCACCGCTGGATCTTGGGTGATGAGTGGCTGTGGTGTTGTGGGATTTGTCAGTTCAGTGACACTGCAGGGGGCTTGTGGAACGAAGTAAGGTGTTCTGGGTAGTGCGGCCCTCGTATTGCGTTTCCTCGTAGTGTGTGCTGGCCCCCTTGTCTGCACAGCTGTTAGATATAATAAACGAATGAGGGGGGCCTCACGTGTACAACCTCATCGTGGGGTATCTCCCCCTGCCGGATCAGTGCTATATTCGTGGCCGGTGGGACCAAGCCGTTCCCCCGGTCCACGATGCCTGCTCCATGGTTGGGCGCTTCGTCGACCCATGGCGGCAATGGCGTTCTGTGGGCGTTGAAATGGCCCCGGTTGTAATTCTGGTTTTCATAGAACGACGTGTGGTCATTGTCGTTGTCGTCGCCGAAAGCGGGCTCCGTGAAGCGATCGTCGGGAAAGGGTTGCGATTGGAAGTGACCGTTGTCATTGGAGGTGTGCGGCGGGAAGTGATCGTCATTGGAGTTGGAGGTGTGCTGCGGGAAATATTTGGAGTTGGAGTTGGAGGCATGCGGCGGGAAGTGATCGTTGTTGGAGTTGGAGGTGTGCTGCGGGAAGTAATTGGAGTTGGAGTTGGAGGTGTGCGGCGCGCCAGATGCATATGTACATTTCCTCATAAGAGGGCTGAGTGGACTGTGCATAGTGACCCCCACTGGGGCCAGATCCAGCGTACATATCCTGGTAAGATTGTTGAGAGTTATCTGTCTCGTTAATTAGCTGTTGGTAACTCTAAGAGCAATGAATTACTCACCTGGGATTTGCCAACCTTCCTGTCCATCTTGACTCAGTTGGTGTGGATTGAAACTAAATGCTGACATGGAGGGTTGCTCAGCTGCGATGTTGAGCTGATCAGCGGCTGGGTGCCCTGATGGATTGAGGCCTGACCCTTGAGCGGGCTTGGGAACAGCAGCCTTGCCCTTTTGCCTTGAAGGACGGTTAGCAGCCATACAGGTGGTCAGAAGCAAGAGTCGGCAATCGAAAACGTGCAGCGGTTCATTCAAATTCGTAATTTTTATTACACACAAGTGATAGAACACGACCAAATGTACAAAATGGGGAGGTATTGAAATGAATCCATGGTGGTCTGGTGACAACGTGATTTAGCAAGCAGGAACGGCCTGGCGTGTTAATAAGTAGATATATGAACATAACTGGATAGGGGGCAAAGCATGGTATCATGAGAAGGATATTTATGAATGCAGCGTGTCCGGGAGTCGACATATGAACAGCACGATCCAAAGACAATTGAATGGGTGGCTATTCACTGATGTGCCAATTAGTGAGTGGCGAGCTGGCAGATAAATTTACATACCATGATATGGAAATGCTGTGCGATTGTGGCTATGCATTGTGGCTTTCAGCTTCTTCGTCATCATCCGAGTCCATGGTATCGTTGCCATCATCACCATCTTCGGAGGATGTGCGGGAACCGTTGCGGTAAACCGAGCTGGTGAAATGAGGGTGATGGGAAGATTCCCCCCTAGATGATAGCAAGTCACTCTTGGCACTCAGGCCCAGAACCTTTCCCATTATGTCTGCCTGGGCAGCGATGGCGCGAAGAATATTGCACTCATCGTCATAAACAGCTTGAAGGTAGTTCCTGTCGTCCTCGATTTCCGAATGGCTATGGCCGGTGAAAGCGACTCTAACTCTTCGCAATTCTTCATCAGAATTTCGAAGGTGCATTTTGTTATCCTCATTGAGCGCCTGTGAAAATTCTAAGTAATCCTTCGCCTCTTGAACCTTCCAGGTTGTAACCGCGAGATGTTGGCGTGCAGCCTTGCGGCCAGAAAGCCTTGCCTTGAATAGTTTATACAAGGTTGACAAGTTCATTTCCGCGAGGCCCTTCATGATCAACTCCTCGTGCTTTTATCATAAGATTGAGATTGAACCTCTAGTTCAAATAGAATGATGTTATAAACTTACCTCTGCGATGTCTTTGGCTGTGAACTCCGATCGGTACTCTTGCCCTGATGTGTGGGCCGAAATACGGAGCTCCAATGGAGAAGCAGATGTGAGCTTCCCCAAAAGGGGAGAAACTGGAGGAGAAGACAAACGAGGGGTTGAGTTGCAGAGCCTCATTGGAGAAGCGGGTGTAAGATGTCCGATAGGAGAAGATGGACGATGGGGAGGAGATGAAATGCGACACATTCCACGAGGTGAAGGGCTACGCGGTAGCTCTTTCGCTGAATGTAGATAGCCAGGCTTCCCACGATGGGACGGGGATGTCAAGCCACACTTTCCGCGACGGGACAGGCTATACAATAGGCCCTCTCTCACTGCAGGAGAGTTGGGCACCTCATCTACTGGGGAGAGAGGAATTTTGGGAGAACCTGAATAATCAGAGCCTATTTCAGATGTCATCAAACAAGGTGAGTTGTTTGTTTGCTTGAGAAAAAAATCAAAGGAAGTTGTTTCTACACGGGTTGCACTGCTGGAGTTAGTGTGAGCAGGACTGCTTGGCCGAGGGGAAGAGGAAATGGTGGGAGATGAAGGTGCAAATTCCATCGTTTCGCTGTGTAGACAGCTCAGTAGGTGATGACTGTACAAAGCAAGACTGCGTGATATGCGGACTTTGAAAGACTTAGCAGTTTCATGCGCACTCAGATACACTGGCAGCACTCACACCTGGAAAGGCAGTGCAAGTTGAAGTCTACAATGTAAGTATGTGATTATTAGATTCATTTGCCATGATACTAATCACAGCGGCTGGCACGTACCTTTGCAGGTTGTGTCCCAACTGCAAACATGGAGACTGTCCATTGATTGAGGCACTTATTCTGCATCTCAACTCCCAGCCTACTTGTTGGCCACCCGAAGCACAACCGAAAGAAATACCTGTCCCTCCTGTATTCCGTCGAGGTCCTAATTCATGTACTACCGGTACATGTCATCCACGTTCTGGATATGTCTTCGGTATCGGTAAAAATATGCTTGACACGTTAGAGGACGATCAATATGCATACCGGCAAAAGATCAACCACTACTACCCTTTCCATGATGAGGGCGAGTGGGAATTGGGGAAGTTCTTGGTTGAAAACCTCACTCAAACACAAATCACCAAGTTTTTGAAGCTGATATGGGTAAGAAGGATTTTCCAAGCTGTAGGTACAACTCTGATTGTGGACAGTTTAACAATCACGCAAGACCGTCTTTCACCACGAAGGATAAACTCTTAGATTGGATGGACTCGCTCCCCTGTTTTACAGAGTGGAAAGTATCCAAAATAGAGTTTTCAGGCTACAAGACAGTCCACCCCATCGAACTCATTTGGCGCAATGCACTGGAGGTAGTCAAACAACTCTTTAGCGACCCAATCTTTGCGAACCATATGACCTTTGACCCACACCGTGTCAATGTTGGAGATCAGTGTGAATACGGAAATTACATGAGTGCCGATATGGCATGGAAAATCCAGGTGCATTCATTGTATTAATACATTCCTCACCGAGTCACAGAGAGACTTGCAATTTTCTAGGACCATCTCCCTATTGGTGCGACCCAAGTGCCAATTATCTTGGGATCTGATAAAACCCCCATCACACAAATTACTGGAGGACTCGAGATGCACCCGATTTTTGTCACCCTTGGTAATATCAATTCGGAGGTTCGCTCCAAAGCAACTTTGCGAGCTTGGCGCTGCGTTGCCTACATGCCGATCTCTAAGTTCCGTGTGCATCCGGATTATCAGAGCATTCTCCAGGCACGGCTATGGCATAAATGCATGGACCTAATTTTTGCCAACCTCAAGGCCGCGGCAGCAGGAGGATGTTTCATGACTGACCCTTTCAGATATATTCATCGTGTTTTCACGCCACTTGTCGCTCATGTATGCGACCTGCCAGAGGCCACCATGATCGCTGCAGTTGCTAAAAATGCATCCCCTCTGACTATGGCGACCAAAGAGGATTTTGGTGATGGGATGCTCTACCCCCCCATACTGGGAAGCATACATTGGAACTCCTCATCGACATTGCCAAAACAGTTGATCCTTGGGACCTCGACAAGTTCCAGAAAGCGGCCAAAGCTCTCAATCTGTCTGGAGTTCACATGCCATACTGGCGCGATTGGATATATGCATGTCCATCTGTCTTCCTCGCGGGTAAAATTCTCCATACCTGTTTCAAATTCTTCGCCGATCATCCGCTAAAATGGGTGAAGGAGGCTGTAGGAGCTTACAAGCTTGATTCCCGCTTCATCGTTCAGCACAAGCAGGTTGGCACACACCACTTCGTGAAAGGAATCATGCACATCAAGCAAATGACAGGCCGTGAACACCGGGATATACAACACACCATCGTCGCATCAATTGCAGGCACTGTTCCTCCTGAATTCATTCGTGCAATCTGCGCCCTTGTAGACTTTGCGTACCTCGCACAGAATCCAGTTCATTCGCCCCAATCACTCCAAGCAATGACGCAGGCACTTTCGGATTTTCACTCTTTCAAAAACGCTATCGTCGCTGCGGAAGCAAGGAAGGGGAAGAAGGGTGTCAAAGCCAATTTCTTCATCCCCAAACTCGAGCTAATGCAGAGCTTTGAGGGTACGATCAGGAGGTTGGGAACATTGATGCAGTTTTCAGCAAATACGACGGAGCGATTGCTCATCACACACTGCAAGGACCTTTTTCCACGGACAGCTCAACAGAGCAAAGATTTTACAGAACAATGTGTTCGCATTCTTAATCGTCAAGAGTCGATGGAAATATTTGATTTGTATGCATTGCTGACTTCTCGGGGGGCGCCACTGGTCAATGCCATACACGCTGAAGATGAGGAGGTCACAACTACTAATCCTGCACTTTCCTGGGTCTCCCGCGTTCTCCCTGACGAAGTCAAATCGGTTCACGGTCCCCGACCAGTCCGTAATCACTTTCTAAAGGGCATTCTTTCTGGAGACGCTCTCACCGCATTTCAACTGAATGTTACGCCAGATTATAAATCACTGTCACTGGCTGAAATACGCACTCCCTGACTTTGATCGCGCGCTCACTGACTTCATTTGTTGTTCATCCCTGACCAGCGTTGAGCACACCCACTGGGACCCCAAATATGGGCGCTTCCAGGCGTGGAACAAATTATGGCTGCAGCTTCACTTGGCCTTCCAACCACGGGTCATCATGCCAAGCAGAGTAGTGCAAGTGTACCCGCCGAGTGACAATTTCCCCTTGGGCAATTGTGACACTGTTCTCGTCGACAGCCCGGGCGCTGATGGCAACATGAGTATGTTTATTCCTTATGTTCGAGCACTACTAATATTATATCCAGCGAGTTATGTCACCCAAGTTCGACTGATTTTTCAGCCGACGATCCGAAAAGGGTCTGACCTGAAACTACCATCATCCCTCTCTGATCCACTTCTCTATGTCCAGTTTTTTCGCTTCGTTTCCCATCCTGAAGAGCGTCCTGAACTCATGATGTGGACTGTGGAATGTGCATACACACATGGCAAAAATGGTAACCGCCATCGTGAGGGAGCTGTCGTGCGAGTAACGGATGTAACACATGCGGTTGAATTGATTCCAGACTATGGCAAGGCAGTGGACAAGAGCATGTCCTCTGCAACATGTTTGGAAAGCTACGAGCGTTTCTTTCTGAATAATTTTGCAGACAAAGAGAGTTATCATGCATTCAGTACCGAGTTTGTATAGGCAGTAGCATATTCGTGTATCGACCGACTACCATCATATCATATCTTTGAGCATTGCATCTTATCAGCGCGAGATAACTTTGACTTAAATTTGATCAGCCAGAAATGGCAGCAATGTCGGCGTTCACGTCTTGAATCTCTGTTCCACCAATCGCATTGCTCCATCACCAGCGTCGTAAGCTCTCCGTAATCATTAATCTTCTTTTTGACAAGCGAAAATTATGGGTGTTTTGCAGATGATGTAGGTCTCTCTAGACAAACCTACCTTTTACGAACAAAGGTAATCGTTCCTTATATATATACAAGTGCTTGCCACTGCGCGGCTCGTTGGATTGATCTAATTTGTTTCTAATAACAATTCTTTATATACAACAATTGACGTCTTGGAATCAATGTTTGTTTTGTCTTCTGGTAATAGGATGTGCGAGTCATCTTGTTGACAGATCCGTGAACGGGCTGTGTAGAGTTGACCATGTGCGAAGACATTGCAGTGGAGGTCGAGAATGGTGTTGTCAAGGGTAAGACCTTGGCAATCGTTGAAAGTCGTTGCATATGCAAGACAGAGGGGAAATTGGAGACGATGAACGGTCCAACTTGGGTGTGGGGTGTGAATTCGAAGCGGATGTGAGGGATGCATTGAGTATCTGCAAGTTGACCTGTGCTGTTGTTGATGACTCGAACCTCAACATAGCGGCAGTGTAATTGTTGTATAATAAGATGCGCATTCTTCACTAGTCCCTTCTGAATATATAGTGCATAAGTGAGTAAATACAATTGCACTTGAGATGAAGTTTGTTTACCGAGTTGAGCTATGAAGTGATGTACGACAGCTTGAGCCGAGCAAGGAGAACCATCTTCAAAAAGGCCAAGATAGACCTCTCCATCATATGTGATAGTTTGAGGCTTCTGAGCGAAGATGTGGCAGGAGTCATCAGGAAAACCCTCCTGAGCGAAAAACATTAAAATTTGAGAAAAACATTGTGATTTTCAAAATTTTATCTAATAGTCTGAAATTCCAAGTCTTATAAAGAAAGAGACTGAGGAGATAAAGATGTATGAAATAAATCACGCAAAAATGTCAGAATTATTTTGAAAAATGGCAGAATTATTTGAAAATACAGAAAGTGTATCTATCTAAATACGAGTTTAACCAAAATGAGTTACAATCATCGAGGACGGTGTTGCTCGTCCATTCTCGTGGGACAACAGCGCCGAAGTTCAGTATGAGATGGACACTGCGCACAATGTTTGCCAATGGCACAACACTGGCCACTTTTTCGCCACCATCCATGGATCGCAAAAGCTTGTGAAGTCCGTGGTGTCGATCGGGAGCAGAAAGGAATGGAGTAAACCATTCAATATAAGCTAGGTGGTTGGGCACCTCGACTGTTGGTGGGAAGAGGAGTGGTATTGATTTGGCTGGAAGTGCGAAGACGGCTCGTACTTGCCCAACACGGAACCCTAGTTGACTCGGTCAATCGTGAGTGACGTGTCACCTTGCTAAACATACCTTGAATACCGGCACTAACAGCATCTGTATCTGGACTGAGGCTCACAAGAGCCGTATCCGAACGGCGAGCCAGCGGATGAGTACCCGAGCTCCGTCGTGGTCTGGCATGGACAGAGTCCAATGTGACTGTCGTGTTGCCATGACCGCGAGAATCTATTGATAGCCACTTGATTCTATGAAAAACAGGGAGAGTTCGGAATGGGATATGAATGTTGTGGGCCAACACATCCAGTGCAAGACCATGGGGGGGGGGTTTGGATCATTGGTGTGGCTGACTTGTGTGATATAGTGTGCGAGTGCTTCACGGACATAGGTAGCGCCGTAGTCATCGATGAGCTTTTGTATACTGACGGCCTTTGCACTAGGGTGCTTCATCATCGATTGAAGCCGGCGGAAAGTCATATCCATCAGGAAAAACTGTTCCTCTATATAGTCACAATAGTGCCCCAACTAACCATAGGATCTATAGAATGGTGCTTATTATAGAGCTCTATATGGCTCTCTAAAGTTGCTATAGTTGGGTGAAATATACCACAACTATTATAGCTATTATAGCTCTTATAGCTCATCTTAATAGCTGTTTGTTGCCATGAAAGTGTACTCAAAACTCAAAAAAAGCGAAAATTTCAAGTTATATTTCAAGTACTACAATACATGTAAACTAATAACTACAAAACAAGCAAAAATGCGAAAATTACAGGAGGAAGAATCAGAGAGGAAAGATTAGGGCATGACATGGGTCGACCCGGGTGATACCCGCACTCAACCCACGGGTAACAGAACACTCAGAGGGCTGCCCACACCCACCCGGATCAGAGCATTATGGGTACGGGTGCATCCGCGGGTAGATCCGTAGGTGGTACGGGTCACCCACGGGTGAGTGGAATTTTTCGAACACAAGAAAAAAGTATGTACGTAGATTACTCGATAACAATCTCATTGCTCTTTCCCTTCCCCAAGGCCTTGCCTTTGCCCTTTACCATCTTCGTGTGCATGATTGATGTGACAGCACCAAGATCATTCATAAGAGGAGTGTTGTACCACGATCCGACGGCAACCTGCGCTTTGAAGGTTTGTGAATTTATGCCATGCTGGAGATGGTTGACCTGAAGACGGCCACCTGAAAATGCCCGCTCAGCATCAACCGAGGAAGCTATTGGTCTTCGTTAGATGTCATTAATTGACAAGCGAGAAAAATACCTGGAGCCGACAAAAAATCGAGTGCCATTTGTGCGAGTCGTGGTCAGGTGGCTCGAGCATTCTCCCAGTACTGAATAACACCACCGGCAGCCTGTAGCTCGACTTTTGAAATACGGGGGTGTTGAGATATCCGTCCATCGAGTCCGGAGGGACAGAAATGTCAGCCTCGTCTTCTCCGTCACTCTGAATAGCCCATTTACTAGACGTGCGCTTGAGCTGAGAGAAAACTGTTGTTAGTAGAATACACGATAAAACATAAAGTGCTCACTGGAACATGACGTGTTGTGATTGAAGGGGTTGGTAAAGAGGGTAGTGTTTCGTAAGACTCGTTCCAGCATTGCTGTGAAATCCGCTTGGCTTCGACACGGTCATTTGGATGCCAGTCTGGGTTTTTCTCAAACCATTCCAGCTTCTTGTCTGGACACATTACTATATCATGATATATTAGCTAAGGACAGAATATAACAGAGACGGAGACTCACTGATTGCAATCCGGTACACCTCATTGTCATCAGTGAGTGCATAGTACTTGCCGACGACTTGCAGAGCTGCTTGTGTGGCAATCCGAACTACGGGTGGCTCGTCCTCAGCATTGTAGATACGGTCAAGTGCATGTTCGAGTTTTTCGAGCATGGGGATGACTTCAAAAATCAGCGGCACGTTGGCTTTTGAGAATAAGTTTGTAAGCTCATTGAAAAGCTTGAATAAGACTCGGATCAGCGAGCCATCTCATTAACAAACCAACATAAAATATACCTCGAGGATAGGAACCAAGTGCTCGGAAAGCTTCCATTGCGCAGCCGTAAGAGCGTAGTCCAGTAACTTGTTCTGGTCCGTGAATAATTTGACCTCGTCTTTGAAATTGAGATGTGCACTGAGACACGCGAAATCGGAATTCCAACGAGTGGGAACACGTCGATTGAGGCGCCGTTTGTGAGTGTCTTCGCCACGTAAAAATACAACAGTCTTCTCGAACTCCTCTTGCAATGTTGTGTTATCGTGTAGTTTACGGGCAAGACCAGCCACCTAGAATGACAAGGTAGTAAATACTTCGAAGATGGAATATAAACACATCAGATTACCTTGGGAAACAAGCCGAGGGCTTCAAGTTCCTGTGACTTCGACATTGTAATGTTCGCAGTCCTGGCTGTTTGAATAGCTTTATCGTGGACAGACTTAACGACTTCACGATCGTGTGCTTCCTTAGCTTCATCGACCTCGACCTCGATCTCATGGGTGCCCGATGACTCATCTTCGGCCTGAGGGAGACCATTCGTCTCCTCGTCCAGAAGTTCCTGTTCTAAAGGGGTGAGTTCATCATTCTCATTGCCATCTTCGAGGGTAATGATATGCTCGGAACCTCCAGCACTGTTGGGATCGTCAAGTGTATTTACACGACGACGTTTTCGGCCTCGTTTGGCTACCTTGACCTGTTTTTTCCGTTTTGGCTGACGGTAAAAAAAACGATATGAATGCCTAAGGATGTTGGTTAATTTAAAATCAGCTACGAAGATGATAATAGCACCTTCGCAATGAGGTTGACCATGTGAGGGAAACATCGTGAACGTGAGGCCTGTCTACGGAAGCTGGGAATGAGCCTCTGCAGATGATCAGCAGTGCTGTCACAGTTGCTAGCATTGTCCATATTTATTGTATGAAACTGTGACAAGCATCAGACCAAAGTTCGATATCGAAGTTGAAAAGCCCTTACCTTCTCTCGAAGACCAAACCGACCGAGGCAATCAGCAATCATCTTGGCAAGATATTCTCCTGTATGGCTTTCCTTTAGACTAAAAATGTGTGAGTAATACGTGCGTGACACAGGTTCAACACGTACTGGATAAATTCCAGTGTCGCACGCCAGATTCGGCACTGCGCAAGCCACACTACTATGATGCCAAGGTATGAGTAGGCAAACGGTGCAGTCCATCCGTCAGTGACGAGATGAACTGAGCCAGTGTGTTTCTTAAGGAAATTAGTGAGCACGTCAACAAGTTTGATAAGGGTTCATACCGAAAAGTACTCCTTGACATTTTTCGATCCCTCAGTATAGATTTCGTTGATATTGTGTGACACCATGCGTGGTGATGGTACAATCACATCAGGGCGCAATAGCTTGACTTCCTCGATATAAAGAGGATCAGCTACGAAGTTGAATGGATGCTTGTTAACGGCACAGCACATCGCTATTAGGGCACGATGGGCCTGAGGTGTGTACTTCGAAACTGTGCCACTAAGGGTTTGCTGGGCACCTGTTGCATTCGGACCTTGAGTTGAGATGCCGCGCCGCTGGATACATTCTTTGACACCCCGGTTGAGGTTTTTCGTCCCTTGCGCAGTCTGCATGCGCTTGCAGTGATGTGGTTTGTAGTTGACAGGGTCAGAGCGGCATGTAAACCCGAACTCGAGATAATCAGGGCTGCCGTCAGCTTTCAGGCGACGTTTTAAGGATATCTTGTAGTGATCATAAGTGGCAGAATTCCACCGAGATTTAGACGTAGCTGAAAAGACCAGTGAATCCGTGAATAAAATTGAACAAAGGGAGAAAAATACTTATAATATCATCATCATTTTTGTCCCAGACATCAAGATCAGTGTCGTCGGCCTTCACTCGATGTTTTTTGGTGGGAGACTCTCAAACGGGAGGCGGAGATACCACTGTGTGCCTACTATGACTGCGTGTGTTCTTGACTGGCGAGGAACCGAGCTCAAATTCAACACTCGTTGGTGTGCTGAGTCTGTCAGAAGAGGCACCCAACATGGGGGTTGCCAGTGGGTTGCAACTCGCAACAGTTGGAAGTCTTGTGAGATATGAACATTCACACTACATGGAGTCTGCAGTAAGCACCGGCATAATGAATATGAAACAATGATTGACGTCGCGTAGAATTTTGCAAAGATAATCCATCGATAATGATAGATCGAGTCAGCAAGTCAGCGTGGCACTGCCACACTTTTTGGGTCTCCTACCCGCGGATACCCGTGGGTACCCAAGTTCTGCAAGTCCTCGTACCCGTACCCGCATGGGTGAATCAATCACAGGTACCCATCACCCATACCACCCGACCCACACTTTACCCGCAGGTGCTGCCCAGGTGGGTACCCGGGCAAACATCACCCGTGTCATACCCTAGGAAAGATGACTACAAAAAAAGAAAGACTTACCAAATACTGAAAATTGCGAAAAATTATTGAAGGAAGAGGAGGGAAGGGAGCTAGAAGGAGAGGATCAGACAGAAGGAAGAGAGTCAGAGAAAAAGACTTGCCAAATGGTCAAAAATGCGAAAATAATTGGGGGGAGGAGGAGTAGGAGGGAAGAGAGCTAGATGGAGAGGGTTAGAAAAAAGATTAGTCAAATAGTCAAAAATGCGAAATTATGGAGGGAGACTTACCAGAGTTCAAAGCATCAACACCAGCACCAGCACCAACAACATCAACACCAAGACAGGGATAAAGAAGGAAGAAGAAGAGAAAAGAGGCAAAAACTCGAAAATTGTAAGAGAAATATAGAGGATAATCTAATGAGGGGGCAGTGGGGGGGAAGGAAGGAATGGGAAAAGACTTGTTGGTTGACCGCATTTTTGCTTACATAAGCAGTGCCAAACAAAGCCACAAGCAACTTGACCGTGGGAACTTTTTCGATGAAAATCAAAGTTGTAGTCCTTAACAAGGGCAGTCTATCCATAGTCTAATGACTTCAATAGGTTAAGATCCTAGTGAGTTATAAGGAAAACACTTGAAATTGAGGGATTCAAGAAAGCAACTTGACCGTGGGAACTTTTTTCGATGAAAATCAAAGTTAGTCCTTGACAAGGGCAGTCTATCCATAGTCTAATGACTTCAATAGGTTAAGATCCTAGTGAGTTATAAGGAAAATACTCGAAATCCAAGGGTTCAAGAAAGCAAGTGGACCGTGGGAACTTTTTCCGATGAATACCACTTTTCTTACACAAATGTCCACAACATCAATCACTACACTTTTCTATACAAAATGTCAAAATTGCGAACTACACTTTTCCTATACAATGACATTCACTACACTTTGGTATACAAATGTCATTCATTACACTTCCCTATACAAAAATGTCAAATTTGCGTACACTACACTTTTGCTATAGAAATGTCATTCATTACACTTTTCCTATACAAATGTCATTCCCTACACTTTCCTATACAAAAATGTCAAAATTGCGGACTACAATTTTCCTATACAATGTAATTCATCACACTTTCCTATACAAAAATGTCAAAATTGCGTTCACTACACTTTTATATACAAAAATGTCAAAATTGCGGATTACACTTTTCCTATACAATGTAATTCATTACACTTTGCGTCAAGGACTATAACTTTGATTTTCATCGAAATATGTTCCCACGGTCAAGTTGCTTTCTTGAACCCCTCAATGTCGAGTGTTTTCCTTATAACTCACTAGGATCTTAACCTATTGAAATCATAAGACTATGGATAGACTTCCCTTGACAAGGACTACAACTTTGATTTTCATCGAAAAAGTTCCCACAGTCAAGTTGCTTTCTTGAATACCTCAATTTCGAGTTTTTCCTTATCACTCACTAGGATCTTAACCTATTGAAGTCATATTCCCACGGTCTACCGGGGTCACTCAATATCATAGCCACTAGTAGCTACTGCCATATTTATTGAAGTTGTTAAAGCTAGGAATAAAATGTGTGGTTGCTATAGAGCTCTTTATAGAGCTATTATAGTCCAAAAAGCTGTTATAGTTGGGCCCTTTTGGACCACTGTCTATAAAGCTCTATATCGCAGAACAGTTTTTCCTGATGTCGGGTGGAATCGAGTGGTGAGGCTTCAATTGTTGAGTGCCAGTAAGTCGCCAGCTGACGAACTTGGCATGGCGTAAAAATTTTTCCTTACATTCGAGCCAGCGTGTCATCTGTACAAATTCATCTTTATGATTCGTGGCCCGGTAAGCATCCTTCGTGTAGTCAATGTGGAACCATTCGGTGTATTCTGTATTGTAGTTATCTGTCGTACCGAACATGATAATCATGAGATGATAGTGGCGGGTGGCGTGCAGCTTCGGTAAGTTGAAACTGTGTTGGATTCCGAGTTCGACGAAAATGTCCTTATTATTGTGAAAACGATTGAGTGCGTCGTCCAGTAGTTGAAAGGTTTCTGAACTATGGCACGGATATTGTGCAAGATAGAGGAAGTCGAGTAGACCCTGTGCTGCACGTAAGAGTCAGTTTCCGTTTAAATTGTTGGGCAACCGGATACCAATCACGATACCAAGGAGGAAGCAGCAGATTTGAGCATGTTCAGTCCCGCTTATGCGTGACAGGCCAGTGATCCCCTTGCTGAACAGATGAATGTGGAGGAAGCCAGCGACAGCGAGCGTCAATTTCGGCGGCTCCACAAGCAGCCATCAACCATCCTACGAGGTGCTTTACCAAGCCTTGATACAGCTGGTGTAAGACATCTGGAGTGATTGCGTGGAAAATGTTAGTGAACGGAAGATCTTCCCAGAAAGGATGGACAATTGGCTTGATGCCCGCCGCAGCGCAAGTGCGAACAAAGGGCAGATTCCCTTCAGCGAACGCAGTGAGTGCATCTAGCACCTCGCCAAGTTTTCGTAAGTGAAACGGCACTGTATTGCTACCCATTTCGTCAGCGTCAATATCGCATTTCGGACACTCTCCAAATTTGATCCCAGTAGCGAGGAGTTGTTCTGGGTAGTCGCCAATGAAATTGGCAAATAATAGATGACAATGGCGGACATCACCATTTCCACTAGCCATATGCAGTCCATCTAGACCGACAGATTTGAGTGGAGCGAGAATACGGCTCAAGCATGCGTGATATAAGTTGGCCGAAGTTGGCCGGCGTGAAGCTTTGTTGGTTATGTGTTTGAGCCGTGTTGATGGCAAGTAAGCGAGTAGAATGTAGGAACCAGACGACGGCTTGCGTCAGTTTTCTTTCAGGATGTTCCCAATTGTGAGATACACCGGATAGACAGACTTGTTGCGGAACAGCGTTACTTGCGTTTTGTCGGATGATAAAATGACGGGAATGATGGTCCCACCTGGACGGCACTGATCGAGTTTTTTCTGTAGTGTTGTAAGTATCAAGCACGTATCATATATACTATTGACCTCACGTACCTGCGTGTCCCACCACCATTTACCTGTTTGCATATCATGAAAGAGACGAACAGTCTCATTCTCATCGGTATAATGCCGCTCGGGGGCAAATGAAAGATACTGCACGAAGTCCAGATCACTATACAGTGACCTGACACATTCAATCACGTCACGATAATAGACGTCAAAGGATTCTCCAGCGACAATGATCTGCTCTCATTTAAACTTCGGCCGGCTGGTCGGAAGTTCGTGATCGATCATTGAATTCAGCTCGTTTGCGTTCTTGAACGAGAGCGCTAAGCGTTCACTGACCTGCAATTATTTAATTATGTAGACAAATGTATAAATAAATGGCATATCTTACCCCCTGGATTGCGAGCAGGTCAGATAACGACGTTGAACTGAGTCCACGCAGCTTGGCCCATCTTGCGACCTCCCAATCCATCTTAGAAGCAAAAGGATGATACACGTTATCCCTCTCTGCATTAGAAAGGTGTGCCCCATATTCCACATTCGCAGCACGGCAGTTGGCTTGATTGATGATTCGACCAGCGCGCGGATCTGGGTAAGCCACAACCACACATCCGTGCTGCCCTTGCGCATGTGCTTGAATGTCCTGGTGAGCAACGTGCTCATCGTATTGAGCGCCGTGCTCATCTTCCTGGTATGCATCGTTATGAGCTATATCATCCTCTCGCTCTTCGACCCGAGGCTCCCATTCAGGTTCGAGAATCAAACCATCATTTGAGCCACCATCGCTGTCACCACCGCCGTCGCCTTCGCCGTCACTTTCACCATCGCTGACTTGCTCGGGAGCCCACGTAAATTCATTCTCACCATAACCTTCCTCTGTATCAGACCTCTCCAACTCGTTGTGAGGACCGGTTTCATTGGCTCGAGGTATTTCTAACCGTGACTGACGGTACAGCGCTTGACAATGTGTGTTGCAGCTCTTGGCAAGATGCTGACTGAGACCCGTAACTGTGAGATCATCTCGGCCGCAACCAGGGCATCGTGGTGCCATACGTGGGAGCAATGAGCAGAGGGATCAAAGACCGAGCAGAGGGACTTGAAGAGCGAGTAGAGGGTCTCGAGTGATCAGACGGACTCGAGGAGAGAGCAGGGAGTGAGCAGAGGGATCGAGGGGGCTATGTGCAAGCTCAAGATCCGTGTTGCTGTGCAAACGTACGAGCTAGTAAAACAGCACTAAACATTTTGAGGGTCAGTCTGAGGTAAATGTTGAGAAACTCACCGAAACTAAAGTCAGGGCCAGTTGAGTTGAACTGCCCCCGATGTTGAAAAATGCTAAAAATCTTGACGGCACCCTCAAACTTTTCAACTCCCTCCCAATTTCTTGTCTTGACAATTCACAGTCCTTCGTTAGCCTCCCGTCTTTTTTATCTAGTTTACCATGTCCGCACCTACTAATTCTCGTGGTAAGTGGCTACTGGTAAACTCGGAGTCAGACAGTACTCACTATGGGCTTCATATCAGAGCCGCGAAAAGCCAAGACCAGAGCTATGGAAAATGCTGGTAAGTATGCAACCATCCTAACATGAATATTTGATACTCACCTGCGAGATCAGTCTGGAAGCCTAAAGCAACAAAAATAGCTCATCAACCGTCCCCGCCAACTCGACTAGGAAGCTCGGGTCCCGGCGGCGGTATCTATCAGAAACAGAAAAAAATCAGCACCAAGCACCCAGCACCAAGCGCCAACAGTAAGAGTTTTTTTCCTCCCTACAGTACATGAACTAAACACTTACCTTTGATCAGAGAACATCCAGCGCACAAAAGTGGATCCGCCTCCAGATGTGACTGCTCACAGTGAGTGCATTGCTGGTTCTACACGATGAGTCATAGCAATTAGACTAACCTCACGGTACACAACAGAGCGCCAGCGTACCTTCACAGATGAGGAGGACATTGCTGAGTCTAGTGATGATGAGGATGAAGACCTGGGACCTGAACTCGAAAAACCTCGAGGTTAGTTATCCACTGGCCCTTGAAGAGGCAGTGTTACTCAGAAGTGCGTAGCAGGCGTGTATCGACCTCACAAACTCCATCGCACATACGCAATGCAGGATGTGTCTGCATTGTCCAAGTCTGACGAGCTTGACTCAGATGAACAGGTCAATGATGATGGTTCGGACGCTGACCACGAGGAGAGTGAAGGCGAGGAACCAGAGACCACTGCCATGAGGATTACTTAATTCACACGCTATCTGAGTTGCGTGACTCACAATTGAAGGTCCCTCAATTGCTCGTCGTCGACAACGTCAAGGGTGTTTCACGTGGAAAATCTCAGTCGGCTCGAGAACTCAAACAAGCTGCGGAGGCGAGTTCAAATTCATTCACCTTTTTGGACACAATTCAGTTAATGACTCATTTACTAGACTCCAACCTGGCGTGATCTCGATAACGCTGTTTCAGAGTCCATCAATGAAACTACTACAACTTGCGGGGATTCAGAACCCTACTCCAGTGACAGCGCCAACCCCAAACTCACCTCTGCTGCACGCCACAGCATTGCTTCTCTCATTCGAACGGAGTCTGGTAAGGTAAAGTTGCTCGATCAGAACCAGGAGACTCGACGAGTAGTGTGGGACGCGATTGTGGACGCCAAGTGTCACATTGTCTTTGTTGATGCCTATCCTGAACTGATTGACAAAAACCAAGTCTCACTGCAATCTTTGCTTACAGTGGCTGGGGAACGTGGCCTACACGCCATTAAACAATGTCTTCAAGCGGATGCGACATATGCCGTTCAACTCAGTAGTTTGGTAAGTCCTTTGGCGTCACAATTTCTTTTATCTTTAACATTTATTACTTGAGGTGGAGCCACACATTCCGATATTACGCCGCGAGTTGAAAGAGGTTGCATGCGCCAACATCGACAGCTACTTTCGCCTTGGTCACAACGTAGTCAAGGCAAAAAGACTCATGGAGAAGCACGCATATATATGCTTTGAAGTTCGATGTGAGTTTGATGCCCTGGTCTCTCGCTAACATACTCCCTTTCTACATATCATCTATCCCAATTTCCTATGCGCTAACATATTCCCTTTCTACATATCATCACCTCCATGCCTCACAGCTCTTACTAACTTTCTTTCTTCACCAGCTCAACAATGAACCTTCGCCTATCAGGAAAAAGCCCTACCAGGGTGACCTGCTAATCTTCCTCATATACACTGGAGTTTTCAACGGCGCGAAGTCCATTGGCGTCAAATATGCGGAGCGCTTCATCAAGATTGCAAACAACAAGGCCAATCGCCCCAAAATACCTGTCCCATTGCTGGTGCTGGTCGCGACATCAGTAATGTCCATTCCCCTAGGTCATTGAGTGGCACTGACTTGTTTTTTTTTTCAAGGTTTACAATGCCCTCTTTTGGAAAACACTTGGTTCGCCGGGAAAGTTCAATTTCACGGGGAATCAATTCAGTGAAACCTATGTCTTTCACGTGAAGTTCCTCGAGGACTTGAAGAAGGACGCACCTGGGAAGTTTCACCGCTTGATGGCCGATATTTATGGAGCTGTACAGTAAGTTTTAAGTTCGCTGGTGTGCATGGTGCCGCCGCTTTGATTTGCATATTGACGCTGCTGGCAGGGCGTTGAAACGGAAGGGAAATGATAATATGGCCACCGAGCATGAAGATGCACTGGCACTACTCGACCTCGATGGCATGGTTGAGGATTAGCTTCTACTATGTTGGTCTATACCCGTAAATAGCACAGATTTGTTGATCCCCTTCACCAATCTATACACTCACTTTTAATCAAATGCTACTTTGTTTTCTTGTAATCCTGTCTGAATCACGTGATTTTCTCGTTGAAATTCAACATATTCTTTCCACAATTCACAACATTTAGTTTACAAATGCCTAGAATATAAAATAATTTCACAAAATTATAAATTATTTGCTCGGGATTATATCTTATGGAGAAGGGGGTAAAATAAAAAGTATAAACTTTCTAAACTTTCTTAAGGCGATAATCCACAATAATTTGTTGTTTTTATCGAGAATTTCTGTGAATTAGTAAAATTTAGCTGAGGAGGCTTTCCCTGATGCCGAGTTGGTCAAAGGAAGGCTTCCAGTTAGAATAGATGAACCAGGCAAGACAGAGGTTAGTGGAAAAGTTTGAAGTTGGTGGAAATCACAAAGGGTGCAAGGGAAAACCGATGAAGAACACCTTTATATTTTTGCCGTGTGTCAATGACGTCGACATATTTTGGAGCTGCTGCGTTCCAACGGAAAGATGAGGCAGTTGGTACAGTATAGGACCGGTCCTTTAGCCACCACATTTTGGAATGCATCCCACTTCACAGTGGCTTGTTTTTTCGCAAATCGTAGTAGACAATAATATTATAATATACATGTAAATACTACGAACCAACTTCTAGAGCTATTGGCGACGATGTTAGTATGTTGTAGCAAGATCATTGAAAACAGCGTTATCTTTGACTTTACCAGTCCTTTAGCCACCTCGATTTAGAAATTTTAGATGTCACATCACGCAGCGCTGACATGCGATCTGTGAGTTTAGAGTGGGGAAGCCAAACAGCGTGACAGCTATGTGTGACAAACTCACCAAGATAAGACCTTCAAAAACTACATGTGTTCAATCTATCCACTCTGTAGAAGGAATAAAGGAGACTTGTACAAATATGTTGCAGGTGAAAATGATGTTTGAAGTATGTACTTTGTATCCTACCAGCCACTTTTTCTTTAAAAAAATCATTGATCTACTATTGCTCTGAATAGAATTCACTGAGGATGAAAAAAACAACTAATTTGTGTCATGCACAACATCGCAGACATCAAGTATCTATCATATTCTATAGCAACGTCCGTTGAGGCCTCGTCCTCAATTACTTTCTATATGTTGATACGAAAAAATGAAGAAATCAAAAGTTTTACCTGAGGTGGCTAAAGGAGTGGGGGTGGCTAAAGGACCGGTCCTATACTGTAGTAGGAAAAGAATTTAAGTTCTGAATTGGAGGATGTATTTGGAAGTTGGTTAAGTAAGCACACGCGAGACGCACGCGGCACGCGGGTGGACGACGCTCCAAGGATGACTGCATTCTAAGTATCAAGGTCTGACTACGGGAGACTATTATGTACTGCGTTTGCAGTGCCAGACTCTATTTTTGCATTCGTCTTCTGCTTCCCCCTGCCATTGCTACATGTCAGAATTGACTAATAGTTAAAGGACTTTTACATCCTTCGGACGAGTGGATCACCATGTTCCTGTTGATATACAAGTGAGTCGCCATGTTTCTTTTGACATTACTTGCTCTAATACTACTATGCTCTGAGGCCCCTCATACGTAGATACAACATCGAACCATTCTTTTTCACGTCCTCCATTAATTGGATACCCTCACGATACCAGGAAGCGCCCACCCATAAACAAGGAGATCGTAAGGCTAAACCCTTCATTTTGGGTCACATCTTGATGTCGTACGACAGACATCACTGTTACCCTGCCATTTGTACGAACACTGCGTGATTTAAAAGATCCATCAGCAACCCCCTCTCCAACACCACCATCACAACCCGAGAACCCTCCAGCAGATGCCCGGATCAACATCCATGCTCCTTTCCCTATGGGCGGTATGTGTATCGATATTCTTATATTCACGCTCCAACGTCCTTCCTAGATGATGGCATGCTCTTCATCGACCTCTTCGCAATTCACATGGTCCGCGGCGTAAAGACAAGCGCCATTATCTCCCACCATCCCGAGTCTACATGGTGCCGGACATCCGCGAAGCGACTCCACTCGCTTATAAAGCTTGTGGGGGATAGTGTGTACTGGCAAATAATATTCAAAAAGTCCAAAGACCCGACGTTCGTGTTCCTGTGGTACGCACTATATGCATGGGATGAGTCCTTTGAGCTGCTGTACAAACACGTTAGTGACTTGGTATGTAGTCCTCGTTCAGAGTGGAAGTGATATCGCTCAAGCGCAATTCAGGAGTCAAAGGTGCTAGGAAAGCGCATCGAGCTCACGCGCGACCTTCATATCCAAGCGCATCTTCTGCACTACCAATCACTCCTTCATAACTTTGAAGTATCAGTATCCTGTATCAAGAATACCAACAATCCGGCCATGGAGTCTGATGACTTCAATGTCAAAAGAGCGGGAAGATTCGCAGAAACTTACGAAGAAGGAAAGCGAGAATCTACTCAGCGAAATAAATCGTCTACAAAGACGGTGTTTGATGCTGAGCAACCGATTGAAGAATGTGATGGACCTTGCTTTTGCGACTGTCTTAATATTGATGACAGTACGCAGAATCGGAGGTTGACAGAGGCGACGGTCAGAGACTCGGCGGCTATGAAACAGGTATCCTTCTTTTCTCAAATTAAAGTGACTGACCAGACACTAACAAACTACTATCATTGTCATACACAGGCCGTGGCTCAGGCCGTCTGAAGCTGGGCCAAAGCCGGGGCTTTCGAGCCAAGCCGAGCCAGAACATCACTACCCGGGGCCCGCGTCGTCGATTCGCATCTAAGAACACTCCACGAATATGAAATCCTCGCCTTTTACCACTCATCTACTCAGACACTCGCGTCTATACAAAGGTCACCAAATTAGTAGTTTGCTGATGGTCAAACAGTCAGATAATGCACCTGGAGCTCCCCGCAACGAATCAGGTATCATGTTCAGCTGTATGCACAACTCATCATTCTGACGATGAAGTTCTCTAAGCTTCTGTGCCGCTAATGAGTGTGGGTTAGGTGATTGGATATAAACAGAATGGATTGACATGCCTTTCGTCAGTGTTTCATGACGCGTTAAAGGATTAACATTCCCCCCCGTCACTTCACGGGTTGCCATCTGGAGCTGCGAGAATCCCTCCCCCTCCTTCTCTCTGTATAGGCGTATCATCTCTGCCTTGCTCTGGTGCAATTCGGGCAGCAAATTCATTTGAAAGATGAATCATGAGCCTAGATCAATAGAAGGAGTGGTTAAAGCTTGACGTACTGCGTGCTCCCGCACTGGATCTTCCTCGCCTTCTTCATCAAGAGGCTGCCATGGTGTCACACAGTCAGGCCACCTAAGTGAATGTCAGGATCGGTCTCATGAGTGGAAATCGGTAACTTACAAATGATCTTCTGTTTCTTCTTCCTCTTCCCCGCGGGATAATCGCCGTATAAGATTATTGTCCCTGTGCTTCAGGGTGTATAATGGCGTGTAGCGGTACTGTTCAGAAATATCAAACGCCTTTCGGAGGAATGCTGCTTGAGCATCAGTCCACCAATCCAACTGATGTTTAAGCGCCAACGAGATCCTCTCTCCGGCTGCGTCAGACCATTAGTATACCATCCACCAATAATCGCAGACCAAGTAAACGAACATTTGTTAGACAAGCAGATATAATACCCCTGACACGTGAGCGTGCTGTCGACGAGATGTGCATTTTTCAGCTCGTTCGCCTTGTGGATGACACTAAGAACCCTGCCCTGGGGAATATGTTGTTGCTGGGGTTTATGCATCATGAGGAGGGCGCCTCGCTTGCCCTCCTGGAACTGGAACTTGGCCTTCGCAGAGATGAAGGGGCTGATCGATTAGAACGTTTAAATAATAGTGAGCAAGCAATAATAACTGTGAGAAAACATACTCTTCTGGCTTCAGCGAAGAATCATCCTCTTTTGTAACTGTCGAGGACATGACTATGTCTTCCTCTACTGTGCCCCTTACAGGTTGACACGATGCATCTGATAAATCGATCATCAAACCTTGTTGGTTTAATGACTCTTGGAATGCTGCATCATATATATTTCCTTGAACTTCAAGCTCTCCACATTCGCGATTGATCGTCCCGTAGTCCCCAACCTACAGGGTTTGAGAGTTAACTCCGCGTGGCATTTACTACTGACCTTGATCTCAATCGCCGGGTCCCAATTAGCCCACTTGGATGACGTTTGGCGAATAAGATCAGTAAACTTGCGGGCTCGCATATCATCAGTCTGAAGAGGGATTTATGGGCTAAGCTCAGTAGGAAGGGTCGAGCAACACCTGGCATACCTCCTCGTGCAGTTCATTTCCGTCCTCATCAAGAGGGTCCCATGGTGGGATACAGTCCGGCCGTCTGAGCGAATGTCAGAACAGATGATGAGTTTGACAAACGGGAATCAGTAATTCACGGGTCATCTTCTGCCAAATGTTCCTCTGCCCCATGGACCAATGGTTGGAGCATGCGTTTTAGGGTGTAAATAGGCGTGTAGCGGTGCTGTCCAGCTTTGTCAAAGGCTTGACGAAGAAACCCTGCTTGAGCATCTGTCCACCAGTCTACAGAAGCTTCTCCATCAGTAGCCACGCCTGCTGGACTAGCGGCAAGCGCCAATGATATCTTCTCTCCGGCTGTGACAGGTCATCAGTAGACTGTTCACCAATGAAGCATAAAGCAGGGAGACGCACACTTGTTGGATAAGTAGAGATAATATGCCGGACACTTCAGTGTACTGTCGACTACATATTTATCCTTCAGCTGGTTCGCCTCGTGGATAATACCTAGAACACCGTCCAGAGGAATAAATTCCTCCTGGGGCTTGTGCATCACAAGGGCGGCACCTCGTTTGCCCTCCTGGAACTGAAACTCCGCCTTGACGGAAGCAGAGTCCAAATTGGGGGAGGAGCTAATCGATCAGAGGAGTTTCAATAATAGCACACATTTGAGAAGTGTGCGCCCTTACGCTTCTGGCTTGAATGCAAAGTTCCCCTTTTCGACACCCATGGATAACATGATTATATCTTTCTCGACTGCGCCCAAATTTGTAGGCTGGCATGATACATCGGATAAATTGATCATCAAGCCTTGCTGCTTCAATGACTCTTGGAACACTGCATCGTAGATGTTGCCTTCCACTATAAGCCGTCCACTTTCACGGTTGATGGTCCCGTAGTCCCCGACCTACAGGTCTTGAAGATGAGGCAACCTCGGCATAGCGTTCACTGTAGCATTGATACTGACCTTGATCTCGATGTCCGGGTTCCAATTAGCCCACTTGGATGATGCCTGAAAAATGAGGTCGATGAACTTGCGGGCTCGCATTTCGTCAGTCTGAAAAGTGAATTTGAAATCAGTAGGAAGGGTCAAGCAACACCTGGCAAACCTCCTTTTGCAGTTCATTTCCGTCCTCATCAAGAGGGTCCCATGGTGGGATATAGTCAAGCCACCTGAGCAGATATCAGACATGATGAGTCTATAAGCAGGAATTAGTAACGCACATCCCATCTGTTTCCTCTTCCCCGGGGTATTTTCGCCGGAACCACTTAGTTCCTCTTTGCTTCAGGGTGTAGAGAGGGGAGTAGCAGAATCGTCCATCATTGTCTACCGCTTTTCGGGTAAGCGCAGGTTGAGAATCTGTCCACCAGACCACGGAATTTCTTGTAAGCGCCAGTGCTATTCTCTCTCCAGCTGCGTTACACCATCAACATAATGTCACCAATGAAACACAAACAAGTAAACGCACACTTGTTAGACAAATAGATATAATATCCCGGGCACGTGAACGTGCTGGTGACGAGATACTTGTCATACAGCTCGATCATCTTGTGGACAAGATTCAGAACCTTGCCCCGTGGAATATATTCCTGCTGGGGCTTGTGCATTACAAGGATGGCGCCTCGCTTGTCTTCCTGAAATTGAAACTCGGCCTTGACGGAAGCAGAGGCCAGGTTGAGGAATGAGCTGATCGATTAGTGCATGATGAATGATAGCGCACAGAGGAAGGAGTGCATGCGCTCTCACACTTCTGGCTTCACCGAGAAATCTCCCTGTTTGACGCCCGAAGAGGACATGATGATGTTGTCGTCGAGTCCGCCCTTCTGAGGCTGACACGATTCATCAGATAAATTGATCTTCAAGCCTTGTTTGTTTAGTAACTCTTGGAATGTTTCTTCGTAGATATTCCCTTCCACGTCAAGCTCTCCAGATTTACTATTGATCGTCCCATAGTCTCCCACCTATGGACCTCGATGGTGAGACAAAATCGGCGCAACGATCACTAGAGCGCTTAAACTGACCTTGATTTTAATCGATGGGTCCCAGTTTGCCCACTTGGACGACGCCTGGCGAATGAGATCGATGAACTTGCGAGAGGCCGCAGTGTCTCGCATTGCTTCGGCAGTCGTTGTGTATGTGTTGGATTCCTACTCCACTGCCTCAAAGACCCCGTGCCTCTATAATGTAAAAACTCACATTGCCGCTAGGCTCCTCTAAGCAGACCAATAGAATAATTCCTTCTTCGTTATGTACTTCGAAGGGCGATTAGCGCCGCCTCATGGAATCCATGCATACCTCAATATATATATAAACTCACCGACCTTGCTGGTTGCAGCTATGGCTTCTGAATCCCCTTCGCAGCGAAACCTCAATGGGGCTTCACTTCCGGCGCAATACAAAGGACCAACCCCGAAGCACAAATTTGAAGGTCACGAGGAGACTATTTCGGGTTTCATCTTCTTGCATGACAACGTCCACATCGTGAGTGGGTCGCTGGACTGCACGATGCAGAAGTGGGACTGCAACACAGGGCTTCTTGTCGGGGAAGCATGGAAAAGCGAAGCCCAATACATAGACGCACTGTCGCTTTCACCGGACGGCAAGGCAATTGCGTGCGGGAGGGAGGATGGAAGCATTCAGTGGTGGAATCTAGAGGGAGAGATTAAAGGCGTCTGGACGGGTCATAGCGACTGGGTCCGGTCACTCTCATGGTCTCCTAGAGGAGACCATCTTGCCAGCGGATCAAATGATGGAACAATCCTCATTCGACAAGCAGCAAGCGGAGACATCGAGGTGGGCCCGATAGAGACGAAACAGGGCAGAGTGTTCACTCTTGCATATTCACCTGCTGGCGACAGAATTGCTTCAGGTGGAAATAGTACGATTTGCATTTGGGATACCAAGACCGGTTTGCTTGCTATCGGCCCCATCGAAGAGCTTGGGGCCTATGTGACATCGGTCGTGTGGTCGACGGACAACGGCAAATTATACGTAGCCTCCGACAAATTCGCACGTGTTTTCGACAGCACCTCGGGCGCGCAACTCCATCACTTTGAACACCTCCATCCAATTAATTCCATCGCACTTTCACCTAAAAACAACGTTCTAGCATGCGTAGGAAATCATGGTATTGCACAGCTATGGGATACAGAGTCTCTTCAGCCACTCGGACAGCCATTTGGCCAAGAGGATCACGAAACGCTTCACTGTGTGTGTTTCTCTCCAGATGGGAGATACCTGGCCTATGGCGGAAACGACATGAAAATCACTCTGTGGGAGGGCAAACATATAGCTCCTGAGCTTGCAGTACGTGCTTTTATGACCATTCTTCAAAGTGACAAGCTATACGCAGGAAACTCGACACTAGTCCCCATCACCGTCTTGCCTTGACGTCAGTACTCTCGCATTCGACTGCCTGCCTTGCTTTACTCATAGGTCCATCACAGGTTCAGGCTACAGGGAATAATGAGGAGGGGCATGATGATCCATATAATCATGATAACTTTTTCCGGGTAAAACTTGCATTTTGCCATGCCATACACGGTACTGATGAAAAGTATGTGTAGTCTTCCCGACCGTCAGGTCCCTCCTCTGGTCCTCCGCGTTCTTCCCAGCGTCTCCCGCCTTCGACTCGCCGCTTTTGGAGCATACTCATGCCCTCTCGACACCACCCGCCAGTAAATTTGTCCAGTCCACAGCCACGTCCCAAGCGCAGTTTCTTTGCCTGGCACACAGGACCAAAGCCTGTAACTGTCTCCGCTGGAAGACGAAAAAATGTGAGCAAAGGATTGTGTGTTCCTCGTGTGCGGATATATAACCAGATCTCTAGAGAATCTACGTTGCGCTCCCCCCATCGCAGAAGAAGAACGCCGACACCAATACTCAGGCGGGCCAGACATCCTCCACAGGACAGCCGCACTTGGTTTCCAACATGCCACAACATACTCAGACACAGTCTGAGACTCAACCCGCCCAAGAAGACTATGGTTGTTGGGGCAATTTTTGCCTCGCGCTCGGGTGTGTCCCACGTCGCTCAGTACCCTCCGCGGTTCAGGCTAGTGCTTCATGATACTACCCCAGCAAGTGGTATCCTGTCCTCCCTCTCAATCTTTACGGTACTTAACAGTTTTGATTCGATACTGCCTCATTTCGGGACACGGATTTTAATGGCTAATTGCTTATCTGAGTCTACGTTATCTCAGTTTTGTGATCATACAGCTTTTCAAAACGTGTCTGGCTGTGACTCCGCTCAATTGGATAAATCGTTCTAATAGGCTAGCTGCAGGAACTCGAAGTAGAATATAAATGCCAACTTGCATGTACGTAGCCTTTCCGACGGGGCTTTTCATTGCAGGCTTCAGCTGGAGCTTATTAATTGATTGATTGTCATGTCGATCTCGACACACTTGAAGGCCATAGGCTCGGACCAGTGGCCGATCGACAAGAGCTCGAAGGTTGAAAACGTTCGCTCAATACTTGCCCAACGTTCATCCCATTCACCGTGTGCCAAGGTGTTGGTTCACGTTCGCCCATCATGAACTGGCTCAGAGCATGTCTCCCGCAAATCTTGGAACCGAGACCGTTATCTCCGCGCGTCATTCGTAAATGCACGTTCGTCAAAGCGCGCCAGTTGTGTCCTATGTTAACTGAAACCCTCGTGCGTAGGATTTTCAAGCAAGATACCCCATTGGCTCGCCACTGACTAGACAATGTTCCTTCCATTTCATCTTTCAGACTACCCCACATTCGTACTATATGGTGGCACGCACTTCAGCACACATGCCATTAAAAGAGAGAATCAGAAGATGAGTCTAATATTTGAGGACGATCATGGCCACGGTCTCTCGTGCTCTCCTTTTGATCGGTAGCGCCCTAGTAGTCTATATTGAACAAAGGTCAGTCATCAGCACGTACTCTAAACATTGAGCTGACGATGCGCCAGATATGTTAGCCAAGCAACCACATACTGGACAGGATTTTCAACCATCACTGCCTTTATCTTACTGGGTTGCTCGTTGACAGCATTTGTCCTTGCCCTTGGTAGCGCGCTGCGCCCACAACTCAAGTTCATATGGCATTGTTTCATCCGCCCTCTTCACGCAAGCGATCAGCGAACAAGATTGGACAATGTCCGTAAAATTGTGTTAATAAAGATGTCACAGATCACTCATCATATCCGCAGTTTTACAAAGGCCAAGCGGATGTTTATGATGCAACTCGAAGTGGTCTTCTACGAGGCCGTAACACCATGCTCAACCTTGCCGCCAGTCATATCCGGACTATGCGCGCCAAAAATCCCAAGCAGAAATTGATCTGGGTCGATATAGGTGGAGGAACAGGTGCGTGCCTACTTGCTGGCCTGGTTATTCTCTCCTGAATGCCATTCAGGCCACAATGTCGAGCTTATGGATAGGCACTTTCCAGTGTCCTCCTTCGATGCTATTTATCTCATCGATCTTTGTGAACCCCTCCTTCAGGTTGCCAGGGAGAGATTTGCCAAGCGAGGATGGACAAATATCACAGTACTGTGTCAAGATGCAACTGAGTTCGCTCTTCCAGAATGGGCGCGGAATGACCCGAGAGGGAGCGTGAGCTTCGTAACTCTCAGCTATTCCCTGTCAATGGTAAGTTTTAGATCTTCTGTCTAGAATAAAGGACTAACATTTGGATAAATTTAGATACCCAATTTCTATGCTCTCTTAGATCGTATCGATTATGTTCTTTCCCCAGAGACCGGTCTTTTGTCTGTCGTCGACTTTTACACGTCTGGAAAGCAGCCGTCATTGCACGAGAAGGCCATCGGAGGGACAAGCAAGGAATGCGGATGGCTTAGCAGGTGGTTCTGGCAGATCTGGTTTGACTTCGACCATGTGTCATTGTCGCCGCATCGTCGAGACTACCTGGAATACAAGTTCGGCACGGTACGTTTACCAAGTAGCTCTAGCATCAATCACGTTTAACCACGCATGCAGGTCAAGACCTACAACGGTAGAAATCGCTTCATTGTCCCATTCATCGTCCGCATGTCAGTATTATCAGCCTTATATTCGAGATTGTCCTTACTAATGTTTCATAGACCCTATTACATCTGGCTCGGTCGCCCACGTTCGTGTGATGTATCTCGTTTCTGCCATGCCTTTGAAGTCGAAAGCGGCAACATGCTTGGCAATTGTTCACCGGCATCTTTTACGACTATCAAAGACTCAGAAACGATTCCACCACTTGAGATTGGGGAGCCTGTTCTCAAGACACAGGCTTCTCACGCAGACGCACTTATCACTGTAACCCCGCCTTTGAGCTCCTTCCACTACCATCTGGGAAAGGTGAGTTGACGCATCGTAAAATTCACGACAAAACTGACCATGGACTAGCCTTGGAGGCTTCCGTACTACGAGCAGGCTATACACCAAGCGTTCAGAACGTTTATATATTCCTTCACATGGGTCTGTTGTTTTCTCTTGACTTTGCCTGCCCTCAGATGCTAAACAGTACGTTAGGAGGATCCTGTAGTGGATATGAAGTACCTCAATCTTGGGCCCGAAGATTCGATGCTGGTTATCACGTCAGCAGGTGACAATGCTTTGCATTACGCCATAGCAGCGCAACCCAAGAGAGTACGTGGATCGATGAAGTATTGTCTGTTTGCGTGCTAACATCTGTCTCAAAGATTCATTGCGTGGATATGAACCCTTGGTACTACAATCTACCTTCCATCATGCGGCTCGACTGACTTTTCGCCCCAATACAGTCAAGGTCATTTGCTGGAGTTGAAACTCGCAGCCGTACAAGCCCTTGACTATGAAGATTTCTTTGCCATGTTCGGTGACGGGCATCATCCCAATTTCCGTGCACTCCTCGATTCCAAGATCGCTCCCCTTCTCTCTTCCATCGCCTATCAGTTTTGGCACATCAACGACAATGCTTTCTCTAAAGCCTTCTACTTGACAGGATACAGCGGTTGGGCACTGCGCCTCGCCAAAGTTGTATTTTCAATCGCTGGAGTATCGAAAGATGTAGAAGCTTTGTGCAACGCGGGCAGTATAGCTCTGCAGGAGCAGATCTGGCACGAGAAGCTGAGGCCCGTCCTTTTGAACCCTGTGGTCATTGCCATGCTCAAGAGCCCGATATTCTGCTGGAACGCACTGGGAGTGCCCCTCAACCAGCGCCGCATGGTCCTGGACGAAGGGACCATGTATGAGTTCATAAGAGATACCTTGGACCCTCTACCGTCGACGTATTCGTTCAAGGATGGCGCGTACTTCTACCCATTGGTAAGTTGAGGATGTTTGAATTTTTTCTCGCGCTTACAGGATACTATTAGACGCTTCGTGGACACTACACACCATCCTCCTGCCCAGAATATCTGACGCGCTCTGGATTTCAGGCTCTGAAAGCTAATAACGCCGAAGCTACCGATGCCTTTAGGCTGCACACCGATTCCATATATAAGTAAGCACCGTCATAAATTATGAACCATAATTGGCCTGATGGGACTCTTCAGCGTCTTGCGAGGATTGACTTCCTGGTCTCTCACTCGAGCCGTCATTATGGATCACCTCGACTGGTTTTCACCAGGATCCAAGGACGTTGACGATGAGGTTGACCAGTTTTATCGTGTACTCTCACCCGGTGGCTTCGTTCTCTGGCGCTCTGCAGCTAGGAAGCCATGGTACTGCGAAGTGTGCGTTTTTCCGAGAAGGCTGGTGACTTCTATGAAAGCTAATGTAGTGCTGCATCAGATTTAAGCGCAAAGGTTTTACCGTCACTGCTTTGGGAGTCAGGAAGGGGCCGGAGGTTCCACTAGACCGTGTTAATATGTACGTTTTTTTTGTAATTTCGAATTTCTCTGCGAAGGATTGCTAATCATGCATGGATGTTTGTGCAGGTACGCGTCCTTCTGGCGGGCGGTGAAGACGACCTAATGCTATGGGTTATTGTAGAGATATCAACTTTTCGTCGTGATACCAGTATGATATGTTCTAATGTTCTTGGTGTTCCTGCATTATTGATGACATTTGTGATCTTGGAGCGAGCGATCGATGTTTGGCATCAGCGCGCAATCCTACTAAGCCTGGCAGGTGCTTTTCGCTGTGATGCTTGAACGCCTGGTCTTCGGAGTTATGCCGTCCCTACTGTCAGTTGTCGGCGCCTCCATCATTATGTCCTCTGCTCTCTATGTTGTTGTGAGTGGTCATCGTGCTCGTTTTTTATTGTCAGATTCGTTTGCTGATTTGGATTTCACCTGCCAGATGAAAAAGGAGAAACCTAACCGAGACTGCATCACTGACGATATCACAGCATAAATATCAAATCCCTGTCCACTCCGTTGCCACATTGATACTTCTCTTGAATTTTTTACAATCCAAGACTACATGTAACATGGTTAGAACACCCGACTGTACCCTTTTCACATGTCTTATATACCACGCATATGTGTATCTAGGCGCTGGGCCGTGCTGAACCCTCCCGGTGCACCTACACCGGGTTACGGGTAGTACGACACTCCACAACTACTAGTAGCACATGACCCGACTACTATATGAGTCTAACTTTGATCATTCAGATTTCACTGTTAGTTGACAAAACGGGAATCTTGATTCTCAGCCCGATAGGACCGAATAACGTAAATTTGTATTACCAACTCATGTGTCTGTATATATGTTGACTTGTGGTTTGTAAAATGGTGGTCATGACAGGTTCATGATCCAGCGGCTGGCAATAGAAGAAACGACTATCTTCATTCTATCAAGGTCTGACTACGGGAGACTAGGCAATTAGTGCAACGTTCTGAAACCACTGGCGACACCCCAAACCTCGAAGATGAGCAACAACAAGTCTCCTCTCATTCACGTCATACGACACAACTATGGCTCGACACAACCCACTTCTGGCACATCCCAAGATAATGGAGCAATTGATGGACGACCCAGTGTCCCAGGTTTTATCGCCAGTAACGCTGGGATGCTATACATCATTGCTTCCCAGTTTTTCTTCGCTTCCATGAATTTATCGGTGAAGATGCTAAACAGCTTGGAGCCTCCGGTGCACGCGTTTGAAGTTAGCTGTTTCTTTATCTTCCCCAACTTGAAATGGATTGATTCTCAATATAACAGGTTATTGTAGTCAGGATGGTGCGTCACAGAGTTTCTACGAACTGCACTCAAGTTGAATATCAATTCGTCCCTAGGGCATCACGTTGATATGCTGCGTGATATACATGTCAGTCGGTTACTTCTTCCGACAATACTCGGCGACTGACGATACAAAGGATTATCATGAGGATCCCTGATCCAATCGTTGGCCCCAAAGGCGTTCGAACGCTACTGGTGATCCGTGGGGTCAGCGGGTGCGCATTGATTTTCACGCACGACCTCAAGTTTTAATGCTCATCTGATCGCTTAGGTTTATTGGCTTATGTGGATTGTATATATCGCTTCAGTATCTATCTGTCGCAGATGCGACAGTCCTCACTTTCTTGACACCTCTGACAACAGCGGTTGCTGGGTGTGTCCTCCTGAAGGAGGGCTACTCCATCACTCAAGCTGTCGCGGGAAGTGAGAGCCATGTTTTGACTTATCTTGTCTATGACTGCTTATGGAGGCATCATTAGTTTTCAGTTTACTTGGTGTTGTCCTCATCGCTCGCCCCCCATTTTTATTCAATTTCATGCCAACCACCATCCCTGAAGGATCCTTATTGCCGGAAACGACCCCAGCGCAAAGGTTGGCGGCTGTTGGGTGAGCGTCATTGTTTGAAAGTTGCTCCCCCTTTTCACCCTTCGATGTTGGTAGGGTATCTATGATTGGTGTGGTAGGAGCCACTGGAGCATGTACGCACTATTGTCGATCTACTCAGATTAACGGCTGCTTCAATGATTTTCACAGATACCTCGATTCGTGCAATTGGGAAGCGCGCTCATCCGATGCATGTCATGACATTCTTTTCATTGTGGTGCACCATCATGGCATCCCTGGGGTTCGCAAATACATCCATGCACATTTACCTGTCATATTAATCATTTACTATGTAACAGGATGGTCGTCTTCAATGTCCCCGTTGTATATCCTAGATCGTGGAGTTGGTTACTGCTTTTGCTCATGGTTGGTATCTTTGGTTTCGTGGCACAGGTCAGTCACTAGCGACCCTCTATTTGCCCGCCGGTGATCCATTACTTCTCTAGACTCTCTTGACGTTGGGGTTGCAACGAGAAACTGTATCGCGTGGTTCAACTGGAGTGTATATCCAGATGCTTTTTGCTGTAGTGCTTGAACGCCTAATCTTTGGAGTTGTACCATCTTTACTGTCAGTTCTCGGTGCTGTTATCATCATGTCTTCTGCTCTTTGTGTCGTCGTGAGTGATCATCGTATCCTGTTGCATGTCTCCCTTACTCAATTCACTTCCAGTTGACAAAGAGGGAACCTACCCAAGGCAGAACTGCTGACAGTACAGCGTAACATAGTGGATTCCACCAATTGGTACTCACTTATGCATCTACCCCAACATCACTCTTGTTCTTTTTCTCCCCCCATCTTGTGGCATGAATTGTCACCTGTATCCTTTTTCTGCATCTCGCGGTATGTGCGGTCCCTCGTTGCTCGAATGTTATTCGTGGGGTCACTGGCTGCACATTTAACATGTACGCACCACTTCAATTTCTTTGATGGTGATTTCGCCGCCCAGGTTTTTCGGATTACGCAGACTGTATTGGTCGATTCAGTACTTGTCTGTCGCAGATGCGGTAGTCCTCTTCTTGATCACTCTTACGACAGCGGTTGCTGAATGCATGAAGTACTACTCTGTCACTCAAGCTGTCGCGAGAGGTGAGACATATGCTCTTGTGACGGTTACAATTCACCAGGTCTGTGGTGCACAGTGGCGACTTACATACATTCGGACTTCACCCACCACAAAGCGGGAACCTACAAAACACAGCATGGCGCCACTGACAATCTCTGCGAGATTTATTCTCAGTATCACTACTATCATTCCGGGTAATCTGCAACTAGCATGTAATATGCAAAATGTTCAAAACACCTCAACGCGCTGCTCGACTTGCTTCAAAAAAATTCAGGCATATGTAGAATAAAAACGTGACAGCGAATAGGGGAGACTCCGAGAGAGTGTCAGGAATTCAACATCTCTGGGATCGCACTTTTAAGGTACTTCATACATCTCTATCAAGCACACAGTCACTGAGTCCGCTGACAGAACAATGCACGCTTTTCGTTCCACTGGTCCGTCACTTCCTTGGTTTCACATCACGCGCTCTTGATGCATTGGTTGTTCATTGTGACTGCTGAATCTTTTGTCTTCTTGGGCCCACAGTCGCATTTTCGTTCCACTACAGTTATCACAAGTGCTTTCTCGTCTATTTAAGCAGCGGCTTCTGCAGATACAACTTTCAGGCCCCTCTCCAGACACTTGCGTTATCGTGCTACAACTGAGGTAAGATATTTTATTGTCACTTGACCTTTACCTATGCTTACACTGCGCAAAGCCGTTTGATACAGGTCAATATACCAAACGTCTGTGTTGTTGTGTTCTACGACTGAGCGTATCTATTTGATACAGATCCGCGCGAATTGCTATTGTCTCCATATACCTGGATTCTTGCTGGAATCCGTAGCCAACACTGATTTGTGAAATCTGCCTCCTGAACCACGAAAGGTAATGCTTGCAGCTGGTTGTGGTTTCATCGGCACTCAACTGACGACTTCGCCCCACAGGTCCTCCATGGCGACGTCATTCTCTCCCCTAGCCAATGATACGTCTATAAGCGCAACAGCTGATGTCGACGAAGAAATTGCTGCATTAGCTGGGTCCATGGGTGTCTGTCACTCTCACACGAATGCTCCCCCCTCCAATTCCCGCCTTCCAAGCGAGATTCTCGCGATGGTCTTCGAACACCATGAATATCAGGAGCGTTTCGATGGATCTGCGAACGATGGTGTCCCTGCTTGTCTAGAAATCACACACGTCTGCAGATACTGGCGCGAAGTCGCTCTCGGTTGTCCTGCTCTTTGGACATTCATCTGTTCTCCCTCTGCTAGTTGGCTAGGCACCATGCTTGAGAGGTCGATGAATGCTCCTTTGATTGTGATGTTAGAATCTCCGGTCCCGCTAGAAAAATACTTGGAGCCTATCCTTTCACATCTATCGCGCATCAAAATCCTTCAAATTCCCTCACTAGAATCGGATTTCGAACCCATCATCCGCTTGTTATCTTCCCAACCTGCACCGTTACTTGAAATGTTCGAATTCACCAAGCCATGGGTGAAAGGTGATCCCAAAATAAGGCTCATATCAAATGCGATTTTTCAGGGACACGCACCTCGACTTCGGATTGTTCACATTTCAGGTTTAGACCTGAGCTGGACAACCCATATTTTCAGCGGGCTTCGAACCTTATATGTCAAGGCCATAGGAAAAACCTCCAATATTACCATATCGCAGCTCCTGTCAACTCTGAGACGCATGCCTGCCTTGGAGCATCTTACACTCGAGTGGCTTCGCATATTTCCCGAGGACGAGGAAACGGAGCTCCTCGACAAAGTACCCCTCAATTGTTTGAAAAGTATAACAATACGTCACCCCTCGATTCGAATTGCCGCGTTTTTCTTCAGGAAACTAGCCATTCCCGTCGACGCCAAGATCGCTCTTCGAGTCTTTTGTTTTGAGGGCCTTCATGACCTGTCCGACCTGTTTTCGGCCATGAACATGCCTCCTGGTGGATTTGGTTCCGTCTTTCAGTCCATGCGCGCCATCTACATTTCGTGCCGCGATTTGTGCGTTCAATTTAGTACGTCGATGGCGATGCATCCTGCAGACTCCTGGAATACTCGTGACGATGACATACGGCTATCGATTGAATTCGCATGCGAGGTGCCCAATGCACTCAAGCCAAGCGTCATATTCGATCTTTGTCGATTTGTCACGCCGGACCCGATTCAAAAACTCTCGTTGTCAGGGTTTAAATCTGCAGATAGAGATTTCTGGCGCGATGGATATGCCTGCCTCCCGGATCTCGAAGTTATTCATGTGAAGAACATTGCCGTTGGGGGCTTAATCGGTGCACTTGAGATCATCGAAGGCGAACAGATCTCAGATATACTATTTCCCGCCCTTCGTGTTCTAGAGCTCGAGGCGTTCGACTTCGCGCCCGAGTCTGAAGACATTGACGAACTTGACGAACTTGACGAATATGACGAGACGTTTCGGGATCTCATGGAAATGCGAGCCAAACATGGTGTCCCTATAACCGCCCTCCAACTCGCAGAGTGCACAAGTTTAGGTCCTGATGAGGTGCAAGGTCTTAGGGAAGTGGTTGCGACTGTTGATTGGGATGAATATGAAGAGCCGGAAGATGACTCCAGTGACATTTCTCATGATGAGATTTAAAGACATTGATCGAGGTTTTAGAGTATGTACTGTTGGAATACGCAAGCGCGCTCGCAGCCGAGGCGTACCATTAAGTCTGTTATTGTTGTTTCGTTCGTATTGTCCAGCGACACGTATGTTCCCATTATACGCTCTTGTTTTGTCTTCTTCCTATTGTACTTACTGAATCTTTGGATTGCTTGGGCCCATACTTCTTTTGTGGTCGTTTCACTCACTTATCCGCTCGTACAAGAGCACTCGCGATTATTTAGTTTACGCAGTTTTCACGCTAGAACCTCAGACGTTTGCATTCACGCAACGACTGAGGTAAGGAACTCTTTTCGACTCTTATATTTACCTTTACTGACACTGTGGATAGTGGTTCTAATGAAAATCATTGGAAAATGCACTGATGCTGAATGTTTCAGAGTAACTTCCACTGAAACTGCATGTAGTTATTTTCATTGGAGTGCTGATTCTGAATTTTAGCGCATCACCCTCAATTCAGCACATCCTTTCAATACAAATTTTATTGCAGCTCTTTAATGCCTGTCTTCCTCTCTTTTCTCTTTGGAGTACAACTGAGAGCACTAGCGCTGTGGTGAAAAAAATGCGAAAATTCCTAAGTTCATCGAATTGTCAATGATAATTCGACGGACTTGGGAATTTTCGCATTTCATGTGACCATGACTTTGGTATATATTGCTATTATTGTGAGATATATAAATGGTTGTGTGGCTCAATGGTAACGATGCCTCACGTATGATTACTTGAGGTCCTGGGTTCAATCCTTGGCAAATGCAAAATATAATGGGTCAAATTAGTCATGTGATGTGATGCAGCATAATTTCAGCTGATTTTCAGAGTATAATTTCAGAGTAAAATTCCGAACTTTCAGCACCTCGTTTTCAGCTCATTATGCTATACTTTTGACTACATTTGGTGCTGATTTTGCCTAATGATTTTCATTGGAACCACTATCCACAGTGCTAAACGCTACGTACAGTATCTGTTCTTCGCAGGTAAATATACCAAGAGACGTTTGCATTCACGCAACGACTGAGTATCTGTTCTTCGCAGATCCGCGTGAATACCTTTGTGTTATTCTTATATGTACTAGTTTTCTTATATATTGACGATGTTTTGATGAATCTCCTCTACGGCACAGGCCGCACAGCCAACAGATCGTCTCGAGAGCTGCGGAGAGTCAAAGTTGACGGTGCCGGTGCCGTGCCGAGGTGTGACACGACGTGACCATATTTTGCAGATTAGCAGTCAGACCCTGAATTTTCTCGGCTTTCATCCAACACCACACCACACCACAACGTCCTAAAAATGAGCAAAATTCAGATCTACATAGAGGTAGTACGAATCTATAACACTCTAAGAGTTACCTCTGAATAAGTTGGATGTCTGATGCTGTTGTTAATTGGGTGTGCGCTCAGACTAAGTCTTGACTTTTGCAATCTCAAGATCTCACATCCTGTGCTTCATTTCAATTTCCAATTTCGCAAAACATTCTCTATGAATGTTTGACATCGAAATTGTCGACATAAACCTGAAGGATGGAGGTATGAGCAGCCAGGTGTAACACGTGGTCATGCGGGGGGGAGTAACTCCGAGTAAGATGGGCAAAGTCGGCTTGGCGCTAGTCAGTTCAGCTCGACTGCCCGGGCATGAGCACAGGAAAGTAAGCAGGTTCGGTGGTTTCCAACACTGCTTAAGGCTGCTCTTGCTGCCGATTTCGCTTGTCTGTTAGAGCCTCGAGTGGGTGTTTGATTGTGTGGATCACCATCTAACGTCTCTCCGACGTTGAGCGGACCTTGACGAAAAACCACTACAGTTGAAATGCTCATAATGCATATGCTAACAATGCATAAGTCTCATAATGCATGGACTTTTTTGGATCCCGACGCCGTTCCCATGTAATTGACCGCATAATGCATATTGCATAATGCATAACCTTTGCATAGCCAATATGCATTATGAGGTACCAAATTGATAGGACGGGACAATAGGTACAACAATGTATTGCATAAATTTATTGTTCTGCTTCAGTGGTATTGTCTCGTTCGACTATGTATAGAAGCTAGCAAGTAATCACGACAGTACAATACCACACAACAATGTCCGTAAACCCAAAACGCAAACCCCGTGACAAGCCCGCTGTCTATAACCGACCTGCGAAGCGGCAGAAAATCACCAAGGACACTCCTTGAACTTCAGCTCATTCTCCCAAATGCACTTCTCGCCACAATCTTACACTCTCTGACTGGATAACAGTCTATTCATTTGTTGATTCTCATCCTACTGTATCACAGATTGAAATTGTTGAACACTTTAAATCTCTCAAGTCGGGTGCACTCAATTTCACGCAGTCAACCTTATCACGCAAGTTGCGGGAACGTCCAAAAATGGAAGCACGGATCAACGATAACCCTAATGCATTGTCATCGAAGCGGCCAAGGATTGTCACAAGGCCCGATGTCGAACGTGCCTTAATTCTGTGGGTTAGGCACATGGAGAGTAGACGTGAAACAGTGACTGGGCCTATGCTGCGAGAGAAACGGAAAAGGTTTGAAGATGAGTTTGATGTCCCGGAAAATGAAAGGCTGTCGGGGGAATGGCTCCAATCATTTTGTACTGCCTACAAGATTCGCGAGTACCGACGGCATGGAGAAGCTGGGTCTGTTGACATCAAAGCTGTTGATAAAGAACAAGAGCGTTGTCGTAAGATCTTGGCGAAGTTTGCTCCCAAAGATCGGTGGAATTTTGACGAGACATCGTTCTTTCCTTAGTGAGTGTTCATTTAAATTAATCTATGTCACCTAATTTTTTTTTTCATTTTAGTGCACCTCCAGACCATGGTCTTGCAACACGACAAATGAGTGGTAAGAAGAAAGAGAAGTTCCGTATCTCCATCGGATTAGCCTGCAACGCAGATGGAAGCGAGAGGCTCGAGCCTTTTTTTATCGGCAGGGCAAAGAAACCCCGATGCTTCAAGAAGCAGACACCGGAACAGCGGGGATTTTATTATCGGAATAATAAGAAGGCTTGGATGACAGCAGTCATATTTGAGGAGTACGTGGACATGATGATATGATTGCTGTTAATATCTAATCAGTGGCCTAGATGGATCAAAAAACTCGATCTTCAGATGAAGCAACAAAACCGGCATATTTGCATGTTTATTGATAATTTCTCTGCCCACAGCATCTCGTATCAACCATCAAACATCGATCTTGAATTTTTTGGGCCCAACATGACACCATTTGTCCAACCATGCGATGCTGGAATCATCCGATGCTTCAAGGCACTATATCGCCGTAATTTTTGCGCGCGCGCTATTGATCTTGACGAAGCTGGTGAACGGGATATTTATAAAATTAATATTCTCGAAGGCATGACAATGGCGAAGCAAGCATGGTATGCTGTCACGTCCGAAACCATCAAACATTGTTGGGATCACACTGACATTCAAGTGTAAGTCATCTTTTGACCTCATTTTTTTTGGTGCTCAAGTCTATCACAGTGATCCAACAACTAACGCTGACACACGGCCTCACACGGATCCACTTGCGTGGAACATCATCCACAAATTCGCAACTACCGAAATGTCCCTTCCCAATGCGGAGAACAAGCTACAGGCTCTTCTTGGCGAGCGCTACATAGATTCTGATTGGAGACCGGCCCTCAAAGCTGTAATGGATGCTGAAGGAGATGTGGAGATGGCTTTAAATGCCATTGATGCACTTATGCAAGCTGCATCTCGTCGTACCGGCCTCAAAATTCGTATTCCCGCGCGCTCACAACAAGCTGCCCAGCTATCTTCTACCGAAGCTGCGCTTATGCAATCAGTCCGAGAACTCCAAGCACGCAATCGCATTTTCGGTACCTTGCCAACTATTGATGAACTTCTGGACCCCGCCGAGGAGAGAGATAAGGGAGAATTCTCTGCTTTTGAAGGTGGTGACTCATCCATTGCAGACACGGTCCGCCACGAAATTGCCGTTGCAAATGGTGAAGTTATCGAGGTTGATTCTGATGACGACGACGACGACGAAGCGGATCCATCAATCACTCGTCAAAATATTCTCGATTTGTGCCAGCAGCTTGAAGTTGGATGCATGCAATATGGTGATCCTCAATTTTCACTTGATTTATCATCACAACTTCGAAAGTTTCGCGCGAACCTGCGACGCGAAGAACTACTTAATGCTAGACAAACTTCTTTAGAACAATTCTTCTCGGTATAATTGGGGATGGGCAACGCCCGTAAACAAAGTGTGACATTATGTAAGCACGATGCTACAGAACACGATGGCAAATATCAAGCATGTATCAAGAGTATGACTAGCGCACGCCAATAACAACTCCACGCGCGAAGAAATTATAATATCAGCTGTATAAGATAACGTCGAACAACTTGGCAAGAAAATTAACCATCATTCATCCTCAGCTTCATCCTCCCCATCCCCTAGTTCCAGCAAGTGGGAAGTAACAGCATTATTGTCAAGCGCTTGCGGCTGCGACGACGTTAGTTGTCCACCGGGGGTTGCCTCACCACTCAAATACCGTCCGACGGCCTCCAGCAGCACTTCCACCTTCTTCTGTTTCGTGGTTGGTATGTGTTTGGCTGCCGGTACTGCAGGGTCAAATCGACGATGCCAACGAATTTGCAGGTCGATCTCTGGGGTGCGAAGCTTTGTGATATCTTCAAGTGTGAGACGTGGGATGACCGCATCAAGTTTTGCTCCTGCAGCATCACGGCGTGCTCGTTTCTTGATATCTTGCTCCCGGTGCTGCCGCACCACCTCTTTATCATACTCGACCTGCGCGAACCGCCGTTTACGCTTAGTTTAATCGCGTAAGATGAGCCTTTTGTGTTGGAGAACGCCGTTTTACTGGGTTATAGCGGTCCCTTTTGACGTATCGGGGCTGCATTGGACAGTTAATCCTTTTCTTGACGCGTCGAAACGCGTCGCGTCGCGTCATTTTGCGCTGAGTCAGCACGCTCATTACTGCGCTCAATGATCGACTGGTTCCCAGCAATGCGACCCCTCGTGTCACTTGAAAAATCCGGTGAAATGTATTCTTTTTACTCTATCCTTGTATTCTATGAAAAAAAACAAAAAAAAACGGTGTGGCACTTCATGCCATTGTAGTGAGTAATCCTCCCAAGGCCAGCACCATTTACACTTTTTTCTCATAGAATACCTAAGTCTCGTTAATTCACATATGTTTCTCCATACAAACTTTCTGTCAGATTGTTGTGGTAGTATAGTGTCAGTCGATCTTTTTATTGGACACTTGTTTCGACTCTATGCACTGCAAAGCAAATCACGGGCGGAGTTTAAAATTGACCGAGCGCTGCCCATCCCCAGTATAATACATGTACTTCTGTAGGACTATGGACGATTTTCTGTCACACTTTTGGCGGAGGTCACATGCGTCACAATAGTGTGACACATATGCTATTGCATATGTCTCATAATGCATAACGTTTTGGCGGTCCCAACGGTATGCATTATGAGCATTTCAACTGTAGTAACTTGTAAGTACTGTCACCCGCAAAGAGCATGTGAAATCTAAACAGCGTGTTGCCTTTTTTCAGATTCACGGTTCTCCATTCGTCCCGAGTTACCAAGTTTAGCTTCTCGACCGAAATAAACTCGTTTGTCGGACAATTGCTCATGGTACGTGATAGATCTAGACTCTGCTTAACTCTGGGAGGTTCAAATAAACGTTGACTTGGTTAGTATACTACAGGTCATGGTATCTCGAGGCTGTTCTCCCACAATCACATTACAATTCACAACGCCTTCAAGTCTGGCCACGTTAGGCAGTGAGAACTTTCTCGATAGTCAGCTGGTTTTTATTCTTGTACTGTCCACTAAAAATGCGTGGCTCTCAGTCAGCCCACCATGTGGTGTATATAGGGATTGGCCCGGGAGCACACTCGAGATGATGCTGCCTGAGATCGATATCAACCTCGAGCCCACGCGTACTCTAGCCCCAGGTTAGCACGTTCCGTCCCGCTTGTTGCATACAGTTGAACGTGACTGCAATGAGCACGACGAATGCCTACATTGCCCTGTCCCAGACCCCAACGGAGGACGAAGCTCACTGGGATGATATCGACATAACGTCTTCTGCGCCAACACGGCGTCGGAATTTTGGTCTCCAATCTAAATGGTTTGAGAGTTTGCAGGTACAATGGCGAGAGACGTCATCGCGCGTAACCACCTTTGTTGGGACGAACCTGGGGATGCTTTTGATCATATTTGCGCAATTCTTCTTCGTATGCATGAACCTGGGAGTCAAGCAGCTGGACAGCCTCGATGTGCCCATGCACACCCTTGAAGTATGTTCTCTTGTCTAGACCTTGTGGATTGGGCTTATATATTTGTAGCTCATCGCAGTCCGTATGGTTGGTATCTCGATATTTCCTAGTGGATATGAATCTTGATTAAACTCATCAGGCTATCACCTTGGCGTGCTGTATATTATACATGTACGTCATTCAAGCAACGCACTGTATCCGTCCTCATATATGTTTTGACAGGGTTATCATGAAGATTCCAGATCCTTTCCTTGGTCCCAAAGGTGTGAGGCTGTTGCTGGTGAACAGAGGCCTGTGCGGGTAAGTTCTGACTTGGAGAATATATACTATTATGACGCCGTCGCTGAATCTCCCTTAAGATTCTTCGGTCTGTTCGGGATGTATTATTCCCTACAGTACCTTTCATTAGCAGATGCGACGGTCTTGAGTTTCCTTATGCCACTGTCAGCAGCATTAGGTGGATACCTCATCTTAAAGGAACCTTATTCGAAGCGTGAAGCATTTGCAGCCAGTTCGTGCAATAATATTCTAGCGTCCTTCTGTCGCTTATTCACTTTTATCGATGTTCAATGCTCTAGTCGTAAGCTTGCTTGGTGTCATTTTAATTGCTCGACCGCCTTTTCTGTTCGGTAATACTTCCAGCGTCAACTCGGACAGCAGTGATGTGGCTTCTAGAGCCACCGCGGCAGATAGGATACGAGCTGTCTGGTAAGTTGCCATTCATCTCTATGATTTTTGCTTCAACCTTCTCGCCAGCGTTGCTGTTTTTGGAATTATCTTAGGGACTGGTGCCTGTACGTCGTTGTTGCGTATGAGAGCTTCTTCATAACCAGTATATTGCAGTGTTGTCAATGCGTGCGATAGGCAGACGCGCTCATCCGATGCATCTTATGATGTTTTTCTCTGCGTGGTGTACATTCGTAGCCTCTGCTGCGTGAGTTCCATCACCCTGTCTTGCGACTCGCCCTCTGATTGGTGTGCAGAATGTACTTCATGAAGATCCCAATTGTTTACCCTCACAACTGGCAATGGGCTGCCATGCTGATTTTCATCGGACTTTCTGGTTTTTTTGCGCAGGCAGGTTGTTGTCCTTGTCCTTGATTTTTCCCGCTCAAAGGCGTTTCAAGACTTTAACTACGATCGGCTTTCAACGTGAGACTGCAGCACGCGGTTCTATGTGTCAATATATACAGCTCTTATTTGCTGGTGTCCTGGAATACGTGTTTTTCGGCACTGTTCCTTCGACACTATCGCTCATTGGAGCCGCCATCATCATGACGACAGCTATATATGTTATTGTGCGTTGTCGTTTTGTGAGATCATCGTTTCGTGGGTTTCAAATCCTTCTGCTAGGTTTCAAAGAAGGGTTCACCGAAGGGACCTGAGGCCATTAGCCTCAGAGAACCGGAATCCGCCCTTGAGGAAGGCCTGTTGTCTGCTGAATCGCTAAACATGACGATTAAACTTGCAGATACGAGCTCAAGCGAGAGGATAGAACATGACGAAGACTTGAACGAAAAACCGCCATCTTCATGAAGTTTATGACCCCACAACCTACTGTCATTGCAACTGCATATGCCATTGGTGATGGTACTTCATCCGGCTGATACGAAGATGACGAAGATGACGATTGTGTATTTAGCCGTCTATGCTACGAACTAGTACTGTATGAACGTATTGACCGGACGGATCAATGAAAGGATAAACAATGAAAACGATGCGAATAAAGAAAAACTTACCGCGCTCTACAAAGGAACGAATGAGAAGTACTCAGTACCACGGTGGCTACCACCTGATCACCTCAGGAGAGATCGGGTTTAAGCAGCTCTCCGTCTTGCAGCGCGGTGAAGCAGCCTCGGTGGTACTCGTTATCCCATGCCTGGTTAGTTACGACATTGACGAAAACCAAACTGACTGAAGCAGAGTCGTGGTTTCCACGGTTCCGGAGTGTGCATTACGTAGAAGCTTCAATTCCCGGGGAACACTAGCACCACGTGACCTTATGGTAGTAGATGGCCAAATATGGTATTCATTCATTCAGTCATAACTTTGTTGATGGATTCCTTTGTATCGCCTTGCCAGTATTTATGCAAATGCTTTTCAAATCGAAGGTCTTCTATCTCGAAGGTTGCAAACACTCAGCACGCCGCCCTGTAAATTCCCACTGTGCACGGACCTCAAGGACACCTTATATCTGGACTCTCTGTCGACCTTCAAGTTCCCTTTGTTGATCCACCGTCAACGTAGATTGCAATACATATATATTCATGGAGCCAGAAACCGATTACTATCAGATTGGTGGCTTCAGAGCTCACTCTGAGTCATGGTAAGAGCACCCCGCGTTGAATAATCACGTCCACCCAATGGTCCTCCAGGTTTCAAATGTACGACGACAAACAAATGATAGATGCTATCGCGAATGACCAGGGTCCCGAACTCAGGCCTGGAGGTCCTGGCGCGCCTATAGAGCTGGTCTTAGGTACTGGCATAGAAATTCTGATGTTTTTGTGTCGTACGTCGACTTATCATATCACACACTACAGGAATTCTGCCTTGTGGCGCCTCATACGTCCTCATGACATCTCATCAAATGTGGACATTCGTCCGGAAGCACCGCCAGCGGCCTCCTGGCAAGAGACCGTGGAAAGTGGATGATTTCGTCTCGCTATCCCCGATTTATTTTGCCACAAAGAGTGACCTTCAGGACAAGCTCAAGACCTACAAGGTGAAATCCCAAAAGAACAAAAAGGATAAGGAGGACAACAGCCCCGCAAACCGTGGTTTTATTCAACTTCGGGAGAGGGGCAATTCGAGCAATGCACGGGCGGACTTCGAGAACCAGAGGTTCGATGAGATTGCTACATATTTTATTGGTGACTGATCGGTTTAAAGGGTCTTGTATCGGTTGTTTACGCAGACCTGCACGCCAGGAGCCCTTGGTCTAATCAATCCAGTCTGGGCTGGCGCAATCAGAGTTATCTCGATAATCGTAAACACATGGCACAAGGATAGACGTCGCGAACGTTTTGACAAACCCAATATCATCGATGTCGGATGGACAGATGTGATGTTGCCGGAGTACTTGCAATCTGGGCGAGTAACAGAAACCGTACACATAAAGATGAAAGGACTCGCACTGAGAAATGAGGAACAGAACGCGGTACCACTCTTCACATACGTTCCATATGTGTTATCTGACGATTTTTCTCAGTCCTTTGAGCATGGGACCACCAACAACGAGGGCACGGTGGATATTCTTTACTCGGAAATACGGAGGGTCTTCGCACATGACGCTGCCCAGTGTGGTGTTCCACTTGTAGTGCTGGTTCACGAGGAAGAGATGGTGCGCGGAGTGCTTGCACGTTCTGGAATCGACGTTGGGTCGTTTGCCTCTGTCGGTGCGCTGCTACAGCGCGGTCGGCCTCAGGTAGCACATCTCTTCGCACCACCGAATTTTGATCTGAATTTCACATACAGAAACTATCTCGCCGAACCTCCAGATCACCTTCCCCGCGACGCTCGAATACTGGCGCGTCCCATTCCTCACGTGACTATGAACGACGCTGGAAATACGAACCTGACGATAATGCCAAACCTTTTTCTGTGAAACAAGAGGGCCAGTCATCATCATCATCGGTGCCCATCAAAGAAGACGGTAAGAAATCAGGCTCGTCACAACAAGATGGTGCTATTCCCCTCCCACCTGCATGTATCGTAAACGTCGAGACGATGGTCAAAACTTTGATGCGGGTTGCTCAAACTGGCCCTAGTGTCCAGGTGACAGCGCAGCGCATGAACATACCAGCAAATCCGCGCCTCCCTTGTGCAGGCAATGAATGCCAGTAGGTGTCCAGTTCACATGATCGCCTTTCAACAGATTTCATTCATGCACGCTCTAGCTTGCTCTTGAACATGTGGATGTCAATGATAGAGGGACGTGCAATTGACGAGCAATGGATGGACCGTTTAGCCCACCCTCTCCAGCCCCCTTCGCCAACTATAGCCCCAGTGGGGGGCGGTGCAGAAGAGGACGCAGACCCGAATGACTATATACCCCCGTCGATGAGAAACCCCGGCGGAACGGCTACCCGTGAGGATGATTGGTCTGATGACGATTGGTAGAAGTGATTTTGGACCTTCCTACTAAGTTTATCGTTGTTTTCTTGTCTGCTTGGGTAGCTGATTTTTGCTACCACAAGCCATCGAGCATCGCATAATATGAAATGGACAACGGACCACGATGTATAGACACTTGTTGGGACAATATGTTAAAGAAGCGCCATCGTCAATCACAATGCGTTCGTGTAGAGTTTCGGAAGCGTTCGAGGTCTCAGTTAACTCAGATTCAAAAACGTACCAATATTGTCATATCCAGATATTGTTGAATACATGCATGGGCGCAAATTCAAGTTAAGATGTAGATCTAGACAGAGCCGCCCTCACGCGCGGCCTCGGGCACCATTGACGCGGCCAAGATTGATATTGCGATATTGATCTTTGGCCCATCAATATTCAATGTTGCCGGAAGAATCACCAACTGCTAAGAGTGCACAACGCCGAACGGAGAAGCCCCGCAGATAAGAAAATAGTCAATCATACTAAGGTTTCGGCCGAGGCAGTTCCTGAGGCATTGATACTTTGTTGCTGACTCTCGATCGAGAACATAGCATGGTACACTTATGCCGAACGTACATACATGTTCTCAACAATATGTGGGAACGGGTGTTGGTCATATTAAACAAATGATAGTCTAGGTCAAGTCCAGGCAGATGTAAAGGGATATAGTGCACAACATGTTTTAGAAACCACTAGCAGGCCATATATCAAAGGCAGGATAGCGTGCAAAGCAAGGCCTTTCATCAAGGACTACCAGGTTCAACCTTGTCTTTGAAAGACGCGCGCGACAACGGAGAGAGGCTGTCTACCCCCACCGTCACGCTATAACCCCTTTTATGGTCCAACAGCGCTATATTGTCAGAGGTATCAGCCTCGCCAAAGTCTTCCTCCGCGACTATGGCGCCCGTTCGTTTATCGAGACGGAAAGTGAGGCCAGCGAGGTTGCTGTTCATGCGCCTTTCGTTATCATAAGGCAGCAGGAGCTCGCCAAAGCCAGAACGCGATGTGAGGGATACGATGGCTGCGATCGAGCCGGGTGGGCTGGTCAAATAAAGATTTCTGCGAGAGCGCTTGTGCAGGGTGTGGACGATGAGGGATGCAATTCCGATGCATATCAATAGCACGGAAAGCAGGTGTGCTGGCAAAGTTCTGGAAAGGTGAGGATTGTCAGAAGTGATATGATGATCGTAATAGAAGTAATGCGTACTCGACAAACAACCTTGAAATATCTGATGTCAGCTGTGCAGGGATGGTCCCATTGTCTGGCAGGAAATAAATGGTTTGCGCAGCAATAGAAAGATGTTGTGTCTGGATGCGATAAAAATAATTATTCAGTTACTTGATGGGTTCTAATGGCATAGGGTTTGCCTTACATAGATCTTTGTAGTGGCATTGACGAATCCATAAGGATCGTCGAATACGGATTGTGGACCGCCCGTTTGCTCCGAAGCGGACCGATATATAGCTCCTGGTATACCCGAGTTGATGGCGAGGGCTCTGGCGATAATGTACGTGTTGTTGCTAGCATCAAAAATGACCCTGAAGACACTTGTTTGAGACAGTTGGCGACGGAAAGAGCAATAGACTCACCCATTAAATGCTTCGCCGTTCAAAGGGTTGCCTGTAACGTTATTGCTATCCTCATAGGGCTCGACAATTATACAGTTTCCCATAGACCCGTCATTGAGATCCATCGTAGTCTCGACTACGAAAATAGCAATGCTCGGTTGGCAGAAGACAGCAGTCCCTAGTGGGTCTCCGTTATCAGACAAATGATAAAACCAGAAAACGACGGGCTGAAAGTTGAGATCCTGGTAAGACGGCGCGCACGTCGACGCCGGTGTCACAGAGAATTGATCGGGACCATCGTTAGGGTTAAGACCGAGACTGGCATTACAGCTAGCCGAAAATGTAGCCTCTAATGCAATACTTGTGCTGGAGAGATTGGTGGTCGTGAAGGAGGTTGGTTTTATGCAATTGACGTTCGTTTGAATAGCAGTGGTATTTACGGCTAGAGTTCCATTCAAAATGGAGCCTGGAGGGGCCTGCAAAACACACATGTGAATTCGTGCGATCCTGAAGAAGCGGACAATATACCGTGAATCGAGCAGCAGACCATGCGCCATGAATGAATGGTGGATCTTGAAGGTCATTGTACACTACGCAGTTTGACCTAATTCAGTCCAGCACATGCTGTTAGAGCATGTGTCATACCTGCAGCATCTGCATACTGTTTATTGTGTCAGCCGAGCGTCGCGATTGATCTGGAAATCTTACCCCTGCAGAAGCGAGAAATGAAGTAAGTTGACTGATGGTAGGCGACAGCCCGATGCTACGCGTGCTTGTTGCGGTGACAGCTTTACACCAACACGTTCAGTCTGAGTGGGCGGCAAAAGGGAGCTACTTGAGTAACTTTACCTGCTGTGTAGGGTTCCTGTCGTACTTGAAATAGAGATCCGGCCAGCGGCTGCATGAAGATGACAGAAAGGGCAGTGAGTGTGGATACGTTTATTAACCAGTGCCGGTGCTTGAGGGAATAATATAAGGTGGTTAGGCGACTGGGTAATGAGTTATCTTAGATTGTTAACATGTTTGTGAGTGACTGGTTCGTACTTGAGTGCGATCTATTGCAGGATGGTCACACACGTCATTACCTCCTCGTCCATAAATTATGAAAATGCTTACATAATCTAACAGAATACTGCGTGCTGCAGGTGCGTTGCCCTCGGATAATGTGACATATGGCTATGTACCCTGCAATGAGCATTGAAGGCAAATGATGTAGGTGGTCATGCTAACCTGATACCATCTGATCATCCAGTCTGCTACAGCCCAGAAATACGCGAGTGGGACCACCAGCAACGTCGGAATAAACGACTGTTGCGGGCTGATGAACAAAGATGTGCTGATGATAATATATTGGGTGTTACCGTGAGGAATTGAGTTGATACAAAGGTAAACACATTCTTTGCAGGTACTGAGAAGCCTGGAGAAGTGTCAGCGGGTGCACTACACGCTATCCGTAGACGAACATACCTTGGCTTTTATCTGATAAGCGCAGAGCTATTTCAAGTCCAACACCCAGACATATCATGAGTAGAGCAATGCCTCCAACAATATATATGTTCAAAACAATAGGCTCCTAGATTCCATTCATGCTTGTCAAAGAAAGACACATTTATGACAAAGGAGAATGATACTAACATAACGCTTGGGCCGGTGTACTTCTGTGCCAGGTGTTGGGATGTTGTGAACAGAGTCCCGAAAACGTTGCGAACGTGGAGAAACAGTATCTGACGGGGTTACAGTGCCACTCATGTCTGGGGGGAAAGGCAGGATCAGAAAGATTACTCGTCACTGTTTGTCAGTCAATATGCATAGTCTGGCATAGCCTTGCCTCGTCACTGACCTGGGCTAAATCAGTAGCAGCTTCCTCAAGCGTGCAATTGAAATTTGATGGGGCGCCGGGCGGGCGAGGGCAGTGCTAATAACACCGATCTGTTCACGCTGACGACGCTTGAATTGACTTTGGAGCTCCTTCAAAGGAGCCTTCCTCAGTCAGGGAAGATTCCTCAAGTCAGGGAAGCGATTCAAGTGGAAAGGATTCGGCTGCGACTAGAAATGGCACATGTTCCTTACACTATCTTTCAGGGTCGCTTCCCTAGTATTTTGAGAACTCAAATCCTTCGCTTGTAACATGTTTGCGACTTCCTCTGGTGTGATAAGTTCGCTGGCCTCAAGGTAGGCTCGTGGTATCATTCCGACTTGTCTGTATCACAAAAGTTCGGTGTTTGATAGGAAAAGTGATAAGGCATCCTTACGTATGGGGAAGGAGCACTGGCCTCGTGGGGCGTTTTGCGGCGACACGTTTTTGCAAGATGGACCGGGTGTCAGGCTCAGTGGCTCAGAAGAGCGTTAGACTAGTTCATACTGGGCGTCGTGGACTTGAAATTTGCGTCGGTTGCCTCAAAAGATGTACATAATATTTATGCCAGCTCTTAAGTATAACGCCTGCAAGCAAAGGTCGTATCACAACGACACGCTGCACGCTGCAGGTCATATATCGTACATGATAGCACTGAAATACGTTATTATTTTCGCCTACCTATACTTCATGGATGGGCGACAGTCTACTCAACGTACCAGTGTTCCTCTCTTTAACCAACACGATTACAGAAACATGCCAGTGCGTGTTAGGGTCTACGGATTGAGTCATGACAAGGCAAAATTGGTAGTCGAAGAGGTGAAGAGAAGCCACACTCCGTCCGCCACCGAAATTTGTCGCCGCTTGAAAAATAAGCGGGCAACCCTTGACCCGACTTTCCAAGGCCTCGTTTTTGACTGCACCATCATTTGTGTCCTGAACGCCATCCTTTCAACGATTCTTTTTCCCTAATCCCTAATGTACGTGTCTATATTCTTCCTTTATCTTTCAGGTCTTTGGGCTCGTCTATATTCGTGCTTGGGCGCGTCTTGCGCGATCTTCGCGTTTTCCTGAATCAACCAATCTCGTGTTTACTTATCACTAACTTGTCACGTTTCAGCATGCGTGAAATCGTCCACATCCAGACCGGCCAGGTGTGTTTCCATGTTTCTAATTTCATCATGATTCGCTCGTGTTAATATTTCTTTGATACTAGTGCGGTAACCAAATTGGTACGACTGCAAGAATCGTGATTGTCCAATGTTCTCATCGTGATCTGATTTGCAGGTGCTAAGTTCTGGGAGGTGGTCTCTGACGAGCATGGTATTGAGCGGGATGGTCTCTACAAGGGAACCAATGACATGCAGCTCGAGCGTATCTCGGTTTACTACAATGAAATCGGGTCAAACAAATACGTTCCTCGTGCAGTCTTGGTTGACCTTGAACCAGGAACCATGGACTCTGTCCGCTCGGGACCTCTGGGTAGTCTCTTCCGTCCCGACAACTTCATCTTTGGACAGAGTGGTGCTGGTAACAACTGGGCCAAAGGACGTAAGTTTTTTTTGCTGTTTCACCCCAGCCAATTGTGATTTCAACCTCTATCTCGATAACCCACAGACTACACGGAGGGTGCGGAGTTGGTCGACTCCGTTCTTGATGTCGTTCGCAAGGAGGCCGAGGGCACTGATTGCTTACAGGGTGGGTAATTTTTTTGTTTTGTTTTACCGCCGCTTTCCACTAACACAAGTGTCGCAGGCTTCCAGCTCACCCACTCACTCGGTGGTGGAACTGGTGCCGGTATGGGAACGCTCTTGATGTCCAAGATCAGAGAAGAGTACCCCGATCGGATGATGTGCACGTACTCCGTCGTCCCTAGTCCCGCAGTCTCGGATACGGTCGTTGAGGTCAGTCTCTTTCTGCAGGTTCCACGCGTTTCTAGAGCTTATAATCATATAGCCTTATAATGCCACCCTCTCTGTCCACCAACTTGTAGAGAACTCGGACGAGACTTTCTGTATCGATAACGAGGCTCTTTACGACATTTGCTTCAGAACGCTCAAGCTCTCCACGCCAACTTATGGCGATTTGAACCACCTCGTTTCCTTTGTCATGTCCGGTATCACCACTTGCCTGCGTTTCCCTGGTCAACTCAACTCTGACCTGCGTAAACTTGCTGTCAACATGGGTTTGTCACCCTTTTGAATTGTTTGTTTTGTTCTTGCTCAATCTATTCGTTCGCAGTTCCTTTCCCTCGTCTCCACTTCTTCATGACCGGATTTGCTCCCTTGACCGCCCGTGGCAGTCAACAGTACCGTGCTGTTACTGTTCCCGAGCTTACTCAACAAATGTTCGATGCCAAAAACATGATGGCCGCGTCAGACCCAAGACATGGTCGCTACCTCACCGTAAGCATAAATGTATGTCTAAGGAACTTATCCTGATATTGCCTTTGCATTCAGGTTGCCGCTGTGTTCCGTGGTAAGGTGTCGATGAAGGAGGTCGAGGAGCAAATGCAGAACGTTCAGAACAAGAACTCGGCATACTTCGTGGAGTGGATTCCTAACAATGTGCTTTCTGCACAATGTGATATCCCTCCTCGCGGAGTTAAGATGGCGGTTACGTTCTTGGGTAACTCGACTGCTATCCAAGAATTGTTCAAGCGTGTCAGCGACCACTTCACTGCTATGTTCAAGCGCAAGGCCTTCTTGCATTGGTACACGCAAGAGGGTATGGACGAAATGGAGGTGTGTACATGTCATCATCTTGCGATTGGCTGATCTGATCAAATATCATCTTTCAGTTCACCGAGGCCGAGTCAAACATGCAGGACTTGATTGCCGAATACCAGCAATACCAAGACGCAACGGTCGAGGAAGAGGCCGAGTACGAGGAGGAGGTCCCAGCTGATGAGGAGTCGTAGATCAAAATCATGGTGACCCACTGTTACGATCCCTACGTCACCCCTATTCCCCTTCACGACCAAAACTTAGGTATTCCTTATTGGTGTTCTCTTTGGCAGATGCCCCGTTTGTCCGTTAATTTCACTTTATCGCTACTCTAGCCAGCATCGCGTTCATCTCATTTTTCCATTCTGTCGTACACCGCCGGAGTAATACATTTCATCGGAAACTGCAGTATACCCTTGATATCTGGCTGCTCTTGGCTCTCTTGAGGTCAACTATATGAACCCACACACCACAAGACCCTCATTTTTCAAGCTCAACTAGGAGCTATGTGCCCGAATTGTCCTGATTGGCGTCAAACCGATGTGAGGCTCAGGCCCAGGCCTAGGGCTTAGGCTCACATGCTCGAGTCCACCGTGATGCCAGCGGTCCTCGTATGCGGCAGAATCCTCAGATTTATGCTAATCTATACCCCGACCGACATTGATCGGAGGGATTCTGATAACCACCCCGTGCACTCTGTAATCATGAAAGGAGACGTAAGAGGTAGCCCAAGTTATCGACACGCACAACAGGTATATAAGCACAGAATCAATGATTACAGAGGCGAGCCCAAAACTTTGCGAACAAACTACGAATCACTAACGGACGAACCAGACGGGGAGATCAAAGTCAATGGCACAAAACCCACCGAAAAATATGTTTCTCGGTTATCTTTTGTCCAGCAACACTCACTTGCTTATGCATTTGTTTGCCCGTTTGCCAACGATCAGATAAGGATCGTGACGCTACAGAAACGCCCTTCTTGCCCAAGAATTTAGGCTTAGAACACTGTTTTGAAAAGTCCACAGCGTGCCACGGCCCTGAACGGCAACAAGCGAAAGTGAACTCGTTTTCTGATAGGCTGTCGAGCGTTCACGAAGTGAGTCGTTGGTTTTGCGAAGCGTTACCGGAGCTTCATTATGTCAAAACAATGAGGATAAGCAAAGGAATCACTCGTGGTCCTATTATGTTGGTTGATACTGAGACCAGAAATGGGTGCGCTCTCAGTGACTCACTGAGGACGGGTACGCCATGCTTCTTGTGCAGATATATGCCAGCAGACGATATCCAAAGTAGCGGCGCTGAAAGGGTTGACCACATGGGAGTCCTACAGAATATGCCTATAAATATGACGCTGATGATGTCAGTGCTGTTTAGCTGCGAGTCATCGGGAGCATCGACACTCGCCCTGAGCGTCAAGATGTGGCACAGTGTGGATGGGTTGCGTGGCAGTTACCTACTGGTAAGTGCAGATGGTAGATTTGAATATACCGCGGCAGAAGTGGAAACGAAGCTACTTGGTCGCCGTGTAACTTACATTCGTGGTTGTCCAGCGGAGTGCGCGAGTAGTCGCCATATCACTGATGCATGATGACCCATAGTTGCAAACTATGTCCGCACTTTGGAAATCACTGATCATCGTTTACGCATGCTACTCCGACCGTATGTGCCACGGTTAGCCACCACTGGTCCTGGCACGTGACGGTCACGAGAGATTAAGTTGAAGCTGTGCTGGCGCATTACCATATTTGGATCCAGACATTTGATGATCGAGCCTCAGATATCGCAATCTTTTTCTTCTCTTCTTCTCTCTTCACCGAAACACCCTTTTAAAAGTCTTTGGGTGAAGAGAAAAGAAGAGATTGCTCGAAATCTCTTGCCACCCAAATTCATCACTCCTTCGCTGTTTAGTACATCTAGCTCGCATTTTCACAGGATGTCTGCAGATGGTCTTCGACCCATTTTCGCTCGCTCTCAGAACAATTATGGTTTTCCGGCTCCTCCGGTTACATTCTCTCCCTTGAACGATGACGATGATGATGTTATGTCTTCTTCTAACGAGGCTATCTTGGAACTCAATGACGGCTCTGCCTTCAGAGGTATCAGTTTCGGAGCGGAAGAAAAAAGTGTTGCAGGCGAATGCGTCTTTCAGACCGGTAGAGTCTACTTCCGTCGTCTAATGACATCTTCTTGATCCGTTATGTTTCAGGTATGGTCGGATACACAGAATCCTTGACCGATCCTTCATACGAGGGCCAGATTCTCGTCCTCACCTATCCGTTAATAGGAAACTATGGCGTGCCCGAACGCCCAAAAAATGACGTCGATCTCCCTTCGGAGTTTGAGTCATCCCGCATTCATGTTGCTGCCCTCGTAGTCGGCTCATATACCGAGGACTACAGCCATTTCTTGGCAAATTCTTCACTTGGAGCTTGGTTGAAAGAAAACAATATTCCTGCCATTTGTGGTGTGGACACACGCGCCCTCACAAAGAAGATACGAGAGAAAGGTTCCATGTTAGCCAGAGTGTTAGCACGCAAGTCAGATGCCCCTCCGCGCCGCTTGCGGCCTCTCATTCCCGAGTCACGCTCGGTCTCCCGTTCATCCTCACCACCACCATCCGAAGACTACATCGATATCCCGTGGCACGACCCCAACTCTGATAATCTCGTCGCTGCAGTATCATTACCAGCTCCCCGACTTTTTAAACCTACATGCCAACCTCGTCTTCATCCAAATGGTCGTGTCCTTCGTGTTGTCGCTGTGGATGTGGGTATGAAGTATAATCAGATCCGATGCTTCACCAAGCGTGGAGTGGAGCTCAAGGTTGTTCCTTGGGATTACGACTTCGTTAACGATGCCGAGCCATATGACGGACTGTTCATATCAAACGGCCCAGGTGATCCTGTGACAATCACGTCCACGGTCAAGCGAATTGCTCAGGCAATGGAGAAAGGCGATCGCCCTATCTTCGGTATCTGCCTTGGGCACCAATTGCTCGCTCTCGCCGCGGGAGCTACCACCTCAAAAATGAAATACGGCAACCGCGGTCATAATATCCCATGCACACACGCACTGACCGGAAGGTGCTACATCACGTCTCAAAACCATGGTTTCCAAGTCGACACAAATACCCTCCCGCAGGGATGGAAAGAGCTTTTCCGCAATGCCAATGACGGTAGTAACGAAGGCATCTATTGCGAAGACAAGCCGTTTTTCTCCGTACAATTTCATCCGGAATCCACACCTGGCCCTCGTGATACGGAATTTCTTTTTGACGACTTCATTCAGATTATCGTGGATTGTGTTAACGCGAAGACCCTAGTGCCTATATCGTTTCCGGGCAGCCGCAAGGAAGACAATGATCAGAAGTTCCCCCGTGCCAAGGTCCAAAAGATTCTCATCCTTGGCTCCGGTGGATTGTCCATCGGACAGGCAGGCGAGTTCGATTACTCGGGCTCACAGGCTATCAAGGCGTTGAAGGAGGAAGGCATTTACACCATCCTCGTCAACCCAAACATTGCCACCATCGCTACCTCCAAGGGTCTCGCGGACAAGGTATATTTCCTCCCCGTGACACCCGATTTCGTGCGCAAAATCATCAAATACGAGAAACCGGATGGTATCTACGTGACCTTTGGTGGGCAGACCGCCCTTAATGTCGGCATCAAACTCAAAGATGAGTTTGAGGCTCTGGGAGTACAAGTTCTTGGTACTCCCATCGAGACTATCATCACGACGGAGGATAGGCAGTTATTCGCACAAGCGATGGAGGATATCGGGGAGCGCTGTGCTCAGTCTGCCACAGCCACCACTCCAGATGAAGCGGTTGCCGCAGGACGTGAGATCGGCTTCCCGGTCATTGTTCGTGCCGCATACGCGCTGGGTGGTCTGGGATCTGGCTTCGCACAGGATGAAGTCCAGCTTCGCGCTCTTTGTAGCAAGGCATTTGCGACTAGCCCTCAAGTGCTCGTAGAAAAGAGCATGAAAGGATGGAAAGAGATCGAGTACGAGGTTGTCCGCGATTGTCGCGACAATTGTATAACTGTCTGTAATATGGAGGTAAGTGTCGATTTTCGCTGAACGGCGTACGCATGATCTCATGGTGCCCTGCTAGAATTTTGATCCACTTGGTATCCACACTGGAGACTCCATTGTGGTCGCTCCCTCCCAAACGCTATCCGACGCCGATTACAACATGCTCCGAACGACTGCGATCAATGTCATTCGCCATCTTGGTGTTGTTGGCGAGTGCAACATTCAGTACGCTCTGAATCCGACCTCGAAGGAGTACTGCATTATTGAGGTATGTTTCATTATCTTGACTGATATATATTGTACTGACATTTATATAGGTTAATGCGCGTCTATCGCGTTCGTCTGCGCTGGCTTCGAAAGCTACGGGTTATCCCCTTGCGTTTATCGCTGCTAAGCTCGGTCTGGGTGTCCCGTTAAACGAAATCAAGAACTCCGTGACGAAAGTCACCAGCGCTTGCTTCGAGCCAAGCTTAGACTACGTTGTCGTGAAGATACCACGTTGGGACCTCAAGAAGTTCAACAGGGTCAGTCGGCTTCTTAGCAGCAGCATGAAGAGCGTCGGTGAGGTCATGAGCATCGGCAGAACTTTCGAAGAGACCATCCAAAAGGCGATACGGGCGATTGACGATCAGTTCCTTGGATTTGCGAAGGTATGTAAGAGCAGCCTTGGTCAATTCAGTAAGGTTAATCTTTTTGTTGCATAAGAACAACTTTGTGGAGGACATCGACGAGGAACTGGTTAATCCCACTGACAAGCGGATATTCGCCATCGCAAATGCATTCCATCGGGGCGATAGTGTCGACAAGATCTGGCAGATGACTAATATCGACAAGTGGTTCTTAACGAAGCTTCAACACATTCATCGCATGGAGAAGCGCTTGTCGTGCGTAGACTCTGCTTGATCTTCGAGGTTTTACTAACGAATGCGCTACAACCGCAGAGATCAATCTATCTCTTGTGTCAGCAACAGAATTATCCTCCAAGCGAAGCAGCTTGGCTTCTCCGATCGCTTGGTAGCCAGTTGTTTGGGTTCAACGGAGTTAGCTGTCCGAAGGCTTCGCCAAGAAATTGGCATTGCCCCATTCGTCAAGCAAATAGACACCGTCGCAGCCGAGTTCCCCGCAGTGACAAATTACCTCTACACCACGTATAACGCTATCGAGCACGACGTCGAGTTTAATGATTGCGGTGTCGTGGTCATTGGCTCGGGTGTCTACCGCATCGGCTCCTCTGTCGAATTCGATTGGTGCGCGGTCAGGGCTATTAGGACGCTTCGTGAACAAGGCCTCCCGACAATCATGGTCAACTACAACCCAGAAACAGTCAGCACTGATTATGACGAAGCTGATCGCCTTTACTTCGAGAATATCAGCTTGGAGACCATTCTTGATATCTATGACACAGAGCGATCGCGCGGCGTCATCTTGTCGATGGGTGGCCAAACCCCGAACAACATCGCTCTTCCCCTCTATCGTCAGAACGTGAAAATCTACGGTACTTCTCCCGAGATGATCGACACCGCGGAGAATCGCTTCAAATTTTCTAGGTTACTCGACGAGATTGGCGTCGACCAGCCTCTGTGGAAGGAGCTGACGAGTTTCAAAGAGGCTCTCGCCTTTTGCGATTCAGTGGGATACCCTGTCCTCGTCCGTCCTTCATACGTCCTTTCAGGGGCTGCCATGAATGTCGTTTCCACTGGTGACGACTTGGCCAACTATTTGACACAAGCAACCGCTGTCTCGCGCGAACATCCCGTCGTCATCACGAAGTACATCGAACAAGCGAAGGAGATAGAGATGGATGCTGTAGCAAAGGACGGTCAGATGGTCATGCATTTCATCTCGGAGCACGTTGAGAATGCTGGTGTCCACTCTGGTGACGCCACTCTCATTCACCCACCACAAGATCTTGATCCCGCTACCGTTCGTCAAATCGAGGAAGCCACTGCAAAGATCGGAAACGCCCTCAATGTGACTGGACCCTTCAACATCCAGTTCATAGCTAAGAACAACGAGATCAAGGTGATCGAATGCAATCTACGAGCGGCACGGTCTTTCCCCTTCGTCTCCAAAGTCACCGGCATTGATGCTATTGAGATGGCCACCAAGGTTATGCTTGGGTTGCCGGTAGAGAGTTACCCGGATCCCGGTCTTCCTCCAGACTATGTTGGAGTCAAGGTCCCTCAGTTTAGCTTCAGCCGGCTGTCTGGAGCAGACCCTGTTCTTGGAGTGGAAATGGCGTCTACCGGAGAAGTCGCTTGCTTTGGGCGTGATAAGTACGAAGCGTATTTGAAGGCTTTGATCTCCACCGGCATAGTGCCGCCAAAAAAGAACATCCTGTTTTCTATTGGGAGTTATCGAGAGAAATTGGAAATTCTGCCCTCAGTGCAGAAGCTCCACGCTGCCGGATACAACATTTTCGCTACATCCGGTACTGCCGACTTCTTGACCGAACATAATGTTCCCTGCAAAGTAAGTTCAATCAAACTTCGGAGTGTCCCTAAAGTTATATCGTATCCTGCATAGTACCTGGAAACCCTCCCGGAAGATAGCAACGACAAACAGAAATCCGAATATTCGCTCACACAGCACTTGGCCAACAATCTGATCGACATGTATATCAATCTTCCATCAAAGAACAACTATCGCCGGCCCGCGAGCTACGCCAGTAAAGGGTACCGCACGCGGCGTATGGCAGTTGATTTTGCAATTCCGCTTATAACGAACGTCAAAAACGCGAAATTGCTTGCAGAAGCACTTGTTCGCAAACTTCCGTTGGATGTATCGAGTATCGATTCCAAATGCTCGTATCTAACGCATGCGTTCCCGGGGCTTGTTAACATTTCCACGTTCCTACCCCGTCTCACTTCGCCGGGAGCCGATGACTTCGAACAAGGCACTCGGGCTTCTATCAGCGCAGGTTTCACTACTTCGCTCGTTCTCCCAGTTGGTCTTGACAGTGCCATCACCGATGCCTCTACACTTGAGCAGGTTCATGCCACAGCTGCAGGGAGCGCACGCTGCAACTACGCCCTTAGCATTGCTGGGAAAGACAGTAATGTCCAGGCTCTCGATGAAGAAGTCAGAGCGGACGTGAAGTCGTTGTATATCTCATTCCACGGGAACTTCGCCTCTCCTCCAATTTCCACCGTCGCAGCCTACTTCGCATTGTGGCCCCAAAACAAGATAATCGTGACCGATGCCCGTGGTTCAAACCTTGCATCAGTGCTCCTACTAGCGTCTCTTCATAACCGCAGCGTTCATATTACCGACGTCAGAAACAAAGATGATTTGCTTCTCATCTCGCTCAGCAAGGAAAAACAACTCAAAGTCACTTGTGATGTTTCAGTCTTCGCCTTATTCTTCACACGGGAACAATATTCTCAACCTACCTCTTTACCATCCACCCAGGATCAGGAGGCACTGTGGAAGAACCTTGATGTAATCGATGCGTTCTCAGTCGGGATGCTTCCTCATCAGCTTGCGACGGAACTTCAAGAGCCGGCTTCGGCGTGGTCAGGAGCGGAGGAAACACTGCCCTTGTTGCTTACCGCTGTTACTAGTGGTCGACTCACTCTTGAGGATATTCGTGTGCGCCTTCACGACAACCCGATTCGTATCTTCGGTCTTCCTGAACAAGCGGCAACTCACGTAGAGGTTGTCTTAGGACGGCGAGCTCAGCATCAGAACCACAGCACGTGCTGGTCTCCTTTGCAGAAGAGTTCCGTCACTGGATCACTGCACAGAGTAGTTGTGCATGGCAAAACATTATTCCTTGACGGTGAACTCTCTGCTTTGCCACTAGGGAAAGATGTATCCAGTGCAACGGTTGTGCATGTCGCTGGAGAGCGACAAGCAGGCGTGCCTCTGACGAAACCGCAGCTTGTTTCTGGGCCTTCTGGCGCTAGGGTGCCTGATGGCTCTATGCCCCCCCTTCAGACGGCTTTGGTACCGTCTGCCAGTGGCCCTGCCGGTTCAGGTATCAGTGTACCGCCGGTCATTGTTCACGGCCGTTATCCCGCATTCCATCGTCGCCACATACTTTCTGTGAAGCAATTCACCCAACGTGACATGTACGACCTCTTCTCCTTGGCCCACGAAATGCAACTTCAGGTCGAGCGCAATGGGTCACTAGACATCTTGAAGGGCAGAGTTCTTTGTACCCTTTTCTACGAACCGTCAACTCGTACAAGCACCTCTTTCGATGCGGCCATGAAGCGCTGTGGAGGCGAAGTGATTCAAGTCAACGTAGACACTTCGTCTGTGAAGAAAGGAGAGACGCTGGCCGATACCGTTCGCACAGTAGGGTCTTATGCCGATGCCATTGTGATTAGGCACCCCGATGTTGGCAGTGCCCAACTCGCTGCCAAATATTCCCCTGTGCCTGTTCTGAATGCTGGCGATGGCATAGGAGAGCATCCTAGTCAGGTAAGGGCTCGAAATCTGGAGAGTCCAAACATTAACACATCATAGGCTCTTCTCGACATCTATACCATTCGATCCGAGCTGGGGACTGTCAATGGCAAGACGATCACCATCATAGGAGATCTGAAGAATGGGCGCACAGTTCATAGCCTGGTCACTCTTCTCTGTCACTACTCAGTCCGTCTGAACTTCGTCGCGCCTCCAGCGCTTGCGATGCCCGCAAAGGTGGTCGCCGCTGCGCGGAAGGCGGGTGTACCTGTGCAGCAGCTGGAATCCCTCGAGGAAGTCTTACCTGATACTGACGTTCTCTACGTAACCAGAGTGCAAAAAGAGAGGTTCAAGAGCGAACAAGAGTGGGAATCGGTCAAAGACTCTTATCGGATTGACCACGCCCTTCTTTCTCGGGCCAAGGAAGATATGATTGTAATGCACCCGTTGCCTAGAGTGAACGGTAAGATCATCACCGCCCTTCGTATTCCTCAAGCTAAGCATCCGCGTCCACAGAAATTGACCCCGAAGTCGATTTCGACTTCCGACGCGCTGCCTACTTCCGTCAAATGCGTTACGGACTTTTTGTATGTCATTTTCCCCTTTGATGCGCTCGTTCTGACCTTTCTTTAGGTTCGGATGGCCCTTCTTGCGAGTGTGATGGGCTGAAAGTCAATACAAGTGTTGTATAATCAGCAATCTGCGATTAGGGATGAACTTTTAGGACAAAACCTGTATTGCTATCCATGTGTAGCTGAGCAACTTGTTGTAGACCAGTAGATTCTCAATTGATACCTCAATTGATACCCAGTGTGCTTGCTACTGTATTTGCGACGATCGCAGATCAACGGTGTACCCTCGTCGACCCCTCAAGCAAGTCGAGTCTTGCATACCATCTAGTGCATATGCGTTCATGCGCACTGCAATGTGGGAGTTGAGCCGGACTAGTCTTCGGTGGGCAAGTAGAAGGAGAAAGGTCACTTCTTTACGTGGCCACGGGAGCCCTCTATATAGTTACGGCTGCATGTTGAAAGTGAAAATATTTTTAAAGATAGCCACTAGCTATATTCAATTACCATAGTACAATATTTACTCATCATCTCATTGTCAAACAATTGCGAGGCGGCCCCTGGTTATGTATGAATTTCGCATCCCGTCTTCGCAATCCAAGGTTCAACTTACATAATCGACTCGGAGATGCCCGACTGTGTTGGTAGAAACCTTGCTTGTTTTGTTGACAGAGAGAAGAGAACGCATATGCAGAGGGGACCTTCATAATAATAATCGATATAATTCTTCTAACCAACACACAACGTTATGATTCAGGTAGAGGACCAGGAGTGAAAAGTGTTTGCGTCTACTTGCCTGTCCCAATCACGTAGCTGCGGATTAAATCAGTCAACTTGTCCACTGATATCGACGACCTTACTTTTAATCGCATGTTGACGTTAATCGTGGAACATTCCGTTCCCTGATTTTTTTCCGCTAAGAAATATCATGTTAATCTTTTATTATTATTAAAAAAGTTAACCCACAAGCAACTTCTCTTCGACGTACATGCTCGTTTGAATCGTCTCAGGTCACCAAAAATACGGCTATTTCGAGCTCTTCCGCGTCCGAGAGGTCTAGGCCAAGTTTTCGTATGGATTGCTGCATGTGCTTTATGCCTGCATTCCGACGGGACCGTGACTCTATAAGTCGATGTGAGCGTATCAGCACCCCCTCCCCCTATGCGCTGAGGATTCTGGCCCGCGATATTTCTGGGCCCAGGGCAGCACTGCCATTAGTCGATCAAGAGCCATGGACGGGAAGATCAGATAACCGGGGGTAAAGTCAAATTCCGAAGGTCAGCGAGCTTTTGCAGACGGAGATCAGGATATGCCGCTACAAGAAGCAACTTGCCAAGTATATACGGGCGCTAGAGGTTCGTCCCCTGGCAATGCATGAGAATAATCACAGGCAATCGCGGATGCCTCAGACCATCAGCTGCCAGTAATAGTCAAGTGTCACAGCATGCGTAGAACACTCAGTTCTAAATTGATGGGCGCAAACTTGAAGCAGTGCACATGTGTCCGGGTGTTCTCCGGTACCCAGAAATAACAAACCACAACAGAATATTATTGGAGCAGCGTCTAATGGCGTCTAACGCTCTATGCACTATGGGAATTCGAAGCTAAGAATTAAGTAGGAAGAAGAATACGTATCGGTAAGTTCGTCGATCAGATAGTTCCAGTGGAATGTCCAAAAATTCACCAAATGTAATCAAGCAGTGAACACACTGTGGCACCGTGTATAAGCGCCGTTGCCGTTGAAGGTACATTGTATTAACCGCCATCTGACAAGTATCTTGGTCGGGCTATCAGGGTCATGGGCGAACACGCCATGACGACCCATCAAATTTTGACGAAGTCAGTGTCAGCTGCTGGTGTGCCTAGCGCTAATGGATATACTTATAGCGCATCGTATCGGATCGCAGGGTGTCCCAGTGCCGGCTCATGAATGAAGTCCCTAACAGTAGGCCATGACAATTGACCCAGAAGGTGCCAGTGTTCACAGCGGCTTATACCAGTAATCAGTTTCAAGAAGGAAAATTGTGCTTCGGATACTATTCCGAGGCGAAGCAACCACAGTTAGGTCTGCTGTGTTATCTGTGGTACCACTCAGTGACTTACCTTGTTATCTGGCACTTTGAACTTTGAATTTGACGATAGCCGGACCGCATGACGACTATACGTTTGTGCCTTTTTAATATCCACTACAACTGCCGAACCGAACAGTTATTACGCGGAATTAAAGACTCACCGAATTCTACGTGAAGGGACGTGATCGTGTATGTTTTTGGAAAGTAGCTGCAGGGCGTGGGTGCTCGGTTATATTCAGTTCTCGGTATAAAGCTTTCCTAAGGGAGGTTCGCTCGAACAGGTTTGGTCACGACCTCCTGACATCTGCGTCGTGGAAGTACCATGGATCCCGACCGTAGCTTGCCTCCCGCCCCTGCTGGACAGTTCTCCTCTCAGTCCCAGGGACAATCCTCTCAACCCACAGTCCAGGAGCCCTCGCCGTTAGTGGGACCTGAACATATAGACAGAGAAGGTCGTCCGGAGAGTCAATCAGTGGTCACTGAGAAGCCCCTCCTTGGCAGTTCGGACCCACATTCCCCGTCAAATTCCCCAGCACATTCTCCAGCACATTCCCCAGCTCGTGATCGCAGTGATCCATATGCAGATTTCGAGCCTGTTCAACCTCCTCCACCTGCAAGAAACAGGGACGGAAACATGCTGCGTGGACCGTCGCGTCGTTCAGTTGGGGGCTATGCTCGTTCCAACGCATCTGGTATAGGCTGGATAGTGCCCGGGATTGAAGAGAAACCTCACGTTTGTATTGCTTAGCACCTTTGCACCATTATCTGATATTGAGCCTGACCTTACAGCGGCGTACAATCGGAGAGCGACTCGCCCCTACTATTGATAATGCAGAGAAGGAGAGGGCGCGATATGCCACAAAAGGTTAGTCGAATAGTTAAATATTACCTTATCAGCTCGGTGTTCGGGCATGGAAGATTTCCTTGTTTCCGGGACATTTCTGACTTTGTTTTTTTTTGAAGCACGGATTACAGGCCTTGCGTTGAACATTGCGATAGGCTTACAAGTTTTGCTTGGGGCACTCACTACGGGTATTTCGGCAGCAACGTCGGGTAAGCAGGTTAGTTCAAAGTCCATTCGCGTGAATTATGACAAACTGACCCTGAGGCCGTTGAACTAGACTTCGATTGGCATATCCATCCTTGGTGTGTATTACGGTCCTTCCTCAAAGAAGAGATCCTGAAGTTTAGTGCGCTTTAGGTGGTGCGGCGACATTAGTCGCTTCCTATCTCGCTCGTACACGGGGATCAAACGAACCAGAACTATCCATAACTCGCGTTAAGGACCTAGATCAATTCTTGAGGGACTGCTTAGCTTTTAAGATGGATCACGGACATGAATATGGGTCACCTGGTGATGATCTGAATGCTCGGCTAGATCATCTCAGAAGAAGGTTTGAAGAACTTCTTGGAAATGGTGACGGGTAAGTCATTGTTGCATTTGTGTTACTCGGGTTACGGTTGACGACCAGCTTTAGGCAGCGGAAACTTTCCCCACCGGTTTGAATGTAATTATTTCAGGCTCCTATGCACATTCCATGGTGGTCCCCGCACACTCGTTCTGCGCTACATTTTCTATTAATTATTAGTTCACATACGCAGTTCTCATATATACCACCTTCTCCAAACTTGAATGTGATACCACTGTAACCACTTGTTTGGTAATAAATATGCTGTTCGTTTTGCGTACACTTGCCAACGTTCGGACAACATAATGATTTGCGGCTTTTCCAGTGCCAGACCACTGCATTTGTGAGGCAAACGCTGCTATACATATATTCGATTTTAGGAGCGAGGAACTACATGTGGTGTTGGAGCAGCAACCGCTTTCCTAATACACGGGCTACTTCCTGCTTTCAAGTATGGGGGTTTAGTGCATCCCACCAGGTGCACAATGCCGCGGCTGCCAGTAGCACTAGTAAGTACTTGGTAAGTAGCATGGCGTCTTTGATTTGGTGACGCGTTGAATGCACGTGATGCTGACCTCTGCCCACGTGATCCCCTCTTGTCCATTACAGCACTGAGCGCCGAGCAGGGCCCAGCATCTCCATACTTTGTCAAAATATCCAAGATGAAGACTAAGAACAAACAGACGAAGTTCCCCGTTGTGAGCTCCTGCGACCAATTGCTCATCTAACGAGTCGTAGCTCATATGTCTGAGGACAGGCACGAATCAAGAAGATTATGCAGAAAGATGAGGAAGTTGGGAAGGTTGCACAAGCTACGCCAGTGGTCATTTGTACGTCTTCGCACACCAATATATCCCTTATCTCATGAACGTGTTTCGTTTCTGAAATCAATATCTTGCATCCTATGATGGGATAGCAAAAGCGCTGGAATTATTCCTGGCCATGATCGTTGAGGAGGCGACCAAAGTCACAGTTGAACGGGGGGCAAAGAAGGTTGAAGGTTATCACCTGTGCGTTCATTGCTGCCCTAACCGCATTCTTGTTGTGAGATATATACAGAAAGCATGCTATCGAAACAACAGAGATGTTGGATTTCCTGAAGGAAATCGTTGAATCTGTACCTGACCCTTCAGCGGGTGGTACCATTGACCTGCAAGCTGAGGCGGCAGAGAACGCAAAGCGAAAGAGGAGCAAGGCGAAGAAAAATGGAGCAGCATCCGGAGAAGGTCCAAAGAGGCGGCGGAAAAAGAAAGAGGATGCCGATACGGAGGGTGTACCAGAAGAGACGATGGGAGAAGCAAAGTCTGAGGAAGGAGAAACTCGAATGGAAGATGATGATGATGCATATGAAGAGTCGTCGTCTCGCCCCCGGCATCGACGAGACGATGATGGCGAGGATGACATGCCCTACGTACCACGGTGACAAAATGCAAACACGTCAGAAGTGTAAAGCGTGCACTGTAACTGCTTTGTGATATTTATCGTTTTCATCATATCCCATATCCCATCGTCCATCATATCTGACCAGTTGTACTGTACAGCATAATCTAGGACCTACACAAGTTCTACTTCGCCCCGAGCAATCAGTTGCTCCACCACCGAATACGGAGTTAAAGATATATGTCCTTTCCGCATATCTAATGCGGTCCCGCTGTAGTCTGATTAGAGAAATCAACATCGGTCGATATTCGGCAACATACTCTGGTAGCCGCACTGGTGGACAATCCTGTCGAGCAAGCACAAAGACTGCGCGGGCCTTGTCTGGTTCAGTAACTAAATGTGCTCGTAAGTACCACTCTTCTCGGTGAAATGTTTGACCTCCATACCCATGGAAGGTACAAAGGGAGGTTGATCATCGAGGGTCTGCTGGGTCTCTGGTAAACTCTGCAGAACCGAATGATAGAAATGTTGATCAGTCAAACGGGCAAACCTGAGGACATGATTAACATCCATGCTACTACCCGGGAGGGGCCACAACATACCGACGCGCGTGCTCGACTTCGCTTTCTGAGAGTCGCTGCTGGACTTCAGGGTTGGTCATGATATACCGAGCAAACTTCTCGATCTGTAATACATGATGTAGTATCTGAAACAGGGAGCAGGAAGGAGGGGAATGACCTTGAATAGACGGGTGCGGAGGTAAGACCTCACTATAAATTTGACTCGTTCTACCTCCGTTTGAACGAGCATAATGCGAAAGTGTTCCTCCTCAGAAGACGAGGGGTCTGTGCGAAGGAGCTGCACAGTCTCAGACTGCACCAGTCATTAAATCAGATTTGTCCGCTGGTCATTCTAAGGTCACAACATGGCTCACCAACCTGACTCCTGATGTGGTCAAGCAGTCCCGCCAATAACTCTCCTTCATTTGGGAGAACGTCAGGTGAATGCCGCTCATTCATCCAATGTCTTATAAGTTGCTGCAGTGGTGTTTCTTCCTCTTCCTCGAGCATGAAGGGAGGTGCATCTGGTATTTCTGCATCATTGTCATCTCGTGGGGCTTGTCTAAGTCGCTCCTGAAAGGCATTGTTGTTGGCAGCACGGCCGGGTCGGTCGAGGTTCGTGAAAAAGTCATCGTCGTCGATGTCCATGAATCAGGTGATTACTAGAGTTGCAAGAGTCACTAGCTGGCTCGCGTCGTTCGCGATCAATAAACATGCATATGCATCCGATCGCGTTTCGGTAATAACGTTATCAAAATCTATACATATGTAAGACAAACAACTTCGACAGTACATATGTGTACATGGACATGTGCAGAATCACGAAAGCAATGATATCAGTGCTGTAGAAGATTTTCGAAGGGCGAGCACATGGATTCAACGAGGAAAATGCAAGAATATTCAAGGTACAGATTCAATCACGCAGCATCGTTCTCAGCAAGCCTTCCGCAGATGATATATTTATTCGAGAAGTGCTCAATCCAGCCTGGATGCCTCAATGTGAGTGATTGCTACTGTTCAAGTGACTAATTTGACCTCACCTCTCATGTTCTCGCTAAGCAATTGATAATCCTATAAGCAGTGCAAGGATAAAAGCAGAAGGGTACTCACATTTCGTCTGGCCGAAGATCCTGGAGCTTATCGAGAGGCTTGTCAATCGGCGTTAGCATGTCTGGCGGCGCATGTATTAGGTGTCGCGTAAGGTGTGCCCAGTGGTTCACCCACCCAAATCGAACGACTGCTTGGCCATGCCACGAGATGCATCGCGACCCGCAAAATTACCGTACATACCATCTATATAGCGCGAGTCAGTCCTTGTGATGACTTGTTGAGGCAAGCAGATGCACCTGGCCCATAAAAGTTCCTCCCCGCTGTTACGTCGAACACCATGCCATTGATGGCGAGCAAAATTCTACCTCCGTTCTTACCGCTGAAGGGTTCTAGAGTCTTCGGGGTATATGTCTTGAACAGTACGGTGGGAGGGTGCTCCTTGGGCATCCATGAGTAACCATACTTAAATTCGTTGGGGATTTTTGTGGGTTTGGATGTGGAAGGGAAAACGATCTTCTGCACTGAGTAGAGAATGTAAATGAGGAGAGCCGTATTGACGGGGGTACCAAAGTCAAGAGTGTATCCCATAATGATGTTGCGTCGACGTACGTTGGTGGTGGTTCGATGCAATAATTTAATGCGGCGGCTTACTAGTGCACACTGCGGACAAACCCGCTCGGCGCCTAAAGTTACTGACCGTGACGTGGCTTTTCTGGATGATCCCACCAGAACGGCTGACACTGGACAGTACTGCACTGCATATGTTCTGAGTTCTGACTGCTGGCCATGCAGGTTGAAGAAACAACTGTCTTATTGAGGTTCCACAACCTTGGTGAGATAGTGGATCGCCTGAACGGCGAACATTTCTAGCAAGATGGTGCTGCCACCTTGACATGCATCAATACGTGCATGGACTGCGAAAGCCCCGTCGGATATGCATTCATCTCACAACAGTCCTGACTCCTCAAGTTGGTTCACCTGACTAGATCGATGAAGATGGGGGCCCGTGAGTGCTCTCTACATTTTTTCAACACAAATTATTGGTCGTGGTTTCATGCAGTATGGATATTTCGTATTTCGTCGGACCAACGCGACATTAACCTGACGTTGATCAACAACAATTTTTGGGCCAACCTACTGGGCAACGTGATAGGACATCATCGCATCCTGGTTGATTTTCCAATCACACTACCTCCTAGGTTTTTGGTATCAATTGATGAACCTCACATACCCGCGGGTTCTAGGGGATCTTGTAATTCTGTTAACTGCTTCAGGAGGCGGCACCGATCTTCTGCTTGAGATGCGTGTGGGTCGCTCTGGATTGTGAGGTGACTGGTAAAGAATGTTCTACCGAAGGGAGTAAACGGCTCAGTGATTGCATAATGCCCACATCAACCCCTAAAGTTCGATTCCGAACAGAATCATGCAGACAGTATGGCACACATCCCTCGTGAGTCTCGTCATTTCCGCTGGTAACACGAGTTCTATCACATCTAGCACTCGTGAAGGCTACGGCAATGACACTAGTAGTGGCTGCCTCCAATGCGCCCGAATGCGAACATTTATCAAACTCACCTAGTTGGCATTGACTGATGAATCTTATCAGCATCACGGTATGACCTTGTCATATCGCCCTTAGGGGAATCACTTGGAACACGACTGATACTTATGAAGACGCATGTGGACGAGTCCACCCTTCGGAACTTCGAAGAAACCATAAAATTATCCGTCCTGGAATGTGCACAAGTTTTACGCTATGCCACATGCCGTAATTTGCACGTTGATGTAATGAGCTCTAGGGGGGTATTGAATCAGGAAGCGCGGGCCGTGACTCAGACATGTCTTAAGCAGGGAAGAACTCGTTATAGCGTGCGCTCTTATTTACGCCTTATCTGATCAATCATCCATCCAGTATATCTGCTCGAACTGATTTTTACGTCGACGCTTGAAGGCTCCAACCCTCTGACCGGCGGAAGAGATTATATTCTACTCAGGAACAGCACGTTTTTATTCCAAATTTAAGGTCGCTCAGAAGTAGGATTTTGAGCGATTCGATCTTGAAATCAGCGGCTGTCGCGTCAATATCGGCGAAATACTACAGGCGCCCGGAGGCGTACTCGCTTTCCCTCAACATGCAAGGTGATAAACGACAACGCCACCGGAACACCAACCGTGATTCTATGCTTGCTTGCATTCATTCCCTCAAACGTACAAAATCCGACCGCGCGTTAAGAGTTCTCTTCGAAGTCTTACCGCAGGGCACGGAGCACTCCAGTATTGGGATACAGCGAGAGAAGGTATGTGGATTGGAACCGGCGGTTCTCTGGTTGATACCGATACCGGCTACAAGAAGGCTTGTGGAGATAATGTAATTTTAGACTTGTAACTTTACAGAGCTGTCGATAAGGGACTTGGTTACTTGGAGTTATAAACGTAATGCGAGGAGCCCACGCTTGGTCCCAGTCTTTCTTTAATGGAGTTGTGCATATTTCATTTCATTCAGCCGAACGTCTTCGCGGGTTGTGTTAGCCATACAACGCTGAATTATTCGGAAATCCGGGATGTCAGGACTCAGACAGACAACCGACTTTCGCGCAACAAGCTATGCTCAACAGATTTTTTTTCATCTCATCTAAATGAAGTGTGTACTGTGATGGCGCCCGTGTTAAGTAAATCAGCGTGAATATGTCACGGTCTTCATCTTGGGCATTAGTAGTTAGGAAACTTGTAAAGCCACACATTGGCGTGCACGCACTAGAGGATAACTTGTTCATTATTTCTAATTGGATCTGACACGATGCTGAAGGCCTGCAGACGATGGGAGCAACACTAGTGCGCTGAGCCGATCAAGTCAGAGATAAGTACCACTGGCCCAGAAAATTAGTTCCAATGTAATTACGAATGTGGTGGGATTGACGGTGTGAGTTCACAGATCAGCAGATTAACTGAAATGAATGATTTCATCTGATAAGGGGTAATAGGCGCCTAGAAGGCTACAATTCCATTAGTCAAGTCATTTTCGCAGGCGAGTGATAAGAACATCGGATAATGATTGACTGGATGCCAACGCCTGAAGTGCGGCGAGGAGCATAACGTGTTTCCACCAATTGCCATTTGGTGCTCATGGAGTGGACGAGTCGGTACGCACGGCACTTTCTTATAGATGATTAAACATGATCCAGTGCGAAGAAGGCGGCAGTCAGATGGTGTGACCTGAAACACGATCATGTTAAACAACGACAGGAGTCACTGTTGTAGTGGTGCGCAAAAGGAGGTGATCCAGAACGAAAAATCCGACTTTGAGAATTGCAATCATCCTGCTAGGCTATGTACGCTGACATGATCAACATGAAACAATCATACTGGATGATGACACTTGGATCTAAAACACTCACGCAGTATGCCAACGCGTTCGTGGGGCCAATAAATCGCAGTCTGTCGCGGTCGGTGGCAGTCGCACCGGTAGCGGCGAGTTGTGGATACGTCGTAATCAGGCCTCATGGTGGCATACATGCCCGCAGCAGAATATTCCCCTTGTTCTGTTCCCGGTTCAACGATGTGGTAGACGTCAGTAGTATACATATAGTTATAAAACACCTTGGGTCCCGAGAAGAAGGTCATCCTCATGGATGCAGCATTGTCGGCTGTACAAAAATAAAGGCATTATTTGAGACTTTTGTGATCATGGGTGCTCATAGGACGTACTCGGTAGTCAGGAACAAGGAGGCGCGATGTCACGCTACACGAAGTGTCACACTAGTGGTTCGAGGACGTCACATCGTCCCTCGTTCCGACGTTTTGCCATCACTGATCAGATTCATGGTGTCACAGAGCAAGTGGTTTACTTTTTGTGGTCGTTTTCATCGAAAGAGATTGAACCTGACCGGAATGTTTGTGCCTTGACAGATCCGCGTTGCGTTGACACAAATTTTACATGTTGTTGAGGTGACTCTCACTGTCCCTAGCCGTCTGTCCGGAGAGTCTGGATCGTAAAATTTGATGCGTTGCACAATGCAGCCGCCTTCCATCCATCACATGCATCACACTCAGTGCGGCAGTATCAGGTGATTCTCATATCAACTTCGTCCGACTCTCACTCATCGTGAGTGACACAATTACCTTTGTTAATTTTATCGTGTAGGTCGCGTGCAGCCGCGGTTCCTATAGGTCACCGAGCAAATGGAGAAGCATTTGCATTAAGTTGAATCTTACTTGAAGCGATAAGGCTTTCACATACCCTCGGGGAAATTCGACGGGAATGACACGTCTAGAATCTCTGCACACAATCGAGATCTTCCCTGGTGTGTACGGTCGAGAATGTGTCATGTGTCTAATTCAAGTTGGTCATGAGCATTCCTCTTATAATGCTAACCCATCCATTCATTTCGACAAAGATCGTTTCCAACCTCCTTCACCAGCTGGTGCGCTCCTGGGTTAACGAACTGCAGTATATTTTCTGCAGCTTTCGGGTGCGATGCTGCCACTCCCGCCTCTCTCCCCGGCTGAAACGCTGGTTGATCATGAACCCAAAAAACTTTCTCTTACTCGCAGACTTATTTTACTGGTTCTATTCTGTCTTGCTCAGTTTTTGGATGCCTTCAATAACTCAGCTCTCTTCTCTGCAATCCCTGCACTCGAAATATCCATGGGTATGACTGAAAGTCAATCCACTTGGATCATTAGTGCATTCCAGTTGACTTTTGCATCTTTTCTGCTTATTGTGCGTACCCATTCCGTCGATTCTGACCTGCACTTCAACCCATTGTTTAGAGTGGTCGCATTAGCGATGTATACAATCCAAGTTAGTACTATGCCGCACCCTGTTAGATTGAATGATATTAACACGGCTCACAGAATTTGCATTCATTGGGGGTGTATCTGGTCTTGGTGTCATCTCGCTGTGCGCCGGATTTGTTGATGACACCATTCCGCTCATCATTCTCAGAGCATTGAGTGGAATAGGTAAGCATTCCCGCCGATGTGACGGCTTTGGCTAACCGCTTCTCAGCTTCTTCAATGACAATCCCTTCTGCCCTAACACTCCTGGTCAACTTATTTCCTGATCCGCTTGAACAAGCTCGGGCGATAGGGTTATTTGGAGGTTGTGGCTGCGTCGCTAACGGTGAGGATCCCACCTAGCTGATTATACATGACAAGCTTCATGGTTCCCCCCACATAGTTCTCGGTCTCATGATTGGTGCAATGTTTGTCGAATGGGCGTCTTACCATTGGGTGTTCTGGTTCGTAGCCATTGTGGCTGTGCCAGTGGCTCTGGCATGTGTCTTCATCATACCGCCAGAAATTTCAAAGACCAAAGACAATCTTAGGCCAGCAGCAGCGAAATGGAAAAGTCTCGATTTACTCGGCGTAAGCATTCTAACTGGTATGGATATTTCAGCATACTCCACCTCGCATCGCTCACTAGCTCTGATAGTTGCCATAATTTTATTCATCTTCGCTGTGACATCCGGCTCCACTGATGGTTGGGCATCCGCAATAGTGCTGGTCCCGCTAATCATATCAATTTTAATGGTGGTTGGGTTTTTCTATTGGGAAACACTCATACCTGTGGACAAAGCTGCAATGTATGTTATCAGGGATGCACCGACCACCAATCATTGGCTAATTTTGTGCCAGACCACCCCGGACATGGTTTTACCACAATTTCTCCATTCTTTTTGCTGTCGCGCTCTTGCCATACCTTTGGTGGAGCACTGTGTTCTCAATTTTCACCACACTGTGGCAAAACGTCTTTGAGTGGTCGGCAATATCATCAGTTATACACATGTAAGATCTTCACTGTTACTCCATGTTGTCCGTCCTTGAAAGCGTTTTTGCTTACCAGGTTCCCGATCGGTGTCGTAGCCTTCGCTATGAGTTTCACCGGATCACTTTCTCGCGTCTTCAGTCCGAAATGGATTATTCTCACTGGTCTGTGCCTGTGCATGGTCGCGACCGCATTGCTGGCGCTTGGTGGGGGAAAGCCCCAGGATTTTTGGCCCTATATTTTCCCAGCTTTTTCTCTAGGAAGCGCAGGGGTCATGCTGACTTATACACATGCGAAGTAAGTTCAAATTATCGTGATTTTATGAACAAGGTTTAATTGCTTCAATTATAGCATTGCTATTTTTCAAGCTGCACCTTCATCCATGGCCGGCACAGTTGGTGCCATCTTTAACGGCGCACTTCAATTTGGATCGGCAATTGGGATCGCTGCTGCCAGCTCGATAGAAACATCCGTGGAGGCCATCCATGGTGGTTCACACGAGTATGGCGGACGAGCCGCAGCATTTTGGTTCCTCTTTGGAGTTATCTCTCTGCAATTCATTTCAGTATCAATATTTTACGACCGCAGTACGGACCACATACCCCAGCCAAAACACGGCAACCCCGTAAATCCTGCTCAACACAACACGCACTTTGACGAAAAGCTTAACGACGCGAACATGACCATAACGAAAGTAAACGAAAAGGCTGACCTAGGGGATTTGCCGGTGTAACTTCTATTTCTTTTGATGACTATTCCTTTTGACAATTGTCTCCGTTGACGATTCATTTCTCTTTACGACTAATTTCTTCCACGACTATATGACTTGCAAGGTAGATATGTTTTTCATTTCATTCTTTAGGCTATCATTAGAGGTAGAATAGACTTCATACAGTTTCCCCTAGACTGCTACCCATCTGGCCATGGGTAGATTAGATTGTATTGCACGTACGAGATTATACCGATTGACGTACATGGCATTTGACGCCGAACTTGGATGAAGGCGGTGACCGTAAATTTCCTTTTTTGGCTAGTCCTTGGTTACTACTTCCAGCCAAGAGAATCTTCGACCCTTTCGCCTCTGCTCTGAACGACGACAATGAGTTCTGCATATCCAATTCAGCCGTCACGACAGTATACCCCCCATATACGCTCTCAGTGCTCGAACTGTGACGTTCAGGTTGAGTTCCCAGTACCGTCCCCCACTCCGGCACAGGGAACATTGCTGCGCGTCCGATGCTTCAAGTGTCAATCAATCTACGCACATGCATTCTATCCTGCACAGCTACCGACTGGCTACTCCATTACGTCGGGCTCAACGCCTCCGCATAGCGCGACAGGCTCTGGAAGTACTCCACCACTTCCAAATGCCAGGAAAAGTCGTAAGATTGGCACGCAGGAGAAGCCTTTGGAAACAGGGTACTATGACCTTCTAGGTGTTCCTATAGATGCGAGCACAGATGATATCAAGAAATCATACCGTACGGTCTACTTCAATTGATGATGATAGGCTTTTTGCTTACCTGCTTTATCAAGGGCGGCTTGCAATAAAGCATCATCCTGACAAGAATCGCGATGACCCGAACGCAGAGGAAAGGTTTAAGGAGATTGCCATTGCGTATCAGACTCTCTCAGACCCAGAGCTCCGCAAGAAATATAACGAGTTTGGTTCTAAGGAGAGTCAGCCAGAAGGAGGTTTCGTCGACCCCGAGGAAATATTTGGGGCGATGTTTGGTGGAGAGAGGTTTGCGCCAATAATTGGCCAAATCAGTCTTGCAAAGGACATGAAGGCTGCCCTCCAAGAGGTAGAAGAAACCGAGGGTGAAGACGATAAGGACGTGAAACGTGATGCAAAGGGTAAGGAGATTCTCAGTGAAGAAGAGAAGGCTCGAAGGGAGGAGAAAGAGAAGAAAGTGTCGACAGAGGTACATCCTTTCTTCTTCGCTTTCCAAAATCTCACAACAGTGCTCTTAGAAAGCAGCAGCTCGTGCAGAGCGAGTCCAGAAACTGTGAGGTTTTATAATTCGTGACTCTGTGAGATTAACGCCTATTGCAGCGTGGAGAACCTTGATCGGAAACTCAGCATATTCACTGAGTCCGCGACAGGTCCCAATGACCTTGATGTTTCAAATAGCTGGCGCACTATCTGCCAGCTTGAAGCGGAGTGCGTATATCGTGCACGTACACGCTGTATTCGCTAAAAATCTTTCTAGGGATCTCAAGAAGGAATCTTACGGCGTCGAGCTTTTGCAGGCCGTAGGCTTCGTGTATGTCTCGAAAGCAAAGCACTACCTTGCTACGAATCAGACATTGTTTGGGGTCGGCGGTTGGTTCCACAATGTCCAAGGCAAATACCACGTATTCAGCGAAACGTGAGCATTGATAACTGTTAATACTCTCATAAATTGACGTTAGGTAGTGTGTCAACACTGCGATCGGCAATTGAATTGAAGAGCGTCTTTGATCAAATTGCAGCAGCGGAGAAAGCTGGAAACCTTAGTCCAGAGGAGAAGAAGAAATTAGAAGAGCAAGCCGCTGAGAAAGGCATTCAGGCCCTTTTCAAGGTTCTTTTTTCTTCTGTTCGAAGCTATTGACACGTCTGACGACACTGACAGGGGACGAAACTTGAAATTGAGTCTGTATTGCGCGAAACTTGTGACCGCGTCCTCGAAGACCCAACAGTATCACGCCCTAAAGCTCAGTTGCGGGCTGTTGCGATGCAAATTCTTGGAGAATCATACGTGGGCGTCAAAAAGGACGCAGACGGAAACGCAGACGAGAGCGAATACGTGAGGATCGACACAAAGAGCAGTCGAGAAAAAGACCGCCAACGAGGTTCTTGATCTGCTGCCTCTACCTTCATTTCGCTATACCAAACAATGCATCTTACCCATAACCTACTTGTTCCCGCATCTAATCACTCTTTTTACTTCGTGCATATCCATGTCAATCATACATTCCATGCGTCGTACTTCTCACTTTATAGCTAATCAAAATCATCCTAGAGCTCGCCAGTAGCGCCCGGTTGAGTGTTTTCGCCGATAGTGGGAGGCGGTTCACTCGTTTCGGTAGATACTTTGTTTACCTGGGCATTCTTGCCTTTCCCTGGTGGAGGCGGATGGTACACCTTTTCCTAGCACAACCACTCAGTATGAGTACTGAATCAAGAGAGACGACCAACCTTTTTCTTCTTAGGTTCCGCTTTTGCATTTGGATCTGGGTACGCCAATTTCTCTATTTGTTGCCACTCTGGAGACTCAGCAAAGGCTTTCCGAATCGGCGCCAACAAGCTATCAATCGCCTTGTTAACAGCTGTCTTGAGATCACCAGGGTGAATCTTCTTCGCTGAGAAATCATCCTCTAGCTCCTGGGAGTCCTTGTAATGACTTGGGGGACCACCGATTTTCCCCTCTCGTCTGATGGTAAACACAGTCCCCTCCGGTGCATCATCGTCTATAAATGGGTTTTGGTCGCCAATCGCACCCTGACCTTCTTCACTATCAACACCTGTCTCACCCTTCCGCCGCTCGATGCGAAGCTGACTGATCGGTATCAGTACAGCTTTGGTGAACGCGAGAAGTCCATTCTCTGTGATATTGCCCTCCTCGCAGAAAGCTTTCTTGATCTTGCGCTTAACAGCTTCGGGAGGGTCAAGGAAGTCTATCTTCGAATCTGGGTCCGAAGATGACATCTTACCCCCCATGAGACCTGGAACCATGGGGTTCATGAGGTGGGCGCGTTTGGCATAGCCTAATCGAGGAAGATAGAGTTCTGCGAACGTGAAAATTTTACGCTGCAGTCAGGGGACGTCATTCGGTGATCCATTATCTGATTCGCAGATGCACACACCTGATCGACCCCACCAAACTGGAAGTCAACACCGAGGTACTGCTCATCAAGAGCCTGCAAGCCAGGGTAAAGCAAGCCGCTGAGAAGAGGACTCTCGACTTGTTTTACGACCTCTGCGCCTGCCTTCTTCGCATCATGCTCTGTCACGGTTGCGCATAACCTATAGTTGTCGAGGTTGTATTCTCGAGTAAGCTGGTAATCTGAGCCTTGAACAAATATTAGTTTTGATGTGGGTATCCCTAATGAGGTGAAGACGGTGCGGAGGATAAATTCGTAGTATTTTGTCCGGTGGGCGACAAGCTCTAAAGGAGCCTTTAGGTTGTCGAGGAAAGCGTGTACATCTATGGAATTTTGTTCAGTAAATAATGCTCGCATCAAGAGGGTGTTGTTTACGTGCCAGCAAGTAAGATCTTGACCTCCACGCCAGCTCTCAAGAAATCAGCGATTTTGGTTAATGCGACGAAGTAGCCGATGTGTGCTAGAGAGCCCATCTTAGTTATCGGCTTGGTTTAGCCTGTAAATCATGTTATACGTACGTCTTCCAGTTGGTGCGGTACCTGGCCAACGCATGGAGCGTCAGTTCGAATATTCGATCAAAGGTGAGTGGACATACCCCAGTAAGCCTTTGGTGGTCGACCTTCTGCGAGAATGGCCTTGATCGAGTCACCGCCTAGAACTTCTTGGAGCCTCCGCGTGATCAACTCGTACTTCGCCTCTACGTCCAACGTCGACACCATGCCTGTGATGGTGAAGGTATGAATTAAGTGTTAGTACAGCCCGAGGCCAATGACTCGACACTTGGTCAATTTCACTGCCGCTTTTTGCCTAATGGGGCAGCGATACGATTTAGAAGCTGCTAGATAAGATCGAAAACGTTGATCAATACCTCACCAAGCACTTGATCTCCCATTCATGCGAAGAAAAATAGCAGGAAGCACGGGTCATCGGGGTTCAACCTTGTTCATATTAATTACAATATTAGTTGCCCAGAAGCTGTTTCTCTTTCAGATATACAAATCTACTTCGGAACACCAACTCGATACTACGATGAAAGTCAAAATGAATATGTTCCCTGTAGAGTGCCCAGCGAAAGTGGTCCAGTTGAATCATTTTCCGTGTTAAACATCACCATCAGTTGATACGTCGTGTGCGCGCTCCTGGAAAGCAATCGTGCTCATGCCAGTTGCTGCGTCAGAGTCGGCCACATGCGTAGCGTTATAGTCTCGAACACTGAGGATGAGGCGCGGTCCCAGCACAGACATCTGAAGGGACACGGCAATTTGAAAGATGCCATAATAGACCTGAACTCCCACAGAGGAAATGTCCTACAGAGATGATGAGTGGTCAGGCGCAGATGGCTCACAGATCGGCGTACCGACAGCTTTGGAGACAGCACGCCGAAATTGAAGCAAGACACAGCGGCATAGCTAGCAGTCAAGCACTTGAGCGGAAAAATTAACCACATTCAAACTGCGAACTCACGCTGCAAAGTAAAATGCGTGAGTTCGCATCAACACCACGAAACAGTCCCCCATGGCCCATCCTGTTGATGATCTTCGCAGTTCGAGGAAGTGTTTTACAACGATCCAAACTGCAAAACACAGTGCAAGAATCTCCCAAACGATGCCAAGTATCCAAATTTCGTCCAAGAGAAGGTGGTCAGATCCATTCTGAATGCACTGATAAGTGCCGGAAAGGACGAGTTCCTCTGGTATTCACTCCATGAGCATGATGTGCATATGTTTCTATCCATAATAAAGACTTACCCCCTGAAGTACGGTGGCTTGCTATTGCGGAAATCGTCCCGCCCGCGATTGTGAGAGCCAGGAAGAGTACAACGAGAAAGATGAGCATCTGTCTGGATCGCTGATACATGGCATATAACCGAGTGATCATGATGACTTTAATGATTTGTCGGTCAAGTTAATATCATCGAGATACTTCAGTTGAGTAGCTCACCACCTAGCAAGGCATTTATCACAAAAGAAGCCCAAAACAATGCGAAGACCATAACATTGCCTGGACAACCCATCAGTGATGACCCTCAGAGGACTAAACACTTCAAACAGACTCACAGCTGATCCAGTCATTATTTGGAACAAACAAGGGTTTGAAAATTTCACTCACCCCTACATAGAAGCACTTATTGGACAATAATGGCAGCAATCATTATAGAATACCCACTGCATCTGGCACCGAGAGTGACGGAATACCTGCTGCATACCGCCGGTCAGAAGAAATAAACGCAGTGTACATGAGGAAACATACACAACATGATAGTGCTGATCGTGAGAAATGGTTCGTTAGCGCAGTGCCAACTCGTTGGTTGTGATCGTACCCAGCGTATAGTATTCCGACGTAGCGCACCTATGATATTTCAAGTTGAAGTCAGCACGACTTGCTGGCTTATTAATGGCATAAGCTACGTACGCTGACATATAGGACAGACATGAGGGAACGGCGTCTCCTCTGCACCAAACTGTTATCCTATTATTATTCTGATATGGGACTCTGCTCACCCAGATCACTTCATACTATAAACCATCATTAGCGAGATGGCTGCTCCGGTAATAACATCAACCTACCTCTTTTCCGAATGTCAGGACTAGAGGATGTCATAGGGACTTCAATGACTCTCTCGATCAGTACTGCGTTGCTCACCCCAATCATATACCACTGCAGTAAAGGATGCAACTGCAAAACCACAGGCAAAGAGTGAGACATCATCACATCATCCGGCTTGGTCTCTACGAACCTGCAAAATAGTTGAAAACAAGATTGAAACGGATTAGTGGCCACCAGCTAGGACCGTTTGAGATTATGGTCATATTCAAGAGACGAGTGTTGGTAGGTGGCAAGTTTGGTGGATGTACAACGATGGTGCTCGTGCGAGATATACCACCATAAAGCACTTCTATCACCGAAATAGATATTATGCAGATGAACACAAGTTCCTGGATCCTGGTCACCGGCTTTGATCGATTGTACTGAGTATACCCATATGAAGTCAAGTCGATTTCTGGCGGCGGATCTGTGAGGCAGTGTTATGAAAGCTGTTCGTAATGTCGAGAACATCGTTCTTCAGGAGAATTTGGTCCAATCATAGGAAACAGATAACACACCTCTCTCGCTGCCCCGGCCCTCTGCAACGTGTTAAAAAAACACCCACAAACGCCCCACTTGCGGTATCCGATTCCTCGTGCACACTGCCTCGGCTATTGTCATGAATTATGCGACCTGATGCGAACAAGCAAAATGCACCAATGTCATCCATTTTGGGGCCGTTGCATCAACTAAGTACACAGCTAATTGACGCAACACCAATGTTCTTTAGGTAATGACAACTTGCCAAGCTGGAGAACAGTTACAGCGCAGTACTGAAGCAAGCGAGGGCGATTTGATAGGGTAGCGAGATTCCAGATTCCATCGCCTAGAACAGTACGAGGACACCGGGTGTACTCTCGTTTTGTGACATCCGTCTGATTCCGCAAAAACTAGGTCACTCATGTGGTGAGGACCGAGGTGCTTATGCTCTCGGCTCGTCGCTGAATGCGCTTGAACTAGTTGACGAAGAGAAGGGAACATGCCTCGAGAACTTGGAGGATCGTCATATTGGGCTTTTACAGATCATGGTAAAACGTGGTTAGAGTGGGGAGGAAGGTAAAAGTTAACGGGCACGTGATCATGACGCGTTCAAATCGCGAACGTTAACTCACGCTTAACTTCAACCTTTCTTTTACTCCCGGTAGAGTTTCTTCCCCGCCATACATCCTACACACATATATTACTGCGCTATAATTTTCCAACTATGCTTACAGTCATTCCTGCATTTCAACCCAAACGCGCGGGACGCCTCTTCGTACACACCCTCTCAGCATCCTTTGAGCCTTTCGCGCAGCGCTGCTTCAAAGGGGCCATCGCCATTTTCAGAGTGCCACTGAATGCAACGTTATTCGTTGTGATCGTCTTTATCCAGCTCGCCCTCAACGCTTTCGGGTACTTCTTCAAGAATAATAACGGTCCAAAGGCCAAGGACAGGAAGAATGCTAAACGGTCCAAAAGGCTCTCGCGTACTCAGATCGACATGGAGAGGTTGGAAGCAGATGCATCACTCGATGAGCAACACAGAGAAGGCTCTCTCGATGAGGGAAGTTCTCAGAACATCTCCTCAGTGAGTACAATAAACCTATTGTTTTAGTAGCCCAAATTTGACAGCATCCATTACAGTCCCTGGAGTTGCAAATGGTGATATTTCTTCCATACCCCGAGCGATCGGATTAGCTGACGAAACGCAGCCGGCTATGTCATTAGCGTCCACATGTATAGCCCCTCTGTCCCGTGAAGACTCGAAAATGCACCTCGATTCTACGACAAGCGCCCGCACGCGTCGTGTCCATCGGCTCGTCTCCCACCTCAAGCAGCACACCGACAACGACGGACCAGGTCACTGTCACGACAAGAAGATCCGAAAAACCAACTCGGAGTATCGCAAGAGCCAAACAGACGGAGAAGCCCTATTACAAGACTCGAGCAGGAGCGGGATACTGCGTACTTCAAACCAGCCGCTGGTCCGGCAGGTGACTCACGCTTTGTCGTCGGTTTTCCGCACCCCACTCCGTCTTCCGAAGAATACCGCGACTGTAGCTTGTCACACCCCTGACTCTGTCGAAGGGCCTATTGGCGATGTGATGACATTCACGTATCCGCCGTATCCGGTCAGCAAGGTGGCCGACTCGAGCGAAAGGAAGTGGCCGTGGCAGATTCGGGAGACGCGAGGACCGTGCATAGAAGCCTAGCCTATCAATTCATTGAGATCTCTGTAAATTATCGTAGAGGCCTGGTTTCAATCCATCCCTAAAGCACACTTCGAGTTTTTGTCCTCAAGGTGGTCCGTGCTCGAGCCTATGTAGTGAATGTTGGATATTGCAGGGGCGTGCACTTCGAGTTTTCAAGGTGGCCCGTGCTCAGGCCACAGGTCTAAGAGTAAAGACACCCGCTTGTGGTCCCGACGCGATAATGAGGTCACGTGGTCTGTGTCTACATATAAACACGCCAATCAACAAAGAAGTCGCGTTATTCGCCCTCTAACCTCTACCACCACCAACTGCTATCGATATCCTCTATTCATCTTACACACCACACACACATACCATAAACTACAATGTCTGGACGCGGCAAAGGTGGAAAGGGTCTTGGAAAGTAAGTGCAAAAGATATTTCTTAGTGAGTGTTATATCTGACCTGGCTTGTGTAGGGGCGGTGCCAAGCGTCACCGCAAGATTTTGCGTGACAACATCCAGGGTATTACGAAGCCTGTATGCCCTGACCCCAATGTGCAATCAACACTTTGTCTGATGTTCTGCAGGCTATTCGTCGTCTTGCTCGCCGTGGAGGCGTGAAGCGTATCTCCGGTCTCATCTATGAGGAGACCCGTGGTGTCTTGAAGATTTTCCTTGAGAACGTGAGTCACCTTGGTTGCTGGCTGTGGGGATATCAGCTGACTCCGCACAGGTTATTCGTGACTCGGTCACATACACTGAGCACGCTAAGAGGTAAGGCTCTGACTGCCGTGGCCATTATTGGTTCTCACGCTGACGATTGTGGATGTTCTAGGAAAACTGTGACGGCGCTCGATGTCGTGTATGCTCTCAAGCGCTCTGGCCGCACGCTCTACGGCTTTGGGGCATAAGCCTTTCATATTTTATTCTTACTTGCGGAGTTTCGATTTTGTGAATGATAGTTATGAGCTGGTGACGACGCGGGATAGCGCTCGTTTCTGATGCAGGATGTGTGATATGTTGCTCAATGCTACTAGGTCTACTATATGATGTATATTATTCTTGCCATACAAGTACTTATGTGCCATGTACCTGACAGTGTGACGCGAAGCTGACGGAGTGTGATGTCGACTGTGAGTTGCCTACATAGCTTATTTTTTGGTCTGGGGCCTGCCAGGGCTGGGTTGGAGATGCTCATCCAAATTTAAATTGACCACAGCCAGTGACTTTGGACCTCGGCGAAAGCCGCAGCTGAGTGTTTGAGACACGCACGGCGAAATCCGAGTCATCAACGCAATGCGCATCAACTCTTACAGAAAGGTAGAACGATCCATCAATAACCAGGATGACTTCAGTCGCCCCCTCGAGGAGCTCGTGTAGGTAAGTACTTTGGTGCACGGCATTGGCAGCTCTGTTCCTCGCAAGTATCACCTGGTGGTTCGTACGTGGACACCCTCCAGAGTCCGCCATACCACTCACTTGTACCATGTGAGCGGAGCTCCGAGTCAAGTACCATCTGAGATACGTTAATACAATCTTTTAGTGTGTTCAGAAGTCCACGATATCCTGCATACATTAGGTGGGTCTCCAAATATCCTTCTTGCTCCCTCATATGCAGATACATCTTATTCTGATCGCTTGAGATACCCACCCCCGCTAATTCGGGTTCTGCTTTTGAGTTGATTTCTGTCGATATCGACGACCACGGTCACGGTGATTACTCGTCAGTCTTAATTCTCATTCGTCTTGGTGGAATGTTGACCTACGCGGTCGACCCCGCATCATCAGTGAATTGATGAGTCCGTGATATGGTAGATGTATGGCACAATGGGTGGCCCATCGTGCCCTATATCTATTGGCTCACAGCTGCAGTCCTCCATCATCTCCCCGAATATATTCTCATGTCATATAGCAAGCAGCCTTCGCAGGTGGGCACCAAGCCATCACCACCAGCAACGGTATCGACTACTGGCTATCCGCTAAGACGTGACGCGTTGCGACGATTGGTCCTTTCCGAGTTCACTAGAGTCCACTAAAATGACAAACAGTCCGTCATCCCTGTGACAGAGTAGTCGCCTCGCCTCAGGCTGCTCTAGTTGGCTACAGGTGCTAGAGTACGCAACTGGGCCAGAGCACAACAGGCAAGGGCAAGGCAGGGCAAAGCACATTGTACGACCTCGAAGGAACAACGAATCCGCAGTAGACCTCCGTATCAAAGCGTGTGGTCCCAAACACAATGCGATTCCACTACTGTCTTTGACGCCACAATTCATGGGGGGAGTATTAAAGGCAAGGCTCCTTCAAACCAGCTTCACATCTTACCCACTCATCATGGCATCTCAACCTATCACCCGATCTCCATTTGGCTTCTTTCCAGCTGAGCTTGTCCTCCTCATCATCAGAGAGGCTGCACAGCCAACTTTTTCCCAAGCTGAAAAATATGCTGATCATAATCCCTATTCGACCACTCTTTCGCTATGTCTCGTCTCCAAAAATTTCAGGGAGATCGTGCTTCCTTATTTACTGCACACCGTATCGCTCCCAAAATCTCAGAACGTGAGAAAGTTCGTGGAAGCTCTGCATATGCAGGAAGCATATGCTCAGGAAAGCAGCCCCTTCCAATTCGAGTACGCATCTTTCGTACAGAAAATTTGGATTGGAGAGGACGGGGATCTTGCAGAACCTAACTTGCTCAGAACCCTGGGCTATGAACTGGCGTCTGAGCGCGAGCGTGCCATGGGCCTGCTGGCTCCGGTGCTACTCACTGCGCCCTCCATTGCCCTTGCCTGGACAAGTCTGGGCCTTCTTTCAGACTGCCTGGAAATTGCATGGGAGTCCCGTACAGACACAGACGTCAACAACGAACACTCCCCGCCTCCCTGGAAAACCCAAACTCTGACGCTATCTGGTAAGGCAGATAGCGTCAGACCATGGGAGTTCCTGATGGGTACTTCCCATGGATCTGCTTTCGTTGCTTCGATCCTTCACCTCGCCTCCAACAACACGTCCAACAACACCCCATGGGGACCCCTCACGGACACCCCCCAGACATGGGCTGAGCTTGCTGATATGGGTTTCTTGTGCCACGAGGGAATTGACCCTTGTTGGCTTGCCCATTTTCTGAGCTATGATCAAATGTACAACCTGCCTCAGTGGATGGAGCGCACTCCATGGGCTTCTTTTCAGAAGCTTCAAACAGTGTCATTGGCCTATGCGCATGTCAGACGCCCTTTCAATTCACCCGCATTGATCACAACGGGATTGCCCTTGCATGTGGAGGTGCTGATGTTGTCTGCATCCTTGCTGCGCCACCCTGTTCCGTGGGTGGCGAGTGGGTTTATCAAGAGGGGTCCCGGAGAGGAGTGTATTGTGTCGGATGATGTTCGTTTCAAGGTGTCCCGTTCTTGTTTACACTTTAGGTATGCTCGTGAAGATTGGCAGAAGGTTTGGGCATGCGGATTTGGGCGTTATGATTCTAAAGGCGACTAGGGGTGTTATGATATGGCTGATATTGTATATATATATGGTTCTAAAGCCGACATGATATTGTATATATGATACCCTACGTGCTGGCATGTACGCTTCTTGGTTCCCAATGGATATTATTGATGTACATCGTGAATCCCATCCAAATAAAATTACCGCTACTGTGTATGGTGATGTCTCATGTCCATAATGTTCTGGTTTCAGCGTAAAATATTTTGCTGACCCGCGTGCATGCTGCAAAGATAACGAAGCGGTGCCTTCTTCAACTCAATGTTTGCATTGTTCACCATATATCAGTGTCACTCATTCACTTGACAAAGCATGCGGACAGTCATTGAATACAAGCTTAAGCCTGATGGTCAGATACGAGCTCTATCAGAATTTCCAAACTTTGAAGATACCGGCACCAAGCTTGGTCTCCTAAATCTGTGCCTTCGAAGGTCCTCTTACAGACTTTTTGTTTAGTAGATGGTCATTGTAGCTCGTCACAACCATAATCTCCCATACCAAGAGTCTCAATTTTGCGAGTGGAATATCTCGGTAGATCTCGTATTGTGCCCACGCCCCAACAACTCCCCGATTCACTGAGACCCAGTTCAGGAGATAGCCTGATGGAACCTGTCTCAGCCACAACAGCTATGCATCAACGGCGGCACGTCCGTTGACGCAACTACGAATTACATTTCCTATCGGTAGTTATGTAGTAACTAAGTGATTGTTGATGAATGCGAGGCTCTGACAGACAAGCGAAATCGGCAGCAAGACCAGCCTTAAGCAGTGTTGGAAACCACCCAACCCGCTTCCTTTCCTGTGCTCATGACGGGCAGCCGAGCTGAACTGACCAACGTCAAGCCGACTTTTCCCATCTCACCCCCCCTCCCCCCGCACGACCACGTGTTACACCTGGCTGCTCATACCTCCATCCTTCAGGTTTGTGTCGACAATTTCGACGTCAAACATTACCGGGCGCATAGAGAATGTTTTCGCGGAATTGGAAATTGAATTGAAGCACAGGATGTGAGATTGCCAAAGTCAAGACTTAGTCTGAGCGCACACCCAATTAACAACAGCATCAGACATCCAACTTATTCAGAGGTAACTCGATTCAGTAAGTATAAATTAGAACAGCACTAGAACCAAATTGCCCCTCCGTCAGCAAAAAACCTTTTTTGAGATTCCAAGGCCCTGCGCTCCAGACCTGCGGGCTAAAAGTTTGAGCCATTCCACCAGAATGAAGTCGCGAAACGTTAGTACCTAGAAGTTAATAGGGTCCAAGCGGAAGCTGAAGGAGCCTTTCTTCTGCACTCCAAGAGACGTGTAGTCCCAAGAGAGGACAAGCTCGCTGTTCCACTCCAATTTGACGCCGGCATATCCAGTCGCCAGGGTTTCGGGCGTTACATTGAAGTCGATTTTGATGCCGCTGTTGAACATGAGAGCACCCATGCCCTGGCCGAGGAGGATGTGTCCAATGATGGGCGCATCGAAATAGACTTGAACCGCGACGGTCAAGGCGGATGTATCGATGGTGATGTCGACCTGAAGGTGAACACCGTTCTAAGGGGTGAATGAATACCGCCAAAAACGTGGACTGACCTCAATAGTGCCGTTTGCAACCCTCTTGACTAGGATGCCTTCGACAGCCTGAGTCTGGAGGAAGTAGATGACTTGTCCCTCATCAATCCTCACGCTCTCGATGTTGAATTTGAGGAACTTCAAGTTGACTGCAAAAGATTAGGGTGGTGGTCTATCCGCCAGCCAGCGTACTCACAAGGAACATCTATGAAACCGCGGAATGAGCATTGAGCTGAGGTACCCGAGAATATGATAATTACCTTCGGCGCTCTTGACTGCACGGTCTGTGGCGAGACAGAGCTTGCCGGAGGTCATCTGCGAAGGGGAGGCGAGGTTCGACATATTGTATAGTAAGTGAGTGTGTGGATACTCAGGGTAGATAGTTGGAGGATGATGTCTGCAGTTTACCGTTCACAATGTGCAGACTTTATATCATGAGCACATCGTGGAGGCACATTCACAGCGGCAACATCTGAGAACTGCACGACGAAGGCACCAGGCCACCGGACTTCATCTTCTTGCGATTGAACCACAAATTATGCGACCTGGAAATGGGAGTAGTCATTGTCTTTTCTCCACGCGTGCATGGAGGCATTAGGAAGCTGACAGAAGGGAGTACCTTGTACCTTCAAGGCTTCGAATATCTGTAGATGTGAATCTGATTAATTAATGCCTCTTCAGTACCTTTCGATGACGTCCTCGGATAGACTTTGACGGGCAAATTTGTGCGCCGACATAGCAGAATGGCTGCTAAGCGATGGAATTACATATCCCTGCGGATCCTTTTTCGCCTTGCTCGTTTGACTGACAGCCTCACAGCCACAAGACGAAGGTGAGAAGGGTACAAAGTCTGTAGGTTTAGTTGATACCTCTTGCACACCTTTCGACTTTTACTTGTCAAGTCTTTGACCAACATACTTGCTATGATCTAGCTTTTTAATCCGACAGTTTTGGGCGGCTGATAAAATACAACGAAAGTGTGTTGCACTCTAAACTTGTAGTGAGCGTGAGCGTCACGGTGAACTTGAAGTATATAACTGCTTCCGCTGTTGCTGTGCTTCCACGCCCACATCGGAAGCCCAGTTTGAGTTGATGCCAGGGTTTACCGCGGTATGTTAAAGCATCTAGACTCTAGAGAATTAATTACACGTTGATTAGCTTGGAATGTATGTGAAGCCTTGCAATCGTAAAGCTCGGAGATGCCACAACGCCAAGAAAAAACTCGTCGGGATGATGCAGCTCCCGTCCCTTCCCGGACCTGAATAAGTTACCCGTCAGTGGGAGCAGTTCTTACACAACAGGCGACAAGTAATTGGAACGTTACCATTGAGCTAGACCGCGACCGAGGATGGTAATGACGAAAGGTTGAGGCCAGGCGTATTAGGCGACCGCCGGGATATATGACTTGTTCTTCCCCCGACAATGGACAGTTATTCCAGCCTGTAGATCTGGAATACAGCCCTTGAAAGAACATATTCTTAATGGCGATGTGCGAGATGCACTATCGCTGTAGCATTTTTCTAATATATACAGCTGAATCGTCGTTAACGGGCAGCGTGAACCTTGTGCGATGAGGTCTGGTGATGTTTAACAGGTATACTCAGACAGGCTACTTCGTGAAATTTGGTGATATAACATCCGCAAGTACCTGCGCTGAATGGACCACTGGGTAACCCGTGAAGGGCGTCTGTCGAATATTGATTGAACTCGACATGGATAGTTGCGTGCCAAACATTTCCTTGTTCGCAAGGGTCGGGACCTCAGTATGCCCGTTCGTAATAAGAGGACCTCCTGTTACTATAACGATCCAGCAAAAAGGCTGGTACACGCTACGGGCGTCGTCCTTAACGTGTACATGACACAGGCTGGCATGCAAGAGTTCTCGTGCTGAATTGGGAACACATTTGCGGGATGCAAAAGTTGTATCCCAGGATATGAAACAGGCACTTGATTCAGTCTGCTCAGCGTAGCGATGAGCACACCAACTCGGGGTATAATTTCTGCGCTGAGGGGCATGAAGAGAAAATTTCTGAACGGTCCAAGGGCCGTCTTGAAGAAAATGTAAGGAGAACTACCCACAAGGTTAGTAGTACCCGCGCCACTAATAAAACCAAACAGCGCCAAATCGGCAATATCAAAAGTTGACAAGTTCGCTCCAGTTATTCGTTGCCTGTCCGTGCTGTCGTTGTCGTCGAGCAAGAGCATCAAAATTCAATCATGTCATCCGCACCAGCACCCTCTTTCGATGGCATCGGTATCGCCAACCTTCCCAACCAGGTGAGGAGCTTGTCTTGACATTTCTCTCATTTTTACCGACCACTATGGGTCTCCTTCCACGCGATATAGAGGCACAAAATCGTTGCCAAACATGGTGCACACTTCACCATGATGGTTGTCGGTGAGTGCAGCGCGTCTCCAGCGAGATAAACTAGCTCGCTTACTTGTCTGCACGCCAGGCGAGTCCGGTCTTGGGAAGACTACATTAGTGAACACGCTTTTCACGACCGAGTTGTCTCCTGCCAGGAACTACAGCAGGCGGCACCACAAGCAACTCGACAAGCTCACCGAGGTTGAAATCATCAAGGCTGAGCTTGAGGAAAAGCAGTTCAAGGTCAAACTTACCGTCATCGATACCCCCGGCTTTGGCGACTACGTCAACAACCGCGATTCTTGGTCTCCAATCGTTGATTTCATTGATGACCAACACGAGGCATATATGCGCCAGGAGCAGCAACCCCAGCGCAACGAAAAGATTGACCTCAGGGTTCACGCTTGCCTCTACTTCATCCGACCCACTGGGCACACGTAAGTTATATACTTTCTGAATCATTGGCAAACGCTGACTAGATTCTTAGTTTGAAACCGCTTGATATTGAGATAATGAAGCGCCTCGGCACACGCGTGAACCTTATCCCTGTTGTTGCGAAGGCGGATACCCTCACGCAAAATGACCTGTTCCTCTTCAAACAACGCGTCCGGGAGGTCATCGCTGCTCAGGGTATTCGCATTTATCAACCCCCCGTTGAGAACGATGACGAGTCTGCTGCTGAGCATGCGCGCATGCTCACTGACGCTATCCCGTTCTCGATCATTGGCTCGACTGAAGATGTCCAAACCCCTGATGGTCGCCTTGTCAAGGGTCGCGAGTACCTCTGGGGTGTGGCTGAAGTTGAGAATGAAAACCACTGTGATTTCCGCAAGCTGCGCTCGCTGCTCATCCGTACGCACATGCTCGACCTCATCTCGACGACGGAGGAATTGCACTACGAGAACTACAGGCAGCAGCAGATGGAGACGAGGAAGTTTGGGGAGCCAAAGGTCAAGAAAGTGGACAACCCCAAGTTCAAGGAGGAGGAAGAGTCCCTCAGGAAGCGCTTTACGGAACAGGTCAAGGCCGAAGAAGCCCGCTTCAGACAATGGGAACAACACGTAAGTGAACTCTGCAACCCTACATCAGTGACATTATCTCACTTCTTCCGTAGCTTATCGCCGAACGGGACCGTCTCAACAAGGATTTGGAAATGGCACACAGTGCCATCAAGTCGCTCGAGGCCGAGCTCGACAACCTCCAAGCTGGCTACGGCGGTCGCGGCAGTGCCAGGCGGTGAAAGTCGGATCCCGTTTGGTTTTGGACAAATATTCGCTCCGTATACCCTAAGATCCCGCTTGTGTTCGCTTCCACGTTCCCTTCCGCATTGTACCTTGCTGTCCATACGACGAACATTCTTTGGTCGTCTTGTCTTCCTTGGTTTTCCTTCTTGATTCGGAAGTTACGTTATATACCTTCTCGTACGCACTCCGCTGACATTATCATAATATGATGGTTTTCGTGCCAGATATTTTCTCTTGGGAGCATACTTGAATTGAAATGCCAACGGGAGAGTGATTGCTTGTGGCGTCTATTACGCTCATTGGCGACTAGTCATGACATTGGAAATCCGTCAAAATTAATTCAGATTTGCATGTACCATGTAGGCTAACCAGAGTCACCGACACCATCCATCAAGTCCAGGAAACAGGCATGTCATTCGATGAAACAAGAGTTTACAGGAAGACGACGAATCCTTTTTTTCAGCCGCAAGCAGGAGAGTTAGAAGATGTTTTCTGAAACAATGTATGGCGACTTTCGGCCCATCTCCAAATTCCTCACGTCCTCGTCTCCTGTTCCAAATCAAATTTTAAATCCTTCAGTGGGAACGCGTTATTTGAATTCGACACGACCGTGAAGTTGACGGAACGCGATATCTCTTCCAGATAGAGTACAGCACGCCCCTCACTCTGTGACAGAGTGCCGTGAACGATCTGCAGTCAGCGAAGGAGTTTGTGACAGTCGCGGATGAAGTTGCGGGTAGTAGCAACGAACGCATCGGAGTAAAGCAACCTGCACCCTCACGGTGACACGCAGAAATGCCGATATCAAATCCATGATTTCGCTGAAGCTCCGCTGACTCAAGGACCTTTCCACCGACTATCAAGACAGGTGAAGTTCGAATGCTGTCTGGCAGGCGTATCAGATCCTGAAACTCCCCGTGAGATACATTTGGCACATGAGGGAAAAGAAAATGGGCGTCAGTGCAAAACAGTTCCAGTTCGGCGGTGTGCTCCCGTACCCAAATAGAAACAATATTAATTCTCGCATTGATGAAGTACATGCCGTCCTCAGCATGAGGACCGTCACCGAAACCTTGACAGTAACCAGGAGATCTCTGTAGTGATGAAACATCGTACCGCTAGTACTTTAGCCCATTCGCCATTTCTGGAAAACGCCCGGCTGGATTCCAATGACACCATGCAAAGTGCAGGAAGTAGCCATTGTAACGGTCAAATGCAGAAGAGAGATGGTGTAGATGATACTTGATTAGAGGATATGACGACGTCAAGCCACTGGACGTTGAGCAGACACATGTGAGTATCATCCCCAAGCTTCACCACGGACTCCCCCGTGTTTGGAACCGGCGAGTTCTACGAATCTTTGATGCAACTTGAAGCCCTTCGATGAGTGATCTATCAAGATCGTTCTGCCATCCATATGCCACTCATCAAATTCGCCAATGGAGTAAGGTAAAGTCTCCAAATACGTCAACCATCTCGATGGATAGCAACTAGTTGGTACCAGGTATGGGTTCCTTTGCGATGAACAACCAAGCTCGGCTTGGGTTATTTATATTATCATCCTCAAGAACCTGACAAAGTAATGAGGAACACGCTTTACAAGAAATGTTCGAAGCCTACTTGTGCCCCGTTCGCGATAGAGTCGTTTTGTACAGCCAGCGCTTTGCCGGTGCACTTGTCCACGATACTGTGTTCGAGAAGCTAACCTCACTTTCGTTGTAGAGAGGAACCTTGTCACCTACTTCCATGCATACGGGACTGCGGTACTTTGTTGGAGACTCCACGGATAAATCGAGTAGCTGGTGACGACGCTGCCAGCAACGCTGTCGGTTTTGTTTGACTGGTCGAAAGAGAGGAACGCGCCAGTCCCAAAGGACTGTATGGTCACCCCACACGATTCGGTGTTCGCTACGTTCCACTGCGAAGGATACAACCAAGGGCTTGATGAAGAGCATCGAGGAAACGCACGATGTCATTTCCTAAGCGATTTCCAACACTATTGACGATGTCACCCGGAACACCCTCGAAATTCAACACATTCAAGTAGGTGTGCGTCGTGGCGTTCATGATAACATATGAGCCTGTAGGAATGGTGATGGACATGTTCAAATACTTGAGGGAAGAGTATGTATAGTATGACTTTATACTTGGATAATTATATACAGAGCTCGAGGATTGGAGTGACCCTGACTAAGCAGACCCTCTGGCAACCAGTACAACTGTCACTTGAAGCACCGTACATTCCCTACAAACTCGCGACAGACTTGTAAGGGTCGATACAAGTCTATACAAGTCCGTGCGTGCGGCAATGTTCAAAAGAATCAAAACATGCGCCTGTAAGTCTACTCGTACATGTCTGGCTTAAAAAAATGAATGAGTATTTGAAGCCTAGCTGGAATGTGAAACCCAATGGTCCGTCAGAGCGTGTCCAGATGTGCACGTTGCGATCGGTTCCGCCAATCGCAAGTATTATCGCTTCGCCAAAGTAAGCAAGGTGCCTATTCATGACGAAACTGAGTCCCTCACCTTCAGAAGATGGTAGAAATGCGAGTGCCAGGGACAAAGGATAATACCCTTGAAGCGAGATGGTTTGGAGCTCCTTCACCTCATCCGTCACAATTAACATAATTCACTACGCTGAATGATAGTTCTACCACCTCCCATATTTTGATGGAAGAGTCTGAACTTCCGGTAAGCAGGAATTTGTCAAACGCGCGAAGTACAGAGATGGGTGGTGCGCTTGCATGATCGTGGGTGATCCTCCACTATAAACATTGTGAGGGCGTTCGCATAGCAGGCAGATTGACGTACCTCTGTCCCAACTAATCTCCACTGGCAGTACCGGACTGTTCCCTTGTCATCCGCACTAGCAAACGTGTCCGAAGCCACAAACCGAACGCAGGTTACAAGGCCTTGGTGACTGTGCGCAAGTCACTGTGACAATACACTCACTCGAGTGTTCCACAGAGCGAATAATTTGCCTGAACCACAGGCACAGGCAATCAGAGAAGAGGTGGAGGCATCTGCAGCATGGTTGAAGCGATTGGCAGATGATGACTCATTGCTAACGGATGGCTTGGACTCATTGCAGATCATAGTTAAAACTTTACGGTCTAGTAGCTCAACTTGTTGGTATGCCATTTCGCATGATGCGCGGATTATTCACACAATCCTAGGATGCGCTATAGGTTTGAGTACGAGCTCACCGGCTGTCCTTGATGATCGTCGACTCCGACGCGGATAGTAGGAGCAACTTGGACGGCGCCGCTGTACAAGCTTTACATTTGTGCACGCAAACCTTCTGTATACATATCAAAACTCATGAGACGTCGAAGTTCGCGCGTTTCGTTGTATCAGCTGTGAGCTTTACATTCAACACATTTGTTGTAAAAACTTTACATCCCATACATCTCTGATAGTGCTTGCATATACGCTACAAGCCTCTGCATATCTGTTCGCGAGGGTTTGTGTACCATACAAGGCAGCGACCGGTCTTACACGCCAGCCAGCAGCACTTTACCAACTAGTCACTAGTTGGTACCAGGAATGGGTTCCTTTGCGATGAAAAACCAAGCTCGGCCTGAGTTGGCTATGTTATTGTCCTCCTCAAGAACCTGACAAAATTAATGAGGAACACGCTTTACAAGAAATGATTGAGGCCTACTTGTGCCCCGTTCGCGACAGAGTCGTTCTGTACAGCCAGAGCTTGTCCGGTGGCCTTGTCCACGATGCTGTGTTCGAGACGTTAACCTCACTTTTGTCGTAGAGTGGAACCTTGTCACCTACTTCCATGCATATGGGACCGCAGTGTTTTGCTGGAGACTCCACGCATAAATGGAGTTGCTGGTGACGACGCTGCCAGCAGGGCTGTCGGCTTTGTTTGACTTGTCGAATGAGAGGAACGCGCCAGTCCCAAAGGACTGTATGGTCACCCCACTCGACTCTGTGCTCGCTACATTCCACTGCGAAAGATATAACCAAGCGCCTGATGAAGAGCATCGAGGAAACGCACGATGTCATTTCCCAAGTGATTGCCAACACTGTTGACGATGTCACCCGGAACGGCCTGGAAATTCAACACATTCAGGTAGGTGTGTGTCTTGGCATTCATGATAACATATGAGCCTGTAGGAATGGTGATGTTGTTGGACATGTTAGAATACTTGAGCGAAGAGTATGTAGTATGACTTTTTACTTGGATGCTTTTATACAGAGATGCGATGGGCGTCTGGCCCCGGCTCACGGGTTTTCCGATGTATTGTCGGGAGTGAAGACAGAAATTCTGGTGTTGCCCTGAAACATTTCCGCGGTTATGGCAGATTATCAGTTACCAACTTACGACTTAGTCCACGTCAGTTCGGATTGTATTCATCTCCGCACCTCTCCGTACTCCACGGCCAGAGCAAACATGGATATTGAACGTTCTGAACGTAGAGATCCGACAAGTAGATGTGCGTGCATGCCATTAATGAGGTACAGGTTCCCACTCGATCATGGTTCAAGCGAACGCTCATCGAGCGCTCAGGAGTCAGGAGTCAGGAGTCAGCGCTCATCAATGACGGCAGATTTAGAACAGCGATCATATATTCAATGTAGACGCGCATACCGGTGGCACCTGTCAAACCCAGAGAGATGAAAAGAGGCCCAAAGCCCACAATTATGGAAAACTCACATGTTACCGACTCACCAGGAGGGCTTTCCATGTCTATAGCTATGTTCAAACGAAGCATGGCGTGTTGTATTTTCGTTCAGGGTGAGCTGCTTCGCTCGTGATGGATTCATCTTTGGTCATGCATGCAGGACGCCGTGTCGTACCAGCCGCATCTATGATCTTGGCAGGTCACGGTAGTAAGTTACAGCGGTTAAACCGCTTATTCGGTATCAACCGGTGATGAAGGTGTGGAAGCGAACCACCTCATGTCTTGGGCGTCTTTGGAAACGAAGACGGTTAATTTAATGAAGTAAGTCAAACACAATACATGCAACCTATGTGAGGGCATACATACTAGAAGACGTGGAGACAAGAGGCAGACGAATGTATATGGCTGAGGCAGTGCATGGGATTGATGTCCGGTAGCGCAGTGTACACGTAGTTCCACACCTCAGGCAGCAGTTTGCGGAGGCAAAAGGTAGGCTTTTAGGCCGAGTTCCTATGTTGTGGGAAACCAGCCTGAAAGGCCCATGATTTTCCAATCTAATTTAGGATCTGTTCTAAAAATAATATCATACCTCCTCCAGCTACCACCTCTTTGCCCTTATTTCCTACCTTCATATCTATGACTCTGCGCTCAGATAGTCGTGCAGCGCAACTCACTACGTCTGGGTTGGGTGCTAAGTTTGTCAGTCCACGAAAACAAAGGGACAAACGCAAAACTCAGACATTAGTCGAACTCCCTGGTCAGAAAGCAAAGCATCTGAAGTTACAGGTCAAATTGGCATCTCTAGTAACGAGCGAAGCAGCTCACCCTGAACGAAAACACAACACGCCATGCTTCTTTGAACATAGCCATAGACATGGAATGCCCTCCTGGTGAGTCGGTGACATGTGAGTTTTCCATAATTGCAGGCCCAGGGCGTCATTTCATCTCTCTGGGTTTGACAGGTGCCGCTGGTATGCGCGTCTACATTGAATATATGTTCAGCTGTTCTAAATCTGCCGTCATTGATGAGCGCTGAGTGCTCGATGAGCGTTCGTTTGAACCATGATCGAGTGGGAACCTGTACCCCATTAATGACATGCACGCACATCTACTTGTCAGATCTCTACGTTCAGAACATTCAATAACCATGTTTGCTCTGGCCGTGGAGTATGGAGAGGTGCGGAGATGATTACAATCCGAACTGACCTGGACCTAAGTCGTAAGTTAGTAACTGATAATCTGCCCTGACCGCGGAAATGTTTCAGGGCAACGCCAGAATCTCTGTCTTCACTCCCGAGGATACGTCGGAAAACCCGTGAGCCGGGGCCAGACGCCCATCACATCTCTGTATAAATTCATCCAAGTAAAAAGTCATACTACAACTACTCTTCACTCAAGTATTCTAACATGTCCAACTTCATCGCCATCCCTGCAGGCTCATATGTTATCATGAATGCCAAGACACACACCTACCTGAATGTGTTGAATTTCCAGGCCGTTCCGGGTGACATCGTCAATAGTGTTGGAAATCACTTGGGAAATGACATCGTGCGTTTCCTCATTGCTCTTCATCAGGCGCTTGTTTATATCTCTCGCAGTGGAATGTAGCGAGCATCGAGTCGGGTGGGGTGACCATACAGTCCTTTGGGACTGGCGCGTTCCTCTCCTTCGACCCGTCAAACAAAGCCGACAGCCCTGCTGGCAGCGTCGTCACCAGCAACTCCATTTATGCGTGGAGTCTCCAGCAAAACACTGCGGTCCCATATGCATGGAAGTAGGTGACAAGGTTCCACTCTACGACAAAAGTGAGGTTAACGTCTCGAACACAGCATCGTGGACAAGTCCACCGGACAAGCTCTGGCTGTACAGAATGACTCTGTCGCGAACGGGGCACAAGTAGGCCTCAATCATTTCTTGTAAAGCGTGTTCCTCATTAATTTTGTCAGGTTCTCGAGGAGGACAATAATGTAGCCAACTCAGGCCGAGCTTGGTTTTTCATCGCAAAGGAACCCATTCCTGGTACCAACTAGTGACTAGTTGGTAAAGTGCTGCTGGCTGGCGTGCAAGGCCGGTCGCTGCCTTGTATGGTATACAATCCCTTTCGAACAGAATTGCAGAGGCTTGTAGCATGTATGCAAGTACTATCAGAGATGCAAAGTTTTTACAACAAATGTGTTGAATGTAAAGCTCATAGCTGATACAACGAAATGCGCGAACTCCGAGGTCTCATGAGTTTTAATGCGTATACATAAGGTGTACGTGCACAAATGTAAAGCTTGCCCAGCGGCGCCGTTCAAGTTGCTTCTACTATCCGCGTCGGAGTCGACGATCATCAAGGACAGCCGGTGAGCTCGTACTTCGAACCTATAGCGCACCCTAGGATTGTGTGATCAATCCGCGCATCATGCGAAATGGCATACCCACAAGTTGAACTACTAGACCCTTACAAGTTTGTCACGAGTTTGTAGGGAATGTAGCGCTTGTACACCTTGTACTGGTTGCCAGAGGGAGACTTCGAGGACACTCCATCTCCCTGCTTGCGCCCTCCTAGATGGCTGTATGCTTCACATCACTCTTAGCGATCCGCGTGGTCCGCGATGCACAGTTATCTCCTACCATCCCCGAGCCCACATGCTACTCACGGGGGCCAGACAGCGTTATCATAAGCCTGCAGAACATACACTGAACTTATGTCTGCAATGGTCAAAATCTCTCGCGTTTAAAGTCACACTCAACTCTTTTCGACTTCGTGGCGGCTCGTGATTCTAAAGATCCCCAATGTTCAACACTTTGCATCAATCAAATTCATCGGGTAAAAATAAGTCTCGACTCTCCGAGCACATCATTCCTCCAATATTGATTGTCAATTAGTTGGTACCAGCCAGGGGTTCCTTTGGGATAAAGAACCAAGCTTGGCTTCCGTTCTGCGTCAATCTCGCTTCGAGAACCTGGCAGCAACATTAAGTGACACAGTTTACAGAAAATGTCTGAGGCGTACTTGTGCCGCGTTCGCAGCAGAGTTGTTCTTCACAGAAAGCCCTTGACCAGTATAATTATCCACGATACTGTGCTCGAAGATTAAACCTCATTATTGCTCAGAGATGAATGTTGATTCGACACTTACTACCAGGCATATGGGACTGCGGTGTTTTTCTGTAGATTCCACGGATAAATTGAGGTGCTGGTGACGACGCTACCAGCAGGAGTGTCGGTTTTGTTCGAGGGATCAAAGGCGAGGAAAGCGCCAGTTCCGTAGGATTGTATAGTTATCCCGCACGACTCCGTTTTCAACACGTTCCACTGCGAAGGACACAATGAGGCGCAGTGACGATGATCGGAGCATGGGGTAAACACACCATGTCATTTCCTAAGTAATTTCCAACACTATTGACGATGTCACCCGGAACGGGCTGGAAAGCGAGGACATTCAGGTAGGTGTGCGTTGTGGCATTCATGATAACGTAGGTTCCTGTAGGAATAGTGGACATGTTGGAATATCTGAAGAGCGCCCATCTTGATAACGGAGGGCGAAGACGTTATAACTTTTAAGTTTTGATCAATGATTGGTGATGCTTGGACTGAGCGGCTGTATGATATTTCCCATGATCAAGTTCAGCATATCTTTTGCAACGAAAAACAAAATGCTTGAATATTGGTACTGTAAGAAGACAAGTGTGATGATGGGTATGATACAAATACAATCTCTATGACCGACCGTCTGTAGAGTAAAGCAATAGCACAAGTCCCCTACCAACAACATCGGGTACTTCCTCGCAATCGCCTGCCTCCTCCGCCTTACGCTTCTCCATCTCCCCTAGTCTCCTTATGTTGCTCTACAGCTCTGTCTGCGCCTCTTCAAGTGCAGACAATTTGGCAGGCGCACGCTCCGACGGGTACGCAAGCTCCTTGCCCGTCTCGTCACAGATGCGCTTGCCCCATGCGTCAAGCCCATACACCTTGAAAGGCCCGCTGTCCAGTCGCGTCCCCTCAGATGTGTACGGAGTGGTGATTTTCTCCTCTGAATCCATCTTGAATCCCTCCTTCAGTTCCTGTGCACGGGGGAACCAATTGCCGATTCCAACGCCGATAACGCGCTTATCCCAGTCCAAAGCCTTCTCGAGCCCCTCCCCATCCACACCTCGTCCTCTCTCCTGAGGAGAGAATCGGATGCCCACGAAGCCGCCACGGGCACCAGACAGCTCCTGTGCCATCGCTACGGCGAGGTCCTGCATACGGTTCAGACGGAGGTTGCGCATGCGAGAGGAAAAGGAGTCCGAAAACTTGCGGTCCTCAGGCTCGATGGAGGCATAGAAAGGAAGGCCGCGGGGAAGTGCACGCGAAAGGCGCACAAGACTGTTGGCAAGGGGTCTCGTAGAGACTGTCAATGTCAAGAGGGGTCGAAAAAAGGGCTTTTGTGCAAGAGTTGGGAGATATTTGGCACGGGTAGTACGCACAAGGTCTGGCTCACTTTCGGAGGGCTCCGGTGACACCTGAGAGTCAACCTCAGTAGCGGGTACAGGCTGCGAGAGACAGGTTGGAAGCGCTACTTCGCTTGCACGCACAACGGCAGTGGTGTGTAAACGACGGCCCTTCACGATCGTGGAGCTCGTGTTACCGGCATCACGAGCGCGTTGTCTGCTAATAGCACCTGCAAGACCCCGCTCAAGACTGGCACTGTCGGAATACTTGAATTCGTTGGCGGGAGTTGGAGGAACGAAGCCACTTGGATGTTTCACCGTCCCGTCAGGCTCCCTGATTTCGAATGGCACCTTGTGAGAGCGCGGGCGCGTACTCGCCATGGCAGAATGCACATGATCGAAGTCAGATTCAAGGACACGTTCAGCAACTGAGGCTGTCTGTGCAGCGCGTTCTTCGTCCTCATCTCTTGACCGCTCCTTGGCACGTGCAGCATCACTAGTGCTGGAGTGGCCCTTGCCAGGAACAACAAACCCGCTCGGGTGCACAAGATTGCCGTCCTTGTCGTAGGACTCAACAGGGATCTTGGTTACAAGGCGGCGCGTGCTGGCAACAAGGTCGTCGCCAAGAATAGAGTCAGAGAGGTGTTCCATGAGTGCGGACTCTTCATGCTTGCGTCTTTTCACGGCTTTGATTTGTCGAGTCGGATCGTGGGCAGCTTCTTCAGCAGCCTCAACTTCAGGACCAGCAGCATCAGTTGCAGATGGCGAGGTGGTAGACGGCGTCACAGGCGATTTCATCAACTTCTCTGCCTGGCGCTTGCGATCTTTCTTGTGCTTGACGTAAAAGTTGGGGACGATGTGCTCCTCATTGTAAGACTCGGAGGGATACGGGTGACGGGCTGATGAATGAAACGCTCGTACTTGTTGCCCAGTCGTAGTCACCTTGGGAAGAATCAATGCTCCCTTGGCGGCCACACCAAACTCCTCGTTCTCGCTGCTGAATGCTGCCCCATCCTCGGCCTCGTGTTGACTGTCTTCAGTAAACCCCCTCGCTAACTCCTTGGGATCTTCACCAGGGTTCCACCACTTGACACGCTTTGCACGTGCTCGCGCTACCCAGGGCCAGCGGGCATTGTCCATGGTTTCAATTCCCGGAGAACCAGCAGAGTTGTATCTGGCAAGAATATCTGGGAAATCACATTCGCGGCAGACGCCGACGACATGCTCGATGGAGTCAGCACGTCCTACGCCATGTTTGGTTAGGTAGCGAGCTTCGAGAAGGTAGACAGTGTGGGGGACGTAGGCTGCAGCAGAGGGCGTTTCGTAGGACCTCTTCTGTTCATCGTAGGGACCATTCTTTGACCAGTATAGAGCGCGAAGGTCACGGGGGCGGGTAAAACCTCCCATGTACCTGTTGAGAAGAGCATGATCAGAACCGAAGACAAAGACAAAGACAAGCAAGCGAGGGTAAAATGAGATACGCGTGCCTTGACTACACGTACGATAAGGGTAGTTCCAGAAATAACGAAAATGACATCATGGAGCCACGCCAGCAAGCTCCTCCTTCGAGGTAGCCGTTCGACACCGAATATATCGGGGGTGGGGGAGAATAATACAGCAAACATACTCACGTTTTGACCGGGGTCAGTGCCATGGTTATGTCCATACGCTCGTCTCGCTCAGCCTTCTCGATGCGACGCTGTACGGCGCGTGCCTGCTCTTCTGGCGATACGGGTTGACGCTGCGGTGTTGCGCCATTTAGACCCTTTGTCCCCTTGCGAGATTTGGGGTTGGGTTTGGCAGTGCTGGCGTACCGCTTGGAGATTCGCGGAATCATGGTAGTGACTTAGAGGGGCGTCCTAAGATACTGTGGATATGTTGGCCTGTCGTGGTAGGTGAAACACAGTGACGTTCTCCTGTGGTTGAGTCATACAGTCGTCAGTTTTTGGTATGATCTCTGAAGTATCGACCCACCAGCTGATCGTAACTAGTTGCTCGAGAGAACCAAGTTAACTTGGCGATGGGAAGAAATAGTGTATTTATGTTTATTTACACTGGGAATAGGCGGGCATCCGGGTCTAGTAACCGAGGCTCCTATTTGTCCGAGTCGTGGGCGAAGGGACTGCATCAATGGCAATGTCTTCGCATTTATATTTCGTCAGGGGAGTGCTGGGACATGGAAACTGATGACATTTTGATTACTATAACTACATAGAAGTGTGATTTTTAGAATTAGGTCGATGTGCTTCGTGTCTTGGTCTGCTTAGCTAGTGAGGTAGATTGGTACCACATAGCGAAGGCGCACTAGAACATCTTGAAGGGAGGGTGACTGACTGCAGCAGGGTGGAATAAATTATTGCCTCGTGTCCATTCTGGGGAGAGCTTAGGAGATTCAACGCACCAAATTTACGTCACCTACACCTCCTCAACCGATGTGATCTTCCTGCCAGACCTGCTCCATGCAAAAATATACGCCGTCTCCATCTTCAGACACATCCATCAACGCTATACGATTTGATTTCTCCTCATCTGGAAACCATCGTGGTGGATCATTTTTTCCTTAGGTTCCGGTGATAGAATTGACACGGTCACATAACCATGTCTTGAATCAACGACTCTCCACCTTACATCGGATCAGCAAGAATTCAGCAACGTACTCGATGTGTTCCATCTCCCAGTGTTGCAAAAATTGACTGTAGTGATGGAAAAACTGAAACCTCTCGAAGTTGAATGCATTATGGCGGCGTTGGCTCTTGCAACTTGACACGAGCCGACAGTAGACTTGCAGATGGCCACACCGCCGAGCGAAGTGAATATGGATATTGTTGAATGCGAAGGAGGTTACCGTCTGCGGGAAAGTGCTTTGATGATTGGTTGCAAATCTTGCCTGGTCCAGAAACATGGTCTGCAGTCTGTGAACAAATAAGAAATTTGTCAGAGGGGCTTATAAGTCGTAGTAGCCATGAATGAGTATATACTGGCGATATAAGTCTGAGGGTGATTGAACCCAAACGAAGACCACCCCAGAAAATGGGTCTACCGGTTTGTGATTGCACGTATCGGTCACCAGCTCGAGCGTCGGGAGACGTAGCGTCATCTTGGGGAAGTCAGTAAAATAAATCATGCCAGATGAGACATCTCGGTGACCGCATTGTGTACAAACAATTGTTCTGGCAGCAAGCGCCTGCGGCTACAGTCGTGACGCCAATAAGACGATACGACAAAGGTAGTACACATCACCTCAACGGCGACATCAACTAGTATCCATATCATCGTCTTTTCTCTCTTCTTGGACGGACATACCCTTCTCCTTCCCATTTTTAAGCTGTTGCTTGCGTTTTCTTGGTTGAGGCCCAGTAATACTGCCAATCACGCGCCCAAGTCCGTGACCAGCATCTTCCACTGGCGCAACATTTTTAGAATCGTTGCCAGCAGGAGCGCTTCCATCCTCTCCTAATCGTCCATGCGACTTCCCTCGTAACTGTATATCATGCTGGCCTGTGAAGAAGGAGCCAGAAAGCTGCAGAAATGGCGTGGGCGTATCTAAGCCCTTTGTTTTTCTTGTAGTGGTGCTACGACAGATAAGGTCCTGTGCTTACTACAAGCCTGAAGGTTGAGCTACTGGAAAGCAAGGTTGGTTCAACGGCACCCAGGTCGAGCGTGACATAGAAAACATCATCTTCTGATAGATATTCTTCGTCAAGACAAAAGGAGTCCACCTGGTGATACCCGGTGAAGGGAGACGAAGCGGCCATCATGGTGTCCCGCCTAGGTTGTCGTTGTGGTGTTGGGGATCCCGACGTAGTTTGTTTGAATCCAAAGCTTTTGCCAAACAAACGCTGTTTATTATTGTTATATTATTTATTGCGCAGGCGTGGCATTTGAAATCGTTTGCTTCTTCATCGCAACTACCTCTTCACAGCTAAGTCAATGCCCATCATATACTACCAGTGAACTCCGTTGGAAAGAGCATGTGTCAGGTATTTTCGGATTCACACAAATATCTTTTCATTCAATTCCCTTGCTCATATCGTACAACATCGCAACGCCAATGAAACACTACTGCTTTCCTTACTTGCCGACAGTGGTCCTCACCATGGTCTTCTCGTACCATTCCCTCTCGAACTCGATCGCCCTCTTGATCGTCTCGGACGTGCGCCACCCATGCTGTTCGCCATCAAAGAAGTGCGCCTCAACATGCCCTTTGGATTTAATGACCCCATCAATAATAGTCCACGATTGTGCCGGTGGAACAACTTCATCATCATTGCCTTGAAGAACCTGTCGGAAACATGATCTACCCATCAGAACGTACTTCATCAACACAAAAACTTACGAGCAATGGGGTCTCAATTCGCGAAGAAAAATACACTGGGCTCCGGTCATGGTACACTTCCGGTTTCTCTTCCAGCGTACCACCGAGAAGCTTGACCATGTACGTAAGCTCGAACTTATGCGTATCATTCGCAAGTAGTTCCAGGTTTGAGATCCCGTAGTTGCTCGTGGCACTTGCAAAAAACTTCGGCTTGCTTCCTGCAGAGGAGGGAAGGGAAATGGAAGCAAGGGCAGTATATCCACCCGAGCTCCCGCCGCGGATCGCAGTGCGCTTAGTGTCGATGTGGGGCTGGAGTTTGGGCGATTGGACTGCTTCGATGCAGTCGCTTACGTCGGTAATACCCCAGTTCCCTTTGAGGCGTTCCCTAGTCACATATTCAGCGCGCTCCATGTAAAATATGACGGCGAACAGGAACATACACGTATGCGCGTCCGTAGCACGAGGAACCACTGTAGTTCACGTCCAACCTGAAATTGATGAGCATGATGATCACGCGGGGGTCGCCAGAACCTACCAAGCGTATCCTCTGCTTGTGAAATACTGCTTCAGCCAGCTCAAATTCTGGGTCTCTAATCCTGTGGGACCACCGTGTACGCCAAGCACACAGGGAGGTTTCTCTCCGGGAATGTTCGAACCGTCATAAGCTGGGTTGTTTGGAGCGTAGTACACGGCATACACAATCTTGCCACCTGCCAGTGTAAGTTCATAAGGGATTGGAGGCGAAATGATACCCTCAGGGAGCGGTACAGCGAACGTCGATGCGGTAGATTTGAGCACCTGAAAGTTGGGCACGAATGATGGTCCAGTAAGAGTGCAAAGCACAGCTGCACCAGAGGCTTTGCTTTGTAGTCCCGTGAAGACAAATTTATAGTCCGACAGACGACGGACATGTTCGACAACTACAAAGTCGAAGGATTCGTCTTTGATCTCCTTGTAGGATCCCGTGGTGATATCAACAACATACAGAACGCTTCGGCCATAATGCCATGCAACACAGATGGCTTTTGTACCATTCTCGTCCAGGAACGCGAACGGGTAATTTCCAAGCGTCCAGGGTGGCTGGCAGAAGTCTTGCTGCACAACAGACGCGAGGACTGGTTTGGTGGATGCCTGAGTGTGCTCCCACAAGTTTGCAAACCTATTTCCCTCCTCGCCTTCGTCAGAAGTGAAGACAAGCTTGTCGTTGGAGGCCCACAAGGGGTAACACGCGCTGATTGTGCTAGCGCTACCAGCTACCAGCTTCGTGTTGCTCAGGCTAAGTGTATGGGTGTTGGAATTGTAGTGGACGTCAGCCACGTATAGCTGACCGCCCTCCCAAGGCATGTCTGGATGCTTCCAAAATTGCCAAACGAGCTTATCGCCAGAGGGGGAGAAGGTCGGCGCTGCATAGAATTCGTTTTGTGCATCCTCGGTGCAAACCAAGGATGTGACAGTCGTAGCTGTGGAGTTGATGACGCAAAGAGAGTTCCGCACGGTTTGCGGTGTGTCATGGGTATGGTCTTCTTTAATAGCGACGAGCAGGTCTGTGTGAACCGGGTGCACGCAGAAATCTGCGTAGCGATAAATCTTGTTCGGGTCCTCTACGCACGGAGCGTTAGTACGGGGTTAGAATGTGGGGATTATGAACTTAGGCACCTGGTGTGATTGGTCTGATCGTCCCATCTTTTGCAGCATAGATACGGAAGTTCGCGAAATTTGAAGAGTACACGGTCCCGTTATAAGCGATAGCAGCAGCTCCACCGTACTCATGAACACGCGTGCGCGCATTGAAGTCCTTCAAGTTACCAAAAACTTCCTTTTGAGTCGTGTTGCTCAGAAGCACGTATCGACCACCCTCCGATGCACGCTGTTCGACATAGTAGATATCTTTTGTGACCGAGTCTACAAATATGTCGCTCATGGAGACGCTCTACGGTGCAGATCAGTTTCAGAGATCGAGCGATCGGAGACGATCTGGAGAACTTACATCCTCAGCGATAGCATCAGCTGTGATAGGGGATTCCCAAAGGCCGTAAGGTGCAAGTTTTTTAGACATCGCAGTAATCGTTGAGACGCTTAGCAGATCGGATGGTTGAGTGGGAGGAAGAAAGGTGGGATCACAAGGCGCAGTTGTTACATGTTGATGTGACTAGGACAGACGTAATAGTATGGCACAGATAATGCACGTTGCAGCATTTGAAAATTAGCTCTAAGCCGTTTTCGCCAGGTTGCGCCTGTCCTGTTGACGTGATGTTTGGATCAAAGGCTCTTGACAAACAACCACTCTTCGATCGTCCGGAAACGGATTTCCCGTTTTTTATTAAATTTCCGTTCTAGTTTAATGTCATTCCGCCCAACGCTTCCTCTGTACAAGAAGTCGAGCACATCATGGCTAGCACGACAATCCCGTGACCCTTTTGTCAAGGCCCGCATGTCCTCGCCATCATCCTACCGTTCACGCTCTGCATACAAGCTCATCGAGCTTAATGACAAGTGGGGGCGCTTTCTCTCACGTCCTAGCGTGCGCAGTGTCGTGGACCTTGGTGCAGCCCCAGGCGGATGGAGCCAGGTCGTCGCGGAAAGATTAGGGTGGACCATGGACGCGGAAGACAATGCAGAAGACTTTGGGTTACGTGAAGAGGCGAAGGTGCAGAAACGCGGTTCCTGGAGCGTCGAACCTAAGAATAAGACTGCCGGGCGAGGGAAAATTGTTGCACTGGACCTGCTGCCAATTATTCCAATACCAGGTGTGCAGACGCTGCAGATGGACTTTCTAGCTCCGGGTTCCGCGCGCGTCGTACGAGATGCGCTGAAGAGTTCACAGAATCCTGAGGGTACATCGGATATTGTGCTAAGCGACATGGCAGCGAATTTTTCCGGAAGCAAAATTCGGGACTCGCAAATGAGTTTGGATATCTGTCATGCAGTCTTCGATTTTGCAAAGGATGCATTAACTGTTAGGCAAGTGGATGAACGGGGGAAGGTATATGGGGGTGGGATATTACTGTATGTCCTTCGTTGTCCGGAAGATGAGTTACTCATATACATTTATCACAGGCTGAAGCATTTCGCTCATCCATTACTGCAAGAGTTCAGAAAGGAATGCCTAGAACCCAACTTCCACCTCGTACATTATATCAAGCCGGAGTCAAGTCGCGCTGACTCTGCAGAGGGTTACTGGCTGTGTCGCGGTTGGCTTGGTAAGACCTAATCGGTATCTTGGGACAGGCAAACTCGCTTTCGACACTCATGATATTGCACTCCATTCTTCCATCCCAATTACTGTCAGGTACATGGCACGTATTTGTATAGCAATGCATAATGGACAACTACTGAAAATCTGTCCAGCCTGTCGGACCGAATGTCTATCATCAACTAACATGCAGTCTCTCTGCAGTCCCAACCAAAGAATTTACCAGCGGGGTCCGAATTTTACCGCCATAATGGAATCAAGGTGCGGAAAAGGTATCAGCGACAAATTTAATTCAGCAGTATACATCAGAACAACTCTACAATTATAGTGCAGCCCGCACTCTGCCAGCAAGAATATGTTCTTTCAAGGGTTGTATTCCAGATCTACAGGCTAGAGTGAGCTATGCCATCCCATGGGAATGAAACCGCGAAATGGAATACCTCGAAGTTCAGATGTGGAAGATGATGCGGGACCCTTTGACCCCACTCCAAGACACGTGTAGTCCCAGAACAAGACAACATCGTCGTTTGCATCGGTTTTGATGTCCGCAACTCCAGACGCCAGGTCCCCGGGAGTTCCATTGAAGTCGACTTCTATGTTGCTGTTGAACTTGAGAGCACCCGTAGCTGAGACGAAGAGGATGTGTCCAATGATGGGCGCATCGATGTAGATTTGAACCGCGATGGTCAGGGTGGACGTGTTGATGGTGATGTTGCGGTAAAACTTGGTCTCGACTGCCATCTGCGATTTCTCCGATCTCTGAAGGAGTTCCGTGGATGTACAACATTGGACAACGAATGTCGTTATAGGCTTGAATCACGTTCATGAACTGACACAGAATCTTACATTTAATTGTCTGTACGTGGCAGAATCATGCTAGCGAATTAATTGTGCACCGTGACAATGATTGTAGAATGACGGACAATGCTCCTTCATTCGTTCGGTTTCACGAAATCCCATCGCATCCGAATTCCCAAGTACTAGCTGTGGCACGGGTAATTATGATTAGCGCCAGAACCCTACTTCTTGTACCCCCACTTCGCTCACACTAGCTAGTCGATCACTCGTCATGAGCAAAGACCATACTAGGACAGATCCTCCTGCAGAAGCCTGCGAAGTAACCGCTGGTGAAACCTCAGTATGTAGCCTCATGAGCTCATGAAATCCATCACTGCTTTTGACACATTCTTCGTTCAGAGCCAAACCCGTAGCGAACTCCGGAAGTTCATGCAGAAATGTACGAAAGGCATGAAAAAGAAACTTTCTGTGAGTAGTTGCGAGTGTCCTGATTGTGAATATGGCTGACATAGTGCAGAAACGGTTCAAACGTTCCCGCAACCACATCCCTGCGGTCCAGAACGACCTTCAAGATACGCCGAGTCAGAATCTCGAGGTAGGTACTCGAACTCGTTATCCTTCAGTTTTTCTCACAAGCACCAAGGACACGCCGCATCCACATCCCACTACATCTGAGGATCCCAGTTGCCGCCCGAACCAACAGCCGCCCGAAGAACCCGCTTTGAAGGTACTGTCGTCCAATGATTTTCTTTCACTCTCTGAATTTTTGCGGTCGCACAGGTTCAAACTGCCCCTTCTGGCGAGGAGGACGGTCCCGATCCTCGATTAGTCGATCTTCAGGGTGCCCGTGAGGGTATGGAAGGCATGAGACCACTCGGAGGACATGTCAATTCTATAGTATCTGTCGCCAACAATGCCCCAGCTGGTCTCGCTGCAGCAGACAATTTACAGACTACTTATCTCCAACCCCTCAAAGTTTTCGACACCGCCATTGGGGAGGTCGCGAATGTATGGACCATTTCTCTTGATCGGACCAGAACTGATCCTGTCGTTTAGGTACATCCATACGCAAAGATAGCGCTGGGTGTGCTGTCTGCTGCATCCAAAGTATGTTCGGTTCGCTCGGAGTTCTGTCTCCTGCTCAAGAGTTATGATTTCATGTAGATTATTCTCGCTCAAGCGGGGCGCGACCAATCGGTACTTGGCCTTCTCATAAAATTGGAACAAGTTTACGGCTTCATGACCCAAGAGGATACTCTTAGCCAGATTTCGACCATGCACACTATTGTCGGACGGATCGCTCAGCAGACTCAAGAGTGTGCCCGTTTCATCAGGGATTACTCAGAAACCAAGAACTTTTGTGAGTAGTCGAATTATCACATTTCACATATTCTCAATGTTCAACCATCGTCACAGGGATCAGACTCAAGAAAAATGTTGTCTCCGAAACAGATGATACGATCAAGCGGTACAGTGACGTGTTAGACGGGCTTATGCAGCAATTCAGGGACCAAGTTGATCGGGACGTAGCCATCTTTGTCCAACGTACGGGTAAGTTTTTGGATATGCTTTCCGACGTTGCATCCACTTAAACACCTCCAGGTGAAACACTAGATCTCAGCGGTATGGCTTACGCAGAGGGTGCCGGTCTAAATACCACGAAACAATGCCTACGAGGGACGCGCACGGCAATTCTGTCGCAGATCACAGATTGGATCAACGACAGTGGAGATGATGCCGAGCGCGTGCTGTGGCTATCTGGCCCTGCAGGCAAGGGCAAATCAGCCATCGCCCACACAATTGCCAACTGGTTCAATGAGGCGGGAGGGCTTGGTTCTTGTTTCTGTTTCGACAAGCATAGAGAAACAGACCGTCGGCATGAGAAGATTTTCTCCACGATCGCACAGGACCTTGCTGACTGCGATCCGGGGATGAAACGAGCATTGGCGGATGCCGTTAAGGATGCAAAGTCGCTCAAGACCACGCCAGACATCATCCAACAGTGGCGCAAGCTTCTCATGGACCCACTGAAGAAGTTCTCTGCGTCAAGTGTAGGGCCTGTCTTGATCGTGATTGAAGCGCTGGATGAGAGTGGTGGAGTGGAGACGCGGCGTAACCTCCTCCGCATACTTTCCGGCAGACTTCAGCAAGAAGGACTTCCCGAAATCACCGGACTTCCATCCAACTTTCGGATTCTTGTCACCTCTCGCCCGCTTGATGATATCGATAAGGCGTTTAAAGATGCTGATCATGTTCTACGGTTGTCAATGGACGATATCCCACAGAAAGTCGCGGAGCACGACATTCATACCTTCGTATCCGAGGAGCTGAAAGAGCTACCAGAGTTTCGGGACACAGATCTTGCAGTCCTCGCTGAAAAAGCCGATGGACTCTTCGAGTGGGCGCGTCTCGCATGCGGATACATTAAGGAACCCTATGCCGGCTTATCCTCAATAGATTGCTTCAATGCTGTCGTGAACCGCTATCACGGGGAGCGGAAAAACTTGTTGTATGATATGTATCGCCTCCTTTTAACAGAAATCATGCCAAAGGACAAGTGTCCGACAGCCCAGTACGAGCGAGTAATAACGAGATTTCGTTCCGTGATGGGACAGATATTTGCCACAGCCAAACCCCTCCCTTTAGCTTCACTGAATGCTATGCGACACCATTTTCCGGAGAATCAAGATCACTACGATGTAGAGGTGGTGCTGAATCGCATGGGTGCCCTCCTTAGCGGTACCACCAACTCATATACCCCCATCCGACCCCTTCATGCAACCTTCCAAGAATTTCTGACGGACAAATCATCAAGCGGAGACTTCTTCATTGAGATTACCAAGGCGCAACAACGCGACCTTGCATTTGCGTCACTTCGAGTGATGGAACATGGCCTTCGCTTCAATATATGCGATTTGGAGTCGTCATACCTCCCTAATTCCGAAGACACCGAGCTGCCCCAACGAGTCAAAAGATCCATTCCCCCCCATCTGTCCTATTCCTGCCGATTTTGGGCTACCCACGTTCAAACATCAGACTTCCACGATGAGCTCGCGAAGGAAATAAGATCGTTCTTCGACGACGATCGACTCCTCTTCTGGATTGAAGTGCTTGGTATTCTCAATGCACTCAGCGGCGCAGTTACTGTGCTTCCACTCCTTGGCAAGTGGCTGGAGGTGAGCACATGCCTACTAGGCAGTGTCGATGGAACGCTCACAAACAGTTACAGGGTCATTCTGGGTACGAAGATGTGCGGTCCATAGCAATGGACGTGCAAAGATTCATTCAAGTTTTTGGTGGCATGATTTTGCAAAGCACGCCACATCTATATTTATCAGCGCTGCCATTCTCGCCCTTCAACTCCAGCATAGCTACCAATTTTACTGCAAGGTTTCCGAATAACCTTCGTGTGGCATCCGGACGTGATCTGAACTGGACGGCTGTTCAGACTGTGATCAGCGGGCACACTGACTTGGTTTACTCAATCTCGTTCTCACCGGATGGTACTCGCATCGCGTCTGGTTCAAGGGATAACACTGTCCGGCTGTGGGATGCAGCAACGGGACAGCCATTGGGTCAGCCCTTGCGGGGGCACACTGAAGAGGTTTGGTCAGTCTCGTTCTCGCCGGATGGTACTCGCATCGCATCTGGTTCAAGGGATAACACTGTCCGGCTGTGGGATGCAGCAACGGGACAGCCATTGGGTCAGCCCTTGTGGGGGCACACTGACTCGGTTTGGTCAGTCTCGTTCTCACCGGATGGTACTCGCATCGCGTCTGGCTCTTGGGATCACACTGTCCGGCTGTGGGATGCAGCAACGGGACAGCCATTGGGTCGGCCCTTGTGGGGGCACACTGACTCGGTTTGGTCAGTCTCGTTCTCACCGGATGGTACTCGCATCGCGTCTGGCTCTTGGGATCACACTGTCCGGCTGTGGGATGCAGCAACGGGGCAGCCATTGGGTCAGCCCTTGCAGGGGCACACTGGCTCGGTTTTGTCAGTCTCGTTCTCACCGGATGGTATTCGCATCGCGTCTGGTTCTTCGGATAAGACTGTCCGGCTGTGGGATGCAGCAACGGGACAGCCATTGGGTCAGCCCTTTCAGGGGCACACTTCTTCCGTTTGCTCAGTCTCGTTCTCACCGGATTGTACTCGCATCGCATCTGGTTCTTCGGATAGCACTGTCCAGCTGTGGGATGCAGCGACGGGTCAGCCATTGGGTCATCCCTTGCAGGGGCACACTTTTTCCGTTTGCTCAGTCTCATTCTCACCGGATGGTACTCGCATCGCGTCTGGTTCTTGGGATAACACTGTCCGGCTGTGGGATACAGCAGCAGGTCAGCCATTGGGTCAGCCCTTGCAGGGGCACACTTCTTCCGTTTGCTCAGTCTCATTCTCACCGGATGGTACTCGCATCGCGTCTAGTTCTTGGGATCATACTGTCAGGCTGTGGAATGCAGCGACGGGACAGCTATTGAGTCAGCCCTTGCGGGGGCACACTGAAGAGGTTCACTCAATCTCGTTCTCACCGGATGGTACTCGCATCGCGTCTGGTTCAAGGGATAACACTGTCCGGCTGTGGGATGCAGCAACGGGACAGCCATTGGGTCAGCCCTTGTGGGGGCACACTGAAGAGGTTTGGTCAGTCTCGTTCTCGCCGGATGGTGCTCGCATCGCGTCTGGCTCTTGGGATCACACTGTCCGGCTGTGGGATGCAGCAACGGGGCAGCCATTGGGTCAGCCCTTGCAGGGGCACACTGGCTCGGTTTTGTCAGTCTCGTTCTCACCGGATTGTACTCGCATCGCGTCTGGTTCAAGGGATAACACTGTCCGGCTGTGGGATGCAGCAACGGGGCAGCCATTGGGTCAGCCCTTGCAGGGGCACACTTCTTCCGTTTGCTCAGTCTCGTTCTCACCGGACGGTACTCGCATCGCGTCTGGTTCTTGGGATCATACTGTCAGGCTGTGGGATGCAGCGAAGGGACAGCTATTGGATCAGCCCTTGCTGGGGCACACTGAAGAGGTTTGGTCAGTCTCGTTCTCACCAGATGGTACTCGCATCGCGTCTGGTTCAAGGGATAACACTGTCCGGCTGTGGGATGCAGCAACAGGACAGTCATTGGGTCAGCCCTTGCGGGGGCACACTGAAGAAGTTTTGTCAGTCTCTTTCTCACCGGATGGTACTCGCATCGCGTCTGGTTCTTCGGATAAGACTGTCCGGCTGTGGGATGCAGCGCAGCCACCTTCCTCCGCACTCTCTCTGGACACAAAACCTCGCACACAGGAAAGTCCGTATCCTGTGGTGTCTGACACTTGGAACAGTCACTTCATTCGATTTTCATCCACCTCGGGACACGCGCTGCGCGACCCCGCTGACCTGCTTGAGGGCCCCCCTTATCATGATTCCCATTCAACTCCTTTCTTGTTGGGAGCTGATGGATGGATGGTGGGACCCAATCGACGCCTGCTGTTCTGGGTACCTCCAGCTTCCCAGCACCCATTTTATTCTCCTGACACTGCAATGGTAATCCCGAGAGGACATGTTGAGCTTGATTTGAGCAAAATGGAACATGGAACACGCTGGTCGAATTGCCGAGATGCGTGAGTTTTAGTCTTTCCTGTCCATCCCTCGCGGTTGCTAAATTCGACACATCTCTAGCCTTAGTACTCCATGATGATGTTGTCTCCGAGCCGGCAGTTGATTCATGGAGACGAAAGACATGAATCAAGTGTGAACATCCATTCGCTGTTGATCTTATTTGCCGCTACATGTTGTTACTGTACCATGATTCGTGGTCAGGCTGACTAGTTACTGTTTCAGATTTTCGTTGTCGTTGTATTCCTGTGTAATTGAATCCACTAGGATCAAGATATTTTTCAGAACTTCAAAATCCTTCCGACGTGTCTTAGATTCACCTTTGCGGACGGCGAACGGATCAACCGAATGTAATCTACAAGTAGTCTCCTCCTAAGCAGAATACTCAGCGTGGACTTGTTGTGCGACAAAAATAGCAGCGAATTTTGTTCGCTATAACGCACACGCATGAAGTTCCAGATATCACAAGAGCGGGCCATCCTTCAAGATGAGCTTGCAACGGATCCAGAAACAATCAGAGCTCGTGAACCTCGTGTACCCGTGTAATGACATATTCAAGTATGTGTCTTCTTCATGTTCACGAAAAGTCTAGACCACAGCGACAACATCTGTGTGGCGTGGCTACGTTGTTCTGATAAAATGTTAACCACAATGCGAGTATTGGCTGTGTATAAGATTTGATCGCATATGAATTGGTTTTTCGACCTCGCTACTTTAAAGTTGGATCCATGGTCCCGGGCTCTTGCTTTGTTCGTACAAGAAGGGCTGCATCCAAAGTGTGAGAGCCAGGTGAGAGCTATCAATTTTTATATTTCAGTAGCCCAACCTTTGAAACGACCGCCAAGGTACGACATTTCGTTGGCTGTTTACCCGTAGCTTTGTCCTATGAAATACAATAGAGTCTCTCCTCAACAACCAAATGAAGCTCACAATAGCGTTGATGGAACCTTTTTGCAGGATATGTCTCACATCCCATCCCCAAAAGGCAAGTCCAACAATTCAGGAACCCCATAAGCATCATACTTAATTGGATCAATATGTGGTTTCCGCGAACGGCAGGGGTTAAGTGGACTTCGATTAGACAATAGCCCGGTGCTGTGGCCCTCCACCTTAAGTGGCTGTGGACGTTGTGGATGATCTGTAGGTACTTTTACAATCAATTTCTTCTTGGCTTCTCATTTATTCCTCCCCCTGTACTTGCTTACCAGCACGACACTGAAGACAAAATATCACTATAATGTCAATTGGCACTGAACACCAGAACTCAAGAGTCTCAACACAAGCTTCTGCAACCGCTACTGCCTCAGACCTGAAGGGCAAAGGCAAGGAGAAGGAAGTCGATCCTCCTGTTCATGAGGACGCATCCGATGCTGAAGAATCCGGAGATGATACAAGGGATGACTACCCTTTTGAACGTTTCCCTTCCCCACCACGCGACGAATCTGACGCAACGCTCCCCGCTGTCCCAAATGCTGCTGCTTCCCTTAACCCACCCCTCGATCCGCCTCTCATGACATTCACCTACCCCCCTCCACCTCCTCTCGCCAACGACCCCACATGGTTTGCACAGATGGTCGCCGAAGTTCATCGCAACCGCGCTCACCTCAACACCCAACTTGGGCTTGCGCATGCCGAGGCCTCAGACGCTTTGGCTGATGTCACTCTCGCGGATATCGAGCAAAAGGCTGAGAGGGATGAAATGCAAAAATTCCTGAACCGCCTGGCAGCGGTCGCGGGGAAGAACTTCGTGCGCAAGTTGATCCGGAGTGTCCATTGGGCGTTGGTGAATGGCGATGCAGCCTTGAACGAAGGGAGTGAAGACGAGCATCAAGATGCAGATGATGAAAATTCAAGTCGCAGTGATGAGGGCGAAGTAGATCAGGAAGATCAAGAAGATGATAATTTGCGCGGCAGTGCCGGCGAGAGCGAAGAGCACCCGCAAGACGCGGAAGAGGATGAATATAACGATGACGGTGATTCTCAGTGCGTACCTCGCTTACAATTGCAATCATTAGTTTCTAATTGATACCTTCTAGGAAAAGGTCTCAGTCTCCCAGCCCAAGCAGCCCTAACTGGCGCCGACATTCCTTCCATGAGAGTTTACGGAGCACTGCCAATCCTCAGTACGTGACACGATTCAGCTCGTGCGACTCGTCGAATTCTAATGCGAGGCTTTAGGGGAACGCCTGAGACTCCGCCCACAAATGGGAGACGTAAACTCCCTTTCCAAGAGATTTTGAGCCAGCCAAGCAGCCCCAACTCGCCTCAAGAGGACGTGGATAACACAGACGATGAATATTCCGGCGGCGGCGACGCATCTCGGTGCGTAGCTCACTTGATCCCAATCATTTTCGCCTAATGTGTCATTTTCAGGGGATGGACTGAATCTCCACCCGCACACGAGAGCCGCAAACGACAACTCGAGGAAGAAGAGGAGTCCAGCAGCCCTGAGACCTCACCTAGGAAAAAAATCAAGCTTGAATCTCAGTCACCACGTACACTTGTTGCACTTCCCTCACGATCCGTGAGTGCCCCAGAGGACAACCAGGACAATGCAATAGGATCAGACGCCGCTGATTCAGATGAGGAGTACGATGTGGAGAATTCTCTTACCATAGAACATGAACCCGTACTATCAGCTTATTCCCTCCACTTGTACAGATTGGAAAGGAACCCGTACAGGGTGCGCCAAAATTCGAGGGGTGCACCCGAACTGTATGTTCCCGGCAGACTCGCTATCGATTTCCCTTAGATGTGGATTTTCAGTTGTTATACCATTATTACTCCTTCGATTTACCAGTCTAATACCTGCTTGGTTCGCATACGTTTCCTTGATGTTAATTTCTTGTAATGCACCTCTTTGAAACCCCCATGGTCCGCAACCGTAGAAGTATCACTGGAAGGACAGCAATCGCGAGGGAACGAGCAAACGCTGATAGTAATTTTTTTTAAAAAAAAGTCACATACAACACCAAGGCAATTCCTGACGATTCTCATCACCAGCGAGCCTAATTTTGCATCCTGCCCACTTTGTGACAACTAGTCCAGGCAGAGTCCAGACGATAAAAAGGTGTGAGACAGAGGGAGACAAAACGGCAGATACCCCTATTTTTGGACTTAACACGGGTTAGGTAAGTCGATTGTGATTGGGTGAATGGCTATCCGACGGCTCACGCCATAAATTAATGCGACAGCTAAAAAGTCGTGTGGTTCTGCTTTGGGATTCTCACTTTCAAATTGTCCTCCTTCAAAAATTTGAGGAGTGTTCAACTGAAAAGTGTCCGTCTCTTTTACTTTTGACCACCACCATCATGACTTTCAACGCGACGACCGTCGCCGCTGCCGCTGCGCACGTGGCCCAGACTTCTGCTCAGCAGCTCTACGCAGACATTGACCTCACGAAACTTAGTTGGCTTGAGCAGATGTGGGCTGCCTGGTACATCTGGATTGACAACCCAATTATTGCAACTGGCCTTATGAGTTTCTTGCTTCACGAGGTTTTTTTTTCCCGTTACCCAAGGTTCATGCATTTTTGCTCAATATTCCTTCCAGTTTGTATACTTTGGACGTTCCATTCCTTGGATCATCATCGACGCTATTCCTTATTTCCGTCAGTGGAAACTCCAGCCTAACAAGGTTCCCACTCCCCAAGAGCAGTGGGAGTGCACGAAAATGGTGTTGTTCTCGCATTTCACCATTGAGCTTCCAGCTGTAAGTATGGTTTGCTGCATCCAACGTTCAAAAATTAATTCTTGCTCTGCCAGATATGGTTATTCCACCCCATGGCAGAGAACTTTGGTATGAATACATGGCAGGTCCCCTTCCCTTCATGGACGACTATGCTCCCGCAAATCGCTATTTTCTTCGTCTTTGAGGATATGTTCCACTACTTTGGTGTGTGACTTCGTGAGATATCCTTGCTTTCATTGCTGATAATATTGTCACAGCCCACCAGGCGCTCCACTTTGGTCCACTGTACAAGCACATTCACAAGATTCACCACAAGTATTCAGCTCCTTTCGGTCTTGCTGCTGAATACGCACACCCTGCTGAGGTCTTCATTCTTGGCACCGGTACCATTGCTGGACCTGTCTTGTACTGCTGGTACACTCATAACTTGCACATTTTTACTGTCTACATTTGGATTACGCTTCGTCTCTTCCAAGCTATCGATGCTCACAGTGGTTACGGTTCGTATCTATTCGTAGTAGCTGATCATCGACGCTGACACGTTCTGTTAGACTTCCCCTGGTCGTTGCAGCACATTATTCCCTTCTGGTCGGGCGCCGAGCACCATGACTTCCACCACATGGCCTTCACGAACAACTTCTCCACCTCTTTCCGGTGGTGCGACCGCATTTTCGGCACTGATGACAAGTACCGCGAGTACCGCGCACGCATCTCTGCTCAAAAGGCATCAATGAAGAACAAGAGCAAGGCTGAGCGTGAAGAGGCTGAGCGCAATCTCATTGCAGAGATTGAGGCTGAGGGTCAACGCGCAGAGGCTATCGCTGAGGGGAGTATCCCTGCTCCCAAGACTGTCAAAGTCCAGTAATTGGTGGATCTAGATACGGTGATATGATGGACGCATCTGCATGATTTCATTCATCCGATACCCCTAGACGTGCAATAGTAAATACATGGCTTGTTACACAAATAATTGTTCCTCCTTTGTTTCGTGGAGTCTAGGAAACCCGATGTGGCCATGATACTATAATAATCCAACTGCGTTCCTGACCTCATCATCAACCAAGGACTTGAGAAAACGGGCTTGAAAGCAAACCAGGAAGGAGCACTGAGAACTGATCATGGACGGCTCACGCTCGATAACCTCTGTATTACCTGTCGAGACCCTTGAGCTCGTCTTCAATCACCTCGAACGTCGTGAACTCATCCCAGTCCTTGGCACTAGCTCCGTGTTCCACGATACCGCATCTCGTGCGGTCTACCGTAACGTATCAGAGACGTCGTCAGTCAGAGCCTTGCAGCTCATTAAGACTCTTGCCTCTAACGACACCTATTCTCGACACGTCCGTTCTATCGATCTCGACTTCGCTAACAACCTCATCACCGCCAATATCCTCCGCCTCTTAAATCGCGCGCTCCAGCGACTCAAATCGCTCACGACACTTATTCTCGACTTCTCTCAAACAGACAACGCCGCTGATGTCGCATGGATATTCCAGGGGTGTTCCTTCTCGCTCACGGCTTTCACCTCGTCCATGCGGTGTGACCGCTCGCTGGCGAGGTTCCTGGCTATGCAGCCGAATATAACAGAACTCTGTCTGAGAGGGTTTAACCAGGAATATAACTTCGTGCTGGATCCTAAGGCGCTCCCGAAGTTGGAGCATTTTAGGACCGTGCTGTCGTACCCCAGTATTATCGGGGAGGTCCTGAAAGGCAGACCCGTGGAGAGTGTTTCCATGTCGCTTTACCCTGGGGACGTCTGTTCATCCCTTGATACACTGCTACTATCAACTACAGCGATAAAGAGGCTCACTGTCATGAGTTTCGAAAGCGACCCCCCCGTCACACTCCTTCCCCTCATCGCAGACCGGCTACCTCATCTTGAGGCTTTCCATCTCGTCGTTCTCATGACGCACTACACCCAGGTTGGTTTTTCATCTTATACGTGGCTTCATCTCTTTCGTTTGCTTATTGCTCATAGGAAATTCTACTCGAGATCGGCTCGAGTCTCGCACAGTTCAAGGCCCTGAAATACATCACGTTCATGGCTCCAGGTATACCTGCTTCTTTCAACAATGAAAAGAGCATCGCGGAAGCATGGAGCAAAGCGTGCCCAACCCTACAGACCATCATCCTTCCCAAGGGGCTGGTATGGTTCCAAAGGGACGAGAATTGGGCATGTTTGAAAGATAGCGAGGAATAAAGTATTCCTAAGCTTCACAGAACGACTGAACCATCACGCTCTCGCATTAGCTGGGTACCGGTGTCGGAATTACTTGAAGGGTAAAGAAGGGCTCGTCAGGGTCGTCCCACGGGGATGATCGGAGAGCGCACCGGTGCAGATCATCCGCCCCAAGACCCTTTCACTTCATATGATTGTTTGTTGGCAACGGTTCTTTCAACAAGTTTCAAGTTGCGACGTTCGGAGGGTTGGGCGGGGAGCCTTTTTTTTAGATATCCCAATGGGTGATGTACTGACAAAAATGCAATTTTGAAGACAGCTCTCCTTACCAATACTGCACAGGCACGACGGAAGGACAAATCAACAATACATAAGTCAAGCAATACATTTCGCAAATACATGGGCATTAAGGCAGATCTACTTCCTCTATTGTATATTCTCCAGCAAGATCGAGGGGTATCGATGTGAACTTGTACTCTTTGTTGGGATACTCCACCGCACTAAACAATGAAACGACCACTATGCCAGTTCCTGGCGGGACAAGTGATACTCGCACTCCAGCTGCATGATCTTGACATCGATGGGGTCCAGCCTATCGATGATGGATTCCGATAGCAAGACAGGGGGCCAGCCTTTGACAAGCGATGGGATCACGCTGACCCTGCTCCGCTGAAGAAGAGTACGGTGGTGCGTCGGAGGTGTGAATTTGTGTGCGCCGTATGCTGCGGTTTTCTGGTAGCCTTCGTTGTCATCTTCATTGACGACCTCGTCGTGCTCTTCCGGGACATCTTCCTCGATGCGTTTGTAGACATCTTCTGTGACATTTCCCTCGACGCGTTCGTTGTCGACTTCCGTGACATTTACCTCGCCGGCGTCGTCGTCTTTCGTAAGATTTTCCTTCACGTCTTTGTTGTCTCCCGTGAAACATGCCTCGACGCCTTCGTTGTCGTCTTCCGTGGTACATCCCTTGACACCCTCATCATCTTTCGTGAAATTATCCTCGACGCCTTCTTTGTCGTATGCCGTGACGTCCTCCTCGACGCCCTTGTCGTCTATCGTGAAACCTTCCACAAAGCCTTGGTCGTTGTTCTCTGTGTCGTCATCCTTGATACCCTCGTTATATTTCTCATTGACGGGTTCCTGGTCGTCTTTCTTGCCGTCTTTGGTCTGGCTTTCCTTGTCGTTGTCCTTGAGATTTTCCTTGCTGATTTCCAGTTCGTGTTCCCGGTCGTTTTCCTTGGTATTTTCTTTGTTTATCTTCGATGTCTTAGAAGCCTTGGACGCCTTGCTATTAACTTCCCTAGGTGGCACCCCGTGCTCTTCTTTGTATTTGACTCGCTTGATGGCCCGACGAGTCCTGCGACTCTGCGTGGGATTCATGGTAGCCCATTGACTATCGGGTAATATGGTGATGCCATACTTTTTGGTGATGGCTGGTGTTTTCGGGTAGGCATTTGCGGTTTCCTTCAATGGTCCAATCTGCCGTGAAGGTCAACTTAGCCTCGTTAGTTACTCATATGTCTATGAGACTTACTTCGACAAGCGTCGCTACCGAGGTGTTGCTGGAAGAGTGCTTCCCCATTTCGGAAGAGGTAGTCGAACTTCTCGAACGCGAAAAGGTCATGTTAGTGTCAAAGGCGGTATCTTCCTCGTTCAGCAGAGAGATGAGTTCGCCGAGAACGCTGCTTGCAAACTTGATTGATGAGAAACGACGCTGGCGAGTGGGCACTCCAGGCTCCTCAGGCTTAAGAGACCCTCTTGCGTCCTCACTCGACGATTTAGTGATGTTGTAGACAACGAAGGCGAGGCGGAAGGGTAACACAAATGAATACAAGGAGATCTGTCCCAGAAGTTTGAAGAGCGCCTGCGGGACTCCAAACACGATCATTTCAGCAGTGGCCAGCCTGGCTGAGATGGTTATCTCCACAGTCCGTCTGAGCCACTCCATCAATGGCGCTGCCATGAGGACAATGTCTTCAGTCGTAGTTTTGTGCGTTTGTGGAGGTCGAGATGGTGGATGACAAGCAACAAAGCATATGAATGGCGGATATTTTGCTTTGTTTGCCGAGTCGCGACGCGTCTAGGTCACGTGCTCGAAATCACCATAACATCAGCAAAAGTGGCGCACCCTGGTAAGGCATTCCCAGGCTTGGCAAGACCCCCCCAGCCAGATGTGCCTCGCCAAGACTGAACATACCATATAGAGGAACTCTCCCCGATGCCAGCCAGGCGTAAGGCTATTTGAAGACGGTCAGAATTGGAGCTTTCCGAAGTCTTGAGGCGCCTTGTAATGACTACTCATCCTTGTTATTCTTATCCAGGCTTGTACCACTATATCAGTCTGGTATCACACTGTAAGGCAATAGACGGAATACAATAGATTTCACATTAATAATACAAAATAAAATACACAGCCGGTGCAAAGTGATACGAGTCCGAGTCCGATTAAAATGATACCCATCTAAGCATGATCGAGAGCGCCGTGGCGAGAGCACCGAAGAAATGACAGCGCGAATGTGCGAATGCGACAAAATTGGGAATGAGCAATGCGGGGAGTCCATGATGTGTAAATCTAAGCATGAAATACTAGGTAGAATCAGACCAGGTGAATGAGTGAGAAACAAACATACCTAATCCGCCTTTCTACCATGGCGAGGTGCAACCTTTTTCTTCTGAGGTACGACAGGAGCTGGTTCATTGACTTCGGCACCGCTAGCAACGAGACGTGTGGGACGGACACTCGACTTTGGCTTTGTAGGCTTAGGTCTCGGGAGTACCTTTCGTCGTGCAGTCAGAGGTGGTTCAGGATCGGTTGGAGCAGCAAGAGCATCGTGAGCGGTGGCAAGTTCAGAAGGAGCAGTAGCAGGTTCCGAGTCGGTAGGTTTTGGTGAAGGTGGGAGTGACAACGGTGAAGATGGAGCGAGAGACGGTAGTCTACTAGGCGGAGTGACGGGACGGTGAATCGGGGGAGGAACTGCAGTGGGCTTTGGAGGAGCAGTCAAGGGGGCCCCTTGTTTGCGGGCAGCGCGTTTCGCCCTCATTTTTGCAAGATCGGAGTCAGCGTCATTCGAAGTGGCCATCATTGCCTTGGCTGCATGTTTGCCAAATACCTGTCTGTAATACTTGTTAGTAGACACTGACAATGAACTGAATACGTACTCGTTAATCCATTTGAGTGTTTCCACTGCCCACGGATCCTCGGTATCATCGAGTGCCTCGACAATGGCTGAAAAGAACTCTTCGAGGTTGAATGAGCCGATGATAATCCTGTAGGAGTTGCAGTTGCATAGGGAAACCACGCCTAGTGTTATAAAATCAGTACACTAGCCAAATAAAACAACGAGCACTCACCACACACATAGCCCAAGCCCACGACTGCGGTGTCACTTTTGTTAGCCCGTACATGGTGCACTTTGACTTTCCTCCACCATGCTTGCTGTCTTCATCATCATTATCTTGTGATCCTGCAGCGGCGGGCCCTAAGTATAGATGCTGAAATGCCTGCAAAAAAATTGGTGAACTTAAGTGACTAGAATCAAAAAAGTACGTACCCTGATACCTGCATGTCCACGGAATAGGCCGGTGATCGGATCTTCTGCGTCGTAAGCAGCATCAGCAGGATACAGAAAGGATGGCCAGTTCGTAGCAAGCAGAGGCCATCCTCCGTCTTGCAGACGTTGCATCCCTCTATGAATAGAGACTGAATTAGACGAAACATTATGAGCTAAGAAATACTCACAGGTCGGTATCTTTGTCAAATTCATCGAGCCATTTCTTGGGGCAAAGTTCCCGTGCTAGTCGGGGATGATTGACGCCGCGGTTCGACTTGCAGGAAGACTTTGGGATGGGAGGTTGGAGGGTATCAGTGCTGCGGTTGGCAAGAATGTACTCAAGCATTGAGTACTTCAGGGATGAAAAGTCATCCGAGCGTTGGGAGCTCATTGAACTGTGGATCATATGTTTGTAGTCATCAGTGAGGTGCATATATGCGCATATATGCGTCAACTCACCGCTGTAATGTAAGGTTTGAGCTCATCATATGACAAGTTGTCAAGATTTGCACGGAAGCCTGGAACAAAATCTAGAATAGTGTTGTAAAATGCGAGAAATCGCGTCTGTTGCTCCTCAGATCTGGAAAACAAATCAGTTTGAGTTCCAAGGTGAAAGGCGACTTACATGTTTGAACTGGATGAACCACCCTTATCAAGGGTCATCCCGTAATGAAATGCGAGCGACACATTTGTAAATGGATGCAAGGTGGCAACTGCCTTGCGCCCAGCCGTGCGATATTCGGATAATGTGTCGCTCAACCTTAAGTCGCGTAATAGGGGTGAGCCCGTGATCATCAATGAATAAGAAACTTACTTGATCTTCTTCTGTCTTCCCGTAGCAGTCAGATTATCGAGAATCTCATCAGTCGAAGTGCGTTTTTTGGAGCTGGAAGTGGACAACGACGCCTCGGAGTCTGAGGAAGACATGGTAGGGTGAGGTAAACAGCTAAGGGATTGTTACCCCAGATACCCGATATTTGGTTCTGTTGACGTGTTACCCCAAACAATTAATTATCGTATACTAATATTAGTACAAGGGGGTGCAAGATAACATGAGAGCAATGTGAGAGCAAAAAAAAATTAATCTAAGTTAAGTCTGCGGTAAAAAAAATATCTAAGCTAAGTCTGCGGTAACTGGAGCAGGCAGAGCTCGCAAAAGATCTAGACTGGCAATGGAATCAGTTGTCTTCCACGTCCCTGCAATGGTGACGGCGGCGGGGTGGCCAAGCGATGCTGCCGTCGAATTTAGGTTTGAGTGGCGGGGGATTTTTGGGGATCCCCACCAAGCGCACTGGCTTTGCCTTGAAATTTGAGTTATTCCTGTAGATCAAATTTTGTTAGTGAACCTGATCATGATCAAGCAAATATAAGAAGTCTTACCCGGAACTCTGGGACTGTGAGTTTGAGGCCCGCAAGATCTTCTGTGATCTTGATGGTATCTGCCGAGAACTTAATCTTCTTGCTCTCGCGTTCACTCAATGGGGTTCTGTATATGGAGTTAGTATTGTATGTGTGAGAGGAAATCTAATAATACTCACCTTTTCCGTTTGGGTTTGCCTGGAATCAACAACTCCGCCTCGCTATCTGTAGATTCCTCGATGCGGACCATCTTGACAGGATCTTTGAGGATGAATAATCAGTTTCTAGGATCAATGTTAGTAAGTGATATGAAAAGATCGAGATTACATGCCAATGGGCCCGGATTCTCGGGGGTAAAGTTGATCTCATAAGTCGGCCAACCAGTTAGGAGGTTGTCAATATCCATGACAATGACATTGTCACGGATAATGACCTGGTCGGTACCATTGAGAAGGATTGACTCAGGCTGAATTAGACATGGTAGTGATAGACGCGTAATACTGGAAAATCTATGCGTGTTGATCGATAAGATCATTGGAAATTGCCGGCTGACATTAAATTTGATCCGTCAGTCATGTGATCTGTTGGAATCAAAATTTTCAAAGTTTTCGTTCTTGCTCCTCAGTTAGTACCATAGGGCGTCCGCTCATACCAGCCACCGATACACGCACTACGTGCAGCTCCGCATCATGCGGACACTTTCAGTTGCTTAGGCGCTGATCTGCAAACATCCGCTGTTAACTTGTAGAGGCTCGGTCCCTGAGCACCAGGGCGCCCTGGGAAATCTCAATTTATTTTATTCATATTTTGACTGCTGTGGGTGAGGGTCATGCTGCGGCTGGAGGTCTCCGCGCAGACTCAACGATCCTGCAGCAGTCAATGTACTAATTTTATCCTCTCTAGCTTATAAACACCTCTAGACTTCGACTGTCGAGGGCACCTTTCGCGTTCTCAAACGCCATCTCCACCACACATCCGTCGTCAACCTTTTCAAGTTGCTTTGCCTTGCTTGCACTCACACACATGGTTCGTGTTTCATTCTGCGTCGCTCAATATCTTCCACTCACCTCTTAGATTAGTTTGCTGTCAATGTGGGCTCTTCGCAAGCGCAAAGCTATACCACGACGACTTCATCTCCCGACACGCGTCTGTGCTCCGGTAGCCTCCCTCTCGTCTATTGTGCTGTGTCGTCGTGGTCCATCCGCGTACAACCTATCGTGGACCAGCTTGTCACCTCTATCTTGCCACTACTCCTTGATCTTATCGACGCTAGCCAGATGTGGAGGCACGCATCATATTAGATGACCCGCTCTCAGTGGGTGAGCAATATTATCTCTGTCGCGTCTCTCTTACTGACGACTGCCTTTAGTGGATGCACACGCTGTCTCCGCGTTCCCCTTCCCCCCGATACATTTCCCCGTATCTCTAGTCCCTTCAGCTCTTGCTCATCTCGCCAAACGATACATCGATCAAGCCTTCGTACTAAATCTCCTCGAGCTCTTTGACTCTGAAGACCCTCAGGAGCGCGACTTTCTCAAGACAACAGTACCCTCACCGTGCCTTTTTATTTATTTATTGGGCGCCCTCACGAAGCGAGTACCCTTGAAGGTTCAGTCACCGTCGCCTTCGTTAGCATCCATAGCGTTGGGTTTTATTCTTTTTTCTCGGTTCTTTCCTTCCCTCCCTATGCAGTTTATGTTCTCCAACTTACCTTCTGACTAATATATCCTTTGCTACACCAATGCCTGACGTGTCGGCGAAAACCTTGATTGTGCCTGGCAGTGATGACCTTTGGGAGGGTCTTGACGAGGCCTCAACACTGCAACTGGCTAACCTGACCTCGACTACTCCGACGCTCGATTCTGTGGACGCACCACTATGTACTCCCTCTGCACCCACTGGACGTCTTGATAATACGTCAACTCCTTACTATGTTGAAGAACGTCTTCTGGTTGTCCTCCTTCAGGCAAAATCAACTCGAAGCGATCACCGCCATGCTCGATGGCAATGATGTCTTCGTCCTAATGCCCACCGGTGGTGGAAAAAGTCTTTGCTACCAACTTCCCGCAGTCTGTAAGACTGGTAGGACCCAGGGAGTCACATTCGTCATATCTCCACTTGTTGCGCTCATTGCGGATCAAGCGGATCAAGTGGAGCATGTGAACGATCGGACCGTAACCCTATCATTACGCACGATGACCTGCAGGCAGATTTTGATCGGGTGGCAGGGATTTTGATCGGGTGGCAGGGATTTTGATCGGGTGGCAGGTCCCAGTTCATATAAAACGAGTCAGGTCTCTGCTGACTCCCATCCCAGTGCATGCCTGCAGTGACTCGGGCAGATACATGCAGGCGATGCTGGCAAAGTACACCATTCTCTCACTCCTCACCTTTATCCTCGCCATGTCGTTTGCATGCCCTGTTTGCAATTATACTGCCACGACGGCACGCGGTATTTCCACGCATCAAAACCAGTGGTGCAAAGGTTTGAGGGATGTCTCAAACAGCATCATGGATGCCCGCCGTGAGCGCCAGCCTCCACAGCCTCCAGCCCCTCAGGTTCCCATCGCTCAACCGATAGTTGCTCCCTTGCACGATGATGGTCTGAGTGTGCTGGATTTTGAGCATTATTCGCCCTCGCCCCCACCAGTACATTCAAGTCCACCACCGCAGCGGCCATCAGGCCTTCCAAATCGTAAACGGCAGCTCCCATTACGCTTTCGAGATGAACTCCCTGCTCTGCCCGTCCCAGTTCCCGTTCCTCCACCTGCAGCTGACATTGATCTTACCGCCTCTCTGGCTGATGTCGATGCCACCTCGCCACGTTCTGGTATCGAGTCTGACATAGAATCAGACGAAGATACGTGGGTACATACCGATCAGGACACCTTTGGTTTGTTCCGTTCATACTTGGGACATTTCCCGTCCTATGATCCTGAAAATACCATGTCGTTTGACGACATTTGCGACTCTCGCACCTTCCAACCAGCTGATGGTCCCAACAAGCATACGCGACCCTGGTATGCAGGCTTCGGCACTGCCATTGATGCTGTTAATCGCACCTTCTTCGCACCTTTCCTCAATGCTACGACTTTTCGGCTCATGAGTTGGTTCTACAACTCATCTACCGGTAGATCTATTGCCGACCTTGACCGCCTAGTGCAAGAGGTGATGCTTGCTGAAGACTTTGAGCGCGAGGACTTGAGAGGATTTTCCGCGTCTCGGGAGGCTAAGAGAATGGATCAAGCAGGCGAAGATCCAAACTCGGGTCTGTTTACGTCTGACAGGTGGCATGAGGCCTCTGTGAAGATTAAGCTGCCTGCGGAGAAGGAGAAATTTGCGTCAGAAGCAGATGCCCCCGAATTCGCAGTCGAAGGACTTTACTATCGCAAGCCGCTCGAAGTTCTCAAATCGGCTTACGAAGAGATGTCCTCAAGGACGTTCCATACCACTCCCTTCAAAGTCTTCTGGCACCCTGACGAACATGAATTCCCTGAACGAATCATCACCGAAGTCTATACTGCTGACGCAATGCTCCAGGAGCATCAGCAAATCAAGGCACAGCCTCGGGGGTGCAATCTAGAGACGGTTGTTGCTGCTATCATGGTGTGGTCAGACTCGACACATCTTGCGTCATTCGGGCACGCTGCACTATGGCCTATCTACCTGTTTATTGGAAACCAGTCAAAGTACCTACGGAACAAGCCACTCGAATTTGCAGCACATCATTTGGCATATATTCCAAAGGTAAGATTTTCTTTTGAGTCATCGTTGTCAACTCTGACGGTAATGTATTCAGTTACCAGATATTGTACACGAATTTTATATGCATGCCTACGGGAAGGCTGCAACCAGCGCAGTCCTTACCCATCTCAAGAGGGATCTTATGCATGCTATCTGGCTCCTACTCCTCGACGATGAATTCATGGATGCCTACGAGCATGGTGTCGTTGTCCGATTTGCAGACAACGTCTATCGTAGAGTATTTCCCCGATTTTTTACCTATGCAGCGGATTACCCAGAGAAGTACACTTATATAACTCTCCTTCGTTATGATCGCTCATTTGAATTTCAGGATTCTCCTTGCTTGTATTAAGTTCCTCGGTAAATTTCCATGTCCCCGGTGCCTCATCCCAAAGGACAAGATCAATCAGCTGGGATCAAAGTTGGATAGACTGCGACGCACACGAGATGTACGAGTGGATAACAGGCAATGCTGTCATATTTATGCATAATTTAGGCTAATTACAGACATTATTGTTATGCATGGCTGTCACTAATCCCCCATCATCCTCCTTTATGCATAATGGTGCCTGCATCACACTGATCCCATAATAGGGATTTATATTCTCAGATTATTCTCATGCCCTACGCATTTTTGGCCACCTACCGTGGGAATTTCCCCACAACACTAAAAACATCGGCCATTTTGGGAATCTCCACAATATCAATTATTCCCACACCCTCCCCACCTCACTGCAGCTTCACCACCACACCACAATAGCTCCCCCTTTATATATAAGTAGTAGTTTAGTATATATATGTATAACATAATATAATAGACCGCTTTTTTTGTTTGTTTGTGTGATTGCTCCTCCTCCAGGGGCAATTCAACATAGGGTAGGGTACAGAACATTTTCGCACTTTTGCCCCTTTGATAGGGGTGTGTTCTATTATCTTCAGAACATGTTTATGAGCATATATGAGCATATTCCTATCTTTATTGGACCCCCTGAAGCATCCTACATCAATAGATATACCACATATGCAAGAAAACACAGAATATGCTCCCATTTAATTATTTCTGGGTGAACAGACTTGTAAAAATGATTCCCAGCATCTATTCAACAATAGGAACAATGTATCAGGAGTCCAGGACCATAGGATAATCCCCTGTTGCATGGTGTGCCCCCCCTCTCCTGGTAATTTGCCCCCTGTGAAATTTTTTCCTGTAGGACCGGGCCTCAATTGAGGTAGGGGTCTATTTCTACATATATTTGAGGTAGGTCTATTATATAGCTGGCCCAGGACACACATAGGATCCTGCTACAGGAACAAAAACATAGAAAATCGCATTTTTGACACTTTTGATGTTTTTCAGTATCTTACTCTTGCACAAGTAATACAACCTGTTCATATATCATTATTATAGTATATATACTTGCTCTTTGTGACAAGGATCAGCTCAAAATAGGCCAGGAGTTTGAGTTAGTGTGAATGCTTGCTATTTCTACTGATAAGGAGCCCATACTTTTAATACATCAAAATTTAATAATCAGACACCTGGAGTAGATGTCAAATATATTCATAATCATAGGCCTAAATGTACAGAACAATCCAACAAGAATTGAGTCCTGAGGAAGTGAAATAGATAAGGAATTGAGTGTGGGAAAGTTCAAATACCCAAAACATCGAAAATGGTCAGTTGGGCAGTAGTTGGACTTTAATGCTGGGTCAACTCAAATATACACCACATTCCTTCCACCACCCTTCAACCTCAGGGCAGTATGTAGTATAGGTTCATTCAGTAGTCTACCTTGTATCCTACATATTTTTAATGAAATGTTTGAGCTGTATCATATATAAATGTAACTTTGTGTGAAAAGATGTCAATTGTCACTTTTCACACATATGTGATTTTACTTGTCATTTAGTCAGTCCTTGATGGATCTTTCTAGAACTTCATGTCTATCATCAGGGACATATATAGGACATATCCCAGGTCTTTGATCACTTATCACAGGCTTGATGACTATGTGGGCTCCTTATCAGTGGAAATACCCCCTGTACATCATATATCATATTTGTGCCCTATGTAGGGCTGATCCTTGGCATAGAACATATGTCTGAATGTACTACTGATTATATATGAAGGGCTAGTCATTTGTGCAAGTGTAAGGGACTTAAAAACATTAAAAGTGTCAAAAATGCGATTTTGTATGGTTTTGTTCCTATAGTAGGATCCTATGTGTGTCCTGGGCTATCCATATGATGTATCTACTCCAAATATACTTAGAAAGAGATCTCCCACCCTCCTTAAGGTCCGGTCCTACAGGAAAAATTTTCACAGTGGGTAAACCACCAGGAGAGGGGGGATATACTACACAAGAAGGTCTTGTCCTATGGTCCTGAGGTCCTGATACATTATTCCTACTGTTGAATGGATGCTGGGAATAATTTTTCCAAGTCTACTCACCTAGAAATAAACAAATGGGAACATATTTTGTGTTTTCCTGTATATATGCTGTATCTAATGATGTAGGGCGCTTCAGGTGGTCAAAAATGTGGGGGGATCTCTTCATATACACTCATAAGTGTGTCCTGGATACCATAGAACACTTCCATATCAAAGGGGCAAAAGTGTGAACATGTTCTGCAACCTAGGTTATGTTAAAATGGCCCTGGAGGGGGAGTTGTCACATGGATACACAAAAAAAGTGGTTTATTATGTTATTTTATACATGTATGTACCAAACTACTACTGAGATACAAGGGGGGACTTATTATGGTGTAGTGGTGAAGCTGCAGTGAGGTGGGGAGGGTGTGGGAATAATTGATATTGTGGACATTCCCAAAATGGCCGATGTTTTTGGTGTTGTGGGGAAATTCCCACGGTAGGTGGCCAAAAATGCGTAGGGCATGAGAATAATCTGAATATAAATCCCTATTATGGGATCAGTGTGATGCAGGCACCATTATGCATAAAGAAGGATGATGGGGGATTAGTGACAGCCATGCATAACGATAATGTCTGTAATTAGCCTAAATTATGCATAACCCTGCCACCAACAGGTGTGGATAACCATGCTCGCCGGAGCATGATCGAGATGGTCCGGGATTGGATTTTCACAAAGGGGCGGAACATAGCGAGCTCAGTGATTGACAAGGTACTTGGACCAACTTCTCTTGTTCCAACCCGTGTAAGTTCTACTATTCATTGTGCACTAAAAGTCCCTTATATCTCCTTTGAAGAATGCTTTCTCAGCGCGCTTGTCCCGCTTTGGGTTGGACTTTCACTCAATGTTCGTGCCCGATTTTATGCACGAGTTCGAATTGGGGGTCTGGAAGGGTACTCTTACACATTTGCTGCGTATTATGTATGCTTTTGGCGGGGACGCAATGGTACAGTTTG